TTCCAATTGCCATTGCTATTGGGTCATCGTCTACCCCGCGGAAAGCTGTCTATCCTCGGGCCTCAAGATGCACACAATTTGACTTCGGATATGCGAACCCCGCAGAGGGATGCGATCCGGGGTTGACGCTTAGTGCGTGCGGCTCCCCTGTTCATATTTGTGGGGATCGTGGATGCGACTCGCGATAGTAAGGTGATCTCGCGAATGGGAGCACGCGTTGCCTAGCTGTTGACCTTGCCTTATCTCGGCCTCATGTTTTTGTTTTTTTGGAAAAGTCGGTGTGCACCCCAAATTATCGCACCGGGGACTAACATGTACATCTGGCTTTGTATCTTTCTAGGTAGACGTGCCCTCAGCGTCCTCGAGTCCTCTATCAGTGCTAAGAAATTTCTGATAGGAGCTACTGGGCCTCGGGAAATGTCTTGTCGTGAAACTTCCCTATCTGCAATTGCGTTGCACTTCGGAGGCGCCCGTTCTGATAATGCAGTATCTCGCATCACGCCAGAAACCGAAAATTCCCCCGCTTGACGCCTTATGTGCATTGCGTCGGACACATGACCATTGTCTGCAACTTGCAGGGATGCTGACACGTTGTCGCAGGGCTATCTAGGCACAACAGTTGATTACAGGGTGTACGTAGACCTGGCCCCATCACACAGCTTGGCGAGAATTCAATCTCCCAAATTGCAGAAGGACGTGCGCTCAGACGCTCAGGGACCACCGTTTCTGGTCTGTGCTATGAAGCTTTACAAAAAAAAAAATCCGAAAGCCAAGTCAAGGATGTGCAACCCCTCGTGTGGGTCTCCCCACATCCTCCATCGCAAAATAGTAGCCTACTGTACCCTGCTGGATGCCTCACATACTTTGATCCACATACTAATGCACGGCATGCGAAGCCATCCAATTGTGCTAGTAAAAGTCGGCCGCAGCCTAGACTTACTGTGCCGTAGTCAATGCGTACAATCCCGCAGATATAATTCGACGGTTAGCGCATAGACAGTGGGGCCGGTGGCTACAGACATTAGGCAGTGCATTAGCGCGGTGAACTGACTATGCTTCTGCATGTTAAGAGGTCAAAGCATGGCGTCATCTGTTTCGAGCAGAGAGTCTTAGAGCTAGTCAGCTATCTCAGGGGCTGACATGCTAGAACCGTGCTGATTTGCAAGTATACCCCGAAATCATCAAAGCGGAAAGCGGGTCCCCTTTCTCTTAACGTTCATGTATACTTCCTGTCGGTATAACGCCGGGATGTCAAAAATGGGCATTTCTCGCCGCTATCTCACTAAGGTTCTGCTATTCGTATACTACCCTCAGACCCTGCCAGCGACACCAAAGTAGCTCCCTGCTTAGCTGTTGATGATCATTGATCGTGCCGCCCAGACTACCAAACATCAAAACATTTTCCTACCAAACTGTCAGGTATAGCGAGATCTACATTATGCATTGACCGTGAGATAGCAAATGGCCAATAATCCAGCGAAAACCTTATCTCGTGATTCCTATACTTCCCCCTGTAACTGCTAGGAGAGGACCGCGTGCTGAGTCGCATGTTAACCTTACGTCTGCTCTATTATCCCCAAACCTCGAAACACGCTTGGCGGGAGAGGCGCTAGCCAAGAAGAACGCCACTGTCGGCCTATAACGCCCATCGAATCGAGTGGCAGACAGCCACTGATCCCAACAATTCCGATAGTGCACCAAGGACGAATCACACTCCTTGCGTGCATGTTAGGAATTTTCGGTGGCAGTGCCATGGCGCGCTTGCTACAGCTGGCCTTCCCATTACTTTGCTAGCGCTGTAGAATGTCTCCGATAAATGAAGCTTGCTATAATAAGAACGTCCTACCTAGTATCTTTGTTTGCTTTGTCATTTGTCGGGTCAACCCGGTGCAATTGCTAGATATGTATTATGATCATCTAATTATATGTTTTACTTAATATCATTAATTGATGCATATCATGATTGATTACCTATATCAGAAGGTGCATTAGTTACAGGGGTCTACAGGCAAGGTAATCCCCGGACATTTCCCGTCATGATCTACTACCCGAACAGGTACGACAGAGGATCAGCCCCTGTGGGGTCTGGGGTCTAGGGTCCGTCTGGATGGGGGTAGTGCTCGATCCTCGACCCTAGAGCGCGCGCAGCGCTCTTGTTGATATTTTAGTGCTTCCATACGCAGGCAGACCCACCGCGGGGCTTACCTACTACAAGGGTGGCTTTCAGTTAACCCCCACGGACAAAGGCGAAATTCCTATCTGCCCAGCAAAGTAGCTTGGTTGCCTAGGGTCGATCACGTATCTAAAGTCTTACTCTGTTAGAAAACCCCGCGGAGACAAGACAAGGTGCATATGCCCTGCGCCCCCATCAAATTGCGGGGTGCATCACCTCCAATGCCAGTTCACATTCTGCTTATCAACCCGAGACTAGAGCAACCGAGCGATGCTGCCAACGCGCCATCAATCCTCGACGTCCAAGCACTGCCTGTACGCGTCACAAGCATACGGAATGCTCTGGAACGCCTTGGAGAGGTTTAGCACCATGCCTCACCGCAACAGCTGGTCTCTTTCCCCTCTTTTCTTGGGTTGTTGTCCCTTTGCCCCTCACTTCTAACAGCTATCCTATACTCCTCTTTTTGCTGTCTTGTCAGCCACACCCGAAGTTTGACGATCAGACCCCGGCTTTTTCTTTCCCCCGAGTGTATCGCGAATGGCCCCAAACCCCCTCTCTCATCGTGCAAACCAACCCATGGCCTCAGCGCTGCGCTTCCCCGCCCACACGGCTATGGACATCCCGTTTCACACCTGCATCGTGCGCCGGGATTTCCGTGCTGGATGACCCTTTGCAGATACCCAGCAGAGCCCCGAATGCACTAGTAACACAGTTAAAACCTCCTAGCAACGCACATGATGTGCCAGCCAGGCTATAGTTCCGGAGCTCCGGCCTGAAATGTCAAGTTTCGTTTAGCTTAGCTGCAGGGTGGAAGGCAGTGTAGACGGGTCTCTGCCTTGCAGATTTGGGTGTATCATTTACGTGGTACGGCATATTCTACATACGATTACAGCTTGCGAATGAGACTCGAAGGCAAACTTTGGGAAGGTCCAAAAGTCAACTATAGAAATATCACCCCACCCCTGCAAATACGGATCATCCATACATAGACACCATGCGCTCTACTTCCCCTTGCCTCCTCTCCCCATTCCCCACTTTCCTTTGTTGGTGGCTTGAATTTCTATGCTAGAGACTGAGCTGGCCAAAGCCACGACGCCACTTGGGACATACTACGTTTAGGAAAAAGTTTGTCGACAATCTCGCCTCAGTGGCAAGCGGTCTACAAAGCTCCGGTCATTAGACACAAGGGTCGAAGCTTGAAGTATCTTTTTAGTCACTGCGAAGTATTGTGTGGCTTTTGAGATGGTCGGACCCTCATCGTGCGACCTGGGCATTGAGGGACGTGTCTTGCATTGCCGCCACCACCGATCTGCGGCAAGTCAACCAGGCGGATATTTCGCAGCTTGACTAGTTGTCAGTAAAAGTAGAAGGTGTTAATGGTTCCGAAGAATGAGAAGTAAAAATTTTTCATTGAGTTTGGGGCCGTGCAATTGCGTTTTTCCGGTGAGTTAACCGATCTTTGAGACATTGCTCTTGGGCCCCTGTCGAGAACTCAACCATGGACGTCTCCGAATCTTGCCCCCGATAAAATACTTCTTTGCCAACAGTTTCTCTCAAGTCATGGCTACCACCTTGCAGCTTATACTATTTGAGAACCCTGTATGAATGATGGAAGTGTAATTGCAAGTGCAATTGAGTGGAATGCAGTTGCGGGTATTCTGATGTGGCTGTCATTGGATATGGCGATATATATATTGATCTAACTCTCATTCAGAGTACATTGTGAGTTATGTGAAGGCCAAATATCACTAGACATGTTAGTGCAGAACTCAGAGAGTCCACTGACCATTATGGATGTTTATGCTACTGACTTGCTCCATATCGAGATCTGATTGCTGGGTCAAGAGCGTCTCCCCGGGCCATCGATGTTAAAAGACGTAGACAGGTGACCTAATGGTTCCAATTGTCGGTTCATGTATCCTTTGGTGATCTGGAAATTTGAAAATAATAATTCTTCCAACAGATTTCAAGCCATGCTGAGTCCCACATATATAGTGCCCAGATGGCCGGATGGTCGTAATTGAATAGCAAATCCAAAAGGGCACGCCTGAGATTCTGGATCCATGGTGATTGGGACACCACGATCTGTTTTACAATGAAGGACTCGGTTGTGCGACAAAGATGTGAATGCACAGCTCAACGAGTTGAGCCTGGGTTCACCCTGGAGCGAATGACTGTGGTAAGTTGGGCGAGGATATGTTGTATTTGCTTCAATTTGTACAGGACAGTCGGCATGCGACGCACTCGAGAGAACAGTATTATCAGTCCATGGTTTTTTCTGGTTGTGAGCTGCCAAAATATAGTGTCCTGTCATATGGGTAAGTTGAGCTGCCTCGTGGCATGGACTTTCGGGCATGCAGTGAGACCACTAAGACTGCTTTGTTGCCCAACATGGTCTGACAAGTAGCTCTGTAGCATAGCCGGATCTACCATATAATTGAGTCCGCTTGATCCAATCTAGCAAGCTCCCGGATGACTATCACAGGTTCTAGAGGCTTCGACTTTATGTTGTGATGACTGATAGTTTTAAGGCGCCAATTAAACTGTAACGCAATGTAGGACGATGAAACCGCAACCCAACTCTTACCGACGGGAGCCGCAAGTCAGATTTGACAAGAGAACCGTTGAAGAAATGAAATAAGCAAAATTCAAAGCAAAAACTCTCCAGAGACGAGCCAGAGTTAAAGCAATGATGAAATGAATGCGGGATCACGATAAGCTTGTGGAGATCATTTCTTTTGCCCACTTTCAAGTTTCCACCGCCTGATCCGTGGTTTCCCACATCCCTGTTCCTTGGATCTGGGTGATTCCTCTAAACAATATCCCCATGTCTCAGCAGGCGCCTGGTCTAGCAGACCTGGAGAAAGAGCTGGGGTGCTCGGTATGTGCGCGAAATTCCACTTCCAGAAGCTTTCCATTCCTTCGCCCCTTACGTGGGACTGACGATTTCAGATCTGCACGGAGCTCCTCTACCAGCCCCTCACTCTGCTCGACTGTTTACATACCTACTGTGGCTCTTGTGTGAAAGAATGGTTTACCGCACAAGGGTCGCGCGGACAAGCCCGCGGATCCTCCCCAAAATTTACCTGCCCTTCATGTCGTGCTGAGGTGCGCGGTACCCGCCCAAATGCTACCGTCACAACACTCCTGGATATGGTCTTGATGGCCAAGCCAGATCGTGGCAGGTCTGAAGATGAGAAGAAAGAGATCGCGGAACGATATAAGCCGGGCGACTCGGTCTTCCCACCGCAGCAAATAGAAGCGGAAAGCTCAGAAGACGAGGAAGATCAGCGACTTCTGGAGGAGGCTCGTGATATGAGTCTTCGCGAGAATCGGCCACATGTACGACGGGAAGAGCGCCGTGAAGAACGGCGCAGAACGCAACCAGAAAGCAGCCGAGCGAGGAACGACAATACAGAGCACAGGCATACAGATGATGGGAGGTCTCGACGGAGGCGAGAGGAAGAGGCGGAACGGCAGCGGCGCATAGCTCGAGCTCAGGATGACTCCGAGCATACCAGGCGTGTTGAGCACCAGTCGAGCTTGCGATCACTGCTCAGCCTGTCATCTGAGACGGAGACAATGCAAGAGGAGATTCTGCGGCAAATTGTTGAAGAGGGCCTGCTGAATGGTATCGACACTGAGAATCTTGGCCCTGCACAAGAGGAGGAGATCAGTGAGCGGATTGCGGCTGTCCTTCGTCAGAGGCAAATGCAACAATCGAGTTCCCGGCCAGCACAACGGCGCAGGCAGTCACCCGAAGGCAACCACCGGTCGCATGGGCGGTCAAATTCAGCCCACAGATCAGGGGAAATAAGTACCACGTCTCGAGACCCCGGTGAAAGGCGGCCACCTATATCTAGACCGCATCTACTTGGCTCAGCTGCAGCTCACCCGCCTCGAAATCACCAACGAAGAAATTCGGATCATACCAGTGGCACCCGGGGAACGTCACCTGTTCGAGTGAACCAAGCATCAACTTCGGACGAGACTTTGCGACCTGCAGTTCGGTCTTCGAGCGATATGACAAGTGAGCGCCCTCGTAGTTCTCATAACGGCAGACCAAGAGCAGAGTCATCTTCCCAGCGGCCACGCCGAGGAATGGAAACAGAACAACCCATCCATGATGTATGGACAGGAGCAGGGAGAGAACGAGCTTCCACCCGACAAACCAACAGCCAGTCCGCCACTGCCTCTCCTATCTCTGCAGCGCCATTGAGCTCATCCCATCCTTCAACCCCAGTCGTTTCTAATAGGTCCGATAGACGACATAGGCCAGCATCTTCACGGTCAAATGCTCCTACGCCGTCAAATACGCAATTCGCTGAGCCTTCCCTATCATGCGATCGATGTGGGAAAGCAAACATCCAATACGACTTGCACAAGAGATGCCTACAGTGCAAGGATGGAAACTATCGCCTTTGCTTACCATGTTACCGCTCTGGTCGGGGCTGTCTTCAATGGTACGGCTTCGGTTCAAGTGCGCAATCGACATTCGAACAAATGCTGGCATCATCAAACGGCCAGCCAATGCGCATACGCGAAGGTGGCCATGTACTCCACTCTTTCAAGTACCAGCGGCCTTCGGATACTGCTCAGATCACCACGAATGGAGAGATGCAAGTGACAAATGATAACCCGGCCCGCCGCCTGGAAGCTGGGCTATTCTGCGACATTTGTATGTCTTGCACAAATGAGTGCTACTGGAAGTGCAGCCAATGTAACGAGGGAGATTGGGGGTTCTGCAATCGTTGTGTCAACCAAGGGCGATGCTGTACTCATCCCCTCCTGCCGATCCGTCGTCTAGCTGGGACCCCAGCGCCGTCTTCTCCATCGACACCGGTGGTTGCAGCGAACAGCCCACCCCCTATGCAAACTACAGAAAGCTACAAAATTCTCTCATTTTCCACTAACTGTGACATCTGCACCTATCCAATTCCAGCCTCGGTTTCGAGATACCATTGTCTACAATGCAATTCTGGTGACTATGACGTTTGCACGAATTGTTATCTCAAGCTCGTGGTAACCTCAAAGATTAGCAAGGAGAATGGCCACGGTGGCTGGCGCCGGTGTGTGGCAGGTCACCGAATGATTGTCGTCGGTTTCGAAGACCATCAAGATGGCCAGAAACGGACCATCACGAGGCATCTAGTTGGCGGCCATGCTCTTCAAGATGAGCATGTCAATCGATCACCCTCTTCATCACCTGTCATTACTTCCCCCGTCGCTTCTCCTGAGTTGGGTGTTGGGGATTGGAGCTGGAAAGAGGGCCACGATCGTCGCAAAAAGGCTTCTCGCGTGCGAGGCACTCTCGCTTCTTCCATTAATAAGACACATACGTCAGATGGGGATCCTGCATCTCCAAATACAGGCACTCCTACCTCTCAGTACGCCCCTGCTTTCCGCCGCTTCCCACCCGATGGAGGCGTTGGCCTCATAGTCCACGCACTGTGGTCATATTATCCCGAGGAAGAGGATGAGCTTATGTTTCCGCGTGGTGCTGATATCACAGAAGTTGAAAACGTCAATGATGACTGGTTCTGGGGCTGCTATGCTGGCCGTACCGGACTCTTCCCTGGCTCTCGCGTTGCTCTTATGGGAGAGATTCGCTAAAATGCCATATTTACATGATGGAATATTGACCCTTACCCTTTTAACGTTATGTACTTTCCATGAAGTTATGATCATGATCACGATATGGATGAATGCATGTATACTGAATCAATATGAGCTATCTTTCCAAGAAATCTTACGTTCTGGTATAAACGAATACTGTGTTCTTTGCTTGACATGCATATTGCCTTTAGTATGAATACTATATAGGTCTAAGGAGGTTATGAAGGTGATTGAAAGAATTTAAGTTTTCATGTTTGTTTCATTCATGGCATTAATTCATACAAAAAACATCAAAATAGAAACATTAAACAAATGGGCGCGACGATTGGCGGCAACCCAGCCTAACCCATATAAGTGGAAATATACACAAAATTCATAAAAACATACAGGGCCAGAGGCCACTACTCCAACAAAGCAACCATCAAGCGCTCATAGTCACCAGAAGTCTCGCCGCGCACTCGCTGGATCAAGTCTTTCTTGAACTTATGACGGTAGGCACGCTTGACCTGATCTTTGTGATCCCGATTCCAGTGCAAACGCACAATCCTCGTGACCAAAGCCTCATCCTTTGTGCCCATACCCGCCATGCATTCCTCGAGTAGAATAGCATCACGCATAGCCGGATCAGTCGCGGTCCGTACCATATGCACGTAAGCCTTCTCCATATGACCCGAGTAGTCCTTCAAAATGACCTTCTCCAACGAAGTATGATACCTCGCGCTAAACTCATGATCAATGGCGCGAAGCTCCGCATTCGACGAAGTCGCCAAAATATCAAGCGCCTGATCCTTCTGCTTGGCATGCACAGCAGCAACCTTAGCACTGATATCTTGGGGATTGCAAGGCATGGACTCCTCATGTCTTCTGGCCTCCAAAACCCGCTTGAACAAGACAGCAGTCTTCATCGATAGATCGTCCTCAACATCCCTTGTGAGATGACGATGATACTTGCGCTCATATGCTGTCTTGATAGCGTTGAGATCCGCATTAGATCTCCCAAGTAGGACATCATTCATCAACCACTCCTTGGTGCCAAGGCCTACAATCGACTCACGCGCACATTCCACATCGTAATTCAATGGCCCCTCGATCACGGCTAACAGTCCCTGGCCTAGATACCCGCCTGTCTCGGATTTTACGTCCTTGTGCAGGTCGCGACCGATGTGCTGCGAGTATGTGGCGCGTACTGCGGCCATCTGGAGCGGGTCTAGACGCGCTAGCACTTGGATGAGTGCCTTCTCGTCTGTGCCGAATCCTTTCATTGCCTTGCGTAGGATGTCCGCTTCGCGCCGGAAGTCGCCTGGTGCTACTTGGCCGGGTGCGTAGCCGAGGGAGGGCATTGCTGGTGCGCCATACGAGCCCATAGGTGGTGCGCCGTATCCGGCTTGTGGTGGGTAGCCTGGTGCACCGCCCATGGGTGGCGGTCCTGGGGGTGGCGCATAGCCTTGAGGCGGCCCTTGGCCGTAGGGCGCTTGACCTGGTGGGGGTGCGCCGTATCCCGGTTGTGGTGATGGTGCGTGGTGATACCCAGCTGGAGGTTGAGGGGGTGCATGGTATCCGGCTGGTGGTTGGGGCGAGGGCGCGCCGTAGTAGCCTTGCTGCTGCGGAGGTTGGCCGTATTGGCCCTGGGGTGGGTAGTGACCTTGTGGTGGAGGGCCCTGAGGTGCGCCGTATTGCTGTTGAGGATATGGGGGTTGTTGTTGGTAGGCGTTCTGGGGATAGCCTTGGGGAGGAGCCCCGTAAGGTGGTTCTAGATTATGCGCGTCAGCTATCGATCTGCGGGGCAGAAGGGTGGGGTATAGGTACTCACGAGATTGGGGATAATGCGACATGATTATGTGATTAATGTGATAGATGTAAAAGCTAGGAGCTAACTGTAGGAGATGAGACTTGAGTTAAATAACACAACGGCTCCGGTGCCTGGTTCCCTCGTGTTCGCCGGTGTGGCGCAGTCAGCTTAGTGGGGGTGTACAGCCCTGTGGGTGTGTTCTAGAAAAAGATCTGACGTCAATGCCCAGCTTTCTTGATTAACCACTTTAAGACTAGGATCAATAGGCAATCATTTTACTTGAATAACAAGATGGTCATATGATGAACATAACTAAAGCTAAGTAAGCCGGTTGGCCTACGAATCTTGGAAGGTGGCAAAGTATGACCAGTAACTTAGTTTTGGCCATCTAGCTGCAATTATTTCCGTTTCAAATTCCACTAAAAATGTTAAAGTAAGGCTGTTTTTGCTTAGTCTACTTTTACTGACTATTGTCTCTCACTGCACTTGATCATATTGCATGTCTAAGCTGACTAGCTGGTTCTGGAACAAAAAGAGATTGCCATAAAAGCAACAAGAAGGACTAGGTTTTGAACGGAATAATATTGATTCGCTGATTGTTTGGCTTTGGTTGAAAACACTGGGTGAGTAACACATTAAAATGATGAGAATCATATTTCTAGTGATAAAATTTGTATAACACTGTGCTTGATCCAAAAAAAAGTTGTGTATAGACGTATAGTAATCTTTTGACCCCCTCGAGCGTATTTGTATTTCGCATGTATACCAAGCTAGGTTTGGGATGGACTGCAGGCTTCCATTTCCACTCACGGATATGCATAGTTTTTCAAGACCATAATATTGTACAAGGTTGGGTCAGACTTTTGCCTGGGTCAGCCTTGGAGATGTAGGAACGCGTTGCAGCTATTGACTGGGTTTACCTACACAAATTCTGCAGTAACCACATGTAACATGAAGAAGCCTCTATGAAAATAATGATGTAGAAGACGCATCCATGGACCTCGGGATTTAGCCCAGCTGGTCATACATTATAACACATGTACACCACTGGCTGTGTACAGAGTGGGCCTTTCCACTCAATCACCAGGTCGCAGATTTATCAATATAGGCCACGGATACTAAGGGCCTGGTAGAATGGGATTTTGACCTTTAGCTTCAAGCTAGTACCAGGAGAGCATCTATGGTCATGAATATCTACCCAAACATGCAGCGAATTCTCAGTCGCACCACAAGCTCCCGGCACATAACCCGGGGCTCGCTGATGCAGTTCAGACCTGGCTGCGTAAACAGTCAATCCATTTCGAGTGTCGCATCAGCTGTACCTCATCTGGTGGCACCTAATCTTGCATCAGCTCAGCACCTTTCGCACGTCCGCAATGCTTCTGAGATTCTTCAAAACCATGGGATTTTGAAGATTAGCCTGCGATTTGAGGATCGAGATTGCCAATATCTCGAGTCCTTGATACTCAACTTCCACAAACACCACGGTCATGGGCTACCTATATCACACAGTGCCACGCGTGGTTGGTTTTGGGATGTCCGTCCTAGCACTGCCAACTTCCAGACTAAAAACTATCGCGCTCGATCGGAGACCATGGAAGACTTCCCATGGCACACAGATTGCAGCTACGAAAACCCCACGCCACGATTCTTCGCTCTTCAAGTCCTACAGCCCGACCGCTGCGGCGGAGGCACACTCTCTGTCTTGAATGTGGAACAGTTGAGCCATTTCCTTTCGCAGAGCACTCTTGTCGCCCTATTCCAGCCAGAATATAGCATCGCCATTCCACCCGAGTTCATCAAAGATGCCAATGAACAGAATATTGTCGGCAGCATTTTGGCAGCCGATGGCAAAAATAAATATACAACCATGCGGTACCGCAGGGATATCATTACCCCCATGAGCGTTCGCGCTGAAAAGGCGCTATATGAGCTGGAACGCACTTTACAGCAGCATGAAGTGCAGTCGCGAGCTGTTCTACACCTAACTCCCGACGTACTACCCGGTGGCTCCATCATCTTGCTTGATAACCGGCGATGGTTGCACGCACGGAACGAGATCCATGATCCCGGGAGGCATCTTCGTCGGGTCAGATGGAATTCAGTTCCATTCCTTATGGGTGAGATGTGCGATGATCAAGATCAATAGCTACTGAAGCTATGGGAAAAGTATATTCATCTGTTGCATGTCATTTCATGAATGATGAGATTTGGATCAGTGATTGAATTAAAATGCCCAAGTTTGATATGAGACGGTGCTACATATCCGTTAGAAGGAAAAAGATGAGTTTGATTATTCGTATTGAGACGTTGCATTTGGCATATGGTTCTGAAATACGCCATTAGCTCCCCGTGCTTACTCCGGTGTGACCGGTTCATGTATAGCGAGGGTCCGATATTCCTGGTGAAATTCAATGTTATGAATCGAGCCAGTAAGTTTTATAATGCAGGATATAAAGGTAGGTGGATTCTACACCGACTACATAATCTAACTGTAAGCTATAAGACCGGTGACATGAGCTCTGTACATCCAATCCCGGATGTAGTCTACGGTATGATTTCCGAACACCACTGCCTACGTGTTCTGCGCATGCAAGGACGCGACCATCGTTCCAATCTAAAGTGATACGATATCAAATTTGTGGAATATTCGCAATAAATGATGAAGTGAAAATTTGCAAGATATTAAAATTCAATATAGTTTGATTTTTCATCCATTTAGTCCTGCTCATAAGATGAAAAGCAACAAATACATCAATTAGGCCAGCTGTGGGATGCAGAAACAGTATTTTCCGCAATTATCATCGCATCGTCATGCAAGTAATCAAATATCCTTCAAGTTAGTATACTCTTCGCAATAGAGACCGCGTGGTCAATGCAATTCTTGAATCACAAATCTGCCTCCCCGTAAATGCTGGTACTCGAGTTTGACAAAAACGAAAGAGAAAATTGAGGGTGATGAAGAAGAGAGAGAAAAAGAAAAGAAAGAAAGAAAGAAAGAAAAGAAGAGAAAAGCAGAAAAAATAATCGAGCTGTAAAGGGTATCCATGTCATGCAAGTCGGGTGGAATCATATGTATCATATCATAATTAATCGTCATTTAGACGCTGGCAGTGCGTCTCTTAACCTCACTCGGTTTCTGTGCATACGCAATCAACATACGGAAACCAGTTCCACGTTGCTGAGATTCGCGCAGAACCTTGCGGTCGTTCCACATGCTGGGATCGTTGTCTCCGGTGTCGGGGAGCACAGGATCCTCGTAACACTTCGTATACCACCACCGACCAACACGTGCCACAATCTTAGCGATGGACTCGTCATTAGCGGCGGAGGGTGATGGATCTGAAAGAAGGTCTCCTAGGGAGATACTGGTGTCATCAGAAGGAGACGACTTGGAAGCCGTTCGGGTGCTCTGACTACCAGTCGTTCCAGTGACCGATATAGCCGGAAGAGAGAATCCGGTTGACGAGGTCGTTGCTGTTGCCAAGAAGGATTTGTTCGATGAAGAGGTAGTCGAGCCGGAGGATCGAACGACCATGCCTGCTACTGGGATTCGCACCATACACCGGCGGAGATTGTCAAAGCCCTGGGTGCCAAGCAGACGCTGGACATTATCGCTGCTAGGCTTGAGGCTAATGGCTGGGTTTGCGAGGCAGGTCATTTCCTTGAGTCGGCGGACGGCTTTGCGGGTGCGAGGGCCCATGTTGACCATGTCGCGGTCCAGGAGACTCATTTCCAGGTAACCGCCGGAGCGGAGAACCCGTTTACACTCCTGAATAATGTTATTCTGTATCGCCTCGGGGCTGGCTGCAGGGAATCGCAGAACTGTGGCGGCAAAATAGTCTTTGGGAAACGGCAACGGGTTTTGCAGGCCGGCGTGATAGACGGTGTGGTGGTTGGTAGGAGGCTGCCATGCAGCAGGATGGGGCATCGCTGTGGAAACCGGTCGACCGCTCAAGCTGTATACCTCGGCACCGGGGTAGGTCAATGAGCAATAAAAAGACCAATCGTCATTCCCGAGTCCATCAATTACAAGAATCCGTCCATGGGTTCCAGTCTTGACGTGGTTGTGTGCAGGGCTGAAGAGGACACGCCCGAATGACAGCCAACGGCTGGTCATCAAAGAAGCAGACCGCATATTAGTACGAGTTACTGCATCCCAAGCTCGCTCTGATGAGCCTAGCATAGACTTCCGGTCACTGCGTGACTTTGGTTCAGGACTGGGAGCTGCGGCCAGAGACTGAAGGAAAGTCGATTGCTGCTCTTGGAATTTGTCTTTGGGAGAATGCACAGGAACTTCTGGGCTCCTCGGCTCCTCATCATCTCCGTAGCTGGCGATGAGGTTACTGTAAGAAGGTTGGGTTGATGGAGAGAGGGAAGAATGCAAAGCAGACACAATCCTAGACCGACGCAGGCGAACTGAGTCGCTACTGGAGCGAATTGATGCTTCACCGGATGCAGATGGCATGGGACGAAGAGAATTTGGATTGTTCAATTCGTCCTGGAGAGCCCTGCTCGCCATGGTTGCAAACTGAAATCTCTCATCATTCTCTCCTTCATCAGATTCAGCTGGCTTCGGTTCCTCTGGGGAAAGGACATCGATCAAATCATCGTACTCCTTCCAGATCTCATCCTCCATAGGAGCTGTTTCTGGCTTGGGAACAACAGCCGTCACCGCTGCCAAAGGGCTGCTCGACGATGGAGAGCCCTTTTGCGGTGAGAATTGGATAAATTCGTGAGCCGAATAAGGACCAGCAAGGAAATTCAAGGCGCTAATCGTCGCAGGCGCACTAAAACCCTGGGTGTAGTTATAACCCCAGTCAGACGGCTGGCTACCCGGAATATCCACCTGTGGCTTCCAAGGAGAATTGGTGAGGCCCGGGTAATCATGTGGGCCTAATTGTTTGTGAGCTGGGACTGAAGGCGGTGATTCAGCGACGCTGAATGGTCGAGAAAAAGATTGCGTCGCCGGAGTGTGTTGTCTATCGCGCCGAGAAACAACTTTCGGAATGCGACCCACAGAAGCGAGTCGTCTAGGTCGGCGCTCTTCAGGGCTACTTTCAGGATCCAGATCCATCATATTGCGGTTGAACATTGCAGTCTTTGGAGAAGAACGTCCATCTTTCTCAAACTCGCCATGCAATTTCGGTGGGGAAGGTAGTAAGACGGATGGCTGTCTTTTCCTGATATTCAGGCTTGCTGGTATCTCTACCGCTGGTACAAAAATCTCCTCTTCTGTAGGTGGAGAGTGCTCGATGTTATTGATTATGTCGTCAAGCTCGTCAGAATCGGCATCCACTAGTGCATAGTGGGCAACAGGTCGAGTTTTCACGACTGGTGAGATCGCTGCATGAAGCTGGGCAGTGTGAGAAGCGGGGGCGGGCTCAGGAGCAGGGACTTTAGGCGGCTCAGGGCGGTTTCTTTGGAATAGATTCCACCGAGAGTTTTTCCCTTTCTTATTAACTTCTTGGCCCCCTTTCGTTGCTGCTGGTTGCTGCTGGTTGTATGAGCCGGCAGTGCTCTTGGGAATCTGGACAGGAACAGTTGTTGATACAGCACTCGAGAGAGATGTTTGAGTCTGGGCCGCTTCTGAGTATCCATATATCCCATGCTTCTTTCCTTTGGGTACTGGCATACGTGACTTCGACGGCTGGGGACGTTCGACAGACTCTGATTTCCTTTCTGAACTCTGGCTCCGAGTCGATGCCAAGGTAGTGCTCGATGCAGTAGGCAGCTTCACCTCATTTAGAATATCTGTCGATGTTGTCACCAAAGAATCGGTGGATTGAACAGTAGATACTGTGAGAGGGGTCGGACGATGCAGGCTTGATGATGCAACACTAAGGCTGCTCATGCTCTGTTCGCTTTGGGTCCGCGAAAGAGTCAAGCCGCCACCGCTAATTATCACAGGCTCAAGACGACTTGAGAGGAAATCATCGAGTTCCAGATCCGGGCGACTTGACATACTTCCCTTGCTGCTAGCAATTGATTGCGATGCGCTTCGGGTTGTACTCGTTGATCGCGTCCTGACACCAGTGCTACTGCTTGCACTCGCTTTCCTCCCGCGCTGGCTGTATTTCCCGTATCCTTCGTGACCAGTTCCTGCTACTGGACCCTTGCGTCCTGGTGGTCGATTGTGTTCACCAGTGTTGCTTTCCATTTCTGGTTTAGACTTCTTGGGGAAAATGCCAAATCGCTTGGTTGTGACGGGCTTTTTCGGCTCGGTATTCTCCTTGGTAGGTGCTTTGGGAGGATCCTTGACCAACTTAGGTGACTTACGAGCCATCACCGGGGGCCCTGTGTCGCGCGATGGAATTCGAGATATGTCCTTCGATCGGAAAGAGTCCACCGAAGTAGCAGCAGATGAATTTGCAGTTGGGAACGGCTGAGCCGCGGTAAGAGCTCTTTCCATAGATTCGCGTCTCTTGTGACCCGTTGTCTTGAGGTATTGTAAATTGCTTTGTATCACTGGTGAGGTCTCCAGATTTAAACAATGAGTGCCATCTCTGCTTGGTCGTGGTGGTGTCTTTGGCACACTAGCCTCGGGACTGGCGACATTGACAATCCTTCTTTTATGCGCGTTGAACAGTTCTCGTTCGGCTTCCTCAACTTCCTTTCTGGCCTTCTCCACGTCGATATCAGAGTCCTTGGGCGGAGAGTCCTTCGGACTAAAGTTCACGGACGATTTTCTTGGCGGTGGGCTGTGGGGAGGACCTGGGGTCTTTGTAGGAACAGGCTTAGGCATTTGTTTCTGTGCGGTGGATGCCACTGGACTTGGGCCTAGAGACCGTTGAGGAAGTGCTGTTCGATGTGTTTTGGGCTCTCGTCGATCACTTTGTGCACTTTGAGGACTTGCATTAGAGGATGACGGCGAGAACAATGGCAGTCTAGTGTGGGATGGGCTGGGCTGTCTTAAACGTCCAACTTTGCTTGTGTGCATAAGCCCCGGAGAGTATGAGGATAATGAGGTCGGTGTCGAACCGCGACTCCACATGCCCGGGGACTCGGAGTATCTTGTTGAGGGGCTGCTTGCGGATGGAAATGAATGCATGGGGGGAAGGTTCTGAGTGTTGACTGTACGAAGGCTAGCCAGTTCTGCTGGTCCACTCTTGGGAATTTCCATGGCACTTTTGGGCGTCTTGTCACTGGAACTCTGCGAAGACGCCGATGCCGAGGGTCCAGCAAAGTATGCATCTGGGGTGGAACGTAACCTAGGGTCCTTCATCTCGTTAGGCTGGCTTCCTTGCGGAATCACCAGGCTGAGCTTTTGGGATTGATTCTGCTCCACATGCTTTCCTATCACTGGCGCCTTTCTGCGCAGGACATTTCGGATCCTTTTAGTCGGTGGCGTTTGTGCCTGGTAAATGGGCACAGGTGGAAGAAATGCAGACGGGCTTGTAATGTCTGGAGTGGATACAGAGGATGGAATAGGCTGAATTGGGGTTTGGGGCGATGGCGTCGATGATGGAGGGCTTGGAAATGTCAGACCGCCCGTGCTGGGCCGCGGTAGCAGTGATAGTCGTTTAGAACGGTTGTTAGGCTGTACCGGTGCAGGGATTTGCCTAGTTCCTTCCGCACTGGAGAAAGATAATGCGCGGCTTCGAGGATTGACTGGCCTTGCCAGTAAAGATCTTTGGAATCGAGATGCGTTAGGAATGCCAGAGTTGGACGGCGGATGTGATGATTCTGCAGACGATGCCTTCGGCGGCATACGTCCAGAATCGTACGACATGGTGTGACTGTGATTGGAGTCTCCAGTTCCCATGTTGAGACAAGTAATCAAGTAGGTACATACGCATCGATATCGTAATCATCACGCTAGTGTAGGGTATGTCGATGGCACTAGATGTATGCATGAGCTCCATAGATCTGGTATGGGGGACAACATAGTATTTGACAAAGGTCCAAGACTATTGACGTTATTGACGTACAAAAATCCAAGTCATTACTTTCATGTACAGGTCTCCAGGACTCTGGGCGTATTAATAGCGGAGAATAGAGATCGCAGAGTGGGAATCTCAAAGCCAACAAACAAATTATAAAGATGCAACTAAGAATGCAATTAGAATCATTAAAGAGCCCGACAGATGTCAGATAAAAGGTTGAAATTCACCGACTTTGTTCTGATCGGCGGAGCTGCAGCTGCTTCGCCACAGCCAGCAATGTGGCACGGGATTTTCAAGCCTCGGCCACGTCAGAGGTAAATCCATAGGAGCCTAAAATAGGTAGGACTTTGATTTTCTGCCATAGAATAAGGCTCTAGGAATAAGACTCTAGGAGAGTAAGAGGAGAAAGAGTTTTCGAGATGTACTCCCGTCGCGGTTTTGTATTGCTGACTCGGGTGTTTCTGCCCGTTGTGGGGAAAATCAAAAAATACTCTTCCACATATAGAATGCTGAAAATGGTATAGGCATTTTCCAGTACACATTACGAAGCCTTCATTGGTGCACAAAAGGTACGTGATGAGTCGAGACTTGCGCTACGTGCTAGACCTGTAGGAAGCAAATCCTGAGCCGGATCGTGCAAGTCTGAAGCAACGGCCCCAAAAGCCCTCCGCTACAAACTTAATCCTATCACCGTAACAAGATTGTGCGCACGCTCGCATGGAGAAGGCCCACTCGAGACCTTCCCCGGCTAGAATCCACTATCGTTGGTCGACGGATATGTACTAGGCAGGGTTTCGGGGAAAGGCTATCAGCGGCATACAGTAGTTCGACATTGGTTGCGACAGTGGCGGGATTTGGGTGGCATGTTGGAATATCCCAATACTTGTGGTTCGCACGTTCAATTCAAGATTTACTGACATTCAAGCTGAGCATAAGAATCATGGCAAAGCTTCTTACTCGAACTGTCCTGTCAGGGACCAGAGTATGTTCACCGCGTTTGCGTCGCCTCATTGACAACTCATCGATCGGGGACGCCGAACCCGATCTTACTGCACGGCGATCCATCCCTATTTACTTTGGTTTTTGCTTTTTGTCTGTGTGCTTATTGTTCAGCGCACAGTCCTACTTTCTTTAATTTTTACTCCAGGACTCGGAGAATTTCCAAACGTGGTCGCTAGGGGGTCCTGCAAGACCGGTACTGGTTGCAGCAGAATCTGCTATTCGTCAATGAGACCTGTCCTCTTACCTTGGGGTGAACGTAGTTACATGATAACATTTCACATCAGATTATGATAAGCCAAATATCCATTTCAAATCGAATGTCTCGATCTTGACTAATCTATAAACCGTTATCCAGAGTCTGGTACGAATGGCCCGACCCGAGCCCTTGACCAGGGAACGAGACACCCCTGACTCCCAAAAATAAGAGATTAGTGGGGGTCGTATTCACTTTTCCTTATGAAATATAACCATGGATGTTGGGATGTTCATTAACCAGTGGCATACAACATACGATTTCAAGGCCTAGCCTAGCTGGGACCGCTGCAGCGGGCTGGCCTAGTGGGCTGTGATGCTCCACCGGGAAATCCAGCAATGAACGCTTCTAACTGCGCTGATTGACGTAGCTAACCGCCCTATATTCTTGGCCCCAGCAGCCACCATCGAACAAAAAGTCGTTGGTGGCCTCGGATTCGCTGGACTCGCTTTCCATCCATGTGGGGCCCGGCGGTAAACATAGTACTGGCTAGGCTTACGGGAAATGAGCCAGGGTCTTTGCGTAGGTACTGGTGCCGAGTTACGAGCGTAGCCGTACTTATGCGTGGGAATTTTCTAGACTTGCCCTCTTGAGCTCGGGAGTTTTTCTGTCTGTGGGTTCGTCGATCCCGAACGCCGATCTGGAGGGGTCAATCCGCCTTGGGGCGTGTGGGCGTAAGTGGCCAGCTGCGATGCTGCAGGAACCGGAGGCTAATGCACTTTTCAGCTGACTTCGCACATGGGGACTGGTGCTCGGTGCTTTGCACTTTTCGAGGAATTACAAATTGCAAATTGCAGATTGCCAGATGATATGATGTGATGATCAGAGATAAGTAATGGCAGTGGTAAGATTGAGTTCAATTCGTTCACATAACATTTATTGAACCATTGAATTGCATAGTATCTTGGTACAAACGCCCCGTAAAGACCTGAAATATGTAGACACAAAGAGAAAAGGAAAAATGGTGGAAATATCTGACGTTAATGACAAGGAGGAAAGACTCAAGCATCAAAAATGCTTAGAATGTTCAAGCCGCAGTCGCAAACCGCTTCTTGCGCGCCTCCGCAGCCAGTTTATCCTTATCATTGTGGTTCTTCTGTCCACTTGAAGCGCTAGCTCCATTGTTTCCTCCATTGTTTCCACCGCGGCGGTTGCGGTTGCGACCGTGGTCGCGACGTTTACCACCTCGGCCACCTTGACCACCCTGACCACCCTGACCACCTTGACCACCCTGGCCACTCTGCTCAGTGCGTGCCCGCTTGCGCGACTTCTCATCAGGGAGAGCTTGATCGAGGCCCTTCACACTAGCACTAGCAGCGCTGTCACCTTCGGTGGCAGTACCGAAGCGCTTCGCGCGTGCGAGCGACTTCTCAGCCTCCTTCAATGCAGTCTCTGTATCCTCAATGATGCCAAATTTCTCGGCACGGGCCTTGCGCTTGCGCAACTCCTCCTCTAGTTCCGTTGCAGGCAGACCACGAGTGTAATCAACTGCAGGCTTCTTCTCGGTCTCTGCGACGGGTTCTGCGGCAGCAGGTGCGGGCTCGCCGACGGATTCCACCTTCAGGTCGTCGGTGGCAGCGGGATCAGTGTCGAGTTTCTGGTTAGGAACGGCAACAGGGTTGGCGACAGCGCCCTTGCCGCCAGCAGCAATGGCGTTAGCACCTGCCTCCGTGGCAGGCTTCTCGGTTACAGTGGTCTCAGCGGGCACATCGTCGTCCCAGTCGATAACATCCTCTGCAGCGTCGGTCTTCGAGGCTGCGGCGGGAGCTGCGGCGGGAGCTCCAGCCGTCTTCTCGTCGTCCTCCTGAATACGGGCAACCAGCTCAGCCTTTTTCCCAGTGTGTGGCAGGGAGCGGGCTTTGAGGACCTCCACAAGCTCGGCGTTGGTCTTCTTGCTGTAGTCGGTGGCCATTTTCGGTGATTGGTTTGATAGAGGTGGAATGTGATGGGGGTTTGGGTCTGGTAGGAGAATTGGCTCGGAGGGGTGAGAAATTGATGTGCGTGGTATCAATACTGGTTCGCGATCATAATGCGACAAAAAAGCTGGTCGAGAGGAAATGAAATTGGAGTGAATGTACAGCTGGGGATGACAGATGGGGACGCGAGCAGTCGCGTCGTTGGGGTTCCAGTCATGTGACTGTCGCCTTTCACCCCCGTAATCAACGATAATATCCATTCAGTCGCTCACTTCCAAGGGTTTCTAAGTATAGAAATATTTACCGAATGCTGTTGCTTTCTATTTCAATTGTTCAAATTCACCTATTCGAATGATTGTTTATTTTATCAAGCCCTGTAAATGGCAATGTCAAGCAACTGAGGTGACAACTCATACCCAAAATCATCCATGCATCCTTCGGCCACTCCGAGTGGAGAGAAGCATTATCAATATGTCTGCATTATAGAGTAAGGTTTTTTTTTTACGTCTATATGAGGCAAAACTCATGTAAAAGCGCCACTGCCAACTCGAAATTCTCCGTACAATAGATCAGTGTACCGCCACTTGAACAGGGAACTGAACTGTAGCTTGATCTGCTTGAAAAGTCTGCAACGTCCGTGCGACTTGTCATAATATGACAGCTGTACAAAGTTCCAAGACTGGAAGGTTCTTACGGCCATAAAGTATGACGGAATAAATGCCCGGTTTACGAACGGTTGGGTCATAATATTCACTGCGCCACACTCGAACCCGTTGTCCTGCGCCACCCTGATTCCTGAGGCACCCAATCTGGCTCTAGACGCTTGACCCAAAACGGCAATATGAGTTGTCCATTGAATACCTATCAAGCATAGTAGTGTACCCCCCAATACTCTGTTTCTTTGACTTCAAGTATTCTACTTCCAAGCATTTACAGTCTAGCGACTGCTTCTAAAGTCGAGTGAATCACTCGGCGGGAAAAATTGATCATGTTGATACAAGTAAAGCGTCAGGTTTTGGACTACCGTGGCATTTGGACATGCTGCAAACATAGACAGGCATATAAGTTGATGTCTTTCTAGACACCATATCTTGCAAATAATAACTCACATGCGGTATATCTGAGTAAGGTTTGACGGGGGATGGAAATTATAAATCCTTCAAATACTTGAAATGGGGAATAAAACATGGATATCATATGAATCTGCCTTAGACTGCAGAGCAAATCACCCAAAGAACCAGTATTCCGCTGCATACTGTACTTCGACCGTCTCATTCAATCCAGCACAGGTTGAAGGTGCAGATCCCTGGTATGTATTGACACGGTAAACTTTCTGTGTCGCAGTTAGCATATAACAACTTATCATCTTGACGAAGTATGTGTCTCACCTCAATGCCGCTTCCAGAGCAGTTTCCAAGTTCACGATCGAGTTCTAGCCAAGCAACGTTCTGGCATGTCGAATTGTTGATTTGGGGTGCATCCACAGATGCATTCTTTGTGGCGACCACCCAGTCGTGAGAGCCACTCAGCCTCAGGTCAAGTACAGGATATCCTGCGGCGTTGAAGTAATGCTCCCCGAGGATGAGGTCAGAGGAATTTGTGGTATGGCTCAAGAGCTGTGCTAGAAACGCAAGCGATCCAGTCGGTGTCTCTCCGATAACAGCAGGCATCTCGTGCAACAAAGTCAAAGATTTCGATGCAATGCAAGAGGCATCAAAAAGAGTGGCTGCTGCACCAACAGATACGGGTGCCGCGGAGGATGTAGAGTTTTCGCAGGTATAGTTCTGAGTTCCTCGGCCAATAGCAACGTATTTGAGATTCAACCCGGTTGAAGGCTGAGGAAGCTTGATTGCCGTACCATTTAGCGGGAGAATCGCACTCGAGAGGGAGCAATTCCCTAGACTAATGTGGTCGAGCTCGTTTGAAATTCGAGAGAACGTGGCTGCTAGCCTCAAAGGGCCAGGAAGTGAAGAGACGCCAGCTACTCGTAGTGTCAGGACCAGGATAAGAGTCTGAAGGATGTTCATTGTGGTGAGGATTGTTTGGATAGTAGTATTTGATTTCGATGGTGCGTTTTGAGGAACTCAAAGTTGGTCAACAAAGCGAAGAAAGAATGATACTCTGTGGGTGACGAGGGAAGACAGAGTGAAAGACAGGGGAGAGGAGATGCTCATTCAATAAGGAGAACTCTCTCTGTATCCTGGATGAAACAAAGAAAGAGACAAAGTCTCAAATTTTAGAGATTTAAGACTATTATCAGGCTGACAAGGTAACTCACGGAAGTCTATATTCACTCCCATGACCGTGGCTTGGTTTACCAATCTGCCTCGCCGGGCATTTAATTAAACTTATCTGGCTTGCATCAAGAGGTTCCGTCCCAATTTCTACGCGCTGATAAACCGGGGGGTGGCTCGGAGCTAAGATCCGAGGTGCTAAAATTGGCCTCTTTGTTGGCTGTTGGGGACCCTTGCAACGAATGAAAAGCTTAGCAATCCTATTAAATAGATTCAGACTAGATAGTCACAAATATAGTACCTAGTTCTTAGCGGTCAGACCGTTTCCTAGTTCAATGCAACCATATCGCCCGGCCAAGCATACATTGCGTCCCCACTTTAGGGCTACACTAGCCGCCAAGGTGCATCGATGAGATTCAAAGCCTGAAGAGAAAGCCAGGTTGTGAGCCCGAGCAAGAGCCAAGATAATCCTGCCAAACTTTTCCAAGTCTATGGTAATACAAGTTGGAAAATGGCGTTTATGCCTTACCGATACATTCAAATGACGCTCCACCCTGATCAGGTACATACGTCTGTCCCATGATGATAGTTCTTGCTTGTATGCCCGGCCAGAAGAAGTCAATTCACTGCGGGTCATTCCTTAGGCTAATTGTCTTCATATCTGAAGCTCTATCAATGTGCAAGCTGCATAATTTCATCCCCAGACTAGTAATTCTCCACTCAGTGATACATCAAGTGTGTGACATAAATAGTCTGTAAGCGCCCTCGGAACGCCACAAGCATCCAGATGACACCTAGACAACCATTCTGCAGCACCAACAGAGCATGTAAAGTCAAACTGAAATTTTTGGAAATCCTTGCTTCATCTCAATATCATGAAATTTCAAGGTCTTCCACCCGCAAATACCTTTTCAATTGTTGAATAGAGCAACTCTTAAAAACCGCCAACATGTAGATCAAGATGAGTCATCCAAAGCTATCATATCACGTGATATTATCATTTAGTCATCCACTGCCGCGCTTGACCAGGCGACGTGCAAAAAGCACGTCGCGGATCATCAGTCACTCAGCTTCAACCCATCATCGATGCTGCCGTGTTAACGGTGCCTACTCCGAATGCAAATGCGGTGACTTATTTTACTACCTTTTGCGCGATAATATACTCATCCGTACACCAAATCTTTCACCATGTCTGACGGTAAGTTTTCTGCGCCCGCCCATCTCAACTGCTCAGTACTGATCCCCACCTCAGCCGATCTTGAAGCCGTCCGTCGGCTCCAAGCGGAGCGCAATGCTGCTGCCGCGGGCAAGAAAGGTTCTAGGACCTTTGATTCGTCTAGCCAGCGAACTGACAATTCGACCAAGGCCTCCCTTACCGAATCCTTTGATACCACTTTATACGAGCGGGACGGAGCAGACAGGTTCTCAGGCTACGATACCTCTATTGCCGTGAATGGCGACGATGAAGAAATGGAAGACGTGAACGGAGGCCACAACTTGGTTGGCCAATACACCGCAACCCGAAGTCAGATTGATGAGATGGCTCACGGCAATGGAGTCGAGGAGGAAGATATCATGCTGGGCCGTGAGAAGGCTGCGCGAATCGCTGACCGGGAGACTGACTATCAAAAGCGTCGATTCGACCGAGGCACACTGACCCCGACCCGCGCGGATCCTTTCGCTGCCAACAACCAAGCGAATGCCGAGGGGGATGGACAGACCTACCGTGAGGTCATGGCTCTTCGCGAGCTCGAAAAGGAAGAAGAGCGAGTCCAAAAGCTGCTTGCAGAGAAGCGGGAGCGTGGAGAAGATGTCTCTGAGCACCAGGCTTCTCTCAAGATGGTCGAAGGCGATAATGAGAAGACCGAGGCCGGTGCAGCTGGTGAAGCTGCCGGTAGAAAGCGCAAGAAGCGTTGGGACGTGGCATCCGAGCCCAATGGCGATGGACAAGCTGAGGAATCTGCCGAAGCGAAGAGCAAGAGATCTCGGTGGGACCAAACCCCTGCCCCCGGTGCGTCGGAGGAAGCGCCCAAGCGCCGCTCACGATGGGATCAGGCGCCCTCTCTTACCGATGCCACTCCTGTTGGCAACCAGGGACTTGCTACTCCCATGCATCCTTCCCAAGGCGGTGCTTTGCAACCAACTAGCTTTGGCACGGATCTCTCTGGTCGGAACGTCTCATGGTCGGACGAAGAACTTGACATGATGCTGCCCACAGAGGGTTACAAGATCTTGGACCCACCCCCCGGATATGAGCCGATTAGAAACCCCGCCCGCAAAATGATGGCCACACCAGCACCTATGGCTGGCACCGTTGGTGGATTCATGATGCAAGAGCCTGAGAGTGTTCGCTCTATGGGCAAAGAGCTTCCGACCGATATCCCTGGCGTGGGTGATCTGCAGTTCTTCAAGCCGGAAGACATGGCCTACTTCGGCAAGCTTATGGAGGCTGGAGATGACAGCTCCATGAGTGTGGAGGAATTGAAGGAAAGAAAGATCATGCGATTGCTGCTTAAAGTCAAGAACGGTACACCACCCATGCGAAAGACTGCGCTGCGTCAACTTACAGACAATGCTCGGAACTTTGGTGCGGGTGCCTTGTTTAACCAGATCCTTCCGTTGCTGATGGAGAAGTCATTGGAGGACCAGGAACGTCACTTGCTCGTCAAGGTTATTGATCGAGTGCTCTACAAGCTAGATGATTTGGTCCGACCTTATGTCCATAAGATTCTTGTCGTCATTGAGCCATTGCTTATTGATCAAGACTACTATGCTCGTGTTGAGGGTCGGGAAATTATCTCCAACCTTGCTAAGGCTGCTGGTCTTGCCACTATGATCAGTACTATGCGTCCCGATATCGATCACGTCGATGAGTACGTACGAAACACTACCGCACGTGCCTTCGCCGTTGTGGCTTCTGCCCTTGGTATCCCCGCGCTGCTCCCATTCCTTCGCGCCGTCTGTCGCAGCAAGAAATCCTGGCAGGCCAGGCACACTGGTGTGAAGATTGTCCAACAAATTCCCATCCTGATGGGCTGCGCAATTTTACCCCACTTGAAGGGCCTTGTCGATTGTATTTCGGACAACCTTAGCGATGAACAAGCCAAGGTTAGAACAGTCACCGCGTTGGCTGTTGCTGCGTTGGCCGAAGCCGCGAACCCTTACGGTATCGAAAGCTTTGACGAGATCTTGAACCCTCTCTGGACTGGCGCGCGCAAGCAGCGTGGTAAGGGTTTGGCCGCCTTCCTCAAAGCGGTTGGTTACATTATTCCCTTGATGGATGAAGAATACAGTAACTACTATTGTTCTCAAATCATGGAGATTCTTATCCGCGAGTTCTCATCGCCTGACGAAGAAATGAAAAAGGTGGTTCTGAAGGTGGTATCACAGTGCGCTAGCACGGATGGTGTCACTGCCGGATACCTTAAGGAACACGTCTTGACCGACTTCTTTAAGAGTTTCTGGGTGAGACGTATGGCCCTCGACCGCCGGAACTATCGTCAGGTGGTGGACACCACTGTCGATCTGGGCCAGAAGGTCGGCGTCGGCGAGATCTTAGAGCGGGTTGTCAACAACCTCAAGGATGAGAGCGAGCCTTACCGCAAAATGGCCGTGGAGACTATTGAGAAGCTAATTGCCTCCTTGGGCGCTGCAGACATTTCCGAGCGATTAGAGGAGAGACTCATTGATGGTGTTCTGTATTCGTTCCAGGAGCAGAGCATCGAGGACATTGTTATCTTGAACGGATTTGGCACAGTGGTAAATGCCCTTGGCACCCGTTGCAAGCCATATCTTCCCCAGATTGTCAGTACCATTCTCTGGCGACTAAACAACAAATCTGCCACCGTCCGACAGCAGGCAGCCGATCTCATTTCGCGCGTCGCGATGGTTATGAAGCAGTGTGGCGAGGATGCGCTCATGGGCAAGCTCGGTATTGTTCTCTACGAATATCTAGGTGAAGAATACCCTGAGGTTCTGGGCTCTATCCTAGGTGCCTTGCGGTCCATTGTCACTGTGGTCGGTATCAATCAGATGCAACCTCCAATTCGTGACCTCCTGCCTCGCTTGACCCCGATTCTTCGTAACCGTCACGAGAAGGTGCAAGAGAACACCATCGACCTGGTGGGTCGTATTGCCGACCGTGGCCCCGAGTCCGTTAATGCTCGTGAATGGATGCGAATTTGCTTCGAGCTGCTGGATATGCTCAAGGCCCACAAGAAGGGCATTCGTCGTGCAGCCAACAACACCTTCGGTTTCATTGCTAAGGCCATTGGTCCCCAGGATGTCCTGGCTACCCTCCTGAACAACCTTCGAGTGCAGGAGCGTCAGTCCCGTGTCTGTACCGCTGTCGCTATTGGTATCGTTGCCGAAACCTGTGCACCCTTCACTGTGCTTCCCGCTCTGATGAACGAGTACCGGGTTCCTGAATTGAACGTGCAGAATGGTGTTCTCAAGGCCATGTCTTTCCTATTCGAGTACATTGGTGAGATGGCCAAGGACTATGTCTACGCTGTCACTCCCTTGCTCGAGGATGCCCTCGTTGATCGTGATCAGGTTCACCGACAAACGGCGGCCAGCGTGGTCAAGCATATTGCGCTGGGTGTCGTTGGACTTGGTTGTGAGGATGCTATGGTCCATTTGCTCAACCTCGTCTTCCCCAACATCTTTGAGACGAGCCCTCACGTTATTGACCGCATCATCGAAGCCATCGATGCGATTCGCATGGCAGTTGGTGCTGGTACCGTCATGAACTATGTCTGGGCTGGCTTATTCCATCCCGCTCGCAAGGTGCGCGTACCATACTGGCGGTTATACAACGATGCATATGTGCAGGCCGCCGATGCGATGGTCCCGTACTATCCCAATGTGGAGGATGATGGCATGGATCGACCAGAATTGTTTATCATCGTCTAAGGACGATTTTGTAATTGACCAATTTCCTTTGCTTCTCTTTGCATAACTATTCCAAGGCTTTCTTTTAAGGAGCTTTATGTTTGCCAGCCGGTGTCTTTTTATTGGTTTTTTTTTTCTTTTTGCGGAACGATCGGACGTTCGGCGTGATGCTGTATATCAAGATGTAAAAGTCACTAGGAATTTGATTCATGAATGATCAGCGGGTTCGATTTAATATGTATTCAATGTTTTAATGCTAGGTGCCTAGGTGAGTACGTATAGATAGAAAGAACACCTTCGGGACCTTGGACTTCAGAAGTATTGGAGACTATATCCATGGATGCGCAGGTATAGGCAAGGATATATACCTAGGTAATCTAGGCTGCATTCTAAGACAGTTTAGTTCAGTCAGCTGGGCAGCTATATATACGATCCAAAGTCTAGAGATTGCAATGGTCGCACTTGGGATGCAATTCTTCATGTCAGAATATCGCTAAATGAATAAAAATTGTTTGAATAGAGCACAAAAAGCCACCAATTTCGAGAGGTGATTTCAATATATCGATCGAGATAACAATCTTCAAGTCGATCTAGTTCGCCCTAGAGTCGATCGCTCCCGCCAGACCCTGGAACAATCGACGGCCAAGCATGACAAGGCAAACATTGGGCAGTGATCGCTCGTTTGACACGAAAATCACTGTCAATCCTGACTATCTTCTCCCTGTCCGGGGTCAGCCCTGGGGGGTTCGACCTGCAGAGCAGCCATTTTGGTGGCTGCACCAGGATCTCGGGATTCTGGGATATACCAACTCCAACTCCAACTAGAAAAGCTACCTGTACGCTACGGGTACAATCTATTCACTCATACCCGGCCGAGAAGGCAGACACATTTTCTCCAGGATCTGAAGGGGGCCCCCTATCTTCCATTTCTCCGAACAAGAAAAGAACACATTTGCCACCAGAGGATTTTATCGCAAAAATAGAAAAACAACGCAATCGTAGGAGGGGGGGGACGCCCGTATCAGAAATCAATATGCTCCAGTTTTATTTTCCTTGGAATTATAATTTTCATTCGATGAATTTTATTTATTTTTTATTTTTTTATTCTTTGGCAGGAGTTTGGGTTTACCCACTAAATCCAGTGCCGCATACTTGGAGGGGAAGTGGGATCAATTGAAAGGGTGCCAAGATGCACCAAATGCCTAAGCTTGCCGTGGGGAGACTTGGCGCATGAAAAGCCGCGTAAGCTCTCCATCGGACGTCAGGCGTGCCCTGTGGGGACATGCGCGAAAATTCATGGACGAGCGAACCAGCCAATAGGCAGGGCCTCAGACCCTGAAGTGGCTTACAATGATGAGAATATAAGATTAATGATTCTGATTTACCATAGTTCAATGTTAGTTTCAAGGTTATTGCTTTACTTTAGTATAGTAAGGTATAGTGTAGACCTTGTCTTAGTATGCAGGGATTTTCATTGCCCTGCATATACTTTGTACATTAATCATTGATCTATGAAAAATCATCTTGGACCCGGGAGATATACTTACTGCAAAGTTTCGAAGGAAATCAGATCCAAGTAGCCCCGAAATGATCAAAATGATCGATACAAAAAAAAACATTGGAAAAAAAAAAGAAAAAGGAAAAAGAGATTCCATCCCGTGTCTCCGGTATCAGAATATGTCGCTGGACACTTCCACACAGCCTCCCCCTGAATTCATCCAAACAACTCCCAATCATAGCTCCCTCCCTGCACCGGGGAATGGAGAGGATACGCTGTATGGAGTATACTTTGGTACCACAGTCTCCATCTCTACACACAGACCCTGAGATAAGGGGGCAATAAAAAAAAAGAAAACATATGCCTGTCACACAACACATTGGGTCTCCCAAGTGCCCCTCTCATGGCCCCCCATCCCCCCCCCTTTTTACGTGGCTTTAATTTTTTGGCGGTAGATTTTCAGGGTCTACAGTCCCATTCGGGGAGCACGCTGGGGATCAAGCTTTAGAGTTTGGGTTTATTTGACTTTTAATTATTTTACACGGAGTTTGCAGATTCGATATGGATACCTACATACAGAGCTTTCTTTCATTGCCCTGTCATTTTGGATGGTGGCGCCGCACACGGCTGGGAGGTGGCTTTTTTAAAATTGCGTGAACCGAACTGCTCCATCATATTCAGACCACTTGGCTACTTGGACCATGGATCCGAATGGAGGGTTCGCGTTGAAATTTGCCTTCTGTTTACCGAGATCGTGGGGGTGTATGTAGGATGAACGCCGACGGCGTCTTGGGCCCCCACCTCGTATATCGTATACTGCTTCTTTAGACGTTGAGGAAAATATCTGTATGATATCTCATCAAGTACGGGATTTACTTTGCATTGTTCATGATGGTTTGGACATTTACGCAGTTCTAAGCAAGGTCTTTGTATACGTGTATATCGTACGGGTGTGCCTGTCAAGTATGCGAGATACCGCGGATTCATGTGAGAGGCTCCGAAAGGTTAAGAAGAGCTTCAAGGCCAATCAGAGTCAAGCAAAATACCAAATTGCGCAAGTAGACAGGGATCAGGGGTGGAAGGCGACGCATTGACTGGCTATGAGAGTCAATGCTTCCATCCCCGGGATACCGTTTACGAGTCCGCCGGGAATTGCTGTAGAATAGTATAAAGAAATATTCAAGTCAGACATCGTGACCGGGCCAACTACTGTAAACATGTCTTGATACAACATAGAGTGATAATTTTTGTTGCAAGGGACGTGAGACCCTGCATCAATTCTTCCATGACGGGCGGCACAGCCAGTATGGGCGGCGAGGGGGCGTCATAGTCTAGTGGACAACGTACTCCTTCGCTCGCTCCCACTATTTTAGTGAGTCCGAATATGTCATCCTTCAGCTGGTCCTTTTCAAGACGCGGCTCGTGTGCATCCACTGGTAATACAGTATACATGTGTTGTAGCCCCCAAACGGGACAACAAATGACGCGGGCCAAGAGAGATACGATCCGTCTCCTGCAAGTCCGTCTGTGCTAGGGGTAGCTTGATCCTGATCCTGTGTAAGGGTTTTAAAGCTAGATGCAGAGAATATGCGATATTGGTTATGGAAGGGGTGGGTGACACAGTGCCCACGTTGTGTAGGTTGTACAACGCACACCGTAAGTTTTGGGGTTGAATATTGATCTGCTTGGTCCAAATGCGATCGGAAACATCAACATCGTCCAGTCGGAACCGACTCTGTAAACTTAGATGGAAGGGGTCAGTTCGATAACCACTTCTGTATACTTACATGATACCTGTAGATATGCCCCATGCCCAACTCAGAGCTGGATATTGTATTATAAAAACGCAAGATGACATCGCGGGCGTACGCCGACGTTATCCGTAGTCCTTTGAACGCAAAGCTTACCCGTACGTAATGGTCGGGTCGTGAAATTGTCCCCTGAAGCTTACCTGCCAGATGTAGGTAGTTCATTCGGGGAACCGTTCCTGAACTCGGGACGAGGTGGAAATTGAATAGGGCATGTTACTTGAAATAGTTAGCTAAGGCGGTACTCAAGTCGACCACTGCGATCTCGAACGGTTGGGGGGGACAGGCCTCGGGCAAGAGCCAATCAAAATATAGAAAAATCCGATAGAGCCAAATCCGGGAGGAAGTGGCCGGCTCGGATCCACTTAAGATGCGGGCGTTTCAGAGTGTGATTAGCGTTGACCCTGAGAGTGGCAGTGTTCTTAGTGTGAAATGTGGGTCTCGACAGGATCGCACGCAGGGATCATGTTCCTAGGGGACCAGTGATCCCCGCAAAGCCCGTTGTGTTAGTCGCCTATCACGTCATTGGCGTCAAGCCACTTTGCCCTTTTCCCCTCCTTCACATCTTCTTACATGTATGGAGTACCGTGACAGGATTTTCACATTGTGCATACTTGAAATATGCGTTATAAAAGCCTAAATTTAAAATAGAACATCATCAACCAAGGAAATCACTCACGAACCACGAGTTTCTCCCAAAAATCAGGTACTGACGACCGGTTCATGGGGGTTTTGGCTTTTTCCCGGTTTCAATGGGATTTGTTGTGGAGGGTACAACAATGTTTCCCATACCACGTTAACCAAGACAACGCTGCACGGGACGAGCACGCGTCAGCTTTCAGTGGAGACACGACTGATATTCCACCCCAATTGGTCGATCCTGCAGTGCCAAGCTCGGCTATCGACTATCTGCCGTCCTGTGGATCACACTTGTCCAAATCCGGCATTACGTTGACACTGGTTCGAGGACTCTGCACAAACACAAGAATGTGGATGTGGTGGATCTGGTCTTCCCGGTACCATAAGTCCATAATCCACCCCCAAGTTAAACTATACGGATTAACCCCTCCTCCGGGTGGATCTTTTGGGGGGGGCTTCCGGTATCGGGTGTGGATTAGAAGGAAAGGGGAGAGAGTGTGATCCAATCACGGCTTGAAGAAACAGCCATCTGTTCGAGTCGTCATATCCTGTTTTTCGGTTTCGATTTTTTATTTTCCTTTCTTTGAAGTGTGGATGCCCTGCCCAACTTTACCCTTTTGCCAATTTAGCCGGTATGGCCGCGCACCCGCGCCAGACCTTCCTCCATTTCATTAGTGGAGATGAATCTCGGACTTCCTGGATCAGCTGGAAAAATGTGGCTCCAGTGCATGTTTCATGGTTGCTTTTCTATGTATAGAAACAGTCGATTTGATCTGATGCAGATGACGAAGCAGACTTAATTATCAATATATTAAACAAAGCATTAGCTTGTACTCCATAAAAACTGCAACATCGGTCCGTCAAATAAGTCCGAATGGTGCACATGAGAAATTCGGAAACTCGGATTTAGAGGACAATCTCTTTGACGATCTGCCGTGTGGACACCGCCAAGATCGGAGCCCCGTGCAGATGACAGCCCTGAGAGAGAATGCGACCTAGGTTCCCCCACTAGTAAAGCCTCCAGGTTACATATCGACACGTCGGGTGACTAGAACTTATGCATGGTGATAAGAAAACCTTATATGAATCTTTTCTACGCATCAGATTGATTGCCCCGTTTCGTGTATGCAAATAAATACTGTAGATGAGGGAAATTGATTTTCTGTTTTGCCGTAACACCGCTATGTTGCCTACTGCGTGCGAAGTGGGTCCTGGCTGATTTCTCGTAGGGCGGAATTACAGTATGACGGTCTTGTTGATCACCGTCATGACGTCGGGCAGATCTTGAATGCACGATGTTCATCATGGTTCTTCATGACAGCTACGCAATCATCTAGATGATGGCTTTGAGATGTGTGTGTTGTCGCATGCTCGACCCCTCCGCATTCCGGGGTGTCCCGCATTTTCAGTTTGGGATAGTATTTCTCCGACAATTCAGCGGGCATGAAAATGTTGACCGCCCTTTCATGAGGGCGAATTTTCAGCGCGTTCCTCGGGAGTCAGAAGGACAATAGAAGTAAGATAGCCGGGAATCCGAAGTGCAGAGGTAGACTTGTCCCTTTCGGGGAGTTTGGGGAGTTGTTTGAGACGCGTCATGAGTGAGCCGTGTTACAAAGCCCTGATCTGGCTTAGTGGCAGAAAAGCGGTCAGTTGGGGTATTTGACCTCGCAACTTGCCAAGTCTCCACCACCAACCCGTGTGTTGCATGGACCTCTTATCCTCCCCCTATGGAGGGGACAAGAGAGGAAAAAATTAAGTAAAAATTGACCCAAAGGAAAATTCAATTTCAAACACAAAGTTGAGACAAAGATACACTTTGACATTCGATCTTTTCCTCAAACCCTGTTTATCCGGCTCCCTCCGTGTAATATGGCCCTAACGGTCTTTATACTTTTTATACTTGCATATTAAGTTTAGACTGTTAGAGGAGAGAGATGTCATGGTTTGAGATATACTGGGCCAAGCTTCGTAAGTCAACGGATTTCATGAAACCGGGGGGAGCATTGCCCCCCCCCCCATCCACCCGTGGACTCCTATTTTCTCTCCAACGTTATTTCCCTTCACAATGAAAACAAGGATTTTCTCCTATCCCAATGATGCAACCCATCCGTTCAATCCTACCGGTGAGTTCTTGAGTGGGCCAGACACGGGATGGCTTAAAGGGCAGTGCTTGTTTTTCCCAGTTCGCGCATTGACCTAAAGCCACTGATGGAGCAAAGGGGGACAATAATCTCCCCAAGCGCGTTCTGGCGCTCCAACCCGCCATTTGCCTAGATTCATCGGCTTCGTCGGCCAGACCCTAAAGGAACTTTTTTTCTCCTAATCACCGGGTCCATAGGGTGGAAAATCGATCTCCCCCCTTCCCGTCCACTAGTTGGATGGAGAACCACTCCGCGGAATAGTAGAAACACAGCCCCCTCGATAAACAGACTATAGAGATGATCACAATATAAAACTTTGGTTCGACATTAGAATTTGGTATTGGAGTCGTTCGAGCTCACATTGCCTACTCCAACTGGGCTTCCATGTGTTTTGGATTTGTGAAGGACCCACGGTCGCCATCGAGGAACGGTCACTCGACCCATGGCTAGAGTCAGACTTTCCGCTTTCAGCGAACCTGACGGTTCCCATCTCCCTTATCCACGGATTATGAGTCGTTTGATTTTTTTTCTGGAAAATTATCATAACCATGGAACTATCAAGCCATTCGTCCTTGGGATGAACGGAAATGCGGAGAGGCCAATTGCAAAAGACGTTGGGAGAAGCCACACAGCAATTGGGTAAAGTTAAGGCCCATGGTTCTGACATGAAGGATGATTTCCGATAGCTCCCCCACCCGTGGCGGCGGTGGCTGCTCCTGTGATCCCCCGGGGCTTTTCGGTTTAGTTCGGGGTGGTACGAGAGAATATACAATTTTGAGTGTGTACACCAAAGTCTACTGACATTAACCACGAGTGTGAAAAGGGTAAGGTTTCAAAGTTAAATCTCGGGAGAGGAATCTTCAGCCTCCCTCGGCTATACCTCAGATCCCTTGTGATCACGAAGCTTAGCGGTTTGACTGGTCTCGGGGATTTCCATCTCGGGGACCTTGGCATTGACTTTTCTCCAACCCGTTGCCACGGGCAGTCGACTGGTCCCACCATGAAAGAGAGGGGTTAACCCCCATTACGATTCAGTAAAGACAAAATCGGATAATAAGTGTGATGTGTCCGATGGTAAGCCCAAAGGTCACATCTGCCGCGCTATTGCAGGAGCCGCGCCGCTAATGCCCCCATGGCGGGATGTGCTGGTCCGCCCTCTGACGTCGGTGTTCAGCTGCCCCCTCGTAGTAGGCCATGGCTTTTGCAAGGCGATGGCAAAATACGAGGAATGACTGTACCTGTGCCGGACTTGGTCCCCTTCCCCGTCGCACGGTGGTTGGGTGATACGGGTCGCAGGCGGCAAATGGGGTCCCGGGAATACCTCCAGGAGAAAAATCCGGCATTCCGTCATCACCGGCAAAGGCTTGCGTTTTTCCCCTTTGTACAACGCCCATGGGAACACGGTGTAACGGGGATCTCTGTGGAGCGGAGGAAGTCCGACCAATTTTTTCCCTTTTCTTTTTTTATTTTCCTAGTGGAGTATTTTGGCATCGTACATCCTCCACACTGGAAATGGGTCGCGATGAGGTAAGGCTTGATAGAAACTCCGAAACAGTCCCCCTCGTCCAACGTCGTCATCATGCACATTCTTTTCCATTTTCATTGGTGTGTAGGAGAATAAAATCGGTAAAAAATTCCTTGACCATCAGAGAATGGGAGCGGATCAGAATGCAGGCGTCAATAATGTACAAGCTATTGATTCGATAATTCGAGTTGGGGGTTTGAAAACCTAGTTTCGAGAATAATGAATTTAATGAAGTCAAGTAAGGTCTCAATGCGCTAAACCTTCTCTGGCCCGTGTCAAAAAGTCCCTTTTGGGGGGAATCGTCACAATCGTTTTTCCCTTTCTGATTCTTTTTGCCTCCCATGTCCTGATCCAATCATGATGGTTCCAAGGTCGTGGGTCTTTCCTCCCACATTTGGGTTTGGCTGAGCACCATGGCCCAGTGGCCAACCCTAACCCGAGAAGGGGTTCAAGCTTCAATGCATCGTGCTTCCCCCCCTAAGTCGGGATTTGCCTTTGGATTCATCATTTTATTCAGAAAAAAAAAATGTATCAGAGGGAGAATTATCTCTTCAGGACATGATATTGCCTCCCAGTTTCCCCTCAAATGCGCCAAATAACCTCGTAAAGGCATCAAACTCACCCCGGAACGGGTATACCCTTTGACGTATCGTTGGGATCTACCACTTTCCCCGCTACTTTGAAACACCACACCAGGGCGAACCTTGGTCGCTGCATCGTGAGTTTATTTCTTGGCGTCCCTTTTCTTTTTAATCATTTTTGCCTTATCTTACCTAGCGTCTCCATAGACACGGCACAGGTGGACTAGTCTGTGCGGGACATTCCCTGACCAAATAGTCTCTCCTATATACTCCGTCACAGTAAAAAAATCCACCTGGAAGCTGAGGTCACCGACTGCTTTTTGGGTCCCATGATTTGGCTTCTATTCTTTAATTTTAATCTGGCTCCAGTCTACATTTGTCCGGTCACGGAGGGGACTGCCTTTTGGACGTTCTTCACTCTTGATTGTTGAGTAGTACATTCTTGCGTCGCGTTAAATAAGGATTTCTCTAGATCTTCCATTCCTCAGCCTGATCTGGGCGGATTGTTCAATGTGTAGAGGAGGATGAAAAAGTATGGAAATGTAATTCCATCCTATCTTATGGTCCATGTATATACCAGAAAGGATGGAAATAAATTCAAATCCCAAAAAATTCAAGAGGGTCCGAGGAACTGGTTCCCGTTCGTGGAGCCACTTTTGACACTAAAGCAGTCCAATCCTGCAAGATAAAAATAAGAAACCGAATTATTTGATATTATGGATTTTATGGAGCCGTGAGTAAAATTACTGTATTATTTCCAAACGATCTGCAACCGTCCCCGAGGGACGTCGTCAGTGGCACTGGAGTGTATCGTGCACTATACTGTCCCTTCTTAAGCTTCGCCGATCCCCTTCCCCAGACTGTTTCTACCTCCCCCTTTCACCTGCTTTTTATTCTTTTTAAATTTGCATTAAAGTAATCTGATCTTCGGGCTTATCACTTCCTCCTTTCTACCTTTCACTCTTCCTTACCCCCCGATCAACAAAGTCGATCAGTTTGCATTGGACTCCCAAGCTTCACAACCTCTTTGGGCAACAATCAACCCCAAGACACAAAAAATTCCCTTCACTCGACGCGTATATTCGGCTCGCGGTTTCACGCGACCCTATTCTCCATGACGATGGTTATTGAAAATCAGAACCGCCAGTACGGCGGCATGAGCTTCGACAATGTCTACCACCACAACCCACCACAATTCACAGACCCCTGGGCTACCGCGCATACCACCTCTCACTCGACTCCCCCTGTCTATGCGACATCCATGGGCAACAGTGCCAGCATCCCCATCAACCCCGTCAAGTCAGAGGAAGTCGGCCGACCAACCGCCATGTCCATGCCCTACCCCAACATTCCCGTGTCGGCACCGTCGCTGGTGCCTGGCAGCAACTACACAGCTACTGGCTACGGCCCAGAGGTGATGGCAATGCAACATGATGTACCGCGCACTGGTTTTGAGCAGGCCCCCACCTACACCACAGCTCCCCCCATGAGCAGCTTCGCGCCCTCCAGCTATGCGCCAGTCAGCTACGCTCCCATCCACCCTTCCCAGTCCCAAGACGCCCGTCGCATGTCGCATTCGTAAGTTCTCCCGGCCACATTTCACACCTCAAAAGGTTACATTTCTAACGCGTGAAATATGCAGAGATGCTCGTGTGGGTTCTTCTCAAGCTCCACCAGGCGCTCCCACCTTTGGAGACGCGCTCGACGCCAGCCGAGGAATGGTGGCGCTCAGCCAGGATTTGACTCCCCGGAACATTTACGGGCCTCGCGGTGCCCGCGGTTCGACTGATTCCTACGGTTTCCCTTCAACACACTCCTCTGCTTCCTCCATTTCCTCGGGCGGCAACTACCCCTACTACAGCGCCTCCGTGGGCTCTGTGGATTCTTCCGTGACCGATTACAGCTCGAGCACCTCCGAGTCATATGAGTCGCGCACTCTGCCCCGGCCGACCAGCCTGTTGGCTGGTAGCGCGCCTGCCGGTCCCCAGTCTATGATGAGCCAGTTCAGCTCCAAGATGCCCTCCAACACCCAAAAGAAGCACAAGTGTAAGGTCTGCGACAAGCGCTTCACGCGTCCTTCTTCGTTGCAGACACACATGTACAGCCACACTGGCGAGAAGCGTAAGTTCCTCCATTGAACACCAAGACTCCAAACAGACACTAACAGAAATACAGCATTCGCTTGTGATGTTGCAGGCTGTGGACGACACTTCTCCGTTGTCTCAAACTTGCGTCGCCATAAGAAGGTGCACAAGGGCGAGAAAGACTGCGGCTCCCAAGACGAAGACGAGTAAATTTCTCGCTCAAAAGATGCAATGACCTTCTCTTCTACTCAAGTGATTCAACTTGAGTCCCTTTGAGAGCTCTACCCTTCCCTACCAGCCTGCGCGAAAAAAAAGAGCGCGCCAAATATCCCTCCCACCCCATACCCTCTATTCCGACTACAGAACCCGCCCTTGCCTTCTGCCGAGTTTCGTCCAGTTCAACTGTGTTGACTCTGGATTAATTAGACTCATGCTCCTCATTGTACAACACTGTGGATCTCATTTCTCATTTCTCATCTATTTCCTTCTACGCTACATTACAGGGCTTTGGAAGTCATATATACCCGTGTACAGGATTCTGTCACACTCTGGGGTTCATCGGATACGGTACAAGGGCCACCATGGGAAGGGAGAGCCATTTCTTTGACGCATTTTCACATTTTTTCCTTTGTTTATCATGTTATGACCATAGAGGTTCCGGCTGGTTTGCGTTCCTGGTTGTTTCTTTCTCTTCTTTCGCTAGACACTGGGAGTCACCTGTTGTTTTTGTTTTCGATACCATGGGCTTGTGATGATTCGATGCGTTCTACTCTTTTGGGCACTTTCTTCTTCGTGTCTGTTTTGCCTATCGCTGCAGACCATTCTGTTCTAATCTTCTCTTCTTCTCTACTTGCATCTATCTTGCATGTTAGATTTTCTTTTTTCCTTTACACTTTTCGCGTGTGCGCGATCAAATCATGTTTCTCACCCTCCTTCCGGTTGGTTGATTTGACTTTTGGGTTCTTTTGAGGGTCGCCCTCTGTTTCCACCGGGTCTGTGTTTCGAGGATTGCACCGGTTGTGCAATTGGGTTGGTGTTGGATGTGATACCCGTGGCATTGGTGCGAAAGCGCCTCGTCTGTTTGACACTTTATTCTCGGTTTGATGCTGGCGGGTTGGCTTATCGCTTGAAGAGCCCGCTGGTGTTAGTTCCGCTCTACAGTCGCTATAGTTCAGATTAATTGTCTAATCCACAATTGAGCGCTCAAGGCATTTTGAGATTCATTTCAATTGGTTCTTTTTAGTAATGTAGTTAGTGTAGCTGAGAAAGGAAATGATCGTCATGCTCCTATCTTATAGTTCCCTAGACGATCCCCATCGTCTCAATCAGCGCAAGTTAGAACCGCCTGGGCAGCGCAAGTCAGATGTGGAGATTTAACAATTTAAGCACAAGGCGGTTCCTTGACCGCTACTCTAGTACGGGAAAGAAGAAGTGGCATAGATCAATGAGATGCAACGACTATTCGAACAACGGCACGGGCTTCAATTATGCACAAGAAGAGGATAGAATTATGATACTAAATCCATAGTCTAAATCGCCGTCTCGAGATCCTGCTAATATCCAGAATGCAGGATTAAGAAAAAGCCAGCCCTAAACGCCGTGGTTTGTTGATGTTTCGCAATGAAAAGAAGTAGATGATTATTGTCTTGCACAGCACCAGGCATATCCAAGCTCTTCGCGCAACAAGTGGGCTTAGCGGATCCGGTCCAGCTTGGCCCGATTCATGGCAAGTTGATCGTCGACGAAGTCGCTCTGCACAAATTAGCATCTGAATTACATAGTCCATGGGAGCAATGGCACTTACCTTGCCTGTAATGCGCTCCAAGTGGCGGTTCTGCTCGTCAAGCTCACGACCAGTGGCCTTGGCCAGACCGTTCAGCCGACCAGCGGCACCACTGAGAAGATCCAAGTTCTGCTCAATCTCATCCTCCATAGCCTCATCTTCGCTATCGGCCTCGAACTGGTACTTAGCACGCTCGGTGACACTAGCCTTCTTGGGCTTGGCTTGCTTGGAGTTCTCGCGATCGATATCACGGAACATGCGATCCATTCGGGCATTGCTCTGGAAAGCTTCCGATCGGGTACCATCGCGAGCATCACGCTCCTCACGATGGGTGTTGAGGACCCGTTCGTCACGTTCCCGACGGCGCGAGGCACTAGTGAATGGGTTGGACACATGCACGGCGAACATGCTCTTGTTCAATGTCTTCAGCTCCCGTGCCTTCTCCTCAGCAAGACGTCCCTCAACAGTTGCCATATCCAAGCTCTGCTCCGCACCGTGGACCAACTCACCCTGGGCACCCAGACGAGCCAGAGTGGTACGACCTGTCTCCTCAGCCTGGGCCGCCACACGAAGAGCATTCCGAGTCGATGAAACGTCGCCCTGCTTAACGTGGCGCATCTCCTGCTTTGTCGCCTGAACAGATTCCTCTTCCTCTTCCTCCGCTGTCAGCTGGCGGTCCTCAAACTTGGCCATGCTGTATTCATTGCTGCCGCCACCGTAGGAAGGTTGTTCCCCCTGTCCTCCCTCACTGTACGGAGGCGGCGCAGCGCCACCAGGACGCTGAGCGCGGTCCCTGGCGCCTCCAAACAGTTCATTGCGCGCCGCATCTCCCGCATTGGGATCATTAGGGTCGGTGCTACCCAATCCTCCGTAGCCCCCGGAGCCATACCGGGATGCTGCTCCGGCGCCAGCGCCAGCATTTCCGTTGCCGAAGCGATCACTGCCGTATCCACCTTGGTTACCGTAGGCGTTGGGAGTGTAGCCGGAGTACTTGTTGTCCGATGGGATGCTGTGGGGCCCGTTGGCGCCAGACTGGTCGGGCATAGGTGCCACGCCGGCGTTTATCTTGGCCTTGGTGTAGGGGTCTGTGGGAATGGGCTGAGCGTAGGGATTGGAGTTCTGCGGGGGGCTCTTGTTTTTGCGGGAGCCGAACAGCGCACGGCGGTTGCTGTCCTCGTCGCCATCGTTCTTATCGGATTTCTTGAAGAAGCCCATGGTGGGGGGTTGAAGGGATATTTTTTTGTTTGCTGAAAATCGAGGGGATATGAGTTGGTCGAGAGAACGTCAATCAGAGAACGAAGAGACAAATCAACAAGTCAATCCGAGAGAAAGAAACACAGCAAGAGAAATGGGAAATAAGAAGTCAAAATGTCAAAGTGGTCAGGGGAGCTGCAGGCAGTCGAGACCGTTCTGTAATTTTGGTAATTGTATTATACCGGCATACACATACTAAATATTGAAAATATGGTGGCGATCTAGGGACCATGACAGTACAGAGACAGGCAATCATTTTGAGTCAGCGGAGCTAAGCCCCAAGCGGCAACTTCGCCATCCCCGCGTTATTTTTGGTGTTGACGTTGTTGCCTGAGCTCACAGCCTCCTTTTCTTTCTTGGAGCGATGGCACCTCAGGGAGATGCTGACCACTGCAGAGACAAGGCCCGCAGGGACCTGCTGGCCCTGCTTGAGGGCGTGAGTAACACCCCCTCAGTTCCTCAGCCCTTTCTAATGGCGTGCAGGCTCGGGGCAAGAAGAACCTCGTTATCAGTCAGGAACTGGCCGGTCCAGTCGGTCTCTTCGTCAAATTCTCCGTACTGCAGGAATATGGCGTAGATCGAGTGTTCTTGCTGGAAAATGCGAACATTGACTCGTCTCAGCGCAATGTCGTATTCCTCATTCGGGGCGAGAAGGCGCAGCATGTGCGTATTGTCGCAGGTAGGTGTCTTTATGACGCTTTAATTCGCTTTATGTGTTTTGCCTGGTGTATACACACTCTTTTGGGACAGCATTAGATCTTCGCAGACGAATCTCCTACTCGGCGAATCCTTTTCAAGTTCCCTAGAATGAGAGCAAAGCCCATATATTGGCTTTCATTCCAAGTTAATTGTCGATGGAGGGTCATCAGAGTGGGCTAACAACTTTTTTTTTTTTTTAGAACAAATCAAACGATTGCAGAACAACGGGAATGTGGAGCATGAATTCTTCATCTTCTTTACTCCCAGGCGGACCCTTGTGAGCAATGCCGTACTGGAAGAGGCCGGCATCACTGGCGATGTCAATATCGCCGAGTTTCCGCTTCATTTTTTACCGCTTGAACAAGATATCTTGTCACTAGAGCTGGAAAGTGCTTTCGGTGACCTTTACTTGGTATGAAATCTACCATGAAACCAGCTAAATCCGTATTGACGATAGCTATAGAACAAGGACCCCGGATGTATCTTCCATTCTGCCAAGGCGTTGATGGGAATTCAACAGCGTCACGGCTATTTTCCTCGTATCGTTGGCAAAGGCGACAATGCACGACGGTTGGCAGATCTTTTGCTGCGCATGCGCAAAGAGCTTGATGCAGAAGAAAGCTCCGGGTTGGCAGATCCATCCGCCCGGGGGCTACTTCCCAGTGCAAATACAGAGAACCTCATCATTATCGACCGTGATGTGGATTTTGGAACTCCACTGTTAACGCAACTCACATACGAAGGCCTGATTGATGAATACGTCGGCATCAAGAACAACCAAGCTGATGTTGACACCAGTATTGTGGGACAGGGACCAGCACCACAGGCCCAAGAATCATCTAAGACGCCTCAGCAGGCCAAGCAAGGTCTGAAAAGGAAGATTCAATTAGATGCATCCGACCAACTGTTCAATCAGCTGCGAGATGCAAACTTTGCTATTGTGGGCGACATCCTGAACAAGGTAGCCCGCCGCTTAGAAACCGAGTATGAAAGCCGCCATACCGCGAAAACCACAAACGAGCTCCGAGAATTTGTCAACAAATTACCCACTTACCAGCTGGAGCATCAATCGCTTCGGACCCACACTAATCTCGCAGAGGAGATCATGCGTCTGACCCGCTCCGAGACCTTCCGGAAGATCCTTGAGGTGCAGCAAAACAATGCCGCGGGAGCCGACCCCACATATCAACATGAAACAATCGAAGAGCTCATTGCTCGCGATGCGCCCCTGAAGAGCGTGCTTCGACTCCTGTGTCTGGAGTCGTGTATGGCCGGAGGCCTTCGTCCTCGGGACCTAGAAAACTTCAAGCGCCAAGTTGTTCAGGCCTACGGACACCAGCACCTCCTGACTTTCTGGGCTCTGGAGAAAATGGAACTCCTTCAGCCCCGATCTTCTGCAACGACCATGCTTCTCCCCACTTCTGGATCCCAGGCGGGCACAAAGACTAATTACGGATACCTGCGGAAGAACTTGCGTCTCGTCATCGAAGAAGTCAGCGAGAAAGACCCTAACGACATCTCTTACGTCTACAGTGGATTTGCCCCACTCAGCGTGAGATTGGTCCAGTGCGTATTGCAAAAGCCATACATCTTATCTCTCATCAAGGGCGGATCACCTGTGGCATCCATAAACAACGCTAGCACTGCCTCTCCCGGCTGGCTCGGATTCGAAGACGTGGTCAAGAGTGCTCGGGGATCCACCTTCAGTATTGTCCAGAAGGGCGATGACAAGGCCGTTCGGGCCCGCCAAACTCTTAGTGGTAATAATGCTACGAAGGTGGTGTATGTGTTCTTCCTGGGTGGCATTACATTCACGGAGATCGCTGCATTGCGATTCATTGCGGCCCAGGAGGCGCCACGCCGGAAAATCATTATTTGTACGACCGGTATTATCAGTGGCGATCGCATGATGGAAGCCGCTATTGAGAAGCAGAGCTTCGCAAAAGCCGAGTAGCCTCTTTTACCACATTCATCTCGGATCTAGCGTTTATCTGGGTAGTTATTCAAATGATACCACTTTCTTATCCTCAAAGAATACTGCTGCATAGCTTTCGAATGTTTGTCACACGTAGTATCTGCATTAATTTTTTGAGCTGGCTCTGTCTAGTAAATCAATACTTAAATCCGGCATTAACTCCCATCAAGCGGCCCTGGTATCGTTCCGTGATTTCTCCAATCCGAATCATTACACCAGCAGCTAGAGTCCGTACCTGATCCTGTGTATCGACAGGCGCGTTGGAGCTTGTTCTACCTGGAGCAGCAGGTGTGTTATCGAACACCTGAGAAGCCCACTCGCGCAATTCAATCACCTGATTCGCGCACTCCGTGACAAGGCGCTCTTCACCGTTCGATCCCGAGGCAATGTTCAAGTCTATGGCTGCGAGAAACAGGGTAAGAAGTGCAGCAGTGACTGTCGGATCATTGGAAATGGGACTTGTGTGTAACGACAAGAGTAGCGAGAGGGTGTCGTGGGTAAGACCTGGCAAGAATGTAGAATGTGGACCGGAGGTAGTAAGAATAAGGGAGAGAGTTTGAAGAAAGAGGGTGAGAATATGGGGGATCATGAACGGGTTGTGAGATGACACCGATGAGCTATTGTGTGAAAGTTAGCGGAAAACGGTCTTTCGTCTTTCAATGGAACGGGGAGGATACGCACGAGGAGAATTGGAGCATCATCACGGTGAATCGGTTGGTAAGAGGGTAGAAGAAGCCCTCAGCAAGAACCTTATAAAAATCCTTCGCAACTGACTTCTGCCGCTGCGCATCGCGCTGTTGGCGCTTCTTCTCAACTTCCATGCGGGTCGAAAAAGTGCGCACTTTGAGTGCATTTGGTCCTGTTATTGCATCAGCTGCATTAGCCGCCATCGGCTGCAGCGATGCTTTGGACATTTCTCTGGTGAGTGCTGCGATGGGAGAATCCTTGGACTCTTGGAACATGGCATCCAATGCTGGCGCAAGGCGTTTAGATGGGAATGAAGTATCCTGTAAGGCAGGAAGGCCTAATGCTTTGGCATCGTCCTCTCCATTTCCGGAGATTTCGCGAGCGCTGAGACCCAGGGCCGTGAGCACGGCGGATCGCTGAACCTGGGACAGGTCGCCTTCAAAGAAGAACGCTGCGAACCAGCGGCCCATTTTGAGAGGCTGGGAGACGATCAAGGCAATCATACTCTGGAGCCGTGCTTCATGGAATTGCGGATGATTGCTGTCGTTCTGGAGACCGACAATTGTTAGGGCTAGCTCCTCGACATGCTCGGCAAGCTCGCTGCCAAATCCGATCTTACGGCGGATCAGACTCGGTGCTGTGGTGATAGCGAGGTGATAACGCTCGACATTTTCGTTGTCTCGGAGACATGTGACTAGGTCACGGATGTACCTGGCAGATGTTAGATACGCCGAGTGCAGGGTTTTTGAATGACTTACACAGGTGCTGTTGGCTTGTTTCGTTGAACTAGCGTTGCATCCTCATCATCATCCTCTGCATCATCGTCGGGCTTCTCATACGGAATGAGATCCTCATCTTCTGGCTCATCACCCTCATCTTCATCATCGCTGATAACCTCTACTATCCTTTGGGGACGCGAAATCGGTTTAGGTTTCTTAGCCTTCGGGGGAGAAGATAAGGACTCGTCTGCCCTTAAAAGAGACTTCATAGACTCAAAAGGTCCAACGTCATCTCGAGATTTAATCAGGCTCAGATACCATTTGGTTTCTGCGCTCTGCATCTCTTCAAGGTCGAACTTCATTGACTTCCCAGGCTCCTCCACAAGCTCAGACATGCCCGTTCCAACGATCATGCCCATGAAGCGTGCTCTATTAGAAGATGCGGCAAGTCGATTGGAGATTGCATTCAAAAAGGCTGCTGAGCGACCGACCTCTTTGATTTGAGAGGGATCAAGTCGACTAAGACGGCCTGCAGCCAAGAGAATAATTTGAGCATTGGCTACTGTATGTTAGTATACTAGACAACATAAGATTGGGCAAGACTTGAGCAGACCTTCGTGTTCGCGGTCACTATTGTGATTGATAGCGAACTTATCACCAAAGTGCTCAAGGCCGCGAATTATCAAATTTTTAAGTGCATCTATTCATAGTCAGCAGATGAAAAGGGGACATGTTTAATGAGCCTACCGTTTTCATTATCGTAAGTCGCTAAGATAGTTCGGTTAACACCAACTGGAAATGCTGCCGCAAATCGGCCTTTTGCGAGCCAGTCTGTGATCTCTTCCTTAAAATGTGGTCGATCCCCAATGATTATGAACAACAAAGTTGCTGCTCCATTAACAACATCGGTGCATGCATCTGAGTCGTTAGGGTAATTGCATAGGCGAATCGATGGATATCTGATGGGTAAATCCATGAGTATGAGTTGAAGGATAGTGAGCTGTGCTGATAGCCTGAGCTTATCAACAAACAAACAGAATCTTGTGGAGAATGACTGATCACGGAGAAGACTTGTATATATCTCCGGAATCAAGGAAGCTGAAAAAATTTAGAACGTTTGTTTGAAGAAAGTTCGCAAGAAAAGCTTACATGAATAACCCAGGCTGAGAGCTCGCTCCGTGAATGAGGCGACAAAAGACCAGCCGCCTTCGTCATTAGTATCAAGCTTTGAGATGAAGTGGGAGATGTTTGCACCAAGCCATGACGCATAGCGACGGCCATCTCCAACCCAGGTGATTGAAGATAATTGGATTTGATCAGCCACAGTAAGCGCTTCTGCTGCGGTGGACACGATCTTGCCAGAGGCGACAAGAGACACAAGTTCGTTCCACGAGACCTTCTGCCTAGTGTGATTGTCATAAAGAGACAGATTATCACCATAAAGACGAAATAAAAAGTCCTTGGGCTCCAACAAGGCAGCAAGAACAGATATGATATCTTGAATAGCAGAATGGCTACTTGAGCCTTGGGCTTGCTGGGAAGATGCTCGGGCAGATGCGATGAGAGATCGAAGGCGAGCCACAAGAGAACCGATACCAGCAACACTGCTCAAGCAACGCAATAAGGCGGCCCTGATTTTTGTGCTTCTGACCTTCTTGTCATTTCCCACAACAGCCGCCCAGTGGTCCGGGATGGTGGTGCTGACTAAAATTTGGAGGACCTGAGCTGATACAGGACCAGGAACTCGAATGTCAACATTGAGTGTTTTGGACTTGTTGAATGGATCAAGTGCAGCTAAAATCGCTGAGATCTGCTCCGAAGAAGGCTGTGATTTTAGTACATCTATAATCTGAATCGGAGTCAAATCCTCATCCAGGCCAATCACACTGGGGTTTGTGAGGGCATCGTTGCGAGGCTTTGAGTCAACGGTTGACAATGAATGATCAGAATCTTGCTTAACGGTTTTGATAGCCGTCAAAAGCCCATCCATACTGACTGTTGCTCGTTGAAAAGATGAGTCCATGATTGTGGTATCGTATCGGATGTCTTGTATGCGGGTTTGTCACGTGTCGCGTCCGCCTCATCAAACACCGCATTGCATTTCCCTCCGCCAACACAACTTACATCAGGACAGAGTCACATCAAAAATAAATGACACTTGAGACTCTGGGAGCTTAAAACATCTTGCTTTAGAACATCCTCATCAGGCTGCACCCCAACGTCAAGAAATCGACTATTAACGTGAAGCGGGTTTAATCACGGAAACCAGTCAACCCACGCTCCGCCAACTGCTTAATCGAGCCCACTTCTTTCCATAATGGCTACAGCTGTTATTGGATCATCAGGTGACAAAGGCCGTTGGTAAGTTCTATTTGGGCTCATCCACGATTTACTACTTTGTTTACACATAATATAGGAATCACCTGTACAAGGTCCTATCCAAGCCTGGTCCTTTCAGTGATGAGGACTGGGTACCAGGACAAGGTACAATTAATACCCTGGAATCCTCCAAAATTCTGTAAGATAAAAGGGCCTTGACAAATCTTAACCACTGGTACTGATGATGACTTTAGTGTGATGTTCGTCCCGTTACAATTGTATCAATCCAGGGCAAGGTCAACAACTAACGTGAATTCAGCGGAGCTGGTGGACTAGGCTGCGAAATTCTGAAGAATCTTGCGCTCTCAGGGTTCAAAGATATCCATGTCATTGATATGGGTAGGTCTATCCATGCTACTTTGCGAGGATGACATCACTGACATAGGCCTGGCAGACACTATTGATATCTCAAATCTCAACCGACAGTTTTTATTTCGCCAAGCTGATATCGGCAAGCCCAAAGCAGAAGTTGCTGCTGCCTTTGTGGAGAAGCGAGTAAAGGGAGTCAATATCACGCCTTACGTTGGCAAGATTCAGGATAAAGATGAGGATTACTACATGCAATTTAAGATCATCATCTGCGGCCTTGACAGCATCGAGGCTCGCCGCTGGATCAATTCTACTCTAGTTGGGATGGTTGATTTCGAAAACCCCGAGAGTCTCAAGCCTCTCATTGATGGTGGAACTGAAGGTTGGCATCTGTCTTGAAATTTGGTACTTGTGAAGACGCATGTTAATTGAGGGAATAGGATTCAAGGGACAGGCTCGTGTAATCTTGCCAACTCTTTCATCATGCATTGAGTGCCAGCTAGATATGCATGCCCCTCGACCTGCAGTGCCTCTCTGTACCATTGCTACTATTCCTCGTCAGCCCCAGCACTGCATCGAATGGGCGCACCAGATTGCCTGGCAAGAAAAACGAAAAGATGATACATTTGACAGCGATGACATGGAGCACATCTCCTGGGTGTATAATGAAGCTCTGCAACGAGCTCAGCATTTTCATATTCATGGTGTGACCTTCCAGATGACCCAGGGAGTAGTGAAGAACATTATTCCAGCCATCGCATCGACGAATGCAGTGATCGCAGCATCCACGACATCCGAGGTGTTGAAAATTGCCACCTCCTGCAACCCATATCTCGACAACTACATGATGTATGCTGGCGAAGAGGGTGTTTACACATACACGTTCGAGGCAGAGAAGAAAGAGGATTGTCCCGTGTGTGGCAACCTTGCCCGTAAGATGGATGTGGATGCAAACATGACGTTGGGCGAATTTATTGAGAGTCTCGGCGAGAAGGCTGAGGCCCAATTAAAGAAGCCAAGTCTTCGGACAGAGGAAAGAACGCTTTACCAGCGTTTCCCGCCTCAGTTAGAGGAGCACACAAGGCCAAACCTCCGACTGAAGCTGGGTGAGCTCGTCGAGAATGGCCAGGAGATTGCGGTCAGTGATCCAGCCTACACGATCGACTTCCGCTACCGACTTCACTTCAAATAAAGAACTCAAAACTGTACTATCCCTTCCGACTATGAAGGGTTTACAATGTTACGATGAGATGTCAGTTTTCAGTTAACTCTTAGAATTCAAAGACAGCTAGCTGCCAGCCTTCTGCTCTAACAACCAGGGTATCCGGACTCCAGTCTCGTAAGACCAACTTTTTAGACCGAACTTTTCGTAAATGTACAGCTCAAACGAAGCCAATTAAAACATGCCAACGCCAGTCAAATGCATTATATAAGAAGCCGCCGTGGAATGAATGATTCCATGACCTTACGCCATCAGATCATTCAGACCGCGCTTCCACCGAGCGCATTTCAACTTCAGAACCTTGACGGACTCCAGGAAAAGAGTGTCACTCTCGAACTGACCCGAACTCTCGACGTTGAAAATGAAGTGATCCCGAACACGTCCCAGCTTCACCTTACCCTGGAACTCCTCGTGGCGCAGGCACTCTCGGCTGACGGTATCGTTGAAAGCATCCTTCACGACAGCCTTCTGCTCACCGGCGTGTCCCTCGTATCCGCTTCCAGCACGGGAAGCCTCCTCCGAAGTAACGGGCTCAAGGCCAATAACGCCCTTGGGGAAACACTTGGCAAACTTCTTAGCATCCTCGCCGATAATGGGGCGCAGGATCTGAATGTCCGGCAGGAGACGGTAGGACGCAGTTGCGACAGGGGAGAATTTGGCGTGATCAGCACCGATACCCTTAACACAGTGCAGCTCCATCTCGATTTTCTGACCGGGGCGCATCTTAGCGATCAGGATGTCAGGCTGGACAGCGCGAATCGCACCATCGCCGACAAAGAACTGTTCCTGGCGACCGACAGGGGTGAAAGTGAGATGCTTGGAGTAGACATGAGCGTTGTTGTATAGCTTGCGAGGATCGGTCTCATCATCGGCAACGTCAGGGTTCTGTGTGCATTCGATATCGAGTTGCATCACAACGGTGTTGAAGTCGGTGAGTTCGGGAGCTGCGGATCCCTCGTCTCCGGGGGCTTTCTGCTCCCATTGCATCCAGTTGATTCCCTCCACGGAGCCCTTCAGCGGGATAAGTCCGAGACGCTGCGCGAGTACCTCATCTTGAATGACGGAGGTGTTGTTGTGAACGTAGACGGTTTCGATTGCCAGAGTAGGGATTTCGGCCATCAGGATGCGGCGGAATGCATTGGCGACGGCAGCATCGAGTCCGATCAGTGAGAACGAGGCCTCGTACGGGTCATTGCGGTGGTATTCGACCTTGAAGTCCTGTGGTGGGGCATTATGAGCATATATCTTTTTTCTTCGCTAACCCTGGATTTGACATACGTTCTTGAACTGGTCGAGAGCCCACCCATGCGATTCTCCAGGCCAATGGCCAGGGAAGTCTGTTGAGGGGATGTTGGTAACAGTCTCTGCGTTGACACCGATGATCTAGGAATGGTCAGTCCTATGAACAGTTAAGAAAAAATGTACATTGACTTTAGTACTCACACGGCGACGTTGCAGCTCCTCCTGCGACGGAACAAGAGGCGCCATGGTGTGAAGGGTGGGGTTGGACTGTGAAGGTGAAGATTGAAATTTGGCAGATCGGCGATAAGAATAATTTCTTGAGGTGATTTTCTGGCACGAGTGCCTGAGGCATTAGTAAAACTAGAGACTTTCCAAAGTTACAATTTATTACGTAGTACCCGCTGCCATATCTGCGGTATTTTACGAAATGTTCTGTCAACCAACCAGGATTGGGCTGATGACCCGACAGCTATCCACGTGACTGTGCCAAAACTGGAGCGCGACCTCCATCTTCATTATTGCCAGGTTCCTTTCCCGCAGTAGCTGAGAGCATCCACTTTGCCTTGTTGGATGCGCCTGGATTGAGGAGCCCGTTCCGTCTTACCCTCAATTGGTCCATCTCCCCTCACATCTACCTCCATGGCCGCCTCTTTCGCTCGCCTGGCGGGCAATGCGCCCAAAAGACTCTGTCTCCGCCCCTCCACTTCCCTTCACACATCTGTGCCTCGATCCCGCTCGATAACCACCACCGTCTCTCGCCAACATGCCGAAGCCACCAGCTACCAGGCCACACGGCTGATTCCGACCGACCCGAGCTTCACTTCCCTGGCCAACAAGGGGCTTCCCGAGAACCCCGATGCCGCTGCTCTCGAGTCCGAGGCTGAGGGTATCAATCGCAAGATCCGTCACTACACAGTCAACTTCGGTCCTCAGCATCCGGCTGCTCACGGTGTGTTGCGATTGATTCTGGAACTCAATGGAGAGGAGATTGTCCGCGCCGATCCTCACGTCGGTCTGCTGCACCGTGGTACCGAGAAATTGATTGAGTACAAAACCTACATGCAGGCTCTTCCCTACTTTGACCGATTGGATTACGTTTCCATGATGACCAACGAGCAGTGCTTTGCTCTTGCGGTTGAGAAGCTTTTGAACGTTGAGATCCCAGACCGTGCCAAGTGGATTCGTACCCTGTTCGGCGAGATGACTCGTATCCTGAACCACCTCATGTCCGTCCTTTCCCACGCCATGGACGTTGGTGCTTTGACACCTTTCCTGTGGGGATTCGAGGAGCGTGAGAAGCTTATGGTTAGTTCCCAGGTGCCCAATGGGTTGTGGTAAAAGAACATATAAAAAAGTACATTCGCTAACCAAGGATTTCGTTGTGACTTAGGAATTCTACGAGCGTGTTTCCGGTGCCCGTCTCCACGCTGCCTACGTTCGCCCCGGTGGTGTGTCGCAGGATTTGCCTCTCGGCCTTCTTGACGACATTTACCAATGGGCTACCCAGTTCGGTGACCGTATCGATGAGACTGAGGAGCTGCTTACCGATAACCGTATCTGGAAGGCTCGTACCCAGGGTGTCGGTGTTGTCAACGCCACCGATGCGCTCAACATGAGTTTCACTGGTGTGATGCTCCGTGGTTCCGGTGTTCCGTGGGATATCCGTAAGTCGCAGCCTTATGACGCCTACGACCAGGTCGAGTTCGACGTCCCTGTCGGTGTCAACGGTGACTGCTACGACCGTTACCTGTGCCGTATGGAGGAGTTCCGCCAGTCCCTCCGCATTATCCACCAGTGCTTGAACAAGATGCCGGCTGGACCCGTCCGGGTTGAGGATTACAAGATTTCACCGCCTCCCCGTGCTGCCATGAAGGAGAACATGGAGGCCTTGATCCACCACTTCCTTCTCTTCACCAAGGGTTACTCTGTGCCCCCAGGTGAGACTTACTCGGCCATTGAGGCCCCTAAGGGTGAGATGGGTGTGTTCCTTGTCAGTGACGGCAGTGAGCGCCCTTACCGCTGCAAGATCCGTGCCCCCGGTTTTGCCCACTTGGGTGGCTTTGACCAGGTGTCCCGTGGTCACCTGTTGGCCGATGCTGTCGCTATTATTGGTAAGTCCCTTGACATGGATTTTGTATTGACAAATGCTAATGTTGGGTGTTTTTTCCAGGTACCATGGATTTGGTGTTCGGTGAGGTTGACCGGTAAAAGCGCTCCCGCAACGCAATAATAAAAAACAAAAACGGAAAAAAAAGGAAGAAGACGAAATGACCCCCCTTTTTCTAGAAGGCGGTTTCGCCATTATGGGGGGTTGAAATCATGCAAGATGGAAATTCCATCTATGTGATCACCTTTGGACCCCTCAACTCTCACCCAGGTGTACCAATTTTCCCATGTTTTCTTCTCATGGCGTTGTTCTATTATGTCTTGTCGTTTCTCTCTTTTGTCTCTTTCTATTTACCCTGATCTCTCATAAGCCCTGTGTATAGTGAACTCGATTCTTTTGAGACATTTCCTGTTTCAAGTATCCATCCCGTATTATAGTTACCTCAACAAGGTCGTAGACCATCCATTTTCATGTCATTCCGACTGACTATTCTCTTGCTCAGTATAATGTCTTGACTCATTAGGGGTCACCTGCGTTACTTTCATAATATAGCTACCTTCAACGATCAAGTAACTGCGAATGCAGAGACTTCCATGCCATGTATGATACTTACCATTAATGACACTGCCTACATCACAAAGATGTGAGGTAGTACCTGCGCCAAAAATGGCTATTTCTGACGCCAGTCTAAGCACCCAATTTACTTCCTGTCGTTAGGTATAGTTTCCATAAACTTCAATGACTATTTCGAGCCGCTGACTATATATTCACTTTGGAAGTTTGCATCTTCGTGCGGTTCGTGCTATAAGTTAGAAAAGATCCCAGGGCTTTCACCTCATCCTAGATTCTTGAACCTGGGAGTGTCTTGATTATCAGGCAAAAACTCCCGCGTATCATCCTTTGGGTTTTAATCGCATTGATATGCATTCAGAAGGAGTTAGCCCCACAGCCAAGACTATAGTAATGTAGGCAGAAATGCCGCGTCTAGTACTGTTATGGCTACCTAACTGTAACATTAAGTATTATTCTGCCATTATATATAAGAGCTATTGACCCACATGAGCGAAGTTGCACCTAGCATATGCCGAGGGAGTGTTTACTCGTAGTCAATGGGAGAGGCTGAGGTACCAAATGGAAGTTAATTTATGAAGCTGAAAGTTATCTTCCACTAACCCGACTATATGTGTCATAAGACTCAGAACAAGTCCAGTCTCCTTAAGAGCATAAGGCTAATTTATCGTAGTGGTACAATGAATTAATATCTGCATATATCAAAAAGTTTTATATTACACCTTCGAATTGATTATGAGCCCTGTTCTGACTAGCAAGCGAGTGAGAAGTCCGACATAAGGACAATCGTGACAATTATCGTAGAGAGCTTGCAGGTAAGCTCCGTCGAGGTCGACGAGGCTACGACTGAGCCCGAGAGGAGGGTCCAGGAACCCTTGGCGTCCGAGCCAATGTTAGTGGTAAAGCTGCTACCGGCGGTGTTATCAAAGAAGCATGTCAGAGTGCTTGATGTGGTCCCTCCAGCGAGATAAAAGTATGCAGAGAAGGTGTAAGTCTCTCCCACGACAGTGGTGACGGTCTGCTCAATCGTGGCAGTACTGGAGCCAAGGGATGTGCTTTGCAACTCCACACTGTAATCGGAGTCGTAGCCAGATGCGTATGAGTTCACACGGCCGAACCCAGTGTGGGCAGTTGTCCATGAGGTGAGCGAGGCGTCATCAAAGTTCGGGTTCTGGATTACATTGGTGCCGCAGGTGGCGGCGGCGGCAGTGGCTGTAGAGGTTAGTGTCGTGGTGCTGGTTATCGAGACCGTCTCGGTGACAGTCACGTCAACGACGTCGGTAGTCAGGATCGTGTTGGTCACGGTGGCCGTGACGTCGACGGTAGTAGGTACCGTCACTAGGAGATCAACGGTTTGCGTAATCGCAGACGTGGATGTGGCAGTTACCACTGCAATTGCGTCTACTGTTGTAGTCTCTGTTGAAGTGGACGTAGTATCGAATGTTGCGGTGGCCGTGAGGTCTATTGTTTGTGTGACGGTGGGGCTGACTGTCAGCTCAGTGGTATCGGAGATTGTCTCCGTCAATGTGGTGAAGCTCGTAAACGAGTCCGTCACATCGACCGTCGAATCCTCAGCGATTGTGACTGTTGCAATGGCGGTACTTTCGGCCGTGGCTGTCAATGTAATATCCTCGGTGATAACTGCGGTGATAGACTCTATCAGGGTTGTGATCTGGTCTTCTGTTGCAATGATTGTGACTGGCTGAGTGCTAATCGAAGTTCTGGAAACGGTGAGGGTAGATGCCTCAAAGACAGTGGCTGTCTCAACAATATCGACAATGGTGGTACTAAGCTCATCAACTGTAGCGAGGGAAGTAAACCAATCCGTCACCGTGTCGGTAACATGATGGGTAACGTAGGCTGTGACCTCTTCATGGCAGGTAATATGGGCGGTGGAGGTTTCGCATATCTTTAAATTGATTAGCTTTTATCTCACCAATATAGAGAAGCAAAACGCACAGTTCCCTGAAGGGTGGTGGTGGTATAAACTGTCGACTTGCACGGCGCAATCTTTAGCTCCAGGCATGCGCTAGAGAGAAGATCGTGGGATATTGTCCGTAAATGCGCTGGTGTGACGTATGCAGGCTCTTTCTCGACTATTTCCCAACGCTTATCAAGCGCCACGGTGACTACATCCGTGGTGGTAGCGGTTTTAGCGTCGGTAATGGCACTCGTGATGGTTGCGGTGGTGTAATCCGTTGCAGTTATCGGGACCGAAGTGGTAATGGTCTCAACGTCAGTCTGAAGCACGGTCACGGGCAGAGTATGTGTAGCCGTCGCCTCAACTTCTGCTGTAGTTGTGGTTGTGATAGTATCAGTCGCTGTTGCTGTCGCGGTAGCAAAAAAGGAAAGAGTGGTTGTCTCAGTATATAAGTTGGTTAAGCTGACGGTGACCAATTGAGTTAAAGTGTTTGTGAACCAGTTGGTGATGTCGGCAGTGATCTCGTCGGCTACCACGGAGGTTATCTGGTCTGTGACCGTGCTGGTAGCTGTGTTGGTGATTGTCTCGGTGGTGATGCCAGTCACCGTGATAGAAGCCAAATCTGTGATTGTCTCGGTCACTAAGTTCGTCGCGTAACTGGTCATCAATATCGTCTCAGTCTCTGATATCGTCTCAGGCAGGACCGAGACGACCACATCAGTCGCAGTCACCGCCTGGATATCGGTCACCGTCAAGGCAATAGCACTGGTTTCGGTGACGATCCGAAGGTCAGTTTCTGTATGCTCGACGTGCTTGCTAACAGTGACAGTCGTCGCGTCCGTCATAGTTCGGGTGACTCGATCGTGTTGATAATCTGTGAGAGTCTTCGTGACATGGATAGTGGTTGGATGGAGTCTTCGGGTCTCCGTCACCATGGTCGTCTCGCATGAAAGATCGAGGTAATGCCGGCAAAAGGGCACACCCCTATCCGGCGAGTCTTTCACCAGACTGACGACATGGCTGAGCCGGTCACTTTTGCCCTTATTGAGATGATAGTTGGGCTCATGACCTTGCTCGGCCGGCAAAGCAATGACGGTGCCGACTGCCCATGCGAGCAGCAGAGACGTCCGCATCGTGATAGAGGGATATCAAAAGAATGTGAGGTGAGGTCTTCATGGTTCTGAACTCAAGCGACAGACTTTATTCTGTTAGCAGTGGCGTTAGCAGTATCATCGAGGCCATAAAACCGACATCGTCCTGGCAAAATAAAGCGACCTCGGACGAATCGTCGTCGAGTGCGGCTGAACGCTATTGACCGGCCGGGGAGGATCCACTGAGACTAAACTCCACTGGTCGAAAAACATCGTTGACAGGGCCTATTCAGCCGACAAGTCGTCGTCACCACCCCCTTTTAAGCAAACCGGAGATCATGTTACCCTAACGGATTCTTTTTCTCACGGGCAGTCCGATGTGGCAAAACCTCAATGTGGCTGATCAGAATATACTGTGGATCTTTTTAAGCATTGAGGAGAATGCCTAGGTGCTTGGCGTCATCTTGCCAAGATAAAGTCAATGCTTGAGGGTATCAGCAGAGAGTGATGTGATCTAAGAGACATTATGATCGATTCCATCTGATCGTCCTTATTTCTGTGCTCAGTGATCCGGAATGATTTTGTCAACAACTCCGGGGTAAGTTTTGGCGGATACACGTGACATGCAATGCTCTAGATAGAGTACATGTTGACAACTTAATATTAGATACAATTCAATAAGGCCCAAGGCACCTGACCGACGAATCTTCCTAGTCTATAAGGACTCATTTCTATTTCATAAGAACAGGAGGCAGTAGTACTGCTATGGAGTAAGCGAATCAACAGAAGATAAAAACGAATGGAAATTAGCAACGATAATTCTAACTCTATAATGAGATTACTCCAAAATCCAGCGAATCAAAAGACTAGGGTAAAAGTAGATAATCAAGAGAGAACGAGATACTTTAGCCGTGAAAAAGTTGACTGAAACACGGGTGCCTCTGGGTCTCTCTTCATCAGAGTGAGCCAGAAGAGCCCGCAGAAGTCTCAGATGTGCTCACCTTAGAACTCTGATCATCAGGTTGTACGTCTTTGCCACCGTACTTTTTGGTTACTGGGTCCCAGTTAAGACCTATCGGTAGAAATATAATTATGGTCAGCTTGGTTCAACAAATAAATAAAGTTCAAAGAAGTTGAGGTAACTCACGTCTCCCCACATAAACGATACCAGGAATGTCAACATGCTTCTCGTCAGAAATAGGATTCCATACAGCACGACCGACATTTACCTTAAATCGCACATAATCTTCCCCCTCTTTCCGCTCATCATGAAAAGGCAGCGTGTGATTGTAATTGAACCTGTCGTAAAAGTCCTGAGCAGTAGCAGCCGGGATATCGAGAATCTTGGCCTCGTTCAGACGATAGACATATTGAGAACTGTATAATAAGTTAGTATATTTAGATAACATGCATATGAAAACCAATGAGAACTCACGTAAAGTCTTTGCAGCCTACTATATTATAGTCCTCGATATTGAATCCACACGGGACAAAATTGCTGGCTGAAATGACCTCAAGGAAGTCTTTGACTGTCTTGCCTGAACTTCTGCCGACCCTGCCCCTCCTGGTAGCTCTCATGGGTACATCAAAGGCGTATGCTGCCCTTTTGTGCACGCCATCATACGTGAATGTTTTTACTTGCACATCGGCAGCGTTCCGTAGATGACCCGCTAGGTCCGTTAGATCAACCTGGAGATCGATTGTAAGTCCCGCGGTACCAGCGACCATATATGCAGTATCATGTTCTTGTTTATGCTGGAAAGTCAGCCTAGTGATAGTGTGATTCGTCGGGTGTTCCTTATTGCTGGGATTTTCCCCTTTATATACTACCTCGACAGAAAATTTTGCAACTTTCTTGGCTCTTATAGACTGAGGGATATCCTCTATCTTCGTGAAATCCCAATTCTTCTGAGGAGGCTCGGCAGGAGGCCCGAGGGCAACTTTCTTTGCTGGTGGTCCACCGCCGTCCGGCGGGGAGGCCGATCTCTTTTTTCCTGCTAATCCGGTCATTTTGATGTCGTTGGTAGATCTGTTCTTAGTAGTATTCTTGTGCGGAAGCTGTAGTCGAGTAAGGATTCTTGTAATTTAAATCGAAAAGTATAGTCGTCGAAAAATTATAGGTTGACAATAGCAATATACTTAAGTAGTTGTGAGTCTTTCAAACCTATCATTTCTAGAATGGAGTTTCAGAGTTGACTACAATTAGATCGAGTCAAAAAGGTGTCAATGTTCGTAAAATCAAAGGATAGTGAAGAATGAATACGTAAAGTAAACATAGACTTGAAAGTTCTTTGTTGACCAGGCATTCTTTTACATCAACCTTGGAAGGCCAAAGTTGACCCTTTGGGTACGTATAAAAGATTGACATCCCGAGGTCTATTTGGGTAATTCACCTTAGACCGAAGCTTGACACCACGGAGGCGTTATTGTAAACACACCTAATTAGATGTAGTCATTGTTACATCTAGGGATGGTGAAAGGGACGAAGATTTCTCGATAAATTTCTTAAAACAGGACTGAATGTTGAAAGAAATCACCAACCATTGTCTAAGTAAGCTAGCGAATGGTTTTAGATAGATGTTTTGGTCATTGTTAACTCGATAAATATAATTCTATGAGTGTTTATGCAATGGCATAGTGACTTGGCATCATAGCTAGTTCGAGGATTTTCCCACTTCAAACAGCGTCTGATCGTGAGTGATAGTGCTGTTAACCACGCCGACATTTCGACTGTAAGTTTCGACGCTCCCATCATTTCCAACACCCTCGAAACTCATTGTCTGATTGAGGCTTCCAAAGTTGTAGATTGGATCTGTCGTTGTCAGGTCATCGCTGTAGTAGGACCCAGTAGCTGTCTGCGAAGTTCGCAAACTAGAGCCATAATCAGCACTATCAAATGTCTTTTCAACATCTAAAATCTCCGATCCATCCTTTCCAGTCGATGTAGCTAGCACTGAAGCCTGGACACCATTGGGGAATACGGATGGACCCAGAACATCAAAAGTGAGCGACCGGCTGATGTTGCCGTAGATACCAAGTTCTTCTCCCGATTCAAAATACCACCAGTCACAGTTGAATGGGTACTCATATGAAAGAGAATACCCAATGCTGGATCCTGTTCTATCGGTTCCAGTGGTCTTTTGGATGGTCTTCTGGAACCAGCCGTAATCGATAAGTTGATTGAAGTTTTCGTAGGAAATATCTTGGCTCCAAGAAACCTCTTTCTCTCCGCTGGATGTCTTCAGTCGGCTAGTGATAAGCAGCGATCGCTTTGCAGTCGTTGTCTCTGTGAGGGTCTCGTTCGTACCCGTAGAGTTGGTCGAGATAGAGCGCGTGATTTGTAATGAGGGCAGCGGGTCTTTGATGACTGGCATGGAGCCTGTAGTAATGTGGCCTTCTTCGTCCTCGAACAGGAAGATCTTTCCGGTAACATACCAGGAATCAGTCGTAGTGTTTGCTATGGTCGCATATTCTCCGCCGTGGTCATTGACGCTGACGACGACCAGATTGAAAGTGTGAGGCTTTCCATCGGAGAGATACGGAATGAAAGCTAACGTGTGTAGAGTAAGTTATTTTGTTCGACGTGAGTGTCAAGACCACTTACGTGTAATGTCAATCTCATGCTCACGTAAATCGAATGCATCAATACCGACAATAGGTTTCCAAAATCCAGGAACGATGCCTGATCTAATTTAGCAGTGACGCGATTATGGGGAGGTTGTGAACCACATACCTCCAGTGAAGATGACCGGGAATGGCCAGGAGACACCAGCAAGCATTCCGTCAATGAGAACCTGCACTTCCCGCCACGGTCCATCGCCATACAGGACCGGAGAAACATCCACAAAGGTATCGGTGTCAGATGAGAAAACATTTTGATACCAAAACTCTTCGTCGGCCTGTCCGCAAGCAGAGACACTGATAACTGCTCGCTTGAGGTTCCGAGGTAGAGTGTAGGAAACAGCTGTATCCTCACTAGGCAGGACAGCGACACTGCTGGAATTACTGGCTCCAAGTAGGCGAGAAATTGGCAAGATCTTATTAGCCGCAGCAGGAGTGTCCGGGACCGTGAAGAACGTGGCGGTCAAAGTAGTGTTCAAAATTCCGGTATATTCCGAGTTGACGATGTTTCCCAAATCAAAGATGATCTTTTGTGGCTCCTTCCACAGCGGTAAGTACTGGTGCATCTCCTTTTTGTAGGTGTAAAAGATGCCATCTTGAGTTGGCTCAGCGGTAGATGTTCGCCATATTTCTGTCGAATTGAAGTACATAATAGCCAGGCGATCATATTGTCTAAGAATATTGTGAGCGATTGTTCCGGTCGTGAGCTCCATGCTACTGGTATGTAGAATCAAAAGCTTACCTTCCCCTGGATGTCAAGTTAAACTCGATCACCACTCTATTGAAGTCACAGTCCGGGGGCGTGTAAAATCCTGTGCTGTCAGCTTTCTCCTGAATTTCCGTTTTGTCTGAGGAATGGTCGAATGGACTTACCAACATAAGGCACGCCATAGCTATTTGCGAAGTCATAATCCATCAATGTTTGCGTGACAACGCATCCGTACTCGTTCTTGCCACGCGCGTCTGCCGATGCGGTCAACACAGGTGGATAGACCTGGAAATCATGCAGCTCTCCCGAACTTGCACTTGCATCACTAGTTCTCTTTGAGTGGCGTTGGCCACCTTTCGCTGCAACAGCAACAGCAAAAGAGAGAGCCGTCAGACCCCCAATTAGTGAGCGTGACAGCATCGTATTCTGCGATCAACTCGGATTTGCACTTCCAGAACCTTGAAATTGTTCTGTGCTGGTCAAGTCGACGTATGAATTGTAAGACCCATTGTCTCCTTTATATACTCGACTAGTACTTCCTGGAAGACGTGGATACTAGCTATCGCTCGGAAATCATGCAAACTTTTCCTCCAATGAGATACACGTTTTGACGAGCTATGTTAACAAGATAACGCACAGACCTCGTTGATTCAATTGTTGATTACTTTTGTGCCGCTGCAGAAATCGATTAGACGACTACAATAGGCGTAGTAAAGCCGATACACGCCAGTGCTCGGCAAAGGGGAACAAGCATCGGCTGATGCGCCACTATTACCCCTCAAATGTGTCACTAAAGCTCGGTGATAAGGGCTTTCTGCATCAAATGCCGACGATAGTCTCTTCGCAATCAAATTCACTCCGTCGGTGATCCGGTCCCCTCACGATAACCTGTCCTGGGTAAAGATCGTCTTTTTACTGAATCTCGTGACACTCACTGCAGAGCTATCAATTTGCGATCGAATTTTAACGCCCTCAGGTTATTCTCGCAGTAAAAAAAGCTTGGAGTATACAATAGTGGTGATACCAGTTGCGATGAGTTACGCCTTCCGAGTGTCCATTATATTGCATGGCCTTGAATCTCGGGCAGAGATAAGGTACGGATCTCAAGGTTAACAAAACCCCAGTGTTGGATTTATTTGCATTTTTCCCCCAACCTCAACATCAAGCGGAGGGTGCGAATAATACATTTTGTTCAAGAAAGCACACTCTATTGATTTCAGGAAAGCGCGATGCAGCAGAGTATAAAACCCCCACCTTCGGCGTCCAAATTTCTCCTTCTATTCATTCCTGCTTCCCCTCATTCTTGCTCATCCCTGCCGCATCATCTTCGAGCCACCAAACCCATTTGAAAGAGACAAAGCAGAGAACGAGTATACCTAAGCTGGTCATTGAGGTATCAATTACTAATAAAAATCAGACATGGTGGCTCGAAAAAAATTCTTTGTAAGCGCTAAGATACTGGGTCTACGATTGATGGATTGACCAGTTGACAGGATTTGCTATGCCCTCCGGCAGCAGTTGCCAAGAATTTATGAAATCACATCCTGTTCCTGAGAAAAGCCAAGAACGAAAACAATTGTGAAAAGGAACGAAACCAAGATTGCAAGTGTAGTATTCATGGTTCAACAGCCTACTTACCCGAACCGTGAACGGTCATCCTCCGAACTACTGCCCTAACCTGATCGCCACTTCACCTTCCCGGTAATCCAACACCCCACCTCCCCACCATGTCTAAGACAAACCGAAATCTCAGACGGCTTCCCCATAGCCCAACCTTGTCTTACACGAACAGGTTTCTCTGTCCCGTGGTCGACGATCCCATTCTCCACAAGCCCGAATAATAACGCCGCGGCTGCAATACCCGTTGCTGGGTCCTCGACATACCCCACCGACCTGGGAAACTGCCGTGCCTCGATGAGTTGAGTAGTGGAGTCGATGACCACATAGGGATATAGGCCCGTTGAGTCTATCTGCTCACACACGCGCCGTATGGGTTCTGAATTCGGCGTGAGGTTTTGTATGATATCGCGACTCTTCAGTGGGATCAGCGTTTTGGTTCGCGACGTGCATCCGTTTTGGATTGGGTATTCTGGTGCGAGATCTTCTTCTGCAAGGCCGAGGCTGGAGAGAATATCGGGAATATATTTGTGGGATAGCTCTTCCACGGTACCCTTTGGCTGCGACACGAGGACCTCACAGGATGCTAGTGATGCACCGGGGAGCACTTTGGCTTCGACGATTCCTGATAACGTAGATATGCCAAGGATATCCTTGGTTAAAGTTGTCGCTAACAAGCCTAGCTGCTGCAGAAGCCAAATCGCGCCTACAGTGGCATGTCCGCACATTTCCATTTCGTGATTTGGGACCCAGTAGCGCATTCTATAGTGACACTTTGGGTTTGTGTCTGCAGGAGCCGGAAGAATGAAGCCGCATTCATGGCCGCTCTTCTGGGTAAGCGATTGCATCTCTTCTGAGGTTAGATCCTCGGCGCCAAGGAAGATTGTGGTTGGATTTCCGCCATCATTGTCGTTATCCGTAGAGTATGGAAAGACAGAGAGGTTGTATGCTTGGACTTTTTCCATGAGGGCGATTGTTTCTTGTGGTGTTCGTAAAGAGCGCGTTGCGGATGACTTGAGTTCAAGTGGTAGGGCGGGGATATAGTGAGTCATATCCTGCCGAGGATTTTGGATTTCGACATTGAGCACCAAAAACTGCTAGCTTTGGCTAATCTATCGCTCTTCGGTATGTATTCAAGGGCCGACTACAAGTTCATGCAATGACAAGCCTTGGCCAAGGACAATGTGGATTAGTCGACCGGATCGTTTATCCGGTCCCGTTTCAATGCTTCGTAAGTAATTAAATGCTAAATGTACATATGCCTGCCTCATGACTTCTTAATGTCGACAGACAGCTCCGATACCCCGAATGTGACGTTGGTATCGGCAGAGAATGCTTCGGTACCGAATTGGAAGATGCCCATGTAGTCTGTCTTTGACGGATAGGTAGTCCCTGATAGGGTGTAGAGATCTGTGATCAATGGGTAGATATCTCCCTGGAACTGCTCTGTCTTTTCCGAGGCAATCCATGTGAGGACAGTCTGGTTGTTGCTATTTGTGCCAGTGTAGAGGCCACTGTGGAATTTATAGTTAGAAGGGCAGACTTGCAGGATTAAAAATAGTATGCGACTCACAATATTGTGCCATTGATGGTATGGTTTGTGACCACACCATCACTATAGCCGATGGGATCGGACGAGGCGCCAAAACGCGCAAACCATACCATGACCTCGAACTGGGCAGTAGTACTGCCCTGGGCGGTGGCCTTGTCGCTGTCAAAGAACATATCGACAGCAACATTACATTGGAGGGATTCGCTGTCGAGTGCGGTGAAGTCGGTGGACTCGGCAACGGTGTTGCCCACGCCGTAGGTCCAGTGGAGATTGAAGTCGATCTCCTCCATCTTGTCAAGCGCCACAGGCAGGACATCTTCGATCTGAATATTGGGGAAGGCGTGGACAGGTTGAGTCTCGGGACCAGGATCAAATTGCCAGGTCACCGACCAGTCCGGTGCTGTGGTCTTGGTCGGGTAGGTCTCATTATTGAAAGTGGTGACCTGGAAGTGGTTAGGGAGGGCTATTTTGAAACTGGCCTGAAACAGTGGACTTACATTCATGCACAGAGCACCAGTCGTCGAGTCGGTAACACCCCACTGGTTGGGATTGACTGTGAGATCGATCAGCGGTGTTCCCGGCGATCAACGATCGGAATGTGGATAATAAGAAAGCTGGGGAAGACTGAAAGAGGATGAACTCACGTGTGTACTGCTCTCCTTGCGAAGGCGGAGAGATACCAAAAGATGTTTCACAGTATTGAGTGTTGGTGAGGCCGTTATTTGTGGTGCTGCCACTGCCTCCAGAGCCACCGCCGGTGCTGCCTCCTGAGCTGCCTCCAGATCCGTCCGAAGTACCGTCGCTGCTGAAGAGCGGCTTTTGGCCGGTCGCCGCGAGATGCGCATCAATGCCGACGAGTGTGCCCACGGAGCCTCCCAGTGGGATAGCCAAAAGAATGGTGTTTACTAATAATGTGAGAGCCATCCTGTGTTTGATGTTAAGGGAGAACGAGACAAAAAAGAAAAAGCCTGAGCCAAGCGGACTTCGGGTGTGACTTGTTATCAGCGATCGTCCAACATGGCTGGTGGATCCGGATTGAGTTTAGCGGCAGGTACTAAAGCGGGAACCGTACCGTTACTGTACCCTTGAATCACGTAGCGCAGGGAAAATTGGAAAAGTGGAGTCATTGCGCCACGCATTTGCCCCCCCGCGTTGCTGCTACTCTGAATGCGGTTACGATATACACTTGGGCCCCCGCATCCTTGTTTGACCAGTAAGATCTACGTGATCTGTAAATTGTGTATCGTGTGGCTGGAACAATTAAAAGGGCTGGATCTGCACAATTCCCAATTCTATTATTATTCGTAAAGAGAAAAAAAGAAACCCACCTTCTATCCACGGATCCAAGCCAGGCAACCAGCTGGATTGGTTGGGTAAAAAATAGAAATCACAACGGGTGGATCAGGGACATGAATTTCGATAGAAATAAAAAAAGAAATTTCAGGTACCAATGTAGCCTATCAAGTTCGATAGACCGGGCAATCATGACGAAAGCGGTTTCAGCGCCCACGCGTGATTAGGGTAGCATTACTATTTATACTGGATCAATGTGGGATTGAGATCAGAATTACGGGTTTCAATGTAATTTAACGTACGGGCTAAGCCTCCCCAAATCCCAGATCTGGATGATAAGACTTTTGGACTCTAAGCTTCCAATCTAATTTTCCCTACTTCCCTGCCCCGTTATTTTCTTCCCTTTCACATCTCCCCAGCTTTCGAGGTTGGTCACATTCGTTTTTCTTTTTAAAAATCCCTAGACTTGTCTCAAGTCTTTCATTCAACCCCAAAAATCCTGCATTCCATCCATCTTATCTTTCCCCCCCCATCCGATCCTAGCGCATTCTTAATAGTCTCGGCGTGATCGCCCACAATGAACGGGTCAACGGCCACTCTATATGGCCCGGAGGAGGAAGAGATGACCACCCTCCACGGGAATCAGGGATATCGAGGCGTGAATCCTACTAGCCCGAGCACCTTCGACTTCCATTTCCAAGATATTCCATCTCCGAGACCGAGAGTCCCCTTTCGAGCCGGCCATACGGCAAGCCCCCGTTACAGTCCACCCGATTATGCCTCACAGGGCTGGCTACAGCCGACACCCAGAACCTCCGATGTGCCCGAGGCATGGGCCAATTCTCCCTATGACTCTCGTTCGACATCACCAACATTGGTATGCCACTCTTCACTCTCCACCCGGTCGCGCGACCAGCCCACGGGAAACTAACACACGTGATGTCACTAGTACCAAAATACTCCGGTTCAACAGAGCGCCCAAAGTTTAGCGCCACTAGTTAACACCCCTGCCTCGCCGGGCTTTTCCAAGGAGTGGGTACAGACGGGTGCCTCGTCAATTGCGCGTATCAACGACCGCGACGACGCTGAGATCTGGAAAGGATGGAAGCGGTGGATTTTCTTCCTGACCCCGTTCCTCACCTTCGGCAACACTGCCATCTATCTGTTTTATCTCGGTTTGCGGATCTACTGCATCATTCAAGCACAGAATGCCGCTGGGATCAGCTACGCGGGCGCCTGGGTCTTTGTTGCCATTGAGATTGCTGTTGCCATTCCCTCTCTCATGCACAACTGCTGGACAATGCTGGCCTTGAAGAAACGCGGTCGCGCGAGACTGCGCTTGACTGGAAACGATTGTCCGACCGTGGATGTCTTTGTGACCTGTTGCGGTGAAGATGACGAGGTCGTTCTCGATACCGTTCGGGCCACCCTGGACCAAGATTATCCGCAAGACCGATTCCGGGTGATTGTGCTCGATGACGCCAAATCCGCAACTTTGGAAGAATCGGTCAACCAGCTCTCGGCAAGCCACCCTAACATGTACTATATGGCCCGAGAGAAAATCCCTGGAAAGCCCCATCACTTCAAGGCAGGTAATCTGAACTACGGTCTGGATCAGGTGCACAATCTGCCTGGAGGCGCAGGTCAATTCATGGCGGCGCTGGACGCTGATATGATTCCCGAGCAAGAATGGCTTCGTGCGGTGCTTCCCCACTTATTGGTGGAGCCCAAGATGGCCCTTGCATGCCCTCCGCAACTCTTCTACAATACCCCTGCGTCTGATCCCCTCGCCCAGAGTCTGGACTTCTTCGTGCATGTCATTGAGCCAATCAAGGATGCCCTCAGCGTTGCTTGGTGTACCGGTTCAGGCTACGTCGTGCGTCGCGAAGCCTTGGAAGAAATTGGCAATTTCCCACTTGGTTCCTTGGCAGAGGATGTAGCAACTTCGACTTTGATGCTTGGCAAAGGTTGGAAAACCGCATACATCCATGAGCCGCTGCAATTTGGTACTGTTCCCGAGGACTTTGGTGGTCACTTGAAGCAGCGCACTCGATGGGCCATTGGAACCGTGGACACAGCTTTCAAGCTGAAGTTCTGTATCTGGGGTGATGCCGTCCGTCAGATGACCTTTGCTCAGCGTTTCTCTGGTTTCCTCTACGCTACCTTGAGTTTGTACACTCTTCTGCTCACGGCTTCTCTGTTCGCTATCCCCATCATTCTCTTGTGGGGTAAGCAGCTTGTTGCCTACGCCAACCAGGACGAGCTTCATTGGCTTATCTGGGCGTGTTTCGCGGCGACCCTGAGCAACCGTCTTTGTGAGTTTGCGCTGTTCATTCCTGCAGGCTACAACACTGGTCAGCGAGGTTCTCGCTACCAGCTGTGGATGTCGCCCTACATCGCTATTTGCATCGTCCGCTCCTTCATGCTGCCCAAGTGGCTGGGTGGCCAAACCCAGGCTTTCAAGCCTACTGGTTCCCTGGGCTCTACCCTTAACGAGCGTGACCCTAAGACCCGCAAGAACTTGTTTGTTCGTCTGCGCGTCATTCTATTCAACTACATGGCTCTTTTCCACTTTGCATTCGTCTATGTTACTCTCGTCGCGGTAGTCATCTCCTCTTACCGCTGTTTCGCCGTCACGAGTGGCTTCAAGGGCGTTGTGATCTGCTTGATCACACATGCCTTCTGGCCCCCATTGACGTTCCTTTTCATCTGCACTTCTCTGTGGACGCCGGTCTCCTACGCTATCGACCCCCCGTCGATGCCGGAACGCGAGGACCTCTTGACCCGCGACCCAAAGACTGGTGTGGCCCACCCGACCACCAAGAGCAAGAAGATTGCTTTCGGTGGTCAGGCCGCTTGGTTTGAGCTTCAGTACACGGTCGCCACGGTCGCCACGATCCTGATTTTTGTTTACTCTTTCTTTTGGTAAATCATTTAATGTATGTAATGTATATCACATAGGGCATGCGGAGTTACGATACACGAATTTGAGGTCATTTACCAAGGTCAACAGGAGTCATGTATACTCACTTGAAGATTGGGGATCGTCTTCTCATTTTTGTCTATATATCATTCATTTTTCTGTTTTCTGGCGTTTGGAGGGCTTCTCATCCACGTCAAATTCTTCCCTCCAAGATCCAGTCATGACTTCTTTATCGGCTCCATGCAATCCAACATCATACGCATTCTTCATACTATCCAGACATATTTGCCTCCGTTGATCAAAGTCAAACATCGGCTTCGGATACGTCTGTTCCTTCGAGGAACCCGTTCCATCTCCCGTAACCCGACATCCCCACTTCTTTTGATCGGCAATCGGCGCCTTCCAAGGCTCATAGATATACTTCTTGTCAAATTGCGCCAGTTCAGGACAATACTTCCGTACAAAGTGACCCTCTGGATCCCACTTTTTCCCGAAGGCAATCGGTGAATAACAGCGGTAAAATTGCGAAAAGAACGCCGTGCAGGAAAGCCACATCCAATTCCCGATGTTGCAAGCTGTCTCATCTATTTTTATCCGAAAGTCAGCATCGTACGCATCCAAGCGGAAAATTATTCTGGCGGGTGGAGAAACCTCCACATGATTTGTGGAACTCACGATCGATTAGCAGCTCTTCAAATACTTCTGCACCTCTTTCCCAGCTTACATAGCAGCCTCCACGCGTCAAAAAACAGGCAACACTATGTCTCCCGAGATGATGGATCCACCCTTCCTGCCTCAATTGCCGCATGAGAGCATCGATCCAGGGAAAGCCCGTGCGCCCTTCTTTCCAGCGAATAAACCATTCTTCTGCGTCAGCTGAGTCGACGGTATAATCCCGGTCACCCGTCTCGGAATCAGCATCTGAGCCTCCGTCTGCCAGGTTCTTGGACTGTAAATGCCAATCGACCAGCCTTACGACGGGATTACCGTACGTTGTGGAGAAGGCAGGACCCACTGCTGCTTGTGCAGCAAAGTACATATCTCGAAATAGCAGTTGGCCAGGCATATTAGTGGGGATCGATGATGTGGGCTTCTTTTCGGCCTTGCGCTTTTGCAACACTTCTTGCACATCCCACCAGACTTTGCGCACGGAGAGGGTCCCGAAATGATGATGCGGTGAGAGGAGGGTGGTAGACTGTGGCTCAAAGTCTGCAGGTGAGGTCTTGGGCTTCTCAAATAGACCGATATATTCTTCGTTTTTGATGGACGTGGACAAGAGCTTCAGCGCCTCCGTTTCGCCGCCTCGGTGCGGTGTCGTCACATTCGAAGCTTGAATGCCTATCTCTTCGAGCGTCGGCACTCCAAAATCACTCTTCGGACCCATGATGGCCGTATACTGCTTGTCCTTGCTCGTCCGATGTTCCGCATTAAAATCAGGCTCTGCCTCAACGCCGTCCTGTGTGATATTGTCCAACTTCATCTTCTCCCAATCCCACGGATCGGGAATACTCTGGGGTGCATCCAAAGGCTTTTCGGGCTGTCCAGAATTGATCTTCTCAGCAGCCTTCTCCACCTGCGATATACTCATTGTCGCTTTGCCCCCATTCTTTGCGACCAGCTCATCGGGATCAAATAGATTTCTCCCCATCTTCACAATTACCTCCACCCCAGCCTTCTCCGCTAATTGCAGTACCTCCTCATCTCGCGCCCTCGCGTAGGAATCGGTGTCTTTTTCAAAAACTAGATGCGTTACTCCCCACGCCTCCCACAGCTTTGGTAGGACGGTCTGCGGCGCCTCGCGCACTACCCATAGCTTCTGCTTGGCATTGAGCTTTTTGTAGGATTTTGAAAGGTCGCTCTGACATTCTAGTAAAAAGCGCCATCGGTTCGGGCCTACGCGGGAGCGGTACACATAGTGCGGATCCCACGTCCAAATTGGAATGAAGGTTGAGGGGTTCAAGGCAAGTGCGGCGTGTAGAGCTGGGGAATCGTGGAGACGGAGGTCGGTGCGATGCCAGTAAAGAACTACCTTGGATGAAGATGGCATTGCCTTTGATGGAATAGATCAATCGACGAGCAATTGACGAATAATCAAGGGGTGAATCTTTTTTCGCAATTCAGATCGGGATCGGAAAGATTAAGGGAAAATCCCGATCTTTAATTTCCTAGATCGTGAGCTTAAAATGCATGACGTCAATCTGCATTCCTAGATGCTCCAACTCCGGATATTCTAACCCGCAATTGTACACCCCTTGCTGAATCTTGATTTTAAGAGAAAGTCTAGAGCAATCTATAAACTCAGTACCTAATGCTCGCTAATCGTCAACCCCAGATTTGCGAAAACATTGTTCTTCACAGCCAATAGATACTCCTCCACAAATCCGGCCTCGTGAAAAACCTCATTATATCCCAAACTAAGATGCAGCTTTCCCCTCCAGGTAAAGCAATGAATAACCAATGCAGCCGTAATATTCGTGTCATTGAACCCGACAGACTTCACCTCCACATCTCCATACCTGTGCCCCAAATACCCCTCCACAACCCCAAGACTGTTAAAGTACGGCTCCGACACAACAGGATGCTGAACACCTGGATCTTCCATCTTCCTTAATACCTGCTCAACAAAAACCCTTCGCACAAAGAGTGCATCGCTCTCATCCGTCCAAGACCGTCCATAGTACTCTTTCAATATCCTGACCAACTCGACCCACGATGCACGTGTCGGCACATTCAAGGGTAATCCAAGCACCCGATGTGAAACCGCCTCAGTCGACCCATTACTCGGTGGTGGGCAATACTTCCTCAGATCAAAGATCCCATAAGAGATAAAGCGCGATGCATCCGACTTCGGATTCCAACACACCGCTTCTTCAATCACAGAGGCGTTGATGACTGGTGTTACAGTCAAGCCACGTGCACGGATCACAGCTAGTACAGCGCTCGTCTCTGCGACTGAGAATACTATCTCGCTTCTGGCTGTATTGCCTGGAGACATCTGCGGGTATTCTCTCATCGTGAACGCCGGTGTCCCATCACTAGTCACAGCATCGGCGTGCAGTGCTGCCGCTTGTACTTCCCAGTTTGGATCCCAGTCTTCCATCTCAGGCATACCTACCACCTCATCGAGTGATGGAGCTAGGTTACGCGCTTCTTGTCCTGTGAAGGTAAAGACTGGAGATGGACTCGCCAGTTCCGAGAGTAGATCGTGCATCAGCCACAATGATCCATGTGCATCCCAGCGCCAATGCGAAGACAGAAGTGCCAGTTCGTTGCTCTTTGGGATCCAATAGCATGTTGCTTGTGGTGGTGCGATTCGAACGATTCCGCCATGAAGGAGCTCATATGCCGATGGTATATCTTCTACCACGAGGAACGTGGTGGCAGCCCAATACTCTAGTGCCCTTTCATCGCGAATGGGGTAGTACCGCTTATTCTGGCCGCTTGGGTCAATTTCGGACGCGATACCCGGGTGTCGGAATCGAATTGCTTTCCATGCTTTGCGGAGTTGGGATGTGAGGTCGAATTCCGGTGGAAAGGATAGTTCTGCGCTGAGCAATATCATCCAGTTTTCGCGGCCGGTAGGGATTGTGAGATTTTTTATTTGGTTGAAGAATTGTTCATGTACGTCTAGGGGGGCTTCCCAGTAGTCTTCTTTTTGCGTCCACGGCATGCTTCAAATGGTTGGCTCTGCTTGATATTGTTGTGGGTAGTCTGGGCTTTGGGATGAGGTGAGGTTGCTTGAATGTGGTGCTCTCCTTGCTGATCAGCCCCGTCTTGAGGTGCAGGAATGCCAAGCAGGCCGGACGTCATATCGTGGGGGCGATTCAAACAGTAAATTGATCAAAATAGGACTTCAATGTTCATAGATGGTTTACATGGTTGGTTGAGTCAGAATTGAACAATCTAGATCCCGTTAAGTCCCGACTAAGGGTCTATACAGGCATAATCCTGTTTTTTTTGCTCTAATGTACAATAGGTGATGCTTGCCAAGATGCGCTCGGAAAAAGCAAGTCTATCACTGGCTAGATACTCATATTATCACTTAGGAGTAAGTAATACTTGCAGCTAATACGGGTGACTCATATGTCAAAGCGCGATATAGAAGCGGGTCTAGCGGATGACACTCCGGCGGGGGATCCGGGGATTGAAAACATTTTTCTTTGACCACCACAAACCACAATTCCTATCCATCAGAGAAAGAAAAACAACATCAGGTTAAATGGCCTCAGATATGGAATTCATCGAGGCTCCGCCTCAGCGGGGAAAGCTACGTATCACTGCGATCATGGTAGCTTTGTCTGTAAGATTAGAGTGACAATTTTCCTTTTCCTGTTCCCCACACTAAAAAAGACCCTAGTTATCCATGTTTGTCGCTGCACTCGATCAAACAATCATTGCGACTGCCATTCCCACTATTGCAGCCAAATTCGATTCTGCTGCGGGATACACTTGGATTGGCGGTGCCTATCTGCTGGCCAATGCGGCCGGATCCTGTATTTGGGCTAAGCTGTCGGACATTTGGGGCCGGAAGCTGATTCTGCTCATCGCCGTTGCCTGGTTTCTTATCAGTTCTATTATCTGTGCTGCTGCGGTGAACATGCAGATGTTGATTGCTGGTCGTGCGCTGCAGGGTATTGCGGGTGGAGGACTCCTCCAGCTGAACACGATTATCATTTCCGATCTTTTTAGTGTTCGGTATGTGCTGCAACCTCAAACAAAACATACATATACTAATATATCAACAGCCACCGAAGTCTTTATCTTGGTTTGATGGAGGTTATGTGGGCCTTGGCTGGTGGAATTGGTCCATTGCTTGGTGGTGCATTCTCGGAGTATGTCTCGTGGAGATGGAGTTTCTGGATCAATCCTCCCATTTCGGGCGTTGCTTTCATCCTTCTGTTCTTCTATCTGGATGTGCACAACCCCAAGACCGGAATGGCGGATGGGATCAAAGCGATCGACTGGTTCGGAAGTCTGTCGGTCCTGGGTCTCACACTGATGCTTCTTCTGGGCCTGGACTTCGGAGGCGAAACCTTCGCTTGGAGCTCGCCACAGGTTATCTGCTTGATTGTCTTTGGAACTCTGTGCTCCCTGCTTTTCGTCTACAGCGAAAAGCGGCTGGCGAAGTATCCCCTCATGCCGATGGACATCTTCTCCCAGATCTCGAACATCGCTACCTTGGCAGTCGGATTTGCGCATGGATTTGTAAGTTTCTTTTCGTCAAGGTCGGGTCAATAACATACTGACTAAAAGCAGGTCTTCGTCGCGGGAGAATACTACATTCCCCTTTACCTGCAATCAGCAAAGGGGGCCTCCCCAATGCGATCCGGTGTCTTGATTCTTCCCCTTGTTCTTGCTGAGGCATTTACAGGCATGATCACTGGAGTGATCATTCACCGAACAGGAAGATACCGAGAACTTATCTGGGTGGGCTTTGTACTGATGACTATCGGATATGGACTTTTGATTCGCCTAGATCAATTCTCATCTCTAGGAGAGATAATCGGATACCAGCTGATCAGTGGATGCGGCGCTGGACTTCTGTTCCAAACACCGATCATTGCCATCCAGGCTACGGTGTCCCAGGATGACACGGCGACGGCGACGGCTACCCTCGGATTTATCCGTAACATGGCGACGGCTTGCTCAATTGTCATCGGCGGTGTCGTGTTCCAGAACAGTATGGGAGAGAGAAAGGCCAGCCTACTGGCTACTGGCATGTCGGAAACCTTGGCAAACCAGATGACGGGTGACTCTGCCGAGGCGAATATCGAGTACATCAAGGACATCCAGGATCCTGTGCAGCTGCTGGCTGTTCGGGGGGCCTTTGCGTGGAGTATGCGGAACATGTGGATCTTGTATACTTGCATGTCGGGCTTGGGTCTCGTCTGTTCTTTCTTCATTTTGAAGACTCGGTTGAGGGAAGACCATGTTGAGACTGTTACTGGATTGAACCGTGAGAAGCAGCCCATTATTGAAAGCCTCCAGACCCAGGAGGAACAGCGAGTTTGACTTGCTAAAAACAAATTGTGTATATGATTAAGAATAGGTAGGGTATGGATGTGAGCGTCTCCATACATGAAAATAAAAAAGCGTCAAGTGCGACTAAATATTTACCACCACTTCAAAGGATGGAATGGCACATGGAAAAGAAATACCAAGATAGTACAATGGGAAAGTCAGATTGGAAGGTAGAAAAGGATAAGTGCTCAAGAAACAGAACATCCTGCACCAACCGAACATAGGACTGGAAGATCAGCAACACTTTGACCAACATATATATTGACTCCTTCGCCGCCAACAGAAGCCATCCAGTCCTGCACAACGACATCCCAAACACTAAGATCCTTGCGGGTGATCTCGAGCGTTAAAGTCTGACTTTGACCAGCCGCCAGTTCCTCGGTCTTCTCAAACTGACGGAGCTGACGAGAGGGGGTATCAAGGCCCAAGCTTGAAGGAAGCTCGACGTATAGCTGTGCGACGGCCTTTCCTTTTCGATTTCCTGTGTTTGTGACAGTGACGTCGATCGAGAATGCGATGTCATACAGAGCAGGATTACCACCTTGACCACCACCAGCTCGCACCCCGGGCTTCTGCGTCGCGTTGTAGCCGTCCGGGTAAGGGTAGGTATCCGATGCAGTGATCGACTGAGGGTCATCGAGGTAGGGGTAGAGGTAACGCCAAATACGAGTAAAGCTCGTTGATGACCATGCAACTTCAGAAGGATTGGGGATGGAGTCATTATATTTCGGCGTAGCTCCTTGAGAGGGTCTCGCAGGAGGATAGGTGCTGTCGATTGCTGTCACGACTGACATGGAAGGGCTCGAGAAGTTGAATGTGGTGTATGACAGCCCATGACCGAAGGGGTACCGCGGAGTGATGTTGGCTTGGAGGAAATGGCGGTAATCGATGTAGAGGCCTTCAGTGAAGGTATCCTGGATTTGGCCGAACGGTTGGTCGATAATACTCACGCTGTCTGGATAGTCAGACTCGCTCTTTGGAATCGTGTAAGGCATATGGCCGCTCGGGCTGTAGTCGCCGAAAAGGATGTCCACTAGCGAGTCACCGGCTTCCTGACCCGGGAGATGGGCCACGAGAACTGCTTTGACGGAGTCTAGCTCAATCCACTCCTCCATCACAATTTGGCCGACCGTGTGAATAACTACGACAACATTGGAGAACTTCTCCGCCGCTGCTTTGACTAGTTCATCACCGTTGTGCCAGGCGTTTAAGCCAGCCACTAGTCGGTCTCCGGGGTTACCGTCAACAGTGATGGAGTTCTCACCAGAATCAGCGTTAATGAAGACAATCGCAATGTCATCGGCACTAGCGGTGACACTAGATGGGAACGAGTCTGTGATGTAAAATGTGCAGTTTTGTGAAACATTTGCGATGGCCTCTTGGGGTGTGATGAGATACGGCAGGCTTGCGGAGCCGCTACCCCATCCCATGGTCAAAACGCCATTGTCGCAACCTTGGTCGGTGCATGAGTTTAATCCACCTGAGTTCGGGCCAGCATCGGTGCCAAACACCTTGAGCGAATCGTTGCTGCTGAGGGGAAGTATACTGTCCTCGTTCTTGAGAAGGGTAATGGCTTCGCGCGCAACAGCTCTAGCAGTGATGTTGTGGTCTCCCTCTACATTGACAAATTGGTTGACAACACCTGTAGGAGAGAAGAGAGCACCGGGATAGAGCTCGCCAGTCGCGGCATCCGTGTTAGAAGAGAAATTAGGCAGTGGGTAGTCTTCATCCTGGCCAAATTTGTACCACGTAGCGACGATTCGAGTTACCTTCATGACGAGTTAATTTCAACGCCTGTGAAGTGCAAAAACCGGGCTTTGCTCTTTACTTACCATGTCATTAAGGCGGTCGAGTGGGACACTGCCATTGAGAATAGACCGAGAAAGGTCATAAGCCCAATAGCTGTCTCCAAACAAAGGCACAGAGCCATCGCCAGGCATAGCCATATCAAGGCCAGCAAGAGCGGATCCTACACCACTATAGTGACCCAGCCAGTCCGTCATGACAAAGCCCTGGAAACCAAGTTCATCCTTGAGGATATCATTAAGCAGCTTGCTGTTCTGGCTGCAAGCCGAGCTATTTACCTGGATGGGTCAGATAGGGTTTGGAGACGACGGGGTGAAGGCTTACATCGTTATAAGCAGTCATTATTGAGCCCACACCAGCACGAACTCCCTCTGCAAAAGGCCAAAGATAAAGCTCATGTAGAGTTCGATCATCGATATTGGACGAATAGCCCTTGGTAATAATGCTGCTCATCCGGTACATCTCCTGCTCGTATCCAATAAAGTGCTTCAGTGACGCGATGGCACCTGTGCTCTGCATGCCCTTGATAGTTTCAGCACCTCCAATAGCTTGAAGGGTTGGGTCTGCACCAAAGCCTTCCCAATTACGACCTCCTCGAGGCTTGCGGCCGATGGGTCCAACAACTGGGCCCAGTTGAACATTGACACCCTTGCCTCGGGCTTCCTCACCAATTCCAACACCACGATTATACATCAGCTCTTTATTGAAGGTCGCACCGACTGTGAGCCCGGGTGGGAATGCTGTGATATGGTCCGTCTCCCGAATCCCTAAGGGGGAGTCCTGTAAGCACAGATTCGGGATGCCGAATCGCGGTGCACTCCCAGTCTGTCCAACACAAGGTCCCATGAAGAACCCTGTTCCGGTGGTAAGATTCACCTTCTCCGCCAATGTCATGTTGCTGACAACCTGGTATGCTTTCTCGTAGGCATCTGACCAGTCAGACACCCACCCACCATGCGGGGTTGGATAGTACGGCGGCGACGAATACTCGTCATCGTCGCGTGGGTGCAGTTGCACGGGCTTGGTTTCCCCATCTGTGACGGAAGTTGCGACCAGCAGCTGAGGCAGCAGAGGCACGAGAGCCAAATGAGACCAGCGAGTCATGGCGTACAATGGAGCGTTTGCGTACGGATAACAGCAGATTAGACTCGACGTCCCGTCCTGTACGACTTGCAGGACAGAAGGTCGCACTTATTTAAACTCTGTCTGGTCCAAGACCTATAGTTGTCCCTCCCTCGTGACGAAAAAGGGGAGGGGAATTTAACAGATGCACGTGCCATGCATGAAAGCAAGTTGTCATGATCCTGACACGGAGTAGATCGTCACTCCATGCGAGCTGAGGGGCTTCTCGCTTGCATGAACGAAGTGATAGTGTGTGACCAAACCCCGTTAGTGGTGGATTATCTGCGTGTTGTGGGCCCGAATGTAGGTTTGTTCCTGGCAGAACGCGGAGGCGCCCAGAGAAGATCTCTCCCCGGATTATCATTTCCCAAAACAGATTCGTCAGGGGAAGGAAGGTAACGATAAGAATGTGGCTATGGTGAACCAATGCTACGTGATATTCCGAAATTTATCCGATCGAAATTTAGCCTTCGAGCTAATGGACAAACCATAGATTTGCGCCATTCTGATCGTCAAATGGCCCAGCTATGCGCCTTATTGGCGGCGCCGCTATTCAGGAACACCGAGGTAAATGGTATGCATTACCAATCTAATTCATAAAACCATGTGATTAGGACAATTCCTTGCGCTGGGGTGTAATCCGCATATTGACAACACGTTCAATTATTTTACAGGCGATAGATCGCGAGCTATTGCTAGAACTTGGTGTACCGCAGGTAGGGCTTGACCTCGCGCACCTCGCCAAACTTCTTCTTCGCATCTGGGGTGGAGACCGACGGAGGAACGATCACGTCATCGCCCACTTGCCAGTCGATCGGAGTAGTGACACCCTTCTTGTCGCCAGTCTGAAGAGAGTCAATCACACGCAACACCTCAGCAGAGTTGCGGCCGGTCGAAGCAGGGTACATCATGGTCAGGCGAATCTTCTTATTGGGGTCAATGATGAAGACAGAGCGGATGGTGAACGCGATGCCCTTCTCGCTGATGTTGTCCAGATCCTGCTGATCTATCATGTCATAGAGAAAAGCCACCTTGCGATCGGCGTCGGCAATAATGGGGAACTGCACGTCAGTCGAAGCAACTTCATTGATATCCTTGATCCACTCGCCGTGAGAACCAATGTCGTTGGCGCTCTGATATAAGGACCGTGTTAGCGAAAGAAAACTCGGTCAATCCTAATTATGACAACCCACCAAGCCAATCATCTTCACGCCACGCTTCTCAAACTCATCCTTCATCTTCGCAAAGGCGCCCAATTCGGTCGTACAGACGGGGGTGAAGTCGGCTGGGTGGGAAAAGAGGATGGTCCAGCTGTCCCCAATGAACTGGTGGAAATCAATCTCGCCCTTGGTGGTCAAAGCCTTGAAGTTGGGGGCTAATTTGTGCCATTAGCATTCGTTGACTAAAAATGACCGCCAATTCCATAATACCAGTTGATCCCAGACGCAGACGCGGCTGTTCTTGGGCAGAAGCCGCGAGGAACCGACGAAGGACCGGCTGAGCGCGGGGCAGGGCAGAGAGCCTGGCCCATGGGGCAGCACGAGGAGCAGTACGAAGGGCACGGAAGGCCATCTGAGGAGCTATCATCGAAGCCATGACTGTGGTTGAATTGAAGAAGTTCCATCCCCGCAAGCAGCTACATCATCGAGGGGATTAGCTCAGCAAGCACGCAAGAATGATCTAACCGCATTAGGAAACAAGCTATGGCAATGATCAAACTGTGTAAACTATCACATAGAATCAATATCAATTAAGCTAGGATGGAGTCAAGGTGTTTCATTTCCTCTACTCTTTTCTCCTTTCTTGCCACGGAAATGCGCCTTGTCTGTAAATTTCAAGACTATATGCGATAATGTACACCAAAGGCAGTAAAATTAGCTTCTCGCCTGTTGCTTTGCTGATCATGTCCAATGGGGAAGACGTTCAGTGATAACAGCCAGAAGCATCGATAACTCTTCTTAGCTCATTGCCTTGACCTCGGGTTCGAACATACGAAAGGATTGGCGTATTGCCGAGTGGGTCGTAAATACAGTGACTGGGTTGCGGGCCGTCCCTGTGGAGCACTGTCCAGGGTCTCCAGGCTGACGAGGCTTACAGAGCTGATGCCCCAAGGATCCCGTGAAGGATCGAATAGCTTAATTATATAACAATCTACAGGTTTTGAATTTGTAACGGAATTTGTGCTAAGGCGCAAAATCTTCTCACCGCAGAAAAGCCTTGGACATGGTACTGTAATATTAGTCGCGAAGATTAGTGGTAATTCTCGTACTCCGAATAGTTCAAGTTAATGCACAAAAACGTTTGAACAGCGCTTGACATACTCCACTATTTTCCTTCTTTGCATCTTAATTAAACCGAGTTTCAGATTCTGACCACTGGCGTTGACTGCCTTCCCGCTACGCTTTGGCCCCCACGTTCGACACTAGAAAGCACCAGGTCATGTAAAAACAGTAGTCCCCAATAAAGAGGGAGTAGCGCCCACGCATGTCCCATCTGCGCTGATTTTTACTTTTATCGCCGTCTCAATGGCTTCTACAATCACAAGTGCTCCCATTGCGCTCACCACCACATTCACACCGCCAGCAGATTGTTTCACGGACTCGTATCACATTCAATGGTGGGATGGCGTAAATTATTACACACCAGTGTCTGCCACTTACACGTGGTGGTGGGTTAGCCTTGGAGCCAGAGATTGGAGCACATGTTTTCCATCGGACTTTGCCACGGCGACAACGAGCTATTTCTCGCCGGGCTTATGTCCATCGGGCTATACAGCTGCCGGTCTAACAGAAGTCTCACTCGACAGCAATATTGAGACAAGAGCGACCTGCTGTCCTAGGTATGGCAGCTCATAATTTGCGCATGCAATCACAAAATCGCGCATTTGTTGACTTGATTCTATATGTAGTGGCTACAATGCTCAAACTGGCGACGGCTGGCCCTGGTACTCCAGCAACCCGTGCACCTCCTCCAACACGAACTCGGACTCTGTCTACGTATATACATTCAACGACGCGGTTACGAGTGAAACGGGGACATTTGGGATCCAGGGGAAGGGCGTTTCGATTCGTTGGCAATCAACCGACTTTGTGTCAGCAACATCGACCTCAGAAACCTTGACATCAGCAACGTCTGCATCAACAAGTTCAATACCAGAAGCGACTAGCACAACAGGTACTGTGGCAACTTCAACGGGCCAATCGACGAGCAATGGACTTTCAACCGGAGCCAAAATTGGGATTGGGGTTGGATGTGGAGTTGCAGCCGTTATAATAATAATTGTGGCTCTCTTAGTCTATCGGAGGCGCAAGTGCAGACCAGCACTAGCATCTGATCAGGCTATGGCACAAAAGTACGGGCCACCCGCTGAAATATATACGCGAGGATTGGATGTGAACAGCCCGCCATCAGACTCCGTATACTCGCGATGGCAAGATGGAATATCACGCTCCGGGGGCTCTGAGCTAGCGGGGTCCCAACCACCTGCAGTGGAGTTGTCAACAACTAGAGAACCCGTGGAACTGGACTCGGGATATATGCCAAGGGAGCTAGACAACATGCACCAATTCCAGGGCAAAAGATAATGGTTCTAATAGAGTTACACTACGTACACTACATATAATAGAAAAATTTGACTAATCAATACGAGTTCATATCATATAACCAAAGATCCGTAAATTATATCCATCAAAAGATTAGGGCCGTCCGGCTTTCACATCCATGCGAACTGTATAATCTTCCACATATTACACCCAGGATTCGTCAAACATATGAAACAAGAAATCCCAGGTCATCCATTAAAATACAGCCTTTTCCACAGGTACTATCAACAGCCAAGCACAGGGACATACATGCTTAAAGCGCAAGCAGAGCAGCAGCAAATGCAGCTCCACCGAGGACACTACCGGCGGTAGCAATAGGCGCCGCGTTCATAGTCGAGTCACCAGACCAAGTGGAAGTAGATGTAGCGTCTTGGTTGTCACGATTGTAGTCACTAGTGGACGTCGGGGTAGCAGTAGCCTCGTTGGTAGCCGGACCAGTAGTTGTAGAAGAATAACGGCCCGAAGACACAGCGGCCGAGACAATGCTAGAGTATCCATTCGCGGAGAACGGGACCCGGGTAATGCAGGTGGGCTCGTTGCTCCAGCTCACTGATGGACCTCCGTAGTCGGTACCGCTGCAGAAGGGGAAGCAGTCCGAGAACTGGACATCAGTGTCACGGTAATCATCGTAGTTCATGACGCAGCAGTAGGGGTTGTTGTCTTCTTCCACAGACAGGGATCCGTGACAGCATCTGTCGTTGCCGTTGTAGTTGATTGGCGTCCATTCGTTAGGGCAGTTGGTAACGAGTCGCTTTCCAAGTAGAGCATCGCCCTGGGTCATGTTAGTTGGATGTGTGATGGACATTAGTGGCTCGAGGGCCTCTTACAAGGTTGAAACGGGCATTCGCAGCCACTGCAAGTGAGAGGACTGCCGGAATGACAATGTTCTGAATTGAAGGCATTTTGAAGGGAGTAGTATGAGACTTAGGCTGTGAATTGCAACTGTGGTGAGTATCTAATGGCAGGTTGATCTCGTAGTTTTTATATTACTGAAGAGTAGTCTGAACACCAATCTAGGAGGCGTGAATATTCTAAAAGCAGATATGTCATATTCAACCAAAGGCGATCTATTGAGATTTCCTTCCAAGGGGAGGATTGTGGTTCGAGGGAAGATCCGGGTAGTCCCAATGACTGCGGGTGGAGGAACTCCTTGCGGATATCCATGTGGCATTGAAGCCAGAGCGCCAACTTGCGGGCAAGCTTGACTGACCAATAATGTATCAGGATCTCTTCAGACTGACAAGTTGGTCATGAAATGAAATAAATTGCTGAGGTATCCCTTGGATTTTGCCGATCATTACTGTATATGATCTGCAAGGGACGTCAGTTATTGGAAGGTCCCGCTAGGGCGTTCGAAAAATTCCCGGAGGATGTAGATCGGATATCAAGCGCAATTAGAACCCTTGCTTTGTTCTGGTCTAGTGACCTATGACGTAGGTTTATCGACATGAGCCTTACCAGGTGTGCCTGGGGCTCTACGTTGCACATAGTTCTGAACGAACTTATCTACGGGAGCAAGGATACGGTACTAGACTAAGCGACCGAAGAATTCATGTTCTGTACTATCAATGACTTGTAGATATTCAAAATCCCAAACGTATTAGAAGCCAAGAGCCAAAGAAAAGCCTAAAGCTTCGACAAATGGGCCGCCCGACAAGCTGCAAGGTTGGAAGGTCCATCGAAGATCTGTTGCTCTACCAGTCGGGTATTGATCTAGAAGCGGGTATTAGCGAGATCGGTTAAGAGTGTCGTTTGAAATCAAATAGGATACAATAGCACTTACGTGTTGCATGCCAAGTTGCTCGAGCCTCTCGACACCAAGGAGTCGCATACAGGTTTTGGTTTCATCAGCCAGGACTAGAGAATATGGTCAATGGAAACCCCTCAGTGAGAACGGATTTTGAACTTACTCTGTAAAACTCTTTTTACCCCATCTACGCCCCCAGCGGATAGGCCAAAGAGCGCAGGTCGCCCAATACCGACGCCCTTTGCGCCCAAGCACATGGCCTTGACCACATCAGTGCCTCTCCTGACTCCTCCATCCACCCAGACTTCGACTTTGTCAAAGACGTCAGGGCAGTATTTGCGGATTTCAAGAAGTGTGTGCACGACTGGAGGGGAAGTATCAAGAGACCTGCCACCGTGATTTGATAGAATTATGGCCTTCACTTGTGGCCTATGCAAGGAAGCAATGTAGGCATCCTCATGGGTTTGAACACCTTTGAGAATGACAGGAAGACTGGTGTGTTTCGCCAACCACGCAAGAGTCTCGGTCCATGTCAGAGTAGGATCCATCCCGGCAAAAGATTTTTTATCTCGAGCTTGCGCTGAGTCCTTCGGGGATGTGTCGTCCTCTTCTGTGATTCTGCTGATAACATCGCCACCACGTTGATCATCTTCTCTCTTGCCCATCACCGGGGTATCAAGAGTCAACACAATAAACTTGATAGCAGTTAATTTATTGATCCGAGCAATCATTCGCTCGCTTCTAGTCCGACCTTCTTGTACGTATAGTTGCCAGCCAAACACTTGTTCTGGTGAGGCGTCCGCAACAATCTCCTCCGGCGTCATGGAGGCGCTGTAGGAAATGATTTGCAAAGCACCGAAGCTGCGACAGGCCTCGGCAATACCTGCTTCGCCAGATGGATGCCCCAGACGGGCCTGGGCTGCCGGAGACACGTATATAGGCATTGAAACGTGGTTGTCTAGTAATTTTGTATCGAGACTGCAATTTGCGCAATCAATGAAGATTCTCGGTCGCAAAAGGATAGAGCGAAAGGCCTCTGTGTTGAAGCGCTTAGAGATCTTGTCGTCGGCAGCAGAGTAGTAGTATGCCCATGCCTTTTTGCTGATCTTTGCTGTAGCCAATTCTTCGATTTCATCCATGTTCAAAAGGTTCTCAACAGGAGGATATTCAGCGGCTTTCTGTGGAGTACCAAGTGAGGACTCTTTCTTGGGCAACGTCGCCGGGTCAATAGTACCAAGAAGAGCCTCGGGCTTGAGGTTGTCTTCCAAAGTACCCGTGGGGTGAACTGGATCGTACTCCTCTGTCGCATCTTGGCCTGCGAGCTTCAGGATGACATTCGCACCCCCAGGGTGGTCGACAACAAAGTCGGTCACCTAACCATGATTTGTGTTTTCGTTAGAAATGTAAAGATAAATTCTCCCAGTAGCTGTTGTGTCCTCACATCGTAGACCTTGTCATACAGGATGACCCAACAGCTCTTGCTGTTATTGTGTTTAGCCACTGCAATTCAATTAGTGAGGCTGATACATGAAACAATTAGAAAGAGCACTGTAATACCTTCCGCAGCATCAAAGACTTTCCCCATTTTGTGAAAATTTGCGGCAAGCCAGTGTCATTCTGGAAATGCCAGACTTAAAAGCAGTAGCGGTCGGCACAATCGCCGACATGCCGGAAGCAAAAGTGGGGGTTGGCACCATTTGTGCTGGGGAGCTTGGGGTCAAAGTGGGTCTTTGACCTTATTCTCCGCTTTACCCAATAGACGGCAATGTTTTAGCGACAGATAAGCGGAATTGATGTTACTTCCGAGGTCACATCTGGTCACTTCCCGACCGGTTCTTAGTCCACAATTTACACCTATATAAACAGCATAATGTCTGCCGGGTGGGGTCTTACCTATCTGGGCTGCCGCCGCTTTTAAGAGGGCGCTCAGGCCGAGGCTCACTAAGTAAAAGTCAGCACTCAGAATCATGATCACGCTCAGTTCAGTCACATAATATATCCTTAATCCAAGGCGCGCTCATGGCCCCGCGAGTGCTCAACATGACACTCAATATCCGCACTCGGGCAATGGAAATACGCTGAATCGTCACATGATCTTAGTCGTAACTACTGGTATCTACGGAGAGCTAGATACTACTATAAAGATATTGCCATTTGATGTCTTTTCCTCTGCGACCCTATCCGAACTTAGTAGTTGTCATATTTACGGTTCACTCAAGTGTCAACAATACCCTTAGGCTTCTCCAGTGCTATAGGCGATTCATGAAGACTGCTAACCTTGATCTAGATAGCGGGGTTGGGAATTACTTCACCGTGGTCACAACTGATAATCTTCCGGACTTCTTACAATTTAGTAAACAATGAAACGCTTAGGGCCCTGGAGGGGGCTAGGTATGCTAGGTATGAGGAAATGCACGTGATTTGGGGGCATGGAGGAGTATGGTGACCCATCTAAATTAAATTAACGCACCTCAGAAATGTGCTTACTTGCGAGCAGAATCGTGCGTTCGCTCAGCCATAGCAGCCACAAACTATCACCTTGTAAGGTGCGTTGTTCATGCTGTGCATCAGAGACGCAGACAGTGTCGAGTCCGACGAAATTTGAATGGTTGCTGGGCGTGGCAAAATCTGGTTCACTATCTCATTCTGCTCGAATCCTTCTAAAACTTGTTAGTGCCTGCAGGCTTAATGTGCTTGGTCGTATGTAGATGGTGCGGGGAAACCCAATGATTCCCAACGGACCGAGCCATGTCAAGAGGGCGGCTAATTGCGTTGCTGAACTGGCTTAAAACATGATGCCGCTGCACAGTGTGCACGGACCTGATGTTCGACAGCTTCGATGTCGTGGTCCTGGCTGATTGGATGCCTCAGTAGTTCTGGTAGTTTGCCATGGTCTAGCACATATGCAGAGCCTCATTCTCTTTTACACGTTTTGCTTAAATGGGGGCATAGAGAATGCTTTATTGACTGATTGTACGGAAGGAACCATGGATCTCTTCAGTGGAGTAGCTTCAGTATTTGCGGTTTGCGGTCAACTGGAAGCATGCATCAAAGGCCTTCGTCAATTATACATTACTTTGAAATTCGCGAAACGGGACGTGCGACAGCTCATAGAGGAGGTTAAAATTTGTCAAGGTCTTTTTAGTATTTTCAACGATGTCACACGCCCTCTGGGCAGCGGAGTGATGAAGTTGGCTCGCGAGAAACACCTTGATGAAGCATTACAGACCCAGGCCACTTCAGCTCTTGGGCAAATCAATCACATTATGACCAAGTTCAAGCCGCTCATGAAGGGTAGCAGCCCCAGCTCATTTGACGAACTTTTAGCAAAGGTTCGGTGGCATTTCACGAAGCAGGAGCTCCAAGCTCTAATGATCACATTTAGTGCTGTGAAGCACAGTCTTAGCTTGCTTTCTTGTCTTTTAACGCTGGAAAGCTCTCTCGCGAGCTTTTCACAGTCAACGTCAACAGCGAATGACAACCATGATTTGCTTCTTAGCCAGATGTGAGACTCCCTAGCTGTTCACGCATATTGTTATCTTGACTAAAGCGCTTTTTCCTTTTGCAGAACTACACTTGAAAAGATGGTTCATCGCCAGACCAGGTCTTTAAAAAAATTAGCCACGACAATGAATGATACACTTCGAAACGTCCACGAGTCGCCGCTGATAGCCAACACAGAATCGATGATCTTCATCATCAAACAGATCCAGAAAGTGCCCGTCGCTGGGGCACGAGCAATTATCGCCCAGGAAGGGCGAAATAATTCTTCACGTATTATGACCCCAACGCCAAGAGCTCGCGATCCCATAAGCATGCAAAATTCAAGGAAAACGAGACCAGGCAATACGCGATTGCGTTCTGGCAGTCGTTTGTCTAGCGTGATAGCATCGCAACACAGCCAAGAAACGCCATATCAGGCGGGTGTGTCTGTGTCTCGCGAGCGTCAAAGGACGCGCGATTATGGAGATGGCAATAGGGAAACTTATGAAGAGGGCTCATCTTCATCTTCCATCCGGCATGGCAGGCATAACCACATGTTGTTCGTGCCCAATCCACCTTTCACTCAAGCCGATTGGGACAGCAGGAACCGAAACAAGAGTGACTCCGGAGAGAATCTTTAAGGTCATGCAGCAGATATATGGGCAGGTGGATATTGTCGAGATAAGGCTTGACTCATCACTGAGCGGAATGCAGAGTTACTGTACTTATTGGTGTCACTTCTGGGTCCTAGACTTCTTCAAAGCAAGCACAACCCCCCTCCAACATAATCATAGATTCGTTTAGTTTATTGATATTAAACCTTATGAGAGATATCATACGTAACGTGTCTGAATTTAATCAATCTATATTCAAACTCTGGAAATGCCGCCATCACTCATTCTCAATTCGGAGTGAAAGTCGTGGTCGTAGTCACCGGTTGCACGGTCTCAGTGGTCTCAGTGGCACTAGCAGCCAACAGTGCAGCCAGTCCCTTCTTCTTCTGTTCTTCAGTAAGACTGGCGTTCTGGCTGATCATCATAACATTCTCCTTGAATGCCTTTCGCTCCTCTGCTAGCGCGCGAACGGCTTCTTCCTCCGCTTCAGCCTCATCATCGTCTTCTCCAACGACATCACCGGCTTGGAAGACAAATTCGTCCTCCTCCTGTTGTCTCTGTTCTTCAAGTTGCTTCTGCATCTTCTCCTGTAGTTGCTTCTCCTTCTCTTCTTCCGCCTTCCTCTCGGCTTCCACGTCAACCTTCTCCTCTCCGACCACCTCCCCGTTTTCATTAAACACGGCCTTGTAGTACTCTTCTCCAATCTGATTTCCGTTCTCGTCGTAGACAGGCTTGGGATACTGGACGGCAGCCGAGACAGTTTCATTCGTTCTCTCGGTTTGTTTGAGTGGCTTTTTCAATTTTAGCATCAAATCAATCCCGGAAGCTCATTTCAGGAGATACTTACGTTGCGGTGGAACATTGAAACCTTGTGAAGCCTGAAGGCGGCTCCTCCGTACGAGACCACAAGTCCCTTATCCTCCTTTGCAATGTTAGTGTTCAAGCAAGCCAAAAGACTGGTAGGAGAGGGACATCAAACCTCTGTAGCTTTGTACGTTCTCCATCCCTCACTGTTCGTCTTGGAATTTGACGATGCATTGGTTCCGACCTTGGCAATACCAGTGGCTCCAACATCGAACCCACCGCTGGTATCCCGGCTATGTGCGCTCTCCATGGTAATGGCGCATTCTTGAGTAGACCATGTCTTTTTGATAGCCCATAGCCCAAAGTCTTTAATATAGGTACCCCACTCCCCCTTCACAAGCTCTTTCGCGTTTTTCTCTACCCAATCCGTAATGACATCTCTGCATGGAGCCTTCAGCCATTCATTCACGACGACAGAGTCGTCTGTGATGAGGGCTGCTTTACCAGTCTGGCCCCATTTGTTCTTCGCCTCGGCAGATACATCAATTGGGGCAGAAGAAAGAGCACCCGAAAGACCTCCTGAGAGTCCAAAGCTAGCCTCAGCTTCTTTGCTCGAACTTGTAGTTTTCCAGATTTTCTCTTTGGGTGTCTCGTAGGTGACCACCTTTTTAGGAGCCGTGAAACCATTCTCCTCAGGACGGCCGGGAATAGAGAGGTCGGTAATCAAGTTCCATTCTCCGGCTTCATCGAAAAAGCCGACCGCACCGGGGTGGAGCTGACTGAATGACTGAGGGGTATATAGGTAATGGCCATCTCTATTATGCTTCATAAGCTCGGCGTACTCTTCAGGAATAGTGATAGTCATTTTGATGGTTTTGGTGAATAAGATAGAATGAGATGTTTGAATTGAAATTGTGCTCCCCGCTGCTGGAGGGGTAGGTCAGTTAAATACGTTGAAGGTGCGTGGGCCAGAGCAGGATCGGTGTCACTTCATCATCAAAACGTAGGTGACGGTATTTTGTCCGATGATCTAATGTGATAGTCCTTAAACTAGTCTCAAATTAGGATCGATGCAGATGATCTTCAGCCCCTCCGTTCGTGACTCGGTTCGGTACCATCTACGATCTAGATCTCAGGGATCGCTTTGAAAGCCGACTGATGACCGTGAAAGGCAATTGTTTACAGAAAAATCCCGCACACCATAATATCTCTCCTACATGCAGAAAATGATAAATATTGGCCAAATATTCATAATGAGTTGTCTACAGTCATGAGTGTTGTTTCTGACGATCAGTGGAGGGGTGCGTCATAGCTGAACTCGATGACATAGAAAGATCCACACTATAACCCGACGGGCTGGTTTAGTGAGGTGGAGCTTCAGTGCACATGCACAGATGCGGGAGAACAAGTGATGAGAGTGTGGTCTGTCATGTATATAGGTTGGTACCTCCAGAGCCAAAGTATGGCGCCAAGGTCCTGCCCCAGCCTCTTAAAAAGTATGAAAATCCAAATAGCAAGAAAACAACTTCCCCACACTGAAGAAATGAGATCGCCAATTTCCCTTTTCGACCTCATGCTCACCACCTGGGCAGATCCCACCTCCTTCTATATATGCCAAACAATGTGAAGTACCCGTGGTATAGCCATATCCGCCATCCAGAACTAAATTGCAGGGGGGCTTGACTCTGGAATAGGTGGATGTTGAGTCCGCCAATTTCTGTAATGGTTGGCTGAAGATCATACTCAATTTGACTCAGTGATCAAAAACCTTGGAAGCAAAAAGGGCACTAGAATGGGCTGCAGAAGTATGTAACGCGGCAGGAATTCTGGCTGCGAATATCCGCTCAACTGTCCATTGCTAGATAGACCCATAGCCAATGCAAATCCTGGGATATTCAATTCGTGTAGAGACTTGTGAGAATTGTTAGAGGTGCTGAGGTCCCAGGCTTTCCTGACGAAGCTATTATCCATCAGCGGACTAGGGACACACAACTCGAAATTTGGGGCAAAGTATTTACACTTTTCAATTCTCTCAGACAAAGATTGTTTGAATGTTTGTTTGAGTCCTAATATAGCCTAGCGTATCTCCAATGCGGTACAGTGGATGCATTCAGATGAGGCTAACCCAATTTGGGAGTCCAACCTGTTTGGACTGATGCCTTAGGCGCCGGACTGCAGCTATGAACGGTTGACATGTGCATGAACCATGCACAAGCGGGGGCCAACTAATCGAGTGCTATTGGCGCTCATGTTATCTCGCGGTGAATGACGTCAAAAACCACATTTTTGTCTTGACAGACCGACGTAAACTTTATAGCCACTGACACCAACAACCATTCCTCTGCAGGAAGATCGGATCAGACTTGAGATAATGTTTACATCATATCAGCCACCAGTATGAAGAGCCTATGGTAGGAGTAGGTCTTATTAACTACATTGGTCCTGAAATCTTCTCATAATAATATGATTATGCTGGGTATAAACAACAGATCGCAGGCTAGATACCTACGGTCAAGACTACTCACGCGAATATTTCATAATCAACAGAGACATGACTTTCAAGTGGCCCGACTAAAGCCCTCAAAATTCATTCACGATACAAGGTTGACCAAATACTCGAGCTACAGAGCCGTAATTACTTGACTTCCAGCCTGTGAAGCGCCAAATCCGGCACAACAACTAAGGACTAGCTGGACACCTCAATTTACGGTACTGAGATTAGCGCGGTACCTGTAATCCAGAACAAATTATCTCAAGTGTACAAGAGTATAAAGCCTCCAGTCAAAATGCCAGACAACAATTGAATAGCCCCGGGATATACGCTAACATTCCAACCATGGGTTTAAAAAGGCGCCGACTCAGAATCGTTCCTTGAACACCTTGAATTTCCGGGGCATTCTAGTGCGAGCGAGTAATTGAATGGGTGTTTACTCGATAATATGACTAATTTGAATCCCAAATACTGCGCTTCAACTAATAGCGGTAGGTGGCGTTCAATTTTAGCACTTGCTTAGTAGACTACAGATATCTACGTGAATTGACTTGAAATTAAAGACGATGATTACCAAGGTCATATTTGGGTCTAGAAATAGACAGAAGACCTACCTAGCGCTAGCAAGAAAAAAAATGCTCCCAAACTCCAAAATGCATGCGCCATCATACACAAAAGAAATAAAGAACGCTTGAATATGAAGTCATAAGTCCCCACCCCTGTGACGGCATGCATGGGGGCGTCCCCTTGATGGATTTAGCCTCTTACCAGAACTTTGGCCTCGATGATTTCATCATGGAACAAACGAGGGGTAGAGCATGCAATATAAATATCGAAAATGAGAAAAAATATCATGAAAATAGGAAATCAAGTCATGGTCATGGCGGGACATGTCTTCGGGGGTGAGGTGAAGTATGAACTGTACAATGTTGGGCCAGTGACAAGTCAAAGGCTAGCTGTCGTAAATAGGATGAATAGATTCGCTTCTCTTGAATCAATGGGTCGTCAAGCAGTGAACATCAGACGTAAGCGGCTTGGGCCTTTCTTCTTCTCCTTCGGCCGCTTCTCTTTTTCTGACACAGGAGTGCCAGACTTAGAAGGCGCTCTACTAGGCGCTCTGCTTGAAGATCTGCTCGGGGCTTTGCTTGGGGCTTGACTTGGAGCTCGGCTCGGTGCTCGGCTGGGTGCCTTTGATGGCTCTCTGGTTGATCTGGAGAACATTCCCGCAGAACTCTTAGGAGCAGACTTGGACTCCCTCTTGGAGTGCCCCTCTGAGGACGCGCGTGCATGTGATCTGGATGTGCGCGACCGACGAGACCGACGGGATGAGACCACCGAAGTCTCATCATCGAATTTGAAGCGTGGATCTCTCTCCATGCGCGCTGTGGTCACGTCGATTCCAGACAATGCGGCTGCTCGCTGAGTAATGAACTCACCGTCTACTGATGTTCCCATGCTGACGGCTTCAACGTCTGCAACGCCGCGCCTCCACATTTCAACACGGCTGCCCGATTCCACATTGAGCTCCATCAACTCTTCCATCTCTTCCTCCTCGTCTGGACCCACGACAGTCGGCTCTTGGGTAATTCCAGTGGCTCCTGACTGGATCTTCTTGATGATCTTGTATCCTCCAAACATGACTACTGTCACTCCCAGTCCGAGACCAGCAGCGATCAAGAATTGTGGGCTTGCTAGTAGGGCCCAAATTGCCGGAGCAGCGGACTTGAATGCAGTAAGCGCCGTTGGTGCCATTTTGCCGGCGACATTGCTGATTTCCGCCAGAGTGAGAGCGACCGCAGCCATCGCATCGGGGTTTTTCTGGAGATGAGCGATAGTGGCGGTAGCACTATGCTGCATACAATGCGCTTCTTCCAAAAGCCACTGCGCCCGAGTTACCAGGCCGTCCAGCTGCTTTTGATCATCCCCATTCTCCACCGCCGGGCTATACTTCGCTAGCGCGACCGGGTGAGCATCACCATATGCAAGATCCATATCAATGTGAGCATCGGATTTGGAGCGGGCAGTTGTTGGTCTTGCCTCAGGCTGGCGAAGTGCGACCTCATGATGGGTATGTCTGCGGGGAAGCCCCGTTGGCGCTTCAAAGGCCGATTCGGGTCTCGACGCACTGGAATGCAAATCTTGCTCGTACCGAGAAGGGGGACGGCGATGGTGCACACTACGACTTGATTGATGTCGTGACCTCGAGGCGCGACTTCGCCGTGATGGTGCTACTGATGGGGAGTCTTCAATCTGGAAGGTGGCGAGAGCTTGCAGTGCTTGCTGCTCCGCAATCTTGGCATTGCGCTCCGAGTCAAAATGGGCCTTGCGTTCGCGATATGCAGCTTTTGCTTGACTGAAAACGCCGAAGAGTTGTTTACTCTGGTGCTGTCAGGATAACCTTCGATTGATTCGTTTAAATCCGGGCTAGCTTACCGTGCTAACAACCTTGCCGGACTTGTCAATCACAGCGATCGTCTGGCCGAGCGGCGCCATCGGAGAGGATCGTCAGCGGTCAACGATCACCTCATTAGAGAATTGTTTGAGGCCGGTGAAGAAGCGGTGTAGAAGGCTAATGATTTCACCTGGATGATCTAAACAGTCAGGGTATAAACAACGGTAAAGAGTAATAACAAGAGAGAATCGATGACCCCGATGTATAAAATGGAACAATACAGGAGAAAAGAGAATTTTAAGTACCCAAGCTGATTAAGCTGGTTAATTTAAAATCCCCGTGAAAAGAGATCAGCGGTCAGGTCCGATAGGACTCCTATGGTTTACTTATGGGGAAGAGTGAAGCGGGAAAACGGAGGAGGCTGGGGGCGATGGCATCAGCGCGCAGGAGTTGGGCAGAGCAGCGAACGATGGCCGCAGGACCCTCACTATAGGGCAGAGTTGGGTTCCAGTGATGCGACAGGCAGAAGCGAATTACAGTGAGAAGCTCGCATCACATCGGCAAGACGAGTAGTTGGGCGCGAAGACCGCTGAGTGGGGGGAAAGGTTTGTTGGCGAACTGTGATTGGGAAAGAAGGGATCCTTTCCAAGAAAACATGCTCGCAGACTAGGCCGAGAGAAAACACTAATAGCGCCGATATGCCCCGGAGGTTTTCTAATTGATAAAGAAGCGGTGACTTGATGTTTGTGATTGGTTGAGGGTCACCGCCACTGTGGCTTGTATCATAAAATAGCCTTACCAGCCACAGCACGGTGGCGGTGCTGCTGTGTGCGCACATGATACTCGACATGGTGTACATGTACTGTGTACGTAGATGCAATGTTCCGTGCCCCCTGAAGACGCAAAGGGAACCCTCGAGAAGGCAATGACGATGGCGCGATCACTGCTGTACTCAGGCACTTCCGATTCCAATTGGAGAGTCTCCAGTCAAACAATGAAACTTTGGCATGGGCAGCTGCAGGGTGGAAACGTAGTCTTGCAATGATTTATGAAACCAGCACAGGGCGCTAAATTGCGAATAGAAATGCGGGTGAAGTCATCCGTCTTATCTGTCCACCGCTGATCTGTCAAGTTCTCCTATTCATTTGCACTTCTCCAAGTGCATATATTTGGAAATCCTCACTTTGTATTCATGGCTGTGCTTGATTTTCAGTCGCGACGTCCTTTGGCCCGACTACAGTGGGAGCCAAGGTGAGTTGCGAGTAGAATCCCACAATTCCCCGAGGTCATGCGACCGTATACAAGCCTGAAATAAAAGGGAAATCCAGAATAACTGACTGACGGGGAATCAACTCAATAGGTCGGCATGTTGTTGGAATCATAAAAGATATTATTCAAGGGGTGGTGAGTCGAATATTTGACCGATGGTGCAATGGCTAAGATTTCCCGCACCGCCATTTTTCTTCCTTTCTATTCTCCTTTTCGCTTCTCTCTATATTTGCCTTCAAACTTTTCATATTAGTCGTGGGAATAAACCCGGAGCCTCCAGTTCCAAAGATTCGTTTTCCGGGTGGATCCAATCATCCGACGCGGGGAGATCTGGCCTCCACACAACTTCTCAAAATTAACTCCCCCTAAATCATTGACTGACTGGAAACCACGCAATGGATATAGTGGATTCCGGAAGCTCTTCCGACGTGGAAGACCAATCCAAGACATGGGGATCGGATGCTCGGTCTTTAGCGCCAAGTAACGACGATGCAAGCAGCGCACAGCCGCTTAGTGATTGCGGGATCGGACATCGCGTGCTGGCTAGCCGCTCCGTCCTAGCATTGGCTATTGATGAAGAATGTGTATTTGCTGGCTTGCAAGGTGGAGATATTGTGGTAGGTAGTCATGCGACAAATGGTCGCTTCTTTTTTTGATGATGTCGATTTCGTCAATTCCAAGCTCCCGGTCTGACTCATTCTCTAGGCTTGGTCCCTGCAGACATACGACCTTGTTCTGTCGGTCCACGCCCACAAAGAGAGCGTCCTGGGTCTGTACCTGTCAGAGGATGGGAACTTACTATTCTCCACTGGCGGAGACTCGGTGATTAATGTGAGTTACTGAGAACATCCCGTCGCGGAGCTCCGAGGTACTAATCACTCTCCCCAGGTCTGGACGACAAGAACATTTGAGCGACTGTACTCCATCTATCCTCACCATGATGTGGGTGATATCTTTACTGTGGTTTATTCTGCAAGTAATCAAACCATCTATTGTGGTGCGCAGAACACAAGCATCCAGTGGTGTGATCTGTCAGAAGAAAGTTCCCTGAGTCAAACATCAGCGGCCCACCCGTCAAAGCGGACGCATCGCTTTTTCGACTCCCGGGGCCCGGATGGGACGCTGGCTCCTCGATCATCAGATGGTACCCACTCGGTTTCGGAAGGGGGTCGAATTCTATCATTCAAGCGAGACCACCATAAGCTGTTCGCTCACCATGGCTATGTCTATTCAATGCTCCTCGTTAAGGGTCTTATCGAGTCTGCTCCTTCTGAGGAGGTCTTGTTGACTGGTTCTGGGGATGGTGCTGTGAAGTTATGGCGGATCGGTCAGCAGCCCGGAGCAGCCCCAACTCAAATTGCAAAGCTACAGAATGGAGACCCTGTACTCTCTATCGCCGTGGAAGGCTCATTGCTCTACTGCGGTCTGGCCGGTGGTGCTTTGAATATTTGGAATCTTGACTCCCAGCAACTAGTTAAAAGGATTGTTCGCCATACCGGTGACCTATGGGCAGTCCATGTCATTCAAGGCGTTGCAATCTGTGGAGACTCAACAGGAACAGTCAAGGTAAATCGAACTCTCTGTAGACCCTTTCTTTGTGCACTGGCTGATTTTATTTCAGAAATTCAACTCTCGATTTGAGGAAGTTGGTGGCTGGGTCGCCCACGAAGGCACCATGCTTGCATCTGCTACTGGCCGAGCCAAGGACCGACACATCTATGCTACTGGAGGAAATGATAACTCGGTCGGCATTTGGGACCTGACGGAATTCTTCCTCACTCAGGAGGAGCTGCCACCCATCAGCAACGGTACGTCTTCATTTGGTGACAAAAAGCACCAGTCTGCTAACTCATATTTGCCGCAGACGAAATGGTGAACAGTCTCGCCAAGTTTGTCTCATTTAAGACTATTTCCGCAAGCCCCAAATTCAAAGGTGAATGCAATCAAGGAGCGGCGTTTCTCCGTCGTCACTGCAACTACCTTGGTGCGAAGACAAAGCTTTTGACTACGGGCGAGGACACGAATCCCATCGTGTATGCCCGGTTTGATGCAACTTCATCGGAGAAAGTAGACAAGACTATTCTTTTCTATGGCCACTACGACGTTGTGGGTGCTGACACCAATCGCCCCAAGTGGAGATCCGATCCTTATCAATTGACTTCAATCAATGGATTCCTTTATGGTCGTGGTGTTTCCGACAACAAAGGACCGATTCTTGCGTCTCTGTATGCTGCTGCTGATCTTGCTCGAACGAAATCACTTCGTTGCAATGTGGTGTTCTTGATTGAAGGAGAGGAGGAATCTGGATCCCAGGGATTCCATCAAACTGTACATGAGCACCAGGCTGAGATCGGGCCTGTGGATTGGATTTTGCTCGCGAACAGTTACTGGTTGGATGACTACAACCCCTGTCTAACATACGGTCTTCGAGGTGTGGTGCATGCCAATTTGGTCGTAACCAGTGATCACCCTGACCTACACAGCGGTATCGACGGAAGCGCTCTATTGGATGAACCGGTCAAAGACGTATCGATCCTGGTTTCTACCCTAGTTGGACGGAAGGGTCGAATTAACCTTCCTGGATTCCACGACTCCGTACGTCCCATCACAGAAGCCGAGCAGAAGCGGTTTGAGGCCATTGCAGACATCTTGCTCCCTCAACATCCCGAGATTAAAGATCGCCAGGCCTTAGTCAAATCTCTCATGTATCGCTGGCGCGAGCCATCGCTGACCATCCACTCGATGGAAGTTCCCGGCAGCAAGAACGCAACAACTACCATTGCTCGACTCGCCAAGGCTAGTCTCTCAATCCGTATAGTTCCCGATCAACAAGCGGATGATGTTGCAGCGACTCTCACTGCGTTTGCTCAGGAACAATTCGCCCTACTGGAATCACAAAACGACCTCACTGTTGAGATCACTGGAAAGTCGGATGCCTGGCTGGGTGACCCAGACAACGAAATCTTCGCCACACTCTCAGAGGCAATCACAGCAGCATGGACTCCAGACCAGCAAGAATCGAAACATCAGTACCCGCCAATGCCTCTTCCCAAAAATGGACGCCAATCTGTCACCCCCAAGCCCCCCGTTCCTGCAGGCCCGGGCCTTCTTCGAAAGGATTCCTCTGACAGCCTGGCATCACGCGTTGATCGTGTGATCACATCAACCACCACCTCATCGGCTGAAAAGGCGGCCGCCCGTAAGCGGTCTTTACAGTCCGCCACTGTCCCGACATCCTCCACCCTAACCCAAACAGCCACATCCCCCGATGACTCTTCTTCGTCTTCGTTGCCCATTCGAACCAAGTCTGACACACAGCTGTCAGAAACTCCCGACCTCGCAACCGGAACTGCCCAATCCACCTCCCCCGCAACGGTGAAGCCTATTTTCATCCGTGAAGGCGGGTCGATCCCCACGATCCGCTTCCTGGAAAAGGTCTTTTCAGCCCCGGCAGCTAACCTGCCTTGTGGACAAGCGAGTGATAACGCACACTTGGATAATGAGCGCATGCGTGTTGAGAACTTGTATAAGAGTCGAGAGATCTTCAGATACGTGTTTGCTCATTTGGTTGACAAAACATAAGCACCTTGGCTTGTTTTGGCTAAAATCAAGTTTCCTCAAATTTTGTAAACTATACATACTCTTAGCATTACTTTCGGATTACCATGAATTTGATTATTTCTTCTTCACGTCAATTTAAGCGGTATGAGGCAAGTCCTTGTTTTTTTTCTACCACTCCGTTCTTGCTCTTCATACGGAAGGGCCCATGGGTAGATAAGAATGAAATTACCAACATAGCCTCTCTAAATATTGTCGAAACCTAGTCAGCGAGTTTCACTGAGCTTTGTTCTAGATAATCAACAATTTATGGTTCCTGAATGCCCTTCCATATGTGTGCTTCTATTATTCAATTGTATTGACTCATATGTCTACTTTACTAAGATACAAGACGGAATCTATTTGTACCCATGAATGCCTTTCAACCATTAATCCCGTGCCATATCTTGCCATACCATGTAGTTGGGACCGTCACCTCCCAATGTTCATTCTCAATCTCAGCCCGTCCAGTGTCGAGATCAGCCTGTAGTGGAGACACAAAACTATCCCGGAACACCAGTTTATGACCGATCCACAGCACAGCAAAAAGGATAAGGCTGACATATGCCACAAAGAAGCTTTCAACGTCAAATGAAGGAATCCATGCCGTGAACCCTTGCGTCAGCAAAATAAGGATGTTAAAGAACAATCCATAATAGGCCAGAAACGGCTGGAACGGAGCTTTATAAGGCAGGAAATCGCGCGAGATATTCCGAGCCTTTAATGCACGCATGAAAGCAATATGGCATGCGTTTAGCGAAGCCCACAGAATGAACCCTGCAACCGTCGAAATGTTGAGCAACCAGTTGAAAACCGTTGTGCCCGAGGTCGAGATATTCATGAACCCAAGAAGTCCGAACAATGCGGTGAGCACGACTCCGAAATAAGGCACACCCCCCTTTGTCGTCTTCGCGAAGAGAGAGGGGGCGTATCCGTCATTTGCTAGGCCGATTAGCATACGGCTTCCGCTGTAGACGTTGGAATTGGCTGCAGAGAGCACAACAGTCAACAGAACCGCGTTGATGAGACTGGGAAGAACCTCGACACCAGCCAACTTGGCGGCAATAACAAATGGTGATGCACTTGCGTTAGAAGAGCTTGACAAAAGATCCTCGTTGTCGGATGGCACAAGGAGGCCCATGAAGAACACAGAGAACACATAGAACAGAAGGATTCGGAAGAATGTTGCTCGAATAGCCTTTGGCACTGTCTGCCGGGGATTTTCAGTTTCACCTGCAGCCAAACCGACAAGCTCGGTTCCTTGGCAAGAGAATCCTGCTTGGATGAGCACTGCCCAGAATCCAACGAACTTTGCTGTGGGCCCTGGTGTAACGAGATAATCGACGAATGGACCTGGATGTATCCAGTTATGGAAGCCGAGGTACCCTTGATCCCCTGCACCAGCATCAATGCAGATGCCAAAGATGATAAATCCGATCACTGTCAGGACCTATAAGCATTTGTCAGTTTGAACAAGAACCATCACTGGGCCTACAGAACTCACCTTGGCAATAGAGAGCCAAAACTCAATCTCGCCGTAGAAGTTCACCGGTAACAGGTTCAAAATAGTAATGACGACCCAGAAGACTGCGATGAATATTGCCGTGTTGATTGTCGGATCCCAGTATTGGATAATAAGACCCGTAGCAGTCAACTCAAGCGCGTAGGTGATGGCCCAGGAGAACCAATAAATCCAGCCCATTGCAAACCCAAGACTAGGGTCGATCAATCTGGTGGCATAGGACGTGAATGCCCCAGACACGGGCAGATATGTGGCTATCTCTCCCAGGGAAGTCATGACCGAGAACACAATGGAGCCGATGAAGATATAGGCGATCAGAGCACCAACAGGTCCGGCATGGGCCAAGGCTTCGCCACTGGAGATGAATAGGCCAGTTCCGATTGTCCCCCCTATGATCCATTAAAAGACTGAGTATTTAGGGAGAGAAACGTGAGATGTTTTGAGCACCTACCAATTGCAATCATCTGAAGGTGTCTGCTCTTCAGCTTACGCTTCAAAGCTGGGCCCTGTCTTTGACCGGCCAAGGAATTGTTTTCCTCGTCGGGCTCATTGCAAAGTCTAGGAAGTTGGGGAGTGGGCGACTCTTCTTTTTCAGGCTCTTTGACCGCTGTCGCTTTGAGGAACCCCATGTTGGGCTATCACGCAGATACACGATGAATGAACGATTGAGTGATTGATTCGTTGAAAGTCGGAAACACGCGAATACCGACGAGATCAAGCCAGACACAGCGTTCAAATGTTGGAAAGTTGCAATTGGTCTTTGCTGGCTGTGATCACCTAGTCATCAGTTTCTGGTACTTCTCTATGGCAGATCTGTCAGGTTGTGGAGCAAAAACGTGGAATTGACCCTCACTCCACGAAAAGAACGTGGGGAAAGATTTGAGGAAAACACGTTTCGCTTGGTTCACTGGGCGCTGTGGGAAAACACCATCTAGAAAGAGGGTTAGCTCCGAAGTTGTTGAGGACGCTCATTCGTCGCTATCTACCCCGCATATGCATATGCAAGCCTTGGCGGCTTTTAGCCGATCACCTCCTCTTTTCCCCTGACGTTTATTATCAGATCCACTTACGTTATAAATTCCCGAGGCCCAAATTCACTACTGCCTATGAAATTCAATCTGAGGACCCATGAATGCAACACATTTGGATCGAGTTCTTGTCAAATTCCCTAGCCAGGAATAGGAAGCTGAATTTATCTTTCTATACTAAAAGCCTACTAAAACATCAATTCTTCTCATACTCCGAGTCCGGACTAACCTTCACATTTACTGCCTCAATCCTCGCTGCCTCCCGAATCAGGCAGTGGTATGACTTGAATTTGCGCGCTTGGACACGCGCAGCAAAGATCTCATCTAGCTCTTCCAAAGAGCGTCCCTTCATCTCCGGCATGAAGAAGTAAAAGAAGATAACACAAACGAAATTCGATCCAGCCCAGATATATCCATATTGAGCACCCTGTATCATAGTCTAGTCAGCTTCAAGGATGACTAGTATTCCTCACTTGACATATATAGACTTACCCAGTTCAGATGCTCCGGATTGATAAAATATGGCGTGCAAAAGTTCACTAGCCAAGCAAGCAGATAACCCAAAGATGTAGCCGTCCCGACAGTCCATGCACGGAGTCTTGAACTGACTAGCTCTGTAGCGACGGGGTAACTTGCAGCACCGACACAGCCGTTATAGAAAAACATGAACAAAGCTGTGAATGCCACCAGAGTCTTGCCAGTTGGTAGAGTACTGGGGCTCACTGTAGCAGCGATAGCGCTCGCTAATTGACATAAACCGCATCCGATGGCGCCAATTATAAGGATTGAGCGACGTCCGAATAATTCCCGGATGGCGTACATCCCGACGTTGACCCCTAGGAAGCCAAAGCAGGTATTCATGATGGAATATTGGAATGCTTTGGTAATACCGCAAACTGTGAAGAAGTATGCTTGGTAGCCTATGAGGAACCATACACCCGATGCAGTTTGACAGCCGATCATGCAATAGCAAAGGATGGTTCGGCGAAGGTCAACACCTAAAATTAGTAGATCTTCCTTTAGCATAAGAGCAGATTCAAGGAAACGCGTTTCGGAATCTCACCTCGGAACATATCCAGCGCCGCCACATTTCCTTGTTCGCGTTTTTCCTCTTCTACACCTTTCACCATCTCCACCCACTCTAGTTCCAAGAGCGATGGCCCCATAGTTGTGCTACTAGCACTCCCGACCTCATCTCCACTGTCCCCACCCGGTGGAGATAGCATTCTAGAAAAAGCAGCACCCCGAAGCTTTTCCAAGGACTTTCTAGCTGCCTTGTTTTCACCACGATGGAGCAACCATCTCGGGCTTTCCGGAACGAAAAACAATGCGAAAAACAACAATGTGGGCACGATGTAAAGACATGCTAGTGGAATCCGGTAAGACAGTCGATCGAGCCGCGTTTGCGTGTAGTTGTCAACCAACGCGCCAAGAATGCTTCCTATGTTCACCCAGTATGCGAACAAGGCAACCATAACACCACGCATGTGAGCAGGTGCTACTTCCGAAGTATATATATTCGAGAAAGTGACCAGGAACCCATTGGCAAATCCCAGTAGTAGGCGTCCGAAATATAGTACACCGGCGGATGTAGTTCCGATTTGGATCCCAACTGCGACTGCGTTGACAACACAGGCAAGCCAGAGAGCATGGCGGCGGCCTAGGAAAGCTGAGAAGTAACCCGCAACTAAGGAAGAAACAAATGATCCTAGAGTCAAAAGCGATGTAATGAGTTGTTGAACGGTACTCTTGAACAATGTAAGATGTTAGCCAGCACATGAAGTTACGGCGAAGGAAGATGACACTCACGTCAATCGCGTAGCCCGTGTCGCTGCTTGGGTCACGGTATCCAAATACTTTCAAGAAGCCAGGCATGGCTTGTAACGAGCCAACAGCAGCTAGATCAAACCCATATTGCATGTTCGCCATTGATACAAGACAGCACAGAAACAGGCACTTTCGATTTTGCCATAATGTCGTTGATGACATGGTGTCTGTCATGATGGTCAAAGTTGAGGAACGTCAACTTCAATCTGGCTGGAGTGGAATTTGTATCAACAGGCCCCCTCTTTTAGCCTGCTAGTACAACATATATAGCCTGAGCTTCAATGATAACTGTACAACCTCCAAGGCGGGGGCGACACGACTCATGTATTACTCCGCAAGTTCAATCACGCGGCTTTTTGGAAGGATAATACCCAGACTTGATGAAGTTTCAACCAGTCACACGAAGAATTCATCACTTGTTTCCTTAGGCTCAGGCTTGCCTCCCCACAACCCCCGCATGCACACTTGAATATCGGGGAACAGCTGGGACGGCCCCACCTCTCACATTGTTTAAGGTCAACATAACTCAACCGGAAAAACCTCGGGAGGTTTCAAGATGTCTTTAATCTAGTTTTTATTCATTGGAAAGTCATTCCTGGAGGGATATAGTGAGACTATAGCTTGCGATCACGACTACCAATATTAAGTCCCAGTTCTAATTCTGAAGCATTGTGGACCTTATTGAAAGGCCGAATTGCTTAATTTCATCAAGGAATACCACAGTTCCCCGGATTATTCATGTGGGGCGGACTACTTGCAGATAATGTGGCTTTCCTGACGGGGCCAGCCTACGAGTCTAGCGATGCTAATAGTGATACCCCGCAACTTGAAAGGACTAAGCCCGCATTGACATCTCGGCATGCTTTCTGAGGGTGGGGTCAGTTCTGATTTAATTCCAATCCAAGCTAGAGATAAGATGTAAGCCGATTCCTGTTATTCGATGTGGTCGAGGTGCTCATGTGGGAGTCTCGTTGTCGGTATATATATATCCAGTACGCATCACTATCGACGTCCACGGGTCCACCTGGGCACGGGTATTCTCCAACTTTCCGCTACTGATTCACTAGAAAATGATCGTGGAAAAGGCAGAAGAGCTTTTGGCTTTCACCAAGGCCCAGCGACTACTAATCTATTCCACAAGGGATGGCAATATTGGTTTGCCCATGTTGGCCCTTTGGGGGTCAATTATTCTCGGCCTATTGCTCACAATAGACTATGGATATATGATATATTTGCACTACAGAATGGTGAGTACCCACCTCGTTCTATCATATCCAGAAAACACAGTCGTGTAGAAGGACCCCTTAAGGTGTCATCTAACCTTCGAAATTCTCACAGCCGCCAGGCCCATTCCCACTCCCTCTAATTGGAAACACACACTTGCTTCCTCCTCATAAGCCCTGGATATACTTTGAGAAGTTGGCAAAAGAATACGAATCTCCCATGATAACATTCTGGACCGGTCGACGACCCACAATCTGGATCTGTGACGCATGGGCAGCGAGTGAGCTTTTGGACAAACGAGCCGCGATATACGCCTCAAGGCCACGCATGGTCGTTTTCAGCGAACTTGGAGCCGGCCAGTCTAACATGGTAAACATGTACTATGGGGATCGATGGCGCTTGCACAGAAAGCTGACTCACATGGGAGTCGGCTTGCAACAAGTTCGGAATTATCGAGGCTTCCAGAATGACGAGAGCAAGGTGGTTGCACTTGATCTACTCCACGAGCCAGAGGAATACGTGAAGCATTTCGAACGCTATGCAACGAGCGTAGTTTCTATCATTGGCTTTGGCAGACGTGTAGCTGCATCTACAGATCCAATTATCACAGAGGTGATTGCGGTTATGCAACGTGCGGCTGAGTTGAATGTGCCTGGCAAGACGTTTCCCATGCTGATGGAATCGTTCCCATGTAAGTTTTGGAGACTATTTTATTTTAGTTTGTGATCTGCTCTCGTGAAATATACGGTCGAACAAGAGGCCTGAGCTGACATGCGACTAGTCCTTGCCAAATTTCCGAATTGGATGGCACCCTGGAAGCATGGCCTAGGACAAGGCCAGGGGCGGGGTAGACCCTTTTTCTACGCTTTGGCTGAAGAGGCTGCGACAAATAAAGATTCAGGGCAATGCTATGCGAAGAAAGTATTTGACGAGGCACCGAAACATAGTCTTTCAAAAATGGAAATTTCTTCGCTGGCAGGGAATCTTTTCGGGGCAGGTAGCGACACTTCCAGCTCAACGCTCGTGACCTTTGTTCTAGCGTGCTGTGCATTCCCAAATGCATTGACAAAGGCAAGGGAGGAGCTTGATCGCATAGTGGGACCACACCGGAGCCCGACATTCCAGGACGAGGCCGACTTGCCGCACGTAAAGGCGCTCATGAAAGAAGTTTTGCGGTGGAGATCGGTGGCCATTATCGGAGGGCAGCCGCACGCGCCGATCAAGGATGATCATTATAAGGTACTGAAACAAGCTACAATCGCGGCGCTTGAAGCGGTTAGTTTAATGGATCAGTTTGCTGATAAGATGGATCTAGGGTTGGTTGATCCCGCGAAATACTTGGGTCCAGGGAAATGTTTGGGCCATCCATCACCATGAGCGAGAATTTCCGGACCCGGATCGTTTCAACCCCGATCGCTGGATTAAGGGGAGTCCTGACTCGCGCCCCTTTCCCAGTGAGAAGGGGTACATGACGTTTGGCTGGGGACGGCGGGTCTGTAGTGGACAGGGATTGGCGGAGCAGGGGACCTTCATCACGGTCGCACGCCTGCTCTGGGGCTTTGACATCGAAAAGGCTCTCGATGAGCAGGGAAATGAGGTGGATGTAGACATCTTTGATTTCACGTAAGTGTTCTAGCATTGTTTTTCACCGTTGGTTCCTCAGTAAACTGATCGTCGGGGTCGTCCCGTGTGCGGTTCAGCAACGGTCTTAACATGAGACCCAATCCTTTCAAATGCCGAATCACACCTCGCAGCCCGGAAATCCGTGCTACTATTGATAGAGAAGGTCAACAAGCACTGCAAGACTTATCCGAATATGACGGCGAAACGAAGTATCGCATGAGCACGTTTTACGCCACGGAGAAACTCCGATAGGCCCATGTCGCTTGCGGCCATTGCGCAATGAGCTGAGGAGGAGGTGGTTGCCTTGGACTTCCACGGGTGACGTTGAATTCTATACAACGTCTATATAGTCCGGCAAAGAATTTGACCAGTATCAGCCGAAGATCGAAGCTCATAGGAGCATCACCCATTGTGGAGATAGCTCAGATGTGGAGTCTGGGCAGTGCTAGACGGGTACAGTATGCATGGCGCTAGATCACACTGTATCACTCTGAACTTTGATCTCGGGACCCTTGCATATAGAGTTGCTGGACATATTTCAATTAATAATTTCGGGACCAATCCGTCATGATTGTAGACCGAGGCATTTCGAATCAAATATGATAATAAAGCAGCGAGACTAGTGCTGCAGCAATCTTAGGACCTTTCCCCCAGGATGTCGGCAATCGCATAGCAAACCATATACGAGCACGTTCAGTGCGACCATAGGGTATGTAAGTTTTCAATAGAGCCGCAGATATTGTGCAACAATCGTAGTCGGCAACATTTGAAGTTGGAATCTGCCGTGAGATGGACTCAAGATCAAGTGTGGGGAGAAGGGAGCGCGAGGGCCGCGACCAGATGTGGGTCTTAGCCAGCATGCAAGACGTAAAGATGCGAGGTTTAACTGTGAGATGCGGAGACAGGCCTGATAACCAGACGAGGCGACGTTTCGGCAGATGAACGGTAGAAGAAAAGCCGAATAGCACGTTATCGGTTCTCTAGAAAAACTGAGAAATGGTCCATGTGGAGCCCGCGGTCCGATCGCTTTGTTGCCAATTGCTCTCGGGCTTCCGGATGCACGCCACAAAACAGGAAAAGTAATGAAAATGAAAGACCATGTCCGGCAGCGCAAGAATGCCGTAGACTAAGGAACAGACAGGATGCTCGTTAAAAGTGTACCATAGTATAAATCAAGAGGCAACGGAAAATCCCCGGCGCTTGACATTACCCGTTAGCCCCGCAAGCCACCAAGTACCGCCATTGACCGGCATCGACCTGGCCGATTATGACGGTGAGACTGTACATGTAACTCATCTTATGCGTTCCCCGGTCTGTGGAGAAGGATATGGTCATTTGTGAGTGATCAACGCCATACCACAAGGGGTAAGATTGTCGTAAAATAAAATGGAAACTTCATTCTGGCCGGAAAATGGAATGTGTGGCACGGGTGGGACGGCAAACCTTCGGACAACTAAGCTCGGATGTAATTTTTCTGAAATAGCCACCGAGTACATTTATTCAAGCCTCGTCGTTTGTCAATAATCCCTGCCTCTTTTTTGCTTTGCATTTCCGAGCGAACCTTTTGTTTCGTATATTGACTCATTCAGGGGTAATTCATAATGGCTATCCCTCAGGCAAATGTGCCTTTGGACGTGATCGTTGTCGGGTATGAATTTTTGCCTCTGTTCAGATAAAGTCGAGTTGCTAACATTCTGTAGAGCCGGTATGATTTTTGTCTGCTGGAACCATTTTTAATGGCCAATTCGAATCCTGGAGGGCATCATTGACTTTTTCTAGGCATCGGTGGCATGGCAGCGGCCTTGACATTAGGCCTGCGAGGGCACCGGGTGGTGATAGTTGAGGCTGCACCAAAAGTATGATCTGTTCTAACTTCAATCCCAGGAGAGAAATTATTGCTGACTTATACATCTGTGATAGCTCATGGAGGTCGGGGCTGGAATTCAGGTCTCCCCTAACATGTTGCGACTATTTGATCGTGAGTCGAATCCATCCGGGTTGCGGTTATTAGAACGAATGCTTACCAACACAGGATGGGGTGTTTCGGACTTGATCCATGCTCAAGATGTTGCTTTAGAGCATATCCACGTCCGACGATGGGAGGATGGCTCCTTACTCGGAACCATGCCCGTCAATAAGACTTTTGGACAGCAAGTGGTTATTCACCGTGCAGATTTGCACAACGCCTTGATTGACAAGGCATTGGAATTAAAGAATGTGGAGCTGCGAGTGAACTCGATTGTCACTAGTGTCGAATTCAGCCCTGCCTCGGTCACTTTGGCCAACGGCACTGTGGTTCGTGGCGACGTTGTCATTGGAGCCGATGGGATCAAATCTACTGTACGGAGTCATCTGCTGAATGATACGTCCATCAAGGCCATTGCTACCGGAGATGCCGCCTACCGAATCATGCTTCCTCGTAGTGTGATGGAAGCGGACCCGGAATTGAAAGCACTGATCGACGAGCCCCAAGCGACTCGCTGGCTCGGCCCCGCACGCCATATTATCGCGTACCCTGTTCGGAATCACCAAATGTATAATGTCGTCCTGCTGCACCCAGATCGCCAAGAAGTCGAAGAATCATGGACGACTAAGGGTTCAAAGCAGGCTATGGTGGACAACTACCAAGGATGGGACCGCAGGGTGAGGAAGTTGATTGACTTGGTCGATGATGATGAAGTCCTTGAGTGGAAATTGTGTCTGCATAGCCCACTCAAAACTTGGATCCGGGAGTCCGTGGCTCTGATTGGTGACGCATGTCACCCCATGCTGTATGTTGGATCATGTATTCCCTTGACCGTGCGACGCTAATCTGCCTCAGCCCTTACGTTGGCCAAGGAGCAGCACAGGCAGTGGAGGATGCGGCAGCATTGGGCATCCTTTTATCGGAAATCACTGCCCGTCATGAGATCCCACGTGCACTCCAGATTTATGAATTGTCTAGGAAACAGCGAGCGGAGACGGTACAACAGTCAGGTTCTGAAAACCGCGTCACTTTGCACTTCCCAGACGGACCGGAGCAAATCGCTCGTGACAAGCAATTTCAGGCGGCAGCTAGCGGCTCTAACCCAGACAAGTGGTCTGATCGTGAGACACAGCAATTTCTATGGGGCTGGGATGCGGAGCAGGCTTCCTTGGATGCCTGGAAAAGTATGTCAATCGTTCTTTGATTGTTTATTCAATGCTAATTCACCTGACCAGAAGCGGGAACAGACGAGACAAAAGTGAACGCTAGCCTCTAGAAACCTTGAGGTCTATTTGAGGAATTGCAGCCAGTACATAACCTTGTACTATCTCAGTAAATACTTTCGTTGGATATGTACTGTACATAGTTCATCTCTACCGTGGACAGATTTTATTATACGATACACGGATGGGGACAATCTGTGCTATTTTGGTTATTGTAACTTTTTCTATTTCATCATACAATCATTCATACTGGCAGACCATTCCAACACATACCAGGAGTGGTAAAATCGAAGCGAGCCCCGGCATTATCGCTTATAAATATCCAGTGATCTTCAACACGTAGGTTCCCATTTCCTATTACCCAGTCGGGCGGGAAAGCATTCTCCTGTTTGAGGATTTTTTACATCTTCTCACCAGCGGCGGTCTTCGCCTGGCCGTACTTCTTCAAGCGGATAGCAGAGACGGTGATGAAACCAGTAGTCTCAGCAGGGGAGAAGTCACCAATCTCGTCCATGCTAGACTCTTCCATATCATACAGCTTCTCAGTCTCGGAAGAGCGGCCGAGGACGAACACGCTGCCCTTGTAAGCACGGCAGCGGACTTGGCCGTTGACGGACTTCTGGGAGGCAGTGATCGAGGACTCAAGGAACTCACGCTCGGGGGAGAAGTAAAGACCGTTGTAGAGGAGCTGTAGGCTGGTCAGTAATCATATACGAAAGGATAAGGGCAAAGTAGAACGGACCTTGGAGTAGTTGAAGGTGACGAACTGGTCACGAAGGGCGCGAACCTCACGGTCCATCACAAGACCCTCGAGATCACTTTAGATGGGTTAGCAAAATGCTTAGCATTTTATATATCCGCGGAACTTACATGTGAGCAGTGCGCAGACAGGTGAGACCAGGGGTCTCGTAGCAACCACGGGACTTGATGCCGATGAAGCGGTTCTCGACCTAATTGAGGGGTCAGTAATGGCTTCGCAAGGGTTTAAAGTCAAGTCAGAGGTGACTCACGATATCAATACGGCCAACACCGTGGCGACGAGCAATGGCGTTGGCGGTCAGGAAGAGATCGACGGAGTCGGTGCAGGTCTTCTTCTGGCCGTTCTCGGTGAGCTCCAGCTTGACAGGAACACCCTTCTCGAAGTGAACGGTGAAGTCCTCAGGCTGGTCGGGGGCAGTCAAGGGGTCCTGAGTCAACTTCCACATGTCGGTGGGGGGAGTAGTGTCGGGATCCTCGAGGATACCGGCCTCGTAAGAGCAGTGGGCCAGGTTCTCATCCATGCTCCAGGGCTTGGACTTGGTGGATGTGACAGGGATGCCCTTCTCGGCAGCGTAAGCCAAGAGGTCGTTACGGCCAGCGAAGCGCTCGTAGAAGATAGGGTCGCGCCACGGGGCAATGACCTTGATCTTGGGCTGGAGAGCGTAGAACGCAAGCTCAAAGCGAACCTGGTCGTTACCCTTGCCAGTGCAGCCGTGGGAAACAGCGAAACAGCCCTCGCGCTAATAAAACAACACCAGCGTCAGTTCCTATTCATGTAAGACCAATCGCATTAAGGCTCCACATACGTTGGCGACGTCAATCTGAGCACGGGCGATCACAGGGCGGGCCAGAGAGGTACCTTAGGCCATTGTCAGTATAGACTTCGGTGAATAAGCTAGATGTAATGAATGTAACATACCGAGCAGGTAGACGTTCTCGTAGACGGCATTGCAAGCAATGGCAGGGAAGCAGAGCTCCTCAATGAACTCGCGGCGGAGATCCACGATCTCGCACTTGAGGGCACCGATCTTCAAAGCCTTCTCGCGGGCAGCCTCGAAGTCCTCTGCGGAAGTCATTTAGTCACGCGTGGTCGCATTGCCTCGGAATCAGCTTGAACTATACCTTCTTGGCCAACATCGGCCACTGCACACATTATTAGCATGGGGTCTATGATTTGCAATTCCATTGTAGTGCCTAACTTACTGAAACACACGACTTCATAGCCCTCCTCGATAAGGTATTTGACTGTAATTGCCGATCAGTAACAGCCATTGAAGAAAGCACAGGGTATATAGTCGTACGGATGCAGCTGGTGTCGAGACCACCGGAGTAAGCCAAACAAACCTATTCAAATAATGAGTCAGTTGGTGCCACTAAAGCAATTGAAGGGTAGAGGGGTAGAGAGTGGGATGAAGTGGCGGTCTGGGGTGAGTATGGTATTCCCAACCACAAACGCCTCAATTGAATAGAAGTACCTTTCCCTGTGCCATTTTGAATGATGTAGAGTGATAAATTGGGGATTCGGCAAAGTGGGGGATAATAAATTGAAGAAGATCGGAGATTGAGTCATTCGAAAAAAAGGCGGATTTTGTGGCGGGCCGGGGAAGTCACGCTTCTTGGCGCCGACACCGGCCGATAGCTGATAAGAGAGCACACAAACAACCTCGCCATTTCCTCGCGAATACTATACTTCCGACATGCTATACATTACTATACTTAACAGAGTTCCAATCAGCTTCACCAATTGGATATCCCAAATAAAGACGGATATTATGCCGTTGATGATATATGTCTGTCAAATCAGAAGCTAGCATTCACCTATCTTAGCGCCAATGGTGCATGACATCCATGTACTACAATCTGTTGGGTGATTGATTATGACTCAGTTAAACACGTACATCGTCGGCGGGGAATGTTGATGATAGGAGAGTAACAATTGGAGTAGGGTCCAACCGATCCTGCGTCATAGGCATTGCATGTTTGTCTTGTTTGCATTCGACTCATTGACCACACATACTTGTGTCTGGGGATTCTTCATCGAGCATACCCTAGTGCCTTAATTTGATTAAGCAGAAGAGTTGAGCCAGTGATTATGCTCCATACGTCGGACTTTCCAGCTTCGAACAAGTTTAGGCATTGTATTCTTGCTAGCATTGCTGCTCGTTAGTTAACTAGTTACCTAAGTGGTTATTAAGTAAGCAAGGCCCACCCCTGAAGCAATTTTCATTTGAGCAGACCCCCGCTGAGAGTTTTGATGATAATGAAAGAGAACTGCAAATGACAGCCTGTATAATTACATACCAACGCTACTCTATTTCAGAATCTCGGCATGGATGTGGGATACAGATTGTTTAACGTGACTTCAATGGCTCAGGCTTTGAGAGCTTTTCTCATTCCAGTGGGTCTAAGGATGAAGGCCAGCTTCCCGCTACTTGGCCATGCACTATAGCACAATTATTTGCCGAGAACAGTTGCTCTTGAATGGGAGAATTATATTGCTAGAACATACGGTTACCATATTGTGTAGGCATACCGTGCACCTGTACGGATAGTAAGTAACCGGACATCTAAACAGCCCCACGAAGCTTTCCTGTTCTTCTGTATGTAAGAATAAGAAAAGCAGGAACAAAATCAAAAGTGCCAAACATCTTGACATTGCTTCACGCTCCTCAGTTGGGACACTAAGTATTACCGTGTAAACCAAATTTCCCATCTAAAATTTTCTTCCCAGTCTGATAGATAGTTTTGAGCCCATAACCCCGCGGAAAAGATGTGTACTAGTACAGCGGCAACAGAAGCAACTAAGAGACATGTGGCTAACTACAATATAGTACCATAAGGATGTGTATTGGAACTAGAGTCACCGAGAGAATTTGTTCCAATAACAAGACGATATGGAAGGCGCACATATGTTTTTGATTGCGAGAACACCTCGGCATGCCGTTCCCGCAGCGGCTAAGGCCCACACGGGCCGCAAAGCTTATTCCACCAGACGTCATACTACAAGACACAAAGAAGCGACACTCGATTTGCACAACTTTCCGAATGTTTCCTTAACCTGCCAATGCTACATAAATTCACCTAGATGGGGTCGCTCTTAATCTCACTCCCCTGGCATGGGAGTGCGCAGGTCTGCGGTACAGACAATACAAAAGCTCGTAAGGCTTGGAGATGCATACGGAAACAATTATGACTATAAAAGGAACAAAAACCATAACTTCCATAGTACCAATCAACTAGCTAGGCTGTGCATTCAGATTGATGCTATCATTAAGAGACACCCGTGGAAAGACTGCGTGCCAGCTACGTGATAGACAGCCCTAGACAATCAGGCGAGTACCTAACCCTCCTGTTTCATCATCATGAATCGGACTTCCTGTCAAAGCTTACTCATTTGACATAATATAGCAGCAATGAATGATTCAATAAAAGGCTTGGTCAAGTGTATACTTCAAGTAGCTGGTATCACTTGGGATCGCTGGCTTGTGTGGAGACTCGAATGCAAGTCTAGAGGGATGAGTTTTCCAGCGCAGTTGAGGACAAGGCCATGGCAGCTAGGCAGCAAGCATATATCTGTCTAGGTAGAGCAGCGTAGTTAAAAGGAGAGGCTGCAGAAGGATGAGAAGGTCAGAGGGAGGGTGAGGGGCAGGAGGGCAAGGTGAGAGAAGCGCACGCCTTTAGATCCCAACAGTAAAAAACGTCTTCTGCTCCTTGAAAACTTCCTTCCTTCCCCAGTCCAGCGCAACCTCCCAAACTGCACTGCACTATCTCTTTTCTTCGGAAAATTTTACATTGTTCTTCTCATCGCAAACATTGCACACACCCAGCATGTTTGCTATCATAAGTGTTCTCAACGGCTTTGTGGGGTCACTCACCACGGCCCTGGATACCATGTTTTGCATTTTGTTTATGATCATGATCGTTCCCCTCCTGGTAGTAAATCTGGAGAAAATGACTGTTTTCTTCGAAGTCGGAAACGGCGAACCTCCGAAGAACCCTCCCCGCGATTCCTCCCCCGCGGTCCTCCACTCTCCCGCTCAAGAGAGGTAAGAATCATCTCAATTAGGGTCCATTATGGACAAGCATTTCTGACAAGTTATACAGTGAAAACAAATCTCACCTTCGCATTGCCGATATCAGGGTGGACCCTCGCTACCAAGCGTGGGTCGAAGGCGAGCGCAGATTGCTCATTGCCCAGTATGAACGAGCTACCACCGAGGTATGCCGTTCGACGGAAATGGAGACTGAAGACAGGATCAAAAGGATCTATGAAAAGGACCTTCGTGCTCTGAGAAAGAAATACGAGAAAGAGCTGCTTGCCCGTTCCGGACAGTTCCCGCATGACAGAAATGAACTTGCCTTTCTGAAAATCGAGTACAACCAGGCCAAAGATGAACGTACAATCCTTGAGGCCAAATTCTTCGCCCTTGAAGAAGGCAACAAGCGGAGACAGATGGAACATGACGAGGCCATACATAATCTGAAGGTTTTCGCGGACCAGGAACACAGCCGCATCATCCGAGGTATACATGAGTATTATCAATCGACCACCAAGAACCGGGAAGACGGATTTCATATTCCGATTCTAGCTCACCCTGAGGTCGCTAACGCTACCACCTCCACTGACTTTGCTGTCGATATGGATGTCAACTTGAGCCCGCCATTGGCGGAGTGTTCGCCTAGCTTTAAGATGGCTGCTGAGCAAGCTCGCGCCACCTGCGAAGCGGACCTCCAAAAGTTGTGTGCGGCGAAGGTACTGCTGGAAAGGACACTTGCTCAGAAGACGGCTGACTATGAAGCGGCAACGCAAACCTTGAAGACAGCCCAAGCCCGCATCGCCGACCTGGAGATGCACCAGGTGCAGGATTCCACAAGTTTGGAAAATCAGCAAGCGGGATGGTCACAGAAACTCCAAGATCTCGAGGCTGAAAACATGGGCCTGGTACAGAAATGCACCGGCCTAGTGAGTGAGGCCGCAACCCTGAGAGAAAGATGCGCACGTTTGGATGAATTAAATTCAAACCTGGCGGAGGAGTGCGGGGACCTGGATGTGCGTTTGCAGGACTCGGTCGACAAGCAGAAGGCCCTCGAAGAGACGGTCGATAACCTCGAAGAGACAGTCGAGAAGCAAAAAGAAGAGCACGGGGAGCTCACCCATCAGTGGACGGCAGACCTGGCCAGGATGTCATCGGAATTTAAAACCCTCGACAAAAAACACAAGGAGAGGGTCAACCAGAGCAAGGTGACCATGAACAAGGTGACCAAGAACAGGGCGACGAAGCGAAGACTGGTTCTCACTCTCCCAGACTCTGATGACGACGAGGATGTACCCAGTGATGTACCCGGCGATGTACCCGGTGACGTACCTGGAGATGTACCTGCGGATGTACCTGGAAATGTACCTGGGGATGTACCCGGAAATGTACTTGAGGATGTGTCTGAGGATGTACCCGGAAATGTACCCATCGATGTACCTCTCAACGTACCTGAGAAAGACGCCGATCAAATCACCTCGAATCTCCTCGAGGGCTTGGCAAAATTGAAGGTTGATGTTGATGAATGATGTATGGATGATGGGCAATGGTGAACGGGAATTGTGGGGCCTTTGTGCCGCAATCGTCAGGTGTCGACAGCCCGCTGGCTGAAACCCAATTCCCAAGGACGTCTCCATTTTCTTTTCATCCAGATTGTCCAAATTGACCTGTCTCCATTATTGTTTTTACTTGTGTCGTTTCCGCTTACACCACACCACAACGATGTGCCATTTGGGGCTAGATTGATCTTAGATTTGCAATCTTCTCCCCCCGCCCCGTTCCCCTCTCTTCCTATCGTGCGACCGTGGTCTGGTGAAGACTGCAGTGGTGATGAATCGTCCGACCTCTCTTTTTGCCGCCCGGTCCCTAGTGCTGGGATTGGCCAAGTGCTTATCTCTCACATTCTTCCATCTACCGTTCACAACAGCTGCGCCCGTCTTTTTTACCTCCCTCTCTCACGACGAACCTCCGAAAGAGCCTAATGACCCGAGTCTATGGCTGTACCTGGGATTCTCAGCGGCCCTTGTTCTCAGCGGCGGAGCCTTTGCGGGACTCACTATTGCTTTGATGGGACAGGATGAAGTGTATCTCCAAGTGATTCAAACGTCTGGCGAGGAATCGGAGAAGAAAAACGCCGCTAGTGTTCTAAACCTGCTGAAGCGTGGGAAACATTGGGTACTGGTGACCCTCCTACTCAGCAACGTGATCACAAACGAGACCTTACCTATCGTCCTGGATCGGACTCTCGGCGGTGGATGGCCGGCGGTCCTCGGAAGTACTGCACTGATTGTTATCTTCGGCGAGGTCGTCCCCCAATCGATCTGTGTTCGTTATGGTCTGCCGATCGGGGCCTGGATGGCACCGTGTGTTCTGGTTCTGATGTATCTCATGTCCCCGGTCGCTTGGCCGGTTGCAAAGTTGCTGGACAGACTTCTCGGCGAGGATCATGGCACTATCTACAAAAAGGCTGGACTTAAGACCCTGGTCACTCTGCACAGAACTTTGGGTGAGGCTGGGGAACAACTCACCTCCGACGAAGTGACGATCATCAGTGCTGTACTAGACTTGAAGGAAAAGTCGGTTGGAAGTATTATGACGCCAATGGAAGACGTCTTTACTATGTCCGCCGACACTGTGTTGGATGAACGCACCATGGATGTCATTCTCTCCCAAGGATATTCTCGGATCCCTATCCACGCACCCGAAAACCCAACGAATTTTGTTGGAATGCTTCTTGTCAAAATGCTCATCACCTACGATCCGGAGGACTGTAAACGTGTTCGTGATTTTGCTCTGGCTACGCTGCCAGAGACTCGCCCTGAAACCTCCTGTTTAGATATTGTCAACTTTTTCCAAGAAGGAAAATCTCACATGGTCATGGTGTCGGAATACCCAAGTGAAGACCGGGGTGCCCTCGGAGTGGTCACCCTTGAAGATGTGATTGAAGAACTGATTGGAGAGTATGTCACCAGACCCCGTCCCGGTTGATTACATTTGGCTGACTTAGGATACAGAGAAATCATCGATGAGTCTGACGTGTTTATTGACGTTCATAAGGCCATTCGTCGCATGGCCCCTGCACCCAAATCTCGAGTGCCCAAGGGCAAAATTATTGAAGAACCCCCCATGGCGAGTTCTGTTGTCGATGGAGAGCAGATCGGCGAAGATGGCACCATATCCACTTCCGCTTCACATGCATCTGATCTCTTTCGTCGTCGCAGCTCCGTCGAAGCACCTCAACCTCGATTCCAGCTACGCAAGCATGCGGACGACAACAATACAGGCACGCCGGACGTGTGGATCACTCAGAGAGGGGCCACTGATGAAATTCGAGAACATCTGAAACATCTGGGCCCTTCGAACCTGGCCAGTCGACCTCGTCAAACCCGTTACAATACTGTGAAAATCAAACGCAGTGGCACCTCACCCTCTCGCTCGGCCCAGACCGACTTTGAATCTGGCCAAAGCACATCCGAGTCCCAACCTCAGATCCCATCCATCGGCTTTCAAGGGGGTATCGGTGAAGGCCTGGTCAATCCTGGCTCGGATGCAAAGGATGGCGCTCACGCGTTGAAAATTGGCTATGGCACCATTACCTCCAATGACACGGTCACCAAGAGCAACAATTCTCAGCAGTACAAAGACCTCCCTCAAGTGTCAATCCCTGATCCGGTCCACGAAGAATGGGAAGAACAGCCTCACTCCTCTTCAACGCAAAAGGACAGCAGTCTGACGGGTAGTATCAAGTCCGTTGACTCACACTCGGAATTCATTTACCACCACCGTGGTCCGGCTCGGAGCGGCAGCATCACGGAGCAGATAGTGGATGTTAATGGCATTCGCAAGGTTGTGCTACATACAACCGGGACAAGCTCTTCCGATGGGGAAGACAAGAATGTCACAAAGAACAACGATCAACAGGGAGATCATCCTGATCATGCGAGTACTCATTCTAATACGAAAAAGAGACGTCGTCGCAAGAAGCGCGGGCAAAATTCCAAGCATGAAGATGGTAAACCTGGGGAAGATCAGCCTCTCCTCCAATAGTGACTTAACCCAGAATACACGAAGACCCTGCGGAGGTCTTGCTACTTAGCCCCATTGTATTTAGCAAGTCAATATCGATCCTTTACATTTTAACATTCTCTTCCTATATGCACTTTCTGGGCGTAATACCAATGACAAAGTTCTCGTATTCTGTCCAATTAATGACGAGGTTGTGAAGGTTACCGGCTTGATGTTCTTTTCCCCTCGTGGCCCCAGTCTCGCGTTCTACGGAGTAACTGAAGCCAATCCATAAATGGAATTAGTAAAAAGTAAAATTGAAATCCACTTGCTTTGAGGGCGTCCAGCAGCTTAGCCCAACAAGGCACATCCAGGGCACTCGACTGTAGATCGAGGCGTCAAAAAGGCTATTACCGAGAGATCGACGGGGCGACCCGATGATCGCTGGGTCTGGGCCCGTGCTGACACTGATACAGCCTCTCAGGTGGGTAGGAGATTGTCCAGGACTCTCCTCGCCTGACTTCCGGAGTTGGAGTATTACTTCCAAGGCTGCTGCCGCTGCAAAGCTCGGTTTTTTGGTGCCTGAACAGCAGTACTCAAGAAATGGAGTCGTTAAGGCCAGAAACTATGTTTATTTGTTCTAAGACAATAATTGCTACAGATGGAACGAACTGCTCCCAAGGCACCGCGATCTAATTATTACTCTTACCAGGCACCCAGCCAGCCATTGACGACCCAGCTTCAAGATGAGTCTTTGGCAGACCTTGTCTGACGCATATCAACACTACCATCGCATAGCCATATTCAAGAATAAAGACGAATAAATTGTGAGATAGATAAAGTATGAAAATTATAAGCTCTGTAGACACTGCATCAGCCAGCTAGAGTAATATGGGTATCATCAGAAATGAAAAATATGAGAAACAGTAAGAAGACAAATGTCGCCCTCCCTTAACAGAAGAGGGATGCAAGGAGAATATAAAATGAGAAAAAGGCGAAAGAGAATGGAAAGAACGAAGAGGCCGAAATCGCCATACGAAAGAGCAAAAAAAAGAAAAGCAAATAGATGGAGGGAAGGAAGACGTGAAACGAGCATAAGTTCACGTAGGATTTAAGGGCGATCCAATGTCAGCCCTGATCGTAAAAATAAACTCCCGCGATGCCAAATCTCATGGAGACTGTCACATGCTGGCAAGTTCTTTAGGTCAAGAGACAATCAAGTAAAGATTGTAGTGAATGGTTATTCATCGGCAGTTGCGTCGTAGGATTGGCTCCGTAATTTCGGCAAATTCCTGTGACGTAGCGACGGAGTCGAAGGCGCGTGACGAGGCTGATGAGGCGATCTTGGGGAAGTAGAGGAGAAACTGGGTTTGCGATCCATGTCTTTGCCACTACTGTCTGTTTCTGTCTCCGCACTTTCGTCACTGAGTGACCGCGCATTCACGGCATGAAGCGTGAGACTGAGTTCACGTTCGAGCTCTTTCTGCGCTTCTATTTGCTGGGATGAGCCATGAAGCTTCTTTCGGTACGCTCGTAGAGTGCGACATAATTGCTCGCTGGACATTTCCAGACTGCCAAACTCGCTGCGGGTCGATTGTTTCGCGCGGGTTCGGAAGTCGAGGGACGTACGTCGATTGGTGTTTCTAGTACTGTTGGGTTTCCTGGAAGCCGAAGGTCTTGATTTCGGGCTCACTGGCGAAGGGGATCGACGACTGTGATTCACAGAAGTGTAGGAGGTTGGCGAGAGACGATTGGGAGGCGACGGTGTTTCTGCAAGCGAATGGTTCTTCAGGTTTGATGGTGTCAAGGAGAGCTTGGATAGTTTCTTCGATAAGGTCGGAGAAAGCTCGCGGACTGGTGTGGGTGTTCCCAGGGGATTCTCAGGGCGGAACCCGGCTAACTCGCTCCTCGAAAGCACTTTGCGAAGAGGCGGCTTGGCTGCTGCCATTTCCTTCATCGGGCCGTCATCCTCATTTCCATTAGCCTGATCAGGAGATGGCTGAGGCTGCACAGACAGGTTCCAGATCATCAGAATACCATCCATACCAGCGGATATCAAGTTTCGCTGCGAGGATGATTTGTTCGAATCATCAGCTTCTTCCATTAGCAGAACGTCACATACGCCTTCTGTGTGGCCAAACTCTCCAGTGAGCAAGACATCTCTTTCCAGGTCATATACACGAATGGACTTGTCAGTACTTGAGAGTCCGATCAGGAGCTTCGGGCATTGGCCCGGAATTTCCGACATAACAGTCAAGGATCCCATTATGACGGCATCATTCCCTTCGGAGTCGGACGCACGGAAGCAGTGTAGCTGTCGCCCAGAGGGAATGTCGAATTTTGAGATATTTCGATCCATTGTCGATACAAAAAGCGTATTGGGATCGTCAGGGCAGAGCGCCATGGACACGGGAGATGCCTTCAAGGTGATGACTCGAGAAATAAGATAAGCAACTGAAGTTGCTCCGTTTTCCTCTCGTGTCGCACGCTCTCGGACAATGACCGTCCGGTCTGCAGAACTCGACAACAGCTTCTCACCGTCGTTCATGAACAAAATCTGCCCCACTGCCCCGACGTGCTCATCCATAGTTTGGATCAGTTGCAGAGTGTCATCGGTTTTCTGGAATAGTTGGACCATGCGATCTCGACCAGAACTAGCGATCAAGCAAGAGTCAGATGAAACATGCATGGCAATATCGGTGATCTCAGCGCCGTGAGCACGCGCTTCAGTAACACAAGCCCATGGGTTGGAGGAGAGGAGCTTGAGCACTCCAAATTTGTCACCAGACACGAACCATTCTGCCTTGTCTGCAGCTCTCAGTACCTTCAACTCATTGGCAACATCTTCGTCCACCGCAGCTGCTTGCTCAAGAGGCACAGTCTGTGAGGAAAGACACTTGTCCGGGGCCTCCCAGAAATTGACAGTACCGTTTCGGGACCACGAGAAAAAGTCGGCCGAAGATTCATTCGGTTTCGCCAAGCGTCGGATACCGAGTACTGGGTCTCGGTGGGCCTGCATCGAAGTCTGCCCATTCTCTTGCTCGCCTTCATCGCGCAAAGCATCTATCGAATAGATATTGATTTCGCGGTTTGCCTCAACTGTGACGAGATGCGAGGAAAGGGATCCCATACAGGTGATTGCAGGGGCCTTGTTCAGCTTATCTGGTGCTGGTGTCACTTTTCCCGATCTGGCAGGCGACATGGTGGTCGATGGCGGCGCTATTCGGAGAGAGTCGAAAGATAATTTCTGCATCTTTTTTCCACGACCACCAAGCCAAATTGTTTCCCGATCGAAATCAACGGCCAAAGAACTTATTCCAAATCCAAGTTGGGTCACGAGGGATAACTTTTGAGACCCTTCCCGATCGTCGAGGAGACAGAGGGCACCAGATTCAGTGCCAATCACCGCTTCTTGATCCGAGATGCTGGATATACAGCTAAATGTGTTATCACCTAATGCTCCCAACAGGCAATTCCTTCCTGAGAGGGCTTTGGGAGCGGGGCTTGGTGACGGAGCCGCACCATCTGCGTGTAGCCGGGACTTGGTCGGGGAAACGGGGCGTTGGGGAGCTGGTAGCCTCCACACTTTGACATGGCGAACTCCGGTTCTATCAACGTATTAGTCGGATATCAAATTTTCTTTAACTTTGTTCACATACGTAACTAGCGACTGGCCAACCCAGCACATGTCACGAACAAAAGAAGTGCACTTGTTCGCCGAGTGTAACCTGGCCGATCCATTCTTGAGATTGACAGCCCAAATCAAGAGAAATCCATCATTCATGGTGCCCAGGGTAGCGAGGTATTGGGAGTCGGGACTGAAGGCTATGCTGCGCACACCGAATGTGTGCTCTGAGAGGATGGAGAGCGGAACGTCTGGTAGAGCGTCTTTGGCGGTAGAGAAGATCAAAACTCGAGGGTTGTAGCCGGTCTAGCCCATTGTCAAATTCCATCCTGCACGTTGTGGAATTGTCTTATTTCAAATGCGTACTCACCTCTCCTACAGCTAGGAATCGCCCATTGGGACTGATGGAGACACTAGTTACAGCCTTGACTCTTTCTCTTGAAGACCACGCGCGCGGGCTACCATTGTCTAGGAGTTCGCTCGAGGGTGACCCATTGGGAACATTGAGATGGGGATTGGAGCGAATGTGGGATAAGGATCGTGATCGGGGATCCGGCGTAGAGGGAGGGGTCCCTTGGTTATAGAAAGAGGAGGTGGGGTTCACACTGGTGGCGGAGGGACGAGCACGAAAGAATCGTTGGATGACGTTGGCGTCATCATCAAGTTCGGCAAGGACAGCGGCAGAACCGGCGCACAGCGCAAAGCTCTTGCTCTGATCATGGCTGGAGAATCCATTAGGGGTAGTGGTAGAAGTTCCGATGACGGTTTGGAGGGAGAGTATCGATTGGTGGGAGGATTTGCTGGGAGATCGGGATCCAGGTCTGAGTACGGGGGAGTTGGAGGGGGTGATTTTCAGGGATGCGCCAGGACCGGCGAGCTTGCTTTTTGCGCTTAGTGGTGCGGTGGTCGCCATAGCATCGGTGGGATGTAATATGAGTCCCCTGAGCGGGGTGTTTGCATGTCACTCCGCTGACGCATTCGTTGTGGCCCAAAGGAAAAAAGAAAACGAGTGGCGGGGAACACAAAAGGAGGTGTGGGGGTGACGAAAATCAATAAGGAGCGACTAGTAAGCTTGATGAGCTATGAATCCAGAATAAAGTGAAGGGGAAAAAAAACTTAAACAGAGTAACAAACATGGAGCTTCATTCCGCGCTAACTTTGTTGATCATTCCAGTCGATCAGGAATCCTCAACCTTGGATCTCGTGCGGGAGGTTCCTGACTTTGGATCTATACAACAAAAAATAAACATTGGAATCGCTAAATATTGTTTTTCGTCATATCGAAATGCTATCAATAGTGAAATGAATCCTTTATCATTCAAAACCGAAATAGCTATCTTCTCTTAGTTTCAAGCTGAAATTAAGATGAGATGAACAGGTGGGTCGCGGCCCAAGCACGATGTACCAATCGGAACCGAGTCGAGATCAGTTATGTGAGCGGATGGCAGATCAGAGCTCATTCCACGCCTTTTACTTTCCTATTTTCGCTACCCACTCATCAAACTGCTGACCTGCATCGACAGTCGCATTGAAAGCCATCAAACGCTTGAGATATCCCACATTACCCCATCCAAATGGGAAATCATGATCGGGATTCTCCCAATCCACGTGAAGGAATGCTTCATCCCGGGCGTCCGCCTCAGGTCCGTCAACCATATGGTACAACTTCTGGTTTGCGACGGCACCCTGAACATTGATTGTCGTTCTCTGTTTGCGAATGAGCTCGTATAGTTGCAGGACGTCAGGAATCTTAGAAGCAGGTAGGTCGCTTCGTGAGAGTTTCCCCAAAAGGACGCCTAGAGCAGCTCCATCTTCGACAGCCATTGCGGCACCTTGGGCTTGGTATGGTAGGGTAGGGTGGCATGCATCTCCTAGAAGAGCAATCGATCCCTGTATTTGCATTAGGTACTGCTGCATTGGATATCTCTGTGGAATATTCTGGGACCCACCCTGCACCAGGTATCTAACTCTTTCATGTGGCAAATCTTCCATTTGAGCGCATTGTCGACTTGTGCGATCATCTTTGTTAGTCTATCAAGTATCGTTAGCTCAATTGTAGTATTGAAGTCATGCTCGTAGTATTCTTGCCTTGGATCCCATCCTTTGAATAGATTCCGCATTTCTTGAGTATTTCCCTCCTCTGTAGCCACGCCCGGTGGTAGGTCATCAGGACACCTAAAAAAAAGTTGTCATTAGACCAACACGATAATGGATAAATCAAGAGAATCAACGAACACTAGGACAAGGTTGTACGTAGCACCGCCGCGCACCGGATACAAGACCGCATGCTGATAAGGTCCCAACCAGCATCGGAGCGAAGGCTCAATCAAGGACTCATCCAACGCCTCTACCCGCTCTTTGGGAAATGTTGCTCGATAAGCTAAATCCCCCGTATCACTGGGACCAACATGGTAGCCAAGAACCTCATCACGGACCACCGACCGCAGCCCTAGATGAGATCATATGCATTAGAGTTTAGGTGGTACATTGGTACAGGAATTCCCATTGTGTCACATACCATCCGCACCAATAATGATGTCCGCATACAACCTCTCCTGAGAAGCGAGTAGTACCGAAGTGGTCTTCGAATCGGCTGAAATAACTTCCGACGCGAGGCGTATCGTCGCACCCAGTCTAGTGGCTTCCTCACGCAAGACACGATGGTAGTCCGCGCGGTGAATCACATACCACGCTTGGCCAAAGTGCTTCCGTTGCCACACATGGCCAGGACGCTTGGCAATAGAATTTCCATTGCTGTACTTGAGGAGGCAGTGACCGGAGATGTTGACTGCGCCGGCTTTTTCAAGTTCTTCGACCAAACCGAAATCATCCATCACTCGCACCGCGTTAGGCGGCATTTGAATTCCTGCGCCGATCTAGGATGATGGTTGGTACGTAATGCCCTTTTTGGTGGATTACTCTTCTTTTTATTCTGTCGTCTTACCTCTCCTAATTCACTCGCTTGCTCCACCATCGTTACCTGTAGGCCTTCTCTGAGGCAGGCGATCGCGCAGGTAAGACCGCCTATATTATTTCGTTAAATTCTTGGCTTTCAAGTGTGATGAGATATAGTCCTACCTAATCCACACCCGACAATCAAGATTTTGAAAGCATGAGGACGATGGTCCTAAGCAGCATATTTCTGTCAGTACTTTGTTTACTTCCAACTCAAGTTATAAAAGCGACTTGCAGTTTGTTCGATGGCCATTTTCAATTGAGACGCCAAGTTTTTTTCTTGTATTTCTTGTGTTACTACCAGGGTATATCCTACCCATAGAAACACCTGTGGAAAGATATGAAAGAAAGGGCGACGAGGGGTTCAAACGGAATCCCTTGGGGGAACGGGCCCCCTGCAAGGTTCATGCCAGATGCATCAAACATCAAAGTTAACTAGAGGCAACTAGTCAATCATTGGCGCGGAGCCCCACTCGGGTGCATGTCCGGCAATCAATTATGAAAATTGTATAGACTGGATGTACAATACAATACCCAATTCCAAGGTTTCAAGGTCATGCCCTTGCACAAAGTGTATGCCAAGGTGAGATGCCACGCTTTCTCATGTAACTGCCGCATTTTATGACTGGTTCCTTTCCTGCTTTTCTCCCTTTCTAGAACGTATCTTGTGGGCTTACTCCATTCCTTTCTTTTTCTCCGAATCTTCCATTTCCTCTTTTTGTGTTAATGTATAGTCTCTGTTTTCCTACCTCTCTTTTTGTGAACCCGCATTCTGGTACAACATGGATATACTCGACGATATAGAGAGGAATGATACGCCTGAGAAACTAAGACATACACCGTCTGGCCTTCTGCTAGTTCCACAACCCAGCAGTGACGCGGCAGATCCTTTGAATTGGCCACTGCGCAAGAAAGTCGGCATATTGGGCCTGGTTTCAGTGTGCACTTGGATTGGAATCGCACAGACTTTGGCCAATCAGTCGGGCTTTTTTGCACAAGCTCAGGTCTATCACAAGAGTGCGTCTGAACTTTCCTACTCGGTAAGTCATGAAGCGTGTGATTTTCCCACGCGATTTCCACGTGTTTTTCTGTCCTTCTGGGGACGATCTTTTGTTTTTCTTGCCCCTTTTTTTCTCTCGGAAGATGACTGACATACCCCTGCGTGGTAGGCATCTGCTGGGATCGCTGGGCTGGCAACCGGTCCCTTCCTGTGGGCAATTCTAGCCCAGCGGGTTGGGCGAAGCTCTTGTATATTCTGGGGTTTGCTTGGAATGCTGGGGTGTAGCGTCTGGTCCGCATGTATGACTGGAGAGAATGACTACATCCCTTTTATCATCTCTCGTTGGGTTGGTGGGACATTCGGCTCTGTCGCCTCGACTATCGGAGCTGGTATTGTGCTGGACCTCTTCTTTCTACACCAACGTGGGAAAGCATTCGCAGTCTACGGCGTATGTACCTTGTTCGGCGTCCAGTTTGGACCGACCTTGAGTGGGTTCATTGTCGAGTATGCACCCTGGTCAGTTCAGTTCTGGTGGGGAGTTGGTGCTGAGGGATCTCTTGCAATTATTGTCTTCTTTTTTCTGGAAGAGACTGGGTTCTCTCGCGATGGCAAGGTCTACCCTCCTCTTCCTAAGGAGTGGATCTCCAACCGAATCGCTACCTTCTTGCCGGGTACCGCGACCGTTCCACGAACGAAGGAAGATGGCCGACGATCTGCAAAGACTTTGCTGCTAGTTGCTGCTTGCCCTGTGACTATTTTGACTAGCGCCGTTCTCTTTTTAGCCTTTGGGTGGGCTGTAGGTGTTGTAACACTGACTTCGGTGTTCCTGGGATCCCCGATCGAAGAAGGCGGCTATTCTTTCTCCGCTCTCCAGGTTGCCTGTTTCACTTTCGTCCAGTGGCTCGGTGTAGCTGCCGCTGAGACATGGGGATTCTTCCTCAACGATCGCATTCCGTTGTGGTTCACCCGCCGATACTGCAACGGAGTCTGGAAGCCGGAGAATCGACTCTTTCCTCTGCTCTGTATGCCAGCGATTCTGCTTCCTACTGCGCTAGGGATATTTGGTGCTGGCCTGCAATACCACTTACATTATATGGTCTTGGGCCTAGCCATCTTCCTGCTACAGCTCACCGAGGTCTCTCTTGTTCCAGTCATCGTGAACTATGGCGTGGAATGCTTTACAGATCACTCGCAGGAAGTGGTGACTATCCTTAATTTCTGGCGACTAGCACTGGGTGTTGCTATTCCTTTCTTCATTGGCGAGTGGCAGGCTACTGTAGGTACGGCTTGGGTGTTTGGAATGATGGCGCTTTTTAGCATCTTTGCATTCTTCCTTGCCGGTCTTCTAGCCTGGAAGGGAGACACGCTCCGACGCTACTCGTTTAATAGTCTTCAAAAGTCCGAAGGTGGTGTGCAGTTGATTGATCATTAGCGTACTCGATTTCGAGTATTTGGCGGGTGGGTTTCTGTTTGCAATGCTACCTTTCTTGTTTCTTTTTTACCCTATTTTGCTCCCTGTATCCAGACCAGAGAAGTACAGGGCATGTATTTAATCGCAATTATTGATGAGATTTTCAACGAAAAATCCCTGGATTATGTAGGCGTCCTGCCGCGCCTATTTCCTAGACTACTGTACCGTCTCGAGCCTGGAAATGTACGAAGGCGGATCCATCCATAGTCCCGATTCCCGGTTGTGTTACAAATTACGGTAATCTGATTTCGATACTTTGTTCTCTCATTCATGGTTTTCTAAAATGCATACATGCATGCAAATTATTTCTCATAAGACCGTGGATAGCTACTGACCGATGAACTTGATACCTTAGGCTACTATTCGTAGAAAGAAACAATTGTGCACTTCGTACGCAGAGATTGTATGCTCATTTTGGTATGAAATTGAAGAAAACCTCCCCCACCCTAAAGAATGAAACCAAGGATAGCCCTTGCGTTGGCTATTGCTCCAATTTCTCTTAGCACCGTGCAGGGAGAAGCTTAACTGCCAAGTGCTGCTGATCAAGTTGAATGTGACAGGTCTGCTAGACTTAGTACCCCACGTCAGCATTGTTTGTTGCGACTCCCTTATTTTCATATTGAAACAGACGAACCGGTTGTTTCACTGATCATAGCTAGTTCTGATCCTACATAGTGTGTCCTGACACCATAATATCGAAAGACTGGCAAGACCATGTCGACGACTAAAATTTTAATCGTTCGCAATGGTTCGCAAAACAATTCCATATCGGGTTACCCGACTCAGGGATTGAATCAGATACGTATAACGAATCTACATAATTGAACATCATCCGCCCTAGCGTCATGCAGGTTGCCGATCAATCGCAAGGCGTTGGTACCCGCGATTATCGCAAGCTTGCACCATCTCCGTGCGGGCCAGTCAGTGGCTACTTCATTGGTCCTTCGCTCGGGAGGCTGACAGTCTCATTTCCAATCGAGTTATTGATCAGCGTAAGGTGTCACTTGGGTGGGTCTATGGATTCGGTTTACATGACCCGACAAACTCAGCACCTTGCCCGACCATTGTCATATCGTGTATTGTTTACCGGTCAGAACCTGCGACCAGATGTTTGGCTTAGATGCTCTTGAATATCCCAGTCGTTCCTGGAATGAATATGAATATCTCATAAATTGGCCGATGTTGGTAACATTGCGTAACTCGGTGGTTGGAATGTGAATACTTGGGCTGGTCTCGATGAGGTCAGGATTTCAGGATCATCCACGTACATACTGCATGTATACGTGCAGGATTTCAATGTTCCTACCTAAAATAGTAGATTTATAGATGATCGTGCTCCAGGCGTTGATAATAATCTAGCCCTACGGTCATCCCTGGCCACCTTCAACACGCTTCTCATCTTCTTCTCGGCCCGATCAATCTTGGTGATTGACCTTCCTTTTCATGAAATGGCCTTAACGGGCCAGCAGCCGCTAATAGTGGGCGTCTCGGTCGCTTTGATGATCTTGGCGACTGTTTCCGATGTCTTGCGGTTCTGTTCTCGGTGGATGATGAGGTCCGGTTTATGGTGGGATGATTGGTGCAGTTTACTTGCCTTGGTAAGTTGCAGAGCCAAGGCTATCCTTTTGAAATATCAAGCTAATCGTCATCGTGATTAGATCCTCTCCTATGCATTCAATATCAGTCAGTTTGTCAGTAAGTATACCGACAAATGATCTTCTTCCTAACGATATCAACTCACATGAATCGTCCATAGGTGTGGGCTGCAACATGGGCAGGCATGGAGCGAATGTCCCGGATGAAGCCGCCTCCATTACTTGCACCGCAAAGGTTCGCCTTTCATCTACATTCTGGACAACCTTTTGAAGAAGGAAAGAGGGAGCTGACCACGATGAGTCTAGACATTATACTCAGTGATCATGATCTATACAATTTGCATGCCTTCAATCAAGGTAACCATGGTGCTATTTTACTGGCGACTCTTCAGCGGGGACCGAAAAATTCGAATAGCATTGTATGCGATCAGCGCAATGCTCTTTTCCTGGTTTGTTGGGGCGTTGGCTAGCGGTCTAGTCGTCTGTGAGCCACTGCCAAAGTTCTGGATTCACTCTATCCCTGGACACTGTCTTCGCACAATGACTTATTTCCGGGCAATTGCCGGTACCAATCTTGCGACCGACGTTTTCCTGCTGGTACTTCCCATACCTATTGTTTGGGGTCTTCATCGACCGGTTGGTGAGAGACTCGCTCTCATTGCTGTGTTTACTCTCGGGGCCTTGTGAGTTATTTTCGCACCTAAGAGATTTGGATATGGAATCTAATGAGAGATATGAATAGTGTCACAATTGTCAGTGTGATCCGAATAGCGATGTTAACATCCCCGGATGATCCAGATCCATTATGTGAGTCTCGGAATGAAACACATTCCATCCCTGTCTCCCCTTCCCTTGACATTGCCACTTACATAATTCTCTAAACATTAGGGGCCAACACCCAAGGAACCATCTGGACTTCTGTCGAAACCAGCATTGGTGTTGTCTGCGTTAATCTTCCCACCATGTCTCCGCTGTTCCGTCGATACATCCTACGGCGCGAGGTCAGCTCCGCGAACTCCAAGCCGAAAAGTCTCCCCTTGTCGTACCCACCAAGCAGCAAAAAACCCACTGTCAATCGGCGCCGTGGCTCAACATCAAGTACTGAAGGCCTTGATACCACATGGTCGATTTCCGATAATGATCATCGGGATATTGTCGTGACGACGGGTTTGACAGTAACTGGGCATGAGGAAGAAGGAGTTGAGATGGATGAGTTGAAGAGGCATTCGTCCAAATCAGTCTGCCATGACTGTGAAAATCGTGCAAGAGATCCTAAGTCAGGGCCTTGAACAAAAAGAGGTCTCAGTCAAATGGTATGTATATTAATATATTATGGCGTTGGGTGCACATACCAATGTTCGTGTGGTGCTGGGGTCCATATTAGAGGTATATTAGAATTACCTGGGCTATGTTTCCATACTTCCGCACTAGCATCAATAAATTAAACAAGAATTCCGAATCAACATTGAAATCAGGTGGTTTATGGAGATCATGAAAGATGTACAACCTTGGAAGGTCCATGGATCTGAGCCTTACAAGGCAATCATTGTCCAGGCCAATTTCAGTTGGCCGTTGTGACGACTTATCCATCAAAGGCTGAGAAGTGAAAAGCTTCGCGAAAATTTGTCGTAAGGCCTTAGTGGTAATAAGAAATACATGTTCGAGGATCTAATCTAATTCTCAAATATGTGAACTCAGAAGATTTGATGCAAGCTTTAAAAGTCATATTGCCGCCAGTGCTAGAGATATGAGCGCGGCTAAATAGGCCACAAACATTAATAGTGAGATAACTTCTCGCCACCCTAATCATGTAACCATGATGCCTTGTCATATTGCTAAGGAAGATCTAGTTGATTAGTTATGTGGGTATCTCTGATGAACCTACTATTGGTGAATTTTATGGTAGGTCAAGGAGGTTGCACTCACTAAAGCTCACTTGCATTTTCTGGTACAGTCCTGAGATATTGAGGAGGAGAAGGCCACGACGGATCTCGGGAAACTTCCTTCAGGGAATCAGTTGCACTTACTGTAACAGCGCCCTAAATTTGTGGGTCATTAGCTGTACACGCTGATCAACTCGGCTTGATTACCGCTTTCGGGCCGAGATCACTCGGGATATATAGGGTAGCCGCCCGTGCACCTACCGGGATCTAGATCCAAGTGGGGGAGCCATGGAAGAAATAATCATGACAAGAGATAGCTGCCCAAACGTGGGATGCACAGAAATTGTGGGCTTTGATGCCAAAATGACGTGCACGTGGGATTTCCCACAAATTCAAGTGAATATGGAGTAAATGTCAGCGGAAAAACTGCACATGAGTAAAAATTTTCAGCTTGGGCTAACATATGGGATTTCGATTAGCCGTCTTATCTGTCGACTTAAAAATTCCCCCATACCCCAGTAGTTTTCACAGACAGATTTCACATCCCAGAAAATTCAATCAATCGATTCACCAACTTGAACCTGAATATTAATACCCGGCAAATCCTGATCGAGTCGAGATCATGGGCCTAATCCCGACTCTAGTAAAGAGCCCACCGAAGTACCTGCTGGGGTGCATTTTATGCTCTGCAAATGGCCTCCTCTTCGGAATGGACACCGGTATTATCGGTCCTGTTACCGATATGACAGACTTCAAAGCGCAATTCGGAGGTAGTCAAAATTCTACGATCCACGGTCTCATTGTCTCGTGTATCTTGATCCCCGCGGCGATCTCTTCCTTCTTTGCTGGCTATCTTGCCGATCGTGTCGGTCGGCCGAAGGGTATCTGTATCGGCACCTTTATTTTCGGGGTCGGAGCCGCTATCGAAGCCGGCGCCGTACACTTGGCTATGTTCATCGTGGGCCGCATTGTTGAAGGTGTCGGTGAAGGTCTATTTCTTGGCAATCTGGTCGTGCTGATCTGCGAAATTTCACCTATCAAGACGAGAGGTGCTCTCACAACTGGCCCTCAGCTGGCATGTACCCTTGGCTTGGTTGTGGGGTATTTCGTCTGCTATGGGTCATCGGATATTCAGTCCTCACTCTCCTGGCGTGTGCCCTGGATAATTCTTTCGGCCTTAGCCATGATAACGAGTGGCGTCTCTCTGCTGCTTTTGCCGGAGTCACCTCAATGGCTTGGCCTTCAGGGTCGTTATGAAGAGGCTGAAGAGGCGTGGGAGAAGTTAGGTGTGGATCTTGCGGATCGTGAAAAGATCGAGGTTAAAGTGCAGGTGCAGGTGCAGGAGATTGATCTTGACACTGAGAAGGAGACAGTCGGAACGACTAGCAAACTTCTGGAGGTCTTTTGCAAGGAAGTTCGGGGCCGGACTGCACTTGGTGTCTTCTTGATGGGCATGCAACAGCTGAGTGGTATCGATGGAGTCCTTTACGTATGTTCACACAAACGTCACATTTTCTCTTACTGAAGTGCATGATGAGCTAACCCCAATCCATAGTACGCCCCAGAACTCTTCCAAAAAGCCGGTCTCGCCTCCTCAGAAGCAAGTTTTCTAGCTTCCGGTATATCGGCAATTGTGATATTTGCCTCGACAATTCCTGGTTTGCTTTATGCCGACGCGTGGGGTCGCAGAACCAGCATTCTTATCGGAGGTGTTGGAATGGCGATTTTGATGTTTTTGATGGGCGGCTTGTACGCCGGAGATGCCGTTCATAAGGACGGTGGCGCTGGTCGCTGGGTCGTCATTGTATCCATTTATCTGTTCGCGGCGTTGTACTCTGCCACTTGGGGTGTCACTGTCAAAGTCTACAGTGCTGAGATCCAGCCTCAGCGTACACGAGCATCAGCCACCACATTGTCTCATTCGAGTAACTGGGTTTGCAACTTTACAGTCGCTTTGATCACACCAATTGTGCTCTCGAAAAGCAGCTGGGGAATATACATCTTGTTTGGTGGATGCTGCGTTATCACCGTTATTGTCAGCATTTTCTTCATGCACGAAACGCAAGGAAGAACCTTTCTGCAAATTGAGGAGGCTTTCAAGGGGAGATCGGCCGAAAAGAATAGCTCATGTGAACGCGAGGTCAGCCAAGCATAAAGGATTGAAAAAGCGGGGATTTATGATTTGTTGGTCAGATTATGAATGGGCAAAATTATAGATTGGTTAATGAAAGATAACTTAGATTAGACGACACTGAATATCCTAGAATCGATACCAAACAACCTTGAAAGGCATTTCATCTTTCTTTGAATTGACAGGTAATATCAATTTCTGTACAAGGCCTCTTGAAAGCAGCTTCACTTTTGCCTCCCATCGAATCTAAATAGCCAGCCCTCTGGTGGCTAATAGTGGTTTCTTCTTATCCTTGTCAAAGAATCTTCTCACTCAACAATTCTTTCAGCTATTAGATGATCTAAATTACATGGCTTTCCCAAACTCAAGACGATGTTCGTTCACTACCGTAGCATAGCAATCTGCAGTATATATTAAGCATATGGTTGCCGAATTATAAGCAACGACCCTTCAAAAACTCCCACAACATACGCCATGACAACCACTTGTATCAAAGTCAATACAGCTCTGCTCGCGTAGTAGACATTAATTCGCTTAAACGGTTCTCATTCCCAACAGCCAACCTTTCATTATCAGACGACAACTGTGAAATATCCCCAACTGTTTCTGTTTGTGATAGCCGCGTATTCAACGCGTCTTTGCGCTCAAATCCAGGAAGAGGAGCAATCCCGTCGTCTGTTTGGTTCATGACAGGAGTGGCCTGGGTCCGCCCTGTTCGGCTTTTCATTCGAAATTTGTAAAGCAACCATCCGCCGATCGCCAAAAGCAGTATACCCAATGCCACACCAAGGCCAATTCCAATTTTGCTGGCTTTGGATACTCCGTGACTCTGTAGAGACTTTTCGGTGTTATCAGTAGCACTGGTGCTGGTGGTAAGAGGTGTCGCAGAAACTCGTGTTGTTGTGGTCGCAGACGCAGTCGGAGAAGTGGTAATGAAGTTATATGAAACCGGTGAGGGATCATCCGTATACCTCTCTGAAACACCAAATGTCACACTTGTTATGTTGTTGCCGTAGGCTTCGCCCTGCTCTGTGAAAGGTTGGAGCATGAAGGTGCATCCATCTTCAACATAGTCTTTGCGCGTTGCTATCCACACATAGCTGTAGTTGTTGGCTATTTGATCTGTTATGAAATGTCAGAGAGGCTTTTATATAGCTGGAGTTGATATAGAATTTCACCTTCTAATGCGCGATTAGAAGTACCGCATGTCTCGTAGAGTGCCAATCTAGGGGCAGTAATGTCCCATGTTACATTAACCAGATCCGCCACGATGAATTGATATTCAGTACTGGTTGGAAACGTAAAGTTTCCGGACATCTTGCTGTTTAATTGTTGCAAAGCAGAAAGCTTCTCCCCATGGTGGGAGTGTGATAAGGAGTTGGACGAATGCGAGCTGATCAGATGGGAATGCGAAAAGACTCTGCCCCCTCTTTTTCAAACCTGGGCACGTCTTGTGATCATATTTCAGGGGACCAAAAAGGACTTGCATTACTGTGAAATTTTCATTGGCTCAAATCGAACCAAAGGATCATAGCTTCTTATGACCCCTGTCTAGTGTGGAATGCTAGTGCACTAGCTGCGATATCGGAGATCAGTATGAATAGAGTCAAGCTCGTTCTAATTGAAGTTGCTGGAATTGTGGTTGGGAATGGAGAAGATAGGTTATAATTCGGAAGTAGATCAATCAAAGAGAAGGACGTATAACGAATGTTTCAATAATGAGCCTGGGATATATATATGGGTTACTGAGTGCAAAAACATTCTAGTGTATCCATTACTCAACTACTGTAGCAGGATAGGTGGAACCCGGAAGCAGGAAATACTATCTCCCGCTAAGACTAGGTAGACAAGTATTTAAGCCTGTTCAAATTGTCGGTTAGGGGCATAGGCTGAAATTTATATCTTCTCTCGTTGCATTGCTGCACCCGTATGGTCCAACGCGTGTTTCGTTACATCAACGAGCACGGCGAAATCAAGCCAGCATCCCTTCAGACAGCCTACTGGACTGTAGTCACTAGCTCAAAGTAATATTTTCCATCCCGCATCATCAATTATGAACATGGAAAAAGTCCACATAAACGACATACGCCTATACCGAGTGGGAACGCTTCTCTCATCCTAACTTAGATAAGGAAAACCAACCCCTTTCCTTCCGCCCCCACCGATCACTGCGCGTTGGGAGTTGTACCTTTCCAGCAACATGGATATGAACGTCGCTTACAGAAAACACTTAGACCTGGAGGTTCATCACTCTGACCAAAAATATCTTCCACGGGGGCTTGAAAGAATATAGCATGGAGATATTTTCGTGCATGTACTCTAGGCTCGAGCATGCGGGAAGAAACTCTCTCTGGGAGAATAGGCGTTAAGACCTCAAGAATCAAGACAACTGACTCCTACATGGTAGGGCTGGATGGATGATGTTATGAACCAAGTCTTGATAAGATGAGGGTCCATTAACGAATATAGATAGCGCCGAGAGAACATTGGAAAGAAGAGAAGATAGCTACAGCTGGACTACATGTACATATATTCTGTCCCATTCTCTACTTGACTATCGTAACCATTCCAAAAAGCTTATCTCGTATAGATTAGTAGAGATATCAACAGGTTTCTGTGTAAATCGAACTCATTCGTCGCCGATAAGACCGCGAATATAAGGTTTTTCATTGGCATAGCAATGGGTCTCCTGTTCCTTAGGAATCATACCATGTAGAATGTAAGCTTTAGCAACTTGATCCGTGCACTCCGACATATCACGTCTAGAGCTATGTCCATAAGCATGATGAACTATCAAGCGGGCATTTTGGCCCATTTCCGCCCTGAGTCTTCTTCCATTTCGCAAGGGGGTTGCAGGGTCATATGGGGAAGCGATCAGTAGAGTTGGTGTCTTGAGAGTGTGGTTCAGATCGCCTCGATACACCTCCGACGGAGGGGCCCAATAGGTATTGTAGTATCGACAAGGCAGAACTGCGAAGAAACGAGAGTTGCCAGCCATCCAGCTCCGGGCAGACATGTCCTTCCACAATTGATCCCACCAGTCAAGTCCGTCTGGAAGGGGCGCATCGTAGGAATCGGAGCAGATCACGAGAGGATCGAGTTCACTTGAGGCTGGGGCATAAGGATGGGTTGGCCTCTCAGAGTGGTCGCTCCATGAGAGGTCTAGAGATTTGGCTGCTAGAGTCGCATTCCCTGCTTCGAGCTCATAGAGCATTTGTGCCGTACCCGGCCAGTTCTCCGGCCTATACATAGCCGGATAGAGGATCCTCTCCACGAGCGCTGAATAGGTGACTAGAGATGGACCGCCTGATTCTGTATACGCGGATTGTGGGCGAGCTTTGAGCGAATCAAGTAGTTGAACCATGCGCGCTTCCAGCTGTGCGAGAGTGACAGGGCCATCCTGACTTGAAACAGGATTAGCCAATGCACACCACTTCGGACCAGCATTGAGACACTCTCCCAAGAACCCGTCTCGCCATGCATCTGTTGCATTGTCGAGAGCTGTCCAGCCAAAGCCGCCTAGGAGGCGATGATCTCTGACATATTCCGTGCCATCGAGAATCAGACGACCCGCTCGGGTGGGAAACATGTTGACATATGTCTGACCAATTCCAGTACCATAGCTCACTAAGTATCCCGTGACTTCTTCTTCATCAAGAGCTTTTCGGATCTCGTCTAGGTCGCGTGCTACTGATGCTGTGCTGATGAAGCGACCAAAATCTCCCAATCGTTGCTGGCAGGCAAAGAATGTGGCGTTGTTCATGGCATCCACAGCCTCTAGTTGGGCCCTTGGAGCCTCCTCGCGATATCGAAGCGCCAGGAGTGACCATCGATCCCGGAAACCGTCTTGAGGGAAACATGCCGCGGCGGGGAGGGAAAAATTAACACCGCGGGGGTCCCAACCTAGCACATCGAATTCTCCGTCACTAAAGCGGTTCGTCATCTCCTCTGCAGTCTCCCAAAGGAAAGAGGTTCCGCTTCCCCCCGGGCCTCCCGGGTTGATGATGATAGTGCGCTCACTCCTATAGCCCTTGGGTGGAATCCTGGGATCCTTTTTATGAGCCAGGCCGGCGACCTGGAATTTGGTGACTGCAATGCGAACGATACGATGGTCTGAAGCATTGTGATAATCAAGTGGGAGATCTAAGTATCCACACAGGTAGATACCCCGGCCTGTGCTACCCCAGCTCCAATGGTTGGGATTCGGATCAAAGAGAGCCGCCCATGATTGCTGTGGAGTAGGATCGTCCAGTGGCGGCGGACGACTGGCGTCTGTGCATGGGACAAATTGGAACGGGTCGTTTTCTTGTGGGAACCATCCATATGGCGAGTCTTGGACTTCAGGATCGTCACGGAAGGCCCACCGATGCGCTGGGATAGGAAATATACCAAATCTCACCAGACCCACTATCCCTACGGCTGCTGCCATCCATATAATAGTCCTCCGAGGCCATGTTCGAGGCTGAGATATAGCGGTGGGCTTTTTCTTCTCCATCGCAAAGTTTCCTGGGAACAAAGCAATTGTCCAGGCCACCTGTAAGGGTTTGAGGTTCAATTTGAGGTAATCACGTTATCTTCGGCGTTAGGCCAATTGCGGGTGTTTGCAGGAGTTGTTTCTACTCTTGGCATAGTGCGATGGGAGGGCACAACCATGTGTTTTCGTGGTTGTCATCACGGTTCAAATTAACATAGTAGTTGTGAGGACTATAGGCAAGAGAATGAACCACCGTGAAAGTCAGATGCCCAGGATTCAAGAAAAATCTCAAATGTTCCTGAGATTATTGCTGTCGTTTTGTAACTGCGGGGTCGAGGGGTTCCCTGTCAAGATGGGTCAATATTAATACTTTGTACATCTAGACAGGGCGCAGCAAATACAACTGTAATCCGATAGCTATTTTGTGGCATTATTCATGACTGCACCAAGATACTGTCAAGAAAGTGGGTTGGACTTGTGTAAAGCAATAATCTTCATACGCAGGTGCCAGCTTCCTTCGGAAGTCAATATGGAGATACCTGCCTTGGAGATAGCTGATCTTATACTTCCGAAATCCTTATCTCATCAATCCCGAATGACATTCTTACAATCACATACCAAGGCCCGGTTAATGAACATCAAAGTGGATTCTGAGGTGGGCCTTCGTCTAAGTCTTTGGCTTTGGCCCGGAAATTAGGCTAAATTGTGGGGTGTAAGAAAGATTAGATGCCGAGAAAGGAAAACGAGCCGATGCACTGATGGAAGAAGGATTATTCCGGCCCGGCAACTTTGCCACTTCTGTCCGGAGTCCACTGCAAGACTAGTTGAACTTGTACTGCGGCGGCTTTCAAAATTCCTAAGCATTCTCTGAGTTGATCCGAGATCTCCATAATTCCCTACTGGGAGGCATGCGCTCTTACTCCGGCTGGTACGTGCACCTTTTTCTACTGCAATCCTCATTGGCATATCTTTTCGGCTTCCCATCGAAGCGCCATGACTGACAAACCATTATAGCCTGACATGTAAAAGGAGGAAGTTGAAGTGCGATGAATCTAAGCCAATATGCCGCAAGTGTATCAAAGCATCCCGAGACTGTTCCTATGGAGAACAGTCTATCTTTCGAAGCCAGATTGGCTCGACACCGGACCGGACTCGAAAGAGTACTAGCAATCAGCAGGACAAGCAAGCCGATCAGCTCAGAAATGAGGTTACCTGGGTAGAACTTCCATCCGAATGTAGGTTTTTATTCGGAAAGCATCAGGTTTGTATATACTCACATCAATTCAGTCACGTTCGTTGCCGCAGGAGATTCTGGGGACAATGACAGCACAAGGATCGTAGAGCCAAGAGAGTCAGTTGCAGTTTCGGAAGGGAGCGGAATAGAGAGAGCAATAGATGCAGGCGAAGCGGCCCACATCTCTGAATACCATTGCGCATCAAATAATGACGCCTCTGCTGCTACACCTTACTTCCATACGCCAACTACCGATCTTTGCACATCACGAGACCACGATTCGTCAAGTTTTCATGTTAATCCATCAGAATCAGATTCTTTAGAGAAAGCTCTTCTCTCATACCTTTTGCGACATTTTAAGCAAGGCCCAGGCCAGTGGTGTGCATCCAACATTCGAAATTCAACTAAAGTTGGTGCTAACAAGGATCAAGGATGGATCTTTTTGATACAACGTCTTACTTCTCTTCAAGAGTGCCTGTCATTGCAGCAACGAAAGTTTTATTAAAATCAGCGGTCTGTGCTCTTTCTGCAAAGCATCTGCGACATGTTTGTCGGGTTATGAGCCAAACTGGTGTGGATCCCAGTTCCATTCCAAGCTATGTTGGCCTTCCTTTCGCAAACGAAGAAATGTGGCGATACCACTCAGCAAGATATTATGACCAAGCCCTCGGCCACTTAAAACTTGCTATCAGTTCAGGTTCATATGCCCAAAATTTATCTGGCAGGGAAGAAATGCTCGCTGCTGTCGCAATTCTCTGCACTTTTGAGTTGATGGACGCTCCTGGGAGCGCATGGAGAGCTCATCTCAGCGCTTTGCCCCTCTTTGATGACAGGTCGGCCTCTATGCCAGGTCATTCTCTGATTGTCATTCCTCGGACGGCTATAAAGGGTCCAATATTTTGGAGTCTGGCCCGGCAGGACTTATTATGTGCTTGTGAGCTTCCGAACTCTTCCTCAAAATTTTCTTTTTCTAATAGATAAATAGTCATAAGTGAGACTCCCACTCGATTGGATTTGAAAGACATGCGGCTCTGGCAGAATGCAGGTTTGGCCACGGACGAGAATGGAGAGCTTCTGCCCTACAGCCCAACAGACGTGATAGAGCGGCAAAACTCCTCTGGACTTGAAGAGGACATGAAGAGCAATGAACTAGCGTGGATCCTTGGTAAAATTGCAAACCATCTTACTGCCGGGGACGCTTTCGTTATGGTGAACAACAAGTTACCACGCCATGAGCGGCCTGTGATCGGTTTAAGCCAGGAGCATCTCCTGGAGAGATGGAATATGTTGATGTCTGATTTAGAGAGATGGCACGACTCCCTTTCCGCTTCCTTCGCTTCGACTACCCGAACGCGGAGACTGGGCACCGCAGCTTCAGGATTTGAGCTAAGTTTTGATAGCTTCGTGCAGATCTGGTTTGATCTGCCCTTGTGCGCTGCAACAATGCAAAGCTACCACCAAGCCAAGATACTGTTATTGGCAAATGAGCCGCAAGAGTCAACTGCCATTCGATCGACTGTATCAGCACGCTTGAGATCCTACCGACATGCTTTGCGCGAGGTCGTCTACCATGCCAGGGAAGTGTGTGGCATAAGCCTTGCCAATTCAACAGACTCACTTCGGGTGAATTCCGTTCAAGCTCTATTTGTCGCTGGGCAGGTCTTTCAGGAACGACGCGAGCAGGACGCGGTACTTGAATTACTGTCTGGTATCGAAAGAGATCTTGGCTGGACCACTAGATATCATGTGGCCAAGTTAAAAGATGAATGGGCAAGGGGAAGAGAAGGCAATCACGTTGACCGTGAGGAGCCAGGTCATGACTCCAACTGGTTTATACCATAGTGTGCCTTGACTTTGTGCAACATTAGATCTGTCCAATATGCATTAGTGTCTCTTGTACTGGAAGTCGATCTTCCAAGGCTAAATCAACAGCTTACTCAACTTGTTGTAGCTAGTGTTTGTATCATCTACACTGATGAGGGTTTTACTATTCAGATTTGTTGATCTCATTCTCTTTCCCTCTAGAATGCATTTGAAACGTCTTCTATCTCGTGTATCAAGTCATCATCCAGGCCAGCTGGTCTGGCTTCCTTCTCCGCAGTTCTACCACATTCGCGACGATGCGAGTTTTGCCCACTGGAGTCTTCAGTAAACCCCAACTTTTGAATTTCACATTTCAAGTAGCTGGTTGCTGTCAAAAAGCCTGAATTGATCAAGGTTGATTGAAGTTGAAGAAGTCAAGTGGAAATAAAAACCTTTCACCTTCACATAGCCTGTCCAACCCTCAGTGAAGTAATGCAAGAATGCCCTGTGAGTTATACAAGCGCAATGTGCTTTTCTGGGCGCTGGTAGATCCGGTTGCGCATTTCTGCAGCACGCTGCTGAACGGCAGTCATGGTGGATGCGTATAATCCTTTCTAAAAGAATTTAGCCCACGAATTGCCCTCGAACAGAAGGAGAAGACCTACCTGTGAGTTCCACGATTCATCAATCAAGGTTGTATTAAGCTCTGAGACAACCCATGAAGGGGCAGCATTGGAGATGAGCTTCGGGGCCTCTGAAATTGTGATCTCGGCGTCATGGCCAATGTCACACGCCAAATCACTGATCTCTTGCGCTTTAGGAACCAAAACCATTGGTACCTGTCATGTCTCTAGTTCGGGTGCAAAAGTGTAGGCCGCAGTCTGAGTAGCACGTCGGAGCGGCACTTCGTTTCGTCGTCTTGAAGGAAGGGAAACTTTTGTTGAAGCTCCGTGCACTGAGCTTTCCCAGTCTCTGTCAATAGTGCATCCCGGAGATGATGAGAGTCCTATGCGCTGTGTTAAAGCTCGGTATTGACAAAGTGCATTGAATGATAGGGAAAATATTACATTGACGTTGTGTTCGTCCTGAGCATGGCGAATGACATAGAGAATCGGAGGCATTCTGGCCTACTAAATAAATTAGTTGCTTCGATGAGGCTTTGGTTGTGGAGGGTTGAGTCATCATGCGTGTGATATTTGCTTTTCACATGAGTTGTAGGCTTAAATACAACTTCACCGTGATTCCTTGACCTGTCTTACCATGATGGCTTGTAGATCTCGCAAGCGGTGGTCCACACCTTTCGGTGCCAAGTCGGACTCGGCTCGGCTTCTTCTTGCCATCCAAAGAAACTTCCGGTTTGCAGCCCTCCTCGGCTCGACTTCCTATTCCGTCTGGCTCCACTATCATTGTCCCTCATCTTGTATGTATACATCCACCAACTTTCATGACAGAAATAGCTTTGAAGACCGAGAGGCTTCTATTTAGGGACATGATCATCGCTAAGAGTCAGCTTGTTCTCTTCCGTGGAACTCTAGCTAAACTGTACTTAGCACTGGTATTTATTAGTCACTAACACAGTATTTAATGCTGGTCAATATTTTCCTCTTCATCTCGTCTTAAGCCACTTTTTGAGACATATCCGTTTCAATCTCGGATAGCTGCGAAACAAAACAACATGAGACAGTCATTGCGCTTGCAGGAGAAGGTTGCTATTGTCACCGGTACTTCTTCCGGCTTAGGTCGAGCTATCGCAATCCGCTATGCGCAAGAGGGCGCCAACGTAGTTTGTGCCGACTTGACACCAACGGCTCGCTCCCAAGAGGAAGCTGGAATCACAACACATGAGTTGATAATTCAGGAGGGCGGGCAGGCCATTTTCGTGCAAACAGATGTCGGCGATGCCACCCAGATGGAGAACTTGGTCAAGAAAGCCGTGAAGGTCTATGGAAGACTTGATATGTATGAGGCTTACTCCCTTTTTCGCCTTTAACCATATTGGATTTTCTGACCATTCTATTAGTCTTGTCAATAATGCAGGAATCAGCATTGAGGCGCGTCTTCCTGCTGTTCTCCATTTGACAGATGAAGCAACATGGGACACGACGATGCGAGTAAATGTGAAGTCAGTTTTCCTTGGCTGTAAATATGCCCTTGCACAGATGTTGTCGCAGGAGCCACATGCTTCAGGAGACCGAGGATGGATCATTAACATCTCATCAATTATGGGCATGATTGCGGGGCCGGAGAATCGTAGGTTTCAACCTTGCATATACCTCAATTCAAAGCTAACCTTGCCGCCTTGTAGCCTCTTACTGTGCATCCAAGGGAGCTGTTAGCCAGCTCACGAGGCAGGTTGCCTTGGATTATGCCCCGCATAAAATCCACTCCAATGCACTTTGCCCTGGTTGTAAGTAAGGCCACGATTTCTTAGTTGATTTAAGACTGACAATTAGCAGATACCCAGACCGCTATCTTCAAAGAGACGACTACTAATCTCACACCTTGGGGAGATCTCAATCGTCGGCACCCTTTGAAGGGTCCAGGCTTCCCTGATGATATTGCTAAGATGGCTGTCGTTTTGGCAAGTGAGGATGCTAGCTGGGTCACTGGAGTATGCTTGCCTGTGGATGGTGGATACACTGCCCGTTAGAAGCAATGATACTGTATCAATGTGCAAAGAAATATTGATATTTCTCTCTACTAATCACTATGTTCTGATATTGATAAGGACCCCTTCAATCAACCTTAAAGGTTTGGTGGTGTAGTCATGTACTTCGGACTCTCGGAGTAACGAACCTAGGTTTAATTCCCAAACAAAGGGCTATGGGCTGTAAGGCACCTCCTACCGCTTACTATCTGTAGTTAGACTATATTAGATATCAAAAATCTCACTATAACTGATCACGTCAAGATCTCCGTATGGTGTTTTGGGTAGTGGATTACGCTACGATATTTTATGCCTTGAAATGCCGGCATCAAGTCTGGTATCTTATCGGGCGCGCATTTCCATCTTTCCGCGCTTTTTCTCTCCTTTCGCAGCAATCAAGTTACCATCCATAATGGCATCCTACTGTGCTGCCTCGTCCAGGCTAGCCCTACCGACAGTTTTTCGGACCCTGTTCCGCTCCGAGGCGCCTCGCAATCTACGCCCTTCCCGGAGTGTGCGCTCGCCAGCGCTCTACCAACCCAGACTGTTCAGCTCCGCCACTCTATTCCGCCAAGTCCAGGAACAATCGCAACATGCAATCCCCGTCACTCAAGAGAATCCTACTTCCAAGTCTCCAAAGCCATCGGAATCTACTGCAGACTCGACTCCACCCTCTGAAAGGTCACCCGCGGACTCAGTGAAGTCGTCCAAGAACCCCGATTCCAAAAAGAAGAACAAGGATCGCAAAGATCGCAATCCCTCCAAACATGCCGGCAAGGACAAGAAATCCGATAAGCCGAAGAAAGAGGACACACAGAAAAAGAAGGCCGAGCCCTGGAAGACTCAAAAACAGGCACTTGACAGGAAGTTCCCAAACGGTTGGAACCCTCCCAAGAAGCTTTCACCTGATGCTCTGGATGGAATTCGAAGTCTACACGCAAGTGCTCCAGATAGATTCACAACCACGGTTCTGGCAGAGGAGTTCAAGATCTCACCCGAGTCGATTCGCCGCATCTTGAAGAGCAAGTGGAGGCCGAAAGCTGAGGAGATTGAAAGTCGGCGGGCACGGTGGGAAGCGCGACATGAGCGGATTTGGGGTCATATGGCTGAGTTGGGTCTACGGCCGATGACCAAAAGTGCTCTTTCCAAGTCCGACTCCAAATTACTGTATAAGAAGGACAAGGAGGACCTGGAGGATAAGGGAGAATAAGAATGGCAAGGAATAGAGGACCTTTTCAAACTGTATATTATCTCGAAGATGAAATTCGGTGCGCACCAGCAGCTGAACAGTGTATATTATTTGTGTATTATAGTGCTCTTGGTAGCAACGGAATCATCTCTGCATAAAGTGACCATAATTACCCCGTTGTTTTGCGATTATCTGGAACTTTAGGTTGATTTTGGTCAGACTTGATTGATGTCGACCTTGTAAATTAAGAATCTTGAATACCCTTCTCACTTGCCCTGGTGTGCTTTTGGTGAAATAAGACGCAATGCAGGGAAACAAGCCGGTATGATGAGACACTTAATCCCTTACTTTGCCACTTTGAAGGGTCTTTCCATCAAGTACAACGTAGTATAATTTTTGTCCGCCGGCCTAGTTACTACAATAATAGAATTTTGGGTGTCGCTAATAGAACTAGAAAAGTCAGTAGCCGCGCAAAGATCAGGGAAAGAGCAGGAAAGACTATCCTGACCGAGCTTGTCATTTTAGTTGAAGATGTTCAGCATGTATATTCACCGCGGAGCTCCGCGTTGTTGTCTGAGTTTATGTGGAGTTGTGGTTCACTGCTGTCTCTGTCATCCTCCACAGTGAGCTTATCTCTACTTGGTTGGTTTAATAAAAAAATATACGTAGCTGTCGATTATATGGACGTAGGCGTGTCATTCCATTTACATTGTTCAATCACGGTGGTACCTTTTCAATATTTGCAAAATGCAGAGTAGAGTTCGGGGAAGTTGAACTAATCCGAACCGGAGCTCGAACTGTGGAGGCGCCGTCACGCAACTTGCTGATCTCCACCTCGGCCGCAACACATGTACCTTGCACCTCGAACCTGCGGCCTCACACCATGGCGCTTTCGACATGAGAGGTTGCGACTGTCGGCACATTCCTTGGTGAACTGTTTCAATCGCCTTTGATTTCCGTCAATTCCTTCGCCCCGCGATCGAATTTCGCCTTCCATACAGCTTCCGGCCCACATGCTGACCGCGCCGCCATGCCGTCGAATATCCAGGTCTTCGTGAAATGGAAGGACCAAACGATCTTTGCAGGGGAGAATGTGGAATGCACTATTACATTCAAGAACGTGGCAGAGACCAGGCCCGATGTCAACGCTAGTGAGGGCCAGCACCAGCGCAAGGCGTCTCGAGTCGCCAACCATTCCAGCAATAATAATTCCGACTCCTTCTTTGGTTTCAAATCACCCCAGAGGCTTTTCTCGGATCGACGGTCTTTTTCCATCGGCTCTCCAAGGAGACCGGCTGCCCACCGCACCGCTTCGTCCCTGAGCTCCCCACTTGTTACTTCTCAGAGCTTCCCGCCTGCCGGCAACCCCTCCTCCACGCCCCGAAGCTGGCAGCCCGGCCACAGCGGTAAACGATCTGTATCGATTCTTTCAATTGATAGTGAAGGCCAGCCTGAAAAATCGCTGTCGCCGCACTTGACTCGAGGCAAGCCTGCTAGGGGTCATGGGCGCTCAACCAGTCTCCAAATTTCCCCCCGGAGGAATGATAGCTATGATGATTCATACAGGAAAGGTAAGTCCGACGCGTCAATGAGGATTTTAAAGGATAGGAGCTAACGAAGTATCGTGTTATAGCAGCCAGGGCTCCAATGCGTGGTCTGCCACTGAGAGAATCAGACGAATCCGCCCCCGGAAACCTACGAGTTGACACCAATAATGTGGGGACCACAAGCCGTCCTGGATCCATTGCAGAAAGTCCTGTAAATTCGGTCGAACCATTGCGCCCTGCACGAAGACCTCAACTACCTTCCTTTGACTTCAAATTTCCGCCTGCTCCTCAAAATGACACCAATCGCCCCGCCGCAACCCCCCTCACCCAAATCCGAAAGACTCCCCTCGCCAGGGAAAGCCCCAGGCAGAGATCCATCGGTACTGGGACCGCCATCACATCAGCAGGTCACACGAATTATATCGGCCACCAGTGTGAATGGAAGCAGTCGAAGCAGTGGTGAGTTTTTCTCGGTCAGTGATCACTCGACGGAAACATTGGCATCCGAGTATACAAATTATTCCGCTCAAGGAGGACGCGCACCTCCTCCTGCCCGACATGGGCGACATTATTCGAGTGTCGTGCCCTCATCAGCAAAGCCCGCAGACAGCCAGGCGCTGCTGATGGGCTATGCCCAGATCAGTGCATCATTTACAGTCGACGGTTCATTGGTCAATCAGTCAGTATTTGACGAAGTCAAGCGCAAAGGAGTAGTTGGCGGCCAAACAGGCACTGGTGGACTCCCGGGGCGACCAAGCTCCGCCAGCACTGAACGTGCTCGCAAAGGGGGCGGTGGCTTTTGGGGTGCGCTCAAGTGGAACGCCATTGAGGAGTCTATAAACGGTTTCCTGTCAAACAATGAACTTGATGGTCTCCGAGACATGCGTGGAGTTGCTTCGTCACGCTCCATTCCGCTCCTTTCTACTCCACAATCGCTTCTTTTCGTCGACCTGCGACTGGCACCAGGAGAGGAACAGTCGTATTCCTTCTCTTTTTCTCTTCCCAGAGGACTCCCGGCGAGTCACAAGGGGAAAGCCATCAAGATATCTTACAATCTCGTCATTGGAACTCAGCGACCTAGTGCGCCCAACGACACTCAACGAGTCAACCGCATCAACATCCCGTTCCGTGTATATAGCGGAGTAAATGGTAAGTGGCTTCATCATCACGGCTTTTTCATTTGCTAATACTCTGATAGAGAAGGGAGATGTTTTGGGTCATGATCTGATGTCTCCATATGTGCTTTTGCGTGACGAAGCCAAAGTCCAAAAAGTCGCACCTAACGCTCCGGTGGCCCCAAAGCCTCAGAGTCTAAGTGGACTATGGAATTCAGCTGGGGACTTTATCTCCTATGTCGATGAGATTCTTGAACAGCGTGCACGCTCAAATTCACTTTTCCCACCGGGTGCTCTTCCAGAGCGCCGAGCAAGCTATGACGGACCTTCCCAGCCGCTGTCCTGCAAAGACATCATTGACATGGCAATTCTCCGCAGTAACCAAACTGCTCAATCATCGCGGCGCAGTCCCAACAGGTTCGAGATTGCCCGCGATGGCAAACGCATCGCAGTGGTTGTCTTGAACCGTCCCGTACATCGAATTGGCGAAACCATCATTGCTACCGTGGATTTTGGTAATGCTTCTATCCCATGTTATGCTGTGCGAGCTTCATTGGAAACATCTGAAAAGGTCGTGCCTACTCTGGCTGTTCGATCAAACGCCAGTATCCACCGAACTACCCGTCGCATCCATGCATCCCTGTTTGAAAATACGCTTTATGCCACCCGTGTGGTTTTCAGTCCTGCCATTCCTATTACTGCCACGCCGACTATTCTCACCAGCGGCGTGACCCTTGATTGGGACATACGCTTCGAGTTTGTGACACCGAATACAATTAACGAGCATGGTCATGGGCCCTCCGGTGTCCAATTGCTTGAATCTATATCTTGCGACGATCGTGGTAAAGTCCTTTCTGCTTTGGAGCATTTGGGCTGTGAATCATTTGAAATTTCAATCCCGTTGACTGTCTACGGTGAAAGTGTCCGGGAACCATTGCCAGAAGAGAACAACGGATATGCTATTTGAGGTGGTCCTGATGTTGGTTTGGCCTCTGCCGTGTTGGCAGCTTTCTTGTGTATTTGTCTAAATATTCCCCTATCCACTTGTGGATATGTTTCTCGGTCTCTCATCTCCATGGTGTGTTGTAACACCCATTTTGGTATAAGATCTTACTATCACCTACGACAGCTTTTTGATACCTACCAGAATAGGTACTCTCCAAGGTTGTCAAATCTAAAATCCATAATCTATTTTAACGGCCATCCTTCCCTAATACGGCAGGGGTATCAAAGCCTAGAACCGTGATGCGTACAGAAACAATTGAGTAGCGGATGTCTCTTCGGTACGTCATATGGGCATGCTTGATATAAGCATGGTGAACGCGATTTTCTCTGGCCCCTGATCTTTACCACATCCCACTCATACTAATTGGGGTATTGTGGAACCTTGAAATCAATTAACTTCTTAATCTTTCTCTACTACAAGTGTCCCAATATCAATACACGTAAGATTCTCCCACTTTTCTATCTTTGAAAGCGTGAGGCTTGCACGCAAACCTTGAATAAGACACTATGTGAGCTTTTACTATAGACTTCGTATTTATCTTGTCATGATTCATTCTGGGTCAAATTGAGGCTGTCATGTTCGGCTTGTTGTAGCGCCGGGCTAGAATATTGGATTACTGATCATGCCGACTTAGTTACAATTAAGATTGATGAGTGAACGTCCTCATCGGCGTCTTGAATGATAACAGTGGTTAAAGAGAAAGTCCCATCTCTTGCCAGATCGTCAGAGCCGCGGTCTTCAACCGATCGTCTTCGATCTTTAAGTCTTTTTGGGGATCGGTTGGTGATACTCCAAAGACAAGTCTGAAACTGATGCGCAATGGTCCTCCTCGCACGGTGACTGGAGCTTTCCCCGACTTTGCAATGATGATGTGTTGAGACCTCTTCGTTTCCTCGTCGCCCCTTTCCGTGGTCTGACGTTCCCAGACATCAATAACCAGTCTCGGGGTCCGGTCAAGTTTACATGTAATGCAAACCGAGGCACCACCCTTGGTTGGGTCGAGCCACCACTGGGCATCGTAGCCTAAATCTGGGAGGCTTTGTGTGTCGCCGATTTCGATCGTGAACGATGGTCGGCTTTTCGGGGTCCCAGCTGGGGGATTTGTAGCCCCAAATGCGGCATCTGGAATGCGGGTTTCATTGTCGTTGTCCAGTGCCTTGAAACCAGAGTCAAGCCAGGACTGAAAATTAGACTCCATGCCCATTTCTGTAATCCAAGCATTGATGAAGAAGGTGAGTCTGCCGGCTGCAGCGCCGTGTGCTGGTAATGGAGCCATAGTGAGAATCAGGTTATGTTGAAAAAAGCGAAAGTTTCCTCTGGTTTCGAGCTGTAAAAAGTCCTCCTTCAAGGTAGCTTGGTCGATGCGAAAGATGAGGTACGGTGTGGGGTTGTAAAAGAAGATCTTGAAAGTGTCCGCTGATGGAGTTGATGGAAGGAAGGAACGATGAGCGTTAGGACATAGATTTCTTGGGGGACTATTTTCGTAGCAACAGTCGAGCCTTTGAAGACATTCCTGATAGTGAGGGTAGCTAACATTGCGAAGGAAATCAAATGTATCTTTTTCGCCATTATATTGTTGAATTAAAGCGCGATTGAGCGCCTCGTAGCGGACGTGCTCAATTTGTAGTATTTCCCAGAATTGCTGTCTCCCCTTATATATATATCTTGGAATATAGAAGGGAAGATCATGCAAAGATCTTTCATGGAATTGAAAACTCTGTGGCTGGTGTCTAGGCATTTTGGATGTACTGATATATTAATTGAGTGAATGAAGGCTGTTAGTTTGATTTGGATCTTTTGAATGTCCGATGCTTTAGAGAATTAGGTAGAAAGTGTTGAATGGTCATTTAAACACGCTGACCGACTGCAGCTTGTAGATTACTTCATAATGACTAGAACACATGGATATGGGCATAATTTGCGCATTTTGAGACTCGAAGAAACAAAATTCAGCTCCCGACGGAGAACGAAAGTTTAACTATTTAAAACCCGAAATTTGATCAGAATGTTTTGTTTGTCATGATTCAAGTTCTACTGACATAAAACCCCAAAGAAAACAAATAGCTTTAGTAGACGAGCCCTCTCTAGCCTCATAGCAACATATCCCTGTTTGAAACACTCGACGCCTACCAGCCACTGAAGCTATGCCCAATAAAGTATTTAACAGCGGTACTCAACCGCCTGATCATATCGAAACTCAATGTATTTCATCTTACTATTTTCTGGCTATGTTTATCATCCGTTGTGGCATCGATGGACCCTAGCATTGTGGTCGCTGTTCTTCCCAAAGTTTCCAAAGACCTGCAAGCTACAACAGTACATATCTTTTGGTGTGAGACTGTATTTTTGCTAGCTCAGACGATAAGCACATCCACTCCAAAGGGTGGATTTGCAAGTGAGCTCACCAAAATTTGCAGCACGGAACAATATTTTTTCTGGCACACATTGTGATGTGAAAGGCAAAGTTTTATTTCCAGGCTTTTCACCAATACATGGAGCAATGAAAATATTGGCGCTACCATTCAATAGACCATCCAGATATCACTACAAGGTTTACAAGGCTTCTCAGAGACTCAGTCATTACGATTACTGGTATGATATTACTTGCGCGTTTCCCGCGAACAACTTAAGAAAATGGCAATTTGATCTGCGTCGCTACCTCACTATCAGGCATTGGATACGATATATACAGATCAATTTTTGGGCTTTTTCAATGCGTCATTATAAACGCATTGGAATACCTCATCCCTCTGTTGATCAATCAACCGAGCAACCTGGAGAACTTCTTCATTCCCCTCAGTTAACGCTCCAAACACAGACTCTGCGAGGTCATATTCAATAGTGGTGAGCCCCGGCTCCTTTTCGTAAATAAGGTTTACAATAGGGGCATGATTACCAGCTCTGATATCGTGCGCGGTCATCTTTGTGGCGGTCCGAGGGTTCCCCATTGTATACTGCCTTGCGTTTTGAGATCGTCCGGCCAAGGTAGACAATGCACCATGATCATTAATTGCAAAAATACAGAATGGCTCTGCTCCGCGCATCTCGTTGACTGCTTCTTCAAGCTCCTGGAGAGTGTTGGCAGCTTTCAGTGTCTTGTCATTGTATCTTCCCAGTCGACTTTCAAGGCAAGTGACGAAGGAGAGCCAAGGCACTGGCAAATCTATTGTTCGGTGGATGATGGTTCGATTGTTGTCTATCGAGTGATCTTGAATCGACATTGGGTTGTCGATGAGGCTGTTGGGCGTGGGGCGGTTGGCATCCATAGAGTGAGAGACAAGCCGTTCTGAAAAAGTAATTTTGCTCAATTTTGTAGATCGACGCCGGTAGAGAAGAAGCTAAACGCGGGTCTACTCTCTTTCTTAAATAGATGAATCTACCCACTCTGAGGATTTTACAACTCCACATGATCTGATATTTAGTAACGCTCGGAAAGTCAAAGACAATAAAGTACGTCATATCAGTGATCAAGCTTTAGTAGGAACGAGAAGCGCCAAGGTTGTCATGGATCGACTTTGGTAGACTGTTCCGGTGGAGCGAATGATTACTGATCATATGCATATTAAGTGATTATTATCATCCCCGAAGGCCGAAATCTGTCTCATAATGCTCGGTCATATTATAAACCACTGATTAAAAGCGCCACCTCTATATTACAAGTGAGTTGATGAGTGATCTACTTTGTGATGAATAATTCCATCATTGCAACGAAAATACGCATGCGAGCCATGACTTAAATACCTCTACATACCCCCTGAAATCTTCTCCAATAGAATTCTACAAACCAAACGCATTCCTGCCCTCAGACAAACTCGTCGCAGTCATGGAAAGCCAGAGAATACTTGTCATTGGAGGCACTGGTGCCCAGGGAACAGCTGTTGTCAAGTCGCTTCTCGAAGCAGAACAGCCGTACAGGATCAGAATTTTGACCAGAAACCCGGCCGATGCCTCTACCGTGGCGAAGTTTCCCACTGAAAGTGGAGTTGAGTTGGTCAAGGGTGAGATTTGGACGTTTACTGGGCATCAGATTGACCTACTGACTTACTTACACACCTCATTAGGTTCGTTCATGGACATGAAAAGCGTTGAATCTGCATTGCAGGATTGCTACGGAGTCTTTGTCAACACAGATGGTGAGTTGGGTTGATGATCTAGTACTCTATAGTAATTTAATCTTATCTTCAACAGGGTTCACTGTGAAAGAGGCAGATGAGATATGGGCTGCCATGCGCATTTATGAAATCGCTAAAGCATGTCCAACGCTGAGACATATTGTCTGGAGTGGCTTGGATTATTATCTGAAGGTATGCTAATACACTTGGGGATTCTCGCTCATCATGCTAACTACCAGCAAGCTGGGGAAATATGATCAAAAATATGCCTCCTACCATATAAAGTAAGTTGAAACGTATTTTTTTCATTCCATTGGCTGAAGGCTTACTCTTGGGTAGTGCGAAAGCTAGGGTCAACGATTGGCTACGAGCCCAGGAATCCTCTCATGAGAATCATGGCGTGGCATGGACAATACTCAATACAGGGCCATACATGGAGATGCTGTACGGTCAGTGGAACACCTCCCTCGTCTCTTATGTTCATCTCCAATACTAACATTGACAAAAGGTGGAGTCTTCATTCCACAGATCGAGGCGGACGGTACACGCGTTTACTCGCTTCCTTTAGGGAAGGGAAAGCTGCCTCTGATCGCACTTCCTGACTTGGGTTTCTTTGCCCGTATTATTTTCGAAAACCGCAGCGAGTGGTCAGGCCAGACTTTGGGTGTTGTCTCACAGTTTGTTACGGGAGACGAGATTGCAGAGACTCTCACAAAAGTGACTGGCATACCTGCCGTTTACAAACCTTGCTCGGGTGAGGAATGGGTTGATCAAGTCCCCTGGGCTTCTGAACCGGTGGCTAAGATGGACCCATCCGGTCCCACGCATCGGGACAACTGGCTCATGTGGTGGCGAGCTTATGAGGACGATCTGCTTCTTCCAGAGAGAGATATGGTGAGACTCAAGGCCCTTAACCCCGACTTGAGAACTTTGGAGACTTGGATGAAAGAAACCAATTATGACGGACAGACCAGACCACTACTGCGAGGTCACGAGTTCTAGAATGGTCAATTATTCACTTTCGTTAGCCGACAACTTGAGAGATAGGGGAATCTGGAAACATTGCGGAGGCATGCCGCGCATCTTTCAATGCTCTCCATTAGTTTTTTCAAATTGTTAGTGGACTGCTACCTAGCTAGATCAAAGATCAGTCATTGAACTTGAAATACAGTCGTGGTTTCATCTGCGAGTCTCATTTTTCCGACAAAGAGCGATTGGGAAGATATTTGACGTAGTCCCGAATGTCTCGGCCATGTGAGCAGCTTTTTTGTATACTTGTAAATGTTCCCCTGTGTGGACCACTTATGGTTATGTTTCTCGGTGCCACGCTTCCCTACATACCATGAACTATCGAAGTCTGCGACATACAGTGGATACGGGTAATAAACGCGGCTCTATAAAGATGGGGCTTTTAGGATTACGGGTGTCATGAATAAATCCTTTTGCTGCTTGGGGTCTCCTTGATTCTTCCAAAAGATTCTACTGAAGATATCTACTGTAGGGAAGCTCAAGATCCAAATTTTAGACATTTTCCTCAATACGAGCCGTATGACCTATATGGATATCACTATAGCGGGGGAACAAACGATGGCTGGAGAACCCCTGTAATATGACGTAGTTTGTTTCATCTTACCACAGGGACACAGCAAATGTACCCCGAATTAACCTCATTGGTATTTGAGGGGAAACTGGGAAGTCAGCCCCTCCTTGGCTCCTGGACCACGCGCCCTTGTTCTTGGGCATGCCCCTGCGCAGCCCAACTTGACATCATACATTAAGCACCAGCACCTAGCTAGGCAAGTATCTTCAAGCCGTGAATATAGACCATGGGCACAGAGTACTTACCCGCTTAATAGTCTGCTTCTCTCGGAAATCCTCATTTCCTACAAAGATGGCACTCACGGATCCGGATTCTATTGGTTTCATTGGCCTTGGAGCCATGGGGATGTGGATGGCAGATCATTTAGCTGAGAAGCTGCCACCTACAACCCGTTTATTTATTTACGATATTATGACACCGCTGATGAATGAATTATACGCAAAGTATCCGCAGAAGGTGGTCCGGTGTGTCAGTCCGAAGGATGTTGCGGATCAATCGGTATGAGACAGGAATCTCGACTTATTTCAGTTATCCCATGCACTGAGTACTGACCATGAATTTATCTGCAGGAAATAATTCTCACAATGTTACCAGAAGGGAAAGACGTCAAGACGGTCTATCTATCAGCAGAAGGAATATGCTCCGCGGAGCTGAAAGAAAAGCTTCTAATCGATTGCTCAACCATCGACACAGCCAGCTTCCTCGAAATAAGAGACCATGTAACCAATCTCTCACCGTCTACACTCTTCTACGATGCCCCAGTCAGCGGGGGTGTAATCGGAGCAAAAAGCGGCACACTCGCATTCTTCCTTGGATGCCGTGAAGATGAATCACTCGAACTTCGCCAAGTAACCGGGTTACTATCTCTAATGGGCTCCACGGTAATTCCATGCGGCGGCCCATCCCTCGGACTCGCAGCGAAGCTCTCCAATAACTACCTCTCTGGTATCATAGCCATTGCCTGCTCCGAAGCTATGGATATGGGGATGCGCTCGGGACTCGATCCCCGCACATTAGCAAAGGTTTATGCGGCTGGTACAGCGCAGAACACTGTTTGTGATAGGTTCTGTCCTGTACCGGGTGTTTATCCTGAAGCCCCCTCTTCGAATGGGTATCGAGATGGATTTAAGATTCAGTTGATGCGAAAGGATTTCTCTTTGGCGGTTGAGATGGCGAGAAGGGTGGAGGCGAGGAATGTGCTTGGTGGTGCGGGATTGACTATATATGAGGGTGCTAGTGAGGATGTGCGGTGTAAGGATTTGGATTCCAGGGTTGTGTTTCGTTATTTGGGGGGAAATGAAAACTGGGGAAATAATGAGGAAGGGAATGCCTGAATTGAATTATAGTCGTGGTTTGAACTGCCAATGTTACTACTCTGAAAACAGAGCGATTGGGAAACTATTTGAACGCGGGGATGTGGGGTAAAGAGGCCCTCAATTGATGACGATTTACTGCATATCCTCGGTTATTGGAGATGCCCGAACCGTCAATGTTACTAAATTCTCTTATCTCTCTACTAAAGTCATCAACTGAACTTCAACTCTTCAGTTGCGTCCTTTTCAATTGCCGAATATTTCAAACTTCCTACGAAAATGTCCACCGATCCCAAGTTCGACGACCTCCACAAAGGTCTATTTGAAGAAGGCCTCAAAGTCCGTCGCGCCGTCGTCGGCGAAGCCTACGTTGACAAGGCTCTAGAGAACGGCTCAACTGAATTCTCCCGAGCTGGCCAAGAACACATTACTGAATGGGCCTGGGGAACCGTTTGGACAAGGCCGGGCCTTGAACGAAGAGATCGCAGTCTTCTCAATATCGGCATGCTGATGGCTCTCAACCGTGGACCTGAGCTGGCTGTTCATATTCGGGGAGCTCGCAATAACGGTCTGAGTGAGCTCGAGATCCGTGAGGCTATTATACATGCTACTGTCTATTGTGGTGCTCCGGCTGGGGTCGATGCTATGAAAATTGCTGAGCGGGTGTTGAATGAGATGGCGGAGAACGGGGAAATGCCGCGTCAACTAGGAGCTAAAGTGAAGAACTGAACTTTGTGCCCAATTCTGTAGGTTGTGAGCTTATTTGAGTAGTGCCTCTCAGCTCTTCATGTTGGGCGTAGCCCCGCCATGCTTATGCACGAGCCGGGGTTCACCTAGCCCCGGCCTCAGAGAATATCCATTGCTTCTGCCCAAGAAGTTGATATATACCTAGCTGTATGCTCAACCATTCTTCCAAGGTTTCTTATGTGCATACTACATGCCAGCTTAAGTCGTCTGGATCAAAGCTATATGGGCTTTGTCAAGGTTGCGCCGACTATATATTTTCGACCCGCCGACCTCGGGATTCTACATCCATGGACCAATGACATTTTCCGGATTCTCATATGTACGTCTCGACTGACTTAAATTATCTTCCCCCAAGAACGAATAATGTTAATAGAAACCGTATCCTGTAACCTGGAATCAGTATTTGGATAATTTGGTCTATAGAAACTGATCTGACGTAGTTATGGTTGTCACTGGGGCAACGCGTAACTGCACCCATGGATCCGATTGCTTTATCACATTTGGTGGAGCTGAACCGATAGCACTTCTTTCCCTTGCACTGTGCGCGCATCGTCGATCCTGTCTCAACTGTCGCTTGCATCACACTCCAATATCTTGATTCACTCTGAGTATGGCATGCCAGATCTCATTTCTCGAGAACGTCACAGCTGACCCTTTTGACATCGGAATGCAGGCACGTCGCGATCAGCGCCCACCCCGCCGCAATAACAACACAAGGGATTCTTCCTGAACGAAGATGGCTTCATTCATCACCACCATGTCTGTCCCCGCTCCCCCTACCCCTGCTCATTCCTCAACCACTCTGGGCGAATCACCGACCCGATCCCCCTCTTTGAGTCTTAGCCCCTCGTTCTACCAAACCACCCGCACCTCTCATGTCCCTGCTTTAGAACCGCCATCCTATCTTTCACCCGCTGTGCGCGCTCTCAAACAAGGTTGCTTTGGACTAACGCCTCCCAGTAATGCGCGAACACGGGCGCCCTTCAAGCCCCGCTCTGCGGCCAAGGGCACCAGCAGTTACCAGCTGAGACAATTCGCCGAGGCCACTCTAGGAAGTGGAAGTCTGCGCAAGGCCGTGAAACTGCCTGAAGGCGAAGATTTGAATGAGTGGCTTGCAGTGAATGGTATGGCTGTCTGGAAATCCCGTCTGTTGTGCAGCTAGATTCTAACCCCGCTGCGTCTTGCAGTTGTCGATTTCTACAATCAGATCAACCTCCTTTACGGCTCCATAACCGAATTCTGCTCACCGCAGACATGCCCCGAGATGAAGGCAACCGATGAGTATGGCGTAACTTGAAGAGAAAATATTTCGATACCCGATCTTGACTGACAAGGATGTAGGTTTGAGTACTTGTGGCAGGACTCTGAGAACTACAAGCGACCAACAAAGATGTCTGCACCGGAGTATATTGAGCACCTGATGACATGGGTCCAAGGCAACATCGACAATGAACAAATGTTTCCTAGCCGAATTGGTAAGTTTCCAGATATTCTGTAGTTTCTCAAGGACAATTGCTTATATAATTCACTCCATAGGCGTGCCTTTCCCCAAGACCTTCCCCAGTCTTCTCCGCCAAATTTTCAAGCGGTTGTACCGTGTTTACGCCCATATTTACTGTCATCATTACCCGGTCGTTGTGCATCTTGGTCTGGAACCGCATCTGAACACCAGCTTCAAGCACTATGTCCTTTTCATTGACGAACACAAGCTGGCCAGCGGGAAAGATTACTGGGGCCCGCTAGGAGACCTGGTGGATAGCATGCTTCGCAGCGACTAAGTTCCATTTGCATGGGAAGGGATTATGGTCATCGGTGCATGAGGGTGTCTTTTATTTTCTGATATTATCGCGACGGCCAGAGCTTCTGGTGGATATATGGTAGGCGGGGTTCCCGACGGCGTTTCTGGCGTGAAGCATGCATTACTGGTCAGTTTATGTACTTCTCTTGCTGACTGGGCTTCCTTGGCATTCGACGTGAATGTCTCGGATGAAAGACCAGCACCTATAGAATGTGCAGCTTTTATCATTCAACCATTGCAATACTGCTCTAAGGTCATTTGCACGGTCCTTGTGGTTCCGGAGTAAATTCCTGTGCTTTGAGGATCTTGTATTGTAGTGCTGTGTTTTCTCGAGGAATCCTCACGACATGCTCTCATGTATACTATGTCCAGCTTTTTTCAATTATTTGCATCAAACAGCGTTTGAAATCATTCAGTATACAAGCAATTCCAGATTGTCGTTGCCAAGTATCCATGTTGACAATTAAATGCTCAAAAGCAGCGAAAATCGGGCCGCTTACCTCAGCCAGCAACACGTGATCCGGGAAGAAGTCGGACCTCCAACTCAACCTTCACGACGCACCCGACCGCCGCTCGCATCTCCCCCCAAACTCAACTCTCCTGGTCACCTACCTCCTCCCGAGGCCCTCCTCACACTCAATTCACGATGATGTCCGCCCGTGTCGCTCGCGCTGGCCTGCGTGCCACCCAGCAGCTCTCCGTCGCTCGCCCGGCCTTCAACGGTCTGCGCACCTATGCCACCCCGGCCCAGGATGTCCGCCCTCCCGTTGCCCTGTTCGGTGTTGACGGCACCTACGCCTCTGCTCTGGTATGCCTTCGACCCCTTCGATGATTCGACTCCCGCGATATCAATTTTTTCGCGCGACTCCGTGTCTCCCCGGCCCCTCCTATTGTCTACCCCCTCTGTTTTCCAACTTCGGATGTCGAAGCTTGCACGATACTACAAAACATAGAAATATACACGACAGCCTCTCTAACCCTTTCTTCTCTGCAGTACACTGCCTCTTCCAAGTCCGCCGCTCTTGAGCAGACCGCTAAGGCTATCGCTGCCCTCGGTCAGGTCATCAAGGCCGACAAGAAGCTGACCACCATCCTCGGCGCTCCTACCCTGTCCAATGCCGACAAGGCCCAGATCGTCCAGGAGCTCCAGAAGGTCGCCGGTGCTGACAAGGCCGATATCCTCAAGAACTTCCTCGAGACTCTTGCCGAGAACAACCGTCTCGGTTCCCTCGAGGGTGTCTGCGAGAAGTTCGCTACCCTCATGTCCGCTGCCCACGGCGAGATCGAGCTGAACATCACCTCCGCCCAGGTGGGTACCCATGCAACCGTGCTTTGATGGATGGTCGGATTGTTATTGACAATACTAACCTCGTTATTATCGTAGGACCTTGACACCAAGACCATCTCCCGTCTCGAGAAGGCCGTTGCCAAGTCCGAGTACAGCCAGGGCAAGAAGCTCAAGGTTGTCACCAAGGTGCGTTCCATAGTATGAGCTGCTCAATCCTGCAACCGAAACTGATTATGATCATCACAGGTTAACCCCGACCTTGTTGGTGGACTCGTTGTTGAGATTGGTGACCGCACCATCGACCTTAGCGTCTCCTCCAAGATCGCCAAGATGAACAAGGCTCTTACCGATGCTTTGTAAATGTAAAATAGCCATTGGGAGTTGTGGGGAGGATGTGATTAGATATAGCATCACCCTGCATGCACGGTAGCGTTTGGTGAAAGCAGAAAGGGGCCCCTCTGATTGGGCTCCCTCTTTGTTATCATTTCGTTTGTTTCCATTATTTGTGAACTGCACAATACACTTTTTCATCACAATTGTTTCCGAGTCTACTTTAGGATTACGAGGCTTTAGATTGGGTATTCTAATGGCTACACTTAATAGGCTTGAGGACGTCGGAATGTCCAAGCATCGTATGAAACACCAGGTGAAACACGAGACGCTGATACAGAGCAAGGTACTGAGGGGATGTTTCAATTGATACCACCGGCATAATGTACAAAGTACATAATCTATCACAACAATGGCTTCGGTTATCGATCTCCGGTCCCCCGGCAGCGGAGCCAACGATCCACCCGTAGTCACTCCTGCACAGAAGCAAGGGGCAACAATCGGCCCGATAGACATGTATGGGGTTGTTGGTTAATATCTGACAGAACCGGATGATTGGCCACACCACAATTGTTGAAATCGAGACTACATGGTGGCGTTTCATGGGCCTGCCAGCAAGAAACAAGCAAAGGAGAAAAAACACTCGAATTACGCCGTAGCAGTGCCAACGAGGGGGCGAGAAGACCTACTAACAGGAATTCTTCAAAATATGCAAGAAAGGAGCATCGAAAAATAAAACGAACGAGACCGCAAATCACAGCCGGAGCGGGGCGGGTCTCCTGCCACGAAAACCACGGGTCTGATGCCGGAGATGTACTCCATAGTCCCGTCCATTCGGGTATACAAAAACAAAAAGGGACAGACGACGAAAGTATCCAGCCAATAGCAATAGCAAAAACGCATTAACCTTCCCCGGATTTCCTTTCCGTGGCAATCAAATCAAGAGCCAAAGTCAAGAAATTCAAAATCACGACTCCGTTTCCTTCTGCTCTGGCTGGTGGGAATTATCGTATGAAGATTCCGAAGTTGGAACTAGTTTTGCTTTCCATCAGTCCCGTTGGAGGGTAGTTCAGTTTCACAACATATTCACCAAGTACAGCATTGATGGTTGAAAATTAAAAAAAGGGCTCAAACATGGCATGGGGATGATCAAGACGACTCATCCTTACCGGCTGTCTGTTCCTGCCCTCCCCGGGACACCTGTGGTAGACCGGCGGTAGATTGGCGCTTAAGTCGCTCCTCAGCCTCACGGATGCGCTGCTGAAGAACCTCAAGCTCTCGGCTTTGAATTAACATCTGCTGCTTCCTATTTTCCAGGTCCTGGGTTAGTTTTTCGTCCCTTTAGACCGAACGAATATAGAGGTGAGATCATGTTTTTGACTCGAGTTTGGGGGATTACACCTACTTTTGGTCCACTGTCTGGGAAAGGTGGGTTATGTCGCTGTCGAGCGAAAAGGCGCTATCCAACGCGCTGGAGAATGCCTGGGCCATGGTCCTGCCATGTCTTGGTCAACGTCCTTGTTCGGGGTGAGCTTGGTTGTTGGGTGAGACGCACGACTGAGGCCGGCACTTGGGCTTCCACTCTCGATCTAAGTCGGACATTTTGGAGTTTGGGTTTGTTGCTTTGAGAAGTCAGGTCGAAGATAAGACCTTCGAGCTTCGAAGAGGAGAGTGAAGCTTTTTTGCTTCTCGAGGGTAAGTGCGACGTCGGGCGGGGCAACACTCGGTCAGAATTAAGGGTACTCCTTTGTTAGGGATGTAGGAGGGGCGAAGATGGAGACCCGGACCAGCCAAGAATCACAGGATTATTGATGTTAGAAAGATAGTTGACGCTGGTGAGTAAGACCGCAAGTTAGTTGAGATGTTGAGAGTTGTGGTTTTGTATACTTCGGGAACTCCAAGGAACGGGAGGGGGGAAGCTGTGTCAAGGTAAAGGTTAAGGGGGGCAATTCCATACATACCGGAGGTATATAGGGAAGGACACTCAAATGCACGGATAATCTTGAGGGACTAGCGGGGCTTTGCGGTGGTTTGTACCAATGTCAAAATATTATATTGGGGATTGAGGGAGGGGGAAAGAAAGAGAAGAAAAAAAAAGAAAGATTGGAGATGGAGGAGAAGGACGATCGTAGCCCACCGACTCACTAGTCGCCGTACAGACGTGGAGGCCAAAGAATATCCACCGGCAAGGGGAAGCGTGTCATGGTATTACAAGGGGGCTCTTCACGTCATTGGGGGGGGATGTGCGCTCGGGAGAGGATCGAAGATGAGCCCACTACGGTTTAGCCCGGGCCTTGCAGTGCTAAGAGGTGCCATCTTTCAGGGGCTTGTCCCGAAGTTTGATTAGATCCACTTTACGGACAAAAAAAAAAGGGGGTTCTATTCATTGCGACTATTGGATAGCCTTTAAGGGGCAATATACTCCGTAATTGAAGTGCAGATAATTGAAAAAGGGGAATCATCTTGACCAATTATTTTGGGCCTAGATTGGGCTGACTTAGATGAAACCTGACTTTCAAAAAGATAAAGCTGCATATATAGTAGTCTAGATATGATCAGGTGCAATTCTATAGACTTTAGACCAGGTTATATAGCTCATAGATCGAAAAGTAGATAAGAATGCGTGGCTCTGGCAACCGGGTCAGGTGACCTCAATGTAACAATACCGTAATTTTCTGTACGCCAGAACCTGCAACCTGGCTCGTCGCGATCACTTTATACGGCAGTCTACCTTCTCATCACTTTTTCATCGGGTATCTTCGCGATCTTCGTGGTTTGCGCGGCGCATAGGGACGGTTTCCTCTGAAAATCCCGTCGCGTCAGCTTTCTACCCCTCCACCTTCCTTATACCCCCCACGCGACCGACAAACTGCGTTACCTTCCCGATCGAAATCTTCGCACGAACCAAACCACCCTGCCGGAATTCCTCTCCACCAACCACCGTGGCCCCCATCCCCAAAGTTCTCCTCCCAAACGGCCACCCGGGCGGGAAATGGGGAATGCCTCCTCTGTCGGCCTACACTCCTTTCGAATCCTTGCTCTTCTTTCAGTCCCTCGCGACCTCTGACGTGCGCCCGGCGAGCTTTGCGTCCATCTCGAGCCTGTTGAGTGACAACCCGTTAGTTCGTGAAAATGTCGCGTTTAGTGCCGATCGCCTAAGCCCAGAGGCCCTGGAGGATCTTTATGCAACCCTGCTCCGTGATGGATTCGATCGAGAAACGACCAAAGGCTCCAATGGAGTACCGACGGAGAGTCCGACCAGTAATTCGAAGAAGCGGAAGATATCCAGCCCACGACCAGAGGGATTGTCTGATGGAGTCACCCATGCCGTCCGGGTGCCGGAGCTGGTGTCGCATCTCTACGCACGGTATAGAGAGCTAGTGACCAAGGAAATCCGGGACAGTGAAAGAGAATATGATGCAATCCAGGACCAAATCCAACGCATCAAAAAGGAGGAAGAGAAAACGCCGGCCCCAGTCGTAGGAGCGACTATTGCTGCGCCGCCACTTACGAAGCCCGAGCGCCCAGAACCTACGGATGTAGATGTGAAGCAGGAAACCCCGCGACGCAATCACCCCGGACCAATAGCTATCCCACCAGCCGCGATGGCCTTGGGAAAAGCGACGGAGAAACTGCCTCTCAAGCCACCTGTGCCCGCTCAAGATTCAAAAGAAGGTCAACTTCCTTCTGCTCAGCAGGCTGGAAAGCCCGCAGCACCAATGCCGCAACCACAACTGCCACCGTCTGCTCAAGCCGCGCCGCATGCTGTGCCATCACCAATCGCGCCTCGGACTCAAGTCGCTCCTACAACGCCTGCTCCAGCACAGCGACCTACTGCTGCCCACCCATCACAAGTCGCACCGCGCCCGATTACAGGAAAGCCTGGCGTACCTGATATTTCCTCAACTCCTCAAGCACCTCCTGCTCAGTCAAGCTTCCAGCAATGGCAACTTGAACCACCTCCTCAGTCTCCATACTCCGCGATTTCACCCAACATTACCCCACAAGTCAACTCCACAGTCGCCAAACTACCCCTACCCCCTCCCACTATACCCGCAAGCCAGCACAGGCCTTCGATCCCCGCCATACCGAGCACCCCTGGCCCATTACCATCCGCTGCTCACACCCCTGTTCCTATCGGCCGTCCGCAACTTTCGCAGACACCGAGTGTTGTCATTCCATACTCCGAATCACGCAGTTCACGGCCCCGGCTCTCGATTGATACCCCAGGCTCCTCAACACCATGGAAGAGAACCCCACGCTTGAGTATTCCAGACTCCCCAACATCGCCAGTTCGCCCTCTACCCGAAGATGTTAGCCCAATAAGCGAGAGAGCTCCCTCGCCTGATGGTATGGAAATGTCACCCCCGGGCAAGAAAACACGCCGAGGACAGGCTGCAGATCAGAAAGCATCGGCAACCCCCAAAAACGAGAAACCTTCTTCAACCCGGAAGCGACGTGCTGTGAGCTCCGCTTCCACACAGAGTCGAGGGCGATCCGTAGCCTCGCGTGGCAGGTCTCCTCTGCAAGCTGACGATGCAGAGCGTGATGTGCGTACCTCGAAGCGCCAGAAGGGCGTGGCAACAAGCGCAGAGGAGACTCCAAAAGCGCGTTCTAAACGCAAGCGAGGACCCAGTGAATCTGCGGAGCAAGAATTTGCTCCTCCCGAAGCAATCAAATTTGACTCCACACGGTATGTGATGTGTGCTCGTGGTTTCCATCGAACTGCCGGGACAATCTTGAACGACGTGACCACCCACAAGCTTGCTTCTATTTTCGCCAAACCTTTGGGTGAGCGTGATGCCCCGGGCTACCACGATCTTATCTATCGACCTCAGGATCTGAAGACGATCAAATCTGCTGTTCATCAAGGCAGTAAGGCTGTGGCCGCGGCAACGGAGGCAGTCAGCACTCCTGCGGGTGATAGTGAATCTCCCGCACCTGTTGCCGGAGCATCATCCAAGAACAATGCGCTCATGCTACCGAAGACGGAAGACCTACTTCCTCCAAAGGGTATCGTGAACTCCGCACAATTAGAAAAAGAATTCATCCGCATGTTTGCCAACGCTATTATGTTCAATCCCGTTCCTGAACGCGATTTTGGTCCCCACTTCCCGATGATCAATGATCGTGGCTCTCGTGAGAGCTCCCAATCAGGCGATGGTGATGAAGGCGGCATCATTCAAGATTCCAGGGAAATGTTTGAAGATGTCGAGCAAGCTGTGAACCGATGGCGCGCTGCTGAACGGGCCTCGGAACGAGCGTCGGAGGAGTTGGCGAATAAGAATCTTCTTGCTCTTCGCCGCGGGAGTGTCAGTGATTTCAATACAGATAGTGCTGATGATGTCAAAGGGTAATGGATGGATTTTACCCATGTATAACTACAATTTATGAGTTCATTGTTTGATTAGAAGCGAATTGATATTTCCACTGGGATGGGCTACCAGCGATCTTAAACCCATGCATACGATTCCAATCATGAATACTTAGAAGCATACACCGCTTAGGACGTTGTTGCTGTTGTCTTATTTGGTGACAGTGATGGGTTAGCACTCTGTCAGGGAACCTGTGTGAACACGACGACCTCGAAACAACAGGAAGAAAAAAGATATCTATCAATGTGTGTTCTCGAATCTTTCAAGCACAGACGGCGCGCACGTTAGACACAACTGCAGTCAAATCATTCCTGAGCCCGTCATTCTGCTCCATCACGAGGCTGACGATGTGCAACATTGCCTTGATTTCCTCGGGAGCGTCCCTGAAAGGACTCATGACCGCCTCCAATTCGTCCTTGATCCTTAGCATCATAGCAGTGGACGTCTCAAGACGAACATAAAGTTTGAATATGCCGACAAGCTGGTATAAGACGTATTCCCAATTGGCAGGGACATCGCCCTGAGTGCTTTCGGGATGAAACCACTCATACAGTGAAAGCATCGCGTCTGCCAATCCATCAATGTATCCTAGACTCTCTATGATGATATTGCGCTTATCAATGATGGCCTCCTGGACGTGGCATTGATGCTCCTCAACGATAGTAATGAAATCCTGTGTGGATTCGCTGGGTGTGGCCCATGATTCTTCCACATCACACGCGAGATCTTCTGCACATTCAGTGGGATTGAGATCTAGGTCTAAGGTTGGGTATTAGCCGAGGCGGATAGGATGGCGTATGGTAAGGATTATTAAATTTGATGCTCATGTTGATAATCGAGATGTGACCTACTGAAGAGTTCATCGATGATATCACCAACGTTGTACTTATCACGAACGGCCTCATCTGCCGGCAGAGTGGGAGAGTCCATTTTTGCCTTTGCGGAAGGCGAGATGGGCAAATTGGTATGTAAGCACTAAATGAGAAACAGGGGAAACAAGATCCTTGAAGGCAGGGCAGAAGTTGAGGCCTATGTAAGAAGGCAATTGAATCAGGCTTTCAGAGTTGATAATCATGAGGTTTTTTGGTGGAAAATGGAGGATCAGAGTGCTGAGGAATAGAAAGGGATTACTGATGAATAATAGGTTAGTTTATAGTGCAAACAAAAAACCTGGATGAAGTAACTATAGATGTGTTTAGTATGCTGATAACACATATAGGATGGTACCTCCAGCAGTAGGGTACTATGCAAGGTAATCTGGTGCATGAACGTGTAGGACGCCTTGATAAATTCATGGGTGGGTGGCTAGATCGAGTATACCTAGGACGTCTTCCAATAAGATTTATAGCGGGCGTTTCTCTTGATCAAGCTGCTTTCTGGAAACGGATATCTATGGGCGCTTCAATACTTACAGTATAAATTCTGACTATACAACATCAGCATAGAGCGGGATTTGTGATGAAGCTATCAAATGATGGCCTGTGAGATATTATTTGGTGTCAATATAGTATCAAGACTTTTCCAATAGTATGTATCCGAACGTCCACCTGGATTCCATATCCAAGCTTCTATATACCGCTCTCGAGGAATCTCGTATGTCCACGGTCTCATGATACAGGAAGCAGAAAGGATGGACAACCTCTATTAGTTCAATGCTTGAGGCACGCCCAGCTGAAAGAGGCAGTATATGTGAACGGAAGACTAGGAAAATGTTGAGAAAAGGGTCCTGTGTCTCCAAACGTCCAGGCATTTTGATTCGTCCACTAAATGCGTACATTTTCATGGATCATGTTTATTTACAGAGTGTCTCCTGATCACAGAAAAAAAGATCGATCATGTCCCAACGCCGGCTTTATGCAATCCACAAGGATTTGATTGTACAAGTTCAACCGCTTAGAAATCGGTCACCCGGCCACCATAACTCCAATCACCACCAGCGCCCCATCGGAGGGGCTCGTTCTTGGGTCCTCCAACCTCGCCAGTCTTGGGGTTCGTTTCGCCCTCGAATTCGGGCTTCAGGCCTTGCGGCGCATCGGGGTGGAGCTCTTCGCCACTTCCATTGACCTTGATCTCGGCCTTAGGCGACTGGTTGACTTGCGGTGTGCTGAAAGCACCTGTTGATCGCTTCTGGAGCTCTTCGAAGATCTCCTGCTCTTCCTTAGGAAGGCGTGGGGGAGCGGGGCCCTTTGCGAAAGGGAAGGCAGGCTTGCCATCTCCGTTGGCGTTGCGCAAAGCGCTGGTGGTGGAGATCGGTCGAATGGCGACCCGGCTCAGGGAGAATAGACGTGCACGGGGCAGAGCAATAGAAAACAGCATTGTGAGAGATATTTATGAGTCACGAATGGAGGAAAGGGTCAACTTTATGGGCGCGCCCTGCGGCAATAATCTAGGCTAACCGAGTCATCGGGAATTGACGCCGATTCCTGACTAAGGTTTGCGGATCCCGATATCGCGGACCTTTTTTATTTCCTCGGAAGACCTGCGATCCGATCAGACGTTCTCTCTTGATTCTTCTCTCATTGCTTCAGATTGACGAGTAATTCATTCGGAAACGATCTGCTTGTTCATTATGTCTGCTATTCGTGTGGCCGCGCGCCGCCTGCCCCGCGCAACCAGGCTGGTCCCTTCGATTGAGTCACCGATCCAGCGCCGATTTGCGACCTCTAATGCCGCTCAGGCCAAGGTAAATGAAATTGAGTTGGATATAGTCATTGAAAGTCTTCATAACTAATAGAGTCATAGAAAGAGGCCACTCTGCCTAACCCTGACCCCTCAGCCGACTCGGCCACAGCGTCCTTCATTAAAGAGCGGGCTCCGTATATGGTCCCGACCTACGTTCGCCCCCCTCCCATGATGATGAAGGGCCAGGGCTGCTACCTGTGGGACATGGAGAATCGTCGCTATTTGGATTTGACTTCGGGTATTGCGGTTAACTCGCTTGGTCACTGCGACCCGGAGATCGCCCAGATTATTGCGGAGCAGGTGCAGACCAATCGAATTCCTATGAGCTTGCAGGACAATTGCTGATTCAATGCGATGTTATAGGCCGAGACTCTCATCCATGCTTCGAACCTTTACCATAACCCCTGGACCGGTGCCCTGAGTCAATTGTTGATCAACCTGACTCGGGAGTCAGGTGCTATGCGCGATGCCTCGCAGGTCTTCATCTCGAACTCCGGCACTGAGGCTAACGAGGCCGCCATTAAATTTGCCCGCAAGGTCGGCCGTACTATCGACCCCTCCGGTGACAAGCACGAGTTTGTCTCCTTCCACAACTCCTTCCACGGCCGCACCATGGGTGCTCTGTCTGCCACCCCCAACCCCAAGTACCAGACTCCCTTCTCTCCCATGCTCCCGGGCTTCAAGTACGGCAACTACAACGATGTTGAGCAGCTGCAGACCCTCGTTACCGACAAGACCTGTGGTGTGATTGTCGAGCCCATCCAGGGCGAGGGAGGTGTTAACATGGCTACTCCCGAGTTCCTGGTGGCTCTGCGCAAGCGCTGTGACGAGGTTGGAGCTGTCCTGATCTTTGATGAGATCCAGTGCGGTCTTTCCCGTACTGGTAGCCTCTGGGCTCACGGCCACCCTTCGCTGGCCCCCGCCTCGGGCGAAGCCGCCCACCCCGATATCCTCACCTCTGCCAAGGCCCTTGGTAACGGTATCCCCATTGGTGCCACTATTGTGTCCGGCAAGACTGTCGGCTCGCACATCAAGACCGGTGACCACGGTACCACTTTCGGTGGTAACCCTCTGGCCTGCCGTGTTGCTTACCACATTGTCGCTCGTCTCGCTGACCCCGAGCTCCAGGCCGCGGTCCAGGAGAAGTCCGATCTATTCGTTGCGGGCTTCAAGGCTCTCCAGGAGAAGTACCCCGAGGCTATCTCGGAGATTCGCGGTCGCGGTCTGATCTTGGGTCTGCAGCTGTCCTCGGCTGTTGGCCCCAAGGCCGGTGATATCATCACTGCTGCCCGTGAGCGCGGCATGTTGATTATCACTGCTGGCGATGGCTGCCTCCGTTTTGTTCCTGCTCTGACCATCACTGCTGAGCAGATTAAGACTGGTCTCAACATCCTGGAGCAGTCTTTGGACGCGGTGATCAAGTCCTAGACGGTCACTTTTGGTCTGGTTTTGAATGCCCCTGATGTGTTATCTGCTGTTTGATATACCATTTCGTTGATTTGGAGCGAAGCGTATATTTCTGTTTCCTTTCTGGATTCTACTGTTTTTTTTTCGGATGATGCCTTGTATAGAGCTGGGTACGATAGAATAGATCAAAAGTCATGATTTAAAGAGTGGAGTCACCCTAGTCCTGATTCTGCCAAGGCGGATACCGAGATACGTACTCGGAGTTAGAGAGGAACGCGCGTGGTGGTGGATCCCGTGGAACCTCATCCCATCTTCTGCCGTGATAAGCTTGCCTGCGCTGTTTGGCCCCAGGGTACACCCCTGTGCAAATTAGACTGATGACTTGAACCTGAAATTATCCAGCTTCATTCCTATGTAGCTTATCTATCCTCCCTCACGCGACCACTTACTCTCCCCGGAATGTCTCGACTCGAGTCCAGCGGGGACACCCCGATGCCCCTCGAGGAGGCCTCATCCTCACGCTGGTCTAAGTTCTGCGACCGGGTCAAAGGATCCTTCAGCGGTGCAGACCCTAGAGTTTGCATCGCTTTCTGGCTATTTGGTTTGTTCATGACTGAGATCAAAACCAAGATATCAACGACGTCACTAACTTAAACCTCTAATCAGGCCTAATCAATAATGTCCTCTATGTGATCCTTCTCTCTGCAGCTTTAGATTTGGTCGGCCCTGATGTACCTAAAGGCGTCGTTCTCCTCGCGGATGTCATTCCATCTTTCGTGACGAAATTGACTGCGCCATACTTTATCCACTTGGTCCCGTACTCCATCCGAGTCGTCATCTTCGTGTTCCTATCGGTTGTCGGCATGCTGATCGTGGCGATGAGCCCAAGCTACACGGAAGGCGGCGCAATTACATCCAAGATTGCGGGTATCATTTTGGCTAGTCTCTCCGCTGGTGGTGGTGAGCTTAGTTTTATGGGTCTTACCCATTACTATGGCCAGTTCAGTTTGGCTGCTTGGAGTAGTGGTACCGGTGCCGCCGGTTTGGTCGGCGCTGGCGCTTATGCATTGGCTACCAACACTATAGGTATCTCAGTGAATGCTACGCTCTATGCATCGGCTTGCTTACCGGCTCTCATGGTGGTGAGCTTCTTTGTTATCTTACCCCGATATCCACTGCGCGCGGCATCTCCGGACAGCTATATTTCTGTCGAAAGAGGAGAGCACCCGGGTGTTGATGAAGCAGATGAAGCGGGCATAGAGTCCGAGCGTGAAGAGTCGGAAGGACTCCTGGGTGTATCTGTTCATTCGGATACACCAAAATCCGTTCAGATCAACGTCGAGGCCTTTTGGTGGGACCATGTGCAAAGGAACATGCAGCAGCTAGGAAAACTCTTTTTCCCATTGTGAGTCCTCTCTATTCAGTTTGTTTTACAGTTCTAATCAATGGTTGCAGTATGCTCCCGCTACTCCTGGTATTCATCGCCGAGTACGTGATCAACCAGGGTGTTGCTCCGACACTCCTCTTCCCTCTGTATTCAAGTCCATTCAAGGACTTCCGATCCTTCTACCCGGCATATAACGCCATTTACCAAGCCGGTGTCTTCGTCTCACGCTCATCCACCCCATTTTTCCGAGTGCACTGGCTCTATATCCCCTCCCTCCTACAAGTACTCAACTTAGTTCTGCTGAGCCTGCACTCCATGTTTAACTTTATTCCTAACGTCTATCTTGTCTTTCTTGTGATATTCTGGGAAGGTTTGCTTGGTGGCCTTGTATACGTCAACACATTTGCGGAGATCAGTGACCGTGTCCCGGAAGAAGAGCGGGAGTTCTCACTTGGCGCGACGACTGTTAGTGACTCGGCTGGCATTTGTATTGCTGGGTTCCTTAGTATGACGATGGAAGTTGCTCTGTGCAGGTTTCAAATGTCCCGAGGCAGGGAGTACTGTCGAATGGTATAGATATACTTTTCTTGCTCAAATAGAATGGCTGATTGGTATATCAGACCTGATCTACCTAGTACATGACCGCCTATCTGCATAACACACTTTAGAATTGTATGAGTTCACGAATGTATCATTTGAAGCCTTGGACGGAGGACGTGGCCAGCAAGGTAAAAATTGCAGGGAACGAGAGTTACATAGAAATGAGGGTAGGTGAGAGGGTAATATCCCGCACACAAATTGTGGATCAAAGTACCTTCAAAGGGAGGGCACGGGTGTACGGTTAGAGTTGTCAACTAGATAGTAGATCGTACCTCACGCTGGGGGAAGTGCAAGGATGAGCTTCAGAGTTCAGTTACATATGAACAATGAATTAGTTAGATTCTGCTATGGTCTCCCCGTGGTCGACTGTCGACATATCCTTAGATTCCATTGAAACAACATTGAAACAATTTATACTTCGTCGAAGTTTGTGTCGGAGGTAATTCCATCCCACTCAGCACAAACCGCCAACCTCTCATTACAACTCGCTCTCATTGCCTCGAATGTATCAGAACCAACAGGCAGCCGCAAAGGCAGCTCCTTGCCCGCACAACGTCCCTCGCCCCTTACTGCCTCGACAACAATCTCGCAAGCCTTCTTAGGATCGCCAGGCTGAGCGCCATTCGCAGAATCAAGGTTAAGTTTGATAAGGTTGTTGAGCTCCTCATACTCAGGCAGGCGGTTAGGTGCCCCGTGCTTGACATTCTCGGGGGACATTACCTGAGTTCGGAAATAACCAAATGTCAAGATAGAAGTTCGGATACCGAAGGGAGCGACTTCAATAGCCAAGTTGGGCACTAGACCCTCGATGAGGCCCTTGGAGCCTGAGTAGCAGCTCGCGCCCGGGGCACCAAAGTAGACGCCCACAGACCCAAGGAAGAGAAGAGTACCAGTCTTAGCGGCTCGCATTAGAGGAATAAATGAGCGGGTTACATTGAGTGGGCCAAAAACGTTTACACGCATGGCGCTAATCATGGTCTGTTCACTGGGATTGCTGATTAGAGTTCAGGGTCTCAAACGGGACGCCTAAGATCAAGCGGGGTTAGAGCTCACTCGAATTCCTCTAGAACCCCAGCCTCGATGTAGCCGGCGTTATTGATCAACACATCTATCTGGCCGTAGATTTCCCATGCTTCTTTTGCCTTGGCGTTGAGCTCTTTTTGGGGAGCCAAAACATCGAGCTCTAAGGTTGCCGCACCAGCTTCTTTGAGAGAGGCGAGTCGGTCGGTGCCAGAAACACCTTTGCTTGGGCGTGCTGTTGCGATGACTCGATCACCCTAAGGAATATGTGTGAGTTGAGTTAGAGATAATGGCGTACTTTGATGTACCTTGTCAAGAATAGCTCGAACGAAAGCGTCTCCTAGACCGGAGGAGCATCCGGTAACAAGCCAAGTCAATTGTCCAGGCATGGCGAAATTAGTGGTTGGTATGTGAGCTGTGAAGTAGAGTAAGAGGTGTTGGAGAGTGATAAAATCCGCCACTCGTTGAAAGTAGAGTTCGCGACATGTAAGCCGCCCCGAAGGCTTAGTTCCAGTCGTATCTCCTACAACTTGGCTTCTAAAATCGCAGCCATCACGCAACGCATGCTGGTAGTACCTCAATCGGATAAGTCAGTACCAGAATTCTGTATCATGCATTCCTCTGTGATGATTTGAAATGGTGCCACAGCAATAATAATAGACTTCATCATTCTGGGGATGCCGATTGCTGTCATCTACACACTCCAAATTTTATAGAGCTAGGAGCGTGGACTATGGTAGTGATTCGTGGAGTCGAGCATGTGTGATTCGAGCCCAGTGTCAAGTCTCTTCATACTACTATTGATGCAGTACATGCAATGTGCCGATTGTGCGAACTCTCAAAATCTCTGCACTCACATCTGATTTTTACATGACCTGACCGACCCTTGAGCTTTGCATGAACATCACCGCCACGTGTATTCCCACCCTATACATTCCTGTTTTAAGCATACTGCATAACCGCCCCCAAAACTTTCATCCCCATCTGCCTGGGATCAACAATGTGGGCCGAAGCAAAACAAGACTCGAGATCTTACCCAATGTGAAAAGCTACCCTACAAGCATAAACGTTTGCTCAGTCAACTTCTTTTTCTCTAGTTTACTAATACTTCATCCATTAGCAGAATTATTTTACATATTCGAAGTCACCATGAAGTGGCAAGAGGTCTCCCCTGGTCGCTATGAACGCCCATTTGACTCCATTGAGAGTTTCTACCGTCTCATCGCCAGTGCAGGTGCCCATCTGAATAAACAACACTATTTTATTTCCAGCACCCTTCGACTCAAAAACCTCCCCCCGCTGAAGGATGTTCAAAATGCGTGGAGAGCTCTTCGACAACGGTACCCGCAAATTGCTGCCATACCAGATGAGACCGGCGCCCGATTCCGCTATACTGTACCTTCACATACAGAGTTGGACGCATGGGTCCAACAATCCCTCATTGTGGATTACGGGAGCTCAGCAAATGAGAAAAATGAAGGAGAGCAACCGTCGCATATGTTTCTGCTCTTTTATCTTCCTGGCACGCGGGAACTGCTTTTCCGCACTCCGCACTGGCGTATTGACGGTATCGGCTTGATGGATCTTCAAAATGCATTCCTGCGTATCTTGGCAAATATACCCCCATCCACTATTTATCTCGATGGCTCGGAAGCAAAGTACCTCACGCCGTCTCTTGATGGAGCCGCCGCTGTGCCACTTGAAGTGACGCCAGAAATCACTCGATCTACAAATGACGAGATAGCGGTGTATGAACAAGGCCAGCCATCTATCTCGATAGCTACCTTACCCAACGTCATACCAACAGCTACACGACGCATCTTTTCACGATTCTCCCCTAAAATCACTACCCATATTATCAGTGCCTGCAAGTCGCGAGGTCTCACCGTTACAGCAGCAATGCATGCCGCGATGGTGGTTGCCATATTACCACATATCCAGCATAATTTTGATCCTGCATCTCGTGGCCAAAGTGGCGGGAAATTCACCGGGTTTAACGCTTTTGATCTACGCAAGTATATTGCGCCTCCATTCAATGGCCCGGCAGCGGCAGTCAATGTCTACCACACTGGTATTCCTTTTAGTATCGACCTAGAATTCGACAGGAGCTTTGACTCCATTGCTGCCAAGTTGCTGAAGCAGTACAAACGTGACCTGAGCAAAGATGCTCCACGCAATGTCTTCCGGTTCTTGGCTCAATATGTGGACAAGGTCCTCAGTGTGCTCGGGAGTCCATTTTCTGATCCTTTGCGTGCTCCTGCTTACCCAGAGTTGAGCTCTCTTGGCATAATCAATGATCATATCGCTGCTAAGCATGAAGGTTCGGCCTCTACTGTCGAGGTAGAGGACTGGTGGGTTGCCGTCCAGAATATCTCTCGGCTCCTTATACCCCATGTATGGACTTGGACTGGGGAGCTCGTTCTTTCTGTTGATTGGAACGAGTCTTTCTATGAATATGCGGTTGTTTCCCAGTTTCTAGAGGGATGGAAACAAACCATTACTGAGGAGTTGGGCGTAAATTAGGGAGTGCGTCGTCCACGTGCGTTTTATAGTTCTGACTTTGGAAAGACCTATACTTGATTACCAATACATTATTTGGGTACCCTTGACATTCTAGCGTGATACGATACGGGCTACTATCCATATCATTGGATCGGTTCGTATCTCGCCCATGCTTAGTTACCATCACAAATTAGCTAGTCAGGAATGCCCTGCCTTGTTTGCCTGTCATCGACTCGACTCCAGTTGTTATCCACATTCAAATCCATTACGCATGCTCTTCTTGATCCCGGTCTGCAACCCGTTGCAGTTCCAAATAGGCATCTAAAAGTGGAATATCTGTTATTCACGTTTTTGAAAGAGAGTGGTGACAGTGAACTTACTGGCAGCTTTCCATCGAGCACCTAAAGATTGCAGCATCTCTTCACAGACAGCCTTCCCGATGGCATACTGTGGAGCACCATTCTCGATTCCCATCCACGAGAGATTCGAAGTAGAGCTATAAATACAATTCAAGACTAATGGTGACACCAGCTCCATCGTTTGGGGGGTAAGAGATTGTCTGGCATCTCTCACGAATAATATCACCTGGTTGGAAGTGTCTTTCAACATCTGTACACTTCGTTGCATAATTTCACGGACGCGAGAGGCTACTGCAATGTCAAGGCCTTGCTCAATGTGCATGTCGCAGGCGTGGTGGCTGGCTAGCTTGAACAAAGCACTGGAGACAATTAATATGCGTTCAGCACGACACTTTGGGAGATAATTTACCTAAAGCAAATTGCTGCTGCAGTGCTAAATGGATTTGACGACAAGTCTTGATTTGTAGTTATGAGTTGCAAAAATGCAATTATTGTCTGGGTGAGCCTTTCAAAGTTGTCTAGCACATATTCAATCTCTAGGGATGTGTCGTTGCAGTGTTTGACAACACGGCCTAGGAGATTGGACGCCTGCGCCAGTCGTGCGAAAGAACTGACTGGTGTGTCGCTGTTTGATGAGAGTAGGACACGTTCGGGGCACATCATCTCCTAGATAAGGGGAAATTCGGCATTAATGAGACGCGCACATCGGGAAGTTAGCTAGAGAGACTCACTCCATCGTCCCAAGCACTATCACTCGCTGGGAGAAGCGTATCTTTATTGGGGTCTTCGGTGCACAAAGGGCGATAGTCAGAGCCAATCGCAATATACCTAGTCGCATGTCAGATTCTCATGCTAAGAAGACAGATATCATATGGACGCATCACCTGTCGAGAATGACAACCATCCACCATACCCGCTGTCTTTCCTCCCAATCGACCCAACTTCGGGGGTTGCCGGCCAATTGGGGCGCCAATTTGTTATGCAGGCCGAGGACAACACCCTGTCGCGCGCAGCAGCTGATGTTGAGGAAGGCGGCTGGAAATATCCCATGGCCTGCTTCATAGACACAGAGGAGAAGGCCGGCTTGGACGGTGCGGACGGTGACGAGACCGTTTAGCTCCACCTCTTGGCTCAATTTCTTGGTCATATTGTAGAGATTTGAAGAGCCCTGGCGCTGGTCGTAGGTGCACACGAGTTTCATACACATGATCAAAAGCAGGACGTCTGCTTTTAAGAGTCTGGGCTCACACTGAGTAATGCGCTGCAATCGGATCTTGCTCACAATGGGCATCCAGGTATGTACCGAATTGAAATAGCGATATTTGATCTCTTCCATGTCCGAGATACTAAGCAAGCTAGAGATTTCCTCTGGGGCAGGAATGTTATTAGAAGGGTTGGAGATATTGCAAGTAGAGCTGGTGTCAGAGTCAATGAAAGAGGCCACTGCTGACAAGTCATGATAAAGCGAATGGTGTGCCGAGTTATCAGGATTGAGTAGGTCGCTTATGGAAGACGCAGCTGGTGTCAGAGTGATCGGTGTCAGTCGCTGCTCAAGTTCTTGTACCCGACTGCGCAGATCATCAAGTTCCTCTCTATGATTGAATTGGGAATTCTCTGAGTAATCGCAATCTCGATTGTGCCTAATTCCGATTGACAAGTAAGCATCAATGTGTATGAAAGGATGACAAAAAACAGACCTGATACACAGGCTACATTTTGGGAGACTCTTATCACATCCACGTTTGTTTCTCTTGCAAGAAGCGCAAGCCCGAGGAGCCTCGCCAATATCCATAATTGCCGTCCTAGAGAGAGGTAAATAGTTGAAGTGAGACATCGATCTGGCGGCCGCAAGTGGGGCCCACGCTTCGGAACAACTATCATACGTGACCCCACCGGCCGATCTTACACGGGTAGATTTAGTGCGGCCGCCATACTTAACGGTGTGTTCTATCATTGGGCTTGGGTTTGCGGCCGCTCAACTTTATCACTATCAATAACGCAATGGCTGTGCTTGTACAATTGCCACTCTTAACAGTCTCTCTACAGAGGTTGAGAACTCTATAAAATGCCTCCCTCCCACTTTGCATTCGTTTTCTACTCACCATCAATACCAAAGAAATATCCACTTTACTATATTTCCTTTCCTCAAGCACAAAGATGAAAAGAATTTGGTTCATCACCGGCTCCTCCCGTGGCCTCGGGCTTGCGGTCACTGAGGCTGCCCTCAACAATGGTGATTCTGTCATAGCTACAGCTCGCAAGCCAGAGCAGCTCGCCGGGCTCGTTCAAAAATATGGCCCTGATCGGATTCTCCCCCTTGCCCTTGATGTTACCGACAATGATCAAGTGATCCAAGCTGTGAAGACTGGTCATGAGAAATTCCGCCGAATTGACGTTGTCGTTAATAATGCCGGTTACGCAAACACCGCTTCAGTCGAGGACATCGAGATTGAAGACTTCCGCGCTCAACTTGACGCCAATCTGTTGGGCGTGGTCTATGTCACCAAGGCAGTCATACCCATTCTTCGAGAGCAAAGATCCGGCCATATCTTCCAGGTCTCTTCACTCGGTGGACGGTTAGGGGCACCGGGTCTTTCTGCTTATCAATCTGCGAAATGGGCTGTGGGTGGATTCTCGACAGTACTTGCCATGGAAGTGGCTCCATTTGGTGTCAAGGTTACCGTTCTTGAGCCTGGTGGCATGAAGACTGATTGGGCCGGATCATCTATGAAGATTCACCCTGTGAGCGAACCCTACAAGAGCTCCGTCGGGGCTTTCATCGAAGCCCATCGCAACTCGCCTGGCACCGAACCATCCATCCCGAGCAAGGTTGCGAAAATTGTGCTCAAGCTGTTGCAAGAAGCTGAACCGCCTCTGCGCTTGCTTATAGGGCCTGATGCGGTCAGATATGGAGGAAATGCTGCAGAAAAGTTGTCTGCTTCAGACGAGAAGTGGCGCGACCTAAGCCTCTCTTCGGCATAGGACAACTTTTAGAAGACATGTCTCAATTTGAAATTCTCCATTTGTAGGAGAGAAGTAAGAGCTCAGGCACGATTGATGTTTATTTTCGGGATAAGAAGAAATATGAACCAATAATCTGCATTATTTTTGTGCCAAGTTATGTGATTCTCGGCATTTACAAGGCTAAAGTACTTCCCGGCTATTGGCTGCCCGCAACCAACCCAGATTGTGCTGAGCCGATCGCCTTTTAAAGCCGTATTTATACCGCCATCTCCACTATTGGATATTTGGGACAAACACAATAGCCGATATCGAAGAGTAATCATGACTAGTACAAAAGTCCAAGCATTAGAGTTGAAAGCCGAAAACAGAAAGAAAGGCGACCAAGTCAGGTGATGGCGTCACTGTGCATGTGATGATCTCTCTTTGACATGTGATTGTCAACATTTCCTCTCTTCTTTTATCTTGCGCATTTGATCTCAATACACTTTTCTGGTGCTTCATTAGATTTTGGTTTTCTCGTGCTTCATTTGATTTTGATTTTTAGAACACTTCATTCCAGGATCCACACTTTTACCTGGGGTGACTGTACAGTTGCATATATCAACATCGCGGGGAAATGATAGGTACAGTCCTGTATGATCACCAACAGCTGGATTGACATTGACTCGCATTTTAGACCACGTCTTGGGGAGGCCCTCAACTAGATTTCGCAAATTTCAAGTTTTTGCGGTTGTTTCCTTCTGGTCAGTTTACTTGCTGCGGTATGTAATGGCGTCTTTCAATACATTTTGGGTCACAAACTCATTCGCAGCAGAGGGAACAAACATGGTCCACCGCTTCTTCGCATAATCTCCACCCGCTTTGGAAATAGGTTAACAACCTGGCAAACAACCACCGTCATATTTCTGTGCCTATATGTCAGTCGCAACTTCGCCAAGATTGTGGGGCTTGAAAGCCCAGAACCACTAGCCAACCTCTATTCCCGATCCTTCTTCCGAGCAACATGGATTACAACTGGGCTGGATGCGGGATTTTGGACTGCAATGTCTATTAAGCCCAAGTGGCTGCGAGATATCGCCTCATTGGTCTTCACAGTGTACTACCTGATTGCGGCGGAACAGGCGGATGAAAAGGTGCGGCGGGTTCGCGCAACGCTGACCTTAGAACATTTACGCGTGTCTTGGAACAAAGCGACAACTCCTTATTTGTGGACGATGGCGAGCTTGATTCGCCCAAGAATGACTCGATACTCACCACGAGCTATCCGCATCCCTCGCCCAAAGCAATCTGTACATAGCGACCCTGTGAGTGCGTGGCTGTATTTCGATGGGCCTTTGAGTGCTTTGAAAGAGCAGACATGCATTGTTGTGGATGTGCCTGGTGGCGGCTTTGTTGCTATGGGACCCCGAAACTCTGAAGATAAACTCTTGTCTTGGGCGGGGCAACTGAAAGTGCCAGTACTGAGCATCGATTACAAGAAAGCGCCGGAATATGCATACCCATATGCGCTGCACGAATGCTACGATGTATATCATACAATAGTATCTACCAACGGTCGCTGTGTTGGGTTGAGCGGCCTGACCCGCCCACGGATTGTCGTGACAGGCGAAAGCGCAGGGGGTAACTTGGCTGTTAGTATGGTGTTAATGGTCCTGCAGTCCTCTGCGGCTCAAGGTTGGCGGAGTGAAGAGGTCCTTCCTCGACCCGATGGCCTTGTATTGGCCTATCCAGCACTGAACGTGAGAGTGGAAAGCTGGATGACGGACGAACAAATGGCATTGATTCAGGATAAGACTTCTCGACAAAAGAACCCGAATGTGCTGCGACAAAAACAGGATCACTACCGGAAGCTCACTCCATTCACCTCACCTGGTCATTCGGTTGAAGATTTGACAGCCATATCCCTACCTAAGCAGGCGGATGAGAAGGAAGAATCGAATATAGCAACTGAAGCTGCCAGCGCTCTTCGCGATAAATTGAAAAAGAGCGAGGAGCTCAACGGCGAAGTCTCACCCACAAACGACGAGGTCAAGCCGGTCACGACTCGGCTGGCAGTCTCATCCATGATCTCGTACGTGCATGATAGGATTATCACGCCAGAAATGATGCGGGCTATGATTATTCTGTACATTGGACCGCATCAACGACCGGACTTCAACACCGATTTCCTCCTATCTCCGGTCCTTGCTCCGGATGAATTACTCACCCGGTTTCCCAAAACATACATTTTCACTGGTGAGCGCGACCCGCTCGTTGATGATACAGTAATCTTTGCAGGTAGGCTGCGCCAAGCGAAGCTGCAGTACTTCCGGGAACGTCAAGACCTTGGACTTGAAAAGTCTCGACGCCAGTTCCGAGAAAAGGACCACGTGGAGGTATCATTGATTCCTGGAGTCTCGCATGGCTTTATCCAAATGGCTGGCTTCTTCCCAGATGCGTGGAAGTACATAAAGCGCAGTGGATCGTGGATTGAGACGCTTTTTGAGACAGCTGAGCTGCACGAATCTGAATACAGCCTTCTGCAGATGTCTGGTAGCTCCGGAATGAATGTATCCTACAGATCGAAAGGTTCATCCAAGACCAATGGAATTGCGAAGGCCGACCGAAAAAATCATCATCGCGCTCTGACAGCAGAGTCATCCGCAGACGAAGATAGACCACTTGAAATCGGCATGAGCAAAATGCCTTCCTTATCGTTATCCACATCAGATCTCGCAATTCGTCGAAAGAAGTCACGCTCCCCCTTTGCATCCTCAAGACTGGCTGGGTTTACAAGCTTAGAAGATGAGCCCGCGCCCGATGCGGAAAGCGGTTTTCTTGCGAGACTCAAGCATCTGGATATGAAGTATAATCATCATGGTGACATAGACCCAGAAGATATCAACAGTGCGCCCGAGAGCCCTTCTGCTTTCCGTTCCCGTCACAGGAGCATATCGTCTTTGGGTAGCGAGGAGGATATATTGGATCGTCGCATGAATGGCTTAGCTGGTGGACTGATGGGATTACATGCGGAGGGCGTGCAGACACCCGGCCCATGATTTGCGTTGATAGACACGATTGATGATTACGAATGATACCAAGGACAGTCCCTAGATTGACTATACAATTTTAGACAATAACTTCAACACATTTCTATCTAGCTATACTATGTACTACGTCATGGTTTCACGTGTCACTCACATGTGAAACACACCAACATGTGAAAGGCATCTGATTACAACAACTATCGAGGATCTTATAATCTTCAGGCTGATGAATCCAGAAGATTGATATGACAGACCACGCTGACAATTTTTGCTCACAAATACATCGGGGCGCACAGGCGGGTATTTGAAACAAGCTAGAGCAAATACAGTGACGAGATAATATAGGACACTCTTTCCTCAGGCCACATCACAGTGTCTTTTTCCGTCCCACCCATGCCTACTAGTAGGGTCAACGCTACCTGGTCTTTTGCCTAAATTTGGGCGGAATGTATAGAATGGGCAACGAAGTAAGTACTCCGCAATATGAGCCAGCTCCTTGAACGGAAGTGACACAACAGCGTCTACAGCATACTCATATTTCATATATGCCACTTGCAAGCCTGGCAGAGTAGCTGGCTCCCAGAAGGCAGACCCGATGGCTATTTGATCGTTCTCCTCTTCTTTTTGACGGCCTTCTGGCCTTACATATGCACTACGCCGGTTATTTTGAAAGTCTTATTAAAATTCAGTTCTAAGTGTTGTCAACTTGCATTGGTATCGGACAACCTAAAAGATCTAGTATCACTTACGTCGAAGCTCATCTCTGCAGGATGCACATGTTATCTTTTTACACCCAGCACATTGGAACGTAAAGCGCTGAGTGTCTTCAGCGCAGCAGCTACATCGAAAGCGACCTTCGACCTGACTCCTCCAGAATCCATGCTTGCAATCCGTTGGGTTTGGGGCACCTTTTGCCCATTCTTTGGTTTGCGACCAATGAGCGTATGCCCAGCCTTCACGTTCTACCTGCTCTGCGAACTTCACACGTTCTTCTTGATCCCTCAGGTCTATCTCCTCTGTCATCCTCCTAATATCATATTCGGCCGAAAAGGTCTGCTGACGAAATGACCTAATGTTTGCCTCGTGGGTTTGAATATATCCGAGCCGTCTGGTCTTTTCCATCTCTTTGATTCGCATTGTCGCAATTTTGTCACGATATAAGCGATCCTGCTCTTCTTTCTGTCGCTCTTGCCTATCTCCCCCTCCAGGAAGAAATGTGTCAAGGAAATCCCAAACTGTTTGCCCAGATGCCTTATTTCCCTCCATCATCACAATTTCGGTGTCCAGAGTAGCTATTTCTGATTCGACCGCTTTCAGGCGTGAACGTACATCTCGGAGTAGCTGCTCTTGGTCCCTGAGCCGACTTTTCCACATCTTCAGTCTGTCTAGTAGTTCATTCATTGGATAAACTTGCTGATTCCTGTCTGGTCTTTCTTTCGAGTGGCGGGTACTAGAGGTAGACTTATAGGCTCGGTATGTGGCATCGTATATTTGGCGAGTTCCAGGATCGCAGAGGGTTGAGTATGCCTCCTCAAGCTGATAACAAACAACAATCCCCAAAGTCAGCCGAGATCAAATTTTGGGAAAGAGAGGTGATGAGGTGATTCACGAGCTGGAATTCGGCTGTGGCATTCTTTGCTGGGTTTTTATCGGGATGCTTAACCCGGGCTAAACGCTTCCAATTCAGCTTAATAGCTTGGAGGTCTGCATCCTGCGGAACTTGAAGAATTTCATAGTAGTCATGCGGCCTTGTCGTTGAGGCCATGATCTAGCTGCCTTTATTTGGAAGGTGTAAACACGAGGCTCGGGACGGGACGTGCCTTGAAAGAGGTGGGGTTGGGAGGATTAAGGCCCAAGGTAGCAATCCTTGGAAGTACTTCCCACTTTGCGTTGTATAGTTGTCAACAAGCGTAAAATACTGTCTAGACCTGGACAAAAATAAGGGTATTCCAGCACGTATTGTGTGTGCAGTAGGAATTTAATAAACAGGAGAAGAATGAGAAAAGAAGTCCCAGATTGATAAGAATTCGTGAGACTAAGCTCGGCATCATCATTATGAATCCCGAAAATTACTCGACTTTCAAATATGTAGTTCCCCCCAAACGCTCACATCCTTCCCTCTTTAGCCTGTTTTCTTCTCGTTGAAACCCTCCTGTCGACGCGTAACGGCCACCCGCATATTACCTAACAAAGTCTCAGCATAAGGAGAATGAACATGAGAAGCCTCATCATAAAACGCCACAGTAGCATCTTTCCCGATATATTGCTGCACCAATTCAGGCCCACCAGGATGTTCAGCCATGAATTCAGTGACATCATAAATAATCCCATGCACGGCCGTAATGCACCGACCAGCAGCCGCCTGTTCCACAAAATCCTGCCATTCCATCTCGGGCAGCTCAGCAATCTCCGGCCCATGAGCAATCCCTTCCGCAATATTGATCTGCCGCTGTCGCGCTCTCTCAATCTCAGCTGGACTGGTGATATGAAGATCCCACGCAAGTCCTAACCGCTCACAGGTTCGGATAAACCACCGTGACAAATCACCTTCATACCAGTGAAGTCCATTCCGATAATCAGCAGGAAAAGTATGATGGAAATTGTGACTGGCCTCGCCCGCCAAAACCCACGCGAAGAGTAATACATTGCGCGCACTGTGTTTATCCGAGTACGGCTGTGAGCCAAACCAGGGGAGGTGCGCGATGGAATTCACGAAGAATCCTAGATGCCAGATCCACATCAACCGTCCCAGAACTGTGTGCACAAGCGCACCGCGTGCATCATTCCAGCCAAAATGGGCGATTAACACTGGGAACAAAACGGCGGTTATGAACCCTACAAGAGTGCCCCATTTGTGTTGCCAGACTACTACGGGGTCGGCTAGTAGATCTGAGAGGTCTACCTTTCCCCATGACTTGGGGTTATAACCAACTAGCCACCCAACATGGGAGAAAAAGAACCCACGGGTGGGGTTGTAAGGATCTTGTTCGGTGTCGGTGTAGCGATGGTGGGAGCGATGGTGCTTTGCCCACCAGAGGATGGACCATTGCCATTGACCGGCTCCCATTATGGCCAACCAGTATCGTAGTGGCGTTGATGCTTTGTACGATTTATGAGACCAGAGACGGTGATATCCTGTGTACATTAGTGGTTGTTGGGTGTGTATTCGAAGGAGCGGTCTGTACTTACCTGCTGTTATCCCCATACCTCCTGCGAGGTAGAAGACACCAGTCAATAAGAAGGTTTCCCAGCGAAGAGGCACATGCAGAATGGCCGTGAAGTAAGTTGGGATAGCGCCAAGTAGGATTATCGCATTCATAATATTCAAATTCTGGGCATAGTAACGGAACTCATCGCTCCAACTCCGCTTGCTAATCTTTGGCTTTTCAAGTACTCTGTTCGATGCCATGGCTCAGCTAGCTTGTAATGGAATAGTGAGAGGAACTTGAATGCTTTCAAGAGAGTGTTTAAGTACAGCTTTGGGGGGTCCGACTCGAACAACACCTCATGGCTGGCTTTAGTGTGCTGGTGTGTGGTGTGTTGCTCCGCATATCCCCTCACAATATCTCTCTCCTAATTGGATTTCTAAGTTCATGATACATCGAGATATGCATGTATGTCTGTTAGGTCACTCTGCAGCCCCAAAGCCTAACCGTATGTAGCAAGGTTTGACCAACATTGCTTTTTTTGTCTCTCTTGCAAAAGCAATATGCCTCTATCAACGCCGTTGGCGCTCTGAGTGTGTCCTGAAGTACTTGGAGCCAACCGAATTTGGGAGTAATCAAGTTCGTGATTTGATCTACATGGAATCTAACCTGATTAATGGGGTCAGGAGGCTATAATCTCCTCGCAAAGGGACCCGCGTGCTATAAAGCTCCCTATACGTGCTTCCTGATCAGTCTCATTTGATGAGATTTGCCGCATTCCGATCAAGTTGATACTCCATGCTAATTTAGCGTTTTCTGTTGAGATTTCTTATTTGATATCTATTATGGAAGTTGAAAAAAAGGTCCCAAGCGGGGGAGGAATCTAAAATGTTACGATGACAGTTTTTGGAAAAAGAAAATAGAAAATAAGCAAACCTAACCAGGGATACACCTACGTGACAGATGGTGCATTCCAGCTGAGAAACGAGACCACCACAGCCGCCACAGAATGCCGATCACTCTTTCTAAGAGTCTGAATTTGGCGACTGGATATGAATTACCGAATAGCCTGATATTTGGCAACTTCAAGCTATATCTATATCCTACCACACGAGCCTGGAATATCTATACATCTTACCAAGCACATCTCACACCTCCGTGCCCCTCCCTTCTAGGGGTTTACTGTCCATCGATGTATTATTACCACATAGGACCTAATGACCCCGACTCTTCTCATTCCCTATTCCCAAGACCGTATCGGGGAAAAGAATTCCCATGACTATATTTGAAGCAGGACTAGCTTTCCATTTCACAGGAGCAACGCGTAGCATTGACTAAATGTCTCGAGAAATAATAGGAACCATAATTTGGCAAACACAATGACCTACCTTGCATGCTGCAATAACAGAATAAATGAGCCATTATCTCAACACCAAGCTCCCCTGGAATGCCTTTGGGTTTTGTGGCACCTTTGGATAGAGTACATGGAGGCTTCAAATATATCGTACTTCTTAGCAAGCTCAGGTCTTTAATCAAATTGTTTCTTTCTTTCAATTCATAGCTTGCTTCTTTTGTAGTCTCACTCTTCTGACGTGCAAAACTGGCTCGCGTCATCATCATTGAAAGCGTACCAAGCTGGTTGCATGGATAACGCGCCGAAGGTCTGAAGCCATAATCACAATAGTCGATCTGACCACCGATTAAAATCCTCTGATGTAGACGCTCATCTGGATCTATACAAACATAATACCATATAAATGCTGCGTCCATTATTACCTCTTCTTCCAGAATTCCAGTTGTCACAGAGCCTAACACACGAGCGCAAATCTGGCTTACCGGATCGCCTCGGACTTTGTACTGAGTAGAGCGTCGAGCTGTGTCTTGAAGTGAGCATTTGGTCCCGTGGCGACCTAAGAGGATAGTGTATCATCGGCAAGCAAGTGAATTTACGAGGGATCAATTTCGCTTCAGCACTATTTTCCCACTCGAGGGAACACTCCACTATTGAACAATTTGCTTACATTGCAGACGAAACTATTCCCGTCGGAATCCTTAGGCTAAATGCGAGGCCATTTCTATTGGGCATCTTATTGGACCCTCCGACGTTGCACATGTTGCCCTTTTTCTGGTCGAGTCAGCAAGTGCTATCATCAACGGTGTTGATATTCTGATCGATCGTGCGCACCGTGTACGAAGACTAGTGATGAAGAACGTCATTATTGTATCGCACGGCCATTAATGACCCGAGTGTTTGATTTGTGAATCAGGAGCCATGTACTCTGACAAATTATACATGCCCCATTAATTTGCCAAAAATTACTTTGAGAGCAGGTAGTCCATAAGATGTCAGTCTTTTTGAAAGTATTTACTGTATTTTTCAGTTAGGCGTCTTCTCTCGATCTCTATCGCTTCTTATATAATGTCTCGTGCCTATCTTTAGCATTTTATGCTCAAGGTCTACTCCAGATAGACACCTGCTGCCTATATCATGCTTATTCTGCGTGAATCAAGGGCATTTGGTGACATTCTGAGTTTGCTGACAAGAATGATTGATTTACGGTGCAGTATCATTTACCGGATGTTTCCAAGCCAAGCCATGGCGCAGAGGATGATCGATAACACGCGGAAACAGACCGAATATCGAAGCCTCCTTTATCTGGTGCTCGATAGGCACGAGTTGGATGCTGCCATTGGTTCCAACTCCTAAGTTTACCCCGCATCTTGCTATATCCTCTGATAAGGATGATAACCTATCAAAGAAACATGTCTCCCCAACTCGAACGTCCCTAAATGTTCTGTTGTGCTTTAAATCTTTATATCGTCCTCAGCATCACAAGAAATGACCTAACTTCACCATGTCTGAAGACTTCAGGCAAGGTGGCGAACCGCGTGGCGCCAAGCGCAAGCGCGAACCTACCGGTGCTAGAAGACGTACATCCCTTGCGTGAGTTCGGCGCATACAGACATGGAGCAAGCTGGAAAGAGTACTGATTGTTGACAGATGTGATATCTGCCGAAAGCAAAAAGAGAAATGTGAAGGTGGTCAACCGTGCTGGAGATGTCAGCGATTGGATCGACAATGCCAGTTTACATCCCAGCCGGCTCCTCAAAAGCTCAGTCTTTCACTACAAGAAGATGCCAATTCACCAACCTCCCAACCCTCTAATCAATATCTACAGAATTTGGAACACATTGTACGACATTTCCTTGGGGACGTGTCTCTGGATGAAGAGAACATTGCACGAATTGCAGCAAAGTGCACGTCCGAAAATCAGGAAATGGAGACATCGGAGGAAGTGGATGAATCACACCACGTGCATTTTGTGTCCAGTAATGTTGCATGTCGGTTAAGCCTGTCATTTGACTCACTCGTCCACTAACCGTGCATAGTCTATTCGGGCGAGTTCTCGCACTGGAACTTCTCTGAGAAGTTGCGTCGCACAATGAGATGTCGAGAAACATCCGATGCAAGTGTATGTCATCAATGTCAGCTCATTTTTGACACCTTCTAACTATGTTTAGATCAAAGAATACTGGCGAGCCACACATCTCCAATCATCCACCCATACCGTTGCCGAAGCAATAACCCATTTGCCGCCACGATCGATCGCCGAATTCCTGGTTGATGTATTCTTCAAGTACACCGAAGTAAATTGCTTCTACGTTGAGAAAGAATGGATGCAAGAAAAGCTTCAACTATGCTACAATTCTTTGACAGACTTGACAGCCGCTGATATCCCTTGGGTTTGTTCGGTCTTTGCCGTGTTGGCAATCGGTACACAATTTACGCATATGGAAGAAGACAGATCAAACCCTGATTCCAGTCTTTCGGAAGAAATTGCTTTTTGCTCAGAGGATTCTGTTGGACTTGGCTTCTTCCATGTGGCATGCAAGCTGGGTCACGATGTAATCCTAGCAGCCTCATATGAAAGTGTGCAAGCATTCCTCCTTCTCGCGGTATATGCTCTGCCAGTCTCATGCGGTGGGCTGTCGTATACGTATTTTGGGCTTGCTATGAAGATGGCAATTCAGAATGGCATGCATAGAAAGTATGTGGGCGGGGACTGCGATCGGAGAACCCTCGAACTTAGGAACCGTCTCTTTTGGACTGTCTACACCCTTGAAAGGCGAGCGCTCTCTACCTGAAAATTCGAAGAAAGTAACGCTGATAATTTACAGGCGGACTGCCATCATGCATGGGCGACCAAATTCTATTGCACGGTCCGAGATCAGTACCGATTTGCCAACGAATTGTCCGACATTTGACTCGCCAAATTTCTCCAACATGATGAGTTTCATTGATTTGGTCTCTTGGACGGGGGAGGTAGCCGACACATTGTGAGTACGGACTTTTAGTCCTGGAAATTCCCTTGGCCTAATTTCATCTTTCATAGGGCAAAATTTAAACGATGTCCAAAGAGATTGCTTCCAGAATATTCAGGTCGGCTTATGCAGTTAAGAACTAAAATTCGACAATGGTGGGGCTCTCGCTCAATCAATGTTCAGAGTCAAAATACTGCTGTGCAGGGACGTTTATTCCGACAAGATTGCCATATGAAGTTATGCTACCTTCTTATCTACGTGTATATGGGCCGGCCATTTATCTTCAATGCTCGAAGGAAAAAGGATCTGCCAGAGAATCTAACTGTCGAGAGAGCCCAACGATCGGAACTAGTGAATGACTGTGTGCAAAGCGCCTTGGAGATCATCGAAGTATTGCAGACCCTTGCAGATGATTTCGGCTTATGCCGTGCCTCTTACACCGAGTTTAGCTCATGTAGAGCAGCTCTCCTTGTGATACTTGCCGAAAGTCTTAACACAGGAAGAAGTGCAAAGCTGCAGGAGGTTTTGAATCGCGGCATGACCCTCATTCATCAAATGACTGGTGGGACATCTACACAATCTGAAATATCTTACATCGAGTCAATCGAAGCAGCGATCCGTCAGTGGTCGTCAAATGGCGAGTTCGATGACCAAGATACAAGCACAGGGCAAAGCTCTACATCCGCTTACGCAACTTTTAAGGACTGGACACAGTCGATGAAGAAGAACAATAGTATTGGTAGCCGGGTGGAATTATCTTCATTCAGTCCTATGTCACACCTGACATCCAGTGCTGAAAGTGCATTCAATCCAGATATCAATGACTTGACGGATTTTCTTACTGAAGACTGGGTAACAAGCGACTTGGGTTTGGATCCAGAAGTTTTCCTGATATCCTAGGCCAATGTGATCCCTTCTACCCAAATATCATATATCGAACGCGCTTAATCCATGCCTCCTTTCCAGCCTTTGCCCCTTGTTCCTGTTCTTGGGTTGCCATCTCGTTCAAACGATCTTCTTCATCAAAATATTGTGCTGCGGAAAAGTCCATGTCCTTGGATTTCACAATCTTTGTTTTGAAATAGAACTGTATGATGTCAGAATTTACAATCACTAATTCAATGGAACGAACCTACTTTGTAAGCAAGATAGTCGAAGGCAAATAATGGAGCAGCGAGGTAGCTGGAGAAAAACGTCTTTGCAGAGCCCTTTTCACCGAACGGCCAACACGATAAATAAAATTCACAGCCGAAGATAAAAGCCACCAGGAGGAGGCTGATGTACTGTGCCCAGGGCGTGAGGAGTCCCTTAAAAGGCAGTGTACTAAGGTCCTTACCTTGGGCCTTAAGCCCTTGTCTGAAGCGAAGGTGAGCAATATAACATGCAGACCATTCAAATAGAGTTGCAATAGCGACCTAGGTTTGTCTTGTTAAGTTCAACGCGTAATTGAAATTCGCTTCAGAGCAAACATACCAGAGAAGAAAACCAACCGTACACAACTGTACCAATATTGTCGCAGTTGAGATAGCAAAGTCCTCCACCAAGTCCCAGGCTAATAGCCAACGCCACAAGGGGCCGACCTTGCGCATCCTTTCGACCAAAGAAAGGATGTATGATATTCAAGTCTGCAAGTGCTGTTAAGCTTCGACTTGCCACGTAGACACTAGTAATGCCACAGCTAATGACGCTGAGGAAAATGAAGCCGTTAATGGCATGTGCTAGTCCCCAGACGTCTGCACGTTTGATAGCGAGAACGAAAGGGCTTGCCAGAGTTCCACTCGCGGTAGCCAGATCGGTGTCATCAGACGGTACACACATGCCCACTAGCCAAATGTTGACAACGAAAAAGGTAAACATGCGCCAGAAGACTGGACGGACAGTTTTCTTGATTGTATTTCGTGGATTGGCTATCTCACCGGCAATCACAGCGACATGCTCACCTAGATATGTTAGTAGTGCGCAGATTAGAGACTTGAATAGGTAGCATACCACCGCCAAAGCTAAATGCCGCTTGCACAAAGGCTTTCGCAATTCCCTTCATTCCATTTTTGAATGCACCCGGGTTTTTCCAATAGCGGAACTCAATGGGACCATGGGTAGCAGGAATACCTCCCGATGTCATAATGAACAGAAAGAAAATCATCAATATGATTGCGGCACATTTGATGAATGACATATAGTACTCGATGTAGCCATAAATCCGGACATGGAAGAGATTGGCCAGTGCAATCACCACCAGGAAGATTGTAATGTATACGGCTAGAGGAAGAGCGTCTGTTTCTGGCCAGAATTTCAAGACTGAAACTGCTGCTGTTATTTCTGCTGGGATAATCATTACCCACTTATGCATTATTAGAATTTCTGTTTCGAAAAATCATCGGGCTCAATTTGAGGCACTTACTGCGAACCAGAAGTTGATTCCAACAGCAAAACCGTATGCGGGATCCACGTATTCAACGCATGTTCGAATGAAACCTCCGTGGACTGGTTTGTATGCCATCATCTCACCAATTGAGCAATACTGGGCGTAGACGATAATCCTAGCATAACATGAGCATCATAGGTTGAAAGCATTGCAGATTTTCTTACGCAGTCAAAGTATACGTCAAGGCGATGCCACCAGGACCAGCTAACGAATATCAGCTTCGAGACCATCATTCGCCTTGTACTTGACATACCATAGTATAACGCTTGTCCGGTTCCCACCCAGAGTCCAGTTCCAATTCCAGCACCAAATGTCATCATCATCACCTTGCGTCTGGTGAGAGACCGGTGGAATCCCGCGTTCTCCACTACCCGGATTTCTTTTGAAGCGCCATGCTGCTCAGTTCCGGAAGTGGCTATCCTTTCAATGTCTATCTCATCATTTGCGCATCCTTTGATGTCGACCTTCCCATCTGAAGTCTTTTCCGTTGTCGCCATCGCTAAGGGAGTCGATGGCAGGTTTGAAGTTACGACACCATAAGAGACGACTACGAGTATCTTAAGAACATATGTTATTCCCCTCTTTGGTTATCTCATCGTTATCTTCTAGTCCGTATAACCTCATAGATATCCGGCGGGAAGCCTGCGATCGCTTTTCCCGCCGGGATGCGAGCGGGGTTGTCTTGAGATCAGATAAGTCGCCTCCACCTTGATTCCTATCTGCCTTTTCTTTGGTGCGAATATTGTAGGTCAAATCGACTGAATTGATAGTGATTCACTCCGACCACATCACTTCGAGCATAAATTGTCGTCAATCTCCGATAAGGATATCCCCCAATCTACAACCCCATCATCCAATCTAGTCAACTCCAAAATGGCTTCATCTAAGAACGTGGTTTTCGACATCGTCGGTACACTCGTTAGTTACGATAACCTTTACAATGCAATCGACCGCCGCCTAGGTGACCGTCTTCGCGCCGAGGGTATCAAGCCCTGGCTTCTAGGTTCAGCGTGGATGGAAACTGCCGAACGCGAATACACCAATCTCAGTATCTCCGGAAGGTATCTTCCATACTCACAGGTTTTTGAGTCCCTCTTCTACCGTATTCTTGGCATGATGGGTGGAATTGAGAATCCCCGTGCCTTTGCTTCTGCTGAGGACCTTGCATATATCATGCACGAGTATCAGTCTCTGACTATGCGTCCTGGTGCTGCGGAATGCGTGCAGAAGCTACGTGATGCTGGATTTACCGTTTGGGCCTTGACGGCCGCGGATCTGAAGCGTGTTGGGGGTTATTTCCAGAAGGCTGGCATTGAATTTCCAGCTGAGAATTTACTTTCTTGTGACTCGGCTGGAGTGGGGAAGCCGGATTTGGCAGCTTATCGGCCTTTGTTGGAGAAGTTGACTGTGGAGAATGGGGGCAAGATTCCGTGGTTTGCTGCAGCTCATCTGTGGGATGTTTCAGCTGCACGAAGAGCTGGGTAAGTAGATTACACCTCGTACTATCCTTATCCGTATTAACAACTTTGGATAGATTCAAGGGGGCATTTTGTACAGTGCTTGAGCAGGAGGCGTTGACCAATTTATTTGGAGAGATGGATGTTATTGATGATACTCTCCCAGGAATGGCTGAGAAGATTATCGCCTATCAGGCAGGGAATTGATGTTGGATAATTGATAGCTCTACCATTAGTGAAAGCATGGACAATATTACGCCCGCATATGCCCAGGTGTTTCTCCTTGCCTCTAGATAATATTCAATGTGGATTGCCCAATACAATCTAAAGTGGACGTAATCATGCCCAATTACACCAATGCGCGCAATCACATCGATAGTAAATGCATCATGAGCAGCGGTCAGCATTATCTCTGCAAAGTACCTTGCCGGTTGTTTCGAGTTGATAAACCGCGTCTCCACCCCGCCCCCGGTCCCGGCGGATCAACAGCCGGTGGAGAAAAGACCGCAACACCGATGAGGAGAGAGAACTTGTGAACGTCACCAATAAATGAGCATCTTGGCGCATCTTCAGTCAGTAGGCAGTATCTACGAAGAGTATTTGGAAAATGGCATCACATGTCCCCGTTGCAAATGGCATGCTGCCCTTTTGGCGCACAGATCCCCACCCTCTAGACAACTATCGTTCCAGCGAGACTCTGCCCGAGCACAGCGACATCGTCATTATTGGAGCCGGATATGCGGGGTCGTCGGTCGCACATCATATCTTGCAGCAAGTCAAGCCAGGGTCCCCGGTGCCTTCCATCACAATTTTGGAGGCGCGACAGGCTTGTTCGGGCGCGACTGCTCGTAATGGTAGGGAAATATAACTCTGAGTGGTGTGAAAACGCATAATGATGATCATTCCTTTAGGAGGGCATATGAAACCGGATCTTTATAACCACATCGCCACCATTGCGACGGAACATGGAGTGGATGCGGCAGCTGAGGTAGCAGCGTTCGAAGCCAAGCATGTTCTTGCTGTCAAAGAGTTCATTGACAAAGAGAAAATCGATTGCGATTACACTGTTACTAAGGCCACAGATGTCCAATTGGACGAGGCGCACTTCAAGAAACTTAAGGAAGGATATCATCGTCTGATCACCGAAGGAAGCAAGCCCACGACAGGAGTTCAAATTATCGAGTCCAACGAAGCCGAAGCAGTAAGCTCCCACAGCTTAAACCCATCCAAGATACCTTTCTTAACATTCTCCAGTTCTCCGGTGTCAAAGGCGCCGTAGGTTGCTTCACCTACGATACAGGCCATATCTGGGCCTACAAATTCGTCCTCCACCTACTAGAGAAAGTAGTCTCGCAGGGTATAAACCTACAGACACATACACCCGTGACAAAGATTACGGAATCCACCCATCCGAGCTCCCCTCATGGCTGGAAAGTGGAGACATCCCGCGGCACGGTTGCAGCCAATGTGGTCGTGCTCGCGACAAACGCCTATACATCCAGCCTCGCACCTCAGTATCAAGGAAAGATTGTTCCTGTACGAGGGACGTGTAGTCGCATTGTTGTTCCGGCAGGATCGACGGCCCCTCGCTTGACGAATACTTATACCTTGCGGTTGAATGCTTGGGATTATGACTACCTGATTCCGCGTGGGGATGGCAGTATCGTTGTCGGTGGGGCACGATCGTCTTTTATCCAAGATGAAAAGAATTGGTATAACGTCAGTGATGATAGTTTGGTTTTGGAGCCTGCGGTGAGGTATTTTGATGGGTATATGCAGCGCAATTTTGTGGGGTGGGAGAATAGTTTTGCGTACACTGATCGTGTTTGGACTGGGAGTAAGTTCTTCTTTGGACCCTATTTGCGATGAAATGATACTAATGTGGGTAGTTATGGGCTACTCGTCCGATGGGCTTCCGCATGTTGGTCGGGTTCCTGGAAATGATAATCAATATATTTTGGCTGGATTCACCGGTCACGGTATGCCACAGATCTTCCTCGCTGCTGAAGGGATTGCGAAAATGGTTGTCAACGGTTTGAGCTTTGAGGATACTGGGCTACCACGGCTGTTCAAGACTACTTCGACGAGAGTCGAGAACGGGCGGAGTAATATTTTGGAAAAGACCCCTCAAGCAGGCGAATCGGCCAAGCTGTGAGGCCGTAGGTATCGATAGGTGAATGATGGAGAAGTTGAGTTACATGTTTTTGCTTGGCATAGCGGTGTCATAATTGCCATTATTGTGTGCTCAAGCCACAAGGATCAATACGAAGCAGCATATGCCGAGCTCAATGATTGGACTTCACTAATGCCTGCATGAGCCCCACTAGTGCATCACCGACATTTCAAAATTGTAACGTTTATCATATCATGCCATCTACTACTAGTGCCTCCCTATGCCTACCAATACCTTAGATACTTACTGTAGGTTCGCAAATATTCCCAAACCACAGCGGTCAGCACTTTCCAGGGTTCCAAGATTGGACTTGAAGGTGTTGCGCCCAAACTTGGACCTGTAGCCTTATCAACTTTGACCTCAAATTGAGATTTAATTTCGGTGCGGGGATCCGCGATTGAACCAATCAAGGCCCGGAAATTAAGACCAGGAACAATCTGCAGACTCCAAATCGACTGGACCCTTGGACAGACCTACATGCTTGGCGACTCTTGGCGGTGAAAAAACGTCAGTTTGGTCGTGAATTGTGTGCGGGATCCACTTGATCAGTGCTCCATATGCCGATTCCTCCAGTCCGAACTATAGGAAGTCTCAGGAAAAGATGCGCCGAGGATTCCACTATAGAATCACAATTAAAGCAGTCTCTTATCAGTCATTAGAGAGTAATTCATCTTTAACAAAGATTCCTCTGAATAATCCTTGCATGCAACGAAGCCTTGTCGATCATCCGCATGTCATCACCAATCAAGATTGCGTGCTCCCGCTAACCATCAGCTGCACCACTATTGCGCGATATTGACCCGCTCTCCACACCTCATTTAACTTTGTAGCTATGAGCAATGACTGCCATATATAACTGATCGAGAATGGCCCCGTTCGATCATAATTCATTTATCCAGGTGCTACCTTCGGGCCCTCACCGCTATCTACTCGAGGTGCTCCAATATCCCTATCGGTCGCATTAGGCAAAATGGAATTGCCCCCCAAGATCGAAGTTGACCTCGAGTCCAATGTGAGATACGAATACGACCCCTGGTTGTTGGACGACCACCCACTTCGCTCATATCCCACCGAGTGTATTCCCGGTCTGGGTGCCATTATCGCAGAGGCATATACCTCCGTACAAAATCGTTGGAAAGAGTGCTTGCTGCGCGCTGTTTGCCTGGTTATCGCATGTTTGTGAGTGCGCATAAATATCAGATTCGAAATGAGCGACAATCCTAACATCTTCTAGTGCCGCTTTCCAATGTCTTCAATATGTCCCATCCTTGGGTGAAGGCCTCGCCCACCAGAGGTCCCGTCTCAGCCCTCGCGACTGGGAAGTGAAATGCACTTTCCCCTATTCGGATCCTCGCCCAAGTGCTCTCACGCAATCCGTCGCTGCCGGCTGCGATGGTTTCCGTACCGATATTTGGCTAGACGGCCATGGTCTTCAGATGGGTCCTGTTGGCTCAGAGCCGAAAGTGGATAATAACCTTCAACTTCGACTCGATTCGCTATTCGCGCGCCTGCAGCGCCGCGATCTCTCCGATCCTTTGCAAACCCCCTTGGACACCGAAAAACCGACTGAGTTGATCAAGGCGACACCAACCGAGTCTTTTTTCCTTGTCCTCGATGCGCAGTCTCCTCTCCGGGAAGTCCTCGGTTTGCTGCTTCCACAGCTTGAAACCCTGCGCCAACGAGGATATTTGACCACCTGGGATGGTGCGCAGGTGATTCCGGGCCCAGTGACTGTAATTGTTACAGGAGAGACCGCACCGGAATGCCTTGCCGTTGAATCATCCGATATCTTCTGGTCTTTGAGCGATAGTATTTCCCGGGTTGATGTTACGAATGATCATCTGATCCCGATGTGTGTCGAATGATTCCCACGCGCCGTTTATTATGTCTAATATCTTTTTTTTCTGGCCTTTATGATACCCATTGCCAATGTCAATTGAGTTTACTTTAACTTCCTTCATTTTACCGTACTGTGATCCATGTATATTTTGGAGTGGAGCCCCCACATGGACGAGATCAACATTCCTGTGTCACATCCAACTATAGTTTGAGCATAATTTTTCATCATAGATAGGTTACCGACAGCTCAGATACAGTAAATGGAATTATATCCCTCAACAGGGAACAACCTGGGGATTGGTCACGAGATCGGTGAAAACCCGACAAACCTGATCAGCGCAGCCTGATGTAGCATAGCTACCTAATTCCGTATATTTCAGGAGAAACTTTTTCAACCCATGTTAGAACACCTTGGATTAAATTCTTGAAGCTCGTTTGTCGTTATCGCGCACGAGTGATTGTGACAGTGATCCGATCTCCACAATGCGAGATACAGTCTTGGCCCCATCACGCTAAAGCCGCATCACTCACCGTTTTTTTTCTCCGTACGCCCAGATTCCTTGACCTCTGGCCTGGACCTCTCGATTTTCCTCTTTCCCTCTACCTCATCAACTTTTACAACCTCCCTTGGAATATTCTACTAAACCTCGGCTACCTTCCCCTCAACCTCTCCCACCTCCGACGGTCGCGCGCACTATTTCCGAAGAGGTCATGGCTCTCGGGATCAACCGCTGATCCTTCATTGTCTCTTTCCCTGGCGCTTTTTCCACCGCCATTCTATCCTAGCGATCCCATCATCACATAGACAAGGGTTCCCATATCCTCGCATAAACAACTCAGATGGATTTCTCCCGACGCTATCAAGGCTCCTGGCCAACCCGTCCATCGCCTCTGGGGACCTCACAAGAATCGCGCAAAGAGCCATCTCGGATACATACCTCGTCGGCGCCCAATGAACCTCGTCGACCAGAGAATGAAAGACCCCGACCTACCAACCGCTTCGACTATGCCTCTCCCACCGCCGCCCAAGTCTACTCGGGCGCATCGCGTGCGTCATACCCGCCCCGAGAAAGTATCAGCGCACAGGCTTCTCCGGTCAGGAGTCAGCAAGGACATACTCGCCATACTAGTCTAGATGGGAGACGCGATCCAATGCACCGCAGACATAACTCCCAGCCACAAGCTGGCTACTCACACGAAGGTAGGCATAGAGCTTTCTCTTGCTTTTTTGCACTATGTTCATTTCTATCGATTCCATTATCCCTCGCTCTACCCCCCTGCATATTTTACCGTGCCCCGGATTCAGGAACATTGGGGTCGGACTTGTCCCGTGGTTCCTGTTTGATCTCTCTCCACTTTCCCAGCACATGCCCTGCTTGATCTATACCTCAGAGGCTGGGACTGAGGTCTAGGGACTGGAAAACAGGGGAATCGGGCTAGAGATCAGGTCCCATCTCCGATCGGCCTGTCCTACCGTGCATCCCTAGCCTCTTGCCTCATGTTTTCCCCCCTGATGCTTCTATTTTCCCCGGTGGCGCTGATCCGCTGCTCGGGAACGCTAGTCTTGATTTGGAACATTTGCACTATCCCTATCTGGGACTAGCGGTCGAGCTTCCGGAGTCACGGGTTCTAGCGTTCTGGGTCCTGAGAATCATCGCCAATCTTCCTTCCTCTTGAGCATTACAAGGCGCGATGAACCACACGCCTTCCCAGTCCGTGCGCCGTGCATCTCATGGCAGCAGTGGTAGCCCCGTCCACTCGGGTGAGTAGAAGTCTTGCGCCAACCCACAGCGGTGTTGCGACCAAGGATCTAGGCGCCCTTTGCATAATGGGACCATCTTTTCTTTTTTGGCTTATCTATCGCGAGTCATGTACCACTATTAAAATCTCCTCGGATGGCTAACTTAATCCCCGCATAGGACAACAAGACTCTTCCGCACCCGCCGGCTTCAACAATCGCCAAATGCCTCCTCCCTCCTCACCTCGTTCTTACGCCTCGCGATCACAATCGGCAAACGCGCCCGCGCCATCCCTAGTCTCTCGCGATACGCTCAATAACCAGGCTCATCGACCAAGCAGCATGTCCATCTTCGACATCCTGGAGGGCCCAAAAAACCCGCCATCCCTGTATTCACAATCCTCCGCCTCGTCGCTTCCCGGCACGGCTTCCACATCTGCCGCAGTGGGCATGCCATCATCCACTGCCCCGACGGGACCATCTCTGGTAGATTCTCGCCGCTCCCAAACTCCCGAACAGTCTTATTTGAACTCGCAGATAGGTCGGCATTACCGATCTGGCTCTGGCGGCGGACCAAGTCTCCTGGGTAGGGATCTGCCACAAATCGGGAGCATGTCTCGCGTTTCTTATCCCGACAAGCCCCATTCAACACAACCTTCCCCACAAAACTCACCGATTGTTCCACACCACGGATCCCGTCGCATGAGCAGTGGCACGATCCCTCGACCGAGCAGCCAGCCACCTAACGCGGAGGCACCTGCGCGTCAACCGGGCTACAGTCCGCTCTCTCGCGCTGGGTCCGATCGATTTGAGCCTGAGCAGCGACCCCCTGCGAAATATTCGGGTCTCAGTTCCCACTCAGGGACTGTCGGGTTCTTTGGGGATCAGGATCGGGAGCGTGTAGCTCATGGGATGGAGGCAAAGGGACAACCCACAGGATCCAGCTCGCGCTATGGCGAACCAAAGCCTGTGGGCCGTCATCCTTGGGACCAGGATCCCTCATCCCGGGAAAGCAAGCGCGCGCCTGAATCAGCTTCGGGTTATGAGCTTGGAGGATTCGGAGGTATTCAAAACTACACCAAATCTTTGGGCTCTCAACCTGGTGGCGGTCGTCAGCCGTCATCGCTGCAAACTGGACACAGCCAGTCGACACCTTCTCGCGAATCGCCCTATCTGAGTAGACAGCCACCTCCACGAATGGGATCCACTCCAAATACAGAGGCAGCTGGAGCAGGACTTCTTGGTCTAGCTGCTGCTGGGGGAGAGGCACGACGCAAGGGAAGTGATGATCTCCTGCAGCCCCATTTGCGTGCAGTTGGTGTCGGTGGGAAACTTGGTGGTCGCGCATCTCCCCTCCCTCAAGCTGTTCAAGGTGCGCAGGCCCCGTTTATCAGTCAATCCGGGGAGCCTAGTATCAAGAATGAGCTGGGTAGGGTGTTCTCCGGCATTGGAAGCGGTGTCGGTGGTGTGACCGCTGGTGCATCTGGCAGTGGGCCATCGACGCCATTGATCGCAAGTCCATTTAAGCACCACAGCGCCACTGGTCGCTCTGTAAATGGGGACGGACTTGATGATGGTCGAGTCTCTCGTTCACTTTCCGCCTCTGGCAACAGGCGATCAAGGAAGTCTAGGACTGAACATGATGCTCACCAACATCGCCCACGTAATCTCTCACATCACCCAGATCACCTACATTTCCCAAACCACCAACATCAGTATGTATCTGGAGGTCACTACGGCTCTGATTCGCATGTACTGACTACGTCTTCTAGTCACCACCACCATCACCATCACCACCACCACCACCTTGACCCTCACAAGGACCCTCAAAAGGCAGAGAAAGAAGCAGATTCCTTAGCCGGGCATCATAATGCTTCCCGCTATGAAGGTTCATGGCCTCCTACCGCCGTGCCACCCCCTATCCGAGCGCCTCGCACCACTGTGAATCTGGAACCTATTCTCTCCAGCGTCGCGCATCTTCCTCGTCATCACCTAGGATCAACGCTATACACCCCTCGCATCAGTACTCCGTCGACCAAGTCTTCTTCAGAAAGTTCGAAATTTGGTTACAGCACGACTCCACAACCGCTTCCACGATTTGAACAGCGTGAAAACTGCACCTTTACTATTCGTGTACCACGCTTCCGAGTTGATCAGAGTCACCGCGAAGAGATATGCGCAAGGCGAGCCCTGTGGGGTACCGGCGTGTACACGGACGACTCTGATCCTGTCGCCGCCGCCATCCACTCGGGCTTCTTCCGAGGTGCCTGGAGTGAGGATGTAGAGTCTATGCTCGATCTAGAAATCAAAGACACCTACCAGCACGCCCCGCCAGCCCCGGAGGCAGATGCCTCAAAGCCAGGCTCCCAGGCCAATGGACCTCGTCTACCGCCCAACCCCCCGCCCAACCAAGATCTTCATATCACACTTCTGATCCTCCCCCGGTTGGAGCGGTACGATGCGACAGTCATGTTTGGACTTAAATCCCGCAAGTGGGATGGTCGGCATGACGGCATGAGTTTCAAGGTACACCGCGTAGACTGGGTGGATGATGGAGTTGGACGCGGCGAGGAGCGAGGCGGCGAAGCCCGACGCAAGCGGCTGCGAACTCTAATGCAGACTGGTCGCATCTGCACGGGGCCCGCGCTAGCCAAGATGGATGAGCTTCGGCGAAGCGGAGTGCAGGTTTCCCGGAACATTGACGGTCAGGAGCAGCCAACGCCCGTTCAACCGGTCTCCTAGAGTGATCTTCCCCGGGAGTCTTGTCTCTTCTAGCCTGCCCTTTCGGTGTGGGGATGGGAACTATACTGGCCCTGTGGAGTCCTGGCCCCGTTTTATTTTCCTTGTGGACCCTGGACAGATCTATGATTTTCCTTGACTTATTCTTTGATTTGTGCCACTTCGATACTTTATCGATATTCTGGGCTGTTTATACCTGCGGATAGCGTTTGATCTCTTACTCTTCTTTGACATTTAGGTTATCCGGATCAACGGGAACGGATGAAGGGATGTTATGGGAACAGCAGGACTAGTTCTGTTCCTTTGCAATTCTTGTTGACTTAGTATACATAATTTCAAGTCCCCGTGGGGAATTTTTATTTCCATTTTCCTTTCAAAGATCAGTGTTCTCCGAGTAATGTGTTGGTTATTTCCCGGCGCTAAGACTCAAGCTCTCCCCGCATTGTGCCCCCATTCGCGGCGGATTGAATATCCACAGATACAGTTTTCATACTTGTATTCTGCGACCTCGCTTTTTTGAAGTCGTATCACTTCACCTTGTTCAATCTGCTTTCTCTCGGTATCCCGAGTCCCGGGTCGGCCGATCCCCTCCTTGTGACTTGCATAGTTCCCACAATAACCCCAGAATTCGAAACAACCGAGGCCCAGATCAATACATAGATTACCGGGGTCTACTGTATTATTGAGCCGAAGCTGCCTTTCATTGGTGGTCTGGCCCCACAAAGCGGTATTAGCGACGTCACGCCTATCCGCGGGCAACATCACTTCGGTCTCCTGCGAAGCCTCGGCTCTTTCACTAAGTATTTGTTCTCCGACACTCCTAGGAACAACTTCGTCTTCATCCTCTCCCCTAGATACCCTCCTTCTCCCTACACACCCCCCTTCCCTACACATACGTGAGGCATGTTTGCTGCTTCTGCTCGAAGCCGTCTCTCTTCTACCTTGTCAAGGCCCCGGCTCCCTCCGACACAACTGCTCGCGCGCTCGGTAAGACGGCCACCTCCGATCCTGTCGCAAGATCTTTTAGGAATTTTCATGATCATTGAAGACCAATTGAGACTGATCGTTCTACCAGACACCTGCTATGGCTCCCCGGCGAAAGGCATCTTCAATCCCTGAGGGTGAGTTCTTATCACATGCGTTGGTGGGGAATGCCGTCATGGTCTCCTTACCTACTTACCAAACACTCTCCATCAATGTGCTCGGTCGAGGAATCCTTGGCTAATAAAATGGAATTTTGTGCGCTTAGGGTACAAGGAGGATCTCTCCAAAGGCAAGATGCTTCGCTTTGAGAACTCTCTGCCCCGCCTCCCCGTGCCATCCCTGGAGGAGACCGGCCGCCGCTACCTAAAGTCCGTCCACCCCCTCGTCTCTGAGGCGGAGTATGAGCGGACCAAGTCCGCTGTGGAGGCTTTCATTCGCCCTGGTGGCGAGGGTGAGCCTCTGCAGAAGCGGTTGCTAGAGCGGGCCGCCAACCCCAAGATCAACAACTGGATTGCCGAATGGTGGAACGAGGCCGCTTATCTGGGTTACCGTGACCCCGTCATTCCTTACGTTTCCTACTTCTACTCCTACCGGGATGACCGTGAGCGTCGTGACCCGGCCAAGCGCGCGGCGGCCATCACCTCTGCTGCCCTGGAGTTCAAGAAGGAGGTTGATGCGGGCTCGCTCGAGCCCGAGTACATGCGCGGTCAGCCCATGGCCATGAGCTCTTACGAGTACATGTTCAACTGCTGCCGTATTCCCGCCGACCCTGCGGATTACCCCCAGAAGTTCTCCGCTGAGGAGAACCAGCACATTGTCGTGGTCCGCAAGAACCAGTTCTACAAGGTGCCCCTGGTCGTTAACGGCCAGGCTCTGAACGTGTCCGAGTTGGAGCAGCAGTTCCAGCGCATCATTGAGATTGCCCAGCCTGCCCCGCCGGTCGGTGTGCTGACTGTTGCTGACCGTGATCACTGGACTGCGGCTCGCAAGAAGCTCATCGCTGCCGATCCGGCCAACGAGCAGGCTCTGCGTGATATCGAGTCTGCTGGATTCTTGGTTTGCTTGGATGACGCTAAGCCCGTTACTCTGGAGGAGCGCTCACACCAGTACTGGCACGGTGACGGTTCCAACCGCTGGTTTGACAAGCCCCTGCAGTTCATTGTCAACGACAACGGTACCGCCGGCTTTATGGGCGAGCACAGCATGATGGACGGAACACCCACTCACCGCTTGAACGACCACGTTAACAACCTTATCTTCAACAAGCGTATCGACCTCTCTGCCAAGTCTGTCCGCTCCCAGCTCTCCGACCCCAAGCCCATCACCTTCCACCTAAACAAGGAAACCAACGAGGCCATCGACTTCGCGGCCCAATACCACCGCAAGCAGATCGCCGACCATGAGCTAGTCGTGCAAGCCTTCCAGGGCTACGGAAAGGGTCTGATTAAGAAGTTTAAGTGCAGCCCTGACGCCTACGTCCAGATGGTCATCCAACTCGCCTACTTTAAGATGTACGGCAAGAACCGACCTACCTACGAGTCTGCCTCAACCCGTAAATTCCAGGAAGGCCGTACAGAGACTACCCGCACCGTCTCCGACGAGAGCGTTGCCTTCTGCAAGGCTTTCCATGATCACACTGTCCCCCGCGAGGAGGTCGTTAAGCTCTTCCGTGCTGCTTTGTCCCAGCACACTAAGTATACTCTCGAGGCTAGTGATGGCCGTGGTGTTGATCGTCACCTCTTTGGTCTCAAGAAGCTTCTCCAGCCTGGTGAGAAGCTTCCCGCTCTTTATGAGGATCCTGCATACTCCTACTCCGGTTCTTGGTACATTTCTTCTTCCCAGCTGAGCTCAGAATACTTCAACGGATACGGATGGAGCCAGGTTATTGATGATGGATTCGGTATCGCCTACATGATCAACGAGAACAGGTACATATCCCCTTCCCTCCTCTTCCCTCCTCTCACCTTCGCCTTTGTCTTGTGTCATCAGCACTAACATCATCCAGTCTCAACTTCAACATCGTCTGCAAACGCCTCGGCGCTCACCGCATGAGCTACTTCTTGAACGAGGCTGCCACCGAGCTTCGGGATGTGCTTATGCCCGACCTGGCTGCCCAGTCTGAGAAGGCTAAGCTGTAGTTTTCGAGTTGTATCATCCGGTTTTTTTCTTATTCCTATCTTGTTTGAGATTTGGTTTCACTTCAGCAGCGTCTTCGATAGATGAATATATTGGTGCGGGTTTTCTGTACCTATACAACAATACGCATGGTTTTTTTTTTCTACCTTCGCTAGGTATAGTTGGGGTTAGAATGATATGCTTGCATCTAGTAAATGTTTCGATTGCTTCCAGGTTTCCTAGTTCCAAGGTTGGTTGGGCTTACACAAGGTAGGCAATGGTGCACTGCCCATGATGGCTACTCCATAACTTATCACTTAAATATACTTAGACATATTGTAGGATCTATACCTTCCTCACAAAGAAAAGGCAAATGACAATTTTGAATTTGATGTATTCACTACGACTTCCAAGGTTCCAAGGATGTACGATATACAGACTCCTGTAATCATATCTCGTGGTTGATGATTATCGTGATACAAATGGGCCGTGCGACCATGGATGCCTTGCTTGCTGAACGGACTTGACGGATACAATCTGTCTCTAGATGATACCATAGCCTGTCAAGCATGATGCATAGGTTTAGGTCCACTACCACACTCCTGTTGGGTAAATCTGCATCACTGCAACCTCATTCCAGACGCAGAGACACTTCATTGTGCTTCAAAAATATCCATGAGAGGGATTTCACAGCGCCCCAACTGTACATCCGAGATTGAGAACCGGGACTAAGTACTAGGAGGTGCCAAGAGTAACGAAGGAAAAAATCCCTCATGAGAAGGTGAGCGTCACGAGGTGATCTGGAGATCCTTCATCAGGCCATGTTGATATGAGCGCAAATGGCCCACTCGATTGAGAATGGAAAGTTCAATGCGAGTCATGACTAATCTTAATCCGGAATGGCCGCTGGTCTTTAGGTGAGATGACGACTTTTTTGGGGAAAGTTTCAGTCTTTCCCGTCTGCCGATCTGACGGCAGGCGGGTCCGCCGCTTCGGCCCCCTCTTGCCCCGATGTATCACCCGATCCAGTAGCTGGGGAGGCCGATGGTCTCGCAGAGACGGTCAGGTCTCCTATCTGTCGTTCTGTAGAGAGTTAGAATGCCGTGTCCGTATTCTGTACCCCATGCTATGAAAAAGAACTCCCCACTCCCCCACCTTATGTGAAAGTCTCTCTGCGTAATGACTGGGGGAAAGATGGAACTACTGCTTACCTAATTCTCGAATTCTTTGTCGTAGCATTTGATTTTCTCGGCTCAACATGGCTGCCTCAGCTTGGTAGTATGTATTTTCATCTCGGCTTCCACGGCGCGATGAATTCGGTAGTGCTGGGAATGCCTCCGTGCCTTCGGATCCTCGCGACGCATCTTGTGGTTGCAAATTTGGAGATGTCGTTTGACTGGGTGGCCGTGAGGATCGGCGATTGGAAACCGAAGAGATCGACAGCCGACTGCTGGGTGCCTGCACAGGCGGGGGGATAGGAAGGGAAAACGAGGAGGACCGTTCGGATGGAGTAAGTTCGTCGACAACTGCTGTGCTGGCACCCGGCTGCGTGGACTGTTGTTGGAATTGTTGTAGCTGGGCCTGCTGGCTGCGAATCATCTGCAGTAGACGGTTCTATTCCTCATTGATTAGACTCTTGTTTTTGAATTAAAGTAGTTAAATCATTGAAAAACCTACCACTTGCGCCTCTTGCTCCTGTTCTAATTCCTGGTGTAGCTCGCCGAGAGAAGGTGCGCGCTGGTGATGCGGGTCCGCTGTCGCAAAGACCGGGCTGCCGCCGTGACTGGTGGGACTGGCTGTACGGAATGCATGGCCGATGGAGGAGCGGTGGTCGGCCCAGGGGCTCTCGCCGTGATTTCCCGAGGCGCTAGGCGACTCGTTCAGGTTTAGATTCATGCCGGCAGCGGACCGGCGTCGTTCGGAAACCGATAGTCGGCCCGCACTTGATCCGCGGGAGGGTCGAGGGGAAGTCGTGTTGGGGTTCATTGGAGCGGGGGCGGTCCCTGGAGAGGCAGTCGGGGGGTTGCGGTGAGGGAGGGATGAAGAGGTGGAAGATGAGCGAGACTGCGGAAGAGAGTTGATATCTGGGCACATGGTGAGAGGGACCAGGGTTTCAAATGATATGAGTACAACTTCAATAGAATCTAACGTTGGTGAGCTACATTACTGTCAAGAGCATAATGAGGCGCTGACTCAGCCACTTGGCGGGGCAGGTGACATCACATGATGCCATGCAAACAGGCCTTGGTGCCTGAGGTGTCTACGGGGATCCCCCAGTTTCTCCATAAACAGCGTTAACAATCCAGAACCTGGGGTATGACCCTCGTGACAAATTACTTTGTGAGTCACAGTGACCATCCCCTTTTTGGCCCCGACTGTTATCCCAAGAATCCTCCTCATTTATTCCAAGGGCCAGAAGCGTCTACCAAATGAATCGGGCGCGTTCGTACCTGGGTGCGGCCAGATTCAGACTACCAAGGGACAGAACGGCGTCTCCGAGAGGCAGTGGCGCCTCAAAACTTAATACTTCAAATATACTACATCCGCTTCGACAACATCTCATGATTCATGATTCTGGTGTTTTATACCCGAGATCATCACAACTCGCGTGGCTTGATCGGGATCGACGATCACGGCCCATGTGCAGGAATGCAATCCAATTGCGGCATCCTGCAACTGTGGTTGTTTCCGGACAACGTACCACCGGATTGTGACTGAAGCCAAACTTTGTTTCAAAAAAAAAAAAGGGGGGGATTATGGGGTCACAATGCATCCCCAAGTATGGTTGACATCGGCGCTTTGACTAATGTTCAATTCTGGAAAAAACTCACCATGCAGATCTCAGGATTTCAGTGTTTCGGCTTGGAGGTAGAGAGTAAGCGCAGCCCGTCAAAACAAGACTCTGGGCCCCTGCTCGGATGACGATCGCCCCGACGCCACGCCCGTCAGTCCCATGGCTGTAGCGGTACCTGCTCCTGATTCCTGAACGAACCATGGCCAAGACTTAGGAAGCCCAGCCTGACGTCACATGAAGCCACCACAGGTACGTTAAAATTTTTTTTTCTTGGATTTGGCGACTTGAATCCTGAGGGCCTCGGACAGCCCGGCTTTGCCCATGGGGAATAGATTTAATTTCTGCGTCATTTTTTCCCATTGTAGTTACACTTCTGAGCGCGATGGAGAACCATGCGGCCTGGGAGCGTTGACCCAATAATGTCGGCTCCTTGCATCGTGGGGCACCACACGTCCCTCCCCATATTTTCCCTCAGTTTTGATATCTCGGTCTTTGTGGTGAAAAATTGATGTCGCATGCATCTTGAAATGGGCCTTGGCTAGCCTCTTCCCGAGATCCCGATGCGGGCATTCTCACGGTCTTCTCACGGTCTTTTCACGGCACCAAAAACGGCTCGGAAAGGGTCCGGCGTGAACAACTGCACTGACGACCGCCATCGGCCATGGGTTAAGTGGAGCCGGTTGTCCAATTGCGGGTTATTGTGCCCATGGGGGCTTACGGTTTACCTATTCCCGGGGGAAGGGGCGTCATCTTACGCCCAACTCCAACAGGGAAAAAAAAAGCAAATTAATACCCAAAGTCAAATTTGGAGGAGAAAAATAAAAGCTCACCCATTTAACTCCTAAATCTTTCTATTCAGCAAATCTCCGCGATTGTATTGAGGGAATTTATAATAGAGTGGATCACACTGGGGAAAAACGGGAAATGGTACAAAGTCGGCATCCCGCTAATTCGGTAGGGAAACTGGAGAGCGAGTAAAAAAAATCTGGAGAAAGACTTTCCCTAAATGGAATTTAGAGTAAATTCCATTATGTACAGTAATTGCCCTGGTTAAGTGAAATCTGGGGGCTTAAATCTATGGTTCCAAGGAATGTGCTTGCCGCATCTGATCTCTACGTCGTTGCATTAGGAAAAGTAAGTATTTATTACTTTCGTTCCCCCCTCTTCCACCTCCACATCTTTTACTCCGCGTCTCTCCCATACTTTCCTTCTCTAATATTTGGGCTGTTTGTTTCCCCAGGTTTTCTCTTCCATACACTTCCCGTTTGTCTTTCTTGTACCCTTTATCCCAACCCGGACAAGATGGAAAGCAACCCAGGAAAACCGGGCAACGGCCGAGATGTTCTACAGACATCAGAGACATCCAGCACTACTCACGATGTCGTGCCCATGAATGAAAAATCAGATAATCTACACCAATTAGAAAATGCCTCCCCCGATGGCCGCATTATACTCACCGAGGATATGTGCTACGACAGACTAGGATACTCCTTCAGCGAGAAACGCAAGTGGTTGATCATTGGTGTCATTTTCCTGGTCCAGGTCTCCATGAACTTCAACACCTCGCTCTACTCCAACGGTCTTTCCGGAATTTCGGAGGAGTTCGGTGTCTCGATGCAAGCTGCTCGATGCGGTGCCATGATTTTCCTGGTTCTATACGCTTTCGGTTGCGAGCTGTGGGCACCTTGGAGTGAGGAGTTGGGTCGCAAGCCTATTCTGCAGCTTTCTTTGTTGTTCGTCAATATCTTCCAACTGCCTGTGGCACTAGCTCCGAACTTTGCCTCCATCATGGTCGGTCGAGCTCTTGGAGGTCTCTCATCGGCCGGTGGTTCGGTGACTTTGGGCATGATTGCGGATTTATGGGAGGCAGATACCCAGCAGTATGCGGTTGCGGCCGTCGTTTTCTCCTCAGTGGGTGGCTCGGTTCTGGGCCCAGTCATCGGTGGTTTTGTGGAGGCCTTCCTCCCCTGGCGCTGGAACATCTGGATTCAGCTTATCTTCGGTGGCTTTGTCCAGATCATGCATTTCTTCCTCGTTCCCGAGACCCGTACCACCGTCCTCATGGACCGCATTGCAAAGAAGATGCGTGAGAGCGGCGAGAACCCCAACATCTATGGTCCTACCGAGAATATGACCTTCCGTGAGCGTTTCCCTCCTCGTGAGATCCTGTCCACCTGGATCCGTCCATTCCGCATGTTCTTGACCGAGCCAATTGTCTTGACTCTCTCCCTATTGAGTGGATTCAGCGACGCCCTGATTTTCATGTTTATCCAGTCTCTGTCCTTGGTCTATGGTCAGTGGGGATTCAACACCTGGCAACTCGGTCTTGCATTCATTCCCATTGTGGTTGGATACTTCATTGCGTGGATCTCTTGGTTCCCAGTGATTAAGCGGAACGTGGCCGAGCGTGCCGCCAACCCCGATAGTGAACGGGCCCAGTATGAGTCTCGCCTCTGGTGGTTGCTGTACACTGCACCCTGCTTGCCCATCGGTTTGATTGGCTTTGCCTGGACCAGTCTGCCACAATGCCACTGGATCGGATCTATGATCTTCGCTGCCATCATTGGTATCGCCAACTATGCTATCTATATGGCTACTATTGACTACATGATCTGTGCTTACGGTCCGTACTCTGCCTCGGCCACTGGTGGAAATGGATGGTCGCGCGACTTCCTGGCTGGTGTTCTGACTATCCCCGCGACTCCCTTCTTCACCAACATCGGTAGCACAGACCACGTCGAATGGGCCTGTACCATTCTTTGTAAGTTCCTACCCGTAGCTATGTCTCCAATTCTATGTCTCCAATCGTTGCTAATTTTGACTCCCTGCAGTCTTCATCTCACTCGTGTTGGTCGCTGCTGTCTACGTCATCTACTGGAAGGGCCCTGCCCTGCGCAAGCGTTCTCCGTTCGCCCAGCAGCTGAACGAGGCTCGCCACGACCTGGCCATCCAGGGCCGACGTGTATCTAAGGTTCCTGAAGCATCGCGTGCCAACTCATACGCCCGATCCCAGCAAGATCTTCGTCTCCGCCAGGCTCTGGGCAGCCGCCCCGGCTCCCGTATCAACTCTCGGGCCAACTCGCGGGCCAACTCGCGGGCGAACTCCCGCCGCAACAGCGTGAACCTTTAAGACTGGAGAGTCAGCCTCAAATCTCCAAACCTCCTCAACACCAAACCAAAAGACAATACACGACTCGAAAATGTGATCATTAATAGGCAATGCACCTTTCAGCCATGGTGGCAATCTATACAACCACCGTCTACGATATGGGCTTGCAATGGAAAGGACTGGGTTGGAGATTTAGGCGCATTTCACACCTTCCTTTCTCTGTTCATGTTTTTTCCATGGCATTATTCCTTGCGCTGGGCGTGGTGGACTTGTTCAAAAATTATTTTTCCGGTTGATCGCTGGGCATACGACTGTCTGACCAGGATGTCTAGGTGGCATCCTCGTTTTAGAAGACGGCGTACTCACTTAATGTGTTGCTTCTACCTGGCTAGCAAAGGTCTCGATGGAATTTATGGACTGCCAGGTTTTTATGTACTTTAGTCCTTCGGCTCCGTGATACCTTCTTACGAATCCCATGAATTAGCTTATTATTCACACAATCTCTCTAAAATGTCTATTGTTTCATTAAGACTTTTGGACATTAAACCCTCTAGCCACTTACCAGATGATCTGCAACAAATTGTACCATTTTCTGATATCCTTTCCCCAGATCTCGAATCTCTAATAAGTACTATACCGACGATCAGCGGAGTTTCTCGCGTGGGCTTACAACTTAGTGGGACTAGATCGATCTGATCTACCCGACTTCCCGACTGTTCCGATGTTAGAGTAGCATTGGCGAATCTGGGCCTTACCGGATCCGGTATGATATTAACTTTCAAGCAGGTCCCCGGATTCGAGTTACACTACCTGATTAGGCACTTGGAGTTCCGTGTTGGGTGTTACTGCACTAAGTGGTATTTGAGGCAGCATCAACTTGGTATTCGGATGCGGAATACCCTTTGGCTTGCTCAAGTGGTCTAGATGCAGTCTTTTCAAGCCTCTTTAGTCTCCATCCTTGCAATGTGCAGGCGATACATCTTGGCAGAAGTTGAAGGTAGAACTTGAAGTCAGGTCTGTCTCCAAAGGCCTCTATTTCAAATACTGGGTGCTTCTTTCTCTATGTAGTGCGTCAGATAAAGTATCTATGGTTTTGATCTCTAGAGGTAAACTGAGCGCCTAGAATGGCCGTCTGAGACGCCTTATTGGCACCTTATTGGTGCCCTTTTGGCCGGGAATTGAGACGTTGATGTCTTTAGGTTTACCCTCAAGCACTCAGAATTACATGATTCCCACGATTTCGCGTAAATGCAGTTGAGTATATGACCTCCACTTGCCTATGAAGACAGGCAACTAAATACGTGTAAGCAGACCTGCCTCTACATCAGGTACCTCTATGCTATCTCATACACACTGCCCAGTAATTGCGCAGCACTGCAGGTTGTGTTCAAATTTCTAGTCAAATGCGACTTGGGTGTGTATCCGATTCGCTGATAATGCTTCCCAACAAAGAAGTCCTAGGAAATTGCTCAAAATGGTCTACAGTTTGAAGCCCAATGGTGTGGGAGATAGAGACTTCAATTATACATCCAATGCTTAAAAAAGTCTAGCCTAGTATCATACCCTCGTTCCAGAATCAAGTTACCGCATCTCCATTCCAAGTCCAGTATAACTCCTTGTAACAAGGACCTTCCCAGGGTGAAAAAAATGAAAGACAGCTTGAACGACAAACATTGGAATCGTGTCGAACACGTACATGAATGCCTCGTGGCCCATCATGTACCCGTCATTCCCTTGGCAGAACTCGATAATTCGATAAAAACACCGAATTATAATCAATCCTGATACAGCAAATAGAACAAAGAGCAAATTTCCATATGGCAAGTTACGTAGCGCAGTCTTGGTCTGCTGAACTCGCCGCCCAAATATGATCGCGATCGTAAGAAATCCCCCGAAGAAGAAAAGTTGAATGAAAAGGCCTACGATTGTAATCCTCTGTCCCATCTTCGACATAGAGGCAATCGCCATCATACCTCCACCGGAGGCTTGTGTCAGAAACGCAAGAACGTCTCCAATCACAAATATCTTGGTAACCTTTTGTGGTGATACAATGGATAATGATGGCTCTCCGGCGTAGGTAACGATACGTCCGTATATCATGTATATCGTAGCAGCATAAAGAGAGGGCGGGAGTAGAATGCAGACATTTTGTCCAATATACGGGCCCATAGCTGTGGTGTCCGCTGCTGAAGCGGCACGAAATATGTAGCCCAACGTCATCACTGTGCGCCATACGTTAGTTGGTGTCATCAACGCTGTATTTACAGGAACACAGGAACCAACTCACTGAGTGCCCCAACGATGAATGTCGTGAAAAAGAAGCACTTCATCGCGACTAGCTGAAATATATGGTAGCCAGCACTGGCTCCGTAGCAGATCAGTGCAATAATCGCTCCCACTTTGCTGGGACTGTAGTCATAGAAAGACCAGTCTGCCATGGTGAACGTGGGCAGTAAGATTGTTTGTCCAAAAAGCAAAATAGATTATAGAGAATGAACGGAAGCGAGCAACACTTGGAGAGGCCTGGAAGGCAAGCTGAGAGAAGGAGCTGAGGAAAGAGCGCAAAGAAAAGACTGGAAAAAAAAGACAGACGAGGAACTGTTTGGAACTGTTTAAGAGCAGGAATCCGCGAAGGCATCTCTCTCTTATGTGTCTTACATCGGAGCCCAGGTCTATTCTGATCAACAATAATGTTGCGTCTTCCTAGCTTTGATTCTATTTTGGTTCGTATAGTCGTTCTTGTGGCTAACTAATCAGCTCCACTGAAGGACAAAATCCGTAATTCCAGGCCCAAACCTACAGATATGCGATATTGACCAATCAAAAGACTTACGTACTCGTACCTTTAGCGCCTCATGTGGGGCCAAGATCCCGTAGCCTCAAAAAGCATAAAATAGGAATGAGTGAGAGCACACGAAGCCGCCTTGACCACAGAGCTATGATTGACCGTGGTCCTCATTTTGTAGCCATGGTATCAGGACACTGGCAAGCCTTGGCAAGAGTGGATTCCTAGGTTTTGACTCGCGGATCACGTGGTCGTTGGCCCTCAGCCTTTTCATGCTGAGCCAGGCAAATTTCATGATTGTATTGAATGTGAATGCCTAATAAATCTTCCTCCTATTTACTTTGCTCACCGAACATTGTCAAATGTCTTGTTCGGGCCTACTCGCAGCTGTGGTCTGTGAGCTTTATTCTGCAACGTCATACCAGTCGGAATGCCCCTTAGTCGACGGTCGCACAAAAAATCAAAAACTGGTTGTTTGAGCTGTAAGAAACGTAGAATAAAGGTAAGAAACTTGACATTGATGTCAACTTTGGCGCATCCTGATTTCTGCAGATCGAGGAGCAAGGATATATCTTGTTTGCTTGATGTCCATATGACTCCCGAGGTCACCACTTAGAAGATGATTGCTAAAATTATTGCACAGTGCGATGAAGGCAAGCCTACGTGTGGAAACTGTCTTCAGCATAGAATCAAATGTGAATTTGGGAAACCTCCTGCTCCAAGCCCATTCATACAGTCAAAGCTCAGTGCGCCTTTCCCACCTTCAGATAAAACCACGACATCCTCTGCAATCTTGTCAAAATCACCTTCAAGCCATCAAAAACCACTAGAGGACGACACAACGGATTTCAAACTTCTTCATCATTTCACCACATCGACCTATCGCACCCTATCCGACAAAGCTGAGCTACAATCTCTATGGCAACTACAGATCCCCGAGCTAGCGTTCTCACACACATTTCTTTTGCGGATGATCTTTGCCGTATCTGCCCTGCATTTGTGCCGCATAACGTCTAGTACGTACCATCTACAATATGCACATCAACAATATGAAGCAGCACTACGATCCTCCGCAGCAGCTCTCTCGAAAATCTCTTTTCTCAACTGCCATGCAATATACGCGTGTGCTGCCCTCGGGTTCGTATTCGAGCTTGCGACACTCAACAACGGCAATGTCCTTCTCTACAGTACTGATGGCCTTCTGGCACCCTGGATCGTACACTTGCGAGGCTTGCGAACAATCTTGGATTCTTCCTGGCACGACCTTGAGTCTGGCGCGCTGAGTGGCCTTTTCCAGCCTAGCATCGGGCAGGGCGTTGTAGGAGATATTGAAACCTGTCTGGGCCGATTCTCGGCTTATATTCAATCGATAAGCATTGATGAGGAGTACCTTCCTTCTTACTTATTGGCTCTTGAAGAACTCGTGACTTGGTCGAAAATGGTTGAAATTGGATTTGTTGGCTGGATGTGCCATACTAGCGATGGGTTTGTGAATCTGCTAACAAGGAAAGACCCTTTCGCACTAGTTATCTTTGCTCATTCGTGCGTCCTGTTGGATTATGGAGAACCGAAGTATTGGATTGAAAAAGCGGCCAAGCATTTGCTGAGAGAAGTGTATGAATATTTGGATCCATCTTTCAGGGTGTGGTTGGAATGGCCATTAGGAAAAGTTGGCTGAATGAGTCTATTATTGATAAATTGATATGCCTCTTTTCAGGATGTAGCTCAATCTGAATATGAGGTACAACGCAGGGGTGTCATCAAGCCTACTGGTACCTACGCAGCTGCTCAGGTAGACAGTGATCACCGGTCCTCTGGGCGAAGCCTGCAGCCACATTTCCGAATTTGGTCGTCCTCAAACACAGAAATAGATCTCGGCATAAATGGTTGATAATACATTGACCTTTTCCAATTTAAATCGCGTACAGCCTATGCCAAAGAAAATGATGGCCAAGCGGCAAGCAAGCCACCATGTGCGAAATTCAGTTCATAAACCGCTAGTCTCACGGTACCTTTTAGTCCAATGATCTCAATCCGTTCGTTTCAGGGTACGAATATAAACTGTATACTGCGTAGTTGGTCTCATGAAAGTGGATATGAATCCACAAATTTACGAGTACGTCGGCTTACCAATTGGCTCAAAAAAAGGCCCCGATTAAGTGGATTTGGGTTCATAGTCAATTACGAGTACGTCGACTACCCGATTGGCTTAATATGGTTGCTAATTGAGATGGGCCTGGTAGGTAGGCCTCAAGAAAAAAGGATTGGCTACGGACTACGAACTCCAAAGCAACAGCATTGAGGTCGAAGTGTTACTCCTTCACCTGGGCAGGTCTTTCCACCAGGATTAACTCAGAGACTCGCGTGAATGAGTACGCATGTACGGCCCAATTTTCCATACACCTACTGCAGTAGATGATCTCATACGCGTATTAGGTCAAATTCTACGATGGTTAATTTCTGAAAAATGCTGCGCCTTCGACCATATCTGCACTGGATCATCATGAAAATCTATGACTACCCTTCTAGCTATAAATATCCATAATCCACCTCCAAACATTTTTTTTTGACATGGTTTCAAACCTTGCCTTGGCAGACTAACAACCCCATTGAATCGAATTTATCATTTCCTATCAATCAAAGTGCCATACAACTGCACTTTACCTCCCTTCCGACGCCCCTTTCTCCAAAATGACGGACTTAGAGCCTATGACTAACGGCTACTATCTCTGGCATTATGTTCCTTCCATAGCGGCTGCTGTGATCTTCGCCATACTTTTCTTTGCAATCACGGTCATCCACTTCTGGAAGCTGTTCAAATCTCGAGTCCGCTTCACAATACCCTTTGCTATCGGCGGAATATGTTAGTACTCCCAATCTTCTCAAAGTTCAAGCCATCCGTAGATATACTGAAAAGTAATCTCATAGTTGAAGTCATCGGTTTTGCTGCTCGAATAGCCGCCCACAACAACACCGCCGCGCTAATACCCTATGTTATCCAAAGCATATTTCTCCTCCTTGCTCCCATCTTGTTTGCCGCCGCCGCTTACATGGTCCTCGCACGCATTATTTGCAGTGTCAGCGCTGAAGACTTTTCTCCTATTCGCATAAAATGGATTACCAAGGTATTCGTCACCTGTGATATCATTACCTTTCTCATCCAGGGTAGCGGCGCTGGCATGACGGTCGAAAGCACCATGTCTAGCATGGGGCAGTACATTGTACTTGCGGGTTTGGTAATGCAGATCCTCACATTCGTCTTATTTGTGGTGACGGCGATTGTGTTTGCCAATCGCATGAGATTGAATCCAACTTCAGCAGTCAAACAAGGCGAGGTTCCCTGGAAAAAGCATTTGTACAGTTTGTACGCCATCAGCGCTATGATCTTGCTCCGCTCAATTTTCCGTGTCATTGAGTATGCATGTGGAAATGGTGGATACTTGCTAGCAACCGAATGGCCTACATATGTTCTAGACGCCACGCCCATGTTTATCGCCATGGTCTGCTTTGCTATCTGCTATCCTAGCGAGCTACAACGATTTTTGGTGAGATGTGACTCGGGGATCGCTTTGGATCCGACGTCATTGAAAGCATGATTGTGCTTATTGAGGACTTTTTCAGCCATCATTGGAATTTGCTTGACCTTACTTTCGCTCATATCTTCAGTTGGTATGGTCATATATTGCTTTTTTTCACGTTCGTTTCCTTGGTACTTGGGTCACTTCCAGGGGGGGGGGAAGGGGGTTAAACCCGTGTTCACACTGTGAACAAATATTCGCGAAGGGATCTTTGACTATTTTGCATGAATGCTTTATATCTATACTGGGAAGCTCCATTGATCGCTTTGGTCAATGTAAAGTTATTGGATTGCGCATCTTCAAATTCACAATCATTCAAACCCGGTGTTCAATTGAGGCAGCTGAACAGGTTATAATAGTAGAACAAGTCTGGAACAATTTATTTTTACCCACCACGCCTGCTGAATGTTTCCACAATTCCACTATTGTGTACGACGGGGCGAGAGTTCGTAAAGGCCAAATGAGAGAGGTGTAGGACTGGTCTATAATCCCCAGCAACACGGTATTGACGCCGAATCTTGGTGGTTAGAGTGCATGGTTTCATGTGAGAGAGCTGATATAGAGATTGATTATGGTCCGTGCGTCCGGGACCAGAAAACGCCAAATCCCAAATTCAACCGGAACAACGCGCAAGTGCAAACTAGGAGAGTATGAGCTTCCCCCTACGTCTCGGGAGATTCTCCCTGTTTCGGCCCATTGTAAACTGCACACGTCCCATTCCCAACCTTTCACTCCGAATGGCATCGAGCACTCCTGCACCGCGCTTTGCGGAGGGTGAAGACCCACACCAATTGAGTTCCGACACTACCACACTGCAGCAACAGGGCTGGGCACTAGATGCTGAGGGGATGGGAGTCACCAAGACGTTCCACTTTAAGAGCTATTTCAAAGCTGTGGTGAGTACAACTACTTGTGTTAGGGGGGTTCCCCATTGACCTTGTCTAGTCGTTTCTGAATATGATTGCGGCCGAAAGCTCGGTCAAGAAGCACCACCCCACTATGACTATTGTGAGTTTTTTTTTTGGCCCTTTTCCTTGTACAGCCGGAATGGAGAGGTTGGAGTTCCGTGGGTGGATCAACATGTCTGAACAAAGAAAATCATGTTCATCAAGCTAATGTGGTCCCAGCGGTTCGGCTCCGTTGATGTCCATTGGACCACACATCACCCGCGCGGCCTCACCCACAAAGATATTGCTTTGGCTCGACACTGTGATGCTGGAGCTGGATTGATAGGAGCCGTTGAACCTGGGCAGGGATTGAAGTGCGGACCAGAGACAAAGTGAACGGTCAGAGTTTAAGATTAAAATGTAATTAGGGAAGGCTTAGTGGAGCGAACGTTTGTGCTCCACTTGACGCGTGGGATTCGAGATGATGTGGTTCCATGTAAGCGAGATGGAGTCGATCTGATATTATGATGTAGTAATTGCGGGTGCCTACAATAGTATCAATCCGATACCTTTTAGGGCTTTTGTGTCCTATACTCGAGGCGAAGTAGAAAGAAAAAGGGGCCGATTGGATTAGCTCGACTCAAATTCATGCACCTCGCATCACTTCCTGGTAGATCCTTCTCCCCCCACTTTTCCCCAATTTCTTTCTCCTGAGTTCTTCCTGAAACCTTTGAAATTTCTTGGGAAACCAGAGAAAGAGAAAATTCAATACTTTCGTTCATTCCTTATCAATTTCCTTGTATGACGTTGGCCTCAACGGCCGTGCAGATGCGCCCACGTTCTTTTAACCCCCCGTGTCGATCTTTTCCCCCTTCATCTTGACCTCCTTTTCCTATGAGTGATGAATACTGAGGTGTGACGACGATGAAATTGGACGTCGCAATGTCTGAAAATATAATGATGGGTCAAGAGCCCACGCCATCCACGTCCCTTGGCGAACGGCGTGGGCATCGCCTTGCGCCGCTAAATACAAACTTTGCCCGGCCAGCTGCAGTCCCGGCCACTAAGTCCCAGTCACGATCACGTCCTCGTCCATCCGAATATCCCAGCACCAATGGCTCGGAGGGGCCGGTCCCTCTCCAGAGCCCGGTACGGCGCCAATCATCAAAATCTTCGCTGCGCAGTTTGTTCAGTCGCGACAAATCGTCGCGTGCCGCTGCCGCACCGGATACCAAATTAACTGAGATTGATGAATCCCAGCCGCCTCCAGTACAACAAACACAACCAATCGCGCCAATTGAGCCAGAACCAGAGACACTGCTGTCCCCGGGTCTAACCAGCCCCGGTACCGATCCAACCACTCCGACCACCCTCACGTCCCCGACAACACCTCGGGCCCGGGCCACATTGAAAACAGCTCGACCGCGGCCCGCCGAGTCGAATCCGCCCCCATCACGGGAGCAGTACGGATGGAAGCCACCACCGTTATTTCAAGCCTATCCGCAATCGACTAAACATGAAAGTCTTACGGCGCCGGCGATGTCGGCAGATGCGATCTTACGCCTGCATGCGACAACCGGGAAGAGTGTGGCGGAGGATGCTAGGAACCGAATAGGGCAAGAGGATGCGAAGAAAAAAGAGCAAAGGGAACGGAAACATCTTCGCACATTGTCAGGGACAATCAACAAGGTTGAGTGGACCAACAAGATCTACGTGCTGGCCACGACGGGTTTTATTCTCCAATATGCCGGGGAAGGGAAGCACGATCGCCTGCCCGAAAAGATGCTGCAATTGGGTCCTAAGTCGGTGGCATTTGCCAGTGATGCAATTCCTGGGAAGCACTGGGTTGTTCAGGTGTCTCAGAACTCAGGTGTCGACTCCAATTCAGATGCAGAGCCGTCGAAGCCTAAACTCTCGTCTCGCTTTGGATTTCATCGATCTCATGCGCGTCGTTTGGCCCGCAGCTTCCTCTTGGTGTTTGATAACCCGGACTCCATGATTGCCTGGCTTATGGCAATTCGTGCTGAGATCGAATCTCGCGGCGGTCCCAAATTCATAACTGAGAAATACTCGGATGACGATGCAGATGCTCCTCAGCTTCGGTCCAAATCGAGTGTTCGACAAATGGTGAAAAAGGATCCCCATCGTATCTCCAGCTTGTTTCTTCAGCCGCAGACCCTGCGATCCCCCGAGGACGAGGATGATGGCACTTCGGTCGGTGGTTTGACCTGGCAGTCACGACGAAGCTCGTACGTGTCTGTCAGTCGGTCGGTGGTAAATTCTAGGGCAGGATCGGCCTCCACGGCTAGAACGGAAGCTACTGGTTCAACAAACGGAAATGGGTCCGAATGCCCTTCCGCTTTCACCGCAATGAGCCCGCCTATGAACCCACCTCATTTCCCACCGACAGGAAATGGTGCTGCGGTACTGGAAGAGCCGAAGGGGCCTGAGGTAGATCCTCCATATACTCGCAGTCCACCTACTCCTGGCCAGGAGAAGCGACACTCCTTACATGGGTCCCCGAAGGCGCAGGCAATCCCGGTGCCTATGAATCAAGAGTCAGTTCAGGCCAATCATATTCAATCCAACGTCCCCGAAACCCTAGTCCGATGTGCCTCGCCGCCAGCTCCGAACTTCAGCGTGCCTTTATTTAGCAAGAAGTTTGCGTCAAGACCAGCCGTTGCCTCCATCTCCCAGGTTGCTGCTACTCCTCCTCCGTCTGTAGCTGGTTTTCTGCGCCGAGGTGAAAGTACAGGCGATTTCAGCATCTCCAGTATCTCCTCGCCCCCACAGTCTCCGACTTATAGCGTTGCAAGCTCGCGTCAGACAGACTCTTCCGAGCCACCATTTTTGGTCCGCGATGGCACTCGACGCACCTTGCGCGCTTCCAACTCGGAGGACGCTTTATCCAGAGTCATTCGCCAGGCACCAGAACACGGCAATGCGTTCGCCCGTATGGCCCGACAGACAGCTCCCTCCAATATCAGCCCCCCTTCGTCTCGTCCTCTCAGTTTGGTCGGTCGACCCGGGCTGGGGATACATATGGTCAGCGAATCGGACGTACTGAGTATTCCACCAGTCGAGCCAATACCACGAAATCGTGTGTCTACTGCGCAGACCGACCATCAAAATATGTCACGCCGAAAGAGCATGCCTGGACTCAGCCTGGGGCCTCCCGCTGCACCTCCACCTAATTGTCCCCTCCCCAAAATTCCTTCTCCCATTGCTGCGCAGGCGCTGCCCTCTTGGTCAACCAGTCCTCCCGTCAACCGGTTTTACCAATCACAACAGGCTAGTGAACAAGTCCGAAATGACCGGAAATTTGGTGTTTCGAATGGAAATACGGCACAACCGGTATCAGGTGGCTCGAGAACAGCTGCTCGGCAGTCCAGAATGATTTGATGAAATGATCATTCTTTGTCACAATATACGACCTCCCCTTGCGTCAAAAATTCGTCACTATCTCGTCACTTCATGCATGTCACATATACCCTCGACTATACGTTGTCGACTTCAACTACATCGATTTTTTTGTCAAAAGAGCGACATTTGAGATATATCCTACTTCATTTCTGTCTTCACTTCGTTTATGCATTTGCATCTTTATTGTCTCAACATGACGATACCCGCCTTTGTGTCTACTTGGCGTCGATTTTAATGATTCGCCTTCTTGGCTTTGTTTCTTACTACTTCATTTCTTGTACTGTGTCTTATTTATACCCCTTTTGATATCATTGACAGCCATTGAGACTTGGTCTTTTTTTCTATCTACTTTGGGCATCGGGTCAAATCTGTGGGAAACTGGAGTTTAGGTCCATTGGAATACAGCATGATCGATTACAATTGGTATATGCAAATTATACAGCTAGTTCTTAGATCCGTTGTAGGAAGATGAACTTACTGATATCATTTTGACGAATCGAAAGGACTCTGATAACTAATACAAGAGATGAGAAACGCCGGAACGAGGATCCTAAAAAGGTAGAGTGCAGTTGCGATCATTGAATACAGCTGTTTTTCCTTGATATTCCCACCGGTGTTGACAATGTTGGAGAAATAAACTTGTATGAAACTACTCTTCTACTTCCTCAACCCGCGCTGTCAGGTCCCGCTTCACAGGCGCTGAGCTGGGAGTAGATGTAGTTTCAGCCGAGGTGGTAGTAGCAGACGGAGCTTCTGTCGAAGCTGCTGCAGGAGCTGCGGTAGTGGGAGCTGCAACTCCTGATTTGACCTTCTTGCTCTTTTTCTTGTTCTATGAGCATGTTAGCATGAGCTCCAGTGTAGCAAATGAAGCCAATATAAACATACCTCCTGCCAGCCCCAAAGAGGCTTGAAGCTGTCGAAGAACCCAACATCCGCAAACAGATTTGGGTACAACCACAATCCGGGCGGGACAGCGAAAACGGTAACACAGAATAGAATCAACCGGAAGATAGCCATAGCGAAGAAAAGTCCCAAAAGACCCATACATCCAACGCTAAGGTACCAAACACCTTGGCGCAGCATCATAGGCCACAACGGGAATAACACAACGGTAAAGATACCCGCCACAACAGCCGCGGCCATGGCCTTCTGCTTCCATTGCGGTCCCTCCCACTGCCACACGTAGTACATCATCGGTTCGAAAAGCTGTTCCCCCTCGATCTTCACGGTCCACAGGCCCTTTGTCCGGTTCTTGGGCTTGGCGTGGTTGTGGCCTTCGTGCGGGTCGACCTTGCTCACGCGTAGTGCGAGATAGGAGAGAGGGAGGAGCTTGAAGGCGGCCTCGGCTGAGGCGGCGTCTGTCACGGGTGGAAGGAGGGAGTTCTTCTTTGCGGCGGCTTTGGCGTAGGCGGGGGACTGAAGGGCGCGCATAGCTCGCTTGACTGTGGTATGTTAGGAACCTCATCTGATCTGATGATGTTGAGAGATTTTGCGCAGTAGGTGGCATACCTTTGAACATGTCCTTTCGTTCGCCGTTTAGGATACAGGTCCGTGGCTTAAGGGCCTGCGAGCGCAGGAACTTCGCCACGGCCAGCGCCTTGGGGTCCACGGGCTGTCCTGGGCTAACGGCTACCCGCTGCATCTGTTGTTGTGGAGGTCCCTGCTGGGGACTTGGCGGTTGACCCGGCTTTTGTTGTTGTACCGCTTGGCCTGGCTGTGGTGATCCCTGGCCCTGTTGTTGGTGCGCCCGCATCGCTTCCATCTGCAATTCCTTGTAGAGTGCCTCTGGTGTCATCTCCCTAGCTTTTGCAAGAGCAAGGAAATTTTGCTTCTTCTGCTCCTTCAATTCTTCTACTGAAATCTGTTTACTATTGGCTTCAAGAGCCAACTGTCGTTCGGCTTCGGCGTTTTTGGCGGCGATGAAAGCCTTTATCTGCTCGGGGCTAGGTTGAGCCATGGCGACGTATAGTAAATCCTCTTTTCGATGGCAAGGGTATCAAAGAAAAGACAAACAAAGAAGAGAAAAAAAGACGAAGCGTTGTGGTGATTGGACTTTGTCGGAAGTCGAAAGAAAGGAAACATTAGATGTGGCCAGATCGACTCAGGTGATCGGCGCGCCCGCCTTGCAGTACGCGATGCGACCTGTGTGAACCCGCACTTAACTTCAATTACTTCACAATCATGCTCTACTCCAGCTCTCTATGTCTGTCTCGTATAATTCTGATGCCACTCTTGATAGTGCGACCTGGGTGGCTGTCTTGCTGGTTCGTATTGCCGGATTTGAACTGAACCCCCCAACTCCAGTCTGACGCAATGCCCAGAGCGAACGCGATGTCGCCGGCCAAATACCAATCAACTTTGTAACCAACCCCGCTGTATCATTGACGGCTGCATGTTTTGGAGACGGCCTTTACGATGAAACAGCAGCTACACAATGCATCTCCAATCTTCTGTCGGTCGGGTACCGACGGTTAATACTAGACATATATTGGTCAGTCGAACATAGGACATGGACATTTTGCCCTGTCGACATTCCCACGACGGCCGACGTGACACTTTCAGCATACACCTCAACCATGAGCAGTTCCTCAACGACATCCACCGTCACATCCACATCCACCGAGTCCGCGTCTGCGTCTGCTTCTGCGTCCACAACAACTGAGGCAGCCGACGCCACGTCAACGGGATACAAGGATTCCCAGGGTGAGACGGTCTATGAGCTTGGGCCGTACAGATGTACTAGTGACCTTAATCTATACACAATATCGCAAATTCTGGTCGGATACTTCCAGAGTACGACATCTAGAGAGGAAACGTTTACAACCTGGTTGGCTTTGAACCTCCATGTCGCAGGAAGTGATTCAGCGCCGACAGAGCCTGCATCGGCGGTCACAGGCGATGATTTGCCCAAAACAGAAACTGAGCGGGCTGGAGCGTACCTCGGAACGGTACTAAGGGACTATATCTATACTCCAGCTCAGCTTGCCAAGGATCGAAGCAACCTGAACGAGTCCTGGTATGAGGTTGACACGAGTTACATGCCTATCGTGGAATATTACACGATTCACACGGACGAATCAGGTCAACAGAGCACTCCGGATGGATGGCCGTCTGCAAAATACATCCAGTTTGCCAAATCAGACAGAGTACTGATTGAGTATGGGTCGGTGGATCCCCAGCTGGCCGAGTATGATTTATCGCAAGATGAAGACGATATTTTCGGTCCATATTATATGTCATCTGGTGTGAAGATTTCCACCGCGGAGAATGGCACGGTGACTGCGGGCTGTTTATATGAACCGGGAGCTACCGCCGTATCCCAAGCCAATTCGTCATGGGCAACCAGTCAAATCCCTGTTACGGACGGACTGTCCATTGAAAGTGCCATGGGTTCCATCACCGATGTCATCGCTGGAATTACTGCCTGCGGCATGTCTCCCATGCTGAACAGTACTCTCTTTGACCAAAACGCCGGCGCCGATGTTCAGCATTACCGCAATGTATCTCTTTCATCTAGCTGGGCCTGGGCAATCGGTGAGCCTCAAGGCGCAGGTACTGGTGGTGGTACAAATGGCGAGCCCGCTTTTGACCGCTGCTCAATCATGGATCTATCACTTGAAGGCCGCTGGCGGGCCACCAACTGCACTGAAGTACGACGCGGTGCCTGTCGAGTAGGCAATTCCCCGTTCGCATGGACTGTGACCAATGCAACGGCGAAGTATTCAGAGATCTCGGAGTCTTGTCCACCAGGGTCTACCCTCGCAGTACCCCGAACTGGCCTTGAAAACACCTATTTATATAAGCAGCTCCTTTCTGAGGAGTCGACAGTCCTGGACTCGACGTCCTCGGACCCGGCTCTCCGTGAGATTTTCCTGGATTTCAATTGTATTGATATTACTTCCTGCTGGGTCACTGGTGGAGCGCAAGCTACCTGTCCGTACGCAAATAATCCACAACAGCTGGAGCGTAAGACGGTCCTTGTTTCAGTTGTTGCTGGAGTTGTGATCTGTGTCATCTTTGCATTGACAGTTTTTGTCAAGTGTAATACTAATCGTCGGAACTCTCGTCGTCGAAGGCGTGTTATTGAGGGATGGGAGTATGAGGGTGTTCCCTCGTAACATACCCAGGTCGATTATAGGCACAACATTTCCTCTCCAACTTGGGAGAAATATCGGGGGGACATGAGGATTGCCGAAGTTGGCGCCACGGCCTTTCCACTTATACCAATACTGGTCAACGGCCCCTTGACCTTTTTTGCACCAGTCTTCTCCGCATAGAACTCTTCTGTTCTGAATATGTGAACGAACTTTGGCTTTCTTATGTCTATGGTGCCTCCTTGACTTCAAATCTACTATCGAAAAATGGTATTTTTTGTCAGCCCAATGGACAGGGGATACTAACCTCCGGAGGTTGAGGCTGATGAATGTCTTACCCCGCACCCTGCAAAGTCCAAAGTGCCCAACAATAGGAATTAGGGGGCTTTGGGGAATGTAACAGCCACTGCATGTCCCGCATCGAAACACTGAGCCGCATCCAAGGTCTGAAAAACCTACTGGTCTCGTGTTATGGCGTACTCATACCATAACATAAACTATTTACATGTACGAAACGATTTTTTATACACCGGGTTGGGTTGAGCGCTTTGTCTCATACAATGGGCTTAAGCCATATCAAGCATGAGTGCCTAGCATAGCGCAGATCGGGTTTGCCTATAGCCAAGCCGGATGGCCCTCATCCCTCCTTCTCAAATGTGACTCCAGAGCCACACCACTGATAGATGCCCTTCCATCGCATAAAAGCACAGAACATGTCAGATTATTCGATTTCACCCCCATTATCTCGGGTAGAAACCCAGAGTAGCAAGTTCTTGGGCGCGGACATGTGTTCGTGCAGCATCAGCGGACAAATTAGAGGACGCGAAAATCTCAATATTAGACGCTAAGTATGCAAGTCACCCTCCTTCATTGTGCATGAACCTATTATAAAGATCTAGATAAGGATCTCAGGCCCCAAAGCATGCCATTGTCTACGGCTTACCCGCAGCCTTCACCCGGGCAGATGTATGAAATTGCATAGTAGCGAATAGCCTTAGGAACTACTCACCGATTCATCTGGTAACCCTTGCTATTGTACACACCATCAGGAAAATTGTTAGCAGAAATCCCTGTTCTCGTTCACTTCATCGTCAGACCGACTTTTTGTTTGTGTTTAGATGGGTATTTTTCGATGGATAGTGTTGCCTGGCTTGCTCGTTGTTGGGCTGTTTTTCAGTGCCGTGGGAGTGGTATAAATATGTCGAGGGCTCTTGGAATATATCAGATTCCCCTTTCAATTATAAGACTGCCTTGCTCGATCAGGTGTACCGGCTTTAACGTTTGTCATTAGTCTGTGGCCTCGGACACTCTTGCGATCCATCAAAGCAACATGGATATGTCAGTGGCGAACCAATTGGGAATATCTCCAGCGGAAGCAAAGGATAATAAGAGGTTTGAGTCAGCAGACGAAGTTGGTTACTATTTCAGGAAGCGCCTTCGCACAGCCGAGCAAACTTTGGAGAACTCAACGGTTGCAACTTCCGAGACATTAAAAAGATTCCTCGAATCAATTGAGATATACAATCGAGTTTCTCTCAGACGATTCCTCGAACAATCTGGCTTAAGCACCAGCTCAGGTTCAGCTTATACAGAGTTCAAGCAAAAATATGATCCCTTGCCTGTGAATCAGGTCCTGTATCTCATCGACGAGGAGTTTCTGGTTAGGAATGATCGCCATGCTACCAACCCCTATGCACCTCCGCCGCCCGCCAAAAGGATCGAGATAATGATGAGTGCAATCCTCTGGGCAGACCAACTTTACCCTTCGTGTCGAAGCTTGGACTGGAAATCTGGTTTTTTGGATTTTCCATGCGTTTCCCTCATGGAATATCTCAACTGGCTTGGACAGATTAATCAGCGCAAGTTGTTGGCGGGAGACGAAATGAACGATCGTGACGAGTATATCTTGGAAAGACTTTGGCACTGGTTCGAAACGCATGATCAGAGACCAATCAGGTTGTCATTTGCTATGGCCCGTCACGGGATGGTGAGAGACGTCTTGCAAGAGCTAGGCGTTTTGCGGGACATTATTGCGGAATTGGGTGAATTGAATAATGGACCCCAGTAGGGAATAGGGGGTATACGGTGGCATAAATGGAAAAACGCACGACGCGTCACAAAAGTTTGGTCTGACATCCTCGCTTAGTTTCTTTGATACAGATTAGGGGCCAAATTGAACTAGTCCAAGCCCAAGCTCGAGAATTTGAAATACGCCTTGCTAGCTACTCAGATCGTGCTTCCGAAAGTAGACAATGTTGCAAGCCACGCTGAGCCGTAAAGGGTATTCGGTGACGTGAAAAAGTCCCTAAATCGATTATGATCGGCGATCCAGACCTGACAGACCTTTTCAGTTCCAAGGATGTTGAATCCCGGGGCTGGAAAGTTGATAGATCTCATGGTCGGTGCGACGGCGTTAAAAAGCCGATAGTCCGAGATTTGAGAAGGACAACAGGGGAAACAATGTTCTTTGAGGGCATTGAGACAAGCTGCAGCATCCAAAAAACAATCAGTATTGTGTCGTTTTCCTTGGTTCAAATCTGAAGAGCTCAGAACTAGAATTGTACTGAGAAAGCTATGAGCTTGCGGGCGAGGATGGCGCAGGAGTGATAAGCTGACCATCGTGGATGTAGCAAAAGTACTTCCTCTTCACCAGGCTGCGAGTCCTAAAGGATTGCTCAGGGTTGGAGCCTGCCTAGAACGGGCCAAGCTCGATTCTCTTCTCGCCCTTGATGTCGGGATATATAAATTAACAATGGAAGCAATTATTTGGTTCCTAAATTCGTCAGCTCAGGCGGCATTTGCCCTCGAAACGCGGGAGGAAATAAGTTGTTGGTGTCGAAAGGCGGCAAGCCAGAATGGAAGAAGCAGCTATGCGAGATACTGGGCCTTTCGCGTGGCAACGGCAAATGCGTACTGAAAACTCCCTTTCACCCCTTTTGATGATGTTCAACTGATTTGGCTTTTGCGGAGACAGAGGATCCCCATAGACAAGCATTCCGTGTCGTGACATTGTGCTTGGAGGAAAACCCCGATGTTGAGCAAGCCACAATCCAAGAAGTGGCTCTGTGCAATAGACTAGGTGAAATTGCAGAAGCTGAGATCACCCATCATGAGCGTAAGAAGACATGGGCAGTCCGATGGCTGGTATTCATTTACTGGATCTTTTGTGGGACGAGGAATGCGTGGGAGTGGGATGTTGAAAGGATAAGGGAAGAGTGCAGGAGAGAACAGGAAGAAAGAGGGCCTTCAGGTAAGCTGCCTGAGTCACGAGTGCATAATAGAAATCATTTAGCCTGCGATGGCTGCAAGAGATGTATCGGTTCTGTGTGATGAGATCGGTGGCTGATTTATTTCTTCCAGATTATGCCTATCTGGAATTCCTGAAGTCTTGTCCTTTCACGCCTCCCCGTTTTGCGGCTCGTCGGTCCCCAGGAACTGATCGCTCTGAATAATAACAGATCTCAGGATTTGCATTTCGCTTGGATGGTCTGGGGTTGAGTCGACAGTAACCTCCAGAAGGGGAAGCAAGGGGTTACAGGAGAATGATTCCCTGATGGAGGGCTGGGGAAGGATGTGAATGGCTGATATTCTTCCTGTATGCTGGTTGGTCAACCATGTCAATGTACAAGACCTGAGCAGGCAAACATCCATGTATCAATTCACAATGCTTAGCAATAATCATCCGACAATATGAGGATCAAAAAAGCAACTACCAATGGATCATACGTAGTCATTCAAATATGTCAGATTGGGTACTAACTAACCCGAAACGCAAAGATGATATCGCTACATGCCGTTCATATTGACAGAAAATCAGAAAACACCATATCCAGAAACAAAATAAACAAGAATAATATCCTCCCAAAGTTCCCTTCTTTTCCCTGTAACCGAATCATGAGAGTCACAGTCCCGCAAAACGTGCCCATCCAGCAGCCCGAATCTTTCCATCCGGAGTCTGATCCGGACTAGGAACTGCGCTCGGACTGGGACGTACTTCCACGCTCTTGCCTCCTCGTCCTTCTTCCGCAACTTTACCGCTTACATCGCGGCGACGTCCAACGCCTAATCCCGCAATGTAGCTACCATACGAGGATAGCGATGCTCCAACTCCACCCACGAGACCGGCCCGAGTTGTATCCGCGCCGGAATTACTGACCACTCGGCCCTTGCGGTCTCCTTCGGCCATGGCGGGAGATGACGGAACGCGAGCGCTGAGGTATCCCTCATCGTCACTGTCATCCTTTTTCAAAGATTGGTATGCAGACAACTTCTTGGTGCGCTTTTTGGTGAGCTTAGATGGTCCGCGCTTAATATCTTCCTGGGCGCTGACTTGGCGCGGCGCAATGCTCAGTCCGGAGGCATTCTCTTCAAGGTCACCGTAGAAACGATTATTGGAGGTTGGGGAGTCCGGGGTTGTATGCGGAGTGAAGACTTGGGCTTTTTGGTTTTGCGAGAGATTGGGATTATCACCTAGAGCGTTGCGGCGCACCGGGTCGGTATCCTCTTGCCTCTCATTGAGGACTGGTTGTGGGGTTGGAGGGTTCAGCATGAGTGGGTTGAAAGGGATACCGGAGGGTTCGTCATCGTTGTCATGGTCATGTTCTTCTGGGTCGGGGAAGATGTTGAATCGCTGCTGGGCTCCAATGTCTTGTTCGTCGTTGTCTTCGTTGCCATAGTACTCGTGCGCTGCTACGGAAGCGTATTCGCCACGTGTGTCCTCGGGGATTACACTTCCGACGCTGGTTGGATTTCTTTGGGGATATGCGAACCAGTCTCGGATGCCACTACCCGCTGATGGAGCAGATATATCTGTTCGTCGGCTGTACACGGAAGAGGATTGGCGAAGAGTAGTGGCGTTGTTCTGGTCAGCTTGGCCTTGAACGTCACTGACGGGGGATGGATAGCGCTCGTCGTGTGCAACCCAGTTATCGGACATGGGGCTCACGGATTCGGACCTGTCAGCAGTGCGAGAAGCTAGGTGACGGGTGTGGATGCCTGGGTCCACGATATTTGGCGATCGTGCAGGCACATTGTGATATTCCGGTGCAGTGGTGGCTGTGGCTACATTGTAAGGTCCTTCGGCAGGGTTGTGGTAGTATCTTTCTGGAGTTGGGGGCTCCAGTGAGAAACGGTGTGGCTGAACGAATATCTGGGATTGACATTTCTCGTTGCTCATGTCCACTGAACCGCGGATGGTATCACCGCCGAAGGAATCTTGACGGGTATGCATGAATGGAACAGTACGTGGAGAGCCCATAAGCGGATCTTCCATATTCGAATGCAGGGTTGATGAGCTCATGTGCTTTTCATCAACATCGATCTCTTTGCGGAAGCTTTTGCGCGGACGAGCTGTCAGGTTATCCTCGAGCGGGTTCATGTCAGGTGGGAGATGAGAGATCTTGCGGAAGATCACTGCCAAGAAGATCGAAAGGCAAAATGAGATAAGGTGCAATCCTGAATTCACAACCGCACAGATGAAGGTGGCTTCAACGATATCAAGGGTAATTTCACTGTTTTTGAAAAGAGTCCCCCAGTTGTAATCATCCGTCGCATAGTCAGCATGAGCCACATAAGCTGTGAACACGTAGAATGGGATTAGCCCAGCATCCAAAATGCCAGCGAACACTCCGTAACTAGCTTGAGAAGCAGGAGGACGTGTAACGGGAGATCGGCAGAAATGGTAGACACCATAGAGGGTGTGCAGAGTTGCGACAATTGGCTACTACAATTAGCATTTTACTTTATCAACTGGAATGAGCGACTTACTCCAGACCGCATGATCCAGATAATTGTCGTGTCCGCATTATTGATAACGATGGAGCAAAACAGGGATGCAAGTGCACCAAGTAGAGTGATGGACCGTAGACCTAGCTGGGTTCCTCTCACACCTTTGATCCACTTCTTCGCCTTGGGGTTCATTGGCGTGTGCGGTGGCTTCTTGTCGAGACTTTCCCACTATATATAGGTAACGCGTTGTTAGCCGTTGTATGATAGACAATACAGGAATCCCACCATACCGAGTCAGGGTGTCTGTTGAAACTAATCAAAGGCCCATCTTGCTTCTGCCTAGGTGATGCAGGAGTCCGGTTCGCTTGCGTCACAGCCTTGGGGTTAAAACCCAGGTCGGTCGGGCCATTGAAGCTATAAGCGGAAGGACGATCATAAAGGAATGGAGGCTCTGATCTGCCCATAGTAGCGACTAAAAGCCCCCCGTGGCAGCCACGCGAGATCGATGGAATTTGGTAAAGGAATGGAATGAACCGTGGAATGATGCGATCTGACAGTGGGAAACCTTGCGGTATGCGACGCGATGTGGGTAGTGCGGAGTACCAGAGGGTCAACATCGATTGTTGGCCCGGCAACAGAAGATAGTGGATCACGTGTCCCGATGAACTCCGATCTGATTGAACTTATCTACATTGATTATCTTTCCCCACACCACGATGCTCGATCGCGCATTTGTCTGTGCGGGCTGCACAGCGCGCTTGGCTCCTCCGGTCTTACGGGCCAAGTCGTTCCCCGCACGGTCTTTATCAAGGCGATTGAACAGTAATGTTGCTTCGGGGAATCGGCCCACTCGAGTTGCCGTTGTAGGCTCTGGGCCGGCAGGATTCTATGCCGTGGCAAGGCTATTGAGCAAGCATGCTGACCTCAAGGTTGACATGTTTGAAAAACTGCCGGTGCCATTTGGGTTGGCTAGATATGGTGTTGCCCCGGATCATCCAGAGGTCAAGGTACGTACCGGTAAAGCACTGCAACAGCTTATTAGGTCTCAATCGGCTTGCAAATATGATTGAATCATTTGTCTAATTTTGTCTGATAAAACAGAATTGTGAAGACAAATTTACCGAAGTCGCAACATCCTCACGCTTCAACTTTGTCGGTAATATCGAGCTCGGGAACGACCTACCTCTCGCTGCACTCAAACCCCACTACGATGCTATTCTTTTTGCATACGGAGCGTCGCAAGATAAGGAGCTTGGAATCCCGGGAGAGAACGCTCTTCGTAGCGTATACTCGGCCCGCTCCTTTGTAGGATGGTACAATGGTCTACCCGAACATCGGGATTTAAACCCGGACTTGTCCAGCGGTGAGGATGCAGTGATCGTTGGACAGGGAAACGTAGCCCTTGACGTCGCTAGAATCTTATTGTCAGACGTGGATGCGCTTCGAACTACCGATATTGCCGACCATGCTCTGGAAGTACTGTCTCGGAGTCGGATCAGACGGGTACGCGTGGTTGGTCGCCGAGGCCCATTACAGGCCTCTTTCACAATCAAAGAAGTCCGTGAATTACTTCAATTGCCTTCCGTCTCGTTCGAACCGATCCGGGATGATGTGTTCCCTCCAGAAGATGTTGTCAATGCCCTACCTCGGGCCCAGAAGCGATTGATGCAGCTCCTCGCCAAGGGCTCCGCCAATGACCCCGAGACAGCGACCAAGAAGTGGTCTTTGAATTTCCTCCTCTCCCCCGAGTGCCTCGATTGGTCACCAGTACATCCTTACCATCTCTCGCATGCTAAATTCTCTCGTAATGAGCTCGATCCCTCCGACCCTTACACCGCCAGTTCCAAAGTCACACCGAAATACCTCTCGAATGGAAATCGCGCTCAGGCCAATCTCCCCGCCAGTGTCTTCTTCCGCAGTGTGGGCTACAAGTCGCTTCCTCTGCCCGGACTTGAGGATCTCGGTATCGAATTCGATACTCGACGTGGCGTGATTCCTAATGATGGACTTGGTCGTGTGACGAGTCCCTCGGACTCGGGTGAGCCTCGTAAGCTGCCGGACGGGTCATTGATTTCCTACTTGCCTGGCTTGTACTGTGCCGGGTGGGTTAAGCGTGGCCCGACGGGCGTTATTGCATCGACCATGACAGATGCCTTCACCACAGTGGATACTATATTACATGACTTGGCAAGCCACGAAGGCTCTCTATTACATAACTCTGGTCAGAGCACCGGTCTAGGCTGGGAGGGCGTGAAGGCTGAAGTACAGCAACGTGGACTCCGGGCAACATCCTGGCAAGACTGGCAGCGCATTGACAGCATTGAGCGTGAGCGCGGTCAGCAGAAAGGCAGACCTCGCGAGAAGTTTACACGTGTTGAAGAAATGCTGCAGGCTCTTGATTGATTCCTTTACCTATGTATATTAAAAGAACCAATGTATTTAACATCAACCTTTAGCCTCACTCTAGATCACCCGGGTACCTCCAACGCTAGTATCAATATTTTCTAAGGGGTGATCAGCTTGCTCCCCCATCTAACATCGAATCAATCCATTCCCCTACTCGATTCCACACACGCTCTTGTCCACCTCGACATAAGTGGCGGTAACAACACCAAGACTTACAGCCTGGTTATCCGTCAGGCGGTTCATAGCCGTCAGACCAATATTGAATCCACCCGAGGCGACGTCAATAGCAGTAACATTGATGGTCTCGTTAATGTCGCCGGACTCAAAGTGCAGCTGATAGCAAGTACCGCAGGCGGGGCTGTCCCAGCCATCAATGGTGAGCGCACCACCGATCAGAGGGAACGTAGGCAACGAGCCAAATGTGGGGTAGTCATTTACGAGGCCGTTGACTCCATCAGAACACGCGACTGTGTTCATAGAGGTTGTGCCAACATCATATTTTTCGTCGTAGGAGACTTGCACGGTCTGTCCAGTTGTGGCGGTGGTTGAAGCTGGTGCAGGGGCAGCGCTGACGAGATGAGCTGCGGTCAAGAGAGCACAGGAAATGGCAGTGAAGGACTTCATGGTGGATTTGGAGGCTTGCTTGGTATTGAGAGTTGAATGTTTGATTATTTGGACGCACTCATGAAAAGGTTGGACTGTATACTGAGTTTTTAATCATACCATCGCCTTGGTCTTTATATATCCGTGACCACAATCCAGTAACAGGCTACATGTACACTGATACTATTTTTGTATACCTTTGATGCATCCGCGAAATGCATCGGTGCAGGTCTTAGACATTAGGCAAGTCATCGGGCAAGTGAGCCTTGGTCTGATGCAATGGTTGTTGCAGAAAGCGACCTGAGAGGACTGGCCGATTGCGGGCCCGGCTATAGACGGGCGAAGAGTGAGACATGGTAAATCTAGAACCATGCCCAAGAAGGGGAAGTGCTGTCGTGTAGATCAGCTGCACGATCCCGATGTAGGCTTACAGATGGCGTATTTTTATCCTTACCCACGGTGTAGGGAAGTCAGGCGTGGGTATGTACATGATTCGGTCGCATTGGGGAATTTGGACCTCAACGGAATGCGCGACTCCGCCTTTAAGGCATCCAATTCAATGACTCAGATCTGAGAGGGGATATGTGTGAGAATTTTAAGTAGATCAAGCCTAAAAAAAGACTGACAAATTAAGGTGAGATGGAAAGGAAGGAATTGTGGCGGGTGGTAAAATGACAGACAAAAAAAGAACGTCCCCGGGAAGGCTCGAACTTCCAACCTCCTGATTAACAGTCAGACGCGCTAGCCAATTGCGCCACGGAGACTTGTTCATATATTGAAGTCACTGAGACTGAAATATATTATTGGACTAATTGTTCGGTCTGATACGTCAAATTCCTTCAAGGTGCTCATTTTTGACTAGACTAGATCTACTCTGCACTAGCAGCTCAACTCTATTCTGATGTGATCTCTGCTCATTCCAGACACCATGATAATCTATATACCACAAGATCCTTTCCCCCTGAACCTCAGAAATGACGGAAAACTAAAACTCTCCATTTTTTGCTGACAAGCATCATGATCAGCAGAGGCACGTGCCAAAGAAAACCCAGTGGAACGCCGGATACTACTTAGGAAATCCCTTCAGGAGCCCCAAAGGCAATCGACTTCAGCTTGCGCAATGCGGAGTCATTTCCAGACCTGGATCCTAAAGCTTATACTTCAAGCTTCCCCTTGATCAGCATCTCCATTTTTTTTAATTTTTTTTTTTTGACGGGGAATAGCGTTGATTTCATATGCAAGTTCGTCGTTTGATCTGCTTCACCTTCAGCTGGTTGGGTCGGATGGATCGAAGGATCGAATTTAAGTTTCTAAGTTTCGAATTATTCGTGACCCGGATCGGGGGCTGTGCGTGGCCTCCACGAGGCTTCCTTCAGACTATTGTTTTGAAGGTGGCGTCACAATGTCACAGTGCGGACAAAAAACAAGCGCGAACTCCTTGTTTCCGTCTAATCTGTGATTAATGGTGGATCTAGGTTTTTTTTTGGCTGAACCAATACGAGGAAGATCTCCACTTAGCCTGATCAGACAGTGGCATTTGTTGACGAGACCCCACGTTCGACTCCATCTTCGTTGCCCCTAATGCAAACAAGCCGATTGATTGCGCGCCAGCACAGTCTTGGCATGGCGGTTTCCACACCAGTAAATCTTATTTGCACAGCTCTGGTGGTTGATCGACGCCGCATTTCCTGAAACTTCGAGCGCTTACCCTATTTCACCAGTTTTGTGGATAAAGCTCGGCTCAAGTATTGCAGTACCAGCCATACATGGGTCTCGGAGCCTCAGCCGGGTGGTCCGAATGGAGTATACAGTGGTTTACTCACAATCTCCTGAAGCGACAATATAGCCGCTATGGCGGTAATGAACCATGGATCTACTCTTGCAGCCCCCTTTTTATTGACAGTGGGCAAGCTTTAGCCCTACTTTTCAGTGATTGAAAATCATCACTGCATTCTGGTGGAGCATCGGATGCGGTGCAGGCCGACATAGAGACCCGTGCTCTCGGATCTCATTAGATTCTTTCTTATACGAGCCCAGGCCCTCCTGGTGCAAGGTTTGAGATCTATCCTACCCAGAGCTCTGAATCATGGTACTACTCACTCACGTCCTGCGTTCGCTATACGTCGGTGGCGGCGATGGCTCAATCGCTCGCCGCTGGGAGTTCCAAGAGGAAGAACCGCTCAAGGGTAGCGACCGGTCGCTCTTTATTGCCATGGGTATTATTGCCCTCTGCTCATTAGGTTCCACCCTAGGCCTTCTGTCGTTCCTTACTTATCGCTTTGTGTACTGGCAGCGGTACTACAAGCATCCCCTCGCTAAGAACCAATATGTCGTTTTGATTTATAACCTGTTACTCGTTGATCTGCAACAGGCCATCGCTTTCACTATCAGTTTGTACTGGGTGTCTCGGGGTAGTGTTCACTTTGGTGAGGCTGCCTGTTACTTGCAGGGCTGGTGGATTCAAACCGGAGATCCTGGCAGCGGTCTATTTGTCTTGTCCATCGCTTTTCATACTGGCTTCGTCGTTCTCCGTGGTCGACAACTGCCTTGGAATATTTTCGTCTACTGCGTGATTGCCTTATGGGTGTTCATTCTTATCCTGGGCTTTATTCCAGTCGGTCTCTATGGATCCAAGGCTTTTGTCATTTCTGAAGCCAATTGGGTATGCTTGTCCCTGGAATACATGGTGATGTGAAATTGACTGACTGAACTTTTTTTCTTTAGTGTTGGATCAGTCCAACACACGAGGATGAGCGTCTCTGGGGTCACTACTTCTGGATTTTCCTTTCCGAATTCGGTACCATCGTCCTATATGCGGTCATGTTCATCTACCTCCGACGCCGGATGTCACAAGCGAAGATGCTCCGCCGTGGCCAACAAGAGTCCCTCCACCGATTGAACCGTGTCGTCGTATACATGGTTATCTATCCCCTCGTCTATCTGTTCATGTCGCTGCCCCTCGCCGCTGGTCGTATGGCCAGCGCACGAGGTGACTCGCCCAGCAAGACCTACTTCGGAGTCGCCGGTTGCCTGATGGCTTTATCGGGACTCATGGATGTGGCTGTCTACACCCTAACCCGTCGCCACCTCCTTATCGACACCGAGCACAGCACCACCGACCACAACTACGACAACACCGACTCCCAATGGCAAACAAACATCACTACCAATGTCGGATCCCGGTCGCGTTCGCGCAAACCCTTCAAAATGGGATCTAAGCTGGGCTCGAGATTCCGCCGTAGCCAGGTCGCCGAGAAAGAAAACACCGCCAATCCGTTCGAGGGTGGCTCCACCGAAGATATCGTCGCGAAGAATGACATGGAAATGTCCAACTTCGGTGGTGTGTATCAGGAGACCACCATTGAGATTTCTCATGAGCCAGTGTCAGAGATTGAAGCTGAGGAACGAAGCGCGCGTCACAGCGGCTAAGACTAGATGTGCTTTATGAATCTTGACTGCCTTATGAGGCGTTCTTGTATATGATACTCCCTGCTGTACTTACTTCTGCCATGTGCATACACTCCCTTAATTTTGATGAATAATATAATGTCTTGAATCTGCTTCCCCGCTGTCATAAACCCGCTGTCATAAGTCCCGCTGTCAAGTTTCTTGGTCTGCCCCTTGGCAGGGTACTAAAAATCTTGGCCGGCGTCTATTTCTTCCCACTTCCGACGCTACAACTCGTACTTCTTCAAGGATCGCATCCGATGGTACCATCGATCGGCAATCAACTAGTCAGTCCCAGAACCCTGGATCATTACTAAATCTAGATCCCAGCTGAACTGATGAACACACCCACTCCTACCACGTCGCCACGCAATCCCGGCAGTTTGGTTTTTTCCTACCCACAGTGGATCCTAGCGCAACAATGGTCACCGCTTAGTCTGAAGAGTGGAGTCTTCTCTAGCACAAAGAAATTAGCAGATCCTGCTATGCTATTCCAGAATAGGGATTTTTGCTCCGGGCAAATCTTGGATAATCTATTAGACGCGTTCTGGGGCGAGTAGATCCTCATCTCGCAGATGGGGGTCCACATTTCCTGGATGGGTAATTGCTTGTGACGGCGATCTTGAAGACTGTATCGATCCAGTTCTATGCATCAACGAACCAGTCTTGAGGAAATCACCGTACCTGGGCTGACGTTGCAACAGATTCCTTGGTTCTTTCTTTCAAACGTGCGCAGGGCAAAGGTTGTCAGGGTGGAGCTTGAATGAAGCAAAACCTGCGAAACGTGCGAAACGTGGATCACCGAAAGTTAATTGAGGGGCTACACGGCTCGGGGAGAAGTGATGTTCATGTGTACGTTCGGTGGAGAAGGGGTCAAACTATTAGAAACACAGTCTGGAATCATCCGGTTTAGCCCCAAACTCTATATACTGTACAACCCCCTAAACCTAAACACCCAGGTTGTTACCGAGGCAGTACGGGGCTGCCATATGCTAACATTTACAATGATTCCACGGCCATCGGTGCTCTACATAACAGATCAAAGTATAATGTAATCAAGCTCGATTCCGATTAATCCTTCTCCTGGCTAATAGTTCACTAAGAAACTCGACTGTAGCACAGAGACAACTCCATCTTTTGTGGCACCACTTTGAATTCTCCGCTGACCCTATCGCGCATCCCGATCTAATGCCCAATCAATGTACCTCAAGAATTCCCGGGTCTGCCTGAGTATCCAAGAACATCCATCTGCTGGTCTGTTTATCACGTCTAATGGCCACTTGGAAACTGGCCTTAGCTCAAGAAAGGACCCTTCCTGAACTGGACGAGCGCTACCTACCTTTATACAACGCCTTTGACCTGGCTGGAAGGAAAACAAGAGACAAATCATTGAGCTACCTGAGATGGAGGGGAAATTGAGAGGTAAAATTCAATTCATCAACTAGGCATGTCAATACTAATTTTAAGGACTATTCCAAGGTTGTCCACGGGTAGCTATTCAAGTAGTTTGCAGTAAAATTTGTTCAGATATTCTCACTAGATATATCAGTTTAACAGCTGGGTGTAGGTATTGCCGACCAACCAATCGAACAGGGTATAACCAACAAAGTAAAAATGACCAAAGAAAGAAAAGAGCAGGATGCCCGAAGGTTCAAGAAGATGAAGACAAGTATGAGATCCAATGATAGACGTGTGCAAGGATATATATCCAGTTAGATCAAGAAAAGAAATTATGCGAAACAAGGGAAACCGTCAATGCTGAGAAATAGTTGTAAATGCTAACGGACCACGCTCACAGCTCTTCGCAGGCGGTTTTGAAATCTTCCCTATCGGGCATCTCTGGCCGATGGGTGCTTGAAGCCACATCTTTTTTATCAGTCGCTAAGGCATCACCGTCTGAGGGCTGCGGATGCAGAGATGAAGTATCGATAGATCCTCGGGCATTATCGCCTCCGTTGAGAACTCCGATCACACCTCTAGCTGAGAGTACGGCACGTGTGCTGGCGGCATCGGGTGCGACAATGCCGCTGACCGCATCACCGCCAATTGTGCTGGTGTCTTCGCCTGCATCAGACAAGAACTCGCTCCGGCCAGCCACTGAACCTCCAATCGATGAGGGTCGACCCCGAGTTTGGGGGAGGGAGACATCAGAAGTCATGGGTAGGGTACCCGCTGCATGGAACAGGGCTCTTGTACTCGCATTCTCTTCGCTGAACTTACGGTTATCAACCCCTGGGAGCACCAGCATCGGACCACCATTTCTTTCCGATATGGGGCGAAGGGATACTGAGTCCCCGTCAGTAGAGGGACCTCCGCCGTTGGGTTTCTGTTCACTCGCAGCATCCCAAGTTACTACAGGGGCACCACTGGACATGGAGTTCGTGGCGACAGACTTCCGGTTCTCGGAGGGATCGGGCTGAACAATCTTCGCAGGCTGACTGGACCATTGACCTGCTTGCCCCGCATCTACGCTAGCGCGAGTTGAGAGACGACCGGATTTTTCTGCGTCCTTTTCTCGCTCCATAGTACGTTCGTCATGCTTACTGCCCCAACCACTCCAGAGCATTAAGCCGTAATTCTTCTTCGCATGACGCTTGGGTAGAACGCCAGGGGCTGCGCGACGGGCAGCCAATGAACTTGGGGACGGGTATTCGCCTTCGAAGTCTTGGAAACCATGGGACATTTCTTTGATTCGCCGAGCCTGGACCTTGAGCTTCTCTCTGGCAAACTTCACATCCCACTCGTGTTTTGCAACCAACCATTTGCGGATGAGCTCAGGGTTGATTGCACCGACTTGTGCTGGTGGGATGTCCAGAACGGGGTAGGAAGATGGTGGATCAAGTGGGTAGGTTCGTCCGCGCTTGTCGACCCGTTCACGGATCATATGCTGGTGAAAGGCTGGTAGCGGATCGCCAGCTTTACCAACAACCGACATCCCGGTGTTCGTCCTTGGATGTCCAGTACCATGGAAACCTTGGGGTCCCTCCGAACTTTCTGTACCACTAGATGAGATTGGGGAGAGTAGTTCATCATCCACGATCTCGACCTCGGCATTCTGCGCGCGAGCGAGGGCCCAGGACCCAAATTGAGAGATTGCCCGGAACATATACTTTGCGGGTCGGGTGAAACTCAAGGTAGGCGCCACATGGCAAAGATCATCCCATACTTGAAATTGCACGTAGGTCGGTTCGTACTTATGCAGGATCTCTCTGTCAGGATCGTATTCGTCAAGGTACACATCGCCAGGCGGGTATGCTGTCGGGTTGGCCGCCTTGTGGGCAATGTAGAACTGCTCATCACGGAGCATTTCACCACCACCGCTCAGAATCTGAAGGGGAGGTAGGCCACCAAGGGAAGACTGAAGGACTGGTGATACCAGAGGATGAGAGATCAATTGATTAGTCGCATACATCTGAATTTGATCCTTAAGTTCAACGGTCTTCCCATCCAGCACTACGTGAATGTTGTCAGGCTCTCCTTGGAGAGTTTGAGGATCTGAACTCTGTTGCTGGCCTGGATAAGCAGGTCCTGCACCCGGAGCCACCTTCTCATGTAGAGTGTAACCGCGGACAGCAGTCTCCTCTGACTGGCTGTTGGCTTTGGGAACAGTCTCTTCAACATCTTTAGCTGCAACGGTCTTTTTGTGAGACAAATTCTTGATCTTGAGGAGCTCATCCGCATTAGGAGGTGGCCACGCCGTCGAAGGCTTGTGTCTAAAGCCATATGGAGGGATGTAATCTCCTGGATTATCTTTCACAATGCTTGGGAACGAATGGGTCAAATCGACCCAGGGCGAAATGAGAATGGCGCCTGCCGGAAGAGCAATCCCTTGATCACGCATCATAACTAGCAATGACAACACCATTCCACCGCCAGCAGAGTCACCAGCTAGAATGATTTCCTTGGGATCATATGTCTCCAATAGCCAAAGATAGGCCGCCATACAGTCCTGCAGGCCACAGGGGAAGGGAAACTGGGGCGCAAGACGATAATCAGGCGCGAAAACGCGACCCTTTAACTTGCGCGCATGACGCTGCAACATGTAGCGATGCGTATCCACACTTCCGAAGAAGTATGCACCGCCATGCACGTACAGCATGATGCGGTTACAGCGCTCCTCGTTCTTTTTGCTTTCATTGTAATGGCTTCGCATTTCAACCCAGTCTCCCTTGAGATCCTCCGATGGGCCCCGCCATTGCCACCATTTCTGCCCACCCACGCGAAGGATACCTTTGGGACCCAATTGCTTGCAGAGCACTTCCGCTGCTACCAACAAATGCTCGTTGGGGATGGTGATGGTCTCCGATCTCACCCAATGCGGGCTCGGGACGGACTGGCGCGTAAAGGCTTGAATGTCCTCAACGGGATGCTTCGAAGCATAATACAGAAATTGGCGGATGACCTGAATGCCTTCATCGTAGGTGATATGGACGGTAGGTTTATTGTGATGGGACTTGCGATGCAGGTACTGGCATGAACATATCATTAGCAACACATCAAGAGCTTGATCCGATCGACCCACGTGAGAAATAAGAGTCTGGATGACTGTTGGAGTTAAAGCCGCTCCTAGTGCGACCGTGTGCAATGGCATTGTGTTGCCATTGACGAGGATGTGGAAGGGAAGCAGGAATAGACTTAAGATTTAAAAGTGGCCCAGGCCCCGTGCCAGACGTCATTACAAGGAGTTCACAGTGTTCGGAGGGGGCAAGTTCAGCCACCCAAGTCAATGGTTCATTGTGAGTGGTTGGAAATTGACGAACGCCAATGGATGCGGAGTCCAAAGTGGGTCTCAGGGGAAGAAACGCATAATTGTACACAGTTATGAACGGGTAGACCAAGTAGTGGAATGATGTCATTGGTATTTCCGCGGTGTTTCTATTTCCCCATGACATGAGACTCATCACAATTGATATCTCCATATGAATGCGTTATGCATCGCGTCCCGGGGTGAATTTAGATTTGGTCCTCAATGCCTCGCCATACCTGATGAACAGCAAAGGAACCGGTAGAGCCAAGCACGAGATACCCCCCAGTAGACTAGCCGCAGGTCCGATGCCCAAATTCTCAAACATAGGTCGGGCGGCAATAGGCATCGCGCATGCAAGTATAGACCGAAGAATTGTGTTTGCAGACACAGCACTGGCAGCGAATGGGCCATAGGTATCGACCAGAAAGTTAAGACATTGTTGAAAAACGATATTGAAGCCTGCTGCTATGAAACCTATGGGTTATGTTAGTTGGACTAAAATATTCATGACAATGATGTAGACTTTTACCTCCTGCTACCACTGGCGATGGCCAAGGATACTTTGGAGCTGCGGTCCAGCCAAACCAAAATAGACCCACTGACAGCAAGACACCTCCAATAACAATGGGAGGAAGACGAGCTTCAGGTACTGCCTTCCCACCATTTGCCTTTACCGCGCGCTGATAACGTGGCTGATTGGCAAAATTAAGCATCACCGCACAAATGACTCCAACTAGGATTGATAGGAAAGGAAGGGTTGATATAATCAGAGTCCAGTGTCGATCCTCGTGAAAGACGATGGGGAATACTTCGAGGGTCAAATAGATCAGGCTGTACGTGAAGGAGGCGTAAAGGGCAAGTAGAGTGACCATTGGCTCGGTGAATAGCATCCTAACAAGAATATAATCAACACCCTGTTTCTGCAAGTAGAGAGCGGACTCATACACTAATGGTCGGGCAAGGTGCTTAGTGACAATGTTGTGCATTTCGATCTTCTCCTTCTCGTGAGGATGCCAGTATCGCTCGTCCCCTGTACTCTTGCGTAATTTCTGTGCTTTTAGTTTGAGAAGAACTGGAGCATATGTTTCAGGGAGAAATAGTGCACAGAGGGCGAATAGAAAGAATGCGATGATGGCTTCCATATACTCGGTCCCTGGAGTGATTTTCATTAGCTCATACCATTTACTAACATAGAAGTCACCACCTGGGAGATTACTCACAGCGCCATCCCAAATTGCGATTGACCGTCAAAGCAGAACCAATAATGGGTCCAAGGGTAGGACCCCCTGTGATACACAATGCCACAAATGTCATCGCATTTCCCCGTGTTGCCGGAGCAAACATATCCCCCAAAGCCGCAGGCACATTACTAATTGGCGCGGACGCAAAGATCCCGCCAAAGAACCGAGTCAGGAAAATGGATTCGGCATTGTTGCTTGTTGCAGTACCAATGCTAAAGAGACCTAGGACAAAGATGGCGGGTAGCATGCCCAATCGACGGCCGTACATTTCACTAACGGGCGCCCATATCATAGGGCCAAAGGCCCAACCCAAGACAAATAAAGCCACGGTCAAAGATGTCGCCTCGGTGCTAACACTTGTATATCCTGCAATCTGTGTCGACCCAGGAGAGATGATTGAGGAGCCGAGAGCACCTGTCATCGCGAGCATGCTCATTTGGAAGACCAGCCATATCTTGTAGCGTGTGCTGAAATTCTTGGGATTTGTGATATCATCTAACTCGAAATAAACTTTGAAAGCCTCAATATCGTCGGGATTGGTCTCCTTAATTGGGTGCGAGTGGGATTCAAGATCAGGAGCCATGGTTAGAGGAGGGGTATAAGTGCTGAAGTGGTGACAAAAGAAAGCAGAGAGTGTTGTTATATAGTAAAGAAATCCTCGTTTCTGTCGAGGGCATGATAAAATTGAGCCGAAATATCCGTGAATCAAGTATTGATCTTAACCTGGGCCCTCAAATTCGAACCGGGACCATACACTGGGAATGAGATGATCTGCACTATACTCGAATCGTGATAGCGGCGGCCGACGGGACCCACATCAATCGCAACCAATGCTCATGCGCAGTCATGCAACTACAAATCTGCAGGCGCGTTGACCCTAGCGCCAAATTTGCATTTTATCCCATTTAATCCGGTAAAGCGCCCTCAAAAACCATTATTTTGCCACACGATTATTGAATTTAGCGGCGGCCGCCGGCAGATGCACGCTGTACGTGCGAACACGCCACTTTAGGGGCCAAAACTCCAGACCTTCGATATGGAGCGCGCACCGAGAGTCTGCGCAATCTGTAAATTTCGGAAGAAAGGTTGTGACAAAGTCCTTCCACGATGCGGTTATTGTACCCAACGTGGTCTGATATGTCTCTACGAGGATACGGCACCACCAGAAACCCGCTGCGGCTTATTGGGGAGCAATGAGTTGTGGTCCACTAGCCCATTTCCCTCAAATACATTCCAAAGCTTGACTTTATCATATCCGCCCATGACGATTGAAAACACTTTACGTCACGAAGTCTCCAAAATCTTCAAAACCACTGAACGAGCGTTTTCGGAAGTTTGCGACCAGTATTTTCGGAGCTTCCATCGGTGGTTGCCAGTAGTTTCTTATGATCTACTGATGGAAAACATCACTATGTTTGTTGATAAATGTCCGCCCGCGGACTTTTCTCTCCTAATATTGGCTATGTATTTGGTCATACTGGACTCTTCAGACGACCATAGAACACAGATCACACCCCCACAGACTCTATACCTGGATTTACGCATGTATTTTACGCGCGTTCAAACTGTAATCACTGCCTCCACACGACTCATTCAAACAGGCCTTCTTCTCGCTGCATTTGAATATGCCTGCGGAAGACCTCATGCCGCTTACATATCCATTGGAACATGCGTACGCATGGCCTCGATCCTTGGGATTGACAGATATGACCGACTCAATGAGCCCATGAATGGGAATCCTGCAACAGGGATTGGATCCCTTGAGACTCAAAATATGTACTGGGCAATGATTATGCTTGAAAGGTATACTACCCAAGTGGAGACACCGTGAGAGGACTGTGATTGACTTGGAAACACAGACTTGTTTTATACGAATGTCCATTCGACCACCTCAAACCAGCATTGGATTACCCAAGCCCAGAGACCCAACTGCCATCTGACCTTATCTCCCCAATTTACGTTCATTCGCATTCTTCCCCTGATGTTGGCCAACCGGCCACTGTGGGTGATCTACACTCAACTAACGTGGGATCCTTTGGTCGCCAGATCCAGGCGATTTCATTTCTCGTCCAGGTCCTACAGGTTACCGACGACAGTAATACGATACCCTTGTCAGAGCTTATCAAGCTGGACGAGAAACTACGAGGGTTCCTGACTATATTAATGAGTCAATGTCCCGCAAAACATCAATGCGGTGCGAATGGAGTTATGATAAGGTATGCACGTACTAATAAGGGAATCCATCGGACAATTCAAGCTGACAGTGGAAAGGTCGCTGGTCCGCCTACACCAATATATCCTCAAGCGACCGTGTACGCCAGGTCACCCGGAAGCCAAGATCCAAGAGCAGTCGCATGCCGCCCTTGACACGCTTGCCCGCATGATGATCGAGGTTGCCCAAGATCATCTCAAACGTTTCGTCCCCGGTAAAATCGACTCACTACCCCTCTCATGTTCGTACAATATACGGTCTATGATGGATCTGATAGAGGATAGGTGGAGTCGTATTAGCAGCAAACAACCACCAAAGGGACTAGAGGCGTTTGTGGCACTACATGAGGCTGTCTGCAAAAGATGGAGGTCTTCGCTGGAACATTAGATTAGACCTGGGGCAGAAAACATGCAGCCCATGTATTATGTTACATCATGCTGAACGCTGATATAAAAGCAAAGAGACCAACCTTAATGTACAATGTGAATCGTGATAGAAAAGACAGGGCTTGTGCCCCTGTAAAAGGTAGCTATCACTTCCAATCCAAGCCAATCTTGTGCGCGACTTGCTCCGCAATACTTAGGAATGCCTGGCGCCTAGCACTCCGTTCTACCGATTCCTCCGCCACGACAGTCGGCATTCCACGGTCGGCATCCTCGCACACCTTCGCATCAAGAGGGATATCGCCAAGGAAGTCAACGCCTAGACGTTTGCACTGCGCCAGAACACCACTCTCTTCACCATGACAATGATCCCCGTCACCGTGCGAAAAAATCTTGGTTTCATGGCCGCAATTAGGACAAGCAAAGTAGGCCATGTTACGAACCATTCCAAGTACAGGAACTTCCATGCGCTTGAACATGCCAAATCCACGGACGGCGTCACGCAGGGCGATGTCTTGTGGTGTTGTTACGATCACTGAGCCATCGATGATGATTTCTTGATTGATCGTAAGCTGGACATCGCCGGTACCTGGTGGGAGATCCATGATGAGGACATCAAGTGGGCCCCATGAGACGGAGTGGAGAAGTTGGTGCATGGCTTTTGTTACCATCAGTCCTCGCCAGGAGATTGGCGTTGTGTCCATTGGTACTTCACCAGTGCTGTCAGCCTGGGTTTGTGGGAGAAGGTATCCCATGGACATGGACTTAAGACCATAATTTGTGAGGGGAACGAGACAGTTGTCTAAACTTGTATCAGCATTGTCCTTGGCTTTATCAGTATAAAGTAGATCTCACTTTCATCAAGGCGAGGCTCGCCAGAGAGGTTGAGGAGAGTCGGGACAGACGGGCCAAAAATGTCGGTATCTAGAAGGCCTGTTTTGATTCCTCGACGGGCAAAAGCAAGGGCGAGGTTGACTAATATCAAAAAAACATTTAGCTTTTCTTACACCTAATACCCCATGCTTTGAGATCTTTCATAGCATGCTTTCAATGGGAGATAAGATGCAGCACGGGTGATTTTATGGAACCGATGCAATTCAGTCAAGAACGTACCCGCAACAGTCGATTTGCCTACTCCACCTTTGGCTGAAGAGACAGCAACCACTTTCTTGACATCCCGAATCTTGCGCTTTTCGGGCATTCCACGCCGACTACGAAAAGTTGGTGGCGTGCCGGACTTTGGAAGGCCCTATTACATAGTTAGCGAATAAATTCATGATTTCAATGGCAGTGGTAGGTAATATTGATATCAGAGATGCATGAATGCACGAAGAGCCGGGTTTGATAGCGTTTACTCACCAAAGGATTGTCATGCGATAGTGTTCGGCTGGTTGTTGAAAACAACCGTCGTATCGGGACACCACTAGCTGGTAGGTGGAACATATCTGCAATTGTCCCCAAAACCCAAGGACAAGATACAGGCCCGTGCAAGGCCACAAGTGAAGCACGACAGATAATGGATGCGGTTCTGCCGGCAATTAAGGACACCGCCATGGATAATCAGACCGCCTAGCCATCCGGGGCTAGCCCGAATAGGATAGTTTCTACGGATAACGGAAAAACAAAAAAAAAGTCGCGGCAACTTAGGATTTCTCCAAGCTACATCACGCAGTATGGCTCCTAGCAAGACAATTTCGCTGGCTGATCAGCTTGCTGATCTGGAGGATCCCACACCAAAGGGTATGTATCAGAGAATTCCACAGTCTTCTTCACCATCAGTTCATCACAATCTGACTGCGTACCTAGATTTTGATCCAGAGGATCTTGAACACGGCGGCCAATCTAGCGACGATGACGAGGCAGGCAAACCAACAGATGTAGATGCTGGAAGGGAGCATTATGAGGCCGTTGGGTATGATGGGATTTTTAATTCGCTGGAACATGACTGATTGCTAACATGAGCAAACAGCAAAGGAAAACTTCGGAAGCAGGACCCAGTCAAATTAGGGAAACAATATGATGGCGCGCGCATTAGCAGAGACGCTCTCGAGGCCGACAGTGACGATGATCCGTTTGCGGCACATACCGATGACGAGGAAGACTCCGACGCCGGCTCAGACGAGGCTGAAATTGAGGACGATTCCGACTCCGAACCACTCGGCAAGCAAGACAAGAGTGGCGCAAAGCAGACGAAGATCCCTTTGAGGACTCAGCGGAAGCCGTCCTTGGATAGCTCACCGGTTTCCGGCCTCGAAGACTCCGATTCAGAGATGGAAGACGAAGAAGATGAAGAAGACGACCTGTCGGTGTCGGGGAGTGACGACGACGAGGATGACGACGATATGGATGATGATGAGGAGGAGGAGGAGGAGGAGGAGGAGGAGGAGGAGGAAGAAGAAGACGAGTCGGAAGGTGAAGACAGCGATGACGACGAGCGCAGACCTGCGAAGACTAAGCGCAATAGTGGAATTGTCCATCCTAGATCGGAGGCTGCCTCTGATGATCGGGAAGAATTGAGGAGACTGATGGCTTCGGATCAGAAATCAATTGCAGCAACGGTCACGAAAGCCGCAACAGCAGATGCTGCCAAGGGAAGGGCTGTCAAGCAGCAACGGAGCACTTTTGATGCGCTTTTGAACACACGCATCAAGCTGCAGAAGGGCTTGGGTGCAATCAACGAGATGGCTGCAATGGTAGATGACAACGAGGATGATGAAGCTGCCGATGACGAAGCAATCAAATCGGCCGAGTCTGCTGCCCTTGCGCTCTGGTCTACTTTGGAGGAACTGCGCACTGCTCTTGCTGACGCCCACTCTAAGGATGACAGCAAGAAGCGCAAGAGACCTTTACCCATTACCCCTACAGTCAAATCGGCTTTGCTTTGGGAGCGTATGGCTGATCTCGAGTCCGAATCGCTTGCACAACGTCGCTCTACTCTCGACAAATGGTCTTCCAAGGTCAGAGGTAACTCGACCTCGGGCCCCAATGCCAAAGGCAAGCTGATTGGCTCCGCATCCAAGCAAACCATCACTGCTGTTCTTGATGCCCATGTTGCTACCGAGACCGGCGACCGTTCATCTAAGCGTGCCCGTCAGTCTAATGGCAGCAATTCGACCGAAGCCCCCGAGCCCGTCTACGATGATACGGTCTTCTATCAGTCTCTTCTTCGTGAGCTTGTCGAGCAACGCATGTCTGCTGATGCAATGACTGGTGGCCTTGATACTCAGCTGCCGTCTCGCCTGAATATCCACCCAGTCACTGGAATGCGTAATGACAAAAACAAGCGTGCCGATGTTGATACCCGCGCTTCTAAGGGTCGTAAGATGCGCTTCAATGTTCATGAGAAACTCCAGAACTTCATGGCTCCTGAGGACCGTGGCTCATGGACTATTCGGGCCCGAGATGAGTTCTTTGCTTCCTTGCTAGGCAAGACTGCTAGTGGTATGTTGGGTGAAAATGAGAGTGACGAGGAAAGCGAGGAAGACCGTGAAGAGGGTGGCTTGAAACTGTTCCGGAGCTAGATGTCAGCCTTTGTTGTAACATACGATTCATGTACAGTTGTGTGGCTTAGTCGAACTCACGCAGGTGGCATACAAAAATGAACTTGACCCAGTGAATATACCAAAACTCATTTAATATCGACTCTCAACTCGACTTGCACTGTACAGGAATTCGGCAATCGTTTTGATCTGCAATAATTCACCGTCTGTTGTTGCTCTACAAATAGATATTTGTCATTCAATTTATATCCACATCTCACCACTTCCAAGTTCTTCGTCCCAGACCATTTCAGGTTCAAGATACTCTCTTGTTGGCCAAACATGATCTACGGTACAACATTACCCGCCCTTTGCGTCGAAAGTCGTGCAAGAATTTCCATCATAGGCACATACGGCTTGAACCCCAAAAACTTATCACTTGATTGTGTCGTCGAAACCTTAGCCTGTGAATCCCGCGAGTCACTCTGAACTACCGAGGCGTGTGGTCGACGGATGCTATCCCATATCTTTAGAAGATCTGGAATGCTATCACGGCTAGAAGCATCCCCGAGTATTGCATTGAGACCTTCGACATCCTCAAGAGCTTGGTTGGTCGCCTGTGCCTGGTACGGTGTCATGGCATGTGCAGCATCCCCAATCAGCATGGTCCGGCCTTTCACGTACGTGGGCAGAGGCTCCTGGTCAATCACCGGGAAGGGTTCGATCAGGGTAGTGCGACTGAGAAAGAGCTGTCGTCAGTTCAGGCGCGCTTTGAGGTGGCTGGGACTCACTACTCACCTGAAAAGCCGCAAAATCCAGCCAGGGAACCCTTCAAATTCTTCTATCATATCATTTACGAGGCTCTCGTGGCTGCCAGTGGATTTAAGCTGGGCCAATACCCGAGGACTCGTGTCTGGGACGCCGCAGACAAAGTTCATAAGCTGAAGCTCGCGGCATGGGTAAATCACCATATTCCGGTTGCCTTCATCGCCGGCAGCAATGATGACTACAAAGTTGCCTTTATCGAGGGTGAGTATATTCGGCATTTGGCCGTTGATGTCTTGGAGAACATCCATAGGCACGACAAAGCGGTACACGCAAAGTCCACACAGGGAAGGCTCTGGATGTGAGGATGGAATAACGGTCTTACGGACTTTGGAATGAATACCATCGGCACCTGGAGAGAGGTTACTTACCAGTCACTCTCAATATGAGTCCTTCAACTTACCGATAATTAGATCTGCCTCAACAGATGATCCATCAGCAAACATCAAAATTCCAAGCTCTGGCTCGATTTCCACAATATGACTGTCATACATCACTTGAATTGGTTCGCCCTCGCCATCAAGACCTGTGACTCTGCGCAATAAGGCATCCTTCAGATCCTGTCGATGGACAAACCAAAACCCGGTCTCTCCATCCGGACGAAATGCCACCCGGCCTGTGCTCATCTGTTCCTCTCGAATATTATATGTCCGGTATCCGGAGCCCGTGTCCCCGCGGATCTCCTTTCGGGTGATACCCAGTTGCTCGACGACAGAGGTGCCATTAGTTTGGAGCCCGAGCGCCGCGGATGACTCTTTCCAATCGTCGCTCCGGAGCTCGTAGACGGTGACAATATACTGGGGATGTTTCCGAAGAAACCCCGCTGCTGCGAGACCAGCGATTCCCCCTCCTATAATAGCAACTCGGAGCTTGGAAGGAGTTGTGTCAACAGTCATGCTGATATTGGTGAGGCCAAGCGGGGAAAAATGGGTCACGACTATTATCGAGCTGAGAGGTTTTTGAGTGCCAGTGCTGATCACCAGTTTTGTTGAGCAGAAGACTTCTAATTGCGGCACAGGATATGCATGTTCCCCGCCAATCGGCGTTTCATTTGGAGCCCTTTATCATGATTCAATGAGTCCCCTCAGATAACAGTTCCCTTGTTCTCTGCTACTATCCTGCCCGCTATTTCGATAGCTAAATAAAATTTCTTCACTTGCGCAAAGCCATATTTCAAACAACAGTATATTGAATAATTATTAGTTGAGACACTTTATCTTCCCTAACACATCGTTAATTTTGTCCCTACCTGTAAGAAGAACAGTCTATCTATACATTCATAAAGATGCCAAACTCTTCACCCTTCATAGATAACATCTTCATCTTGCCATTGCTGTCGCAGTGATTGAACCAACCCATCCATATTCCATCCTGTCCTCGCGTGCATATCATGAAGGAGCGCCACTGCTGCCTCTTGGTCACTGCGATGTCGAAGCACCCAGCCCCCTTTATTCAAGTCAGTTAGAACATTCACTTTTTACACCTGTATGTTAGGGACCTTACAAGCGACTAGACTGTGGCGTGCAGTGAATAGTGTGTTTTCGGCTCGAGAGTTTGACTGTGCTAAGCCAAGTATTGTAAGGAGATGATGACGAACGTTTTTCTGTAGCGAGCGTAGATTATTAGCAACTGCTCCACCATTTTCTGAGGGATGTCTGACTTCAATCATGCGGGAATGTCGCAAACTGTCGTATGCGGACGATGATGGAGGAAATTCGGACAGTGTCAATATTATCTTGGCAATGTGGTAGTATTGTAGACCAATGACTGAATATTGTTAGCAACCATGGTTTATGATAGATGGATTGGTATACCTACCATGCACAGGCAATAACATCCAAATAGCTGGAAACCGTCGATCACTCTCTGATCCACGGGGTACAAGTCGTACTGGCTCAAATGTAAGTGGTTTCGAGCTGAACCACGCCTCCACCTTGTCGTTGATAGTATTGACTATGGAGGAGTCGGAGAACGCGCTTTGAAGCACTTTGGCGAGTAAGAACACAATTCGACTAGACCATGCAAAATCGTCATCTCGCTGGAAGATGTCCGAGTCGTAGAAATTCTCCAAATTGGTTCGAAGGGGTTGCCGAGTGGTCAAAGAAACGTATATGTCCTGACGCAAACAAAGCCAAGCTGCTGCTTCCCCTAAACCACCCGAGGAGCCAAATGTGGAAACGGTGTTTAAAATATGAGTCGTTCCTGTTAAGTGGAATTGATTATCCTCCCCTGGGAAGCCGTTAGACTGGATAACATGGGTGTATTTAGAGTCAGATTTGATCAAAACTGACCATCCATTTCTTCATGTTGCCGCAGAATAGCCACCGCGGCTAGAATATCTTCAGTTATATGTTCTTCGGGATCAGAAAGCGCGGGGATGAGAATTTGCACACAAAGATTATGATATTGTAGTGCTTCTGCTGCGTTATCTGTTTTCCTATTCAAATGGCGAGATGAAAAAGCAAAGATTGCATAGCGTAGAACAGGCTGATTGAAGGCTCTGGTGGGCACATCTACTTCAAAGTGCCGGTTCGGGTCGGTGATATCAGCCTGGAGAGGGATCAATTAGCGCTCTGACATTCCCGCTTCGAAGATAGACACACCCAAAGAGCCATATTTTCCACAAAATTCCGCACCAAAATAGCTTCTCTCTCGGTGAAAGGCTGGAATGGCTTTGAGCTTGTCCGCGTGGTAGATGTGGAGTAGAATGATACACTAGAAGGTGAAACGTCGATAGGATCATGCGGCCTTTGTGGTGAGATATGATTGATGTGCTGCTGTTGCGTGCTTGGAGAAAGTCCTGGCGTGCGTGTGTTTCTTTCCTCTGGGCTAGGGCTCTTCTCTGTATTCTGAATCCAATGATCGTGGTCATCCTCTCGGGAGCTCAAATATAGGTTTACTATCTCTGGAGTCTCATCATGGAAGCGGACTGCAAAAGATTTAGAATATACACCACTCTGCGCAATTGGGGAGGGGTTTGACCTTTTCCATGTAGTCGTGGCCAGGCCTGGTGATCTGGAAATGCATCATCCTGGTTTTTGGACAATGCCAACCCACTGCGAAACCGGATTATTGTGCGGTCGCATTGAACACCAGCACTCCGACAATGTTGACAAATTTGCGAGTGGATGTCACCTATAGGACTCTATCAATAGGCTATGGTACGAAGGGTCAGGGAGGTAACACATACATTTTAGATGCCGGGCTATCAGCATTAATTAACTGACTTAGCTATCCGGACCTGAACAGTTAGATTTGCGTAGGGACTCACTCCGACACCTTTGACTAATAGCTTGATCAGCATACAATCACCAAAGAGGAAATTCTCTAGACTTACCACCCTGTCGCAAGTCGGCTTCGTTTCGGTGCAGACATTGCCGATGCATGAACGGAGAGAATTACTGCGCGAGCGTTCGGAGGGAATGCGGAATGCGGGGAGGGCCCATCCCCACAATTGCGCCTCTTTCGCCGGAAATCACGAGACGTGGTTTTCAACGCCAAAACTCATGGTTGCGGGGATGTGGATCCACTTGCGGGGTTCGACTTGCTACTTTGGGCGGATGCGGCATTTCTTTCCGCTGGATCGCTTCAATCTGCAGATGGAGTATGTACGATCTATTCTCATCATGGGAATACTTTCCTGGAGCCACAAGATGTAGAAGCAGCCATAATAACGATCTCGGCATTGCAGCTGGAAGTCTGAAGTATTTAAACCCCTCCATGGGACTCAGATTGACCATGAGACTCAACCCAGACTTTCGTCCTTCTTTTTACTTATCACCAAAACCACACCTCAGAACACTATGGGAATTCAAAAGCTACAAGTTGGTATGGCCGGCCTTGGTCGAGTTGGCAAGTTCCACGCCATGAACTTCCTCCAGCGTACTCCCCGTGCCGAACTTGTCGCCGCTTTTACTCCAGACCCCACTGAGATTGCATGGGGTAGAGTAAACCTGGAGCCTCATGGTGTCACCCTGTACGACAACTACGATGAGATGCTCAAGCACCCTGGTCTTCAAGCTGTGGCCATTGGAACAGCTACTTCGGTTCATGCGGAGGAGGCTATCAAGGCCATGGACGCGGAATTGCACGTTCTATGCGAGAAGCCTCTCTCAATCCATATCGACGTGGTATGTGGGAAACAATAGACTGGAGCGTGGGTGGATTTGACTAACAATCTGGGTAGTGCAAAGCTGTCGTTCAGGCTGCTAAGAAGAAGCCTCACCTCAAGGTGATGTGTGGCTTCTCTCGACGCTTCGACGAGTCCTACCGGGAGGCATACAGCAAGGTCGAACAGGGACTGATCGGACGACCTTCAATTATTCGCAGCCAGACCTGTGATAAACTCGACCCTTCTGGATTCTTTGTCGAGTACGCAGCTTGGTCTGGTGGGGTTTTTGTTGACATGGCGGTGCACGATATCGATCTCACATTGTGGTTCTTCGGAGACGACATTATCCCCAAGAGCATCTCTGCCCATGGAATCACTGCGGTTCAGCCCGAGCTGAAGAAGCACAAAGATTACGATAATGCTGTTGGTATCGTCGAGTTCCAGAACGGCAAGATTGCCTACTACTACTGCTCGAGGATGATGGCTCATGGACAAGAGGATACCACGGAGATTATTGGTACCGAGGGCAAGTTGGCCGTCAACAACAACCCTCAGCGGAATTTTGTCAACTACTACCACGCTGGTGGTATCACTCGTGAAGTTCCTCCTAACTTCATGGGCCGGTTTGGTCCTGCTTTTGTGCAGGAGGCCAATGAGTTCACTGCTGCTTGCCTTGACAACACTCCTCTGCCCATGAAGCTGAGCAATGCCGTCAAGGCGGTTGAGATTGGAGCTTATCTGCAGGAGGCGCTGGTCACCGGAAAGCAGATTCACTTCGACGAGATTGGTCGTCGTATTGAAAAGTCTCAGCTGTAGAAAGCTGGTTGATTTTATTATCTTTTAATGGTTTAGATGATATCATGAAATGATTTATTCTTTATTTCAAAGCCTCTTTTACTTTTAGTAATTTACCCATTCACCTCATCCGTTAGACCCTTTATCAATGTTGACAATATTGCGTACAAAAGTGCTCAGTCATGACCGGGTGATGTGCACTGGCCTTTCCTTAAGCCCGACGAGTCTTACGTCGCCGCCCCGCAAAACGCGAGGTGGATTGTCGCAGGCACAAGACTTTGACCTGGGGTTGGTGCATGCCGCCCCACAATACTTGTTTGAGTCTAGAAGGCTGTGGATGGCGATCAGCACCGCCAGGATGAGGTGATGAGCCGTGAAAATCACTGGGCAGTTGTGGGGGACTTGCTCCATTCCCCAATGACGACAAGCTTATGATCGGCCTGAAGCTCCCAAGGGGCATTCTTCCTTCCAAATTCCGAAACCCCTCAATCCTCATCACTCTTCACAACTCTCACTGGACACTTAACCTGTGGGAATTCCTTTTCTCTTAAAACTTTGCTGGTTGTCTTAGGTTTTTGAGGAAGCGCCCCGCGCGTATGGTCGAACAACACGTGAGCTTTAAGCTGTCGACCTACCAGAATGCGATTCGATCTACCGAGATCACTGGGCCTGGGTTCAGTCTGCGCATCATTTTTTGGGGTTTTCAGTGGTAGTAACCAGGGTCAAGTCACCCATCACCCGGTCTTGCCACCATCTTATCCACTGGCGGTTCGCAGTCCTTATTTGTCGACATGGATGCCGAGCGATCGCGTGCACCGACTTCCTTATGCAGACTCTCAATTCTGGGCGGGCCAGGACCTTGGGTGGTCTGTCATTGCACGCGTGAATGGTCATGCCTATAGTTTGATGGGTGTTCCTGACTTGGAAGCCAGTGGCATTCGCCCAGCAACCGTACGCCATGCCGAATTCACGGCAACCCATTCACTTTTCGAGCTTACGGCAGGACCTGTATCGTTGACGTTGGACTTCTTTTCTCCTGTTTCACCCTCAAACTATCTGCGCCAGTCGCTCCCTTTCAGTAAGTGCTACATCCCGTGGGGCTCTTCCCGCATGGTCTGATCGGTATAAACCAGGTTACTTGACAGTCCACGTCACAAGATCGTATGGTCATGACATTCAGATTTACTCTGATATTGATGGAAGATGGACTGGTCGAGAACGTCGTTCGGGGCCTACTTTTGAAGAGCACGGTGATCTTGCTTTTCACTCAGTGTCGGTAGAAGATGCCAGGACCTATGACGAGGAAAATGATATGGCTCTATGGGGTCAGGTTCTTCTGGCATCTCGCCCAGGGAATGTGAGCTCGCTCTCTGCGCTCGCAGGAGGGCCCAAGGCTGTCCGAGGACACTTTATGAAGCACGGCGACTTATCAACCGGCGACACAACCTGGTCTCATGGAAGTGTCGTAGCTCTGGCACACGATCTAGGGACCGTCGCGGGCGAAGCTTCAGTGAACTTCGCCGTGGGCTACGAGAGGGAAAAGGCCATCAATTACCTGGGAGAAGCATACACTGGGTACTACCGGGCAGAATATCCAACTACACACGAGGCGCTTTCCTTCTTTCTAGACGATTATGAAGATGCTTATTGGGAGTCTGTGGAGTTCGATCGGGAATTGAACACTTTTGCGACCGCCGCGGCTGGTCCAAAGTACGCGGACATCGTTGCTCTTTCGACTCGGCAGGCATACGGAGGAATCGACTTGACTATCCCCAATGACTCTCTTGACACTGATGATGTGCTCGCATTTATCAAAGAGCTTTCCAGCGATGGAAACATCAACACCATTGACATCATTATGCCTGCGTTCCCCATCTACTGGGTCATGGATCCGGATTGGATCCGCTTGTTGCTTGAGCCAATCATGAGATATCTTGATGCTGGTCGCTGGCACCTTCCATACACTATTCACGATCTGGGCACTCATTATCCCCATGCCATTGGCCATGATGATCAGCAAGCGGAGGCGATGCCAATAGAGGAATCTGGGAATTTGCTCATCCTAGCCCTTGCCTACACGCAGGCCACCGGTGATACGGATTGGACTGATCAATACACGGCCATTTTCCAGCAATACGCCGATTATTTGATCGACAACAGCATCAACATGGCCAACCAACTTTCTTCTAACGATGCAGCTGGACCTCTGCCCAACGAGACTAACCTGGCCATCAAGGCAACTGTGGGGATCAAGGCGTTCGGTGAATTGAGTAGAAACACATACTACTCTCAAATCGGCGATGAATATGCCGATCTGTTCTTCAATCAGGGTCTAGGCACAGATTTGGAGCAGACCCACTTTGTGCTTGAATACCCCGATTTCCCAGACTCGTGGAAGACGCCATATAACATTTACCCGGACGTGCTGCTTGGATTGGACACCTTCCCCCGTGAGGCGCATGAAATGAGCAACAAGTTCTTCTCTACCTCGGTTCGGGGAGAATATGGTGTACCGCTCGATAACCGGCAGGACTGGGCGAAGTCGGATTGGAATATGTGGTTGGCGGGTACGTTTGACGAGGACACGCGAGATGAGTTTGTGGATGACTTGTGGGCTTTTATGACGAACGGTAAGCACAACTGGCCTTTCTCTGATCGCTACGTAGCGACATCTGCGCATGGCAATGAGCCTGGTGCTCCCATTTTGTGTCGGGCACGACCGACTGTCGGTGGCCACTTTGCTATCTTGGCTTTGAAGGGACCGGCCTCGATCCAGTCTCTCTCAATCACTCATAAGCCAGGTCGGAAAACGAGTAGGGTGCCACTGGTTAAGGGCCAGGGCGCTGACTCGGAGCTTGTACTGCAGGCTGAGATAGCTTGAACATGTTCCAGAATTCATTGAAATTTAGTACATATCTCTTACACAATAACATCGAATTCGATAAGGGTCTGTAGTTAAGTGTTCTGCTTCCAATACTGGGTATTGGAATCTTACTATTACTCATCCAAGAGTACTGCATCAGTCCATGTATGTGACTAGGGGTGAAGTCACAGTAAATGTAGGCAGGTATTCATGGATGGGGTTTTCTATAGATTCTACGTCTATGAAGACCATCTTGGACTAATGGCATAGGTGACAGGATGTCTCTGGGGATAGTATTTGAATAGTACATTAATATACCATGTATTCGTATCTGCCAGAGAGCTCCTTAAGTTCCCATCATTTCCAAGTTGACTGATGTAGGTGCCCAAAGCGTGTGCCAGTATGAAGCAGAATTTAGACCAGGCACCACTTAGTCTCCTGAACAGAATGGCCCGGACTCCACGATATATTGATTTCGGGCCCAATGGACCCCAGGATAGAATGGAGGGTTTGAAAATGAGAGTTCATCGAATTTCTCGAATTCAAATTGTGAATCTCGCATCTAATTGCCCCAAAAGGGAGAATTGTTGTGAGTCGGCGCCAGGGGTGGCTTACCTAATCTCTCATGTCACGCCTATTGCTTCATGCGCAGTGAATCTGATCTTCTTTTTGTCCTTCGACTGAATCCATCTTCATTTCTTTTTTCTTACTCCCTCCCTTTCCTTCCCATCTCGCCCAGTCCTCCACTCACGCGCATCTGTCAATTTTTCCCACCCCATGGCTTCTGTAAGTTGCTCGCCCCTCAAATCCATCTCCCCTCTCCCGCGGACTTGTTCAGCTTCCGATTCCCCGGAGCTCTCGCCCCCAATGACCTGGTTTCAAAAACTTTGAACTGACGTCGCGCTCTATCTATCCAGCCCCGTCCTCACAATTTCGGTCCCCAAGGCTACCCTCTCGCGAACGGTGCGCCCCAGGCGGGTCCGCCACCTGGAGCTACGCCGCTTCTCCCTAACAATGGACGAGTGATTCAGAACGGGCCCACCCGGATTCTGTGCATTGCAGATGTTCGAGGTATGGAAAAGTGACCCTTCACAAAAGTAAAAGCGAAGCTAATTGGGCCTGGTGATATAGGAAATCTGAAGTCTCTGAATGAGCTGGCCAAACAGGCCCGCGCTGACCATATCATTCACACTGGTGACTTTGGGTTCTACGACGATACTTCATTGGAGCGCATTGCGGATAAGTGAGTGTTACCCCAGATATTGCTAGGTTGACGGTTTTGGCTGCCCGACGCGAGGCAACACGTCTTGTGGCAACCGGGCTTCGAAAATTGGAAATTCAACAGACCTCAGCTAACCCTGTGGCTCTACTGCAGAACCCTCAAACATGTCGCCCAATACTCCCCTCTCTTGCCAGAAGGCGTAAAGCGGACGATCGCACAGGTCCCCCCTCAGCAGTCTATTAAGCAGCGTTTCACTCCGGACCAGCTACCCCTCTCCGAGCTGTCTATGCTCCTTGACAAGCGCATTACTCTCGATGTCCCAGTTTACACAGTGTGGGGTGCCTGTGAAGATGTTCGTGTTCTGGAGAAGTTCCGATCGGGCGAATATAAGGTTGATAAGCTGCACATTATTGACGAGGCCAACTCGAGACTGCTGGACATTGGCGGTGTGAAGCTCCGTTTGCTTGGACTGGGTGGTGCGGTGGTCATGCACAAGCTCTTTGATAACGGCGAAGGCAAGACAACCATTGCTGGTGGACAAGGCACTATGTGGACTACATTGCTACAGATGGGTGAACTGATTGACACCGCCAACCGTGTCTACGACCCATCCGAGACCCGTGTCTTTGTCACCCATGCTTCGCCCGCTCGGGAGGGCATGTTGAACCAGCTTTCCGTTACACTCAAGGCCGACTTTTCAATTTCCGCCGGTCTTCACTTCCGCTATGGATCCTCCTACAACGAGTTCTCGGTCAACCCTTCGTTGGATCACTACCGTGGCAAGCTCGCTGCTTCCAAGGCGTCTTTCAATGATGTCTGGGAGACTGTTCGGAGTGAGGTCGAGTCTGCCATTTCCTCCAACGATGCTCAGAAGACCCTGCTGGAGAATGCCTTGGACGTGGTCAACAAGATGCCCTCCATTGCTAACGGTGGCAACCCGTTCGGTGGCCCCGTTGCTGCCGGCAATGCTGCAGGCCAGGTGGATGAAAGCGCATTCAAGAACATGTGGAACTTCAATCTTGCAGATGCTGCATTCGGATACCTCGTTTTGGAGATCGAAGGAGGACGGATTGCGACCGAGATGCGGGCCCAGGGCTTCAACTTTGCTCACCGCAGTGGCAAGCCTGCCGTTGGTGGCGCTCCCCAGGCCGTCTCTGGTGGCTTGCCTGTTACCACGGCGTCTCCTGCCCCTACTGGAGCTGGACGCCCCGTCGTGACCCCCCAGTTTGGCCAGGTTCCTCCTACTCGTGCTCCCGTCCCCGGCCAGCAAGCTCAGGCCAAGGGCCAGTCTGCTCGCGCATCCCCCGCCCCAGTTATTCCCAAGGCCCCGAGCCCCCAGCAACCAGCTGCCGCTTCGGGCCAACCTGCTAGCGAGGAGAAGGCTGCCGCCGATACCAATGGCGCATCCCAGACCGAGAAGACTGCCGATTCCCCCCGTTCCCCGCGGCGAGAAGAAGCCGAGCAACATTCTCTTCTTGTCCGGTTTCGAGAACGAGCAGGCAGTGCGTGATGTCCTCTCCGAGGAGGATGCCGCCAAGGTGGAGAAGATCGAGAAGTACGGAAAGTTTAACCACATTGTGACCTTCCCCACAGTGGATGATGCCAAGACTGTGCTCGACCACCAGTCTGCTGAGAACAAGAAGCCCGCCGCTGCCGGTGCCACTCGCAAGACTTTCAAGTTCTTCGAGCAGCGCGGTGGGCGTGGACAGGGTAACGCCGGTACATGGCAGAGCAGCAGCCGGGGTGGTGCCAACACCGGTCCCCGGGGTTACACCAGTGCCAGTGACAGTGAAGGTGCTCGCCGGGGTGGATTCGGAGGTCGGGGTCGTGGCCGTGGCGGCCGTGGAGGCCGAGGTGGCTTCAAGGGCTCAAACGACTCTCCTGCCCCCTCCACTCCTTCCAGTGACAAGCCCGCCCCCTCTGGAGATGCTTGATCACTGAGATTTCTATTTCTTGTTTTCCCTATGAGTCCCCAATCAAGAATTGTTATTTATTTGACAGTCTTGATCCCTACCTAAACCTCTCATGCTGACTCCACGCCACTTTCTCCGTCGCATTCTAATTCTTTTGTGTCTTTTTTTTTTAACTTTATTGAAACATTCCAAATTCCCCAATCTATGTTTTATGTTTTCTCAGTTTTTGTCTGAGCGAGATGGATATCTCGGGATCATTTAGAGACCGTACTGTTCTTGCTGCCGCCAAGGTTGTATGGGACCGCGGTCGATGGTGAGATGCAGAGACTGAAAGATGCAAGCAAAAAGAATGAAAAACAACTCAAAAATAACTTCCTATCCCACCTATCCATTTGTTACCATTGGTTCTTTTTTCTTTGTACTTTAGTTCAGAGACAACATCGATACCCTTATATCTTCAACTATGACTCCTGTCGAAACCACCAAGTTGGCACCAGAAATCCAGGGCTGCAGTAGCTCCATTTCGGCTACGCTATACCTGACCCACTGGGAATCAATGTGGCTGATGAGTCGTGGGGGTGGAACAGTGGGGGTGATTGTATAGATAGCTGTAAGCTTTCTAATCGGACATATTGCTCGTGACAGTAGTAAGAAATCCAGGTATAATGCTATAGAAGTGGTTCTCAGCTACAGTCCTTAGCCAGAAGTGATGTTGAAAAACAAGCATTCAAAATGATAAGACTGAGATTGTGTACATGTAGGTGTCAAGAGGCGAATTTAAAGAGCGCAAGCCATCCCAAACCAATCTTGTATACCGGGTCCCAGATCTCGATTATGAAACTCCTGTAACGCGAAAATCACCAAAATTGTTGAGATCAGAAAGGACAAGGGAACTCAGAACCAGATATTCAAAATAAAGAGAGAAAGCTGGAAAGGAAAAATAGAAAACTCCAGAAAGGGGAGCAAAGAAGGCCGCTAGAACATATAAATTTCAATTTCCAAGCATTAAGTTCAAGTTCGCCGATATCTCCTCTTTGGTTTTCTCCTGGCCGTGTTCATGACGCCGTATGGTTTTCAAATGACATTTCAATGGTGGGTATGAGTAGTAACAACGTAGTACAGTTTGAGCATGAGTCGTGAATGAAGTGGTTCGGGCAATGAGCGAGATCAATTGAGCCCATCGTGATTCAGGGTGCGGGACTACTTGGTGCGGCCCATGATGTCGTCAACATCTTTCTGATTCACGACCACACCACCCTCCGAACAGCGAGCCTTAGTCCGAAGTTCAGTACAGAGGTTGTCGACATCGATTTCGCCATTGCGGAACTTCTCCATCGACTGAAGACGATCCCTGGAAGAAGAAAGTTGAGTCAGAGAGCTGCACACAATGAACCATACAGATAGTAGAGAGTACATACCAAATCTTTGTGCATGACAGCATTTGTGCTTTATCCTCGCCGGGCACCACCTCTTCCTCAAGCCTACGGTCGATCTGAGAAATCAGATCCTTCTTGGGTGGCTGGATGGCCACCTCGGTCAAATTATGCGATGGACTACCAAGGTCTGGCAGTGGGAAGGCTTCATCGAAGAAAGTCCCAAAGTCCTGGGAAAGCACCGCATCCTGCGGCTCCCGCCAATCTCCAAAGAGCGTTGGGTCGAACTGACCGCCATTCTGCTGAGCCAGCCAGTCGAGCCCAAACGTCTCATCGACGGGGTGGTTGTTCGTGCCACCGTTGGGTTTGTTCTGTTGGTCCCGCACAGCTGGGATGGGGTTATTGATATTGCCGCAGGCCATGCCAAGTTTGGCGCAGAAAGATTCCTCACCATTTATGGAGGAGCCATGAACACTACATCCGGACTCGTTGTGCTTTGTGTCTGGCGGAGAATTTAAACTTGGCTCAGGTGAGGTTCCGCTGGACGACAACATCTGACTCTGGTGCGAATCAGATGACGACGACGGAGAGTCCGATGTCGACTTTTCATGAGCTGTGGTGATCGATGACTTGATGCTGGTATAGGGAGTCTTGGTGGAAATACTGTTGGGGGTTCCCTTGGAGGTATTTGCCTTAGTACTTCCAGTCGCCGTCGGGGTGCTGGAATTTGACATCGAGATGGGCGAAGCAATGGGAGCCCCAATTAGACCATGCAGGTTCTCCCGACTCAAAACACCAGGGACACGAGTCTGCCTTTCTTTAGGCTTAGACTGGTCATTCTTGTTCTGCCCGTTAAACAGATGCGAGCCGGGCAGATCACCAAATTTGGGGAAATCAAACAGGAATTCGTTATTCTGCAGGCCGTACGCGCCCTGTGAGTGTGCACTAGGAATAGCACTCATAGCAGACAAACCGTTTCCGCTGGTCATCCATGAGAGTCGCTTGCGGTATTCGCGAAGCTCTGTCTGCAATCTTTCCACTTGCGCACGCAGAACTCCATTTTCCTGATTAGCTGTGTCAGAAGCCTTTTGCAAATCATCCATCTTGGTCTCCAGATCCTTCAAGTGCTTTTCCTTGCGCTCGCGGAACGCTCGCTGGGCAGCCCGGTTTTGAGCTTTGCGTTTCTGCGAGGAGTTAGTCACCGTGATCATCCAGCTGCTCCGGTGGAAAGGTTGCCTACAGTAGTGGGTTCAGAGGTTAGTGGCTTCCGACCTGGCTTCTTCGCCTCGCTCTCACGGCGCTTCTTCCCATTTTCCTCGGCGTCCACTTCTGACTTGCCATCCATTGACTTCCGCTTCTCACCCGATTCGTAGTCATGGGACGGAGTATCTCCCGGCAGATCGCCGATCAAGTGGGCTGAGCCTGGGAATTCAAAATCCACCTCGGGGTGGAAATCGAGAAATGGACTCTCATCGTCCCCGAAGCCAAAGGCATTGAAATGGGAGGGGTCTTCGAAATTTCCAGAGGGAGGGCCACTAATGCCATTCGAAGAGGCCTGATCGGGGCTGTGCTCAGGCTTTTGGTGCGGGGTGTGGTCAAGTTGCTTGTTGGCTGGCGTGTTGGATGAGAGTGCGGCCATAAGAAGATCTTGCTGATCTTTGGAGAGGTTGTAGAGCCCCTGGGGGTACATGCGGTCGAAATCGCCCATGGTGGCGTTACAGCGTGGGGTGAATGATGGATGGGAGATAGAAGTTGCTCGATAAAGTCGAGACTGAATCGACTGGGCCTCTCGCCCGCAAATGATTGAGTAGGAAGTAAGAGCGCAGTTTCTGGGAGATCAGAGAGATACCGATCACCCAGGACTAAATTGAAGGCGATGTTGTAGCCTCGTATTGTGTCAGGAGCGGGGGTCGGGATCTGGAGATATTTGGAGAGGGAAAAAAAGAAACGACAATTGAATTGAAGATTGAAACAATGAGGGGCCTGAGGCTGCCACTTTTTTGATCTCCGCCTTTTCGAGATCCTAGCAGAGGGGCTTAAGCTAGGCCAAATTGCGAGACCGAGTATTGAAGAAGGGGAGGATGATGAAAGAGGTCATCTTTCTGCGGTCTGCGGTGGGCGCGGCGGCTTCATTGGCCCGAACCCGGATGCAGGTGATCTGCGGCCAATCAGAGCGGGGCTTGCGGGGTCTCGGCGCCTGCTTAGAAATCCATTTCGATCTCTTTCTACAACGTCCATGTATGAACTAAGTCCCATTAAGGGATGTTACGTGGGGCATGAAATCCTCTTTGCACGAGAGAAGTTTACATTGGTTTCTTACTCCCCGATATCACGGACATGCAGAAGTATATGACCACTTAAAAAACGAGGAGCGTCGTGACTCACCTCGTATCGCCTTTACGCCTTACACGACCCCAGGGTCTGGGCCCCACTGTGTTCCCAAGCAGGATCAGACCATCCTTTATCCTGGTCCCGCGTGGCAAATAGTAACCCCATGCCGGATCTTCATTGCCGATGAATGGGTACCTACTTACCTAAGTGAAAGTGGTGAATCTTGTGTAGTTAAAAGCTTGGGTCACCGCTAAATAACAGATAACCTTATGTAGCAACATGGAATCTCGGAAAGATATGAAGTACAGAGTACCGTTAGCATGCCTCTGCCGATCGCTACGTAGCCTTATCGCTTATCGCTTATCGCTTATCGCTTATCCGTTCTCCATATCCTTTGGACGTCAGCAAGCCTCAATTAACTTGCGACAGTACTTTATTTTAATCTTTGTTATTGAAAAGATAGTCAATCCTGTGGAATACAGACTAAATGTCATAATGGATTCACAGGCTACTATATCGCTGCTGGTTGGCACGTAATGCCGTAGATTAGAATAAGCGGTCACATGACCGTGTTCTCACAATCTGAGCCTTTGTCACGCTAAATAACATTCAATCCGCATATATCGCACGTGAAGCCCAAGCCGTGAACTTGTTTCATTTCTTTTCTTTTCATTATTGTGCAGTTCCTTTCTCAATTGAAATATTGTCTCTTCTGGTTGTCTTGTCAAAACTTTCATCACAGCCATGTCGGACGTTGCGACGCTAGAGGCGGAGGTCAAGGAATTCAAGGACCAGGTAAGCACCAACAGCCTCGGCCCCGGGCGCCGTTCCACCTACGAGAAACAGTCTGACTAATATAAATATTCTCGCAGCTTGAAACTATCGAGTCAAGCTTGCTGTTAGATCCTGATAATACAGAGCTGCAGGGCCTCAAAACCGAAATTCAAGACGTTATAACCCTTACCGAAACTGCCATCGCCGAACTTACGCCATCTGCACCTGCCTCATCTAAGCCACAGCAATCGGCATCAAAGAATACATGGACCAGAGAGCCTGCACCTGGAAAGTCTGCCGCAGATCAAGATGAAACCCCAGCTGTGCCGATCTCGTTCGCCGTCAATGATAATGTCCTGGCCCGCTGGGTGTCTGGAGACAACGCGTTCTACCCGGCGCGCATTACCTCTATCACAGGCTCCTCCAGCAACCCTGTGTATCTGGTGTCATTCAAATCATACGGCAATGTGGAGAACCTGACGGCCAAGGACATTCGGCCTGTCTCTGGCACTGACTCGCGCAAGCGCAAGGCTGATGGGACTCCAGGAAGCTCAGCGTCGCCGTCGCCCGCACCGACTTCACATGCCAATGTCATCTCAGCGGCGGCTGATATCAACCCCGCTCTGGCTAATCAAGCGCGCAATGAACCCAGTAAGGCTACCGATGGGCCCGCCCGGCCTGCCAAGGCTGCGCGTAAAGTGAAGGCGAACAAGGAGCTGGAAGCGGGCAAGAACAAGTGGCAGGATTTCGCAGCCAAAGCCAAGGGCAAGAACAAGATCGGCAAAAAAGAGAGCATGTTCCGCACAGGCGAGGGTGTGAATGCACGTGGTAAGTCTGTATCGTTAGACCGTGCATTTGTTTCTCTGACGCTTACTTGGATCTTTTAGTGGGATTTACTGGTTCCGGACAAACGATGCGCAAAGACCCTACTCGAACCCGCCACATCTACCAACAGGCCGACGAAGAGGGCTACTGAACGCGCCTTTTGATCCCGGTTCCCATACCCCTCACCTAAAATAAGATACCCTTTCCTGCGGAGCTGGCCTAATCGGATATCTCATGGTCTCTTTTCTGAAATCTTTTTTTTCTTTCCCAGTTACTATGGACCGTGATGTTCCTCATCGCTAACTGGATCGGCGATGCAGATAAAACCATGCGTTGTGTTTCCGCCCTCGGAATTTCTGTGTTTGAGAGTCTGGCTTTATGGGAGGTTTCATTTTCAACGAAGTCATATCCGGAAACCTTATCATCCTACATACTGGACAGATTTTCTGACTGTACAATTTGATTATAGACCTCTTGTTATGCAGCCCCTGGTGGGAATATGCACCTTGATCAGTAACTGCGGCGGAGGGAGTCTTTTTCTGTTCGATTCTACATCATACCTACATGCGATTAATCTACCTATAACACCAACCATCATCACTTCCAGTCATCTCTTAAGACTCGCCCGTAGAATCACCTCCACGCATTGGCATCTCAATTGATAAGCGATTGTCGACCAAGATGCTTCACTGATCTCACTGCTGTCAAGTGATCGCTCATCATTTCGATATCAGGTTCGTCCCCAAAAATCCTTATTGAAAGGTTCCCTACACACTGCCTTATCTCCGGTCCATGATCCGGAGACAGCGAAAGCCATACTTGAAGAAATCCCGTAAGGTCAGGAGGTCGACATATACAGTGAAGCTTCATCCCAAATCGATAGTAAAGTCTTGGGAAAAGAAAGGGGAATCTAATTAGTCACCATGAGATAGAACCTTGGAAACGTCTACTAGCATGGAGTTCCAAAGGGACGCAAGTTTGTTTTATCTTAGTGTCCTCGTAGAACAAGTTCAAGAACAGCCACGGGTTTCAAGGTATAAGGAATCTTACCTGGGGTTTTAGGCATCGGAGCAAATTAAGAATACTCATTGTTAAACTGGATAAATGGAGATACGTTGGTCAAACATGTAAGGCGGTGGATCCGAACCAGGACAGCGGATCGTCAGGAAACCTGGAACATGTGCCTGACATTAGCTGTTCAGCTAGAGAATACCTGCCGAGTACTTGTTGTGATGCGGTACCCGTGCGGGGCCGAAGTGGTACCCGCCCAGTTCTTATTTCTCCGTGCACGTCATGCTCCCCCAACTTCATCTTCTCTCCTACAATCGATCATTGTGCTTTTGAGCCACCGCTCTGCTACCACTCGCTCTGCCTTAGAGCCGTGCTTGGTTTCGAAAGAGACTTTGCTTCCAACTCCTTCAAGTTTGACTCGTCTGCCACCTTGCGTCTACGAATCCCAAGCTCGCGTTATCGTCTCCACAGTCAAGACCGGTGGTGTATGGTCATCGACATATCACGACCGTAACGTACATATAAGGCCGACACGCAGCATACCAACATAACGCGGAATCTGAAATCATTCCTGGAAATCTTAATCGCCTCACCGCACGATGCGGCTACCGGGGGTTGTCGCTGCGATCGTCGGGCTGGGCTCCCTTGCCCTTCAACCGTCACTAGTCGGCGCGCAGGGTGAAACCAAGATCCATGAGGCAGGTCGATGCGCCATAAGAGGGCAGTGTGGAAAGAAGTCCTTCTTCGGTGGTAATCTCCCTTGTCCGGACAATGGTTTGGCACGTCTACCGGACGATTTAGTACGACAGAAATTAGTGAATTTGTGTGGCCCGAAATGGAAGGAGGGCCCGGTCTGCTGTCTAGATGAACAGGTATGCTAAGATATAGACGTTTGATGGCAGGTCGGCAAAAATCGTACTGACTTGGCTTTTTTGTCTCATAGATCGACGCACTTTCAAGCAATCTGAAGCTTGCTGAAGGCATCATTGCATCCTGTCCTGCTTGTCGAGAGAATTTCTTCAACACCTTCTGCACTTTTACTTGCTCCCCTGATCAATCGCTTTTTGTCAATGTTACACAAACCGACAAGAGCAGCTCCGGCAAGACGGTAGTGACTGAGTTGGATAACATTTGGTCGGAGGTCTCCCAGGGCGGCTTCTTTGACAGCTGCAAAGATGTCAAGAATGGCGCATCTGGTGGGAAAGCAATTGATTTTATCGGTGGTGGTGCAAAGAATTACCAGCAATTTATGAAGTTCTTAGGCGACAAGAAGCTACTCGGCAGCCCATTCCAGATCAATTATCTCACCGAACCCCGTGGGCCTGATGCTGAGGGCATGGAGGCTGTGTCAATCAAGCCGAAGGCTTGTAATGACGCTGACCCGACCTACCGCTGCTCCTGTGTTGACTGCCCCAGTGTGTGCCCCGAGCTACCAGCTGTATCTACGCACGAGGCCTGCCATGTGGGACTGCTACCATGTCTCTCCTTTGCCGTTATCATTGTCTACTCGGCATTCTTGCTCCTGGTCATGGGTCTCGCTAGTTATGTCACCTACAAGGAACGTCGGTTCCGGAAACCTGAACGAGTTCGCCTGCTTCAAGACCCTTCTCCCAGTGACGATGAGGATGAAGGGGAAGTTGTGCATCGCGGTGGGTATATGGAACAGCCGCAGGGCATGTACAAGCCAAATACCTGGCTTTCGGCCATGTTCTATCGTATTGGTGGTACATGTGCACGCTTTCCAGGGATCACAATTGGTTCTAGCATCATCGTAGTGCTATTGCTGAGCCTGGGTTGGCTACGATTCACAGTTGAAACTGACCCAGTTCGCCTTTGGGTGAGCCCATCATCTGCTGCAGCCCAAGAGAAGACATTCTTTGATGAAAACTTTGGCCCATTTTATCGAGCTGAGCAGGCCTTTTTGGTAAATGAAACGGGTCCGGTCCTGAGTTATGAGACCTTGTCATGGTGGTTTGGCGTTGAGTCGCGAGTAAGTCGCGTATTCTCGCTCGAGCAGGGCCTACTCTTGGATGACGTTTGTTTCAAGCCCACGGGCGATGCCTGCGTCGTGCAATCCTTGACTGGGTATTTCGGTGGCTCTGCCTCCAACCTTGACCCCAATACTTGGAAAGACCGGATTGTTCACTGCACTGAATCGCCCGGTGACGTGAGCTGCCTTCCCGACTTCAAGCAGCCTTTGAGGCCGGAAATGATCATTGGTGGGTATGATGAGTCTGGCAATGTCTTAGATGCGCAGGCTTTGGTTACAACTTGGGTAGTAAACAACTTTGCCCAGGGTACCGAGGGGGAGATAAGAGCCATCGACTGGGAGCACATGTTCGAAAGCATATTCAACGTCGTCCAGGAAGAGGCTACTGAGCGCGGACTTCGAGTTTCCTTCACTGCTGAAGTCAGCTTGGAACAAGAGCTCAACAAATCCACAAACACGGATGCAAAGATTGTCGTGGTCAGCTACATTATCATGTTCATATATGCTTCCCTGGCTTTGGGGTCCGTCACTGTCACCTGGAAGTCGCTTTTAACAAACCCTGCCAATGCTCTTGTCCAATCGAAGTTTACGCTGGGAATTGCTGGGATTGTGATTGTCTTAATGTCAGTCTCTGCTTCCGTGGGGTTGTTCTCTGCTGCGGGCGTCAAGGTGACTCTGATCATCGCCGAAGTCATTCCGTTCTTGGTTCTGGCCGTAGGCGTGGACAACATCTTCTTGATTGTTCATGAGTTTGAGCGAGTCAATTTCAGCCACCCTGACGACGAGATTGATGAGAGAGTCGCTCGTGCAGTTGGAAGGATCGGGCCCAGTATTTTCCTTTCTGCACTGACCGAGACTGTGGCATTTGGCCTGGGTGCTTTCGTCGGCATGCCTGCGGTCAAAAACTTTGCGGCGTACGCAGCTGGCGCTGTCTTTATCAATGCCATTCTGCAAGTGACCATGTTCATCTCCGTTCTTGCTCTCAACCAGCAACGGGTGCAGAGTCTTCGTGCGGATTGCTTCCCATGTTTCACGGTCCGAAAGGCGAACTCGAATGGCGTATCCGAGGACCAGATCTACGATGATCAGGAGGCGGAGAGTGCTTTGCAGACTTTCATTCGCCGTGTCTATGCTCCTTTCATCCTTGACAGACGGGTGAAAGCGGCCGTTGTGATTATCTTCTTGGGGCTTCTGACGGCAGGTCTGGCCCTGATCCCAAAGGTGCCTCTTGGGTTAGACCAGCGTATCGCTCTTCCGAGCGACTCATACCTGATTGACTATTTCAATGACCTTGATGCCTATTTCCGTACTGGCCCACCAGTGTATTTCGTGACTCGCAATGTCAACGTGACAGAGCGGAACCACCAACAACAGCTTTGTGGACGGTTCACAACATGCGAGGAATACTCTTTGCCATTCGTGCTGGAGCAAGAATCCAAGCGTCCGAATGTCTCCTACATTTCTGGCTCCGCCGCCAGCTGGATAGATGACTTCTTTTATTGGTTAAACCCCCAACAAGATTGCTGCAAGGAAGACGGTAAACTCTGTTTTGAGGACCGTATGCCAGCGTGGAATTTGAGTCTCCACGGGATGCCGACGGGTCCAGAGTTTATTCATTATGCTGAGAAGTGGATTGACTCCCCTACGGACGCTTCTTGTCCCCTTGGCGGGAAAGCACCTTACAGCTCTGCGGTGGTGATTGATGAGGAACGTACTATGATCAATGCCAGTCACTTCCGGACGAGCCACATCCCCTTGCGGAGTCAGGACGACTTCATTCAAGCCTATGTTGCAGCTCGTCGGATCGCCGATGGGCTTTCGCAAGAGCACCATATTGACATCTTCCCCTACTCGAAGTTTTACATTTTCTTTGATCAGTACGTCTCTATCGTACAACTGACCGGCACCCTTCTGGGGTCAGCTGTCGCCATCATCTTCGTCCTCACCTCTGCCATTCTGGGGTCGGTCGCCACCGGGGCTGTCATCACCACCACAGTGGTCATGACCGTAGTAGACATTATTGGCACGATGGCTATCGCCGGCGTCTCCCTAAATGCCGTCTCATTGGTGAACTTGGTAATTTGTGTCGGTATCGGCGTGGAGTTCTGCGCTCATATTGCACGGGCATTCATGTTCCCCTCGCGCACCTTGCTGGAGAAAGCACCTGTCAAGTTCCGTGGCAAGGATGCTCGTGCCTGGACCGCATTGGTCAATGTCGGTGGAAGTGTCTTCAGTGGCATCACCATCACCAAGCTCTTGGGAGTTTGCGTTCTCGCATTCACCCGGAGCAAGATCTTTGAGATCTACTACTTCCGTGTCTGGTTGGCGTTGGTTGTGTTCGCCGCTGCCCATGCTCTTATCTTCCTCCCAGTAGCTCTCAGCTACTTTGGCGGTGGAGGTATGTTCATCCCCTGTGATTTTGAGTCTTTGTTCATGGGCTAACCCATCATAGGATATTTTGATCCGGCCTCCGATGGTGGCCTGGAGGCTAACCTTGCCTCGCGGGGCTACAGATCCTCGCTGGTTTATGACGAATACGACGATTATCACTCTGATGAGTATTAAGCACCTTTTTTCTTTTGGATTATATGTGTGGCCTCTCCCTGTTCGGAGCGAATTCTACTACTGTGCCTCATGACGCCGATCGGTGAGGGAATTGGAGTTGCGGTAAGGGCCGAGGAGTTTCGGAGCTTTTTATTCACTTTTTCTTTTCATTCCTTTCTATCTCAGTTGACACCATCTCGGATTGTATCTCGAAATCTCAATTAGTTAGGGGCCAAATAACATACATTGCTTTCAGTGCGGATCTCACTGACTATGGAAGTCACCGCCTCTGCGCTGCACAGGAGCTTTGATCAACGATAATTTCCCAAACATTAGCTTGGACCCTGTGACGTGTGTGGCGGGTCTCTATCGGCTCTGAACAAAGCAATGGAGAGTATGATTGGTCTGTGCTGCTGCAACAATTAAAGAAGCGTGGATAACAGCACGTTAAAATGGCTGCCTGAAGTCCATTTCTCTACTTTCCCCGGCAGCCAGTTTTCTCCTTTCCACCGTGCGCGTCGTTGCTGTCTGAGGTGAGATTCCTAGATCATACTTTTTATACTTTGTCTCGTTGGAATTCATGCTAGAGGATTATCATGTTCAGGTTGGACGATGCTAACTTTCCTAAGTTTGCCGTTGACCATTCTCCACAATGATCGCCTCCACTTCGACTTCGTTCAACTGGATTCTACCCACAAGCAGCTCTGGGGGCTCGGTGAAAGGGCCCATCAAGTCAGTCTCCAAGCCGTGCTTCGGGTGCGACTGTGGCGATGAGGAGTGTGATTGCTGTATCTGCACTGTGATGTGATTTGGGTACAAATCAACCCTAAATCGGGGGGTTTTCCAAGGGTCTTGAGACTCTTTGGAGGAACGAGGATAACATAATGTCAGTTCGATGATCAGGATTCGGGTCGGTTTGATCCCTGGACTCTATTAATTTGATTCTGCCTTTCTACGAGTTTTTGGCGAGCGATCTTCATGCATATATCCCGTTTACCTTGGTCTCTCCACTGCATTGTCACCGTATGGAATCTTTTTTTGGCTCAGAACCTTGACGGCTCTCATAACATTTAATAACAATGAATCTCGTCAACTTGAAAGTTTCTGTGAATGTGTGGACCTGATCGGACAAACCAGAAGACAAATGCCGGATCCCTTCCGCTGACTCAGCGCTTCAGTGGCTCTTCGTGACGATCAATGATCAACTTGCATCTCACATACCTCCATGAATTCGCCCGAGCCCCGCAAGCGCACTGCGCGTGCCTGTGACTCTTGTTATAGACGCAAGGTAGGCAAGCTTCCCTGGGGTGCAGCTCCGGTACTGATTCAGCCAGATTAAATGTGACGCCACACTGCCACAATGTAATTGGTGTAGCCACCATAACCTCCCCTGCACGTTTGATCGTGTGGTGCAGCGGAAACGAAAACCGGAGGAAGATGATAGCAAGTGAGCTTACGGCTTCTATTCTTATGTTCCAGGAATTGATAAACTAATAACATGAGTAGTCACCCTAAGAGTTCCCGGCTTTCCGAAAGAATTAGTCGCATCGAGCAGCTCTTGGCGGAGAATTTGATGCGGGAGTCTAACTCTGGTATGTCCTTCCTCCTAAGCGTGATGGGCTCGGAAAGTGTCTCATTCAATCAGAACCGATGGACTATACGCATATTATTGACGACAATCCTATTAACATCAACACTACCAACACCACTGCAAGCAACTCCCCAAGCAGCACCGGTGCTAGTAGTATCAGCAATCAGCCCATACTTTCATCTTCAGTGGGTGTTCACTTCGCCGGCCGAGAGCTGGGTGTCATCAGTCTCCTCACTGGTATCCCATTCCTCCTACCAGAGGGCCAAGAATGGATTCAGGCTCGCACAGGACAGACTATTTCAAGCGAGAAACTCAGTCCATCACGGGTGCCCTGGGAGAAAGAGCGAGGCCAGAGCTCTAATGAAATAATGATGAACTTACGAAACGATGACCTATTTGAATTGCCGGACCGCCAAAGCGTGCAGATGTACTTTGACGCTTACAAGCAGTCAATAGTGATGCGCCGACTCTTCCCCGTCGTTGATATCGAACTGTTCGCCGAAACTATCAATGAAGCGTACCGACAGCCCAAATCGGGCTTTGAATTTGGGCAAGCGAGTACCCGAGCATGCATTATCGCCTTTGCTGCTTTTGTTGCTCGTCTTCCACCCGTTGTTCAATTTATCAGAAGGTTGTCCTCCACTGCACTTCAAGTTGATCATGAGGTTTTAGCTTCCAAGGCCCAGTTTTTACTTTCGCAGGTTATGCAAGAACCTGCGAGCCTAGAAGGTGCGCAGGCTGTGACCATGCTGGTGCGTCTATAACCTAATTCAAGTCAAACAATCTTCCGTAGTGCTAATTTTGTCATCTTGAGGTTTCCCAGACCTTGTACGAGGTATCGTCAGGCAATATGCGAGCCACCAACTATTTTGCTGCAATAGCAGCACGTCTAATCTTCATGCTGGGCGGTAATTTGAACAGCAACAAATTATATTCGAATAGCAAACAAGACCGACGGAGGCAACAGCAAGTGCGCAATCTCTTTTGGATTTGTTACACAATGGACAAAGATGTTGCTCTTCGCATTGGGCAACCACCCACCATTGCCGATGAAAATTGCGATCTCACCCTTCCACCGGGCTATGCTGAATATGCATTTCTGGACCCCGAAGACGCGAAGTTGTCCCACTCACAGCCAAGTTTTCCATTCGACTTGCGTCTGAGCATTATCAAATCTCGCACCCATACCGCTCTCTATTCTGTGGGCGCGATCCACAAATCCGATGCTGATCTTCTAAAATCCATTCGGGAGTTGGATGACGAATTGGAGGAATGGCGATTGTCTATTCCACCTCAATGGCGACCTACCATGTCTTTTTCGGCCGAGGCATCGGATCCAAATGTTACTATGCATTCAATCATGCTGCGTCTCAACTACTATCTCTGTATGTCCATCATCCATTCGGCAAGCAGTAGATGCAAAGCATGGAGGCAAGGAAACGGAATGCTGGATGGAGTCAATTCGAGCCTCGCTTTATCGGTCGAGGCTAGCCGTTCAACTCTTTGTTACTTGGAGGCAGGAGAGCATGTGTTGGTCGAGGGTATTTTCTGGTAAGTCTACATATCCATAGCCTAGTCCAGCTCTTCTCGTATCTAATGCAACTCTTTTCTAGGATTTTGGTTTACTACCCCATCTCGGCATTTCTCAGCATCTTCTGCAGTATTCTTTCGAACCCGCTAGACCCTCGCTCGCGTGATGATCTGGAACGTCTCAATATGGCGACGGTCATGATGGAGCGCATCTTTCACCGAAAGCTTCCTGCGAGTGAAATCGGTCACTTCAAGCTCGTAGCTGACTTCGTCGCGGAGATGAAACGTCTGGCTGAGTGTGCTGTTGACAAGGCGTGGCGTGAGCAGAGTGCTGGCTCGCTTCTGCCTCAGTAAAATTTTCCTTGTGTCCTTCTGTATTGCCTGGGTGGTCTTTCAAGATATTTGGGGATTTTGGTGAGTACCGGCGTCGTGGTATGGGCAATATGGAATGTGGTTATATTATTTTAGACATAGATATTTCATTCCCGGCTCCACAAATACATAATAATAAGCTACCAACATGTTCACTCGGATATAGGTATTAAATAACTATTGTGAAGAAAGCAGTTGGAAATGTAAGGAATGTTTCCAAGGTTTCTAGAGCATTGGAAAGTAGAGCTTATGTAGGAAGAAGGGGTAGAACAAAGGTTCTGGTAGTTTGGGGATTTTGTGCTCTTTATATTGAAATCCTCATTGTGTCCCGCCCACTCTTCTGAGTCTTGGACAGCTCAATAAGAATGCCGTGGCTCGATTGGACCTGTCGTAATAACATGGGAGCCTGGAGAATGACACTCTATGTTTGCAGAGTGAGTCATTGGTCTGCGGAACGACGCGTCGGAAGGATACTAGGTGCAGCGACCAGCGTGCCCATCCAGTTCCCCCAGTCGTGACTTTTTGGGGTTCCGCAGGATGGGAATGGACATTAAATTATGTTCTCATGCCATTGAATACCTCAATAGGCTCGTGGTCCACCAAGCGATATTTTGAGCGCCTTTATCGGTGGGGTGGAACAGGGTGGTTTGAAATTCCGGCTGATATGCATGGGGCTGTTGCATATCCTAAACGTATTTAGATTTCCTTTTCAAGCAGGTCCCAGACCATCCGTGACTCCTCGGCCTTGCGAGAAGCTGACTCCAGAGTGCTTGCATCTGCCGATTGAGCCGCCGAGCTAATACGGCTGCCCTCGGCCTGAATGTCATCTAGGACACCCTCAATATCCGCCTTGATCTTGTCCATCTGTTTGATTTCTTGTCTGGTTCGCTCCAGTTGCTCCTCCATCATCATGATAAGTGATTCGCGGGCCTGGTGTGGGCGATACAAGTTGAGAAGGTGGTGTGCATTGATGAATAGATTGCGCATGTCTTCTACCTTCGGCTCAAATTGTTCTGGCGATACTGAGAGGATTCCGACAGTCTCCAGGAAGTTGAGAAGGAGAGATTTGCTGATTTTGAGGAGGTAGTAGGCATGGCTTAGCGGTTGAGGCGATTGGGAAGAGCCTTGTATGGTATTCGTGGCTGGTTCAGGGTAAAGCTGTTCGATGCCCTGCTCTTGTAGTGATGGTAAGGTGGTTGATAGCTGGTAATTGTTTAATCTAGTGAATTGGAAAAGATCGCGGTCTCGCCAGACTCACTGTTTGCAATTCGCCGAATACTGAGTATTCTCCCGTGGGGATATCAGGCGGTACTAGAAAGCGAAGCTCGGGAGCCAAGTCAAGTGCGCGTAGTTCTGCTGGTGACCACTGCTTGTTGCGATTGGGCCGCCCATCCTCGTCCTTCGAAGCCTCTGTCTTGATCTCTTTTAACCTGTCGAGGTTCTCACGTGTGAAGTGTTTCCACAAGGGCGGCGGTGGCGCGAAGGCTGTATTGACTGCGCGTTGCTGGTTTGGATCGGCCATTATGTGAAAATATTCGGATCAAGTCTGACTGCAAGGAAGCGCCTGGTTGGCGACTTGGGGAAGTGGTAGAGTGGAGGTTGTAAGAAGCGCGGAAGGGTAAAGTGGGTCTGTGCATTGCGACGACTGCCCCGATAAAACAATCCATTTGACATGCAATCCCGGTGAATCCCCCTGAGCTTCATATCTTCCATTCTGCACACTTTTAGTGCAAAATGCCTCGAAGCGGCCCGGGGACTAGGGATTCGCCCTCAATTCTACACCAAGCCGGACTTGGGGGAGCTGTAGCTCGGTTCTACCAACGCACCTATGCGGGTGACTATATCGCGTTGGGGTGTCTCGTGGCAGGATGGTTTATGGTGATCCCAACTCTCAGTCTATCTCTCGAAGCAAATACTAACATGAAACTGTCTTGAAACAGATTCCAGTCTTCGTGAATCCTTTTCACCGCATGTTTTCCCTCGATAACAAGGCCATTCAGTATCCAATGGCCGCTCACGAACGAGTCCCTCTCAGTAAGAATCTCGATATCTCTCCCTCCACACATGGCATACTCATTGCCTTTCTAGTCTGGTCTATAATATTTGCCGGCGTGATCCCCTTTGGCATCATCCTTGCCTGGTCCGCTCTTTCGCGCCCAGGTGTACAGCAAACACAGGCCACTGTGCTCGGGTTCCTCGTGTCGCTCGTCCTTGGCACATTTTTAACCGATATAATCAAGAATGTGGTAGGAAGGCCTCGTCCTGATCTGCTAGCGCGGTGCAAGCCCGCCCGGGGCACGGCGGATAATGTCCTTCTCACATGGACTGTCTGCACAGAGCCCAACCAAGCACTCCTCTTTGAAGGATGGCGCAGTTTTCCTAGTGGACATAGCAGCTTCTCATTTAGCGGGCTAGGTTATTTGACTCTGTGAGTGATTTTCGCGCAAATAGGACCGGGCTGTTTACTGATTGGTGTTTATAGCTTTTTCTGCGGCCAGATGCGTGTCTTCCGGCCTCGATCGGACCTTGGTCGGTGTCTAGTTGCCTTCACTCCTCTTTTCTGCGCTCTTTTGGTCGCCTTGTCTCGCCTAGCGGATTACCGACACGACGTGTGGGATGTGACCTGTGGTGGACTTTTGGGTATGGGAGTGGCTTGGTTTTCATATCGCCGTTACTATCCGTCTGTATGGTCGACACGCTGTGATGTAACCTATGATAAAGCCGATGTCACCAGTCAGGAAAGTTTTGGTAGGCCAGATGATGAAGAGCAAGGACTTTCTCGGCCGTTTATGTCCCGGAACGAATATGGTTCGGAAGAATACCCGCTGGAGGACCTGGAGTCAAACCGGTGAAGCGCGTCGCTTTTCGTGTACAGAACAGTATGCTAGGTAAATTGGTGCTCGAATGATGATTGGAAACCAGAAATATGGATCTAGGCTTTGGATACATACCCAGGCTTTTAGACTGCTGAAATCGCAAGCAATGCGATTAACGGCATAGCACATTTAATTGGCCCCAGGGCCCCAATACGAAGACTAGATCAATGAGGATAATAAGAACGATAAATCAATATTTATAGTAATTAAGCTCTAGCTATTCAACTTCCGGGGATGCGGGGTGGCCAATTTCGATAGTGAAATTTCTCTTATCGCCCCGCGGGGATCCTTGCTCTCTTCTAATCAACCTCTATCCACCTATACACACATTACTTCGGGGGCACTTCGAAGACGTGCAGGTATCGAATTGACTGCACTCTTCATCTGATGGGCGCTTGACTCGTCTGTCAACCGAGCTCATGTAACGTTTGCCACACATTGGATGCCGCGCAGAAAAGCCGCCGACCGTACGGGACCGGTGAAAACCCGGTCTCGTAGCGGCTGTCGAGAATGCCGAGCTAGTCGAGTGAGATGTGATACCAAGAAGCCCGTCTGCACGCGGTGCTGGCAGAAAGGGCTGCCATGCTCTACTAACCTGGAGCTCAAATGGGAGTCCGAATTTGCCAGTCGTGGCGTGGCTTTTGGGCGCGCGGGAGTCTGGAGTAAAACCAGACCAGACGGGACACAATTTTCTCCAGAGTCTTCGGATGAGATACGCCAGTGGTGTCTAGTACCCCAAGTCCAGCCATGGGGATTCGTGAACAGCGGAGTGGGCACATTCGACAACCCCAATGAAGTGGATGTAGTCTCGAACGAACAGCATGAAGTTTCCCTGGCCTATCGCACTGCATCGAGAAATGCCCGGACCTTTCCAGCACTTGATCCGGGCCCCTCGCCAGCTATATCGTTATTCCCGCAGGCGATACAAGTAGGCCATGGGGAGCTTCTTGACTACTACCTTCAGCAGGTGTGCCCTCGTACGAGTGCCAGTACGACCATGTCGTCGCCATTCGCCTCGGTGATCCTGCCTTTCAGCGTATCCGCATCGCCGACGTTGTTCAAAGCTATTCAGGCTCTAGGTGCATGCCACTTGTCTCGAGCTAACCCGACATACGCTCCTCTTGGCCTCCGCTTGAAGTCTGAAACATTGAGGGATCTTCGACGCCGTCTTTCCAACGAAGGTTCCTTGACCTGCTCTGCGGATCCTGAGGTACTAGTGATCATGATGATGCTGTGTCTCTACGAGATTGCCGACAAATGCGACCAGCAATGGACAATCCATCTCAAGGGTGCCAAAGATTTAATTCGACTGAGGAGACAACGGGCCCTCACACCTCCAAAAACACCAGATGCGTCTCACCCAGTCTCTGCCTTTGCTGAGCATTTCTTTGCTTTTCAAGATGTCATGGGTCGAACTGCTTGTGCCAAAGAAGTCTTATTTGGAAGCGATTACTGGAGAGCGGATGATCGCACTATCGATCTGTGGATGGGATGCAGTCCTGAGCTCGTCTCTATTCTTACCATTATTACCGATATGAGCCGTGATCGACGGCAGCTTGATTCTGACATCGATCGAGATTCCTTCAACCAGCGCGCAGCATCCATTGAACACCAGCTTGAGAACTTGATACAGGAAGTTGGAGACGGGGACGAAGATGATGACGCGCTCGCGTCCGCTGCAGAGGCGAAGCGGTTAGCCGCCCTGCTTTACCTGCACTGTGGACTGTATGGGGCCAGTCCCAGGACTCCCCTGGTGGCGGAATATGTGAATCGAATCCTTCAGTTGCTATCGGAGCAGTTAGAAAGTGGTCCTTTGGTCAGTGTGACATGGCCTCTCTTTGTCGCAGCCGTCGAGCTTGATCCGTCGCACGACGAGCTCTGGTTTGCCCCCGATAACTCCGTGTCTGGCCGGTCGATCATACTACGGGCCCTGGCCGCAATGGGTGAATCGACTATCTCCAATATCGCTCGAACAAGAGCAGTGATTACACAAGTTTGGCAAGCTCGCGATCAGGATCTGCTCAAAGCGCCCCAGATGAAGGGGCTGAACGACTGGGAGTGGTATGTCGTGCCCGTGAGCGATGCCATGAGCCTGGCATGACCCTGTACCAAACCATGTATTTTTTTGTTATCCAAATGTATCTATATAACACCAAGCTGTGTACAGTAAGTACATCATTAGTTATAATTTATGATGATTTCCTTTCAAGGATTAAAGTGTGATTTGACGTGTGTTGGACTGATCGCCACTGCGGGGCCAATGGCCGACTCCGCTTTCGGGTTAGCCGCCCATTATCTCGCGATAACTTCGCGCGTACTTCATCCCATCTCCAATAATTCCGGCATGCTTATATGGTGATATACTATTCTGCTGATATTACCGGAGAATGGCTCTACCCCGGCCTCCAGGGCCAGAGCGGAGCATATCGGCTCATCCATTTGAGAGCAAGTTAAGCCAACAACTCCAGCCAGAATCGTCCTTTTCGCAGGAGCGTGTGTCGCGCTCGCCCAAATCACGTTCTTTGTCAGATGCTTCCAAGCCTACGACTACAACTCAACCATCTACAGGAGATTTAAGTCGTCCTCCGAGTAAGGACGATAGTGCGCTACCCACCTTACCGGCCACGCCCAATCGCTCGGACAGCCTCCATCATCCCAACCTATCCTTGAACCTTCCCTCCAGGGGATCAGGATCCCCCTCCATTTCTCGCGCTCCACTATCACCCAAACTAGACTCTTCGCAAATTTATGGTTCTCCCGGGTCGGTCCTTCCACGGCGCTCCCGTGGCCTGGATTTCTCGCGCGCGTGCACCAATCTTCACCACTCTACTCTCGCTGAGTCTTCCCCTGACTCGTCACCCACAATTGGAGGCCGTGGCGTGACCATACCACAGAGGCGTGGATCCCTTGGCTCAACATCGGTTCCTGTCTTCTCGACTTCCGGGCCCGCTGATCGTACCACAATCTCGAGCTCCGTGTCAAGCGTGAATATGATGGAATCCGATACCAGCAGTAGTGAAGAAGACGACGACGCCATGATGGGTGACCGTGACGACGTCATGCTCTCTACACCCCAGGCGTCCCGCATGGCGAGTGGACCGAGCCCCTTCAGTGCAAACAACATTCAAAGCCCCGGGAATGAATGGATGGGAGGCTATTCACAAGCAGCTGCCAGTCTTATGAGTTTCCAAGCTCGCTTTCGTTACAGACGAAGCCGGCACAGCTCCAGCAGTGCCAGTGGTAATAGCTCCAAGCCCAGCCCGGGGCCTCACTCTCCTCCCGTCATGAAGAGCGTAGAGAATCCGACAGGAGGCTATTTCGCTCATGGATCCTCTGTGCATGCAAGACGAGAGAGCTTGAGCCTTGGAACACGGGACCTTCGCCTGTCCGATTTGAGTGACGATGGCGAGGGTCGTGCGGTACGAGCGGGCAGCCCCACGGCTGCAACCCATTCAGATGGTGGACCGTTGGGTGTCATCCGCCGTGCAGTCACCCGGCGAGGAAGTCTATTGGTAAGTGACTCCTCAAAGACCATGTTGAATGTCTCGACTAATCATTTCATAGCCCAAAACAAAAACTTTTGCTCGCATTCGCGCCGCGTTGATGGAAGAAGGCCAACCCGTCGATAGCGATGTCAAACGTGAGGCTGAAGTGATTCGACAGGTTCGCGATACAGAACCTGAGACATCGCCTAAGATCGGTACTTTCCCTTCTCTGCACCCAACTGAAGCATTAGAGGAATCACCAGGCGAAGAGTCAACACCTGTGAAGTCAAACCAGGACGCGAGCAGCTTCAGCAAGCAAGCCAGTCGCAATTCTGGGGGCGTTGATTTTTGGAACTCGTTTGATGAGCGATACCGCACTCCACCGCCATCCTTACGCCAGGCCGCCTCGTCTGTCGCAGATGATGATATGCAGATGGACATGACTCCGTCTACCACCATGGAATCGACCACTGCTGACTCTAAATCGCGCTCCCGCTCTTCTACCCCATACGCTCCTACGGTTGTGGGCGAGATTCGTCGGAAGCGACGACGGGAGGATGACTTTGATCCAAACCTTTTTAAACGCCGGGCCGTATCGCCTAGTGTCAGTGCCCAAAGCAGTCCGGTCCTTACCCATTCGTCTGTTGTTGACAATGGACCGAACATCTGGGGTCCACCATCTAAGCTTGGGGCACCTTTCTCTGAGCGCGCCAGCACCGATACTAATAACCGGACGACGCCACATACTGGCTCGACGAAGCGCGTGGGCTTACAAGGCATGACTGAAGCCAGCGATGGATTTATGAACATGAGCATTGAATAGAGTTGGCGTCAACTTCTTGCTGGGATCTTTTTTCTTTTCCATTTTCTACTTTCTAATTGTTTTTTGGGGAACTCGATCATCTTTTCTCTTAGCGCAGATCATGGCGTGTGGACTAGGCATTGGCGTCGGAAATTTTGGGCGCATAAACATTCTTTATTTCTTAGCTTCAAGATACCACAATTTTACGGAAATAATGATCTTTACATTGATGATAGTAATTGCGATAGGTAGACCTTGTTTAGTCGCTCTTATTTTGGTTGGCGGAACCACGTGCGGGTCCCCGCCCCGAGCTCGACTTGACCTCCGCAACCTCCTCTCCATCGTTCGCCGATTCCGATCTAGCTTTCACTATTCCTTGCAGCATGGCTTCCACTGTTGATATTGCATCCTCTTTCATTGAGGGTGCCCCGCCAGGCGAAGTATGTCAATCCCCATTGTTTACCCGTACCCCTCCATGTTGTGAAACATGCTGACTGTGGAACTTGTAGCTCGCGGATGTTGTTGCTGGTAATCGACTCTCCTCTCCTCTCCTACCTAAATACGATCTCGAATAGCTCTACGATTCCGCATCGTCGTAGTCCGCATGTTGATACTGAATCGCCGATAGATGTCCAGACCCTGACCGAGGGCGAAGATATTATTCCCCAGCTCGCACCGGCATTTGAACGATACAATGAGAGCCAGTTGACCACTGTCAAACTACCGGGCTCAAGCCAAGAGGTGGGATGGTTGTCCTCCGCAAATTGGCTGCATGCTAATAACGTGGTAGGTCATTGTTAGTGAATTTAATAAGCTTGAGGGCAACCGCTACTTCGACTCGGAGAGCCAAACCTCCTTCGAGATGGATCACATTACACAGGTATGCTGGAATCGAACACTCGGGGTTATATAATATTGGTGGAAGCTTACGCACGCTCAGACTGCTTCCGCGGCGCAATCAGCTCCTTTGGAGTCTCAGAATGCCGACCTGATGTAAGAAATCGAGATATCAACGTCTCCGATGACCCCGCTCCCCATGTACGGCTTTGCTCACGCTGCTATAGTAAATCCTTGCTCAAGTCTTTGAGCATTCATGCTCGCGAGCACTACTCCAGCTGCTCATACGGTGTCTATCCCATTGAGAACGATTCCGCTGTCGCCGTTCTCCTGGTCGCAAACAAATACTCGCCCAACAACTTCTGGTATGCTTTGATTACTATGGCGGGTTCATCTGGAAAGAAACTAATCATTGTGTACGTGATTAGGAACGGCCGATTCCGTGCCATTTACCAAGTCCCCGTCTCTTCCTCTTCCACAACCGTGACCGGCAAGATCCACGTTCACGTGCACTACTATGAAGATGGAAATGTGGCTCTCAACACCACCAAGCCAGTCAGCGCTTCGGTCTCATCGGTGTCTGCCGAGGCAATTATGTCACGCATCGCTGCAGCCGAGCGCGACTACCAGGAGGAGTTGAACCGGGCATTTGTCAGCGTGGCTGAGGGGGCCTTCAAGGGACTTCGGAGACAACTGCCTATTACCCGACAGAAGGTTGAGTGGGAGAAGGTGGGTGGATACCGACTTGGACAGGATATCTCTGGCGGCAAGGGACGGTAAATCATTGTTTTCTGGACCGATTGATTAGCGTTGAATACATCTTTGAGGAATACATTCGAACAAACAAATGTTGCTGCAGACTAAGGGGTTACTTATATGGGTTGAGTTATTCCAAGGTTCTATGATTCCAAGATCCCTAGGTTTGGATGTTGAAGTGATTTGATCCCTATCAAGTGGACCGGTGACCCATGTCTACCTGAAGAGTCTGTACTTCTGTTGAAACACCACAATTTGAAACCGAAGTCAATAAAGTGTACGTCTATTATTGAACTTCTTACCAACAGTGCACTTAGTATTTTTTGCTCTTTACCGTCCCTTCACACGGTGAAGAAAGCTGAATAAGCAAATCCAGTCTAACTAGGGAGGTCCTAGCGACTAGCGCGGCACCCATCAACACACAACCCTCACCTGTCTTTGACAATAGACAGTTACAAAATATCTCATCAACGACCTCCAATGTCCTCAAAACTCACCCGCTTCGTCAACAATGGCGCTGGTCTGGAAAAGACTCTACGCCTGATCCAGTCCGTAGCGCAGATCGCCGCAGTTTTCACAGTCGGCAGTACTGCCGTGCAATTGACGACCGCCAAGTTGCAATTGGCTCTGAGTAAGTAGCCATTGGGCTCTCAACACATTGTAGATTGATATTCAGGGGTCTGGGGGTGCTAATATGGATTAGCTCGACGATTCTTTCGCTTCTTTGGCTTCCTCCAATCGTTCGAGCGGGTATCTACCCTCCTTACGAACGGGAGTATTGGATCCGTAGCCGGGTGGATAGACCTCGCCAAATGGACCTGCTTCAGTCTGTACTTTGTACTTGAGGATTTGACAATTGTATGTATTATTGCTAGGTACATGCGTGAATATGGCTAACATGAATATAGTTGCATGCTATGGGCGTCTATGCGGTGCCATGGGAGGAACGGGTCATGCGCGAGGCCAATACCTTCTGGTTCTTTGCAATTTCGTTCTCGCTTGTTGGCTCTGTTTATGCGCTTCTGTTCTCTGGGGCTGCTGAGCAGAAGACCAAGTCCAAACATAGTGAGAAGAAGATCAACGAGAAGACTGGAAAGGCTGAGAAAGCTGCGGAGGCTGAAAAGCCTGCGCCTGGTGTTAATACATCGTTGTTTATGAAACAGATTATGGTGGATGGGTGTGATATTTTACTCCCCGTGACACTTTTGGGTTGGTATCATCCTGGAGATCTTGTCGTGGGTGGCACTATGGTGTTGAGTACGTTGTTGACCGGGTCGAGCATTTGGGCTCAGGTATGAGCATGGCTAGGTGTGTTTTGAAAGCACAGTAGATATATATATAGATATATGGATGGATAGATGTGTAAACGTACAACGTTGAATGTATGAGCCACGACTGAATTGAACATATGAGATACGAGCCAGGTCCACGTGGACTATGAAGCTATCCATGTTTTGATAGATGCCCTAAAATTATATTCTTGAATTCCTGTTGCCTATGGCATGACCTGTGTTTTTTCAGTCCGTAGTCATCAGGTGCAAAAACTGAATTGAATCAGATAGCTCATCCAAAAAAAGAAGCTCCACTCCCAATGGAAGGGAGACGAGGCAAAAAGTTGGACTCGCGGGGAATCGAACCCCGGACCACTCCCATGCTAAGGGAGTATTATACCACTAAACCACAAGCCCAATTGATGGATAGTGTGAAAATGTTATGTTATATGAAGTAACGCAGAAATATTGATCGACATCTTGTCATGCGAAACGCGAAAGTCAACCCTACTTGCACAAGGTGTCAGACGGATATAGTATGGGCACAATTCGGGTATGCCTGTGCCGAAGTTGTGCCGGTCTGTGCCCGTGTGGTCCTGCCATTTGGGGCCGAGATATTGATATTTTTCTCAATCACTCTTTGTGCCGCTTTCCCTTTTCAATGCAAGGTTGGAGAATTTTGATTTGATGTCACAACATCACTGATTCCGTGAGTATCTGCCTTCTACCTTTCTAGCGATTCCTTCATATCGATAACGGAGATTTGGACTCCCTTATTTGTAGGGGCATTGGCGGCGACGCTATTCTATCTGATAGACCAGGTAGGTGAGCCACATGTGTCTCCTATGGATGTGTCGCTCTTCCTGCTATGGCCTACTGGACTAGTTTGTTATCTGATTCGCTAAAGTTTCTGTCTCGATTGGCCTCTACCTGTAGTGACTGAACTGCCTAGATGGTCGATTGTCTTAGTCCTATGATTAGCTGGCATTTTTGCGTTCGGTCTTATATGTATGTAACCCGTATGCTCTAAAGCTTAGAGATTATTATGGCATTAGTAGCAGTTACAGAGATTATAAAGCCAAATTCAAAGGGTGCAAAATTAAGGATACCCTTAGTTCCCCAATGTCATCCATCGCGCGACAGGCCACCAAGATCTTCACCCTCCAAGTCGTACCCACTGGGTTTTTAGAAGATGCATTTTTTCCTTCTCCAAACGGATAAAGACCTCTAAATCTCCACTTGGAAGCCGTGGAAGCACAATCGGATATCTTTTATTTACCAACCGCGGTAATCGCACGGCGTCACAAGCTTTAATCTTGCCGCCCCAGTTCAAGTCGTAAATATCTTCATCGGCCCATGAGACGATTGAAGGGCTGTCATTATGAGGACCAAGTCCTATGTTACTCACATCTCTTTGAGCAGCCAGATGTTGAACCACACTTCTCATGCTTTTCTCGTTCACCATAGTTATGGCTTTTCGTATGGCTGCTGCTACTCTTGCTAGAGGGGGTAAGAATATGTCTGTATCAGTGCTAGTAGCAATGCACCTCAAGTCACTTTCTCTTGCTGTTGCCAACGAAACACCAAAAGCAGTGCCAAGGTAGTCTCGCGGCAGAGGAGGTCTGTATTTATGGCGGAAATTGACGGGAATGCGTATTACACGCTCACCATTCCCAGGCTCTGGAAGACCAGTATCATTTCGAGGCTCTGTGATTACAATGGCACTCCATAGTATTGCTGTCAGAATGTCGCCTTTTGAGACCCAGGGCGTGCCACAGGGAAGAAGCCCAATAACTTGGTTCTTCATAATTTCCAATCCTTGCCTCTGGAATTGAAATATCGAACTTTCCATCTCGCTAGATGCTGGGATCTTTAAATCGCCTCTTTTATTAATGTTTTGCCGGACATGTAATAGATCAGGGCAATATTGCGAAGAGTCGGTGGGTGCGAATATTAATGTTTCACGGTTTATCCAATTAGCTGAGAATTTAACAGCTCTGGAACTGCCTGTCCTGCAATGTGAAGCCCAGATACTAAGTAGAGCGCCGAACCCTGTAATGTCCGTGGTTGAATGATGGATGCTCACACCTAGAAGGTAACCATACTGCACCAGTGATAGAGTTGCCCTAAATACTGGTAATGGATATCCGTCTGCATTTTCCTCCGTAGGGAATAGATCAAGCCCATCCATGGATGATGGAGCGAAGTTCTCCGACTTAAGTGAACAGTAATCCACAATTGAAGATAGATCCTGTATAAAAAACAGGTTTTCCAAAGTCTGGTAAGGCTCGCTCAATGCGACAGAGCCCTTTGGAGTATCTCCATCGACGATTCCACAGGCCAAGTATGGGACATCTGTTAGGGTACCGACAAGTCCATCTTTCAGAATTTGAGGAGTTTGCGGACTGGATGAGGGAAAACAGAGGATTTGACGGATATACGATCGAGGCATCATCCAGTCAAGAGGGGAAAGAGGCTTGTTTTGTGTGATATTAGACATTTTCCGATGCTTCTGTCTTTCGACAAGTTTTGGTGAAGTGGAAGATTCGCATAGGTGGGGGCTCAAAGCGCCCGCATAAGCACGCGGGGAATCGATAGTACTTAGTGCTTACAGTTCTAGCGCGAATCAGATCATGTTACAGGCTAACCAGGATCAGCTCAGAACTACCTAATCAGACACTTTGCCCAAGATGTACGAGAGTTATGGATGGAATATTCCGAAATCTAAATGAAGTTGAGTTCGTACTGACACTAATGTCAGGCTAGATTTCCTAATCTTATTCATCACCTCCTGCCAAATTCGTCTGCAACCTCCAAAGCCCTATAGCACTTGCGTCCCAAAACTTACGCAATGCTTCTAATGGAAGCAAAGAACCGAATTCACCCACCCAATGTTGGAGTTGGTGCAACCCCAGGTTTGACCCTTGTGATGGCCCACATTCTCCGACGCACCACTGCAGTCCTTGCCAGTGAACAAGGTGCAGTAGGTGCCACTTTCCTTGCCAGCACTAATACCAAACGAAGCAGCCCCGCTGTTGAGGTTGGTGCAAGTTCCCTCGATGCTGGCTCCCAAGCCCTGGAAGGCGTTGCAGCCACAGCCATTGCAGGTGTATGCGTAGAACGAGTCGGCGGCTGCCAGAGATGCGTAGCTGACCAAGAGAATAGAAGGGAGAAGATTCTTGAATTGCATGGCTGAAGGTTTTACTTAGTGGTGATGCCAAAATTCATACTGATTGTGTACCTACTGCCGGTATTGGAGGTTCTTTTGAGGTAGAGTATCTGAAGATGAATAGTTGATGATTCTGTAGTATGAAATGGAACTGATGATACTTTATTGAAATTACTGAAGGGAGACTGGCTTTTATAGACGAAGTTGACATGAAAGCATGTTCCGTTTTCCACCATTAGCGGCGAGCCCAGCAAGGCCAAAATTTGGACAGTCCAATTGAAGTGCAAACTATGGCCAGGTAGGGCGACCCATTTGCCTATTCAATATACCTTGTTGCGAATGTATGCTTGGTCATTTCTAGGTGAGTCGTATAGTTGAGATGGAGGCTAGTCAGCTGAGCTTTATTAGGCATCCCTGGTGCCTAGCTATATCGTATTAGAGCCAGAGGACCTGCTATATCGGGTTAGCCAAATCGACGCCATTGACTATTCAAGATACATTGATGCATATTCTCAGAAAGGTTTCAAACAGGGGTGTATTCAAGATCGACGCTAGTCAAGTAAGTCGAAACAGTTGCCTATTGAAGATGCCTTAGACCCTTGATGCATATGCTTGGCCGATCCTAGAAGAGCGGTGAAGTTGGGATCGGGGATAGTGAATTGACTAAAAGTTCCAAGCATTACTAGGCCTCCTGGGTGGCTTGACTACAAGCCGAAAGGACTGCTTACCCGTGGAGACCAGGTAGTAAGCCTACATGGACAGGGTCCCTGCATGGATCAAAGGGTCTCGTGGTGCCACGGCCAGGGATACATCGGATGACCCCCAAATTAGCATGACATGCCGTCGTTGGAAAACACGTGGAGACATAAGCTGAAGAGGTGTGGAAAACGTCTAGATCGCTATTAGTCATTGTCTCGATGGAGTCTCTTACCGCAGGTATCCGCTTGTTGGCGTTAGTCTGACCCTAGGCTTACAGGGGTTCGCTCCTAATGCCACTCCTACATCCACTCCTGCATCCGCATGTGCCGTAGGACTCGGTCACCGAAGCGAAGCCGGATGTCATTTGTACCTCACTCCGATCAAACCACAGATTACTCAATTGACACTTGTACAATTATGAGAAGCCACCGGAAGGAAATACAATGTGCCTGCCGCATAATGTGTAACATTGGATTGAGGGAATAAATCAGAAGAAAAGACTTAACGCGTTTACTAATGCAAAAAGTCAAAAAAGAAAATGCATCATCCGTGAATCGAACACGGGCCTCGTCGATGGCAACGACGAATTCTACCACTAGACCAATGATGCTTAGTAATATGGAAGGAGAATTCAAAATTAGTTATATAATGTCCCATGTCATCAGTAGACCCGAGTCCGCCAGGACAATCCTGTCACGCATGTAAGGAGATACTTAGATCCTTAAGGCCTTTCATAGGCTCACACGAGCAATCCATGAAGCTTTACAAGTAACACCCTTGAAATGGGATGCTATCCAACTCAGAACCATCACCTTGCTCCCATGGGTGTTCATGCTCCACGGCCAGTATCAGTTCTTCATGCGGAGCGCTCCGAGGCACAACCTGCAGCTTGCACGGGACCGGATGGCTGATAACCCCAGGCTGAAATTCTGCTTTCAAATCTACCTCGACACCGTTCTCTACAGGTTTGCTGATTTCAAACACTGCGAGGGATTTTGCAACGCTGAGCCATACTGTAGTATCTGCCAAAATTCGGCCAGGGCAGACGCGACGCCCAAAGCCGAACACGAAATTGTGCGGATCAGCTTCAGGTTCCCGGCCATCGACCTCCAAGAAGCGCTCTGGCTTGAAGGCCAGAGGGTCATGATATAAAGCAGGATCGTGCATCATACCCCTATGATGCAGGTTAAATATATACCTTGTGGAGAAACCTTGGGAGAGTATGGAGACTCACCAAATATTTGGCATGAGAATAGACCCTCTGGGGATATAATATCCATCGTACATGTCGTCGGTCGTGGACATATGTGGGATCCCCATCGGTACTACAGGGTGCCAACGGAAGACCTCCTTGACCACTGCATTGACATACGGCAGTCGATCGCGGTCTGCTAAGGTGGGAAGTCGATCAGTCCCAATCACTTGATCAATCTCGCCCCGTGCCTTATGTTGAGCTTCTGGATTCAATGCCATAGCGAGGAAAAAAGTTCCAATTGACGACACGGTCTGATCCATGTTAGCAAGACTGCCAATTATAAGAAGGCAAGGGAGTTTCATACAGTGTCGGCACCTGCACCATAAAGCGATGCGGCTGTCCATCTGGCAACCAGCTCCTCCTCTGATCCGGGGGATGGAATCCCATTCAATTTGAATAGATCAGAGAGAAACGAGGGCTTATACTTGCCATCTTTAATCCGCTTCTGAACAAGGGCGTAAGGCTTTTCTGCAACATCCTCAAGGCTTCTCCTCCACTTCTGTGCGGTTCGTTTGAACCCAGCGCCCGGAAACCAGGCTGGTATGTATTTTACTGAATCGGTATTAGCCTTAGGGAGACAACAGAAAGGAGGGCAGGCTAAACTTACATGCCGGTATGATATCTACAAGCCAAGTACCCGGGGTCGAGGCAAGTGAGAATTGCTCAAGGGCTACATTGACAAGATTTACCAACAGATCTTGCTTGTGCGGCTCAACCCTATAACCATATGTTATTTGAAGAATGACTGCTCCAGCCTCACTAAACAATTTCGTTATGATCTAATCGATGTTATGTGGGAAGGTTACTGACGTCTGGATATGCTGCGTAATATTATCTTGGTCCTTCAGGACACGCCACAACAGGCGAAGGGCTTCGACCTCCTGCAATGGAGCATACTGTAAAGCGACCCTTTCTGAGCCAAAGTATGGTTTTAAAAGCTTTCGATATGCCTTGAAACGGTCCGTGTATGGCTGCATAGATATAGCATGCCCCCAGCCCACCCTGATATCATGTTAATGTTCGGTCCGATGACTTGGTCCTCGTACTGAAATTTCAAAAAGGGACTGTCAACTCACATTTCAGAAGCAAACACCATGTGTGGCCGTGAGGAGTGCAATGAGGCGCGCTTGCGTAATAGTTCTGATGCTATCTGTGTATCATTGAGGATTACGATCGTCTGTCCCATCACTGTGACGGAGCTGATTGGCCCTACAAAAACGTTTCTCCATCAGCAATAGACCTCTACAGATAGAGACTTCGGTCAACCGGGGTTCTTTGATCTACCATATAAATCCTTATGCTTGAGCCAATGCATCCAATCTTGCATGCCTGGAGGCGGTAGGTCGGCGATGTTGCCCACGATTGGCTTAGGTCGAGGGCCTGGGGGCAGTGGCCCTAAGGGCTTTTTACGTCCCACCCATAGTTTTGTGATGTAGAGAGCAAATAGCCCCAGTATAGCCTGCAAGAGCGCCTTGAACATGTTGACAGATCACAAAATAGAAAAGTGGGAATGGGGCTGCAGAAGAGAAGAAAGTGCAAGTCCGTCTCGCACATGAATACGCGCCCAATGAGCATTCATTCATCTCCGTCGCTCATTGGTACTTTTGACCTTCTGCAGTGAGCGGCATGTGTGCAGCCAAGGGAGTGCATTGGCAGTGGTTCCCGCAGTTCAAAGGTGCCGGACGAACCACGGCTGTCTGAGTTTTGGAATGTATCTCCGGAGAACTCGCCAGCTCTTTCAAATGCCGTGAGACGAATGGCATTGATATTGTAAAAGGGATTAACTCGCATGGTTCTTCACAAGTGACATGTAGGCTGATTGGAAGAATGACCTGAAGATTCCAGATCGGTACGAAACATTGCTCAATCATCGTCGGTAATTTCTCCCTCTGTAAATTATCGACCAATGTTCCAGGGCCCAGACCGGTCATATGCAATTGGAAACAGCTGGTCTATTGAACGGTTGCTCAGGGGGTCCACTACTGCGTCCGCTGCTGCATCCGCACGTGCCGTGATTCGGTTACGGAAGTGAAGCCGGAAGCCGCTGGCATCTTCATTGGTTGATTCCCTAGGTTCGTATTACGGCAACAGTTAGATAACTAATTAGTGAACTAAGTACAGTTAGATAAGTTACTAACGCAAAGGAAAACACGGAAACACGTCAGCACTAACAAAGTTCCCGTGCGGGACCATGGAATATCTATTTGCTAAGTGACATGAAGTGATACCAAATTGACAGAGATGCAAACAAGACACAGCTGAAGCAGAGAATACGAAAAATAGGGAAATGGAGATTGTTAGGGTGTTGGATTTTTGCATTTTCTAACATCAAGCGGAAAGCGCGATCTAACTTCTTTTGTTTTAGGAAGGCGCGATGCGGCCGAGTATACCTCCCCAACCTCTTATTTGAAATCAAAATCTTCTCTTTATTGAATCCTGATTGTTCACTTCGCTCACATCCCTGTGGCTATAGAATAAATTGGGAGACCTTTGTATTGGATAATGGTAGGTCATGTCATTAATACAGCATGCACGACAAGGCATGTTGAAGCTCTAGTCAAACGGAGGGTTCAGGGAGCTGGTGAGAGCAGGCGCAGGTACTGCGCTACGTGTTCCTTCTAGCAGATTTTCACGCGTTGCAGTTTCATCGTAGACTAGACGGTGGTCGGGACCGATCACCATCGAGGGGAGTAGATTGACAATGTCGAAGTGGGGGTTGCCGATAAAGCTTATGGTTGCCATTCGTGCCAGCGCCTTAGAGGGCGTGGAAAGATGTTACCTCTCTTGCTAAAGGTGAGGGTAGATGGAATAACCACGGTAACACCACCAAAGACATTGAAGCATCGTTGCTCAAAAGGTCGGAAATCAGTGCAAATTCTAGCTGACCCTGAGCGAGAGCACTGGTAATAGCAGGACTTTTCCGCTGCAATTCGAAAACATCTTGTTCTTTGCGAAAGACAGTACGGACACGGTATTTCCTCTCGAACGCGGCAGTTAGAGTCTGGAATCCTATATACCCGGTAACCCCAGTCATCTAAAGGATACGTCAGTCCTGCTAGTCTGTGAAACGAGGAGTGGACTCCTCACGAGGAGCATCTCGCTCTCCCTGTGCTTTATCTTTTCGGTCATTTTGGGCAATTGAAAGGTCTAAGCACCTGATTGATGTCTTGAGGTTATTCTAGTATGACCAGATTAAATGAAGGTTGTTTGGTGAGATTATATATGCTAGCTGCTGTCAAGAGTTCATTAAATTAGCTCATGCCTGCCCCACCAGTCTTATCGCTTAGCGAATTTCTGGGTCATTCAATCGCATGGAAAAGGGCATCACGGGCGTTGCAGCCTGCTCTTCTACCCCGAGTACCGATACCCCTACGAAGTGATTACGGGCTCAGCTGATGAATCTGATAAACCCTTGTAAGGGACCTTACCTTAAAATTCATTATCTGCATAATCGAGCTCTAGAAAGCCTTTACTTCTTGGATCAACACTAGGTAAGGTCTACCATGAACGTTGCTCATATCGTAAGGTCATGAGGAATCCAGGCCGATATCAGAAGCTGGAGGCGAGGTCGTAGAGCATCAACTGGTATATGCATGTGCATTGTTCTCCTTTCCCTGCTTTGTTCACAACAACAACCACCCACCATATCCTCCACACCAACCTAACACAATGTTCGGCGATATCAAGACAGCGTTGACAAAGAAGCGCAACAAGCCGCGCCTGCTCCTCGCCCTTTACGCGCGGCCCAAGTACCCCGATGCCCCCCACTATGCGCTGCTGGTTACCCCGAATATCAAACTCGGGGCTCACAAACTAGGAGCGGACCCAGAGTCCATCGCAGCGACCAAATACCATATCAAAAACACCCTCCAGAAAGTCAAAGATGTGCTCTGCCAGCCATGGGTTTATGAACATGTTGACGTACCCAACCTAGATCGGGACCACAATATTCTCGTGTGTACAGTCATTGCAAAGGTCCTGTCGACGGAAAGCCTAGAGAGGATCATGACGAAAACCTACATCTACTAAAAGGACGATCCCATACAATTCAAAGCACGCGACTTCGACTGCAAGATGTGGTGCCATGATGCCTATGAAGAACTTCAAAAATCAGGGGTCATTGTTGGGTTGGACTGGCGCACAGCCGAAGGCGGTACGAGGGCTGTGTTGAACCAGAGACATGGCGAGGGACGATGGGGCTCGTCTATCACCGGCACATGTCGTAATACCCCCTTCGTTCCCATTGTCGATCTATTGAGTGGGACCCTCATTCGGGGTCAATAATCTACCATTCAGCAAATGGGCCATCTCTGGAGAGCGCGAAGTGGGCACAGCCCACGAATACGAGGCACGGATTAACCTTTGGAACGCGATCGACGGAACCGTGGCATGTCGTGCCCCGTTTTCCCAAAGAGGCAATCTCGTATTCAGATTCAAGATGACCATGACCTCAGTGGTATAAATGTCCCTCGATCAACCACCAAATGAAAAAGAGAATGAGCATGAGAAAATTCAAATCAAAACATCATGTCTACCACAGCTATGACAGCCCAAATAGATCAGAAAGAAAAAGAACTTTCTAATACGGTCTCTGCTAGCACTTCAAGCACTCTCTGTACATTCAACGCGACCAATGATTCAACCCTGTTTTACCCTTCTCGCACCTTGATTGTCGATGCCCGAGGGATCAGTTGCCTTCGTTTACCAGGTCCCTCAAGGCAAACCGAAATCACGATCGCCCTTGCAGACGGAAGTACCGGCTATGTTTCCACTCGCAACAAACGCTGGTCCGGTGATTGCATTCTCTCGCACCCTAAACTTGGAAATCTGATCCGCACAGATTACTTCTTCGGCCCGAACCGGGACCCCATTCTTCGTCTTTTGCAGACCTCCGATGTTGTCCCGGAGGAAGTAAGAGTGTCGAGCAAATGGACTTCGCGCTCGGCTTATTTCACGATGCCCAATGGTACAGAATATGAATGGGCTTATGCAAAGCAGAAGGGACCCGAGGGCCAGAAATTGAAATTGATTGTCCTTGATGCAATCTCCATGGATGATAACGAAAAAGTTACCAAGCACCGTCGCGTTGCCCAACTTGTGCGCAGCTCTGACACTCGTACGCCTGGTACATCTCGGCGCACTGCTGGCAATGGCGGGCAACTGCAGATCGACGACGAAGCGCTACATGCCTTGCAACTTGACGAATCAATCATCGTAGCAACATGTCTCGTCATGCTGAAGAAAGAGATCGATCGGCGGCGCATGATACAGGCTGCAGTCATGGCGGGTGCAGGTAGTGGTTCTTAATTCTTAATACATTCTTTCTTGAGCTCTGTTTCTCTTCAATTGACGCCGGCATCTATTCTTTTGATCTAATTTTCTATACAACTTTGGTATCTCAGACGAATCGTAGTAATCGGGTACCAGCCCACATGCCCGCATTGAATAATCTCCCCCATCTCACTGTCCCTTCAACATAGCCTCAATATGCGGGTTCAACCAGTATTCTCCCAACACATCGGCAGGCATAGTCTTGGCACCGGTGATTAAACCCCGGCACACACTCGCACCACAAGTGCACTGGAATGGCTGATCCATATCCCACTCTGTGCTCGGGTAGAAAAATGTTAAGGCATCACCGGCCTTCAAAGGCCGATCGTCCACGACCCGTACCTCCATCCGAGACATGTCAAAAACAACTGATGGCTCACAAGAGTGATTGCAGTAGACTAGGTCTGAGTTCAGCTCGATATGGGTGTCTGGCCCGGTCTGCACGCTGGTGTAGGCTTTCTTCCCTGGAGTGGCAGTGGTGATTTTGGCAAATAGTGCACCGGCGGGGAGATCGATGAGAGAGTAGGCCCCACTGCAGAAGGCTTTGTCGCTGCGGTTGACTTGTAGTCGGTCGGGATGGGTTGGAGCGGGGAATTCACTGCGAAGCGCGGGGGGTGGTGGGGACGGGGTCTGCGGTAGCCATTGTGGAATCTTGGTAGATGATTAGGAGCGGATGGAGGAGGAGGATGAGGAGGAGAAAGAGGAAGATGTATGTGTGTGTGTTCGGTATGTAGTATTATGGGGAAAGACTAGAGGCCACGGTACGGTCCATTGGTCGCTTTATACTCTGTACTTACTTTCCCTTCAGCCGAGGGAAGGCGCTGTGGAGTCATGGCCAAGAACGTTGGTTTTTCCGCATACCGAGGCCTAAACCTTCTCTACCTGATGAAGTCATCCGCGGCCTTACCGGGCAACCCGAATGTTGACTAGTCCGCGCTCAATTGCAGACTGATTCGATTAGACTCCACGGAGATCGCGCTAGGGAGGTTCTAGCGGGTGATCGGCTCCGGTGTGATTTCGGGGAAATCAGGCTACAAAGGGGAAAACAGCCGTGTGTTGCATGTGAATTGGTGGGGGAGTGACTAACAGAATTGGAATGACACGGGTTTCACTCAATGGATTTAATTATCTACCGAACTCGGGGCTAGGTTCAATTCATTTTGCGTAGTAATGCTTCGCCATTTAACCATCGCTCCAGGTTCTCTGCCACCTCCTTGTACCATCCCCGCAGCAGATCTTCCTCTCCGTATCCCATGTGCGGGGTAAGAAGAACATCACTACGCCCATCCTGACCCCAGGGAGTAGTGCGCCATGGACTATCCAATGGCAATGGCTCCGGATCAAAGACATCCAACGCAGCACCCCGAATCTGACCAGCGTTCAAAGCAGCCAGGAGCGCTTTCTCATCGATCAATGGGCCACGCGATGTATTGATGATAATAGCAGTAGACTTCATGGTCGCCAATTCGGGCGCATTCACGATGCCGCGACTCCGCTCGGAAAGCACATTGTGGACACTGACGATATCGGCCTGCGCGAAGAACTCGGTTTTAGAGGACGCAACCTTGAAACTGCCAACGGGGAGGCCCTGTGCCAGCGCCTGCTCATCCGCTTTCTCCTGGGTTAGGTTGGCCGACCAGGCAATCACCTCGACGCCGAAGGATTGGATGCCGATCTTCCCCACCTGCGACCCTAGCTTGCCCAGACCTAACAAGCCGAGCTTCTTGCCGGAGAGAGTGAATCCCAATGATCCTTGCCACGCGCCCCGTTTAATTGCCGCGTCATCCCGAGCGACATTTCTCGCCGAGGCCAGAATCAATGCCCAGGTATGTTGTACCGTACTGTTCACGCCGGGCGGGCGCCCCTCAGTACCCGCGACAGGGATACCCTTGTCGGCAAAGGCCTGCAAATCGAGGGAGAGATTCCGTGTGCCGGTTGTGAGGAGGATTTTCAGGTTTGGAAGGGCTTTAATTGTTTTCGCGGCAAAGGGAGTTCGCTCGCGCATAGCGAGTATCACGTCGAAGGGTTGGAGGCGTTGGACGAGGGCATCGTGTTGGGTGGGATCGCGGGGGTCGAGGGTCTCGGGAAAGCTGGTGATGTCGATGCGCGACTCGAGGTGCGCAAAGTACGGGGGCGCGATGCCCTGGTAATCGTCTAGGATGGCGAACTTGGGTTTCGACATGGTCTGATTTGTGGTGGTTTGTAGCTCGTGTGACGCTTTTTGTAGAAGCAAACCCCGCATAATTGGAGACGGGGCTTAATTGTCCGGGCGTAAGACCTTAGCCGATCTTCGGGGATGAAGAAACCGTCGTCGCGTCATCGCAATTGATATGTGTGACTGATTTATTTATTTCAAAATCTGCAACAAAGACGGGTTAAGTCAGGTAAACTTACTGTACTTGCATATTCTGAAAGGATCCTTGGGATGGTTGTTAACATTGGCATAGTAATTGTCAGTTGACTACCGAGATCTGTTCTATAGTGGCTAGGAATTTCAAAATCATGATCAGCCATCTAAAAGGAACGTCACAAATAGTACATCTATTTTGAACATCGTCTAGGACTACTGTAAATGTTGTAGCCGGCCCAGTCAGAACACAAGACCCTACTGTGGAGAGCCGGGGCATCATTCTCCGCGATCTTAGACTGCGACCGACCCGAAAGTCATGCCTATTTGAATGTCGATTCGGGCAACACAGTCGCTGGCCAGGAAATTTAAAAGTCTAAGTTTACGTGCAGTGGAAAGATCAGGTTGTCAGCCATAAGCCTCGTCCAGGCAAATACAGGAAACCTTCCAAAACGAGCAAGTGATACGTTGTCTTGCTAAGCTCATTCCACCCCACTGGCAAAAGGCAAAAACAAACCATTCCACATACAATAATGCTGACTCAATGTACTCCAAATTCCCGGAGTCCGGCCATAGTACCGAAGTCTATCTCAGGGGCCAATCATAGGCCATCGGCGTCCAAACTAGTCTGAATCTGGAGCCCGAGACAGGTGGGACTGTTTTAGCAGCAAATGAGTCAAGGGCGGGGCGTAAGCATTAAAAAGATGACATTCCAGCTTCTCGAAATCAATCCAACACGCAAAATTCATCCCGACGATCACCCATAATGTCATACCAAGTTGCATACGCGACAGAACAAGATGCCGTCGGGCTGGGCTGCATCAACAATGATAGCTTCCAAACTCGATTGATGCTATCAGCCATGTTCCCAGAAACAGATGAGCCAACTCTACGCACATACAAGTCCTATCAAGCCATGAAGCATTTAGCCAATCCAGAAGCACACGTGGTGAAGATCACAGACCCCACGAGCGGAGCCGTAGTTGGGTATGGGCGCTGGCTGATTCCCGCCGTACTCGGCGTACCCCCGAACGTGCCCGAACTAAGCGAGCAGGCTCAAATCTACGCCAAGGATCCGGTAGCATTTGCACCGCAGCCCATGAATGCAAGTGTGTATGCGGCTTTTCGGGCCCTGTTGGATGCGGGGCGGAAGCGGTACACTACGGACCGGGATATGAGTAAGATCTCCGCGCAATCCTTTTAGCTCTGCAATTTTTGATCAGTTTCATAGCGCTTGACTTGCTAGCTACATTGCCCAGTCATCAGGGAAAGGGCATTGGGACTGCTATGCTACGGTGGGGCATTGAGCTGGCGGATTCTTTGCAGACTCGGATCTACTTAGAGGCCACTGCGGAAGGTTATCCGCTATACATCAAGTATGGGTGGAAGCACTTGGAGGAGATCGAGCTGGATCTTGAAAAGTTAGGGTGTCATGGGAAGGAGTCCTTCTTTCTAATGATGCGAGACCCTGTTCCGCAATAGACCTGCGTGTTGTCATGAGATATGTATAGACCTCGGGATTTCTGTTATTGGTCCTGATTCAAAGGAGAGGCTTGCGAAAAACACAATCAACAGCTAGGCCATAGAAGTAGAGATAGCAGAGGGAGAGAATGGAACTATGGAGATAATTGAGAATATCGAGGCAAAGATATGAAGCCTCGTCGATGCCCATGTATAGCAAGTTACTAGGCAAGGAAACTTGCAAGCAGGTAGGAAAAGAAATGCCAGCTTTTGTGGACGTGGAAAACCCTAATCATATTTTATATGTTGTGTTTATCCATTGTAATGTTGAGCAACCAGTAAACAGGTCAATCACAGATTCGCAAACTTCACACCAGATTTCTTGGCTGTGAATGTAGCAATAAGATCCATCAATGGTGGGGACAGAGCATCGTAGCTCTCCAGCCCCTCGGCCTTGAACTTAGCCCGAACCGCATCCATTCCCTCGGGGTTGTATCCCTGCTCAATGATCGAGGAAACAAAACCGGCGAATTGGGGTTCTTGCCAGCCCTTCTGATCCGATAATTCGACGTGCACAAAGTCCAGACCACGGAATGGGTGATCACGCTCAATGCGGCCAAAGAGGTGAGCACCACACTCCTTGCATGCGTTGCGAAGAATGACGGCGGAGGAATCGATCCTAAGCTGATGTTAGAACTGGAATTATTGGGGCCGGAATGACAGCACATACACATGCAGTTTTGACTCGTTGGCTTCAATCTTGACGTTTTCCCGGGGCAAGACACCGACGACTGAGAAAAGTGCGCCGGATGGCTTCCAGCACTTGGAACAGCCGCAGGCGTGGTTGTGCGCAACGTTGCTCTTCAGCGAGACAATCACTTGGTCAGAGGGGCAGCGACAGCGCAGTGTACCCCCGGGAAAGGCAGGGTCGCCCTTGGTAATGCCGTTGTCGATGAGAGGGTGGAGAGAAGGCGCCATTTTGATATTAATCTCGTCAAAAATCGATTTCTTATAGACTTTGATCTTACATACAACGGCGACTTGAGAGATTATATATCATCAGATGACACGTCAGACATCGACAAGGATATCTGAAATCTCCTCATGGCTCCAACTTCTCCTCATGAGGGGCAAGAGTCGGCTTAACCTCCGGGGATCCATGACAGGGGGCAGATCTAGACATAGATTCCGCTTGATCCCCACGGCTCTGTTGGGAGCCCAGCTCCGTGGTGGGGCCACAATCTGTAAGCGGTAAACAGATCCCGCGGCGGCAAAATGGGATTTCAGTCTTATGATTGGGTGGTCGATACTGTCTCCTGTTCTCCAACGGCAGGCAACCCGAGAACTCCGTGCTCCGTACCATTACGCAGCTGATAGTAGTCAAGGGGCACATTCCTGTGGAAAAGGAGAACATCTTGTTGGTCTCTAGCTGGTGGGAGTCACTGGCCCCGAAGAAATGAAATGGGAGTCACTGGCTCCGAGGAAATGAAATCACAGACTTCGACATATAGCAGTTGTTCAGTCTGATGCCTTGTGAAGACAACCTTTGAATTTGGCGCGCGTCGTGATGTCTCATTATACTGTTCTCGGTTCATGAGAGCTAGGACAACCCAATTAAATAAAACAGAATGAAGTATCCAGCGACCATGATTTCTGATGTTGTGATAGATTGAAAGCTTTCGAGAGTCAAGGTTTTGAAACGATACGCTTCTATGTATACACTGCTCGCACAAGGTCCTCAACCTTGGGAGACATGAAAGTTGACACCTGAGGTAAGAGGCTACAACGGTCTTATCTTATCGCTTACAGGGTCATCAATCCTTAGGGCGAGTGGGGTATTTCCCCATACCCAGATTTTTGTTCCTTGAACATTGACGCGAATTCAATGGCGTTCAACACATAATTCACGGATCGTTCCTCCTGTTTCTTGCCCAACATGACCCAGACAGGAGTATCTCCCCAGCTTCCATCCAGAACTGCAACCGAGCAGATGAAAAATATCTGTTCGGATGACGTCACAGCCTACCACGGCCGCGAAGAAAGGGCGGCTCGCACGATTCAGGTACGAGTAACAGGATGACCGATAACTAAAATTCTTACTAACGGTCATAAAATAGCGAGTTTATCGTGGATATAGGACTCGGCGCGAAATTCAGGGCTTCAGTGTTGCCGCATCGACAAGAAATCTGGAGGTAGGTTCCCCCTCACCCACCACTTTGACCCAGCTCACCTTTATTGTGATCTTAGACCCCCAGGAATGCAGAAACAGACCCCTTTGATGAAGATGAACAGCGAAATCCCGATAATGATGCCGACAAGAGTCCCGCGCGCAAGAACTGGCAACGGGCTGTTAGCGTTGCAATCAGAGCCGGTGGAGACGATGATCGCATGGTGGAATCTGCTGCTCGCGCCCGAGTGAATCCATCTCATAAGGCAAACCAGATACGCGCAACAACAGCGAAGACCATGGATTTACCATACTTTTTGGAAATGGTAGATGTGAAGCACCGACACGGAAGCAATTTACGGGCTTATCACAACGTGTGGAAGGATTCCCCTTCAAACGAAAACTTCTTCTACTGGCTAGACTATGGAGAAGGGAAAGATGTGGACCTTGAGCACCGCCCACGAGAAAGGCTCGAGAAGGAACAGATTCGATATCTTTCACCCGAGGAGCGTCAGAATTACATGGTCAAGGTAGATGATAACGGCCTGTTCAGATGGGTGAAAAACGAAGAGTTAGTGGAGACCGACAACAAGCGATTCAAGGACAGTATTCATGGTGTGGTGCGTATGGATGATCGGACACCTGGATTCCGAGGGAATTCGATTTTAGAGACTCCTCCATCTGAGCCTGAGTTTAGCTCATCCTCCTCCTCTCCACGGACACCTCCAAATGATGACAGCCTTGAGAAGGCCCAGTTGACGACGGACCAAGATTATGAACTGGGTAAGGCAGTCAAAAAATTTTCACATATCAAGCCAGAGGCGATATATGACCATTTCGCGGGCACCTTTTCGAAAAGAGACGGGATGTGGATCTTTGTGAGTACAGTCAGGCGAAATTTAGCATATATTCTGACTTTGAAACCCACAGGTTGCAGATACGTCGTTTCGCATCTACATTGGAATCAAGGAGCCCGGTGCCTTTCAACACTCCTCATTCCTGAGAGGTGGTCGTATCGCTGCAGCTGGCATGCTCAAAATTCGCCATGGACAGTTAAGGAGCCTGGCTCCATTGAGGTATGATTCTAAATTTCCATTTATCACCTCAGCAAAATGCGATTCTAATTCCACTAGTGGTCACTATCGACCCCACGTCGCCAATTTTCGAGCTTTTCATCATTCTCTGCAAGAGAGAGGCGTAGACCTATCACGGGTATCTATCAGCAAATCGTATGCTGTTCTTGCAGGTATCGAGGGCTATGCCTTGACAAAGCGAAAAGTGCATTCTGTGCAAGAAAAGTTGGGCGAAGCGAAGCAAAAGCTTCATCTCCCTCGCCAAGACGAAAAGGTTCAATGATGTCTTTGATGTGCGCCTACACATATAAACACGGCTCAGATCGGCACCTCATCACCAGTCTAAGACCTAGGACTCTCACAGCTCGACATTGCCAGTTTAAAGCTGTGATTCACATGGCTTTCCAATAAATCGACAATCTATCAAAAGTATGGAAGCCTTCAAGATGATAATGTCAGTCGGGACAGCAAATCCAGCTTCAGTCCCCCAGTCACACGGACTATCATTACTCTTTACGCCAACATCTTACGTATTTGGATGCGAAGCTGATCTCGGTAAATGAAAGAGATCTTCATAGAGGTTACGAAGCCGGAGAAGATAATCATTTGACCGACCTCTTTTCCGATGACCCAGAATGGAGAATCACCACGGCGACTATGAGACAACGCATATGAACGCAGTAGCACCTCGTGATGGATGATTATGCAAAATCGTGTTATGTATCGATATTGATCCACATCTGGGTGGTGTGCGCCTGTTAGGCAGGTCAAAACAGATAGATTTTATAATCCTTGATAACAAAAGATATTCATTTATGATAATCAGCAAGAATTATATCAGATAGTCGTGCTGCCATTCCATAAAGCAACGCAGACGTATGTGCAGAAACCTGAGTAGGCACAATCGAAGCATCAACCACGCGGAGATTCAGAACATCATAAACCCGACCAGAATGATCTACTACTCCTCCTAGATTCTTCTCCATCATCGCACATGTTCCAATAGCGTGGTAATTAGGGCCGAAATTCTGGGTGATATGACTTACCCAATTATCCATCGTGGCATTTTGAGAAATTGCTGAGCCAGGAAAGGTTTCTTCTCGGACGTAATGCTGCATGGCATTGTCCTGAGCGATATTTCTCGCTAGTAAAGAGGCAGCTGCCTGTGCATACCTATCAAGATCATTCTCCATATATCTTGGGTTTCGAGTTGCCTGCCAAAGATACGGATCCTTGTTAACAATATGCACATAGCCTCTCGTGAAAGGCAGAAGTATCCAGCTCGTAAGCCCAAAGGTAGATAGGCTCGCATCCATGAATAGTTCCGCGTATGCCACATTGTGATTTAAAACCCAGTCACGATAGAGCTCCATTTGTAATTTCAGTGCTGTAACATTCTCGAACCCGCCTTTCAACACGGTTTCTTGAGCCCATTGATCCAGCTGAGAATCTAATAGCCCACGAGCGGTATCAAGAGAAGTCGCTGTAAAAACCTCCTTCCACGTTGCAAAATAAACCACCTGCCCTTGCCCTGCACCATTCGGGTGTATGGCTGTCGACAGAGAAGTAGTCGCTTGGTCCTGAAGATTTTGTCCAACGGGAAGCTCAACAATATGAGGAACACCTGCCGCATCTAAGACGGATTTGAGTCCAATCCCGGAATATTCTAGAATCAGAGGGCTAATAAGAGCCCCGGCCGCCAAAATAACATCATGTTTTGCGTATACTTCAAATTTCTCTCCATCGGTTCCAAATTCCACTCCTTTTGCAGACACAGGCGAGATATGCATATCGATCAGGACTCGACCAACCCGATGACCCACGAGAATCAATAAATTTGGCCGGTGCATGATGGGGAGTAGTATGTCACGGCCAGCATCCGACCGGGTCTGATTCTCATGTATCGTGTTGAGCAGCATCGATACCCCACGAGGATCACCACAACTGAGATCATTGCGCGTAGGAATCCCACGACCAGCAAGCATCTTCATCACCGACCGAATCATTGGCGAGTATGGAGTACCCGTATCGCGAGCGCCAACATGGATCTCCCCATTTGTACCATGACATTCAGGATCAAAATAGTGTCCTGCTTTGATTTGTTCTTGTGTTGGATGACGAGCGCGTTCAGCTTTGCGAATATACGAAGAGAGGTTTTTCCAGTTCCATCCGTGATTCCCTAGATGTGTCTCCCAGGAATCGATCTGAATACTAGCCGGGCTAGTATAAGACGCTCCATTGATCAAGGTCGACCCACCGAGACCGTTGCCTGAGTGGATTGTTAGGGGGCGCCCGTTGATATCCAGTGACACGGTTTGAAAGCCGTAATCAAGGGTGCTATCGAAGGCTTGACCAAATGCAGTGACATTATCAACTAGCGGACCTCGATTGGACTGTAGGAAGCCGCTTTCGATTACCAATACACTGATTCTCTTGTCCTGTGTTAAGCGTGCAGCTGTTGTAAGGCCCGTGAGGCCTCCGCCTGCGATGATGTAATCGTACTTTTGGTTTGACACTGTTCTAGGGTCATTTATGATGGCTGCTGAAACACAAAGTATAGAATTCAGCAGATTTGTGTAGAGAGTGTGTTTCATCTTGTCGAATTGTCGCAGTACTTAACCAGTGAAGATCCACATGCATGAACATTGAAAAGGCTTCAATAGGCGATATATAGCCGTGCATGACCTATTATGCTTTTCTGTCTGATACGTACATTATCTCGAATTCCTTGTCACTGACACGTACTTCTATCTCACAAAACGAAATGCCAGCATTTGATTGGAGATGTGTACTCGCGTCCTCTAGCCCATGTCCTGCTATGACTTTGGTGGTACACCTGGGCAGCCTGGATGATGAGTATTTCTTGGATTTGGAGATAAAAGTACAACGGAGGAACTAATTGAGGACGATAATAGGAGAAAGTGATGACACCTCAATCTCATTATTGACAAGGAATATCCATGCCATATAAGGAGTATTGATAAGACTTGTCATCTTGAAATATCCACTCTTTAAATCCGGGATCGAAGCTTTCCCACGGTGTCCTGCAAGACATAATCGTGGCGTTTTGTCTTGCTTCGCACGCGCTCACCATCTTCAGGAGTGATGTAACGAGCCTCAACAGCAGGATTGTACCCTGCACCAGAGACCTGCCGAATCTCCCCATCAGATACCTCTCGGTTCGTCTGCCCATCTGCTCTCTTGTAAACTGTAACGACAACCGCGCCTCCTAATCCCAGATTATGCTGTAGGGCAACATCCGTGTTGGAAACAAGACGGTTGTTCGCCCAACCACGAAGTTGCCAAGTCAGCTCAGCACACTGCGCTAGGCCTGTTGCTCCCAAGGGGTGTCCCTTGGAAATCAACCCACCCGAAGGGTTTATAATCGGACCACGCCCACCGTAAGTGATGTCACCCCGGCGAACCATCTCGTGTGCCTTTCCAGGCTCTGAAAAGCCCAGCGCATCCAGTAGCAGGAGTTCATTTGTCGAGAAGCAGTCGTGAAGCTCACATACTTTGATATCCTTAGCCTCGACTTGAGCTTCCTTCATCGCGAGGAGAGCCGCTTGGCGCGACATGTTAAATCCGACTAAATCGATCGCACTCCGAGAGTAAACCTCAGGTCCATCGGTGAGCAGTTGCTGACCAGCTATGTGAATTGCCTGGGACTTGAGATGCGGGCGAGCATCCAGAAAGCGTTGCGACACGATTACCGCGGCCCCGGCACCGTCACTCGTCGGGGAGCACTGCAGTTTTGTGAGGGGGCCGTGAACGGGTGTGGAGTTCAGGATCTCCTCCAATGAATATTTTGTGCGAAATTGCGCATAGGGATTGCGCTGAGAATGTTCATGGGAGACACGCGCGATCTCCGCAAAGTCCTCAGCCGCAGCGCCGAATCTGTATTCAGCGTCAGCGGGAAGTAGTCTCCATGCCTCGGAGGATATCTCACCTTTCCATGTATTCTTGCCCCGCATTCCCAAAATATTGCGCATTCCGTGGCGATCCATGTTTCCCATATGTCTCTTCCATCATCGTGGTCGAAGGGCCCAAGGGGCTGGGTCGGTCATCCCACACGCTTTTGATCGAACCTGGGCGCATTTGCTCGAATCCAATCACTAGGATACAATCCGCAAGACCCCCTCGCACCATACTGCGTGCTAAGTGAAGGCCCGTGGATCCTGTAGCACATGCGTTGTTGGTATTATAAATGGGAATTCCGGTCATGCCAAACTGGTAGAAAATGCGCTGAGATGATGTTGTATCACCATAGCAGTAGCATCCAATACCGGTCTGAACATCGTCATAATTAATTTTTGCATCGATCATTGCCTTGACACCGGCCTCATACCCCAATTCGGGATATTCGCGGGTACGACGTGGCTTGAGAAATTGGGTCAAGCCCACACCTAGCACGTAGGCTTCGCTCGAAGGACCTGGGGATGTCATCTTGATGTGGTTTTGGAGTGGTGGCGATCCAGGATTATCCTGGGGCTTGAGGCAAATATGTATGAAGGTGGTAACCGAGGGGGTCCGAGGTAAGTGTTGTGACCCCCTCATTTCTTGAACCGATGTGAATTGATGCGAAAATAGTGCAATGAATTCAAAATTCCCCGCAAAACAATTACCATATAGGCTATAAGCGTGTCTCGGAAATAATCCGTCCACTTGATTTGGGATGTATCGCGATTGTTTCACTTCCACCAGTTACACTGTCAGTCTTCCAATTTCATCAGGTCTTAGGATCTGCCTCCTATTACTGGGAAGCATGAAATTTGGCTAAAAGACTCAGATCTAGCTAAGTGTTCGAGTACATATAGTAACCGACTCCAGCCACAACCAACGGGACAAGGAATTTCGAAATCTTCCAAGCCAAACGTCGCATCCCACGTCTCAGTGATAGCTGCACTTTCTCATCTAGCCATGCCTTCTCATTGACGTGTGGAAAAGGAACACCAGGCACTGGTTTCCCAAGAAACTCACAGAGCGGCTGCCAACCATCCGCCAATTTATATTCCAGCAACTGGTCTTTCGGTGTAAGTCTTCGAACCAGCTCGTAATGCTCCCGATACTTTGCCTTGCTCTTGAATCGTGCATCCTCCGGGTTCGAAATACCCATCCACCCTTGAAAAGTGGACTTGTGAATTTTCCCAATGGGGTGGGTGAAGAAGCGATCCACGTGGTAAATCACAGTCACGAATGGATCATACGTGTTCTTGATCACACTGTTCATCCAGCTGTTGTACCAGGAGTCGATATCTCTCTCCACGAGAACGACCTTTGCCTCCGGATACGCTTCCAGTAGATCGTCTGAAAAGGCGATTGCCGGCGTGTCGGAAGAGACTGCTCCGAAGTCATGCAGTAGCTGGTCAAATTCAGCTCGCCCGAACTTGGGTCCTGCTCCGAAGAACTTCCTATCGACGGCTTCTTGCCACATTTCCACGTCTGGAAATCTTGTTGACATGAATTGTATGGAGTGCCAACAAGGAAGCCCGAGAATTTCCATTGCATTACACATCGCTGCTTCTGTTTTAGACCGATAGACCTCATTTGGGCTGCGATGGTCTACTCACTTGCTGTGCCTGTCCGGTTGAAACCTAGACATAGGCATTCCATGGGAACAGTTCGCTTCTTGCCTCGAGGCGACTCGGTACTCACGGGCCTGAAGAGCTCGGGGTGCCTTTCTTGGGGCGTCGCCATTTTGAAGGTCTAGAGGGATATTAGCGAAGGGGCGTGTCAATCTTCAAGAGCTTTCGGTAGGAATTCCGCGAATTGGATGGCTGGGGGAAAAGAGAAACAATTTGAGACTGAGTGACAACATACCTCCTAGAGCAGACCTGACTCACGTCAAATAAGGCAAAATATTGAGGCCGACCAAAGAAAAGACAAGGTGTGATGTTTGCTCTAGAGATTCCTGAATCTTGGGGGCCATATGGATCCAGCCAATCATGCATGTGCGAGCTTTATGTAAGCTCTTTTTCAAGCTTCTCAGCTACTGTTTCCTTCTTTTTCGTCTTGCTTGATTTTAATCTTTATTATTGATGACTGAATGCATTTGATACAATGAGCGTTCTTGGACTGTCAGTTCTGAGCTTTAGATTTGTGTCGACAACTAAAGCAAATGCTCATCTGCTTGCGTACCCTTAATTCCTCTCGCAGAGCCGCCGAGATGGCTTTCATACCTTCCTCTAGCTCTTCACGTGCTGGCCAGCCATATCCAAGTCGAAAAAAACTATCAGGCAGGTCGAACCAGTGGCCTGGGCCAACATAAGTAGCATATTTCTTGAGCAGCCTGTCGTAGATTGCTGGGAATCCACCACTAATCTCCTTTTTGATTCTGGGGAAACAAACCACCCCACCGGTCGGCTTAACCCATTCTAGCAGCTCTTCGCTATCGATCCAAGACTCTACCATTATATGTCGAGTTTTCATTTCCTCTGTGGTGTCGGCCAGGATCTGCTGTCGTCGAGAGAGAACCTGGGTGGCAATCCACTCGTCAATGACACTGCCACTGATGCTTATCTGCTCTTTGGCTGCCAAAAATGTTTGTTGAAGCTCCCGGTTGGTGGTGATGAGCCAGCCAATACGGATACCGGGGATTCCGAATGACTTGGACAGGGAGCTGATACTCAGAACGTGACCACCCCAATGATGCTGCCACAGGGAGCTTCTCCCCATACGCGATATCACGATGGGTCACATCCACGAGCAGAATAATACCCTTTCGCTTTGTGATAGCAACGAGCCGGTCAAGAGCTTTTCGGGACAGGGTGGAGCCACAAGGTTTGAGATCTGAAGATCCAGAGAATCGAGGGATTGATCGGTAATAGAACTCTCGAAAAGATTGTATTTGATCTTGTCATAGCCGTACTCCTCAGGCGACTCGATCTCAATGGCCATGCGTTCGTACTTCATGCTTGCGGCGTGATGGGCGTGGTGGAGCAATTGATGAAGGCGAAAGAACGGGAAAGTAGTGATAAAAGTGAATATTGCATTTCAGCCCAAGGTCTATGTAGACTCACCTCATATTTAAACTAAGGAGCAAAGATCTAACTCTGGCAAGAAGGAGACTTGGAGCTCCACTTCTTGAATACAAAAGTGGAGCTCTTGTCACCCTTATTCATTGGACCGGCAATCTATCCTAGAAGGGCTTAGAGCGACGAAAAATATAGACTAGCACGTCAAGTAGATCTATAACACCTTCTGATGCACAGGAACACACAAAGTATCCGAAACCCACCATGAGGAGGGGCGATCGGCATGGGTTTATTGGCGCTGTGGGCAAGACACCAAAAGCCTGTTCTTACGGACACGAAATACACGACAAACTTTGCTCTACATGTGTATCGAGTTTTTGCCAGGGTCATAAGGTTTACAGGAGTTCCATTCAATCAGCTACAATAAGCGAAGCCAAGAAATGGCGGGCTTACGGCGCCTTTCTTGGCGTCATCTGCGACAAAGCAGGTGGCGTGGGACGAGATCGAAATTCTCAGAAACAGCATCGACCCAATCAAGTCGACACACGTCGGTCTGTGCATTTAGCAGTCAAGGGCAGACACCTGCTAACATTCAAAGATATCTTTCAATGTGCGATAATTGATCAAATCATCAAGGGGAAGGGGGCTATTAATCGGACTTTCCATGCGAATAAATAGCTAAGGTGAAGCTTACATAGCTTGTCATTGACTTTCTGCCATTAAGCGTGACGAGTCGTATGGGAGAGCCCCGCTTCTTAATATTGCGCCCACACAAACAACACGGATATGTTGGATTTCAAAGTCTTCTACGGCCTAGCGGCTTTCTTCTCTCTAGGCGTGCTCGCTGCTTGGAGGATTGCAAACCACGCGGAGAAGCAGCAGTGGTGGACGCTCCGCCTTCGTCTGTCATTATTGCAGCCGTATGTCCTCACCGGCTGGGTTTTCTACACAGTGCTCATCTTGATTCTGGCACTGTATGACTTTCAATGGGGAACTCTCAACTCAACAGGCCGAATAATTCTACCAGACACGTTGATAGCACTGGTTACCATTGCTATTCTGATCGTCGGAGCTGACCTTGCTTTGAGTGCATTCGAAACACGTCGCTATCTCTCGATCCGATGGAAGGCCTGGACAGGCCCAAGCAGGACAGGCATCCCACCAGTGACCGCGAGATACATTGGCACATCGGAGGACTGGATCGCGCTCGCACAGACAAACAATGTCCAACGGCACCCCGTTGAAAGATTCGCAGGCTCTTGCATGCTCAGAGACAATCGCATACTTCAGGATCCTACTGACTTGCTTCGTACCAAAGTCACAATCGATCAGGATAAAATTCCTCCATGGCCGACAGGCTCTCAACAAATGTCAAGCGTATATCACCCCATTGTTGAAAACCAATCTGTTTCGCTGCTTTGGGGTGAGCATCTTGGATTCCAGAGACGCTGCAGTCGCGGGATTATTTCTGTTCCCCCGAATATCCTAAAAACGTCACCTTCGCTCAAGTCTGGATTGAGCGGCAACGCTGTCTGCCTGGCATATGGAATCCTGGCGCGAAATAAAGGGCTGGAACCGGCAACACTCATCTGCAACCTACAGACCAAGAATTCATTTCGCGAATTCGAAGAAAGGGGATATTGGCCCCACCCGGCGAAAACACTGCGCGGTTATTATTTTTCTGAGTTCAATCGAACTTTTTCTCTCCTTGGTCTGTCCTACGTAACAGCTGCAACTGAACTTGCCATTTTGCTCGCGGATACGAACACTGCTTTGATTGGTGGATGGTTGGACTCGCATTTTGAGCACCAGGATTTATTGCTCAATCGAGAGGTACATGCTTTGGGGGCCAACGAGGAGGAATTAAGACGGATTTATCGCGGGCATTATGCGACAATGCTCATTAGCTTATGTCTTTATCGTAAAGGCGTCCGAATTCGCCCCGAAATTACGGTTTTTGATGCAATCTGTAAACTCGAAGGTATTGAGCAACCCGTCTGGGCAGAATCTACCGAGATGGAAGCACGGAGACAGTGGGAATTGGATGAATATGGCCCAGAGCTGCAGCACCTAGTGGCGGCCGTCATCTAATGGGGCTTGGCTTCAGGGTCTTTCATTCACCAAATACGAATTGGCGTCACGCGTTCCTACATCTCCCAATCGCTTAAATTAACGTTGTAGCTGAGTGGTGTGTGTACAACCAACCACCTTGCTCAGATACATTGCTTACCATGTAAAACACTTGCTTTCTTTTTTCGTGTTTCTTTTTTTTTCAAACTTAGTTCTCAGAGTGAGCCTCCATCATCTTCATGGTTCGCGCAACTCATCTCAGAGGTTCTTCTTGGGCCCCCATAAATGCTTTTAACCTGCTTTGCGCCCTTCGTCCGCTCCGCAATACCTTCATTATCGTATTCCATATTATCCTCATATCTTTATCATGAAGGTCACAGAGAGCCTCCGTTATTTACTATGTATTGGCATCCTCCTGGGCCATACGCAGGCAAGGGCTATCCCTGACGTACTGCAAGTTTCGTCCCGACAGGCTCCGGATTCTCAATCGTCGAGCTCGAAAATCTTGAACGTCAGTGATGCAACAGCCAGAGGCTTTCTTTGGTCATCCATTGGGCTAGCTGTTCTAACGGCTCTTCTTCAAGGACTTGTCACTGCCCTTGCCTTGATGACCGAATCGTCTAATCAGTGGACATTTAGATTTCGATTGGCAAAGATCGAGCACTGGTGGTGGACAATCGTGTCTGGACTTCTCCTCATATCATTGGTCCTCATTATCCTATCGTTCGCAACCGGCAACGGTAGCGAATCAATCTCGGTTCTCGTCCTCTCCTCGACAACATTCTTGACTATTGTGCGATATATGCTGCCTTCATGGCGGGCTCGAAATTTCATCTATAATCGTTGGCTTGCTTGGTCTGGGCCAAGTCGAACAGCAGTGAAGATAGCCGAAATGACATACTGTGGCACTATGAATGACTGGCGAAGGTTATCCAAGGTGACCGTGATAGCGAAAGGCAAAAGTGTACCTTCCGACTACTATGGATGGCACTTTTTTCCTTTGAAGGGCATTGCGCAAGACCCCACGGATATATTGAAAGACGTCAACACCACGGTGCTTCGATCAGGGACTTTATCTAGAACAATTGATTATATTTACAACGAGCGCTACGATGATTTGGATACCGTCTCGCTGCTTTGGGGTGCGGAAATACAAGGCTTTCAACCGAGAGTCTCTCGCTCAGTCTCAGCAATGACTTCAAGCCTTTTAAAGTCTCAGCCTTTCACCACTGAGGGGTATGCTGGAGAAGGGTTTTGCCTCGCAATGGGCATTCTCGGACGCAATAAAGGCCTCAAACCGGGGCAAATCGTCTTCCAAATGACTCGTCAAATCTCGGGTAGTCTTGAACAAAAGTCAACTTGGCGTCCACGCCCATCAAAGACACTTCGAAGCTACTATTGGAAAACACTTGATGCACAGTATCATGGGCTTGGCGAAGAATTTGTTGAAGCTGCAGTTGAATTGAGCCTAATACTCATGGATGCCTATGAGCCTGCTATTGCTACTTGGCTCAAGGCTGGGTGCGAGCATCAGAGCTTTGAGATCAACAAAACTCTGCAGTCCCTCGAGGCGACCCCGGAAGAACTCCGCGCTCATTATGAATCCAGTTATGTATCGATGATAATTTCTCTCAACAATATGAGGGATAAGCAACTCGGTCGCAAAAATCATGAGGTCGCACAAGCTAAGCGACCAGACATTATTTGCCTTGCACTTAGACTCAAAGCCATGGGTGTTAAAACCGCTCCAAACTGGTGGAATAGCCCTGAAATCGAGGGTTATCTTGATGGCGAACGACAACATCTGGATCATGATTGGTATCAAGATGCTGCAAAATTACTGGGTCTTACCGCATACCCTGAAGGGCTTGAAAATGGGCACTGGAATGGTACGCCTCCCCCAGACCAGCCTATTGACTTCGCCTCTAGCTTGAGCGACCCCACCACGATCGCGGCAGTGCCAAGCCAGTCTCTTATTGCTGTCGAGGATCCTATTACTGGTGACGTAGAATTGAGGGAGTTGACTATGCCCCAGAATGAAGGCGATTTGCAAACCAAAGTTGAGTCTACAGAACAAGGTCGTGTTGTGACTAGTTCGGAATGAGGTCACATACATCGGGTCTGTAATGGTTTTTTTGTGAGTTTTGAAATGTATTAGCTTCGTACGGAAGGCAGTGAAGCGCAAGGCCTTGCAATTGGTCGGTTCATAAACACACCAGCTCAGCAGTATGTTTTTCAGATTAAGGGTTGGCGAGGTAAATACCACTGCCGGCCTGCTCCAACCAATGATGCCAATTCAAACATAATTTCCAGAAACAAAGGCAATTGACAAAGCTCCCAGTAGCGAAACGTCAGCGAGTATCCCAACAATTCAAAGTAAAGGCATTCAAGCAGTACCTAATCCTCGATTTTAGCAGCTGTAATTTGATACAGTACCTCGGCCATCTTGCTGGTCATATTGTCCTCGTACTTGCCTCGTACTTGAATCAATGACTTCGTTCTTCGGCACTGCCTAGGGCAGCAGTACTGTTGGTACTAACGAGATAGGCTGCCGCACGCCCCAGGGGAAGCTTGGGGGGAGAACCGAGTGATACCCGAGGATATCGGTGTCTATTGAAAACGTTAGGCCCCCATATAATTTGTTCTTTCCAACATATAAGAGTGCTCCACATTTGCTTCCACCTCGGCGTTCGTCGGCACCCCACTCAATCACCCTTCCCCGCATTCAAGGGTCTCGGGGCTCATAGATATTCAATTCAATGCACACAGCATCAACCTCACAATCCCTGGCTTGAATATGACCAGCATTCTGAGACAAGTAAGCTGTCATGCTGATACCCCCGTTTACTTAATGTTCATGATATACAGGTAGCAAGGAGAGGGATAATCCCTTCAACCTATGTGCGGCCTTTACGGCATTTCCATGCACGCGCTACTGAGTTCCTCCAGAGCCAAGACCCAGATCTCTCTGACTCCCAGCGAACGGTTCGAGAATCAATTGCTAAGATTTGTTCCGATTTCCCAGACGAGTATTGGGCCCGCGTGGACCAGTCGCATGCCTTCCCAACAGAGTTTTGTAATGCGATCGCACAACAAGGCTGGTTGGGGATCTGTTTACCGCAGCGGTATGGCGGATCTGAATTGGGGATCTCAGAGGCAGCAGTGATGATGCAGACCATTTCAGAGTCTGGGGCCGGAATGACAGGAGCCTCCTCCATACACATGAACATATTCGGGTTGGAACCCGTCGCGAAATTCGGGACCGACGAGCAAAGGGAGAGGTGGCTGAGACCCTTGATCGCTGGTCGTGAACGAGCATGCTTTGGGGTTACTGAGCCGAATACTGGCCTTGATACCCTGAAACTGCAAGCGACTGCACGCAGATCGGGGGACGAGTATGTGCTGTCCGGGCAGAAGATCTGGATCTCAACCGCGCAGAGGGCCGACAAGATTTTGATTCTTGTACGCACGACACCACTCGATCAGGCTCGCAAGCCTTCCCAAGGCCTTTCGCTTTTCTATACGGATTTACAGGTCCCTCAAGTTGAGATCACGGAGATTCCTAAAATGGGGCGGGGAGCTATCGACACCAATACCTTGTTCTTTGATGATTGGCGCGTACCAGTATGCGATCGCGTTGGGGCGGAAGACGAAGGATTTCGTATGATTCTGCATGGAATGAACGCAGAACGGATTTTGATCGGAGCAGAGGCGCTTGGGCTCGGGTTTGCCGCTCTGCGTCGCGCCGCTCTGTATGCCGGGGATCGAGTCGTATTTGGTCGCCCTATTGGTCAAAACCAAGGCATTCAACATCCACTGGCTGACAGCTGGATGAAGCTGGAGGCGGCACGTATGATGATTTACCAGGCTGCTCGTCTCTACGATCAAGGATACACCGGTGGAGAATATGCAAATGCTGGGAAATACCTCGCTGCGGAGGCTGCTTTTGAGGCTTGCGAAAGAGCTATCCTTGCCCATGGAGGCATGGGATACGCTAAAGAGTACCATGTTGAGCGCTATCTACGTGAGGTCTTTATTCCTCGTATCGCTCCAGTCAGCCGAGAGATGGTTTTGAACTATATTGGAGAGCGGGTCCTTGGTCTTCCCAAGTCATACTAGGATGCTTATATAGATAAGTCATAGTGGTTTCTAGTAATCAAGGAATCAATGAAGCGCAATTGAAAATTAACTTTACCAAAACGTATTCAACATTGGCACTAGTTACCAGTCGGTGAATCTCGGAGTTCCGTACGACATTTGTACCGCGGCAGTTGATCACCAATGGAGTCGGCGACTTGATTATGCGGGGTTCGGCTGCAGTCTAATTTCAACCAGGTAGATTAATATTGTTTCTATCTAATTATTTTCTTTTCAACTGCTCCTATCTGATAACAAACTTGAAACTTGAACTTGCATGATGATTGGTCAGACCAGCGTTGGTTTGAAACGACTACCTTCAAAGACGTTTGGTTTTTGTAGACACGAAATACGCAGAAGCCATACTATTGAGACTCCCAGCCCTTTACACGGTATCAAGATCTTAGATCTGACCCGAGTATTAGCGGTAAGTAATCCTGGAGGCTTTACAGATTGAATTCTTCTTACTGGATTCAGGGCCCCTTCTGCACGCAGATTCTTGCAGATTATGGCGCCGATGTCTTGAAGATTGAAAATCCTAGAGGTGGAGTAAGTATGAGCCAGCTTTTGGAAGTTGCTCATTTCTGACTTTTGAAGGATGACACTCGGCTGTGGCGTACAGAAGCAGAAAAGAAAATATGGAAATCAGATCAAAATGATATTTCGGCTTATTTTTGTACCATCAATCGGAATAAGCGGTCCATTACTTTGAACCTGAAGCAAGAAGAAGGACGAGATATCCTGCTACGACTCGTTAAGAGCGCAGATGTTGTGTGAGTAACTTCAAATATGACGTTAATCGAGCAAATGTTGACAAATTCAGTGTGGACAACTTTATACCGGGAAAGATGGAGGAGCTTGGAATCGGATATAAGACACTTTCTGGCATCAACCCGTCAATCATTCACGCCAGCGTTTCTGGTAAGTCAGCCAAGATCTTGATGAGGAAATGCTAATGCGACCCTCCAGGTTACGGTGCAAATGGCCCATACGCTCATCGTGCAGGCTATGACGCTATTGCAGCAGCCGAGGCGGGCTTGCTCCATATTACAGGCGAGAGAGATGGTCCCCCGATACGACCTGGTCTGGGCCTCACAGATATGAGTACTGGACTATTTCTGCATGGAGCCATTCTTGCGGCTCTATTCTCCCGCCAGAAAACTGGAAGGGGTCAAAAGATCGATGCGTCACTATTCGAAAGCCAGGTTGCGCTATTATCGAATGTCGCGATGTCATGGCTCAATGCAGGGGAAATTGCTCATCGGTGGGGAACTGCGCATCCCAGTATAGTACCTTACCAGGCATTCAAGACCAAGGATTCCTATCTGGTACTTGGAGCGACCAACAACCGACAGTTTCAGTTGCTCTGCAAATTGATTGACCGATTGGACTTGGCGAAAGACCCTTGTTTTGCAGATAACAGTGCTCGTGTGAAAAATCGGAAGAAAATGGGCGAAATTCTCGACAAAATCTTGTTGAGCAAGTCCACCGATGAATGGATGGCTACGTTAGAAGGGAGTGGAATGCCATATGGTCCGATAAACTCCATCGACCGTGTTTTCTCCCATCCTCAAACAGCGGCAAGGCATATGGTGCAGAGTCTACCTTTCAAGCCTGCTGTCTGTGGAGAACTAAAAGTTCTTGGTTAGTCCGAGTTGTTCCTAACCTGAATCAATACTGATGGTCGATTCAGGTAACCCCGTTAAGTTTAGTGAAACTACTCCTTCCATCCGCCTAGCACCACCTCGCTTAGGCGAACATACGGAGAAAACACTCGAAGAACTGGGATTCTCGAAAGGAGAGGTGGAAAAAATGATGCAAAAGGGCATCTTGTGAATTTAAAAGCACTAAGTATGTCTTGCTAATGACCAGAAATAGTACTTTTCGGTCGAAGTAATACTGCAATCTTGATACTAGTCTACCAAAATTGAATGCTCGACTCAGGCCTCAAGAACACTTGCGATTGTCTGGGTAGCCTGCACGAGTTCCTCCTCGCGCATGTGTTTCCCAACAACTTGGATACAGCAAGGAGCACCTTCAAACAACTCGGGTGAGACTGGGACTGCGTTAGTACCAAGTAGAGAAAAAAAAGAAAGAAAAAAAAAACATAAATCTTTGATATAAAACTCACAAGGTGGCTTATACTGGACTTCTCGAGCAAAAGCTGCATCGGCCGTCTGATCTGCTTTGCCAAATGGGATGATCGTAGCGGGATACTAAATGGTATCAGTAAGGTCCATATCTTTCAAGGGTGCCTACTCACATCCAGCACGTTCAGCAAAGCTGTATACAGAGGGAAACCATAAAGATCGTGAGGTTGAGCAGTTCCTGCATTACCTGGCATTATAATTGCGTCGACATTTGCCTTGGAAATCAAAGCGCGATATTGCTCTTTGAGACTACTTCGCTCTGCATGCAAGTCATAGAGGCCGTCCAGAGTCAAAGGTGCGTACTCATATGGCATGTATTCATGAGGGAGAGATGTCGAGGCCAGTGCCGGTATCGTCGGCTCCCCACTTTTGGCAATATTCTGAAACGCGGTTTTGGCAGGATCCATGGCGAACATACGGAACCCCAGTACGCAAGCATCTCGAATGGAGGGAACTGACAAAGGAACAATTTCATGTCCCGCTTGGCGTAAACGCTCAGCCGCTTGGGTCAAAGTCCGAAGAACAGGCGGGTGAAGAGGGAAATCGGGATCCTCTTCAATCAAGCCGAGACGAAGCGTCGATTTGGGTGCCACAGTACGCCAGGGTGCGAAGATCGCGGTCGAGTCGACCTCCCAAGTGTCTTCGTTAGTCACGACCCGCATAAGCAGCTCTAAATCCCGAGCTGAGGTCGCCAATGGACCAGCACAGGCTCGGATTCCTGGTAGACCGCCTCGCCCACTTCCTGTCTGTCCAGCATATGGAATGCGATCGGCAGAAGGCTTCAGTGCGAACGTACCGTTGCAAATAGCGGGGATTCGGATTGAGCCAGCGATGTCAGTGCCGATTCCCAGTACTGAGCCTCGCATTGCAATCAAAGCGCCTTCTCCGCCAGAGGAACCACCGGCTGTCAAGTTCAGGCGATGGGGATTAAGAGTCCGACCGAAGACGTAGTTGTGGGAGTCGGCAGCCTTGCATACTTCAAGTCAGATAAAATTCATAGAGGTATGGATTTCCTCGGCCATAGACCTACCATCATAGTTTGCGGGATATTTGTTTTCACGTACATAATAGCTCCGAGCCTTGTCAGGATTTGGACAGTAGGCGAGCTGTACTTCAAAGGCCCATTTTCAATAAATGCTGTGAACCCGATCGTCGAAGGAACACCTTCGACATTAAAACAGTCCTAACGGATATATTAGCTAGGCAATCACGCACTTCGGGTGGGAGCTCTATCACCTTCAAGCTGATTGGCAAACCATGCAGCGGTCCAATTGGCTTGCCAGTGCTCTGCAGATGCTGATCCAGCTCCTTGGCACGCTGAAGAGCTCGATCAAAAAACGTCTCAGTGAGACAGTACGTCTAGAGAAAATGATCAGCCATTGAGCGTAGTCAGTATCACGGAGTCATTTCTCCTAGCCACCGTAGACATACCACCTGCTGCGCAATCGCTGCGCGAATACAGAAAGCCTCGGTGACCTCGTAAGACGAGAGATTCTGGTTGTGAATTTGCTCCAAGAGAGCAGTGGCATCATATTTCTCGGTGATCTCTATCTGCTTCGGAGACAGGATACCACAGCGACGTGGTATGTCGAGCACATTGGTATCAGCCGTCTCTGAGATGTTGACGGTATACTCACAAGGGAGACGCCAAGCATTTGGAATATTAGCAGCTGCCTCGGCTTGCTTTTGCTGAACCAGTATTTGCCAAGATTCAAGAGTCATGTTTATCGATGTCCCGGTATGGAAGATTGAAGAGAAGAGGTTGTGACTTCTGGATTCATGGCGGGCGAGGGGTTATTTATGCCGGAAAGTTGCCGAAAGGCGGTTTTAATTGCGAATATTAGTCATAAGGACTTTGGAAAAAGCAAGTGCAAACTACATCATTTGATATGCCCGGTTGATGCATTCTGCTGTGTAAGGGAGCTCTATTCGCACGGCATGTTGACCAATCACAGACATTAGCGCGGCTGGCTTGTTATCTCCACATCCCCACTTTCTCCTCTACGCCTGGCTATCATGTACCGATTTTGCCTTCAGTCATTAGAACACGGCACTAGATTGGACTTTTCGGTGTCAAAGTTTCAAGTGCTTTGTCCGAATGCACAGTCTTGAACTCTGACTCGGCTCAGCCGGCACTTGTTTCGGCACTGGTATTGATTCTTTCCCGTGCATCGGTAGATGATATTTTTGTTGATCCATATGGTCTCCGCATTAAATCCTCGTATACTGATTTCAAACCTATCCCGCGGTAGAAGTACGTTTTCCCGGCTTTCGCTATATGATATTAATACTCTTGCAGTCTATAAAGCCGGGGCATCATATAGCCTAGGAGATCTAAAGCCTTCAATTCGCAGATGGCTCTTCAAGCCCTTTCCTCAGAATAAGATGATAAACCTCTTATACTTAAATGTAGTGAGAATATGCGATCCTCGAAGCCGAACTGATTATTATCAGCGGTGCTGATCACCGATTGAGGATAGCCGAATTAATAAAAGTATCAGAGACCATACCAGTATTCAATGCCTTGTGTGTATGTATTACCTAGCATTTACCCCAGATAATTGGTGTAATGGAACTGCCAAGATTGGTCCAGGGAGGATCCGCATATTGAGTCTCAATATAGAAAGTCCCGTATTTTCCGCATACTAAACACACGAGCCATCTCCCGTGGTATTTGGCTTCGGGCCCAGCAACAGTAAAAAGGTCAAGTAATAGCATAACTTTATCTCGGCCTTGATACTTTGTACTGCGCTCCTCCATGTGTTTTCACTTCTTTAGCTCAATGATGGCGATCCTGCGTACTATGACAGGATAAAGACTATGGTCGTAAACGACAGCTATAAAATCGCGTGTAGACCCGCCAATCCAGTGCATCTTGATCATTTCCCCTACTTTTCCAAAATCCATCTTGATGCTCTTTAATTCTAGACATGGCTGTGCGGTACTTCAAGCGGCTTCACGTTTGTTGGAAATGACTCCTGGTAGTATGACCTGTCGTTCATTCTAGCCTACACTGTCCTGTATATGCTGTTGAAAGTCCTAAAACATCATGCTCGATGTGCTCAGTGCAATTCGGTACAACTGCGACCAAGGGAATGAAAAAAGCGCAAAGTAGTTTACTGTTGACTTGATGAATCTCGACGGAAATGGAAAGTGGTCTGTAACAATTCATAATTGGCCCCCCAAATGGGGCGCAGTTCGTTGAGTGGGGATCTAATCTGGATTTTTAAGAATGTCTCAAACCGCAAGCCCTCGGGTGGGGCGGTGGATAAGCTTCCAGGCTAAAAAAAGGGTCTTGTAGACATGTAAAGGCAAAATACTTTCTCAAGAACTGTTGAGAAGAACAATTTGGCACTTTTGTAGACTATGAGATGATAGAATTCTTGGTGTTCTGCACTTGGACCCGACGGCAGTTAGTGACCTGTCTACCCAAGCAGGAGGTGATTTTATCGCACGTTGTCTTACTATGTGGAGTCAGTAAGCATTTAGATCGTACGTAGAAAGAAATGATCGGCGTGCTAGGGCATTGCTGAGTCTGCTCGACTATCCCTCTCTTTTTAAAGGCTAGATGATAGATGTGCAAAATGTATCTCTATGAACCAAAATGTCCACTGGAAGATGGCGAATCTGGCGATTACCCGTGATATTCCAGCTACAGAGTGGAACAGTTCGAATCTTCCTTCTTTTCATTCCATTATATGCGCTACTTACTTTATACGCCCGAAGTCGATCAGCTCATGACCCTGGATCGGTCTTCTTCGATCCGTGGACTGGATATGATGCATCTTATTCCGCGATCCGAATCGAGGAGGGCGATATCTACATTGAAGCCACGGATAACACGACAATTTCTGGCTTCCAGAAAGCGTCAGAGCCCCAGCTATGTGTCGGAATTGCCACTGTTGCACGGGAAGGAATCCGGTACTTGCGAAGTACAGTCGGTACCCTTTTGGACGGTTTGAGTGACGAAGAAAGAAGAAACATATACTTGATAGTTTTCATTGCTCATTCAGACCCATCGAAACACCCTGCATATGATGAGCGGTGGCTCTCTGAGTTACCAGATCAGGTCTTGCTCTATGATGAAGATGAAGTGGACATCGACCATATTCGGGCGCTTGAGAAAAGTCCGAAAAAGGTCGGGCGGCAAAAGGCTCTTTTGGATTACCAATATCTTTTGACGGCTTGCAATAAGATTGCGACACCGTATATTCTGATGCTTGAAGATGATGTCGTCGCTCAGGATGGGTGGTATCATCGCACCCAAGAGGCCGTTGCCAGCGCGGAAAGACAAACGAAGCAGTTAGAAGCACCGAGTTGTGAGCTTCAAACTTTGACAACAACACATTACCAGAAACTGATAAAATTCTCTCATAAGGGCTCTACCTACGCTTATTTTATTCGGAAGAATTCCTTGGCTGGAATTCAGAAGAATGGCCAATCTACCTCTTTTACTCCATCCTCACCGTTCTCCTCGTTATCTTCTCGGCCCTCAGTGCGCGACAGTATAAACCAAGTCTTCGCGCCCACCTCTCAAACAATACCATCCTTCTCCTCGCATTTATTTGTACGCCGTTTTTGATCGGTCTTTTCTTCGCCGCTGGACGTGCAACAATGCTTCCAATACCACAGGGCGTTCACCAGATGCCCAACTTTGGCTGCTGTTCACAGGCTTTTGTTTTCCCGCGGTCTCGTATACCTGACCTCATAGATCTTTATCAATCCAAAGATGAAGGCTATGTGGACTCAATCACGGAGGAGTACGCAAATCTGAATCAGGAGGTTCGTTGGGCTATAACGCCGAGCGTTATGCAACATGTGGGAAGACAGAGTTCCAAGGCTCAGAAGGGAAGTTCGGCGAGGCCGTCTCGATACAAGACCAAGGGCGAGATGAAGGGTGCGGAGCGATTGTGGAATTTCGCTTTTGAGAGCAATGATGCGCATAAATTACGGGTTGAGCATGATAAGGCAAAGGAAGAGCTAGAAGTCCAGTGATGTGCAATCCATGGAATACGGAGATGTGACAATAAGATAGAGCGAAATCTTTCCAATGAAACTCAGTAGACCAGCTATCGTTGTTGAAATATTCACAAACCACAGTGTACATAGTAGATTCCCTGCCTAGCCAAGCAAACAAAATAAAGACTTCGTCGGGCCTACTTAAAGTGTCCAAACGATTGATAGTGAGTCCAGGTGCCTACAATCACATCTGAAATCAAACATGCGACACATCTAGCCGGATGGCATTCCAGCTGCCATGTTGGCGTACTTGGAGCCGTTGTAGCTGAGTTGATTCTGGCTCTGATCAAGAGCGCTTACCCCACCAAATTCAGTGACCACCTGAGAATAAATCAGTAAAGGAAGTACCAAAAGGAAAAGAAACCTTGAAGCATACCGTAGTGATGAGGCTATCTGTGCCGTTCTTGTCAGCGCTGCTCTCCCACCACATGCCACCTCCCAGGCCCTTGGTTTTGATGTACTGGGCCTTCAACTGAGCGATCGCGGGAGTATCATAGCTGATTAGCGTAAGGGCAGAGGAATCATAGCTATAGCTCGCAATTGGCTGGTCGAGTTCGTAAACTGTCGCACCCGTCTGGGGTAACGCCTTGTAATCCCACACTCCGTTTTCCCAACTACCACTGCCAACTCCACTGAAGCTTTGACCAAGCCCATTTGTGTTTGTAAATGAGCGCCCATACAGTGGCATACCCATGACGATTTTGTTTGCAGCTACTCCGTTCGCAGTATAGTAGGTGATAGCCTGGTCCGTGTTGAATGGTGTGCTTGATGGATTGGCGGTGGAGGCGTAGACGTTTGCATCATCACCAGAAACTGTATCCCAGCTTCCTGCGTAGTCATATGCCATTAGATTCCAGAAGTCAAGGTACTGGTCCATCTGAGCAAGCAGAAGCTCCCCATAGTTGGACGGGCCTGTTCTTGTTAGATCAAATGGGGTTCCCGTAGATACCATGGAGATCTGACTAACCAGCTGGAGATGCAACAGTCAATAGCAGATGGTGATCTGGGGCATATGTCGTACTGTAAGTATCCAATGCCTGAGCTTAATTAGCTTAAGTGACCACCATCTCATACATGAAGAGGTCATACCGAACGCACGACTTGAAGCAAAGATACCATGTTGGCAGCTTGGCTTGCATTGGCAGGATACTTCAAAGAATGTCAGCATGATGGATGGCTTTCAAGCAGACACTCTCGATGGTTCTTACCTCCCAATCAATATCCAAGCCATCGAACCCGAGATCCTGTACCAGCTGTACAGCAGATGAGGCGAAGAGGGCTCTTCCAGCCTCGGTAGCAAGTGGTCCCGCAAAGTTGGTGGAGTAAGTCCAGCCACCAATCGACAGAAGCACCTTCAGCTTTCTGTTCGCCTTCTTCAGCAGGTAGAGCTGCTTGACACAGCCATAAACATTTGTACCAACGTCATTCCAAGAATCGGTGGAGTAGTGTTTGTCAGTATCGGCGTACGTGTCCGACAGATAGACCTCTCCAGTGTCCGCGCGGACATTAGCAAAGGCGTAAAGGACATGGGTAAGCTTATCAGCAGGGAGGCTCTGAGGCTGATAGTCTCGACCATAGATGGCCTGATTTGGTACATCAGTGGATTAGTGCGATATATTGAATATAAGAGACATGAAGAATACTTACCCAGTTGACGTAGTAAGCCACGGAGCGGTATCCAGTAATACTATCATCTCGAGCTTCAATTATTTTTTCTAGTGAGGGAATGACCGCAGCAGTTGCAAGCCATGCCAGGCCTAGGGTAGAGAAAAGGGCAAGTTTCATTGTGAAAGGATGCTGTTGAGGGTTTGTTGGAAAATGTAGAAGTTGTCGTTCCAGCAACAGAAGACAAAGATTTAGAAGGGATTCACTAGATCATTTATAGTTTGTAAAAGTCGGTCGCCTGCCTTCGGATATCCAGATTCACTTCAAGAAATTGGAGCAAACAAGGCGTTTGAAAGCTTCCTCAATATTCCGCACCTCCGAACGACACCCTGCAGGGTGACTGTACAGAGAAAGGTCCTTCATAATTTCCGTGTCCATTCCACTCCGCCGGGGGTGTGATCGATGATAGCCGTCGAGCCTCGAGATAGAGAAAAATGGCGCACATGGGCCGTGTAAAAAGAGAGTTCTTCCATCACGGGAGTTTCAGCAGCGAACTATGGAGCGCCACATTACCGATCAGGTACAAAGCTATTTGACTAATTTCCACCCATTAAGGAAATAGAAGCCCAGGTTCTGCCACCACGAGCGTGGTTTCTGGAATGTGTAACAGTGCATGAACAACGTGCTGGGCTGACATGCCGATCCTTTGTGTCGGTTCGAACATATCTGTGGTTGAAATTATTGCCGTCCAATCGGCCCTAGAATTCCAGGAATGTCGGAGATGGGTGATGTTGTCATCTGCGATTTCAGGTATATGCCTCAATCGAGTCCGATGCCTCGGAGATAGAGGTCCTTTAGCTCTGAAAATTAAAAAACTCTTGGGATGGTGTTCGTGTGTTGCATCAATCCCGATGAATTAATTAGCCTTGACCTGCAATGGTACCCAGATTAGTGGATGTAACTAGGACCACGGTAGTATCGTAGATTGAAGAGTTCAGATTAAGAAATTAGCATCGGGAGGCCATCAGCCACCTGGGGGGATGGGGTAGGTTGAAGCGGACGAATCGAACGAAAAAGGGTCCTTGGCTTGGCGGCAGCTGTAGGAACCATCACCTATCACCCAATCAATCCCTCACTGGTCGCCCAATCAAAAAAGCCCGCGATGTAACACTTCAATATGGCCATGCGACAGGGCCATGTGCCATGCCACCCAAGACGGGAAAGAAACCAGATCCTGCATGTTTATCAGAGCTCGCATGATCAGGGTTGAGGCAGACGACAAGGCAAAGAGGATCTCTCCACCAAAGGGACATGCCGAGCTGATACGCATCACAAGCTTCTGCTACCGCTCACCTCCGCATGTCCTTATCTTTGCCGATTCTTCCCAAAATTGTCGATGGATAGTGTTAATGAAGGTAATTTGACTTCTGCCGATCGGGAAATTGGGGGTCAAATGTTTAGGGTGGGCGATGATGGATGCCCTTTTGACCGCCAATTTAGGAAATTGCTCTTCCAAGAAAAGAAATATATCCACGCGGACGGTTAGACCTTGACTTGCAAAGCCCAGAAAGTGGTGGAAAAATCAACGATTGCATTTGCCGTAAATTTGATGTTACTCAGCATGAGTCGGCAGGCCTGAAAGGCGAGTCATAATGTGATGTCTTCTGCGTTTCTCTAAATCTTCAACATCAAGGTTCTCTCGACTGGGCATACTGTACAGTACACATAAAAACATTATGCAGCCAGTTGTGGGTTATATAACATACGATGGTCAAGTCATCACGTGAAATGGGCTTGTGGTTTAGTGGTATAATACTCCCTTAGCATGGGAGTGGTCCGGGGTTCGATTCCCCGCGAGTCCAACTTTTTTTTGATTCATTCTTATATCTGCTTTTGACCATATGGCACATGTCAGTATCTATATCTTTGTATTCTTCCGGACCCAGGGTCATACCATTTTGAACATTTCCAAAACCCCATCGCGGAGATATTGGCGAGCTTTTTCATTCTACCGGCTGAAATTCGGAACATAATATATGCATGCCTAGTGCGTAGAGAGCCTGTAAATATCTGGAGCGGAAATCATGATCATTACCTGGATGATGGTGATTAAGACATTGACAACGATAGTGATCATTGGAAAAGCGCAACGAATTATATTTTTGAAGATTCATACCCGTATCCCCTCGTGCAGGCGCCAATCCTGATCAGGCATACTCAATCTCTATTCACTAATACGTGCAATCAATCCAAGGTTCTCGGGATTGTCTACTAAGTCGACGGTGTAGGGATTATAGGATTTATAACGACACTAGGAGTCGAGCACGAGAGGGTGAAGTAAAGTCATCAAAGTACAATCAGTCTACTGACAAAGAACCCGTCAGCGATTGAGTTGATCTACCTTAGCTAATTCAGTCCACTGGTGCTCAAGTAGATTCTTGATCCACGCCGTTCGCCAACCTAATACTTCTTCAACCCGACTTAAAAATCGCAATGATCCCTGTTGCTCAGCTGGATGGTGGAGGCAGTAGCCGACTGCGTGTTTTGAAATATGTAAACATTAGTATATGTATGACATGCAGATTGGGGCGAAAACGAACAACGATGCAGAAGGTGACAGGCCATGAAGTACCCATTTTCGACGCTCTCATTTGACCATGATAATCCCACTACGGTCAGTATATGGGTGGCGATTGTTCGCTATAATTCTGTTCGTTAGCCATGAACAGTCAAGGGGGTATTGGCCCTACCTCTGCTACGCGTCGGCTCCGAGCGAGCTCATAGTCACTCATCTGCTGTGAATGGGGATCCGACAAAGTTATAAAGATTCTTGCGGTGTGAAAGTATTGCATTCCAACAACTAAGAAACGATCAGTATCTCATATCCTACTCTAGAATTTGGGGATAAGGATACGGACCCGCAGGACCTGACATCATCCATATTTCAGGAAACGGTCGGTCGGCAGCAGTGTCTGGAGGTTGGTATCGAAGCGGCTGCCAAGTTGGGGGCTTTGAGCGATTCCACTCCTCCACGGAATTGGAAATGCGATGCCACATAGGTTCATCGACTGGCAGCCTAGGCACATCGCGACAGAGTTGGATTATATGGGCGCAATGAAAAACGATCATGTTGGCAACGGCGGCGTCGTCGTTTCGTTGAAACATGGCGGAGCACTCATAATTGTGCAGGTTCAGCTGCAGGGGCTGATGCTGCACGATAGATGCGTAAATGGCCTGTCGCAAGAACTGCCAACTCACAGCTTCTGCTAGTCCACCGGAAGATGCCGAGCGAGACATAAGATTAATCAAACGATTTGATCCGAGAAGATGGAACTTCTCATCGGTATTATTTTCAAGCTCCTCACAGATCCGCAGGATAACCACCGTGATCAAAAGGCTCTCGTCATAGGTGTGCTCGGGCTTGTCCAGCGCTGGTATCAGTAATTCGAGACATTGCCCGAGATAGGAGGAGGCCTCCCAGTCGCTATTCCCGGTCATTATGGCATCATGTCGAGCGGCCAGTGCAAGGACCGCTTTCAACACCATGGGAACTTGCAGGGCACGTTGGGGCACTAGCGTACTAAAGTGGGATTGAGGATCACAAATGTCCGCCTGGTTGAACTGATTAGGTCAGATGTTTGCGCATATAGAAATTTTCGGGCCTCACCCAGGGGGCAATCTTTTGAATGAAGCACCGCATAAGAGACGCTTCTCGGAGCGACAAGGCAGACCCTTGACCTTGCGGACATGGCTTTGGGCTAGCACTAGCCAAATGCTGCTGCCCTCTACCTTCCTCCTGCGACAGAGGCTGCATGGCTGGTCGCGGTTCCGCCATCATATCATTGTTTGCATACAAAACTTCTTGTGCTGACCAAGACGGGGTCATAGGTTTTTCTCTGGGTGTCTCGTCATCCTTGTTGTCATTGGATTCATCAGCCTCTAGGATGAACGTCACTATCACAAATGACTTAGTTTCTGCTGCAGCGATCGACTCCACCAAGGCCTACCGGGTTTTGACACATCCACCCATACCTGCTCATTATCCCAAATCAGGTCGAATCGAGCTGCCGAGCCTTGACTTTTCTGGTAGACATGGTGCACGGCCTTGAATTGGAAACGCGGGTCCAGTTGACAGTCACGACCGAGACGAGTACAGGGGGCACAAGCCGATGCTCCCGAGGGAATAACGCAGCGGATATGGCGATGGCGACACCGTCCACAGCCTTTGCCCACTCTCATGAAGGTGGCATGGAGAGAGAGAGACTTGAGGGGATGTTGATCCCCAGATGTTTCACACTCCATTTCCCCGCATGCTGACTCATCAATAGGCCCACGGTTCTCAACTTTCCCACAAAGGGACAACAATACGAATCAATGATTCAATATCGTCATGATCATAATCATGGCATTAGTGATGTCAATCTGCCTATTATTGATTCAGAATTGTTCTACCTAATCTAGGCCTGATCTTGGTGGCTTGTAAGTGGTTGATCCAATCCTGCTGCCTATGCTGCAAAAAATAGAAACAGCTAGCTGCTTTCTGTTCTAGCTAATGCAGTACCAAGATCATACTATCAGAAACATCACACTAGCTGTGCCGGGTCAATTTGGACTGGTTGATTCAACAATGCCCCACGGCAACAAAAGAAAGCCAAGGCTCAACCAAGTAACCAAGTCCGACTTGGAGTGGGTCTCCGAGATGGCGTTGATCTTTTTGGTTGGATAATCGCCTTCTCTTTCACTGCATCAACTCCACCAATCCGCACAGCGCCGGCCACCCGAGTGCAGTGGGCCGACATGGAGATTTAGTGCCAATGCAAAAATCTTGGAAAAAGTCGGCTGCGCCCCGATGAACCCTGAGTCGATTTTATATCTGCGACGGAGCGTCCCGCGTCTTAACTCAACATTATAACAGAGAGCAAAGTAAAGAAGCGGGTATAGAGAAACGCGTCAATGCTTCTTCTACCATCCCTCTTGCTACTAGCCACATCGTGGCAGGTAGTCAGTGCAGATTCCGATTCCTGTAAAGTCACAGAAGCGTCCCCAAAGCTCACGAGAGATCATCGCTGACTATTCACTAGGCTCAAGTAGTGCGACCATCTCCAGCCAAAGTGACGCCGATACATACGCCAACTGTGACCAGATCGATGGCAGCGTCACCATTTCTTCGTCAGCTAGCGGCTCCATTATTTTGAACAATGTCACCGAGATCAAGGGATCCTTCACGGCAGAAGGAGCATCGGGTCTCACTACTCTAGCCGCACCGGATCTCGAGACAATCAAAGGAGCTTTGACTGTGGACAGCATGAGCTCGCTGAGCAACCTCTCGATGAATTCCCTATCTGAGGTATCCTCAGGTATCACAATCATAGCAAACCCAAAACTCAAGCATCTGGAATTTGAAGACTTGGAGGAGGTTGATGGACAACTCAAATTGACAGGGTCTTTTAGCTCGTGAGTGTCGATGGAAATTGGGACTGAGACAGAACTCACAGGACTAATGACGTTATAGAGTGTCGCTGCCATCGCTTGACCAGGTGAAAGGGCAGACAACTATCCGAGGTGGCAGCTCCATGTCCTGCACAGCATTAAACAATTTACAATCCGAGGATGTATATGATGGCGGATACTCCTGCTCGACCAGCAGCGGATCTTCCCTGAGCACGGGTGCCAAGGCCGGAATCGCGGTCGGCGTCATTATCGGGGTCCTGCTCATCCTCTTCCTCATGTGGTGGGTCTTTCGGCAACGTCGAGTCCGTCAAAAACGCCGACGGACTTCCCAAACACCTAGCTCGATATCTCCACCTGTATTGAAGGACGAGAAGCAATCTACTCCACAATACCAACCCATCCCATCAAGCGACTTGTCACCTAAAGTTCCTCGCAAGCCTCTGGGACCGGCACCAGCATTGCTGGACGGTCGCTCGATCTACGAAGCAGCGTACCCTGCGAGTCCGATCCCAGTGTACCATGAGTTGGACGCCGGACCAGTCTTCAGCACACATCAACGGCCGATTAATTCCGAAAGCTAAGTAGAATACTTGGACGCGATTTTCGGTTGTCGTGCAATTTCACGCCCCATCGTCACCAATTCTCGCTTTTATGACCTCATGTCTTTCTTCCCTTTCTACTGCGCTTATATACCCAGTCGCGTTTTGGAATATAATGACCAAAGAGAACTTAATACTTGTACATGAACCCTGCACTCACAGTGTATTTCATTTGAATATAGATTGATGTCCTTATTCATGAAAAAAGTATCGATAACAGATGTCACTGACCATTGCTCGCATGTATGGCTAACATACAATCAACTCATTCACGCCGCAATATTCTCCAGCAACATATCTGCAAGAATCTAGCCTTCGGACATTCCCACGCCCTGGATAGAAGCAAGAAAACCTGCAAACAACTACCGGTGGGTGCTTTGGTGAAAGAAAATGGAATACACTGGCGTTCACAATCCGCAAGCCAGTGACACTGTACACACTCGCCTGGCTATCAAGTACAGCCAATGAATCACCAGAAGATCCCATATTGCAAGTAGTAGCAGGATTGAAGATTCCTATGACATTGTTCTTAATGAACTCAAAAATGTCCTCACCAGACTTCACAGCGGTGCCGGGATTATATTCTTCGCCGATGACAATCGACTTCATAGCATCACTCTGATAGACCTGACGCCACCTGTTGACCAGATCCAGTGGCAATCCAGTCAGCATAGATGATTGGCAAGTCTGATGTTTTGGCGGACCGGATGATTAAGTTTCCGCATATTGGGCGAGATCAACACAGCGATGGTTGATCCGTAGTCCTCACTGTTCCTGGGCATTATGAGCCAATCTACTTCAGGAAATTGTTCACTCTGACACCTCCGTTCTTGATATATGGACCAGTCTAATCATGACAAAGACGTGGTCATTGGATGGATTAAGAAGTACTATATACAGCTCACATTGGAGCAGTCTCATGTTCATATCCTAGTATCAATTTGGCATCCCCAAGGTCTACAACCAAACATTTCACTGATCCATGAACACCTTCAACAGCGCCGGGTAGTTAGGAGAACCTAGTCCCGTCACGGGATCCCAGCCCTCGGCAGCATAGAAGCCAGCAGTACCGCACCCAGAGTTATTACCCGTGGTGACATCGAAAAAGGCACCCGGGTTGGCATAGAGAGTGGGATTCACGAATCCGACAGTGGACTTTCCTGCAGCCAATCTCTCCTCATTGATCCGAGTAAGAATCGAGGCGAAGACAGGTGCTGAAGCAGATGTGCCACCAATCGAGGTAGGCAGGCCTTTGTTGTAAATGATAACATTGTCACCTACGGCGGAGACGTCGGGGTACCCACGACCAATTCGGTTGTAGATACCACCATTAGCACCGAAGCTGTTGTTATTAACGCTCTCGTAATATGGGTAATCCGGCTTAGCCTTGGAGAAATAGTCCGTCACAGCCTGAGCCTGCCAGCTAGGTCGCTGGTAGATGTTACTGAAGCCACCACCAGATGGGAAGCGAGTCACTGCAACCTCCCCGTGGTCCTGAATCTTCGCCCCGGGAGGAAGATAGGTCGCTCCAACTGCGGTCATGTAGGGACAAGTCGCTGGGAAGTCAGGAGCGAAGACCTTGCCTGATTCACCTAAGCAGTTGCTTGGTGTAGGGTCGCCATCGCGTCCTGCTACGCCCGAGTCACCAGATGCAACTATGACGGAGACGCCTTGCATGCCGAGCTTCATGATCTCGTTGCACTGGCGTCGTTGGTACAAGATGGGCAAGTCAGCTTCTGACATTCCGTATGAGATTGAGAGGACATTTGGTGGGTCGTAGACGCCGCATTGCAGGGATCCCTTGTAGCCACCTTCTTGGGGATCGGGATAAGAGGGATCCAGTGGGGAGATTTCGTCGCAGTATGAGCCATCAATAGCATCCAGGAATGTGTTGAGGAAACCGGTGAATGTGTAGTTGTCTTCATAGACCATGTCGTCTGACTGGAAGAGAATGGAGTTCTGCGGCCAGATGAGTGGGTAAGAGATTTGGAAGTCAAGGTCGGATTCAGCGCCTGCGTTCAGCAACGAGGTTGGTGCCTTGGCTCCGTCGACTGCTTTCAATATTGGATGAGTCCCACTTGGGATATCACTGAGATGACTCCATTAGCATCGGGACTCAAATTTTGAAATATTGGACACACCTGGCCAGAGTGGCGAAGAACAGGTTCAGATCCTCCTGAGCGTAGACATCACCAACACCTTCGAAGATACCTAATTCATTTCCCTTTGTAGCTGTTGTTCCGGCGGTGATGTTGTACATTTCTGCCTTTGTCAGTAATTCATAAGGACAATGCCGGCTTGGATGTCGTACCCTTGATACACTGAGGCGTGACAGCAAGATCGCAGAATTGCAAGACATTGTTCAGGATCTCCTCGATCGGCATTAGGATAGGTTCCAGGATTGGCAGCAGGCCGTTCGAACGCCTTTGAATCTTGTTACTGGCTTTCCCAACGCTTGTCACCTCGCGCAGGGTGATACCGGGAGTGATGTAATCGATATGATCACGCACCGAGTGGGGAACATGATACCTAGACTGAGTTAGCATCCTGTCAGTCCATATGTGTATAGGCTTCATCTTACTCGCGACAAGCCACGTGTGACCGGCCCGTGTCAGCATGAGAGTAAATATAGTACTCGGTGTGTAGCAACTTCTCGAGTTCATCGGTACCAGTATCAAATTGAATCCATTGTTTATTCACAGATTGTGAGATTCGGTCCTTGGCAATGCCGAATGACTCCAGCCATGAACGGACGGAATCGACGCTCTCGTCACTGGGCGCAAACAAATCGTGCACCTCGGGTGCCGACATGTGCTTTCCATAGCGACTTGAGGATGGGTCCGACCTAGCGGGTGGTTGTCAGTTCATTATCATGGCGAATCCAATGTAATACACATACATCTCCATCAAAAGCTCATTTCCATAGTTCAGGTTTGACTGGGTCAATCCGATTCGAACAGGAAGCAAGGTTGACGCATCCAGGCGTCTCTCCTCAGTCCAGGATGTTGGAATGAAGTCCCGTCGCTCATGCACAGCATGGCCATAGGGCGCAGGGACAGCCAAGGCACCGACTGCGGTGGCTCCCAGGAACAGAATGGATGACTTCATAATGTAATTGAGTAGAGTCGACAAGGTCTCACTCTATACACGATGGAGCATATGGGCCTGGACACCCCCGGCTTTATACCGTCCTGCAGGGCCCCGCTAGTCCAAAAGAGCTCCATGCTAGCTCGAATCCTTCCCAACCCGTCTCAGGAGGAACCCAATGACAGTGCTTTGAGTGATCTACAAAGCAGAACTAATGTCGGGATTACTTGCGGTGGAACTACGATCGTCGTGGAGTGTGGGCCTGAAATGGGGGGTTTGTTCCAAAGGAAGCTAATTCGGTGGGTTTGGAGGAGGTTTGAGTAGGAAATAGTTCAGGTAGATCTAGCATCGCTTGGGCCTCGCGAGAGGAGAAGCGGGATGAGTGGTCGCTGATCACTTACGTCTAACCTTTCATCAATTCGTGCAAATTATCATGATGCTTTGAACCTTTCCCATTTCATATATAACATCCAGGTAGTCAATGTCACACCCGATGCCATGTGAGGGTGCATTTGAGTGTTGTATAATGACACCCCTGGCAAGTTAAGATAGCGGGGTTGATTTAGTGGTGTTTCATGAGTTTATAATCACCTTCACCCCACAGTATTCTGCCACATTTTCCGCCAACCAAAATGTCACATTCTATAGCTGGCAAAGCTTAGTGCGTAGTAATTAAAACACGTCACGTTAGGGGGAACATTATCATTGACGTACCATAGATGCAGGCGATCTATATACACAAGGAAATTGCGTGTTGAAGGTATTTTGCTTGTCGAGTCTGCGTGTTGCGAAGTCGTAAACGGTCAGGATAGGTGGGTTCAAACTTATCGAACACTACTGCAGATCATCTGGCGATATCACCCACTGCGTGATTGTCCACGCGACCTTGCAGCATCGATGCCATTGCCAATAGACATAGTTAAACAGTCCAAATTACAATATTCTACAGCTCATTGCAGTGGCAGTTAACCTCGGGAGCCAACAATGCCATGTGAAGCATGAAAATGATAAATAGTGCGCTAAAAGAAGCCTCGGAAGATCCGTGGAAAACAAAAACCAGAGAAGTCAATATACTGGCTTTCTAACTCCACTTGGTAGGCGAAGTGGGGTTCTACTATGTCCTAATAGGAATGCGACAATGAGTTCCTTATCTTAGGGTTCAGGTGCCGTTCAATTTGGCCAATAAGCATCTTTCAATGACGATCCTGATATCCCCCTGAGTAACCTTCCCCGCACCAACACGAAAAACATCAGGAGAAAGACTGAAGATTAACAATTCTTGAAGGTCACCGGGGGTTGTTACTGTATTTGGCGGAAGAGAAAGTTGGGGAATTTCTACGATCATTCCACGCAAACCTTTGGAATAACATGATGTCATATCTCTATTTCCTGGAGTAAAAATCGAATCTAGACACGGTTCCATAAGACTAGCTTCTAGTTTTCTTCCAGTGGGAATTGAATTCCCATGCCATAGTAAGGCTAAAATGACCAGGCAATCATATTATAGGTCCAGATACAGGGCGAGGTTGAATGGACTTTCCAAAAAGAGTCCGGGCAATACAAAGGAATGCACTGGAAGTGCACAATCCCGATGACAGCCGTCATGGAAAGCAATGCCCGCATTGCTGTGAATATGCCGTAGACACCTTCCGTAACAAGTATTAAACTCTTGTCAGGTGGAGGAATGAGACCAGAAGGTGCCCAGGTGGTTTCGATCATGCATTAGTCGCATGCATGTCAATGGAGTTAGGGAGCTCGGACCAACAGCTAAGAGGGTTCAAGGGAGGAAAAGTTGGGTGGAAAACCTGGCATGCTTGCAACAAATTTTTGCAACGTAAACTTGTAAAAATAATTGCAGTGACGATGCTTGCTCAAGTTGGCTCCAATAAATGAGTTCTGAGCGCCAGGGGCGTTGAGCTTGGGGTCAGTGGGATCGGCACCAGGGGCCTCAATCACACGTGTTTTATAAATCTGACATTTCGACGCCAGCTTAGGTGAACCAGGTTAAGATCCACACCATTTCCAGAGCATGTCCACCAACTGTTGCCTATGAAGCGGCTTTGCAAGGTAATCATTCATGCCCTTTGAGAGATACGTTTCAGCGTCCCCCTTGAGAGCATTCCCCGTGAGTGCAATAATCGGAACATCAATCATCATTTGGCGAATCTGCTCCGTAGCTACCAAGCCATCCATAACAGGCATATTGATGTCCATCAGAATGACGTTATAAGCGAGGGGCTTTTGCTTCACCTTGCGGACAGCCTCAGCGCCATCCCAAGCTGCATCCACACGTTCGAAGCCCAGCGTGGATAACAATTTGAGCATGATAGTTTGATTGACCTTGTTGTCTTCCACAAGTAGAATTTGCTTCTGCGGTGCGATAGTTCGGAGTTGTTCGGTCGGATCATATACGAATGGCTTCACCGTCGACGTCAAGCCTCTCAGCTTAGGAATCGGCGAATCGATGTGGCCCATCTTTGCAGATATCCAAAACACACTGCCAGGGCCATTCGGATTTGGGTGAAAGCCGATCGCGCCGTTCATGAGCTCAGCTAGGCTTTTAGAAATAGACAATCCTAGCCCAGTTCCTTGGTATCGCTTGACAGCCGAGTCTGCAAATCGAGTGAAGGGGGTGAAAAGAGTGTTTGTCGCATCCTCTGGAATACCAATTCCAGAATCCACCACTTGAACCGAGATCTTGTAGAATCGAGGATCGACTGGATCTTTTGCGTAAGATGCATTAATTTGAATATAGCCCTTTTCGGTGAATTTGACGGCATTGCCGACTAAGTTTTGAAGAATCTGGCGGAAACGCAGCGGGTCTCCTTGCATACTTTGGGGAAAGTCGGAAGGAATTGAGACCTTCAATGTGACGCCGGATTTCACCGATGGCTCGCAATTCCGGGCCACTGCATTGACCACACTGGGGACATCCAGAGTATCGGTGACAAGAGAGAAGGATCCAGCGGATAGCTTCGAATAATCCAGGACATCATTTATGACTTGCAGAAGCAAGCCGGTTGAGTCCTCCAAAATAGTCGCAAACTCCATCTGATCTTCGGCCAACGGAGTCCTCATGAGCATAGTCAAGGCCAAAAACATGCCATTCATCGGAGTACGCAGCTCATGTGACATGTTTGCCAAGAAATCGGTCTTCATCTTGGATGACTCCTCAAATGCATCAATTAGACGCGCTTCGGCAGCTTTGCGCTCCGTCAGGTCTCGTGTCACCTTCACGAATCCAATATGTCGGCCGAATTGATAGATGGGGGTGATCATAACGTTGGCCCAGAAACGTCCTCCATCTTTCCGGTAACGCCAGCCTTCGTCTTCCACCTTGCCCTCGCGCAGACATACCTCCAGTTCCCGTGCGGGCTTGTCGGCTTGACGGTCATCTAGTCCGTAGAACATGGAAAAGTGCTTTCCAATCGCTTCCTGGGTAGTGTAGCCTTTGAGGATGGAGGCTCCAGCATTCCACGTGGCAATATGACCCCGCGTGTCCAGCATGAAAATTGCATAATCCTTCACAGTGTCGATTAAGGTTTTGTAGGTCTCATTCAGGTAAGTCTGTTCTCTCATTTTGGTTGCGCGTTGCTCCCGTTTCTGACCCTGTTGTGCCTCCAGGAGCACGTTGATTAATAACTCATGGTCAAAAATCGGCGTGACTCTCAACGAGTAATCAAAGTCGCTGTCCGGAACACAAACATGATCGATCACTTTGGCTTCTTTTGTCGCGATCGCGGCGCCCAAAGCACCACTCATAGATGCCATATCAGGTACCGGGACCTCTGCCGGTGCCATTTCGTAGATGCTTGTTCCTATCAAATGTGCTCGGGTATGCTTGAACCGGGTCTGGTGGCTTTCTGAAGTCCCCACCACCCGAAAAGAACCATCTAAAATCACCGTCGGGGTCGGAGTGTATCGGAAAATCTGCGCCCAGCGGTCGTCATTGTCCGTTTTCTTTAGGTTGCTTTGAGAATCATTGCTCTGCATGTTATTTAAATCGCGCTCGGCGGGCGGGGTTATAACCATCGCGTAGTTGACGGGCCGGCGATCGTCAAGGTTCAGGTGGAGCATCTGCTGGTCCAAAACCATCGTGGCTTTTCAACTTCCCTGCCGCCGGGGCAGGAGAAAGTCAACGAGGTGAAGGATTCATTCACTTGAAGCACCTGGGTGCAACAATGAAGAAAGCCGAGAAAGGAGTGAAGAACTCGTGGGGACAGATGAAGTGGAAGGATGAAGGATCAGAAATGATCAGAAAGATTAGAAAGATCAGAAAGATCAGAAAGTCAAGGATGTCAAGAAAGTCAGTAGCGTGAACAGGTTGAAAACCTGGAAGAGTCGTCGAAACAAGCGGCGAAGCCAGCCGACGGCGATTCTTCTACTGGACGGCAAATTTCGCCGGCGGGGGAAGCAGAGCCGCTAACCCGGTTTCAGGGTGCGACGCGATTCATGTACACTCCACGTACGTAGGTGTCGCACACGGTGGCAAATTCTAGAACACGAAACATGAGTCGTTGGCAAATCAAAATGAAAATTTCATTCAGGGTCTTTCCATGCCGGTCGATCTTGGTTCCAGGATCTTCATGTAGGGTGATCATCAACACCCTGGAAATGACGTTCTCTCCACCTTCAGGGCTGGATCACGAGATCCATGGATTCACTGCTAACGAAGAAAAAAAAGCCTTGGAAACATTAGTAGAGACTTCTAAAAAGATAAGAAATCCGTAATTAAATGGCCAAAATTTTTTTAAATAATTTAAATAAAAAAAGAAATCTCAAGTTTATGGAGACTGAACCACGTGAGGCCTACACAATCACATTCTCACGCTCGACGTTTTCAACCATCTTTCCCACCGCATCTGCAATGCCATACGAGAAGGCGTATCCCCCACCACCAAAGCCATAGGCTGAAATCACGTTTCGATCGCCGTGTTTTTCCGAGTCAAGACGAAATCCACCTCGCCGGGAGGGTCGAATTCCAATAATATGGCTAATATCCTCATCTGCCGGTTGTTCCGGCACAACGTCGGGAGCGAGCCGATGTGCACGTGTGATCTCATCTCGCGCGATATCGAGATCCACTTCTGGAGACCTTGAACTTAGTCAGTGAATGATGGATAAGCACAGGGGCAGAACTCCTACAGGTTATCTTGTTGCTTCACGCCTCCCAGGACGACTCCGTGCGATAAAGGTCGTGGAATGACATAGGTATATTCCTGACCATTGCGGAAGTACATGGTACTGCATTTGTCCGTTCGAAGAAACACGGTCTGTCCTCTTTCAGGGAAGCAGCGATCATCCAGAACATCCGTGAGGGTCAGACTGCCGAGCCCGCTGGCATTGATGAAGATCCTCGATTCTGGGAACATGTCGTACAGCTCCTGGAGGGACTGGACTCGCTGGCGAACAAAAGCTCCTCCCAATTCCGTGACTTGCTTGCCAAGATATGGCATATGTCGTGTGGGGTCCGTGACCAGAGTCTCATAGGACCAAGCGCAATAGAAATTGTCCGGGAATTCATCGCGGCTCATCTCCCGAAACTACGCATACTAGTCAGTGGAGGATGAGCAGAAATTGACAAGAATTAGTACCTTAGCGGTGACAGTTCTTCCCCAGATCGCCGAATCAGGAGCCGGTTTTTGTTCCAAATATTCCCGTGCTTTGACAATACTGACACCAGATTCCGGGTTCTGAGCCATTTTGAGCAAGACTCGATGGGTCACTGCTTGAAGATAACGCTGCTCGGGGTTGATCCCACCAGCAGCGTGCCAGGCGGCGCCCGCCCACGCAGATGCATAGGTAATATCTTGATCTCCGGGCAGATATTCGGCCACCACTACCACGGGGAAGCCACTTTGGAGTAGTTGGCGGGCGGTTGCACATCCGATAATGCCTGCACCTAAAACGACAATAGGTCGCTGTGCAAAAGGCATTTGCATCGCATCGTTATCGTACTGCTCCATGAGAAGCGGAGACATGCTGAGGAGTGATTGATAGTGGACGTAGATTGGCCTAGTTATATACGGAACACACGCGCTAGATCAGATGAAGATACACATCAAGGCGTAGACATTCCGAGGGCTTTTGAGTTCATCAAGTGAACAGCGAATCTGCCCCGAATTAACTCTCCTCATATTCCAAATTTTTCTCATGGAGGGGGCCGTTGGAATCCCGTTTTCCAAGGCGCTCCGAGCCGAAGAGTGGAGTGGATGCAGTAGTAATGGCGGGTCATTCCGACAAGCTCTGGAATGTTTAATTGTCGTCAATAAGATTGTTTAGGTGGAAAAGAAGTGGTCTCGTATAGGAAAATAAGGTTATTACTGTTTCTTCGTATCAATATCGCATCTGGGTTCGTTTATATAATTGTTTTGCTAAGCTATAGTGGGCCAATGACGCCGTGACTCAGAGGTCTCCAATTTCTCAATTTTCCCTTTTATCATCCCTGTCCGATCGGGAGGCGCATCCTTCCGATCACTTCCCAAATTCAAATTCGTGCAGCCTATAGCACGGCCCTTTCTATCTTCCAGCTCGTTTGCTCACTTTCGCGACTAGTTCCTGATTGGCTTCTGGACCTCCCATCCTGATTCTTGATTGGGGCCGCTTCGGCCGGAGCTTCCCGGGTCCCAAGATGGAGGGGGAGAAATGTCGGCGACATTCGTGGTCCCAGGTGGGTTATAATGGATTCCCTTGCATATTGAATTTCTCCTATGGATCGTCCTTCCCCACTAGGATCGAGACCTGCCAATGCCGGGGCGCGCCTCGTGGTCATTTGGCCCCGTCTCCACGAGCTTTGGTTTCAGGCGCCTCTAGTGGCCCGGACCGTACCTGCCACCTGCATCTCTAGGGGTCGATCTATATGCCAGGAGATGTTATAATTAACAAGATGTGCTACTAGGGCTCCCCTGCGGACGCTGAAGATGAAATATCCATCCTACGCGATCGCGATGCCGAGAAAATCCTCCCGTATGATGCCGATGATTCACCCTTCCCTGAGGTGCGGGCAGTCATCCAGCCGACGGATGACCTGTCCCTGCCGGTGAATACAGTTCGAATGTGGACGATCGGTATACTTTTCACTATTGTGAGCCACTAGCATTGATGAAATCAGACCTACTCCTCCACAGAATGTGTTGCTAACTAGATACAGGTGGGAAGCGGGTTGAACCAGTTCTTCAGCTTGCGGCAGCCGAGCGTTACAATCAGCGCGCTGGTAGCCCAATTACTGGCGTTCCCATTGGGATGTGCCTGGGCTAAATGGATGCCACTCGGGGTGCTGAATCCCGACCGCCAGTTCAACATTAAGGAGCATGGTCTGATCACCATCATGGCCAATGTCTCCATTGGCTCTGCCCAGGCGACGCAGGTCATTGAAGCAATGGTCAAGTTTTATGACATGCCGTCTAATGGGGGCTTTGAGGTGCTGCTGTGCATCACCACGCAACTTTTTGGGTTTGGCCTTGCGGGCATGGCAACCCTTTGGCTCGTCACGCCGGCTTCGATGCTGTGGCCGCAAGTGCTATCCAATGCCGCACTTCTCACGACTCTCCATTCCAGAGAGAACAAGATTGCGGACGGGTGGCGCATCACAAGATTAAGATTTTTTCTCTTCGTCTTCATTGGTGGAGCCATCTGGTACTTTGCGCCTGGTTATTTATTTACCGGCCTTAGTACCTTCAGTTTCATCTGCTGGATAGTGCCGTCTAATGTGGTAATCAACCAGTTATTTGGTCAAACGACAGGCCTGGGCATGTCTATTCTGACGTTCGACTGGGCACAGATAGTCTATGCCAACCAAAGCCCTCTCCTGGTGCCTTTCTGGGCGGGGCTGAATGTAATGGGGTCTTTTGCCCTCTTCTTTTGGCTGATCTGCCCGATCCTCTACTACACCAACACATGGTACTCCGCCTATTTGCCTCTACTCAACTCAAACACCTTTGACAATACCGCCCAAGACTACCAGACGTCGCGCATTATGGAGAAGGACGGAACGGTGAATCAAACTGCCTACCGGGACTACTCCCCCATGTTTTTGCCAGCTGGGTATGCGATGACATTTGGAGTTGCGTTCGCCAACTTGACTGGGATTTTCTTCCACATTGGACTTTACCATGGCAAGGATCTGTGGAGGCAGTGGAAGGGTATGGGCAAGCGCGATATCCACGCGCGGCTGATGTCTACGTATCGCCCAGTTCCTTGGTGGTGGTTTGCTGCAGTCACAATCCTCATGTTTGTGCTCAGTATTGTGACAAACGAGGTGTGGCATACTGGCTTGCCAGTCTGGGCTGTTTTGGTGGCTTTTTTGCTACCAGTGTTCTACATTATCCCTGTGGGTATCATCAAGGCTTTGACGAACATCAGCAGCAATCAGTTGAATCTGATCACGGAGTTCATTGGAGGCTATGCTTTCCTTGGGCGACCGGTAGCCAACATGGTGTTTAAGTTCTATGGCTACGTTGCCATTCAACAAGGACTCGAGTATGTCCCTCCTACCCCCCAGTTATGTCACAATTCAGTTAACCCATCTTAGATTTGTCGCGGATATGAAACTTGCACATTACCTACATGTTGCCCCACGCATGCTCTTCTTGGCGCAGGGACTTGCCACTTTAGTTGGAGCTATTGTCCAGTGTGGTGTGACCGTGTTCATGATCACCCGCATTGACGGGGTTTGTACATCCGATGCTGAGGGTAACTTCACATGTCCCCATGGACGGGTGACTTACTCTTCCTCTCTCATCTGGGGTAATATCATTCCTCCTATCTCATCTGCCCATCTTACTATACTAGGGTATATGCTGACTATTCATCAGGTGCTGTTGGCCCGGGTCGATTGTTTTCTCCCGGCCAGACGTACAGCAATCTACTCTGGTTCTTCCTCGTGGGCCCGGTCGTGGTAGTCATCACTTATCTCCTTGGCCGCCGCTGGGAAGCTGTGAACTACATATCCTGGCCAGTGGCGTTTGGTGGAATGAGCCTAGTCCCTCCAGCCACAGGTGTCAGTTTCTCCTCGTGGTGGGTTATCAATCTCATATTCAATGGGTTCTTGAAACGCCGCAAACCCGCCTGGTGGTCTAAGTACAGTTCGTTGTCTATCTTTCTCTGCATTTGCGTTGTGTCATGCTGACTGCTTTTAGATTACATCTTGTCTGCCGCGCTTGATTGTGGTGTCGCTGTATCTACCGTGATCATATTTTTCTGCATCACCCTCCCGGCTGGTTCGCTGAGCTGGTGGGGTAACACTGTATACTCTAATACTGCCGATGGTAAAGGTACACCATACAAATCTCTTCCTGACAGAGGCTATTTTGGCCCGCCAAAGGGCTCATGGAGTTGATCATTGGGCGTCTTGACTTTAGAAATGGCGTTTGGGTTGACGTGTTTTGCGTCCATTAGTTTCTGGGCCAATTATCATTCCTCACATGTCTAGAAAGAAATTCAGCGCGTACATATTATATTCTTATCTAATGTCAGCCTTATTGAAAGAGAAACTCATGAAGATATCCGCTATATTTTCACTGAGCGCCCGCATACAAAGACTTTTGCAATATTCCTGTCATCTCCAGTCATTATCCACTTTTCAAAAATAACAGAGACCGGATCATCGTCTTCAACGGGAGTCATCACTCCAAGATTCCCCCCATCACAATGCACTTCAAGGGCATCAAATTCTTTGCCAATTGCAAAATTTCCAATCTTATCATCTAAGCCACAAACCTGGGCCCCACCTAGTGTCGCCAGGAAGAATCCTTCAAACAAGGTCAGTGCAGGGTCCTGCCCTTGGGTAGCGTCTTGTCGGGCGATCGAAACGACAAATGCCTGTCTCATGATCTCCAGCATAGATGAAGAGTGGCCACCTCCACTATCCGTTCCCAGTCCAACTTTGATACCCCGTCGTAGATACTCGCGTATAGGTGCTACCATAAAATAGTCCATGGTCGTGTTCGAAATGGGACAATGTGCCACACCACAACGCAGATCGCAGAGCGCTTCTATTTCCTCTTCTTCCAAGTAGATGCAATGTGCGAGAATTGAGCGGTCGTTCAATAACCCGTAGGACTTGTAAAGTTCTGTCTCAGTGCGGAATTCGGGGAATAGCTCCTTCGTGAAGAGCATTTCTCCTTTAGCTTCGTTGAAATGCGTTTGAATCGGTATATCGGGGTTCTCTTTGGCGATCACTCCAAGACCACTGAGAAGCTCTGGTTCGCAGGAAATAGCAAATCGAGGAGTAATGATCGGGCGCACGAGTTTGCTATCCGGATCGATGTTCTGAATATGCTGAATCAACGCCCGAGTTTGGTACAGTGAATCTTCGACCGATGGATCTTTATACCAGTCAGGCGAGTTACGATTCATATTGCACTTCCCAACTAAAGCACGTTGTCCCTTCTCCAGGCAGATATCAGCCAGGATCTGTGTTGCTTTCCCGTGCAAAGATCCATAGTAAGATGCCGTCGTGACGCCCTGTCGCAGGAAACCCGACACACAGGAAGAGTACATGCGCTTAGCATAAGCTGGATCCTCAAATTTGGCCTCATGGGCAAATGTGACATCATTCAACCAGTCCAATAGTGTCTTTCCACGACCAACCCCGCGTTGGGCCCACTGCGGCGCGTGGTTGTGGGTGTCCACGAATCCGGGACATAGGAATTGACCGCGTTGCAAATACTTGACAGGGAACACATCTGGTGCGTATCCCAGGTCTGAAATGATCGCGTTGACTTCATTGGGGTCGACTTCTGCTTGTAGTGCCTGGATCTTGCCGGTCTTGTCTACTAACAGGAAGCAATTCTCGAGCGTTTCAAGGTCACTTAGACTTCGGGAATGAATCACTGTGCCATGGAATGCTATTGGGAGCCCTAAGGTGGGCGAACTTTTGGCGAGTTTATCCATCGGTGAATGATTAGGAAAGGATAGAGAAGTGAAGTCGTGAAGTTGTGGGCGTGGCTGTTATCTTATCATAATGAGGGGTCTGCGTCACGACCAATAGTAAGTGATGATGTTAGGCCTGTTTCTAATTTTTGCAAAGAGTTTAGTGGCCTAACAATTGATCCTAATTTGAGGAAGATACCATGAGAGAGGATATCCACATAGATTATGAAAGTCCATTGACTGGCGCACTGTCTTCAGAAAGGCGAGGATATATGGCTTTGTATATGGCTATCATCGCCCAATGAAGCCTAATCGAGGATGATACTTTTGACCGGGGATCTGTATCAGCTTTAGATTGACCAGATATTTAATACTAAAGGATTGATGGACAGTGGAATTCGCCCTTTCAAATGCACTGGTTCTTCATATCCAACTCCTTCCCTTAATAAACTTGATGTTGATTCACGCCCCAGTCGCGAAAGTCTGTAAAGATCCCTCGCTACCATTCCACAAGTCTGAATCGCCTCCATAGGTATAAGAATCCGCATTCTGCCAAATGCTCTGGTAAAGCCACCCCGAAGGAACACTGCTGATAGAGCTGCTGTATTGAGCCAGCACCAACGGATAATCATCACCGAACGCAGTGCTATCCCCAGTGCAGGTATTCCACCAATCGGCAGTGGTGTAGATCATGGGGTATCTACCAGTGCTACTCTGGTATGTCTCCCCAAAATCCTTGATCCAAGAGACCATTGCAGTGGTGCTCAAACCATAACAGGTAGAGCCAGACGGGTTATATTCAAGGTCCACCATGCCGGGAAGGCTTCGGCCATCAGCAGACCAGCCTCCTCCATGGGCCAAGAAATAGTTGGCCTGAGTTGCGCCGGAGCTGCTGTCAGGATGGGCGAAGTGGTAGCCACCACGGATCAAGCCCGCGTTGGTTGCACCTGTGTAGTGGCTTGAGAACGATGAATCAATGTAGGTGGTACCCTCGGTGGCCTAAAATTGGTCAGTGTGTCGAGTAGACAATGTGACAGTTTAATCCAGAGGTTTTGTCTCACCTTAATTATGACGAACCGAGCACCAGCTGCGTAGGCTGCGGAAAAGTCCACGGATCCCTGGTAGCTAGAGATGTCGAAGCCCTGGACACCGTTTGCACGGGGCTCCAGTGGTGTGGCATGTGCAGCCCCTGCTGCAATAAGAAGAGAGAAAAGTGAAGTCTTCATTGTGGAGATTTGATGTTCAAGTGGCGCCTGCAATTGTTTCGTTGAAGACATTGGTATGGGAGCGTGTCGGGCTATTTAACACTCATGATTTGAAGGCATGGATCAATGCTGGAACGCAATTGGATCAGCATAGTTGATGGGATCCCCAAATAATAAACTCGGGCTCGGTATTGGGGGGCGAGGACTGGAAGTGAAATACGAGCGATGCGTTGCCGAGTGTAGTATTTCTCTAGACGATCGATGCACTAGAGCAAGACAATGTAATTATCCCGGACCCTGAAACACTCCCTGCAGGATCTAATCTCATAAGTTCGGAAAGTAGACCTGGCTCAAATCTAATTATACAATATCATTAGAATTATGCATTTAAGAGCATATCTACCTCATGTATTGGCTCATCATCTAACTGTTTCATGGTGGGAAAGCAACCTTGTTCGTTCCGAGGCGATGCTGCAGATCGCAACTCGTATTCGACGTGAAGGAAATCAAGATCAAGTATAGCTAGTTAAACTTAGCCACGAGGTAACATCGCTTATAATTCATGGTTATATGACGGAGCGATCAGTTTGGATCGGCAAATCGGCTTCCCGTAAGCGAGCAAAGGTTTGAATTCCCCGGAGATTGACTCCAAACCCTTTCCTTCCCCACCTTTCCCCCCTCTATACCCCTTGCATGTGTCTGGGTGGCTGAGATGGACGGAGTGAGCCGTCATGAACACGGGTAACAAGGATTTTCGTGACCAGCTGGGCAAGTTCCGGCTGGAGTCGATGGGACCTACTCCGACTTGGTCGCAACCCACGCAGCCCACTGCCGACCCCATCTCTGCCCTCGCCTCGACCCCAGCTTCGCGCAGCAAACGTGTATCCACGGCTTGCGACTTCTGTCGCAAACGAAAGAAGAAATGCGACTTCCGATACCCCAATTGCTCCGCCTGCACCCGTGCCGGAGTCCGATGCACCATCCCCCCACCCGGACCACAACTCACGAACACCTCCGTGCCCCGAGATCAGCTGGAGAATCTACAAAAAAGAGTACAATGGCTAGAGGAAGTGGTGCGCCGGAAGTCGGGTATCTCAGTCACCGATTTGGCCACAGGCACCCCGGTGGATGGTGAGGGCGACCCAAACTGGTGGTATCAGGTGCCGGCCATGATCGCGACCGGGGGTCGCAGCTCGGCGGCATCGATACCAAGTCCAGCTGGCAGCGGGGGCTCATCGGCGACCGCTGCGCCGCCCGGATCAGAATCATCAACGGGCGTGGGTACCGAGCTGCCCAATGTGGGCGAGATCTTTCGCGACCAGCTGGAGCATCGCCGACCCTCAGTGGCGCGACCTTCTGCCGCCCCGCGCGTGCTGCGGTTATCGTCACTGGAAGAAGCTGCACGGGTTACCGGGCAGTATTTCGACAGCATGGGTTACCAATATCCATTCATGTCGCGACCCGAGTTTATGAATCACTTGCGCCACATCTACAGCGGCGATGTGCCGTCACCTGAAGTACACAACACCTACCATATTATCATCGCTATCTCCTTATTGATTGGGTCTGCCGATCCAACAGAGGCGGCTGAGTTCTACCATGCAAGTCAGGAGACCCTGCCTGCGGCCCTGCAGAATGAAGATCTTCCCGCCATGCGGGCTTTACTGGGCCTGGCACTCTACACCATGTTTGCGACGTCAGGACCAAGTATCTGGCATGTGCTTGGAGCTGCCATGCGACTGGCTATTAGCCTCGGTCTACACAAGGCGCGATCCTACGAGAGTGTGGCGGAAGAAGAGATGGCCAAGCGCGCGTTTTGGAGTTTGTACAACCTAGACCGCCTCATTGCGAGCACGCTTGGCCGCCCATTAGGGATCGCGGATGACGATATCAGCGTGAATCTCCCACGGGAGCTTAACGATGATGGGACCGAAGCTCCAGGTGCCAGTCCGATGACGATCCCACTGCAGGTGATTCGTCTCCGTCGGATCTTTTCGCGCATCTATCGATACTGTAAGTAATTGCTTGACCTCCTGATGTGCTCCAATACTGATCGTCACAGTGTACAGCAGCCTTCCAAGGCCTTCCTCGTCTGAGATTGGGGCAGCGCTAGGTCAATTTCGCCGCGAAGTGGATGAATGGCGCATGTCAGCTCCAGTATATCCTTCGGCACTCCTTTATTCCACCTCCTATTACGACTACTTGTATTATACTACCCTTCTTCTCATGTACCGCCCAAGTCCACGAAACCCCACCCCCGATGTGAACAGCATTGTCAGCTGCGGCGATTCCAGCATCCAAGTGATTCGCTCCTACTGGGACAGCTTCTCCGTTGGCAAACTGAAATGGATCTGGTTAACGCTCAGCCAAGTTTATTTTGCGGGTATAACGATTTTGTGGTGTCTCGAACAGAATGCTCGCTGTTTGCGTGAATGTCGGCCCACGCCATGGAATCCCGATGAGCAGATGATGCGCCGTGGGATCCAAGCGGTCATCGTGCTATTAGAGGAATTTGGCAAGCGACGGCCGGGTGTTGACCGACTTGCTGAGACGTTCCGCCATCAAAGCACAATGATTTTCAGCCAAATGGCCTATCAACAGCAGCAACTAGAAGAGCAGCAGAGACACCAGCAACACCAGCAACAACAGCAGCAACAGACACAACCGCTGATGCCACCTCAATCCTCGATATCATTGGCGCCACCGCCGGCGCCTCCTGTTCCATTGGCTCCTGTTCTGGACGATGTTCTGTTAGTCGATGCCAGCGGCGCTATGCCTATGATCGACCCACACATGGCGGAACAATTGTTCTACTCCTACAACTGGTTCCAGGAAGAAATGGCGACTTATTATACCCTTTGAGCAATTCTTCCATGATAGATCGACAGATGGAGTTATGGTTCGGTTTCTTCCCATTTTATGTATTAGTTTAAGAAAAAGACAACCCGCCATGGCTCATGCGACAATGCAACGATCAATAGACTTTAGTACTCTGGTTCACAATTGTGATGCCAGGAAAGCATATAGAAGACGCCAGTATTAGACATGTAAACATTGCTGTTGAACCTTGGATGTCTTAAAATGACCACCATCGCCTTGTGCTCACTCCACTCTGCAGATAATTTTCCCTGCATTCACATTCGATTCCAGTCGCTTATGAGCGTCTGCGACATCCTTCCATGAATAAACTCGATCCACAGTTATTCGAACCTCCCCATCCTTCAAGTGTGGCATGACCTTCTCAAGAAAAACATCTCGCACTTGACCTTGGTATGCAGCATCGCGAGTCCTCAGCGTAGTCGCCATCAGCCAAATTCGCTTGTTCAGCAAAGCACGAAGATCAAAATCATCGATCTTGCTTCCACTCAGCGCAGCCACAAGTACCATTCTAGAGTCCATAGCCGCAGACTTCATATTCTGGTGGAAGTAATTCCGTCCCACAAGATCCACTATGAGATCTACACCACGGCTGTTGGTCTCTTTTTCAACCAGTTGAGCGAAATCGTCGCCGGATTTATAGTTTGTCGCGAAGTGTGCGCCGAGAGTTTTGCATAAATTGCATTTTTCATCGCTCCCTGCTGTAGTGAAGATCTTTGAGGCCCCTCCTAGCCTGGCTAGTTGAATTGCGGATTGGCCTACTCCTGACGCCCCTGCATGAATGAGGACTGTTTGGCCGGGTTGGAGATTTCCAACGAGAAATATTGCCTGAATCGCTGTGAAAAATGTCTGAAGAGAACGTTAGTATAGATTCTCGCACAAAGCCCAGCGGGGTGCTCTACCTCAGGGATGCCGGCTGCCTCTATAAAGGAGAGGTTTGGAGGTAATAGCATCAACATCTTCTCTGAAACTACGATTTTTTCTGCGTACTGTGGAATTATGTATATCAGCGATTGCTCTTGCTAGTCTCACAAGGTTATTTGTTGGTTCATACCGCTCCACCGTATGCCAATCCGAAGACTTTGTCTCCCGGAGAGAATCTATCGGTGCCTGTCATGAACGTATGTCAGTGGCTGGTATACAAGATTTTTTCTTGGTATCGGGTCCTTACATCCTTCGCCACACTTTTCAACAATCCCACTGAACTCAACACCCATGATTTTACCCGACTCAGGAAGCAATGGGTAAGGGTATCGGTCTTCTCTCTGCATGATATCCATTCTGTTCAGCCCAAAGGCTTCAATTTGAACGAGAATGGATTCATTTGCAAGGGTCGGATCAGGAACTGGGGAATGTCAGCGATGCCCTTGGGTAGTAAAGGTGTTGTTTGCCTTATTAAAGAACGAACCATTGGCATCAATGAACATAGCATCTGCATCTCCCTTGCCATTTTTGACCGATACTGCTCTCATATTGGCGGTTGATTGGATTTCGTATCTTAGTGGTCGACGGAATGCCAAGCGCCCTGGAAAGCCTGGAAAGAAGAATATACGGCAGCGATTAGAAGACTATATACAAAGCGGATCCAATCAGGAAAGAATACAAACTATTCGGCTCAAACTTCGTTCCCCAGTCAAAGGAATCCCACCGGATGGTCTTTCGCAGTTATGCGGACGGAGTGTAAGAATCCGTTATCATGGAGCGTTGTGTAGCGGAAGCTCATCGCCCGCTGTGGGGCAGAGCGGGGAAGTGCGTCACTCCGTGACTGAATCTCTATTATGGAAATTTTTACTTGTGATGCGGGAAGAACAGCGGTTATTTGATAAGATTCATTTCTTATGCCTAGGCATTGTGGACTATGTCGGCTGGCTGCTGGCATGATTTAATTCGGCAAAATCCGTAGAAGTCGCTAGAGGTTCATTCATAAACCCGAACAATAGATCTAGGTCTTGTGTAAACTCTGGGAAGATTGAGTATTGAGTCTCGTCATCTGCAAGTCCTGGTAGTTCTAGGGTTGCAAAGGATTGGAAGTCCAAATTCACATCCATCGTGTGGGGAACATTGATGTCAGGCTCTGTAAAGAAAGAGAGTTAGCGATAGTATAGAAGGAAGGAAAGTATGACATGCTGACCTGGCTCAGGTGGAATGTTATTTGCCTCCATCAAACGTCGGATGATCTTAGCTGGAGCTGACACACCACAATTGGGTATGGCTAGTTCATCCAGGCAGCGCAGGCATATAGTCAATGGAGATGTAGCGTCTCTCCGTCGAGTTGTTTCTTTGATTGTAGGATTTCGTGCATGAATTGTGCAGGCAACATAAACGGCATAGCTAAGCATATAGTTAGCTCTACGTAAAGAGTAGGCGGAGCGATAGGCCAATGCGAGGCTGGTGATATTCCGGGCGGCAGTAATGCATCGTTCCCATGAATTAGCCGGGCTATCAGTCGATTGGAGGTGCCCAGTGATAATAAATGGACGATGCAGCAGGATAATCAGGGCATTGAACGTAGTCAGAAGAATGATGTTGTTTGGTGCAGCCCCCGGTTGGGTTTCCGGTTCGTTCCCTGCCCAGGGCTCAAAGTGCAAATTAGCTGGAAGTTTGCGATACCAGGCAGTCAAACGCTGGTCAATCATGTCAAGGTGTTTTCTTGCCACCTCACCAGTCGCTCCAACAACGTAAAATCGATCGATGATGGTGGTCATGATTTTGGACAGTGAGCATAAATGCTGAAATACGGAGACGGAATAGATCCGTGTCGGGGATGAAGGATTCACCAAATCATTATTTGGAATTTTCGGGTCAATATATGGTATCCATAGTTCGTTCTCCTCGAAGGTGTCCATGAAATCACGAGAAACGTGAGCATCCCGAAGTTGAAGGGTAAAAGGACGGCCAAAGTATAGACTCTGCAGTTTATCACAGATGAAAGCTCCCCAAAACAGTCGGCGGCGAATTTCAACATCTTCAGCACTGCCGGCAACTTCTTTACAGTCAAGATGGAGCCCAAGGTCGTAGACCATCCGCAGGGCATATCCAGTATAGAGCCATCCTTTAGATATTTGCCCGCGGGCGTTAAAGGTGCTTCCTAGCATGAGCAGCCCGGCAACAGTGGGGATGCTTGAATGAGTCAGAAGTGATTGCTCTGCCAGAAGCTGGTCACAGCGATCAAAGAAAAGCTTCCCTGCCGTCTCTGGGCGGGCTGGGTCAGACCGGACCTCCAGCCGCTCTGAAAACTTACTTGAGCAAGCAAATACCGCATTTACTAGGAAGTCGGAACAGTAGGACCCTCCCTGGACGAGGTCTCTCATGAATGCCGGGCGGTATGTCAGCAAAAATGTGTGATGCTGACGATTCCAATGCAGGTCAAGTAGGTGAATTGCCAAATCCGATGGCAAACCCGCTATTGAAGGCTGCCGTAGCAGATCGTATTCTTTCTGGCGTTGTAACGCGGCGTTCGCAATCAATCGATGTCGATCAATTTCTGACCTATTCTTTGAGTCTAACGATTCAGTTTGACTAATGGGGCTGCCGACATGAAATGTGGACGATGGCCCAAAGGCACCCAGTGCACCACACTCGTCCCGCGACAAGAAGGGTGTCGGGTCATAATCCTCATCGTCTGAGCTTGGGTCAAGAGGCTCATCATTTGGAGCGATTGCAGAGATGGCAGATTGCCACCGCTCTGGATCTTGAAAGTTAGTCAGATCGAGAGATCCATTCTTGATGGCTACCGAGTTAAGAATCCCGTCGCGCTCTTTGGGATCCGTATTCTTGAGAGCCAAAATAACATTCTCCAATGCAATTTTTTGTCTGTTGGCCTCATTGATCAAGGCGCGCGAAGGTCTAAGACTGTTAAATTCTGTGAAGAAATCCAGTGGTGAACTCTCACTCACCTTTGTTTGGGCGGTTCAATGACATAAATACAGCGACGGCCGTGGGCCTGACACGAGCCACAGCTGGGCTTGACCGTGTCGCATCTGATCTTCCTGGCTCGGCAAAACTGACATGCACGATTAGGCCTAAATTGAGGACCATTAGGCGAGGAACGACGTGTTGGGCTCATATTCCAAGTCCCTTCCCAATTGAGGGGATATGCGCCAAGGCAAGTTCATCTGGGGAATGTGGAGCTAACTGTGAGGGGGCTGCAGTTGACGCCTAGTTCCTCAGGCAGTAAGACATGCTCCGATCACGGTGTTTCCAGCCTTGGAGAATTGTTGCACTTCTTTTGATAAAGACAATGATGGTTGTGATATATTTTCCTAGGCGAATCTTGAGGATACTACAAGTTTTGATCCCGAGGTCATATGATTTGAAATGTAGAACATCTCAAGCCTGAATTGCCATGCAATATGTATCGCCTTAGGGCTCTCAGGGACTATTTACATGTAGCTTTCTGATTGAACACCACAAAATTGTTTCAACACCCTCGCTAGCCGTACTCAAGATCAGTGCAGTCATCGTAAATCAGAAAAGGTGTTATCTCACGTGCTAAAGGATATCGCATCACGTCACTTAATTGACGTCAATATAAGAGAGAACGGTTCATTATAGCCATGCTATGCGTAAGAAAAGGTGGCTTAGTGGGTATCACTTTTTGATCACCTTCATGCTCCAGTGTAGTCTACAAGCTAGCGTGACCAAGCAGTCGCCTGGGAATGTACTCAATTATATTACTCCCTGCACTTGTATACTGCGCTACTTTAAACGCGGTTAGTGAGAATTTTTAGATAACTCTGTGGTGTTTAATTGAAAAGCTCCATTTACATGGTTTTCATCTACAAATCATAGCATCGGTCTAAGTCAATACTCATGGGATCTCAAACCTTACAAGAAACCCAAGGCCATGTAGTGCACTGTCGTGAAATTGATATTTGAACCATGAATGATGGAATTTATCTGCTATAAGAACAACCTGGTTGGATTGGTGACCCATAACTTTTGCCACACATCATCACTTGGGATCCATTTCCGCAACTTTCGAATATGAGCATCATCATTCACCTCTCGAAATCCTTCTACCTCGTCTATTCTCTGTTGATCCGTCTTTCCCTTCCGTGTCACTCCCAACTGCGTATGAGGCCAGTCTGTACCAAAAACAATCTGATCCGGCCCAGCTTCAATAACGGCCTTGACAATTGGCTCAATGGCCTCCATTTGTGTCTCACATCCATGATAAAGGCGCTCGAATCCCGAGACTTTCACCCAGACCTTCTTCTCCCGCACCAGATCTAGAAAGGTAGCGAACTCGGGTGAGTTTTCTTCTCCAGGAAAGGTTCCTCCGAAGTGATCTGCAATCATCTTGACTCGAGGGTCCATGGTACGAATCATGTCCGCCATGGCAGCCCATGCTCCAACGGGGCAAAAGACGCCAATAGCCCATTCTAGTCTAGCAAGTCGGTGTGCCAAAGCTTCAATCTTCTTCGCGATGTCCCCGGCACCGTTTTGCTTGCCGTGGCCCCAAGACATTTCATGAAGCCGAGCTCCACGTACACCAGCAGCATGAAGAGCATCTAGCTCTTCGTTTGTTATACGAAACGGATCAATTGTTGTGAGCCCCCGAAAAGTATAACCATTCATCTGGTGTTGCTTGTTCAGCGCGTCGATGAGGGAAGCAGGAGATTTGCCTTGCATTGACGCCTGGACAATGACGATATTTCTACAGCCAGTGGTTGAGGTAGGATATTCCGCTATCTGGGCAGGCTTTGGAGTATACGACCGGGGAACGGCGTACGGAAAAGCTTCTGGATCGAAGACATGGATGTGCGTGTCCCATGCACCATTTGGTACAAGATCGGCCATTGTGTTGAAATTGAGAATATGCGACAAACTCTCTGTGACTTATTATTTGTTGATATGATCTGAATTTGGCCTTACTCCTGGAAGGTCATGTCGCCATTAAGTACTCTGAGCTACACTCTGAAGCCCATCCTTACGTCATCTGAGCAACTGCTCATCCGCAAGTCAACGGAGGATTGTTGCCCGTGTGAGGGGAACCGAACTCACAAAGAGCCCAGGAAAATCCTCACCAAATTACGTGACATCGTAAAAGACATGCAATGGAGACACAACGGAGGATCATGGAGGCTTGGTCTATACACATGGTGGGAAATGATTGTCAACGGGCACACCGAACTGGATAAGCCCTAAGATACGTCCCGACATGATCGAGTCTCACCTATAACGACTGCATGATTCAAATCTTGTACTGTAACATGAGAAAGCCCTGGGTAGGAAGGATGGCAAACATCTCACGAGGCCAGATGAAAGCTTAGATATAGCTGGTATATACAAAGCATCGGCAAAATTCATCTTCCAGTAAGAGGTCGCTGTTCACCAATATGCCTATTGATGCTGGACCGCGTCAAGGTTCGTGTACCCCGGATTACCAACTCCGCATCCCCGCATTTCCCCAGATTGATACCTTTTAATGCCAAGACGTATCGCCCTGAGATGCTCCGTTCCAGTAAATCCATTGCAATGGCCAACAGGGCTCCACATGAAAAGGGATATATAATTCATTGTTGCATAGCCCAATGGCTATCTGTCTTTCCACACAACCATACGGCGAGAACGCACAAATAATGGCAGCTTTGGACAAAATAACTGCTATACCAGCAGAAATTGCTTCCACTCTGCGCATGAAGCCAATTCAGGCTTTAGTATGGATGACAGGCTGGGCCTGTTGGACGCTGGGGTCTTTACAATACTATGCATTGCCATTTGTTCTCAGCAATGTCGCCACATATCTGGACACCCCTCAGACAGACATCTCGTCGGCAAATACAGTGACCATGATCTCAAGATTTCTCGGCGCGATCATTTTTGGTATCTTGTCAGATCAGTATGGACGCAAAATTCCTTTAACGATCGATATAATCCTCATGTGTGGCTTTACAATCGCTACGGGATTTGCCAATACCTTCGCTCAGCTTATTGCTTGCCGATTATTATTTGGTAAGTCAGGGAATTCTATTACTGTCAGCATCCATGGATGTTCCTGTCCCACTCAACACATCCATGAACAGGAATAGCATATGGAGGAACCTATGGACTCGTCATGTCCACCGTCTTGGAGGCCGTCCCCGAACGGGCGAGGGGGGTTGTTGCTGGATTCACACAGCAAGGGTTCTCTGCGGGTTATTTGTTCGCATCTGGCTTACATCTTGCAATGGGTGAGCTTGTACCGCAGTATGTTTTGGTTGTTAACTGAGATAATGATACTCTCCAGACCCATATGGCTGGCGGTCTCTATTTTGGCTTTGTGGTGGCCTCGCAGCACCTATCCTGGTCCTCCATCTTCTAGCACCAACTCACTCCGTTGTGACCGCAACGATCCAGGAGATTGATGGCGACCAATTTGTCAACGAACGTGCTGCCGTTGGCGGTAACTTGCCCTTTCTTAAGAAGTTGAGATATGTCCTTCGCTATCACTGGAAGCCTTTTGTGTACGCTTGCTGTTTGACGTCCTGTCTGGCAACATTGGGGCACGGAACTATGGATCTTTATCCAACTTTCCTGGTCACTCAACGAGGTCTCAACATTCACCAGGAGACTTGGGTGACATGCATTCTACAGATTGGTGGCATCTTGGGTGGAGTCACAGGAGGCTTTCTTTCACATCGGATTAGCGCGAAATGGGTTGCAGCTGGAGCAGGTCTCCTAATTGCACCCTTCCTGCCTTTGTGGACTCTTCCCAAGTCTTGGAATCTCCTGGCTGTCGGAGCATTCTTTCTCCAATTCTTTTATGGAGCCGCCATCGGGAATTTGGGTAATCTGCTCCAGCAGCTCTGCCCGCATCCAGGGATCCGGGCCGCGTTCACTGGGGTTGCATATAACCTCGGAAACGCTGTAAGTACTGTTTTTTCTGTCTGGTGAACTACTCGAGCTGAAATCAAATTCTGAAACTAGGTTTCGTCGGTCGCTCCTACAATCGAGACAGCACTGGGTGAGCGATTCCCTTTGAGTGACGGCACGCCTGATTACGCTCGTACACAAATGATTGTGGTTGGAGTAGTAAGTTACCATTTCATCTCCCGCTGTGAATCATGAATAACACCATTAGGTAATTTTTCTCCTAGTGACCGTGCTATCCTTGATGCCCTTGAAGAGCCTAAACAAGAGCTGGGACCAGGAGGATCCGAATAGGGATATTCCCAGTCAAGCTGTGATGAATGAGGACATGATTTTCGAATCTACTCGAAAGTCTGATGAGAAGCCAACCTCCGAGATGGTTGCTTAGGCTAGTGTTATATGAGATTTGATTGTATCTTATCCAATTTTCTTTTGAAGCCGCGCTACTGGGTGTCAGGAGGGAATGATATACAATTTTCAATAACGAGGCGAATTGTCTCATCTTGTTATGATATTCAGTGACTTTGACATGCCTCGGCATCCAATTCGGAAAGACACTGGCCGGAACTACCTTGATTAATCTGATGTGAAACCGGAGATTTATCTTAATCTTATTGATTCTGAAATGTATATGAAATGACAAGGAACAATTCCGAGGGATTCCCACTACACATCATTTATAAAATCTTTGTTCCCAAGAAAAGATTTGAAGGTGAATAGCTTAGGCTTCTGTCGCTCGAGCGACAAGGCCCTTCTCATTCTGTTCCTCCGGAATCCAGGATTCGTCAACAACATCCGCGACATACTGCTCGTTATCAAGATGCTTGAATCTCCACCAGAAGATTATAGTCTGCAATCCCAAAGCCACAGTGGGAGCTCCCCAGATCCAGATCAGATATGGGTCCATAGTGACTGGAACCAAGATCTCGCCGATGGCACTCGACAAAGCATTCGTGAAGAGGAAGATCGCCATCACCAGGCCCTTCATACTCTTGGGAGATCGGGCATAGGCGAGCTCGTAAGCGGTAACATTACAGAAGCACTCACTCAATGCGCCGAGAGACAGGTTGGGGATCTGCCACCAGATGCTAATGTTTGCAACCTCCGAGCAGGTAGACGCGTAGGATCCACATGGCGACAGGCTATACACCTTCCATTGCACCAGCGTGCCAGCAAGGCCTGAGACCATTGCGAGGAAGAAGCCAAATGTGATACGGGTGATTGGGCCAATTCGAATGTTACGGCGGTCCAGAGCTGGGTAGATCACGTAGGTCAGGATAGGGATAAAGACAATGATGGTGATAGCGTTAAAGTTGCTGAGGAGATCGTTGGGTGCACCATTTGTCACCATTGATGCACCTTGGTTTGTGGAAACGGAGCCGATGCCTCCGTCGTTCAAAATCCAGATCGGCATAAAGCAGAAGATATCACACGCAGCTAAAGGAGGCAAGATACAGTCAGCATGTGAGCTAAATAAGTCCAATTCTGCATAGACATACCCATTGTCTTAGCAACCTTATCTACAGCACTGTCGGTCCATTCAACTGTGAGACCCTTAGCCTGCAAGGCTGTCGGCTTGACTTCATTCCAGAAGTTCTTGCGCCACACTTGGAATTTGTTGTGTTTTAGGGCGGACATCATGATTTTGAAGGCTTGCGTGATTTCCTTTCCTCCATTAGGAGGCTCTTTGTAGGTCTTCTTGTAGACAGCAAACAGAAGGATGGGGAGCAAGAAGTAAATGATCCCCGACAATAAGTATGCGAGCCAGTAGCCAACATACTTTTCAGCATATGTGGTCGCAAGCATGTAGAAGGCACCAACGTTGATGAATCCATAAAACAGAAGCATTGTTCGCGTAGCAGTTGCTTCCGGATCGACAATGACTCTCTCCCCGGATTTCAAAGTCTTCACATAAGCTGTCTTGTGTCTGTTTTGGTCAAGGATAGTTGGCGCAATGTTAGGCTTGAAGATTCCAGCACCCACTGCCAATATCAAGAGTCCGATAATAAATGGCGGAGCAGAGTGGCTTGTACCCGCTTCGAGGACTGATGGAATGGCGCCAACGATCTGAATAATGTGGGCAACACCGCAAATCAAGACGCCGACGATGATGGCCTTGTAACGGCCAACGTAAACATCGGCCCACCAACCTCCAAAGATCGGAACGACGTATGCCAGGAAAACAAACAACAGGACTAGCGCATCACTTGCTTGAAGACCCATGCCCAGAGCGCCAGCTGTTTCCTCCGTTCCCCTTGGAGGTGCACCGGCACCATTACCACCTGAGACGTAAAATTAGCCATTGCCACGAGCATAAAGACGCATTGTGGACATACCCTCAGGTAGAGGGAACTCAACAAAGTTAGAGTATACCGTATAGGCCCCATAGTATGATGCACGCTCAGCAAGTTCTACCAAGCAGAGCGAAAAGGAAACAAGTGGCATGGATCCTGCCACTTTCCGGAGCGTTGTGCTCTCTTCCTCCGTAGGTGCTGGGTAGTCATCTTCTGAAGAATCGAAGATCACTTCACCCTCGCCCACCCTCGCCTCCTTGACCTTTTCCGAGGGAGAGGTTATAACCTCAAAGGTCTCGGAGCTGACTTCTACCGTGCCAGCCCCCTCCACGATGTGGTCTTGCCCAATTTCTCGTGAAGCTAGCCACAAGTCAGTTACATAGGAAGATTTTCTTCGCCGTCCAGAAATATTTACCCATTGTGCCCTGTCCAAACTCTTAGAACAAAGGTCAAAGGGCTGAAACGTGAACCCCGTAACATGGGGCCTGAATCATTGCCTTATATGCTGAAGCTGCAAGACATCGCGATGCACGGACCACATATGAAGACGACACTTACGCGTCAATCTCGACAATCTAGAGCCAATCTCGGCCTCGACCTGCTCTATCTGAGTGGTGGGCAGGCACGGCTGGTGGGGATATAGCGATAAGCTAAAAAGATCTAGGGCACTAGTGGCACCCCCTCACGCTATAAAGATAAGGCATGGCGAATGTTGTGCAATCTTAGACACTAGTAATATATGCAACAATCTAAGCGAGCTAGAACGTGCCACAGGACTTGGAGTGTAACATCCATCATTGGACCATAGACCCTAGATAGCAGCTTTGACGTCTCTACCGTCCCTTTCCCCGCCCCACCACCTGTTAACTCCCTACCAAGAGCTGATAGCTGAATTGAACCTCCTTTCCCTTCTCGGTGGCATCTGCATGCTCCATAACAATAAAATTAAAGTCGTGTTTCCTTGGCCCGGCGGACTTCCGCCTGATATCCCTGTTAATTTAGCCTTTATAAGTTTCGGCAAATATACTTTCACGCCGAGAGACTGAATGTCAAGCTTTTATGCCAATACCCAATGGCACTGAGATAAGTCCAGTGCGTCATCAATGCTCCGCTATTGCCGTATGTAGCTTCTTTATCTTGTTTTTTCTAGCAAGGGGAGATATTATAGCCGATATCGCATCGGCAGCACGCAGGACTCGGTTACAGGCTATCTCTGGCAATTTTTTGATGACCAATCTTCCGAGATGCGATATAGAACTGGATAATATCACAATACAAAAGAAGGTGGGACGTTCTTTGCAATCTTGGAAGAAAGGGGGTCTGTATTTTGGAATTTCACGCTAATGTGGGGTTCACACCATCCAAATAACGGATTGCGTTACATCTCGCCATTTTTGCTTTCAGCCTGCGCACGCGGGATGGAAAATTCAAGGTGGCCTTGCGCTTGCAAGAATGCGGCAAAATCTCATATGTACCGTAGGTGCCGTCACACCAAGCGAATAAGAATGACACGAAAAGGAAGGTGATGAAATGTAAACAGCACGCATAGGGCGAAAGAGAAACAGAAACCCCTGAATCTAGACTACCTCAACTGCTTCGAAACACAATGCCAAGCGGCAGTATGATGACGACATTTAGTGGCGTCGTTATTGGAGTTGAGGAACTACCGCCGCAGGGGCATTGCATATTGCGAGGACTTTTAGAACACGAACCGTACATAATGAACAGTGGACACAAAGCCTACTCCGTAGCTTAACCACGAAAGTGTATGGATACTGATACACTAGCCGTAATCATTCTTTCTTACTCTCAGATCAAATTTCGTCAAACTCAGATCGACCCGTATCGATATCAGCCTCAAGCGGATGCACAAATGAGGGCCGCATGATAATCTTATGCCCAATATACAACACGGAAAACAATATCAGACTCAGATAGTTAATGAAGAAGTCCGTCACACTGAAACTGGGGATAAAAGAAGTAAACCCTTGTGTGATAATAATCAAGACATTGAAAAAGAGTCCATACCAAGACAAGTATGGTTGCCAAGTCGCCTTGTAAGGCAAAGTGTCCCTTGAAATACCACGTGCCTTTAACGCTCTCATAAAGCCAAGGTGGCAGATGATAAGAGATGTCCAGGTAATAAACCCTGCCAAGCCGGCGATTTGCAATAGCCAATTGAAGACTGTGCTGCCTGCATTGGACACATTCAAAAAGCCCAGAAGGCCAAACAGCGCCGTAAATCCCACGCTAATGTAGGGCACTCCCCACTTGGTGGTTCTGGCGAAACACTTGGGTGCAAAACCCTCGTAAGACAAACCAACCAGGATTCGACTACCGCTGTAAACATTGGAGTTAGCGGCAGAGAGTACCACTGTCAATAGAACGGCGTTGATAATAGAGGGTAGCACATTCACACCAGCACGCTTGGCAGCAATGACAAAAGGTGCTGAATTCGCATTGTTGGCACTGGCACCGCTTCCCTCACTGCCAGTGAGACGTTTATCGGAAGATGGAACAACAATTCCGATGAAGAAAATCGTCAAGATAAAGAAAAAGATAATCCGGAAGAATGATTTACGGATGGCGGAGGGGATTGTCTTTCGTGGGTTCTGAGTCTCGCCTGCGGCGATACCAACCAGCTCTGTACCTTGATACGAGAATCCGGCTTTAATTAAAACGGCCCAGAAGCCGATGAACTTTGCTAGTGCATCTTGATCGGGATTGGTGAGCAGATAGGCGTTGAATGGACCTGGATGGACCCAGTATCGGAAGCCAATATATCCTTCCTTGCCAACTCCAGCATTCATACAGATGGCAAAAATCATGAAACCAACCACGGTAATTACCTGAATGTTGCGGTTAGCAAGCCAGTATCTCAGTTAAAAGGCCATTCACAAAGTTCACCTTGACACTAGATAGCCAGAATTCGGCCTCGCCGTAGTAACTAACCGGCATCATATTCAAAGCGATGATCACAACCCAGAACACTGCAATGAAAACAGCAATAGGGATAGAGTTCTCCCAATACTGAATGATCATTCCCGTGGCAGTCAATTCGAGTGCAAATGTTGATGCCCATGAAAACCAGTAGATCCACCCCATTGCGAAGCCAAGACTCGGATCCACCAGACGTGCCGCGTAGGAAGCAAATGCTCCAGATACAGGCAGGAAGGTTGCAACTTCTCCGAGCGACGTCATGACAGAATACACAATTGAGCCAACAAACATGTAAGCGAGGAGTGCCCCAACAGGCCCTGCGTAGGAGATTGCTGTTCCACTACCGATGAATAGTCCGGTTCCTATCGTACCACCTGTGCCAATGTTAGTTTTGGGTTCTGTGCGGCAATAACATGGATCTTACCAATTGCGATCATTGACAGATGTCGGCTTTTGAGTCTGCGCTGTAGATCAGGCAACTGATTCATTTCACCAGCAACCCCCTTCTCCTCGCCATTGATATCATATTGATTCGCACCATCATCTCTGGATATAGAGTCCTCGTTGTTCTTCTTTGGTAAATCGGCATGATCGGTGGGTAGCTCATTAACCATTTTCTGCTGTATTCGGAAAGTACAAACAGTCTCCGTCAATGAAATGGGAGATTCAATGATATTGACGATATTAGTATTCGATATCCAACGGCACTCTCCGCGGGGTGTTCTTCTATTTTCCGGGGCCCCAGAACCTCCGCACTTCGCCGGGCCGGGAGAGATCCAAGGATCGACGATGATCCACCATTGCGACCGAAAGAGAAACTCCGGGCGATGGGAATAGTGGGCCCTTAAATTAACACTTTTGGCACCGTGGGGCGTTAGGCAATCGACCAGTCACAGTGTGAGGATGCCGTTTAGCATGAAGCTACGCGTTAGCAGTCTTGTTCATGATGCACTTCCCCCACAGTGCCCAGCTGTACCGGGCCGGTGTTGAGGGGAGGTGGACCCGTTGAACGTGAGACCTTCGTTTATTTGATCTAGACGTGGGGTAATAGTGGATAATGGTGGGCAAAGGTAGATAAGGCATGGATTATACAATTGATGCTGTCATAACTTTTGTGCGCTTGAACAGTAGTGTCACCATCGTGTCCAAGCACTGAGGCACATATCCAACGAATTGCAGATCTCAGGTGGCGTATTCGTATTCAATGGCACCTATTTTGTCGATCGCGGGAGCATTGATGAGAGGCGCCATGGGTAGAGAATAAAAGGGCCACGAGGCAGCTATCAAACGTGGAGGGACAGAATGGACCAGATTGGCTTTCATAAACAGCTCTTGAATTTTGTGATTTAGATATGAAGAGAAACATATGCGAGGTTGCCTTTACTCCACTTTCATCTCTTTCTTGCCAAAGCGGTCTCGCAAAGCAACCAATCTGCCCAAAAGCCGGCTCTTCAAGGTTTGCGCATTGAGAGCAGCCGCTTCTTCCACGGAGACAACCCGCCTCACCAGGATATTGAAAACAGTGCCAAATGCAAGGGCAATCACGGTGCTGGTGAGGATAATCACATTGTAAGGCATACTGAAATCTGGCGTCGGCAGGGGAAGAAGGAGACTGGTAGTCCGAATGTATAATGGGCGGGAGTTCGCACCATCTAATACTCGAATCACCGCCGGGGCAACATTGAAGCCTCGATTGGCATCTGGAGGGTACTCTGTGTATCGCAATACAGCCTTCTCAAAGTCATATGTCAGGGTGACGGTCGAAGCGGCGGGAACAGAGAGAGCAAGCTCTAGCTGAGTTCCTCGTTCACGATCGATGGCGGGTCGATAGAAAGTCTCAGTCACGAGATCAGACGCGGGAATCTCCCGACGTACCCCATCGCGTCCCGTAATAGTAGCCTGCAAAGTATGGATATATGGACGTAGGAACCAGGGAAGCGATTCGAAATAGATAAATTCAACCGCACTAGTCTCAGAAGGGTTGCCGAATATGATACGCATGCCGCCACGCTCTTGCCCGTGACCAACGATCGTTCGCTCGGCATGGAGGACAGGCTCCTGAAGGGGCACCTCGGTCTGTAGTTGTTGCTCTGGGATTGAAAGGTCAAAAGGCCCCGAAGCAGGCAGAGAAAAGCAGCGGGTGAAACCGTCATCCTTCTTCAATTCCGAGGCCCCGGGGGTTGTGAAAACTCCCTTCTCATGAGGAACTCGAAGACAAACGGATTGTTCACTCGAGTCTGCAAGAGGGCAGATACCATTCAAGGTCTTTCCAAAAATTTCGTTCAAACTCCACGCCTTATCAGTCACCTTTTCCAAAGGATAGCACGTGTCGTCAGCGTTGTAATGCTTGGAAGTATCACAAACGAGCTGGTCGTTCGACACCGGCCGTGGAATTGGATTATCTATGATGGGTTATTCATTGCATCCTAAGTAGGATATAAGGTGGAGACCACGTACCTCGCGGTCGCTTCGACCGTTCAATGTCGAGAACCATATCAACGGTCTGTTCAATTTGAACAAGGCAGTCACCGTCGGATGAGCAGATGGGTTGCACATCAACAGACATGCTTTGCCATGCTGCATCGAATAGTTTGTGACCGTCGAAAAGAGTAGAGATTCCAGTTTTGCCCTTGCATGGAAGCAGTTTCAAAAATGGTGTGAGGTTTTCGGTGCAAACTACCTCTCCAGGAAGTGTTCCATGCAGAAGGTGTAGTGAATTGGCGTCAGGATGATGCCCTGTGGGCTCAAATGAGACGACTGGTCGTGTTGTTCGAGTCGAGTCGACGAAGTTCAAGGATGCACAAAACAGGCCGGACAAGGATTGAGTTAAGGTGATCCAGTTTGCGAATGCTCTGGGTAAAGTCAGTATACATTCCCCACATTCGCGTATACAGAACGTACTCCTCGTCATCTGCTGCATCAATCCATGCCCAGAGCTCCACGCCGGTGCCTCCTTCCTTACTTCCATTCCATGGCCGTGAGCCCCAGCTATCTGCATCCCATCGTCCGGTTGTAAAGCGCAAGTGAAGCTCTTTGGTATGCGCGTGCTGAAGAATCTGGCCAAGTGCTCTTGGCACGTATCGGAAATGCTGGTTGTCGAACGATTGTTGCGAGGAATTACCCCGGAAATTGAACGAAGCTAGGAGGGAAGATTGCGGAAGAGGTTGAAGGAAGAGTTGTTCATGGTAGTCGGACGAGGCTGAAACAGGTGAGCTCCATAATGTGACAGCAATTGCCAGCAGCAGAGAAAGGAGTGAGGGGACCGTCATCACTTCATGCCGGAGCTCGGTTTGTGCTGCCCCTAGTCCATGCGAGATCTAGCAGGATGTAGACTCCGGGGTGGTTGCGACCGAGTAACAACCAGGTGCACAGGATGACCACGGGAGAAATCCTGAAGCTTTCCGGAATTGTACGAGGCAAATGTTGGAATGCAACGGAGTTCACAGTTACAGCCTACAGGAGTCCATCTGGTCTGTTGATCGCGCTCTCACCGCCTTGCCTAGCGCCCGCGTCTCCAATCAACGTCCAAGCTTCTATACTTCTGAAGTCAACTGTTCGCTAATAACGATGAGCATGATGCTGAAAGACTACAGCATCATGCAAGAGCTAATCAACTGTCCTAGTTGGTATGACAAAAGACATACATATACAGTTGCTGAGGATCTGATGCTTCATTGCCAGTTTACCCGTGGCCTTAAGGCATCAGAACTCTGATATCGTCCCGGATCTCACAAGTGACACTCATATAATATAGAGGACACAAAGCAAATTTAATTATTCTTCTTCCCACTGACTTCTCGCTTTCGGTCTCCACAGTTCTTTCCCTGAAATTACTTTCTACATCGACCTACACGAGTATCAGGTCCCTCCCAACGGTGGTTTGAGCATCATCAAATCTGTGATAGTGGTGCGAGTCACCCCTACCGGATCTTCTACCGGGTCTACTACCAAGTATTTTACCGAGAAAGGTGTCGGTCCCCTGACCACGGCAGAGCTTACCCGAGAGGTCATTATCATAGTTGGTGGAGCGGCCCTTGTAGCAATAGCTCTATGGCCAGGAGGCTAGTAACATTGAGTGCAACTGGATTACTACATTTCATTTCCCAAAAGGATGTGATGTTTTTGTCAGTATAGGCCGACTTTTGCTCAAAGTCAGCAATAATACCATCTGCAATTGATATGTCAATGATCTCATATACTGAACAAGCTAAAAGCGTAGTAATTGGTATAGATCATCATATATAAAGGACTCAAAAGTACATATATCCGTAGAATATGCGGTGGGGTATGTATGGGTCATATGTGCGACCGGTATGCGTGCAAAATCAAAAACGACAGCATTGTGACCAGTCCTCAAACTGTTCACTTTCCTTCTGAAAGCCTCGCAGTGATATCTCAGCTTTATTAACAATGGATTATAGCGTGTATCAGTGAGCTAAACTCTCAGCCCCCTGCCATCGCTCCTCACTCGTCCAATAGCGAACCACACTCTCCCAAGCGGGAATGTCACCATCTCGGAGTAACGCCGCAACATCTACATTTAATGGGGAGTCGGGCTGCGGGTCCGTCAGCAGCTGTTGAATGGCGGTGAGGGTTGAGGAAAGCGTATAAACGGGGCTCCAGTGTTCGGTGGTGAGAAGTGTCAAGCAGATCTCGCCGGTCGTAAAGGAGATATTAGGGTGGGAGATTCGGGTGGTAAAGTTGATAGTGGGTGGCGCAAGTGGATAGTTATGTGGGATGGCGATGCGGAGATGCCAGAGGCCGCCTGGTAAACGTTCATCGTGGTGAGCTTGGGACAGAACGCGCAAATGGGGAGATATCAATGCACATCCGCCGATGATGACGGGAATTGGGCATACCTGCGTAGGGAGATCCATTCACGCCCTTTAGGACCGCCTCCCAGCGGAGCAAGTCCTCCTCATCAACAGGACCGAGGTGGAGGAGAGCTTCATTGGGCGACTTGGCATAGTCTTTGAGCTCGCGCAGAAGGCGCTGGGTTGTTTGACCTGACGGAGCTGCCATACTGGAATGGGTTATGCAAGAGTGAATCAATGAAAGAAGACGAATGCGACAGCTCTAGAGTAAAGTTGGGGAGTTGGAGCAGATCCAGTGTGGGACCGAGGCAGGAAATCAGGGGATGACTGCTGATTGGCGGGATCATGCTTTGGTTTTTCCCCAGTTTGATTGGGAGGAGAATCCACCATGTGAAGAGGTTCCACCTCCACTTTTTGCTTTCTACTTCTCATACCACTCTCACTCCACACAAGATGCGCACCTCAAGAGCTTCCAAAGAGACCTCAAGGGTCTTGCAGGCGCTTTCACCTCCTGCGCACCGACAGACACGAAGCAGAACTTCACTCAACGCGAGTGCCTTGCGCAATTTTGCCTTCAATGGCGACTCGACCATTCAACCCGAATCGATTCCAACAATCGCTAGCATTCCTCGTGATATGGATGATGATGAATCCTCACTATCATCTGCTAATACCACTGATATTGAAGATCTCCTTTCTCCGCCTACGAAACGCCGGAAGCCCAATGCTAGCACTACTCCCCTGGCTGTCTCCCGTCGTGTCCCCAATAGGCAGCCTCGACAGGTGAATGTGAAGGATGAGCCTGAGGAAAATGAGATTCTCGCACAACCATTGACACCATCTTCCTCGACGCGACGTGTACCCACGCGTCGAACTCGGGATGCTGATGTCGTGGAGTCACCATCCATTAAGTCAGAGCAGGCGATTGTGAAAGATGAAACTGAGTCAAAGAAATTACTTCCACAACCGAAAGCGCGACGCATGCCAGCACGCCGCATACGAGATGCTATGGGATCTGTTGTCGTGGAGCCGCCTTCCAATTGGGAGGTCATGTACGACACAATAAAGAAGATGCGTGAGGATAATCCGACAGCGCCAGTTGATACCATGGGCTGCGCAGAGCTCTACTGGCGCGCATCCGCGCCTAGGGAGCGCCGCTTCCAAACCTTGATTGCGCTGATGCTGTCATCGCAAACAAAAGATACGGTAACCGCCGTTGCGATGCAACGCCTGCACACTGAACTTGGAGAGCCTGTTATGAAAACCGAGCCTACTGGCGATATGCAAGTCAAAGCCGAGGTCGATGACACAAAAGAGGCCGAGTGGAAAGAAGCAGACAGCACCCTTAATTTAGAAAATATCCTCGCCGTCTCACACGAAAGACTCAACGAACTCATCCACACAATTGGCTTCCACAACAACAAAACAAAGTATATCAAATCTGCTGCTTTGATCCTCCGTGACCAATATGGTGGCGATATCCCATCCACCCCAGAGGGGCTAATGTCTCTCCCCGGTGTGGGCCCTAAGATGGCGTACCTATGCATGAGCGCCGCATGGGGTAAGCACTTGGGTATCGGTGTAGATGTACACGTCCACCGGATTACAAATCTATGGGGCTGGCATCAGACCAAAAATCCAGAGGAGACACGCCTTGCTTTGCAGTCGTGGCTACCGCACGAGAAATGGCACGAGATTAATAAGTTGCTCGTTGGCCTTGGACAGACAGTTTGTTTACCTGTGAAGCGTAGATGTGGGGAGTGCTACCTTGCTGGCACGAAGCTGTGCAAGAGCGAGGTTAAGGGTTCAGCGGCTCATCCTAGGCAAAATCCTAAACGTGATGAGCCAAAGATCAAGATAGAGACGGTTGTTGAGGCGACCCCTACGTCTGAAGAGCCGGGGGTAAAGACCGAGGCAGTTGTTAAGACGAATCCTATGGTCGAAGATCGAAAGGTTAAGCTTGAGAGTGTATCATAGTGTATAATGCTACTATATAGAGGGACAGTACTATTTACTTCATAATTTTCAAGAGTATATATCTATACATTCTGTTGCTACTAGGTACCCGTGGACTTCTAGGGTGCTGTAAATTCTGTGTGTAATGCAAAAGGGTATAAGTAAGATCACCGCCGAAGCCTATGTAGGTACTATACAAAAGAGAGACCAGCTCTATTATATACGAAGAGAAGGGTGCAATCAACATGAACGCCATGCGAAGTCGATAATGTCGTGGACGACTTTTCGTCTTAATCCAGTATAAACACTAAGCTTTAAGCTTATCTTAAATCAACCGCGCGTCGTCCTAGCCTCACTTGTCAGTGGCAAATACTAACAAATCATTTGAAGGAACTCACGAGGGAACTCACGCTTCCTTGGAGATTTCCACTACCAGGTGGTCATGTTCCGAGCCACCAGCTTGCGCATCGGTACGGGTCGTAGCCGAATGCGGATCTTTATTTTCAGAACCAGTCTCGCTCTCCTCCCCATCGGCACAGCCGCAGTCGTAGAACGAGCCCAGGTTGTTACAGTCAAATTCTGGCTTGTCGAGCATCTCATTAACTTCATTGTGAACAAAGCAAGCCCATCCCGCTGCGGCCTTTCGTGATGAAACCTGCGGTGGGTACTTATTGATGTGTTGCTGGAAATGTTCGGCGCATTCACCGCTGTTATACAGTTAGCCCCCCATTGATGTTATGCGAATGTGGCGAGGACGTCAGAAAGCTTCGATCCAGCCCACATTAAAGAAAAAATTCAAAAGACCATGGTCATACCAAGGATACAATCGCGCGAAAAGATGGATGTATGTGCGTAAAGCGTCTTGTTCGTCTTGGGTGGGCTTTTCGGGGAATCGTGCCATAACGGTGTGGAAGTACTTCCATGTTGCACGGCCTAGCTCAGCTCTGCAAAGGAATGGTCATAGGCCCACCGGTTAGCATGGTCTGCTCTCCATCCAAAATACATTGTGGATTGGTGTCCTTCTTACTTTACTGTTTCATTTCCAAGCTTCGGCATCACCACTGACCCCTTCAGCAAGTCCTCCTTGATGGTCGAACCCGGCACGGGCGCAGGTGCAGGTTCATGGGTAATATGTCCTGGGGCTCGAATCGCGGGACTCGGCGGGCCTTGGGGCCGAATGAAGAGGAAGAAAACGAAAAATATTGAGAGTGCCGCGCTGATGGCGATGCGCCTTGTGATTTGTCGATTGGCCATCTTAAGTGTTAAAGAGGCGAACGCGCAAGATGTTGCCGGATGACGCCACGCTCGAAGGAACTATATTTTGCAGGGTATTATGCGGCCGCAGAAAAGAATGAAGGTTTGATTTGGAAACCAAGAGGAAGATGAATTTCCGAATGAGTGTAGAAAGCTTCAAGGAGTGAATTCACGTGTTGCGATAGGGGGCTTAGTCAGGATCCGTTCGTCGCTTTTTCCTGACTCTTCTATAGAGACTCATCATTGTCAGACTGACGACTCGGGGATTTATGAGTAACCTTGGAAAAACTGCTATAGGTATAGGATGGCAATTAATTGGTTTTTTTGAAGCAGTCTTGCAATGTCTCGACTATGAATCCTGCCGATCATCGTTCTCCAAAATCAAGCAAATCCCAAGCCCCACATCCATGGATCAGATATACTCCGCATCAGATAAATGTAGTATGCGATCTGATCATTAAAGATTACGCGGGGCAGTAGCGAACTTTGGATGCAGTATGATTATTGAAGACAATAACGACATATTAGACCCATGCGCGACAAAAAAAAAAAATTTCAACAGCAGCACAGAATATTTGAGCCCAACAGAAACAAAAGGTAGATAGACCCAAGGTCTATGAATTCAATTCCAACGTCCACTTTATCAAAAACATGAATTTTCATCACACATGGATCATCCTAAATGATAGCCGGGGTATTCAGTGCCGGCCAGCGGCATTCCGTGGGTAGGGGATTGAGAGTAAGAAGTCCGAGTCGGCATTTCCATATAGCCTATGGAGTTATTCATGAGCAGATCTTGTAAGGCCGCAGAATCCCGTTCAAACTTCTCGAGCGGGGCTCGAAGATTCCACTTTCGATCTGCATATGTGAGTAAATCTCTGATATATGAGAGACAGCGAATTGCGCGAGGGCGACAGTTTATTCGGTCTCCTGCGACTAGCATTGGAGGGTCAGGAGTACCTGCGGGGACGGCAGGCGGGGTCGGCACAGTTGTACTGAGGAGCAGATCATAATTTTGGGAGAGGACATCCACGAAGCGACACGATACTTGCTGTACGCGTTGGATGTCGAGGAAGTTGAGGAAAGGGAGGTAGTTCGGTTCGTCAAGGACTTGGTGGATCTGGCTGATGTAATCCATGGATCGGTCGAAAAGCAGCGCGTTGTTATAGTCGCAGAGAGTTGGGTATCGGTGAGAAGGGGATAGGAGAACGATTATAGTATAGAGTGATTCAAGGCGGTATAGGAAGGGAAAGTGGTTGGGAGCGTTTTGGGGACATTCGTTAAGCCATTGTTGAGCCCGGTAGCATAGGGTCCAAATTTGCACAAGTGGTTGTGGTGATGGCTCACGCGAACTGTAATGCATATCTGTGTACCCGGAAGATAGGATCTGTCGGATCTTGACGATATGTAAAGCCGGTGCTGGGCTTCGTAAAAAGATGTGGCTTTGATCGCTGGCCGAAGATGTGGTCGAGTTGCTAGTGGAGGGCATTTCGACGCTAACAGAATCGTCGGAAAATGAGAATGTCCTTTGGAAGGCAGTACTAATCCCCCTAATAGAGTGTTAGCAATATTGTCAGCCCCGAACAACAAGTTTCGAGTCGGTACCTGTCCAGGACGTAAAGACAATGAAAGACCCGACGACGAATGTCAAGCCGACTCGAGTTTGACAAGACCTCAGCAGGTGGATCTTGATGAAGGCCCAGATCTACCGCTACCCTGATTGCCATTCCTACCAAAAACCAGCTACGAAACCGCCCCGGGTCTACCAAAGCATACTGAGCCAGCAGTAGGATTGCCTGGATGCAAGTGATAGATCCCGGCCGGAGGACATCTTCAGCGTATGTCAATGCCTCTGCCACGAGGCCCAATGCTCGTTGGTGGCTCTTGTCATTGTTCTGATATGAGACTGATGCAGACGCAATGGCTAAGACCATACGGAGCATCCAGTGGTCAAATGGTTTGGCAAAGCGGCCTTGTGATTGATAAACCGCATCGACCGATGTCCAGAAACTAGTCTCGACAAAGAACGGTAGCTGAACAAAGATATTGTCGAAGTAGTGTTGCAGCAATGGAGTCGCCTCGTGTCGCGCGGGAAGTGAGCTTGGGGTTGGTGAAGGGGGAGATCCGACAGTCGTAACCGATAAGAGTAGATTGGCAAAACTGGTCGTGGATGTGATGCCGTGGAAATCGCGTGAAGTCGCATTCACTGATAAGAACCCGAAATCACCAACTAGATCATCAATATCAGAGACCTCGCGGCGATGCGCTGTTCCTGGAGGACCAGTCGATGATGTCGCGGTGATGGACACCTCCCGTGCGACCCCGTTCCCTTCAGCTGATAAGGAACTTTGACGATCTCGCAACTGGGTAAGTTTCTTTTCTAATTTTTCACAGTAACCCTCGAGAGACGCGACATAGCTTCGCTCCTTGCCTTTGGCGAACTCGTCACTAGCACCCGAGCAGGTGCTCGCTTTACCAACTTTCTCGCAAGCGGAGCAAGCGGGAAGCTTGCCATCGCATTTGATTTTGGCAGTGCGACAGCGCGAGCATGCGGCGACGGGCCGGCTAACCTTTAGCAAGGGATTATCCAGAAATGTAGTGGCCGTGGGCATGGTCGCCGATATCCCACGCGCAATAAGTTGAGATCGGGTTCTCAAGATTAGTTCGTAGGATGTGGGTTGCAAGGTTTACATTCCCCGCTGGGGCATCAATATTGGCACAATAACGGGTTTCTGACCGCCTGAGCGCTAATACACGATACTCACCTCCAGTACCCCTGTTGCATCAGAACCCTAGTATCTAGTGCAACTATGCATTGTATGGTTATCATTAGAATACTGCCGTATAGTTGCATCCCAGCATCCATGGATTTGGATACGTCCTTTTGCTGCCCCCACTACGTGTGGAGATACGAAACATGAGTTTCAGCTTCCAACGTTGGAGGGAACACGGTCAAATGTCTTTCCAAAGGTTCTAAATTGGTACCTAGTACAACAGATTACAGAGTCACGATTCAAGATATATCTTGTGACTTGCATGTTGGCCTACATTGGTCAAATTGGGAACAGTATGGATCCATGGAAGCACATTCCTATTTATGGCTATCAACCGCCGATTCCGGTCTGGGGATAATATGTGCTACCAGCATCACTCTCCATATTGTACAACACTGCCTAAAAGCAGCTTCGTCGTTCTTCAACTTGTTCATTTCATCATAGGCTTGTTCACCGAGACTCATCGGTTTCCATAACTTCTTCGCGCTGCATAGCCATTCGAGTCATGACGTCCCGCGCCGCAACCTTGGCTTTACGCTGTTCTTCTGCCATAGCCGCAGAGCCCTCGATGCTGATGCCGCCACTATCACCACCCCCATTTGTTACCTCACCATCTTTAAAAACGATCGACTGGCCGTTGACATTTCCTTCCATAGCTTCTTGAACCGAAACGTCTGTCTCGCTTGGTGCAGAACGCTTAAGTTCTACCGGGCCCATAGATCGTGATCGAGTTGTGCGTCGAGGACGACCACGGTTAGATTGTTTTTGTGGACTAGAAAGAGCCGCGGGGACTTGAATAGATGAGCTGGACTCGGCCGCCTCCGAGCCTCCTGGAGAAGTGTTTGATGTTTGGGGGATGTTGGGTTTGATAGTCGTGTTGACAGACTTTCTCGGCCGGCCCGGACGCTTTTTCTCAGAATTGTATTGTGATCGAGACAGATCTATAGATGATTGGGTCACTCTGAGCCGTTTGGTCGGACTCTGCTGTGAAAATGCTGGTCCTTGGTTGTCAACAGCGGCCCTTAAGTGCCGCTCATGATTCTCATCGCGGACGTTTGAAGATCCAGAAGACGATTGATCCTGAGTCTCGCCATTGGTGATCCTATGCGAGTCTTTGATAGGAAGGCTAATCAAGTACGACGGTTGGGTTTCCAAAGTCATATCATCAATCATATCTTCTTCGCCGAAAGAGTCTGCAACCGTGTGAGCGCGCCCATTTGAAAAGGCGTCGGGCCAAGCACGTTTCCTTCCTGCCTGGAGCAAACCGGGGCTTTGAACCTCGGGCAACGGATCGTTTCTTGTGGACAAATAATCAGGGTTGCTTGGCCTGCGCTCCTCAATGAACCGATTTCTGAGCTTCAATGCCTCAATCTCCAGCTTTAGTTTTTCGATTTCATCTGACTTTGACTTCAACTCCTTTAGCACAGTAGCAACCATATCAAAGCCCTGGCTGTTTAGGTTTCCGTTTTCTGAAAGGTGATGGCTAGGCCCCTGGAGTTCAATGCGGAGCGAAGTAAAGGAATGTTTAAGGTCTGTCATAGTATCCTGCAGGTGGTTCACTGAGCTGGAAATTTGATCAATACTTCGTCCCTGGTGTTGCATCTGTCGCTGCAAAACGGGATCTTTGGATAGACCAGATGTGCCGGTGGGGACCAATGCGGCTTCATGGACAGAAGTGCGATCTCGTCGAGCGGGTTCTGGAGGGGTCGGGCAGAGGAATTTTTCAAGGGCACCATCTTTGACAATGGGGTCGGCGGTTCGCATGGTCACGACTTCCCTAAAAGCAACCCTGGACATCTTCCAGAAGATGTTGGGGCTATACAGTCAGCACACCCCGCAGAGGTCACGAAGCGCCATACTACTTACCCGTTATCTAGAGTGCATAGAGCGCCGAGTTTCTGTTGACAAAGTTTGCACGTTACTTCCTGGGTAGTGCGTCCACGTAGGAGATGGAATTCTGGTGTTTGTGGAATTTGTTTTCTCTCCGGTGAAATGGAGACACGGTTGAAGTTGACGCTCAGCCATGCCGTCGGAATAGAATAGGCATTTGACAGCGTTGCCCATTCATTCTCCAGCACTGCTAATGAGCTGGAGCATCGGGAACATTGTCCCAGAATGACGGGCCGTGACAGACTGGTGAGATCCATCATTGGGCAAGGAGCAAGCTCTTTGTCGCAAAGCGCACAGGATGGCTTCGGCCTGTACTACGTGCGCATTGAAGATTAACCGGCTGACTCAGCGGTCCAGACTACGGGGCCCGGGTCTTTATTCGCCCCGACCTTATCGATAAGACGCCAAAAATTAGATAAAAAAAACATCAGGATCAGGACGAAGCTACGTATACCAGAGCAGGCGTGATAAGATGCTTCGCTTCATTACACGGTCCTCTTTAAGTGGCTGCGTGCTGCCCACAAAACCAGCATCATGGACAACAGTGCGACACGCGTCGCTCAACTATGCTATTGGCCGTGGCATTCGCAGATCTAGCCCTCGGCCATCGTCCTCGAGCTTCTCAGACGATGGAGACCGTCGTCCAAGGGGACAACGCGATGGACGACGCGATGATACGCAAGGCCCACGAAAATACCCACGCCGGGGTGACGACGAAGACAAGCCATTCCGTGAGAGACGTTTTAGGTCGAATGAATCCGATGGGCGGCAGGCTCCGCGTACTTACCCACGCCGGGATGACAGACACGAAAATTCATTCAGAGAGAGACGGTTCAAGTCGAACGAATCCGATGAGCGGCAGGCTCCGCGCGGTTACCCACGCCGAGACGACAGACAGGAAAAGTCATTTAGGGATAAACGATCTGGATCGTCCACATTCGATCAGAACGAATTCATCCGGAGTGGCAGTTTTCAAGCTCTACCCCGTGAACACCAGGCCAGTGCAGCATCAAGGTGGAACGAAGACATGCCAACCTCAAGACCCAGACGAGGAAATCCAAAGTCTTCAATAAGACCTCGTTCCGAATGGGTATCAGAGACCATGCCGGAACGCGTCAAGGACAACGTGAAAGTGCCCGACTCAATTCCCTACACCACTCCGGCCTCAGAATTCATCTACGGCACCAGTGCGGTGGAAGCTGCACTCCGATGCAGTCGGCGCAAGCTCTATAAACTCTACCTTTATCAGGCGGCCGAGGAAGAACTTGGCCCAGCCAAGGCGGCCCTTCGCAAGCTGGCTCTAACGAAGAACGTCACCACCAAGTTGGCCTTTGCAGGATGGGATCGGATAATGGATAAGATGAGCGCCGGTCGGCCACACAACGGGTGCATTTTGGAAGCATCGCCCTTGCCCAAACTGCCCATTCGTGGCCTTCTTCCCGTTCCCACCACAACTGATACTCATTTCCGTGTGGAATTAGCTCCACAGTCAAAGGAGGAAGCATTAGTGAACGGTACAGACGACAGTCTGCCGGTTTGCCAACCGCCTGTTTCGACGGAAGGAGATATATCCAAGCGTTTCCCCGTGGCATTACTTCTAGACGGCGTGGTCGATACCGGCAACCTAGGCGCTATCATCCGATCTGCGTATTACCTCGGAATCGATGCGATCATCTTTGCCGGTCGCAACTCTGCACCTCTATCGCCAATCACTATCAAAGCATCTGCTGGTGCAGCAGAGAACATGTCCCTTCTTCAAGTCAAGAATGAGGTTGATTTTATTCAACGCTCCCAAGCCAATGGCTGGCGGTTCTACGCTGCCGACGCCCCGGGTCCGGGTGCCACATATCTTGGCCGCACTGATGCCGACGGTAATTCGAACAGCGGTCTTCTCGCCACCCAAGCTCCGAGTGTACTCATGATGGGCAGTGAGGGGTCCGGTCTCAGCGGACACATCAAATCACATGCGGATGCGACTGTCAGCATTCCTGGCGCTCGACACAGCGTCGAGCTGGGTGTTAAATCTGACCCCGCACGAATCGACAGTTTGAACGTCAGTGTAGCTGCCGCAATCCTGATGGAGATGTTTCTGCGGACACCTCTGGCCCTATCTGGATCTTTCAAGAAGTCCAAGGACAAGATGTGGTAAATTCTTAGGCTTCACTGTATTATATTCTCTTCTCTGATGTACCAACAATGTAATAATCGGTGATTCAAATCATTCTCACCATCGAAAGCCCATACGAAGATACGATCCATTGTTCATCACCCAATAATGTTGCCAAATGACGGAAGTTGACGTTCAACATGCTCTTTTTATATTTTGGAGTAGATTTGTACGTTTCTTAGTAGATGTCAGCCCAGTGAAGGGGGCAGCCTGAACGCCATATAGTGTTCAATTGGCAATCTTGGAACAATGCGGCTGGATTTCATTCCCAACTTGCAATGCCAGTCGTACCTTCTGCTCGCATCTGAGGTGAAGATCAATGGCGACAGGAGCTCAAAATTCACCCATATCCAAGTTTAAGTACGGCACATCCGCCCACTCTCAGACACAGTCCACTCATCAGAGCCAACAGCAGTCAACCCATAGAGAAGGTGGTGAGGGTCGTACTTGGCCTTGATTGAGCGCAGCTTATCGTAATTTTCACCGTAGAAAGCAGTCTTGAAATTGGGCTGGCGGAAGTCGGCCTAAACATGTTTGTGTTAGCAGGTGCTGAACAAAAAAGCTTGAGATTTAGCAGTAACATAAACGTCTTACCTCATTCAGATAAGCACCAGATTCTGGCGCCAGGTTGCTCAGACTAGGAACCAGCACGTCGGTCATCAACTTTCTCTTTACGAGCATCTTCTCCGGCTCATCAAACTCCCACGCGGTAGACATCAGGGTATGGGCAATAGCGCTGCGCCACGCAGGGTTTACGGCGTTATGAACATCACCAGTGACGTCCTCGGTCACTTTAATACCAACAGTCGTGAAGGTAGCGCCGTAGGAAAGGACAGTTCGAACAGATTTTGTCAGTTCATGTCGGGACTTGGGGTCCTCGACGATTGACCGGGGAAGAAGCCAGCTACCATATTGGGCCACTCCAACCTCAACAACGGGGGTTTGGGCGTTGAACTGTTCAAGATAGTAGCCAAATTCCTCTCCATGGTACGTGTAGTTAATACCGAGCTTGTCGAAACCAATGAGAACAGGTCTAATCAAGCTCTCGAGCTTCTCCAGCGGAACACCGGGTCCGGTCATGGGAGAGATGGCGAAGGAGCCATTGGTAAGGAAGTTCAGACTCATGACACCCTCATCGACAATGGAAGGCAAGTAGGTGTTATAGAGCTCCACAGCCTTGAAAAATGTCTCGTCAGAAATACCGTCAGTGGTAAATGTGAGATTCAGGCCAGAAACCTTGCTATCCAGATGAGCCTTGGAGGTCATAGACCAAACGACACCGTAAGTGCCACCGCCGCCACCGGCCAGGGCCCAGTAAAGATCTGTGTTCTGGGTACGATTAGCGACGAGGAATCTGCCATTGCCATCGATCACCTCCCACTCGAGGACCTGGTCCGCACCAAGCCCATGCTTAGAAGACAGGGAAGAGTGACCACCTCCCTGGCTGTATCCACCGGCGAGGCCGACAGTAGGACACTCTCCACCGACCATTCGAAGCCCGTACTCGTGGGCTGCCTCATAGGCCTCAATTCCCTGGACTCCAGCGCCGAGCTTGAAAGCCTTGCCAGTGTAGTATTCGTCTTTCCAATTCTTGATTTCAATAATCTTAAGGTGGTGTGTCCAGACGGAAAGAGCACCCGCACCGGTGGACTTCCCGTTGTAGCTACTAATTGTCAGTTATGACTGGATAGCTTTCGATTAAGGGAGACATTACTCGTGACCAGTGTTCCGGATAACAAAGCGAATTTTGTGCTTGATTGCAAACTGCATTGTCTTGGCCACATGGTCAGGCGACGAGACATTGACAGCGTAGCGGACGAAATTGCCCAATGTGCATGGTTTAAATATGGGGTGGTATGGATCGCAGGTTCCATTCGTGAAGAATGGGGCCATGAAAGACGAGGATGATTGATAGCTGGAAACCGTTAATATAGCATTCCATTGGGCTGAATCTCCGATCGAAATGCTTACTGCTCCCTGGGCAAAAGCCAACCCTCTTTCAGAATATTGCATTTCTCCTCATTGTACGAGGGTGCATGGCAAGGGATGGCGAGGGGTTCAGTAGCCACAAGACGTCCATCGACCGACTGGTTGAAGGCATTCCAAGTAGAAGTCGAGGGCCAACAATCGTCAGTGGGGAAACAACGGCAGGATGCTGCCTCGAAAGCTTGGGTCACAGGAGCAATTGCAACAAGGCTCAGGAAAGCCCCCAGCTTGAAGGCTTTCAACGATAGCATGGTGTTTTAGAGTTTGCTCTCAATTGCCAGCATTGCTTTGCGGGGTTGCAAGAAGATATTATTTGAATTTTTGGTACTTATGGCTGGACTAGTATCAGCTCCGACCTCGCTCGCATGACGCTCTTAATCTAACCAATGCAGAGATGCACGTTAGTGCGGTCCCGACTTTCTCTATTCAGATGATGATCGGCTGGCGTGCATCCTTCCACCCCACCACGGCATATAAACTTTTGTCGATTACGAACCACGGGCCTATTATTTTCAAGTATTCAACCAGAAGATGATTAAGGCCTATTGAATACATGTCATGGCGTTGGTCGCTTTGCAAGATGTGCACCTTCAAGAATTCTTGCCGATATATGTTGGGGGCCATTTCCGCCCTAACCCATGAAACTAATTGATTTTGGGAGGTGCTTGTGGCGTCCTCCGTACATTATCCTTCAACTAGCCTAGGCTTTCTTGTATCCGAAGAATTTCAAAGCTCAATTACATGCAACATTACTCGAAATTGCATCACAATAGCATCGTTGAGCTAAACAGGCACAGAGAGCACACTCCCACCCTTGTAGTTTAGAGGTCTACCACCTGGGCACCACATCAAGCCTTTGAAAATCTTTCGCTGGTGGCAAGAACCTTAGGTGGCAAGAACCTTAGAAAGCCTCGGGAACTCCGTCACTCGGCAGCCCCTAACGATGCGGCGTCGAAGGATGCACTAGAGGCGCATGGAGACATGGCTGATTTCGATTACTCCAATCTCTAGAAATGCAAATCGGTTTTGGTGATTGTGGGCATTGGCCTATCTATCAGTATGTTTTTATTGGATATGCGGATTTATACTCGAGCATGTTTGTTGTCAAATTGGACGGGATGATGGTATGCAAGTCTTTCTCTGTGAGAAACACCTCGGGTAGATTGCTTACAACGTGCACACAAATGGCTTAAGCAGCATGTCGAAGCTTTACGAGCTCCATTGCCGCAGGAACTTTCATCCTATCAGTCTTTGACAGAAGGATTGGGGTGCCAGATGAAATGCAATGGAAGTTGACCAATGCACTTCATGCGTTGCTTGGGGTTTCCATCAGAGCGGAGGATACACGGCTCCAGAAATGGAAGCGGTTCTCCAGAGACGTACGTCGTAGACGTTAGTGAGCGAGGAAAAGCTTACTCCCAGCGTGTGAAGAGCCTGACTCACAAATTCAATCTTGACAAGCTCATGGGTGAGGTCATCAGCGGTCAAAAGGTCAAGCAGAAAGCTTCTGAGGAAACCTATCACGAATCAGTAGGAAAACAAATCGATGCCCAGATACAAGTGAGAAGAGAGCTGCGTGGACATTCAATTGACTCTGTTTTGCAGGAGTCATGATCACTTCCAATTTAATTCTGATTGTGTCTGCGCAAGAGAAAGAAGACAGCGGTCTGGCCATCTGTCGTCTGACTTATGGGCAATCTGACAGCGAATGGTTGGAGTTCGTCCAGAAGCTAGAAGCACACATCTCTGATTGGGGGATGGGTCAGACGGGCAGTGAAGCCATCAAACCACATTTCGAATTCCACTGAATAGATGGAATGGAACTGGGATGTGCAAAAGGAGACAATAAAGTGTACGTGGATCCAACTATCCCGTTGCAGTTGTGTAGCTGGTAATCTCATGGCAAGAGTCGCCGAGCATCCTGACCAGTGCAATGCAATATGTGGAGGCCAAGTTTGGATGGGTTTGATCTTGTATCATTCACTGACCCAGCAAAACTGTATTGACTAGTCACTTGAGAGATAAAGAGTATTCATTGTGATCCAAACATAAAGGATACAGATTCGGTCTCCTCAAGGCCGTTGCTTCAATGCTGGTCATACATTCATTATCCAATGGTCATCTGGCGTGTCCTAGGAAGCACGTAAGTAAACAGTGGCAAAATCATCCGAGGGCGGTCACCAATCAAAGGCGGCGTGCTCTGTACTTTTTGCCCATGAAGCTCGAGCTACTTGTTCTGCGCTGTGGACAAGTGCTCCTCATGGATCTTGTCGATCGCGCCCTCGAGGCCTTGGCGATGGATGCCATTGATGCTTTGCGCGTCTTTTTCCTGCTAGCCGCTGCCACCGTATGCAACGCATTCTTGTTTTGACGTCTTGCCAAAGGATTAACCTCGCTAACAGAAGTATTTACACCCGCAGACTATCACAGTTAGCATCCCCTCATCCCTACGCTCCCGTTTCTTAGTCTATGGCCCCCGTGCCGTGGCGAACTCAACACCTGAATCCGAGCCAAAGGACCCCACCTCACTGGGGTTGCTCGACTACCTCGCCACCTGGCAGGTTCCTCACAGTTACTTCACCCAGTTCTATATCGTATCCGTTCTTTCTTCCGCATTCTGGGCGATTCAGCTAGTCTTCCGGGGCCGAGTGTTCCAGCTAATCGCGACACGGATTAGCGAAGAGCATGCACAGCAATCCATGACTCTCACGCAGGTCCTGATTTGCTGGATTCTGCTAGCCATCCAAGGATCGCGCCGGTTATGGGAAAGTCACAAGTTTGCCAAACCCTCATCGTCACAGATGTGGGTTGTACACTGGGTACTGGGATTGGGTTTCTACCTGGCTGCGGGTGTGGCCATTTGGATTGAAGGATCGAGCAGTATCCTGTCGCAAAAGCTCACAGTTGACGATGTGAAAATGACCAATGCCCCGACGGTGCGAACCTTTTTCTGTATTCCGCTGTTCTTGATGGCCTCGGGCTTACAGCATGATTGTCACCATTTCCTCTTCTCCCTGAAGAAGTATAATCTTCCCGACCACCCTATTTTCCGTGCGGCAGTGTGTCCTCACTACGGAGCCGAATGCATCATCTATTTATCCCTTGCATTTCTGGCGGCACCGCCGGGTCAGATGGTCAACAAGACTGTGTTGGCGTGCTTCGCCTTTGTGGCCGTAAATCTCGGCCTGACAGCACGTACCACGAAAGAGTGGTATATGCAGAAGTTCGGCAGAGTGGCTGTACAGGATCGATGGCTTATGATTCCTTGGGTATATTGAAATAATAAGAAAGACATGCAAATAATCGACATTGAATCGGGATTCTGAAACTATCTAGGACTGTTGCAGGGCCTACAGGAGTAGTAGTGCCAGTAAACCACGTTTTCTATTCTATCTATTGACATGCACTGATCCGGGTACCAAACGCATCTTTGTTGCCGAGATCAACATCATGGTCGGTGGACAGCTGCAACGGTATGATTGACCAAGAAGACATTACTGGAGGAAGACTTCATCACACGGGGCCTTATATCTGTTCACGAGGCGGAGGAGCTCTTCGCATATTTTCTCGCACCAAGAACCAGTTACTTTGGGGTGGTATAATGCGCTTCAAGCCAACCCTTACCCACTGGGACTTGTGCTGAAAGCTGGGGCTAATGCGACCCACCTGTACATAGCATAAAGCATGCTTATGTCCCGGTCGGCTAATCCCCTCGGCACTGTGGACTCCACGTGGGAAGATAACGATGCACAGATAGGCGATCTATCATTCGCCTCTATCAACGCGCTTGGATGCTCGTTGGAATAGGCCGTGCCACACGTCGCATTATCAGGGCCGGGAACAGGCAAGATGAGCAGACCACGCAAGGCCGCCGCTAACCGTTTGCACTGTATCGTCCCGCTTTTCTGTGTTGGCCAGTTCACTTCCCCAGCGCGGGTGCGTCTGGGCTGTTGTCAAGCCGCCACTGCTAGCCCCGCGGAAAGCACCTAAGTATCTCTGCCCATGAGCCTGAGTGGGCGATAACAGAGCCCAAACTTGCCCACCCTGGTCTATGAAGTGTTGGTCCACCCGGGAAAGTTGTCGATAGCAAATTCGTGGAGCAATTTGCATGTGAAATGGGCTGTGCACCCGGTGCGAGAAAGCTTTAATATTCCGGGCTGGATCATTCGGAATGGAATCTAGGACAGCAACTCAGACACGAAACCCACCTTTATTTGAGAATGCGGAACATAATGCCTGACCTGCTGACCTACTCTACGTCTCGAGCTCCGTCTCGTTCGGGTAATTGGGCCAATCAATTCAGCGCAACAAACAAAGCAATATCCCTTTCGCCTACTGCAACAGCAATTTCGTCTATCTTGTTTCAGAAGGTTCGGTTCTAAACTTGGAGCGATCGAATGTCCTAATTGTGCCCGCTTCTGCCCGTCGAAATGTCTGCGACTGGCAATATCACAAGACGAAGCGGCGAAAGAATACTACACTCCGCAACTAGAGAGATAGGTTGGCTGAGCTCTCTCCTTAGCTAAATGCCAGACGAATCATGCGGATGGCGTATTCTTTTGCAGATCTTTTTTTTTCTCGCTCTGTGGTCTCGCCTCTTCCACTGACGGACTGCCTGCCTATAAGTATGATCGATGGTCTCCCGCACGCGTGGATTGTGGACCAAGTGACCTCACCGGGAACCTTGTGAGTAATACCCCCGCGGTCGTCTGGACCTAATATTGGTGTGGCGGGAGGGTTTCAAGGTTTCTGTTGGTCAGTGATGTATCAGATGCCCGCTCAATTGCTCCTGAGGGGATATTTGGAGAAGGTGGGGACGCCTAAACAGGATTCAGTGGTATCAATTAGCTAAGATAAAGCTATTGAGAGTATCTTATGGGTTCATCCAGCCTACTGTTTGGGTTGCCCAATCCTCGGTCGATTGGTCCCTATCTCTACGCCGGGACGGGAAACCACCGTTTCCCATCGGAAAACGGGCCATGTTGCCCGTCGGAAAACCCCCCGGGCCCTACAACTAGGGCTACTGTTGATTGTATATCAAATGTCTCATGTGTATAGGTCAACACTGGATATTTTTATTCGCATCTTTGTGGTCTCATCCATTCCTGCTTCTTATACAAACGGTCGTGCAAGCCTCGATCTATTCAATATTGTCTTTTTTTGGCATTGCTTTATAACTTCAACTTCCCTTGGGGACTTCCCTATCTTCGCCCTTGAGGGATAGATCTATCCTTTCACGTCCGTCGAACCCACATTAGACAGCATCATGCCTTCCGCCGAATACCAGACACCAACCTTCAAAACACCATGGATCGAAACTCCGCTTATCGAATCCGCTGCCTTGTCTCGCGCTGCAGGATGTAGGATCTTCCTGAAGCTGGAGAATGTTCAGCCTAGCGGTTCTTTCAAATCTCGTGCGATGGGCAATCAGATTCTATCTCACCTTCGCAAGCCAGAATATGCAAACCGCCGAATTCACTTCTACGCCTCGTCCGGTGGAAATGCCGGATTGGCCGCTGTGTGTGCTGCCCGAACCCTGGGATACCCTTGCACTGTTGTGGTGCCCCTCTCCACGAAACCTTTAATGCTGGAGAAACTACAAGCTGCGGGTGCCGCGGACGTCATTCGCCATGGGGAGACTTTCTTCGAGGCCGGCTCCTACATGAAGGAGGTCATCATGAAGACTGGCTCTGGGGATGACGAAGATGTGGCGAAGATTGCCCTACACCCCTTTGATAATGAGCCCATCTGGGAGGGCAACGGCACAATTATTGATGAGTTAGAAAAGCAACTCCCCCCGGCCGCTAATACTGAGGAGGAGCAAGTTTACGGCGGGCGGGCACTCCCTCTTGATGCTATCCTCTGCAGTGTTGGCGGTGGCGGTCTTTTGAATGGCCTTGTTATGGGCATTGAGAAGCGGCGGTCGATGAAGCAGAGGGACAATGGCTTTTCCAGCACTAGTCACTCCTATCTGGATACATCTTTAGAGACAATCACAACCACTTCCTCCGTGCCAGTCTCCACGACTCCCAGCCCCATCAACCTTCTCGCCATCGAAACAGACGGCACCGACTCCTTAGCAGCAGCCATCGCCCATAAATCCCTTGTCTCTCTTCCTAAAATCACCTCCCAAGCCACGTCCCTTGGAGCCATTCGTGTCTCAGAAACTACTTTCCAATACGCCGTGTCGCCTCCGCCCGGTATCAAAGTTCACAGTGCCGTGCTCACAGACGCCGAGGCGGCACGAGGCGTACTCCGCCTTGCAGATGATGAGCGACTTCTTGTCGAACTCGCTTGCGGGGTTTGTGTCGAAGCGGCCATCGGCGACGCCGCCACTGCCACTGCCGCTGCTGAGTCGGCGATCCCCGTCGCTGAGGGCCAAAGCTCCAAGAAGCGCAAGAGGGATCTAGATGATACTGCCTCTCGGGATGAGGGCTACGGCGATGACCGAGCCTCTTCGACAGACAATGAAGCCGACCTGGACGCCAGGCCGGAGACCAGTGCAGCTGGTCAGGCTATCCCGCCAAAGACTCCTGAACTCACATCCAAGTTGAAGCAGCTTCTACCAGATCTCAACTCTCAGAGCAGGGTTGTCATTATCGTCTGTGGTGGAAGTAATGTTACTATTGATATGGCTGGGGAATATAGAAAGATGCTGTCAGAGGGATGGGTGTGATTGACAGCGGCATAGACTGTTTTCTTTTGAATTTTTTTACTTTGGTGTTCATGATGATGACGATATTACTCTTTTAACTGATACTACCCAGCTAGTTGTGCAATTATAATGCATGTTTGTTTAAATTAATGAACAATGGTTGGCCCGAGGCTACTAAACCCCGATAGTGGATGGACTGCAATTCAAGGAACTTGGTATCCGAGTAAAGGGTTACCTAAATAGGGCAAAATCCCCGGTGACTAATATTGAGTTTCAAGTGTCTTTAAGTTTTAAAACGAAGTGGCATTATGTCAAGTGGCTTCCCGGGCTTTATGCCAGTTTGCCCTGTGAGAACGGACTTCTTAGGCCTAATCCATCTTCGTAGTCAGACATCAATTCATCATTATTTAGGTCGATCTGACATGATCACATTCAGATTATGTATTCCGAAACGGTCTTTGTCTATATACAAAAGTGGAAGAAGAAAAAAGAACAAAAAGGCTAACGGTGTGGCGCTGGCTCAGACTTTACCGACCCATCCAGCCGCCGTCAACAGTGATAACATCACCTGAAACATAGCTGCTAGCGGAACTTGCCAGGAAAACCACCACACCCTTAAAGTCCTCAGGCTTACCCCATCGGCCAGCCGGGATTCGAGCCATAATGCCGGCATTTCGATCGGCATCATTAATGAGGGCCACGTTCATATCGGTGTCAATATATCCCGGGGCGATGGCATTGACGTTAATCCCCTTGCTGACCCACTCGTTAGAAAGTGCCTTGGTGAGCTGCCCAATACCACCCTTTGAGGCTGCATATGCAGGCACAGTGATGCCACCCTGGAACGTCAGGAGGGAGGCAACGTTGATAATGGAGCCGCGGCGGCCTGAGGGGAATTCGGAGGCATCACGCTGCAAAAGGTAGGCACCAAATTCACGACAGAGCACGAATACAGATGTAAGGTTGATCTCGAGGACCTGCAAGAGTGTCTTGATCAGTACATAGAGACTATAAGCAAGGATTCGTCTGGTGGCTCACCTCATCCCAGTCCTCGTCGGGGAACTGGTGGCTCGGGTGCCTCCGCTGAATACCAGCACAGTTCAAGAGGATATCGGGCTTTAGTCCTTGGGCAATCACTGCGGGTACAATTCCTTGGACGGCCTTTCGGTCTGACAGTTCTGCGACATGAATATAGGCTTTGCGACCAAGGCGGTTGATGATCTCATCCTTGGTGGCTGTATTGGACTCATCCCGCTATAGTAACATTATTATTCTGCTTCCTTGTTCTGGCGCAGATTTTCTGGGTGATTTACCTGAACCAAAATAATATCGGCGCCGGCTTCGGCCAGGGCAAAGGCCATTGCCTGGCCGATACCTCGTGTGCCGCCCGTGACGAGGGCGGTCCTGCCGCTCAGGGAGAAGAGAGATCCCACAGTTGCTGCCATTTTGCTCTGCAATTGAAAAGAACAAGAATTGAATTGAAAGATGAAGAAAAGAAGCAGGAAAAGAAAAAGACAGTACAAATAACTCATGACGGAGCCGCTACCCCACACGCGGGGTGTTTCCCAACACGGAAAGGTCCGTTGCCGAATCAATCACCGACGGCAATTGACTAAACTCGTGACACAATCAGTTTAACTCTTGACTTTTACGCTCTTCCGTATATATGAACAAACAATTAGTGGGGATAAGTTAGCAGTTTACATACACTGCAATCTATCTACTCTTTCGATCCCATTTGGTTGTTGTTTTTCTCAAGAGCTGGTCTAGGTTGAACATTTTAATCATGAACTTGACCTTCCAAGTTGAAATTGAATGATTATAACGTAGAAGACTCCGGTGTGAAGTGAAGCACTGAGTGCCAAAGATGAGATCGTGAATATCCTCGAACACACGTGGCCACGTGAGATAAGCATCGTGAATATTCTCCCTCGGCACGATATGTAATCAAAAAATCCCGCCAGAACCCCGATCTCACTCCCCCGTGCGATTCTGAACGCGCATGTTCCTGCTTTGACAAGACAGCAGTCAAGCCATGGACATGTCAGAACCAGAGACTTTGATGAGATTCGCCAGTGAGTCTTGACGCATGTCCCGAGGCAGAAGTGATCTGCGGTATTAACTAAAAACCAGGTCCCAATGAGCGCCGCACAATCAGTCGCGAAGAGCTTGGGTTCTACAATGCCCTCATTGTCGGAGGAGTTTACGAGATTCCGGGTGAGCAAGTAGATCTGAATTCGTCGGAATCATTCATTGCCCCTCTGGAAGCTTGCATATTGAAGTACTCTTTCTTGTCCACCATCGTCAAGAATAAGCATACCGAAAAGCCGGCTTATTATGAAGTGCCGACCATCGATCTCCATGATCATATCGCCATCCTTCAACATGACAGCCTTGAGGGTGATGACACCTCGACTTTCGAAAGCATTTTACCCCAGATCCTCGATCGTCCATGGCCTGCTGACATCCCCCCCTGGAGGATTGTTATTCTGCCTCTAGTGTCACGAGATGGCTCTGCGGTAAAACGCTGCTTAGTTGTTTTCGCTTTCTCCCATACCATCGGAGACGGCATGGTTGGAGTCGCCTTTCACCGTACGTTCCTTGAGGCATGGCGACAAGGCGTTCGTCGCGATGGAGAAGAGTCTTTCCTGGTCAGCCTACCTGGCCGATCTCTTCCAGCACCCTTCGACACGCGCGAGAGACTTACCATTTCGTGGAACTTCCTCCTTGCACCACTGATCGCTGTCCATCTGCCCAAATCTCTAGCTGCGATGCTAGGACTGCATGCCCGTGCTAGCACGGTAGACGCTGGTACTTGGACTGGGTCGCGTAGCTTTTACGATTCGGCGGTCACCGACCCCAGCAGAGTGAAAATGCTCGAAATTGAGGCCCCATTGGTGCAGAAGAGCCTGCAGATCTGCAGGAAGCATGACACCAAACTTACGGGAGCTCTTCACCAGATGATCGTCCGGGCGTTAAGCAAGGCAATTCCTGATCCCAGCGTCACCAATTTCGTGTCGGGGACGGCTGTTGATATGCGAAGATCTGTCGGGTTGTCAAGTCTTTCTTGGGGCCTTTATGTGTCTGGGCAATATGATGTGCACCAGCGGGCACGTAACGTCGAGTCATCTGCGCTACCAGATGAGATGTGGATAAATGCTAGCTTGATAACCAAGAGCCTTGCCGAGTGCTCGACGAGGCTTCATGATCAAGCAATCGGCTTGCTCAGGTATATTCCAAGCATCAGGAATTGGACCCTGGGAAAAGTTGGGGCAGAGCGAGATTGTTCGTATGAAGTCAGCAATTTGCTTGCCTTTGACGATGGGAACAGTGAGGCAGATCAAAAGTGCAGCATCACGAAGATGATTTTCTCACAACCGGCGAATGTTCCTAGTGGTCCCTTGGTATTTAATTTCATCAGTGTTAAAGGGGGAAGTTTGATGTGCACGGTGAGCTGGCAGTCTGGAGCTTTGGGTGTGCCTGTAGAGAAAGAGATGCCATTCGTTGATGACATATGCTCCTCGATTCAGGCGGACTTTGAGTCCCTACAGGAGTAGTACTACCAATAAGTCTTGTGTTTATCAATTTTGTAAATATTCAACTCTATAGCGAGGCCTCCTGGTCATCTACAATTAATACTTTGATACTACCGTTTCTTGTATCAGCACACAGATGAAGAGCCTCCTCTGCTCTCTCCAAGGGGAAGACATGAGAGACAAGTTTTTTCAAATCAAGAATGCCACCACTAAGGCATGCAATTGCAGGGGGCCATGTATCACGGTAGCGGTTGATGAATCGTAGATCAATCTAGAGTAATCAGTAAACATCAAAGATATTTTCTCGAATGGCATACCTCTGCGAGAGAAAGATGCATAAATGGAAGGTTATTCATAAGGGCTTTGCCCACGCCAATGACCATAACGGTACCACCGCGCCGCGCAGTATATGCAGCCGTGCAGACACTGCTCTCAACACCTGTGCACTCAAGTACAGTCTCCGGTGCAAGGTACTCTGATGTTCCAAACAAAGCTCGGATGGCCCGAGCGTTATCCTGGGCGTTCTTGGTCCGGTCTACTTGGTATGTGATGCAAGAAGGAACAAAGTCCTTCGCGAAAGCCAGGCGTGTCGGTTCTAAGTCAGTGATAATAATGGGATGAGCACCGGAAGCGCGAGCTGCAGCCAGTGCGATAAGTCCAATTGGACCAGCGCCACAGACAACAACCCCACGACCCAGACTCAATCCTGCGGTCGTGATGCCGTTCATGACAACGGATAGAGGTTCCAGAAGCGCTCCCTCGGCAAAGCTAATGTTGTCGGGGAGCTTGTGCAGCCACTTTGCGGGGTGCACCTTGTATCGTTGCATCGTACCGGCATAAGGATAAACCCCCGCAAACCGAACATCTTCACATAAATTGTATCGGCCGTCATCGCAGAGGAAACAACTTTCGCAGGGAACACCAGGCTCGACGGCCACGTGGTCACCTAACAGATATCAGTAGTTTTCCAAAAGATGTAGACTACTTTCCTTACCTGGTACCAAGTTGGTAACATCATCACCACACTGTAAGACAATTCCCGAGGCTTCATGGCCGATAATACAATCTCCCTCGAAAACCAAGGACCCGATGCGACCGGTCTTCCAGAAATGAATGTCCGATCCACAAATACCGGTCGCTTTGATATGCACCAGCACCTCCCCTCGCCCCGGTGCATAGATAGGCGCATCCACCGACTTTAAATTGTGGTCCGCAGTAACTTGTAAAGACGGGTTGACATGAGACGCCGTGATGACGACCCGCTCCAGCGACTTGGTCGCAAGGACCGCAGTAGTCTGATCCACCAGGACTGAGGGAGCCATTATTTGAAGAGCGGATAGAGTTGACGGACATGGACATTTCTTAAGTATAATACACTCTGCGGCAAAGTAGCCATATTCGTAACTGAGGATTGCGGTTCAATCTGCCGCATTGGTATGAGAGTGGTTGGAGTTACCCTTTTCGTCAACTGCCTGAACGGGTGATGTTTGTCGACAAATCGTCACGCACTATTTGAAGCGCCAATTCAGCCCAGATAATAGCTTGTGGTTACTTAATTTTATCAACTTAAGATTTCATAATGACTGTACCGCAAAGGAATGGCGTTTCAAAGTCCCTGCCCTCGGCGCTGCCTTTGGTGCAGAAGCTCTCTAAAGATCATGACAACGTTCTCAGGACTTTTCGTCTATTGATCGCAGATCTCTGCCAACAATTTGGTGGTGGCCATCCCGGGTAGGAAAAACAAATTCAGAGACTTGAACAAATGCTTATTATCTGCTAGTGGTGCTATTGGTATGGCCGCTATCGGTGTTTCGCTATGGAAATATATTATGCGCTATGCCCCGCATACCCCGGATTTCTTCAATCGCGATCGCTTTGTGCTTTCAAATGGTAAGAACAACAACATTGGGCAAGGAATAGGTATGGACACTAATCAAGTTTTTCCAAAGGCCATACTTGCCTCTTCCAATACTCTTTCCTGCACTTGACTGGATATGAGGCCATGACCTTCGACCAACTCAAATCCTACCACTCAGATCGAGCGGATGCGCTTTGCCCTGGGCACCCCGAGATTGAACATGAGGGAATTGAAGTCACAACTGGTCCCCTAGGACAAGGTATCGCAAACGCAGTTGGCCTTGCCATGGCGACTAAGAACCTCGCAACCACTTACAACCGCCCTAGCTACGATGTCGTTTCCAACCACACATGGTGCATGATCGGTGACGCTTGTTTACAGGAAGGTGTGGCCCTAGAAGCCATCTCTCTGGCAGGACATTTCCGCCTGAACAATCTTACGGTCATCTACGATAACAACCAGATTACCTGCGACGGATCTGTGGATCTTACCAATACTGAGGATATCAACGCCAAGATGCGCGCTAGTGGTTGGGATGTTATTGACGTCGAGGATGGCTGCTATGATATTGAAGGCATTGTTGGTGCATTGGAACAGGCTCGCAATTCACAGGAGAAGCCTACATTTATTAACGTCAAGACGATTATCGGCCTAGACAGCCATGTGGCCGGCACCGCTACTGCGCACGGAGCTGCTTTTGGCCCCCAGAGCGTTGCTAACTTGAAGACTCTCTACGGCTTCAATCCCGAGGAGCACTTTGTAATTGGGGATGCTGTCCGCAAGTTCTTCCAGGACCTTCCTGCTCGTGGTGAGCAATGGGTGCAGGAGTGGAACCAGTTGGTCAGTGACTATACGGTCAAACACCCGGAGCTTGGAGCCGAATTCCAGGCTCGTGTTCGTGGTGAGCTGCCCGCGAACTGGGAACAGCACATCCCCTCTAGCTTCCCTGAGAAGCCAACCGCATCTCGTGCATCATCTGGTCTTGTCTTCAACCCCATCGCTAAAGAGATCAACACATTTATGGTTGGAACTGCTGATCTGTCTCCATCGGTGAACATGATCTGGCCTGGAAAGGTTGACTTCCAACATGTGAGTATCCCTGTTTCCTATCTGACCTTGCTTTGCTGACTCGATGATCAGCCTGACCTGCGCACTACTTGCGGAATCAACGGAAACTACTCCGGTCGTTATATCCACTATGGCATTCGGGAGCACGCTATGTGTGCCATTTCCAACGGACTGGCTGCCTATTCTCCTAACACCATTATTCCTGTCACTTCAACCTTCTTCATGTTCTATCTATATGCAGCCCCGGCCGTCCGTATGGGTGCCCTACAGCACCTTCAAGGAATCCACGTCGCTACCCACGACTCAATTGGTATGGGTGAAGATGGCCCCACCCACCAACCCATTGAGCTTGCTGCTTTATACCGCGCCATGCCTAACATCCTCTATATTCGCCCAGGTGACAGCGAAGAGGTGGCTGGCGCCTGGATGGCTGCGATTAACGCGAAGAAGGCTCCTACCATTATTTCCACATCTCGTCAAGCTCTTCCTCAGCTGAAGCAAACCCGTCGCGATGGAGTGGCTCGCGGAGCTTATGTCCTTGAGGAAGATGAGTCTGCGACAGTGACGTTGCTTGGTGTTGGTGCCGAGTTATCATTTGCCCTGGAGGTTGCTGCGCAATTGAGGGCGCAGAAAGGGATCACCGCCCGTGTGATTAGCTTCCCCTGCCAGCGTCTGTTTGAGCAGCAGTCATTGGAGTACAGGCGGGAGACGCTCCGCCGCCACCGTGGAATCCCCGCCATTGTCATTGAGCCATATGCTCCTAATGGATGGGAACGCTATGCGGACGCCGGTATCAATGTGAATCGCTTCGGTCACAGTTTGCCCAGCAAGGCTGCTTACAAGTTCTTTGGTTATGAAATTGATGCATTGACGACTAAAGTGGTGCGCTACCTTGACCAGCTCAAGGGAGATGAGTATCTTCGTCATGAGTTTGTTGATCTATGAAAGAGATTTGATGTATATAATGAGTGAATTGTTTGTACATAGAATTTTGGTTAGCCTTCCAACGGACCATCACGTAACCCATTCCTCTGGTTCTTCAGCGGACAGGCAATTTACTCAAAAAAGAAGTCGGCACCAACCAAGCCAGTGCGCTAGGCCTGTAGCTCTTTTAAAGCATCGATATCAATTCTTTTTCGAGGGAAGTCTCAACAGAAGGATCAAGCCAGTGGTGAGTTCTTTTGGTGCCAGTATAAAGCAACGACTGCCCGATCGATCGACAGCCATCTAAATTAACAAGAATCAGTTTCTCATCTTCAAGAGTAATATTTTCGGGACTAATGTCATTATGGGCAGGTTCAAGCGAGTGGTGATGTTTGATGCCGGCCAAAAGCCCCTGTAGGCAACATTGCATATTGCATTGTACTACTTCACGTTCACTTGAACGAAAAGCGACCTTGGTGAGGCGTCGAGCATTAGCTGCTCCAGTGGCGAGGCAGTATATCGCGTGAATTATAGTCCCGAGATGCGACAGCGAGTATCTTGACTACCATAGTATGTCGCGATATTCGGGTGGGGGCTGTGGCGAGGAATCTCGCATGCTTCAACTTCGCGAGCAATTTGTTGTTCGAGATTTTCACAGATGTAGGCGAGCAGACTAGGTATTTGGATATGAACTGCGGACCAAGTGATATCAACCTTCGGCCGTCGATCCCTCGTTGAGATTTACTTCATGTCTTGGAGATCGTCCAGCGTTGTCGTAGAGTCGAATCTATTTGGCCATGTGCCATGATATAACATGCCATCTTGCCGCACAAAGACCCCGACATATGAGAATGTCATTTAGCCATCAACCCTCTTAAGGCTTCGTTCTTTTGTCTGATCCCCAAATTAGAGAGCTCTGTGGATGAATGGAGGATTGAAAAGTGCGGGTGCTGGGTTGCGGCTTCCCCCAGCCTTTAACTACATGATCTTTCTAAGTACTATAGACACAACAAATTATGATTGGTGCATCAACGGACAATATAGACACAAAAATGATGTGATCAGAAAGAATGAGTTCAGAATATGGATCAACTTCGTATCCCAGCAGGAGAAAATCCAGGGGCGACATTCTTCGCGAATCAAGGGATTCCCAATGTGTCATTCAGCCCCTTTTCAGGTCACATCGGATGCTACAGCATAGTAAGATGTACGCAGTACCAGGAGTAGACTAGAGACTGAAAGTATGATGTGATCATGGATCTACTGTAGCATCCCTTCGTGGTAAGATCTAGGAGTAAACAGTAAGGAAGCTGGGTGGGCATAGTTTTGGCCGATCATCAAGGTGAGAAACTAGGGTTAGTACAGGGCAGTTAGGTATGTAGTCGTGTCAGCATTTGTATCTTCTTCACTCTTGAAAAGGAACACCCGCAACCCAGTAACCGCTTCCATACAACACAACCGATAAATATGAAGGCTTCTATCTTTCTTATTGTGGCCTCCGCTAGCGTTGCCCTGGCCCACCCTGCTTCCCTTGTCGAGCATGCAAGCAGTGCCTGTCCCAACAAATTGTACAGTGTTCCTTCGTGCTGCTCGCCTAACCTTTTGAAATTGGGATGCAGTAATCGTAAGAGAATCCCTCCCGCAAGCTGTTCACCAGCGACCAGAAATTTGCTCAGGTTTGACTCTTGCTGACCTACATCGAACCAACAGCTTCTAGCGCAAAAGATGGGGCCGACTTGAAGAAAAAATGCAATGACCAGAAGCCTGTTTGCTGCAGCACACCTTCTGCCCTTGCTGGTGGTCTTTGTGTCCAACCCGCTGGCATCAAGGAAGACCACTAACCAAGTGGGACCCTCTGTTGATGGTTGCGAGACTTTCTGGAGATTGTTAAGCGTCTAGGTCGAATCAAATCGAGATCGACCAATTTCGAGCATATGCTATGCCTGTCTTGCAGGACAAGGAACCGGACATAGAAGAATTTGATTTTTGTCATCCTCTTAAAGGGCTTCGTTAATATAAATTACACTGTTGACTGGGAAAAGAAATGCAATTACATAAGATCGGAAATGATGCCGGTTGTTTCAGGCATCCAACGGGTATTCACGGAAACAAATGGAGAAATTGAGTAAGAAAATGCGAAAATAGTGTGTTGAGGGGGTCCAGACGGCGGGACCAAAGAAAAAAGTCAGATAAGCTCAAATCGAAAATCTTCGTGACCTCATCCTTCCTTCCTTAACGTGTTCCAAGGTTGATCCTCATCATGTCTGTCACGACGCAGCCCGTCATCCCGCCTGTGGCGCTGGATAGCATCACCCAGCACATTGGCAACACCCCTCTTGTGCGACTGAATCGCCTCCCTCAGAGTCTGGGTATCGAGGCCACCGTCTATGCCAAATTGGAGTATTTCAATGCCGGCGGCTCCGTCAAGGATCGCATTGCCCTGCGTATGATTGAAGAGGCTGAGCGATCCGGTCGCATCAAGCCGGGTGACACCTTGATTGAACCCACCAGTGGCAACACGTTAGTGATGGATTGCTTTCCTTCGAGAAATGATCATGGCTGACCCTCATTGACTAGTGGTATTGGACTGGCCTTGGTTGGCGCTGTTAAGGGTAAGCGTACAGCTACGAAGGGGTAGGCTTGGACAATGCTAATAACGTGTAGGTTACAAAACCATTATCACCCTCCCCGAGAAGATGTCCGCGGAGAAGGTGTCCGTCCTGCGGGCTCTCAATGCGACCATCATCCGAACCCCCAATGAGGCCGCCTTCGATTCCCCCGAGTCCCACATCGGAGTTGCCAGGCGCCTGGAGAAGGAGTTGCCCAATGCCCACATCCTCGATCAGTATTGCAACCTGAACAACCCATTGGCCCACGAGCTCGGCACCGCGCAGGAGATCTGGACACAGACCAAGGGTGAGATCAACGCTATCGTCGCAGGCGCCGGAACCGGTGGCACCATCACCGGTCTGGCTCGCGGTCTGAAGAAGCACAACGCCAACATCGAGGTCATTGCCGCCGATCCTTTTGGTTCTATCCTTGCCCTGCCGCCCACATTGAACGAATCCCGTGTCAACGAGCCCTACAAGGTGGAGGGTATTGGTTACGATTTCATTCCGGATGTGCTGGACCAGAAGATCGTCGACCGCTGGTACAAGACTGAAGATCGGGAGTCATTCCAATACTCGCGTCGTCTCATTGCCGAGGAGGGTCTGCTGGTCGGCGGTAGCAGTGGAAGCGCTATTGCCGCTCTAGTGAAAGCCAATCAGGAGAAGAAGTTCTCCAAGGATGACGTTGTGGTCGTTATTCTCCCAGATAGCATCCGCAGCTACCTTACCAAGTTCGCCGATGACGACTGGCTTGCCGCCAATGACCTTTTCCCCGCTGCAGTCCCCACCGAGACAACCGCTCAAGCCCAGACAGCCGCTTCCGAGGACCCCTTGGCTGGTGCCAAGGTCAGCGCGCTCCGGCTGAAGCCAATCACCACCGTCACCTCCAACTTCCCCTGTGAAGCAGCTATCGAGATCATGCGTGAGAAGGGCTTTGATCAGCTTCCCGTTCTGGCACCCTCGGGTCGCAAGCTCGTTGGCCTCCTTACCCTGGGTAACGTCCTAAGCAGACTGACCCACGGTCGGGTATCGGGCAAGACCCCCGTCTCGGAGGTGATGTTTGATTTCTCGAAGATCCCTGAGGTTGTCACTGATCCCCGTGACATGGGCGCCACCGGTCAGTCGAAGATCCTGCCCAAGCGCCGCCAGTTCATCGAGATCACCTTGGACACCCCGCTCAGCGTCCTGAACCGCTTCTTTGAGTGGAATAGTGCTGCCGTTGTGACCGAGAAGGATGCAAATGGCAGCATGAAGCCGCTGGCGGTGGTTACCAAGGTGGACCTGCTCACCTGGTTGCTGCACCAGAACAAGAACAACGGCAATTAAATACGATATGACTTACGACCGCTATGCCTCTCCTGAACCTTGCCATTTCTTGCCTGGGGCGTCAACATCTGCTGTCTCTCGATAATGAATTCGGCGTTTATCTTGTGTAGATCTCGGTTGAGACTACGATTGGTCGCTTATAGAATCCGGATCAATCCACATGATTTACCTTATTGCAATCTAGATAGAAGATAATACAATAATAACAACTGGAACGTTCCAGATATAAAGGGTAAAGGTATTCAAGCAAGATGAACTCAAAACATACTCCATATCATACCTTCCAAAGCCATAGAGTAGATGTAAGGTTGGTGAGGCAGGTGTCCTCAAACTATCAAGGTCCCCGCCATAACACCATTCATCTCCTGATCTTTTATCTTTCTATCTTGATGATTCAGCTTACTTTCATTCGGAAATCAATTATGGTAGGTTGCATTGCAAGACATAGGAAATTCATTTCATCTCTAACGAGGCTAGGCAATTCTAGATATCATTGGGGGTAATTCATCAACGCCATCCTTTCTCATCACACATTTAAAAGGCCTTGCCAGCCTCGGCCGCCTTCACGTCCTCCTCGGAGCTCATAATCTGCACTTTAATAGCACCAGTCTTTGGGTTGGCGGCAGTCTCGAACGCCTTGAGAGCATCCTCAATAGGGAAGCGGTGGGTCACCAGCTTGCGCAGGTCAATGACACCATTTTGCACCAGGCGGATAGCACGGGGCCAGGTGTTGCAGTAACGGTACTGGTACTGAAGGTCGATCTCCTGAGTGCTGAGACGCATGAAGGGGATAGTCATCTCGTTCTTGCCAACACCAATGATAAACACCTTGCCACCAAACTTCATACTCCAGATGGCCGAGTTGACACTGCTCTCGACACCTGTGCACTCCAAAGCCAGCTTGGGGCGCAGGGCGTCGGGACCAGAGCCCTTGCCATCGTTCATGGCATTGATGATGCCATCGGCACACTCCTCGGCTGACTTTCCAATCTCCACCTTGTAAGTGCGCACCTCCGGGACCAAGCTCTTAGCGAAGGCCAGGCGACCCTCATCGATATCAGTGATAACAATGGGACAGGCACCAGCCGCCTTGGCACTGAGCAAGCTAATCAGACCGATCGGACCGGCGCCGGTGATAAGCAATGCGTCGCCGAGACGCAGTCCGCTGCGCTCAACTGCTGCAAGAGTAACACTCAATGGCTCCAGGAGGGCACCATCTTCATAGGTCATATCGCCGATCTTGTGACACCAGATGGCGGGGTGGTTCACGTACCGACGGAGAAGACCATCGACGGGAGGGGTGGAAAGGAAGTCGACCTTCTCACATCCATTGTAGCGGCCGGTCAAACAGGGCTCACAGGCGTTACAGATAATGTTCGGCTCGATAGCGACGCGGTCGCCGACCTTCAGTGAGGTAACGTCGGGTGCGACGGAGACGATCTGGCCGGCGGATTCGTGACCAAGGACGTGATCACCTGTGACAATCATGGGGCCAATGCAGCCTGCGTGCCAGAAGTGGACATCGGATCTAGAACGTGGGGGTTGTTGTTAGTCACTGTGAAAGAAATGAACAGTCGACGCGGAGCAATTGCATGGACTTACCCGCAAATACCGGTACTGCGCACCTCAATGACCACCTCACCAGGCTTCAGGCCCTTGCCTGACTGAACATCCTCTACTGTTGGAGTGGTCTCCGCGATCCACAGGTCGTGCTTGGGGTTAGTGTACACACCAATGTTGGTTTTGGTGACAGTAGTTGCGGAAGACATGGTGGATGTGAGGAGGAGATAGGGGGAGAGATTAATTGAAGAAACTAAATGAGGATCTAAAGTCTACGGGGGAGCAGGTCTTTATTTGAAATTTTATTTGGACAGGTGATCACTCGCATTGTCCTTCCGTCATACAGAGGGGGATTATGGAGTAACAACATACAAAAAAAGTGGAGTGGGGGGGCAAATACTGGGGCTGCATTTAACCGCCGCGGGGTTAACTTGCCCGAACGTTTCTTAACCAGGAAATTGTCAACCGCGTTATGTACATCGGCCCGAGTCCGACTATCGGCTGTCGGTTAAAATCGATGTCCCCGTTGTCTTTCTATGGATCCAGGGGGTTTAAGGACCAAACAAATCTATGTTATTTTGTTTTCCAAAAGATATGGATGGAAATCAGATGATTTTAGCAGGGTAACAGTAACCCCGGCAGATCTTATTTAAACCACGAATCTTTGGTGATTCTCAGGCACAAGTCCCCGTAAACGGCAATTCTCCGGTGGGAAAGCGGGTGTGGGGTCGCAGCGGGCGTTTCTAGAACGACTCCACTATCAAGCTGGGGAATCAGAGACCGTAGAATGCCAGATTCAAGGTGATGTTACTCGGGGTATGTGGGTTTGTTTTTAAAGTTCTACGCAATCAAATTGATAAGGTTGCTATATTGCACGTGACAAGAACAGCTATTAGGCGTCTCAGCAATAATTTCTTGGAATTGAAGGAAGAAGATCTCTAGGCCAAGGGTCGAAGAAAGATGGACCGGTATGCGGTTGCCTTATTGACCCTGAGGTAGGGGGCATTGAATGGACATCCCTGGTTTGGTCTGGTTAACCCCTAGAAGGATTCCGTTGAACTTCAAACAGGTGTACAGTCAATTTCCAAGCAGCCCAAAGTTCAATCAGGCTTGGCAAGGGTCACGACACAAAAGTCTCTCAAAGACTTTATCCCCCTTGGCGCTCTTCATCTTCGACCTACTATGCCAATCCTGCAAGCCTGGCACCCCATCTCGTCATCTCAGAGGGTGTGAAAGGATATGGCGTATTGTGATCCGGGAGCCAGCCAAAAGTGCATTTCAGAAGAAGAAGATAGCCAACTGAACCAGCACCAACGAACCCAAGCACCCAATCACGTGTGGAAAGCAAACCATGCTCTTGCATATAGCGAATATACTTCATTCCAATGGGAACAAAGCCCAGCACAACCGAAGTGAGCCCGGGATTATAGATCGCACCGAGCTTCATATTCATCAGAATAGCGTGGATGCCGATTTGGGCAAATCCAAATAAAACAGAAGCCAATCCGAACCAGGCGACCTCTGGGAAGAAAATCACAGGGAGATAAAATCCATAGGTTGAAAGCACGTTGGTCCACATGGCAGAATCCGCGTTCAGAGGGTATCGATCTGGAGTAGCGCTGTTATGGACCGCTGTATTCATGACGTTGGGAAACCCGCCAGGGAATCGATATTCTTCGAATTGGTGGACAAGTAGTGCGATGAAGTTGGCAATCAGGTATTTCTGGGGCATGCTTAGGGTCCGGTAGTTGGCACGGTAGTACCGGATCATAACGATGCCCGAGATCACACCGAGATCATACCAATGATACCGTAGGATATCCATCATTGTCCAAGGAAAGATAGAATGCTAGTAATGACTGATCGATGGGGTTAGGTAATTATACCTGTAACGGTAGCAGTTTTCTCACCAAAGATTCGGTCGCTTTGCAAGGTTGAGCATATGTGAATGAAAAAGAAGCAGATGTCAACAGAAAATGAAGCTTTTAAGACAAGTTCTACATAATGACGTTATGTACCTAGAAGTCTGCGTCAGTCTATGCTCTGCTGGATCGGTGCTCGCGCTTCTTAAGCTCCGACTGCCGATATTTCGCAAGTGGGCCGGCAATTCCGGATTTCCGGATTTAAAGCTTAAGTCCGGGGATTATAACAGTATTTGTCTGTGCTTCCGCATGCCTTGGCTGTCCAATTAACAGGTTTTCAATCCATACTGTATAAGAACCACTCCAAGTGTTCCTGTTTGTGGAGCTGCAAAGACTGCCCTAAAAGAAGCAGCTGATATCCCTCTCATTATTTGGCCTCGGTAAGTGATTAGACCCCTAATACTTAATTTTGAGGACCTTGCCAACTTTCAGCTTGTTCAGGTAAGAAAGTTATTTCAAAGTGACAGGAGGTCAATTTTACTAATACTAAGGCTCACAACAGCCTACTTTAGAGCTAATATACATGCAATTCCACTGGAATCCTGGATCATACCTAATCATAAACTCTCATACTCTTTTAGAAAAGTCTTCACAGGCAGTACGACGCTGTCGAGCAATACTGAAAAAGCGTTCTGCCGGGGGTATGCAGCCGACATAAACCTCATCATCACCTTTGACGAGCCCTTCCCAGGCTTTGTCCGTGAACTCCTGCAAAGGCATTCCCATTTGGCGACCCTTTTCAGCTCCCATGTAATCGTGAAGTTCCGCTATTTATCTTGATCAGTATATGACCTTCATTTCCCTCTGGAGGGTAGGATAGAGGACGGGAATCAAGAATCAGAACCTACTTTGAACAGCCGGTGGAAAGACTTCGATCACGTTGACATTGGACTTGGCCTTTTGGAGTTGAGCCCGCATACACATGGCAAATGTATTCAAAGCAGCCTTGGATGCGCAATAACCAATCAAGGGGGCTGCAGGTACGATGGCAAGGTTGGACTGGGTGCTGTTCCTTGTTATTAGCTTGATTATAAAAGAAGACGCGTAGGGGAGTGATACAAGACCAAGCTTGTCGCAGTCGTCTTGCCCGATAGGTAAGGGAGGAAGGCCGTTGCCAGAGTCACTGCAGCCGTGTAGTTGACATGCATGATTGAATTGAAGACATCCAAGTCGACGGTCTGGGGGGATGTGAAATCGGTAGCCCGTTGGAGGCCGGCATTGATGAACACGCAGTCAATATCGGGATATTGACTGGTTATCCTGTGTGGAAGTTTGCTTTATTAGGCTGGAAAATATCATCGGAGCAGATATTGGGGGCACCATACTGCGCCACAAATTTGGGAATAGCTTCAAGCTTGCTGATGTCAAAGGCCACACCATGGGCTTTATCGGTGCCATATTCTTGTACCAGTTCATCTAACCTCTCCTGGCGTCGGCCCACGGCAGTCACTTGAATACCATGCTGGAGCATTTTGACGGCCATGGCCTGTCCAATGCCGGAGGTAGCTCCAATAAGCAAAACATGTTTGTAGGCGAACTCGGTCATGATGTTGACGACGAAAGGTTTCAACACCGAGGATACGAGGATAGAATTGCCCGAGGACACAGAGATTTATATGATTTTTATAAGTGGGCCTTGTGTGTTGAAAAATACGGGTATGTTCAGCCCGCCGGCTCGGGAAGGTGGTATAGATGACGTGCCCCGGACTTAATCATTCCAGAGCCATCGGAGGTAATTTGGGGAACATCATTACCCCAATTACAACTCTGATAGAACTTGTGTGGCTGAAACTTTCAAGTTTTTAAGGTTGGAATAATCGCAGCACTTTTACATACTTGTTTTCAATTTCCAACATATATAGTGCCCGAGAACACTGGAATAACCATTTGCACCCGCACCCTCACCGTCCGAAAGCCTACATTGCTCCTTGCTATGTCACCCAGCCTACCTCCTATCACAATGTTCCTTGAGCTGCTCTTTCTCCAGATATAGACTCAGGCATAGTTATTTCCGGAGGCTTAAGACCTTCTGGTGAAGGAAACCCTTGACAGTTGTGGGCTCCCGTCCAATTAACCACTTTAGCACATTCGCATTGCCTTTGATCCCATAAAAGTTGTAATAAAGTAACAACCGATGGATCGCATCACGCGTAGCAGGTGAAACATCGCCATTCTTCCCAGCCAGCATACTTTGAAACTGGTCTGCAGATTCAAAGTAGTCCTTCTTTACGATCTGAATAGGTCTGTCGACTTCCTCGCTCAGCATCGCGATCACCTCGGCGTAAGAAGTTGGTCCAGTGGAGCAGGCTGTGTACTCTGCCAAATAATGTTTCTCTCGCTCTTTCAGAATGACTGCGAATGCCTCGGCCAGATCCTGTAGAGCAGTGAACGAGAAGGTTACCTGTGGATCAAAATTGGCAGGGAAAACAGGTGCTTCCGATTGAAGCAGTTTTTCGACCGGGAATTGGTCTAAAATATGACTAGGCTGAACGATAGTGTAGTTGAGCCCGGATTCGACAAGGTATTCTTCCACGTAACGTTTGCAATCATGATTCATCAACTTGCGGATTCGCGGGTGCAGTACAGAGGAATAGATGAAGTGCTTTAGAGTCCCCTGCTGGGATTCTTGACGTGCAGCGTCGATCATAGTGTACCCGACTTCGGATTCATGGCTGTGAAGAGACGGCCCGATATAGAGCACAGCCGTAACCCCTGACAATATCCGCTTCGCATCATCTGGACGGGCCATGTCGGCTCGCACAACTGTTGCGTTGGGGTAGGTTGTCTTCAGGCGCTCTTCCGATGACGCAGAGTTCACCGCTAGCCTCAGCTTTTGCCATTTGTTGTAGAGGAGAGGGATTAACTGCGAGCATTGTTTGCCGCTCGCACAAGTGAGAAGAATCACGTCGTTTTCGAAGTCGACAGACATTTTTGATGACTGCTTCAAATGTTCACTGCGGAAGATATGTGAAGGATTGAACTATATAGTGACGTTCATGGATAGATTCCAGATGACGAGATCTGGAATTAAGGTTTAGAGCCGGAGTTAACGAAACAAATGTACGAAGTACAACCTGATCTACCCAGGTAATACCTATGTCGGACGTAATATATGGGGTTATTATCGTTAGCTTGTATGTTTATTCCACAGTCGGACCTCGTTAATGCCGACTTTCCGTGCTCAGCCTTGCAAGGTTGCGAGATAAAGATCTTACCGACCCACAATTTTGTTTTGCAAGATTCGACCAAGGGACAGTTGATACTCGTACTGATTTAAAGTATTTGATTTCATCAATATGTTTTTTAAGTGTGTTGACTTGAAGCTCTACAACTGAACATCGGTCCCGCGCGGCAGGAAAGCCCGAGCACCGATCAGAAAGCAGGCTAGCCCCCAAACCTTGGCAGAAATCCAACCGATCTACGGCAGGGAATCCTCTTATCTCCGGACCAATGAACTTCACGTGCTTGGTCCCCACCTTTTGGATTTCCCATTCCCATTTTCCATGTCTCCTTGCTCATCATCCACGTCATTGAAAAAAGTTTATACAGTAATTTCAGAGCTTCTTTCATACGGTTGTCGTAATTCAAGCGAAACGATTCAGTGTCCTAAATGATACCTCATTAAAAGGTCGATGCAAACTATCCAAGAAAAACAAGAACCGGCTGCTAGCATCTCCATGCTTCAAAGCCCGCTTCGAAGCCCTCAATGCAAGCTCTAGTGATTAGGGATACAAACTCGTTCCACTCGGTGGCACCAAATACACTGCCCGTCGTCGCAGCAAGACGGGTCATTCCTGCATCTTTTCCATACTGCGTCAGCGGTAGGAAAGCATGAATGCAAGTTTTGCCTCAGAAGGACTGAGCTTGTATGGTTTTCCCGTAACTCGGATGGTGTTACATTGCCCAATTAGTGATATGCGAATGCTAACAATAAACAACTTCAATCGAAATCTCACCCGGGCTCGACATTTGGCAATGTGGCGTATGTTGGAGTCCCTGAATTGGACTGAATCAATCTAAGCAAGTCGCGGCACGAGTATCTTGTGCCATGAACGATCAGATTTTGTGCGAATATCGGGGAATGATCCGGTGTCAATGGGACAAGGCGAAGAATTGATCTAAGCTTGGCCAAGCAGTTTTGCTAAGAAGAATCAAACCAGATTCAATGGATCGCTGAGAAGAGAGACCAGATTGATTAGGTCTGGCTAAAGCTTACTTCAACATTATGTGATAAGATAGAAAGAGGACCGTGATCAAACAGGACAAAAAATTCAAACGATTCTTAATGTGGTGATGGTCTGTTATTGTTCCTCTTTGTACATGTACACAGCGGCGGTGTGTTGGGCCCCACGCAGGGAAATTTTCTTGGCTCCGAAACCTCCACGGTATAGACGAAAATTAACTAAAACGTTCGAATCGACACGAAGACCACGAGCTGTAGTGAAATCAAGCTAAGAATTGACTTGAGATTCAAGAAAAAATAAAGTCCGCGCCCTGTGATCATATTGTCCCCCGGTCACAAGTCCGTCACAAGGAGCATTTGGCATCGAGGCCCATCAGCCACAATGTTCACACTGAAAGAGACAGCTTCCTCATCGCTGTCGCTGCCAGCGGACAATTACATTTACTCCCTTGTGCCGTCTGCAGCCGGTACCTTTGCCACTATCTCCTCGGATGATTCTCTGCGCGTGTTCGATGCCGCTAATCTGGATCGCGTCGCGGTGGTCTCCTCGAAGGCCCATGACGGCGGCGTGACTTCACTGCGGAGCTATGCAGCAGGTGAATCGCAGCTGCTGGTAACCGGTGGTCGCGAGGGAAGGGTCAAATTATGGGATGTTCGGGCTGGAAAGACCGTCATGGAGGTAGAAACAAGTGAGTCTTGAGTCAAGTTATGGATTTTCTTTGCCCTTTTTGCCAATAGCATCTTGCGTGCTATCTTGGAACCCATTTGTGGGAATACAATTAGTCTTAAAATGGCTGTCTAGAGATCAGTCCGAGAGATACTATTGAATGTTTGCATGGTCATCGGAGACTGGCCCGGCGCTATCAACTTTCTGTCTCTTCACCTCTGACTTAACTGATCCATTGGGTACTATAGCAAGACATGCACCTGTGCTCTCTATTGCATGCAACCCAGAAACCAACACCATTGTTGCGGGTACAGAGCTCCTTTCGTCACAGGCAGTTGTCGCATTTTGGTAGGTTCTGTATAGATGATTTACCGGAAGAAGCTTGGTACAATGTCGAGCTATATACTCACGGTGACTCACAGGGATATCAGATCTCCACAGGCGCCTCGTCTACAATATGTGGAGAGTCACAATGACGATGTCACGGAGGTAAGGCAGCTTTCGCGCACCCAAGACGAGTCATATTGCATTGCCCCCACTACAAAAAACTGCTGCTCAAAGACAAGAGACCAAAACTGATTGGTATACAGCTTCAATATCACCCGACCCGCAACAACATCTTACTTTCTGGCAGCACGGACGGACTTGTCAACATCTATGACACAACCGTGACCGACGAAGATGACGCCCTGGTGCAAGTCATCAACCATGGCTCGGTTCATCATGCTGGTTTCTTATCCGAGAGCACTATATTTGCGCTGAGCCACGACGAGCAGTTCTCCATCCATCCAGCCACCAACCCTGACGATCCCGGGCAGGAACCCGAGCCAGTGGATTTTGATGATTTGCGAGAGCCATTGGGTGTTGAGTACGTGGTGCAGGTCTGCATGGGTGGGCAAGGACCATATATCGCGGCTGGCAATAAGATGTATGTGCTTCCAATACTCTTTTTTAGTACACTGCTCAGGTCACTCATTTCCCCTTCCGGTCACAGTGATAAGCGGCTTGATTTGGTTCCGCTGGTCTCAAGTCCCAGCTGGAAGTTTGACCAGGATAATCTTTGGCGCCTTCCCGGTGCGCATGGTGATGAAGTTGTGCGCTCAGTATACTTGGATGAACAGGTATGTTTTCCCTGTTGTCTTCATCAAAAAAAAAGCACCATGCAGTGCAACTCTCATATTCTTTCTGCTGATATTTTTCTACAGAGTCAATCAGTCTTTACTTGTGGCGAGGATGGATTCGTGCGAGTGTGGAAACCCGATGGAGACGACTCGCAGGCCCAGGCTGGATCTACCAAGACGTCGCGGAAGGAGAAGAAACCGAAAGATCGGTTCCGGCCTTATTGAATATGAATAGACTCGGTTCAGATCTCAGGCTTAGGACGTATTAACAGTTAGGAAAATACACAATGTTGCATTTCAATATAGTACTGTACCATTTGTGGATCACGTAGGTTGGACCAACGGTATTGGTAAATCTCGGTTGATCGGTCACATGTTATTACAATATGCAACTTTGGAATCGTTCATTCAAAGTTCTCTCTTTTAGATGCTTTCTCAGCTCCGTCATTCAAGACCACGAAATACTCAAGTTACATTTTGCAATTGAGCTTGGCATTACACCAGTGCAGAAAAAGTGGGGCTTCATATACCGCCACGATCGTCGTCTGCCACTTATCTTCTTTCACAACGGAACAAAAATGGAGTCAGCACATTCTCTCTACAAGGATGACATCGATTTCGAGGCACTCGCCCTACAGTCGCCTGATTTTGCCAAATTGTACGTGCATTTCCAGATCACACGGAATGTTAGACGCTGAGAACGATCAGGCTGAAACCAAATAATCAAGTGGACTTCAATGACCCAGCTACTGTTCGGTATGATACGAAATCGACGATTTCACCACGAAGGCTCATTTCGTTACAGACAATTGACCATCAGCTTGCTGAAGCGTGATTTTGGCCTCGAGGTCAAACTTCCCAGGGATCGATTGTGTCCCCCTGTCAGTACAGACCCATCCCTTATAGTGATTCAATATTAACAGAAAGTTCTAGGTGCCCAACAGGTAAGCAGCCCAGGCTTACACACTTCCAGAGATCCTAACAAAATAGACTCAACTACATTCTCTGGGTGCAAGGCCTCCTCGACTCCACAGAAGGAACAGTTCAAAGAGGATACAACCCGGACCGGGAAGTATTAGGCCTAGACATGTATGTCGCTAATTTGAACATGCTTTTTGGTGTGCTGAGCTAACGAATAGCAGCGGAACAGGGTGCTGCAGCATTTATCCATTACTGGGCTGCAGAACTCGACCGCAGTGGAAATTTGTAGCAACCGGTATGGGCTTCGCTGGCCGGAGCAGACTGACAGGGCTAACACGATTCAGATATTGACGAAAGCAACATCAGGACGGCCAAAGAGAACATTCAACGAAATGGGCTCGAGTCACGGATTCAAATTATAAAAACTGATCCCAATGGCTCGTTCTTTTCACTTGAAACGCTGGGCCATGACAGGTAAAAGCAAATGCCCATCTATGAGGACTCTGTGACTGACATCTATCTAGCCTGGACTTCACCATGTGCAATCCACCGTTTTACACCTCACACGAGGAAATGGCCGCATCCGCCGAGGCAAAATCGCAAGCTCCCTCTTCAGTAAGACAGTATTCCCTTCAAATCACAGAGTCGGTTACTGATTTCTTCCAGACATGCACTGGAGCTGATGTGGAGATGATCACTTCCGGGGGAGAGGTTGAATTTGTTACCCGCATGATTGACGAGAGTCTACAATTGCGGGATCGGATAAACTGGTATACGGCTATGCTAGGTAAGCTGAGTAGTGTGACTACGATCGTTGAGAACTTGATGAAATGTGAAAACCACAACTATGCCGTGACCGAGTTTGTGCAGGGCAACAAAACAAAGCGCTGGGCCGTTGCCTGGTCGTGGGGGAATATGCGGCCTGCAATGGTAAGACAGTCCCATTAAATGGCATTAGCCTTTCTAATAATCGCGCAGAGCATCGCAAGAGGAATCCCGGGCTTCCCAAAGCACCTATTGCCTTTCCCCGCTGACTATACTTTCGTGCTTTCTTCCAAAAACCCAATCGATGCGGCCATTGCCGCTATGGACACCGAGCTAAGCTCCTTGTCCTGGTACTGGACATGGGACCAATCCCGTAGCGCTGGCGTTGGATTCGCACCTGAGAATGTCTGGTCTCGCCAGGCACGTCGCAAGTTCAAGCTTGCTGGGCAAGGTGGTGCGCCAGTCAGATTGGCGGCTATCCCGGTGAAAGTGGAGTTGGGGGTTCGAGTTCAGTTGAAGCTGGTTCGAGAACAGAACTCTGAAACACATCAAGTCCAAGTTTTGATTAGCTGGACCCGAGGAACGGACAGCGTGTTATTCGAGAGCTTCTGCGGGATGCTCAAGAGGAAATTGGAGATATAGAACATCGGACACTGCAAAAATTGCTAGAACTGCGAACCAAAAACAGCCGTGACTTGTCTACGTAGTATAATCCGTATCTCGGGTGTTCGGGTAGACTGTGGGGTCCTCGGCGTTCACTTCTGGATGCCGCATCGTAACCTCGGGACTGCGCGAGACTGCGTCTTTCTAAACCATTGCTCTTCGCAACTTTCACATACAAGACTTCACCATGTCAAGACTCTCCAGCAGCCTAAAAGCATTGATCAATGCTCCTGCCGCCAGGCCGCACACTGTGCCTGCGCCCGCCAATATTGCCTCGGTCTACTCTAAGATCCAACAAACGGCCCAGGCCCAGCAACTTTCACAGCCGTCATGGATCGCGCTGTCGGTCAGCAACGCACTACAAGCATGCAGAAGAGCGACATTTAAGTGTACTGACTTGTATAGACCGCTGCCACTTTGACCATGAACTCCCCCGAATCCCTCGCCGTCCTCTATCAGCTCGCCTCTTCCACATCCAATAATGTCGAAACCGCCGAGCTCATGCGCGAGGTGGGACTGAAGTGTATCAGCTTCAACGGAATTCCACGAACGATCAACTGTTTGAATGCCTTTAGGGCTAGTCTCCCGGAGGCTGTCGGTAATCAGCTATCGCGCACCCCTACCCGCGCTCCCACACCAGCAAACATCACCGAGATCAGCGAGCGCGGCCGAGCACTCTGGGACTCGATCTACCGACCCTTCGAGAACAAATTATACAATAAGCTTGCCGAATCGCACCCCGATCTTCCCGTCCATATCATGCATAGTAATTATGGTGCCCTCCTCTCCGACCCCACACGATCTACCGGTGCCTCGGCCGGTCGCGTGTTGACCTCCATCGTGGCCGTGTCTTGTCTGCGCGCACAAACGGGTGTCGGTCCTCAAGTGCTTTCTCATGTATTTGGACTTCGGAAGGCATTGGAGGATGGAAGTTGGGCTAGTGATGTTGAGAGCGAGGAAGGTGCCCGTTGGTTGGCCAGTGATGAAGGTAATACCTGGATCCTGAACAGTGTAGATGCGATCGTCGAGGCCATTAGCAAGGGTACTGGCTCAAACTTTGCGCCTGGCAAGGCTAAGCTATGAGGTTCTAGACCTGTGAATTGATGTATGCACTGCAACTTGTATATAGACCATCACGGAATTACAACACTTTCACATGTATAGTCATAGTCACAAGTGGTCTCTACTACTGGCAGAAGCGCAATCAGGTTTGGCGGTTCTTAATTGCGTTTAGGTAATTTACCAAATTAGGTTGCGGTTGCCTCGAAGACAGGGAATTGGAGTCTTTTTGGGGCATGAATATCTGGGTGTGATGGTTGGGTTGTTGCGGAGGGTGAGGTTGTGGTGGGGAGAAACATCGAACTCATTTGATAATCTGTCAAGTTCCAACACCTCTTACTTCCGCCACTTACTCTTCTCCGTCTCTCGAACTCCATGATTATTTCAGTCTAATGACATAGATCCTCCAACTTTCTCCAATTTCACCATGACTGGAGTCGGGATCTCCTGGGGAACGTAGGTTCTCCGCAACCCCATTCGCGCTTCGGTTCTAATCGCGAACAGCATCAAATCCCTCTTGATCTTCTTCGGTCCAATCCTTCTACCCCGATTACTTGGAGCCTACCGGGCCCTACGAGTCTCTATCGCCAGTCGCCCACCTCCTCGTCCTCTCCCCATCGCCCCTAACCGAGCACTGAACCTCTTGTTTGGAAGCATTGTCTTCTTCCTTATTCTCAGCCTACCTTTTAACCCTCATGCGCCCGAGGTCAACGTTTTCGCCCTCACTCGCTCACGAATCAATACTCCGATCGATGTGATCTTTCACCGGCTCACCAGGCTTCGGTCTGATGGTTTACTGACCGATGCGGACACCCTGCTTCGAGACAAGCTTACCTCTCTTGGCGCTCGCAAGGTCTACCTCACCTTTGGCGCCGATGCCTTAACCTCCTGCCAGTACTGTTCCTTCGACAACATTTATACCTACCTCCTATACTACCTGCCGGCCAACGTGCTCCGACCACATCTTTTACATCTCCTAATCCTCGCCGTTGCCACATCCGCACCATTCGGGGGACGGGAATCAAGCCGCTGGCGGACCAAGTTTACCCTCGCCGGTATGGCGCTGGCTTTCGTGGATCTCTATGTGGTTGCCACATATGATGCCGTGAAATCGGCATCCCCCGCAGTGCGCGCGGGTCAGATTCCTCCTACTGGTCTCTATAACCTCATGGCACTCTTGCGGCCACTCGCATTCACCATGTGCGACACTCTATGCGCCATCATCATCTACCTCTCGGCTACCAACCGATTCTTCTTTAAGCCACCATCCACGGTGGAACATCTGGATCAAGCAGTGTCGGTCGCATTAGCCGCGGTTACCGGGGCCAATTCAAAGCTTCATGCGGTCAATGTGACGCGCAACGCCGTTGTTCGGGATAAAGCGCTGAAATCGCGCGATGATCTTTATTGGCAGACCGTGGTGGCTGTGGAGAGCAACGGGGGCCAAGGTGGCTCTTCGGCTGAGAAAGGAGCAGTAGTGAACAACATCTGGGAGGAGGAAGAAGTGGCTCGAGCCATGTCACGGACAATGGCAGGCCAGGGAGGAGTGGACCTGGCACAACTCGGGACGAGTGCGAATGAGTTCGTCCGCGGAGTGACCGAAGGTTTGGATTAAGGCGGATGTATATACATTAGACAAATACATAAAATTCTCGATTATACTGACTTGGAGCATGAGATATAGCTTAATATACAAAGAAAATGACGTTTTCATTTAGAAACAAAGAAAATGTCTATTCAATCTCAGCCTTCATTGCGACCACTCCATTCGTCCCCACGATTTGCACTTTGGCCCGATCTTCTTCCTCTTGCAACTTCACCGAATACTCATCACCGGCATATAACGGACTTGTGGCGCGGTATGAGATGCGCCGAGGCACCACTAGAGTGGGATCCGCGATCTTTCTACCTTGAGTATCCCTCCAGAGGTCCAAGATCGAGATCAGGTTCAAGGGCCCATGAACGACTACATCTTTGTGCCCCTCGACATCACGCGCCCAGGGAAGTGAGTAGTGAATCTTATGCGGATTAAAGGTCAATGCAGAGAATCGGAAGAGAGTCGCTGGAGTCTGTACAAAGGTCCGCGAATGGGTTTTGCCTTCAGTGGATATCGCGGTCTGCTTAGGGACCGCAGTATGAGAACTTGAGGGCGGGAATCGATCATTTGACGCAGAGTACGTTGATGGCGGTGATAAGGCCTTGCGGAATACCCAGTTCCTATACTCACGGGTCAATATCTCGCATACTTGATGGACAAGGTCGATTACTCACCTCCGATCAATGACAGAGACACCCTGTCCATTCGAAAACACTTTCTCGACTCCGACCACGATCATATCTTCACCCGTTTTCTTGACAACCTTGTGATCGGCACTCAATACGTGTGTTGTCTCTTGCACCTCCTGCCCCACGCGCAAGAGGTTGGGCTTCCCCCTCAGGATTCCTCGGCCAAAGCACCTCACCACCTGCCCACATACGGCGTGTAAAGGGCGCGTCGGGGTTATATGATGCATCTGTACCGTCTGCACCGAGCTCGGTCTCCAAGAAAGCAGGGGTAAAGTATACTAGATGGTATCCGGGTGGAACGGGTGTTTCGGCTGGCGGACCCGTTGGGGCATTGGAGAGCGAGGAAGAGCCAGGAAAAAGGGAGGGTCGATTGAGTGTGAGGGTCAAAAGCTGAAGTTGGTTTGCATCTAGTGTTTGAGTGCGGGTCTGGGGCCCTAATGATTGAAAGCGCGAGAGGAATGACGCAGCTACATCGGCGGCGGCGGGATCGCGTAGACTGTGGGAGATGGTGAAGCTCCGAATTGTAGTCAATTTCACCGGTGATTGTAGATACGGCCGGAGACGTGCTAGGAGTGTGGGCATATTGCAATCAGGCGCTGGAGCAAAGAGAATCAAGATTGGGGAGCATGTACGCCATCTCCAATTTTTATACGCGGGGAAGCACATTAAGTTGCCGCAAGTCGGCTTTATGCCCGGACCCACTTGATTCAAGATTATGGACCATGCTTGCTTCGAATGTTGATACATTGGCTGCTAATGTATGATAATTATAGGGTATATTATGAATAGAGGCACACAGTAACTTCAATGTAACAATGGATATGTACTTAGGTAGTAACCCTCTAAACGCTATGCAATGACACACTCCCTTTACACTATAGTTATATGTTTTAAATGCTTCTCAACCACTGACAAGATTATCAGGAGTCAAGGTTGCTGAAGAATCGGTGACACCGTCAGCAGAAATCGCAACATCGTCAGAGCTCGGGGTTTGGGCTTGAACAGCTTTCTGTGTCTCTGCATTCCCTGCGGCCTTCTCCTCCTTCTTGTTCTCCTTATTGCCCTTTAGTTGCAATGCTCCAGATTCCAGGGCTTCTTCAGGTAAGGGCCGAATATGCGGCTGGCAAATCCACCAAGGGCGACCGTACTCAGCGATTGTAGCTTTTGACCCAGTCAATGTGGGATCGTGAGGCTTTTCGAACTTCTCAGGGGTGAGTTCGTACTCCTTCAGTCCATCCTTGATTGCTCGTTCCACAAGAGTCAGGACCCGCTCAAAGGCGGGCATGTCACCGGGTCGTGAATGAGCAAGCGCATCTCGGACGTGGGTATGAGTGGAAACCATCGGCCGAAGAACTTGGAACAGATGGCCTTGCATCACACCCAAGCTGGGAGAGTTTGGCTTCTTGATCTTATCACGCTTCTGTTTCTTCTTGGCTGGACCATCCTCCTCTCCGTCAACTTCGTCCGTCCTGAATTCTTCTGCCTTGTCTACCGGGTCGGAAGGAAGGAAAAGCGGCTTTCTTTCGGGGACGGGTTGCTCGAGGACGTATTTGTAGATAATGTCGAGGTAGCGACGGAGAATCGCATCGATTCGGTAACCGCCTTTTCCATTACGGTCCCGCCAGTATTCCCGTCCTCCGCTGCCGGGCGCTGGTGGTTTGCTGAAGATAGTCGGATCAGAAAGGTTTCCCTCGGCACTCATGACACCATCAGCGCCTGTTGCCTCAAGGCACCGCTCAATGTCATCGTAGTTGAGGATGTTTCCATTCGCAAAGATCACAGTGTCGGGGGGTAGATTATCACGCAGATAGCGAATGTAGCTCCAATCTGCGACACCTGTTTCGTGACCCTTCTGTTCTCGCCTGCGTCCGTGTACGGCGATAATGTTTGCACCCGCGGAAAGGATCATCTTTGCATACTCCAAAGTCTTTTCCTTAGTCTCCTGGATGCGGAACTTGGCTGTGACCGGCACGTCGAGTTCAGTGTGGAGTTTGTTGATAAGCTTATAGATCAAATCCCAATCTTCTTGGAGGAAAGCGCCGTAGTGGCCCTTCCGCGCAATGCCTTGTGGACAGCCCAGATTCAGGTCGACAGCATCGCAGTAGGGTGCTGCATAACGCGCTGCCTCCAAAAACTCGTCCGGGTTGTTTGCACAGAATTGGACGAAGAGAGGTCGGTCAAAGGCCGGGTTGCCGTCGAGAAACAGATCATCTTGCTTTGTCGTTTCGCCAGCCGCCCCTCGGGTTGGTTGGAAATGCTGGGAGCGCATGCGGGGGTTTTCACCAAAGAGACGTGCATGATACATGGGGGAGTAAGATAGTAAAGATTTCTGTTCTTCCGCGGGTAAAAAGGATCGAGTGAGCATGCGCCACGCCTGAGAGAAATCCAATCGATTAGTACATGAGTAGTGTATTGGACTGAAACGAAGCAACACTCACAAATTCTGACCTATCAACCATAGGGGCGACAATATATTTGGGACTGCCGATACTTTCGTAAAATTGTCTGCCCTGTAGTTTCTTGGGTGCGGCAGACACCGTGACGCCGTTCGGCGCATCGCTAGAGGCCATTTGGAAGGGTAATCGAGACGCTGTCTGGAGGGAACGGCCCAACCACGGGACTAGCGGGGCGATTCGCTTCGAGAGACCTATTTTGACTGTTGAACTCGAACAAAGGAGAAGAAACAACAAGGCGGAGATTGGCGCGGGGAGTTGGAGACTTTTTTTTTTCGCGCGGCGTTCTCCTTATCTCGGAGCGGAACTACAATTCTCAATCTCTTATCTCTTATCGTCATTCCTGGGGAAACGTCTCTCTTTACAATCACTGGCCCTCGTCGCTCATCATGGCGAACGAGTCGACTCCCTTGAGAGTGACATCGTACCTGGTTTGCATCGTACTCATCGCGACACTGGGTCCATTTCAATTTGGTTACCACTTAGTACGTATGATCTTATCGCGCAAGCGGCAGTATCCCCGATGTCCCCACTTTCCACTAACAATGAACAGGCCGAACTGAATGCACCCCAGGAAGTGATCACTTGTGAAAAGAAGAGCATTGGAGCCAATGCTGTTTCCTATGGTCTTCCGCAATGTATCCACATGGATTCATCCCAGTTCGGCCTGATCTCATCGATATACACACTGGGTGGATTTATTGGGGCTTTGCTGGCAGGACCTGTCTCGACCAAGTATGGACGTCGCATCACACTTCAAGCAACAACGGTCTTCTTCATCCTGGGACCTCTGGCTGAGGCTTTAGCACCCACCATCCCCCTACTTGCTCTTGGTCGATTCTTATCCGGGATCGGCTGTGGCGCTGCCCTCGTGGTGAGCCCTATCTACGTCTCTGAGGTTGCTCCTCCCGAGTCCCGTGGGCTGTTTGGGGTATTCACGCAAGTGATGATCAATGTTGGAATCCTCTCGTCACAAGTTCTCGGCTATTTCTGGAGCCATGATAGCATGTGGCGATTGATACTCGCGGCGGCGGGTACCGTGGGAGTGTTAGAACTCGTGGGTCTGTTCTTGGTGCCTGAGAGCCCAGCTTGGCTGGCAGAGAACCACCAGATAAGTCAGGCGCGGCGTGTCTTGCAACGCATCCGAGGCTCGAATGCGGACATAGAGGCTGAAATAGCGGCTTTGGGGGAGTCCAGCGCTGTCCCGACGTCCGGCGAAGAAGAGTCACTCCTTCCTCCACCTTCAGACAATCAAGCTCCAAAGCGGACGGGAATCACAATGCTTCGGGCCATACAAGATCCATACTATCGACCCGCCATCTTTGCGGTCGTCATTTCCATGCTTGCCCAGCAATTGACCGGGATCAATAGTCTTGTGATGTACAGTGTGTCCATCTTACAGACCGTTCTGCCCACTGGGGCCGCACTACTTACCATCATCACCTCCGTGATCAATCTCATAGCAACGCTGGCATGCATGCCTTTGCCCGATCGCATTGGCCGTAAGACATGCCTGCTGCTCAGTATCAGCAGCCTAGGTTGCTGTTCAACCCTCTTGGCCCTTGGGTTTGCCTTTCAGCAGAAGATTGTCTCGGCGGTTGCATGCTTGCTCTTTGTGACATGTTTTGCGGTGGGACTAGGACCGGTTCCCTTTATACTGTCGTCTGAGCTGGTCGGGCCGGAGGCAGTTGGTGCGACTCAAAGCTGGGGATTATCAGTCAATTGGATGGCTACATTTGTTGTCGCACAATTTTTCCCCATTGTCAATGATGCGCTGGGTGGTCAGGGCAGGGTGTACTGGATCTTTGCGGCGATGGCGGGAGTCTTGGGGGTGCTTCTTTACCGAATCCTTCCAGAGACCCGGGGCAAAGCCAACGCAGATGAGGTTTGGGGCCGAGTGGCACGACGGGATGATTAGATCAAACCCCATTAGATCACGTCCTTAAATCCGGTTTCATTTTTTTATCGAAAAGGACGATTGAAGAGCAACCGTAGTCTCCACTAGATCATGCAGGGCGCCTCCGCAATAATATATTAGTGGCCTAAGGCATAAATGTCACCTGGCTATCTGTTGCCCTTGCCCTAATATCCCTTTTCGGGCTGGCAAATGAGGCTTAAACCTCGGTCCTCTGAAATCAAGCCTCGGAATGAGACTGGTACATCATTGACTGGCAAGTGCTTGCTTCTACGTCCAAAGATCTCGACCTTACGGATATTAAAGCTTGTTCCCCCACCACGCTACTTGCTCTTATGCACCCAGCAATCGAAATGGCCATGAATCGCATTCCTGGTCACAACATCTATGTTGGAGGGTTAGTCTCTCTACTTCTGATAGATCTCTGCCGAGTGGGCCTTTATACGACATCCGGCTGACAGGACCCTACAGCATACTCTCTTTGAAGAACAAAGCTGCTCTGGAAAGAGAAAATATCACCCATGTTGTCTCTGTGCTGCGTCTCAGTCCTTCTGAGGAATTATTTTCAAACTTTCAACATCACAAAATTGATGTTGATGATGTTGATTATGAAAACCTTCTCGAACACTTTCCAGCGGCAATCAAGTTTATTCAATCCGGTTTAGATTCCAATGGGGGCGTTCTTGTTCACTGGTGAGTTGTCTTTCTTCTCTTTCTCATTTGATTCCAAGGGGAGAGTCTCTCATTTGCTCCATATTCCTTGCTTTATCTCATCACGGTAAGTTGTTCCAGCTAACCTGTTCTTAAGTGCCATGGGCAAATCCCGATCCGCATCAGTCTGTATTGCTTATTTACTCCACCAGCAGCGCAGTGCGCTTACCCCGCAATCTGCCTTGGAGATCATCAAACAAGGACGGCCACTATGTGAGCCTAATGATGGTTTCATGCAGCAGCTAGAGCTGTACCATGAAATGGGATGTCCAGATGATGTCATAACCCACCCAGTCTACCAACGGTGGCTATATCGTCGGGAGGTTGAGGACAGTGTGGCATGTGGTCGTGCTCCGGAAATCAAATCAGTGCGCTTTGAAGATGAGCAGCCTATGCGGCCACAGTCTGAGGATAAGGGAGAAGTGGAGATTAAGTGTCGCAAATGCCGGTTCGTATTGCCTTCAACTAGAAACAGGGGTGTGAAGAAGAAACTAGGAAACTAATCTACTATCACAGGCGGGGCATTGCATCATCAAAATACATCATCTCTCATGAGCAGGAAAAGCGCAGCAACGTTCGGGCACATTCCAACGTTGATTGCGCACATATTTTCTTACATCCCATGAAGTGGATGAGCTCGAGCCTGTTCCCAGCGGCAGGTGCTGATGACCCGAATGGACAATATTCTGGAGACGCACCTTTATCTGGCCGCTTGTCTTGCCCCAACCCTACCTGTGGAGCCAATATCGGCAAATTTGCATGGCAAGGTATGCAATGTAGCTGTAATAGCTGGGTGGTACCTGCTCTGTGTCTGACTAAGGCTCGTGTGGACATCGCCAACAAGCCAAAGACACGAGGAAACCCTCCTCCAGGTGCACTTGGCATTCGTCTTCCCCCGGGAATGCGGCCTGCTGAAAATAATGTACCTGGCTCTGGACGTGGAAATTTGTGATGCACAGAAGTAAATGGCTTTAGTCATGAATTGCAAAAAAATACCCCCATGGACTTTCGACTTGTGATGTGTGTGATCTATTGCTCCTAATGTATGTCCCTCATATGGCGTTATATATGTATTTCATTGTTGAGGGAGGTCATTTTGGTCATCACAGGTACCATCCTCTGCCAGATCCTGCTGTTAGTGCCGCCTCTCTACAAGGTTGATGAGTGTCAGAGTCAGGTTCCTCGAATTAATTTCAGGCCATTTTTGCAGACGCTCAGAATCATCATTGATTGCCAATGTGATTCACTCTGAATTATGTGAGCGCTGCCTAAGTACCCAAGAGCTAATTCTTTCGAGGTAACTATATACACTATCAGACTATTCTCAAGAGACTACCTGACTCCACTGTGCTAATCATGTTTTAGTCATACTTCAATGAAGTTATGTAACGGTGAATATTGTCCCTTGCATCCCGAAGTCCCACAATAGACTGTGAATAGCAGATGGCAGTATACCTTCCCTACATTAGGGTGTGATCCTCGGATCTGGACGAGTCTTGGCCAAACTCTGGTCAAATTACAACATCCTAACTAGCATATAATCCCTTGCACCATGAGGTTCCATCAATCGGAACTGCAATGGTTGAGTATCAAATATTTCTATTTATGATCAAGTTCATTTCAAAAGGTAGAGGTCCGCGTCTTGCCTTTCGTTGTGAAGTCGCTTAAGCTGCAACACGAGCTGCAATACAATAGTAATGGGTACCGTGGTACACTTAGGACATAGTCCTCGGACATAATTCTTTTCCTGAATCTGGACTGATCACGCTTGCTGATCATACTGCGGTATAATCCCAACTCTTAAAATGCATCCGTGCTTATACATACACCCATATGAAGAGAGACATTTCCAGAGACTGTCGACCTCGTTTTCTTTGAGCTAACTTCATTCTACCACTTCCGAAGCTCCAAACCGAGCCCTCTACCAGCCATCTCATTTCCTACTTCAATCGAATCGACCGACACTCCTGGAGAATTCCAGCAATTCATCAACTTGAATATCTGCACCCTACCCAAAAACATGAAGGCCTCTTTGATCATGGTTGGGCTAGCCACGGCCCCGGGGTATGCAGCTGTCAGGTCACCAGTTCCGGCCGGAGTGTGATAGCTCCTTGCCTGCTACAGATTGATCCTTTGCAGAGGCCGGCGTTGTACTTGGGCAGACGGAAGATCGATTATCAATGGGAATTCCAAGTCCCTGCGGAGGACTTCCCCGACTTCGGTTCCAATGACGAGACCCCTTTCGATGCACAAGCTCCCTTTGAACACGGTTGGTCCAATACCACTTCCCAGAATGTTGACGCTGGTACCTATTTCAATCGCAGTGACAACCCGAAAGCAGGTGCCTACACAACCGACAAATCCAAAGGGACTTTGTACTTCATGCGTGCAACTGAGGATTTACCTGCACCCGTGATTTGTGTCTAGTCGTTTCGCCTAATTAGGAAAATCAACAGAGGAGACGAGGTCGGATACATTGAGCTTCCAAAAGAGTCTCGCAAAGCCATCGGATTTGCTTTGAGCTTTGGGAGGTAGTTGCCATTCATTATTCTTATGTAATATATCCCTTTATCTCTAAATTAAGACAAAAACCCTATATCTCCGGCTAGATTTCAGTTATGCTATTGATGGGAATGACAATGTATGTCCGATTATGATTCATAGCATTCTAGGAGATTAGAGAATGAACCACGAGCAAGGATCTTGCCTTTCTGTTCAAGGTTCATACTAGTTCAGATAACGCCGGATCAGAGTCATAGTGAGTTATAGTGAGGCCAGAGAAGGGAGAATAGGGAGATTACACTCTCGTAGCACATCTGATCTGACTTGACTCACTTCTTCGATGCCATGATAAGAAGTACTGGCCAGGAAAATGCTCGCTTGACGTGAGGACCACCCATATTCACCTGCAGCTGCTCCCACAGTGGCTTCACTGGCTCTTCATCCATGCTTTGGAATGGAAAGATATATTCAACAAACTTCCTCAGCTCACTGACAGTCCAGTCCTTTCTCCAAAGCTCCCTGTCCTCTTTCTTCAGCACCAGCTCATTCTCCGTAACACTACTTCTAGGCTCAACAGGGAAATCACACGCAGGCCGTCCAAAGAACGGGAGAGTTGTCCATGACGAGTTCCACTTGTGTCGCTCCACAGATCCCCATTGCGCCTCGGAAAAAGGGATGTAATCTAACCAACTGGCCATTCCATCGGCTGCACGCTTCCACCCCGCCTGGTGCTCCGGCCCACCTCCCTTGATCACACCGCCAAAATGATGATCAATTATCGCATTCAACAGTGGCTGGCACGCTGAGGCATATTCAGCCTCCGAGAAGTGTGCACGTCCGTAAAACCAGATCGCAAGAGTTCCGTTGAGTTTCAAAAGAGAGCGGAAACTCTGTAACGCGGCTTGCGTGTCCATCAACGGGAACATGAGCGCACAAGCTACCAGATCTGCGGACGCAGGGGGGTGTCTTGATCCGAGCTCCTCGCCCATTGCGACATCGAATGAGAACCGCGATGCCGGAACATCCGGTTGGAGAAGAGAGCTCCTTGCATAGTCAATGTGGTTCTCATTGTTATCGCTTACGACGACATGAGAGAATCGCTCGCTCAGCTTTACGGAGACATGGCCTGGTCCCGCGCCCACGTCATGTGCGACAGAGAATGATGGGTTCTTGGAGCGGGCAGCATGGTAGTCATATATTATCTGGTAGAAGTCGTCGGTGTACTTCGGGCGTGTTGTCAGGTAGCCATGCCAGTATTGACTTTCGTCATCTTGGGTGAGTCTCCACACGTTGGTGCTATCTTCTTCCTTGGAGCTGAAGAGACGTGGTATGGCAGAAAACTTTCTCTGTCCGAGGGGCAGTGGGAAAAAATGGAAGGCCTCGCGTGGTTGGCAACGCGGAGAATATGCAAGTGAGGATGTTAGCGTTCTCGAGCTACGGAATAATTTGAATGTCATGTTGAGCGACTGGGTGAGGGGCATGTTCCACAATGGAGAACAGAATCCGGGAATCCGGAGCTTTGACCTAGTCATGACACCGTTCAAACCTCGAGGAATTGAATCAGTAATCAATACTGATTTGTCTAACCAAAGCACGCTAATCTGGAGTCGGTTAGAGCCAAGCAACAGTAGAGTGGGGATCCACGCGGACGCACTTTAACCATTTGCGTTGGTATCGTCAGTACGCGTATTGGTTCTATATTCATAGTGAAGGGTCTCAAGTCTAGCTTCAACAGACATATGCTCAGATCCAATATATACACTTTAGATCGATGGCACAGGAATGTTCTCAAACCCTTTCTGTCCAGGCTGTCGGTCCTCCACGATGACCTGCAAGCCCCGACGACCACAGTATCCATCATTGCCAGCAATGCGGTCAACTACTTGGAATGACCCGCCGCCATCCTGGGCGACGTCGGGGATCCACACGGTGTCTTGCACGCTCTGTCCCGGGCCTTCGGTGCGCCGAGGGTTATGCCAGGGAAGACCAACAATGTGGTTACCAAGATTATGGAGGAAAGAATACAGTTTCTCGAACCGCCTCGTCACGCCGAGCCAAGAGAGTGTGCGGGCATCATATGCGACCCGGACAAAGGGGTTCATGTAAATTCCTGTATCCGTAATGGCATCCACGTTGGTCTGAGGGTCTTGAATGTCGGCGTGGATTAAGCAGCACTCAGATGCCTCCCAGAACAAATCGGCACCAGATCGGAAGCGAGCTGGTGATGTGCTCTCGGGCAGGGGAGTTTGGAAGTATTTTGCGTCGAACGCGACCATACCGCCCCAACAGCTCCGAACGCGCACGGCGTCCTTCCCTTGCAGAACATCTCTTCGACTTTCACCATTACCGGCTGTTGAAAACCATGGGTAGAATGGAAGACCCATGCTATATCCTTGAAGGTCTCGGGTGGCATATGTATCGTAAAACTTGAAGGGATTGTCAAAGTCGACAGCACAAGCAGCCCGATACTGGGCTACGCCATCCTCATTGGCATTGGTCGAGAAAAGTAATTGCAAGACATCGACGGGATCGAAGAGGATATCGTTCAGGTAGAGAATTTTGTCGTAACGAGTATTAGGGTCGTCGGTGAGAGGTTTCAAGGCTTTGTTTCGGACCTGCGCCAGATACTCGATGCGCTTGACGCGTTGATCGCCGCCAGGGATGGTCACTGTCGGTAGACTTTTGGGATCCAGGTGTTCCTCGAACACAATGTCCTTTCGACTAGTAATCTGCCTCTCTAATTCACGGAGTGCACTTTCCCCATCCGCACCGCTATCGTTTTCGTAAATACTGACAAACACGTTCTGGTCGCCAATCATATCAATCAACTGTAGCAGTTGAATTCCCCATCGTCCTCCGGCGAGCTCGCCACCCCGGTCGTATAGGCTGGCGGCGATGAAAACCTTCTCGTTGCGGGGATTTCCACGGCCGGCATGGTTCGTACCCCGTGCAGATGCACGAAGAGTGGCGTAGTGTGCAGGAGGACTCGTATAGGATGGGCGGACGATGGAGGTCAAGACGACGAGAGCGAGAACAATCCCGAAGACAACATGAAGGTAGCAGCACCGGCGACGAAAGAAGATGCGCGGTAGGCATGGGCGTGACGAGGATGTCAAGACAGGTCGAGAATTGGTTTTTATGCGGCGATAGCCACCGAAAGGAGTTGACAGGATGCGGCGTAACCAAGCGAATCGGCCAGGTGCGACTCTGCTGATCCTGGAGAAAGGAGGCACTTGAGCCTCGAAATCGGCCTCGTCTAGATTGAAGGTCCCATCGGAGTCGACCGAGGAGCGTGACGCGAGCTCGTACTCGTCTGGATGAAGAAGGCGGGAAGACATGACTACTTGGCGATCACAACTCAGCCCATGGTTACAAATGGGAGGCAATTATGAAAAGGCCAAGTGAGTGACATCCCCCAAAGCTGTTGCGGAGTTGAGATTGGGGGGCGGAGGCCTGTAAATTCAGGGATTAAGGGTCTGCTTATGTCAGCGCTCCCCCCACAACGGCCTCCAACAAAGCACAGCTAAGTACCGAGCTAGCACCATGCGAATTATGACGAGAAATTTTCTTTTGCACTGGTTACAATTGATGCCATTGGCCAATTGCATTCTAAAGTGCAGTCGTAATAAGTAGCTACATGAGATATATAGATGGGAAGTAAATCCAGTTGGCATAAGTGCATAGGAGATGGTTTAGCTAGAAGAAAAAGAAAAGTAGATAACTATGAAACACGCTATGCAAGAACAATGGGAGTATGAGAGTCGAGAGGGGGCTGAAAGTACGAGACGACAATCGAGCAACAGATGAACAATGGAGGTGGCGTGGTGATAAGCACAACTTCTATAGTCGGCTCTCGATCAAGTTCACATGCTGCTGGCCAGGCCAGTGAGCATCCGGCCAAATCTTTCCGAGGGCTTCCCAGATATGTCTGCATGCATGTCAGAATCGAAGAATCAACACAGATATTCGGGTAACTTACTGAACATATATGATCTCCAGGCCATCGTGGACCTCCTGAGGGACGTCTTTGACATCCTTACGGTTGGCTTGGGGAAGCAACACAGTCTTGACACCGGCGCGGAGAGCACCAATAAGCTTCTCCTTGATTCCGCCAACAGGCATCACACGACCTCGCAGCGAAATCTCGCCAGTCATGGCGATCTGCGGAGGGACAGCCTTATTGCTGAAGAGTGAGATGAGAGCCACGGTGTGAGCAAGACCAGCCGAGGGTCCATCCTTGGGGATGGCCCCCGACGGGCAGTGGACGTGCAGGCTACGGCTCTTCATGACATCCTCATTAGGGTCATGCGTGAGGCCTAACTCAAAGGAGTGAGCCTTCACCCATGTGAGAGCTACCTCAACGGACTCCTTCAGAACATCGCCAAGTTTACCAGTCAGTTGGACACGACCATTACCAGGCATGTCCGCCACTTCGATAAACAGGATGCTTCCCTGACCACCTGTTGAGTACGCCACAAGACCTGTGACTACACCGGGACGCCCGTGCTTCTCAGCAATTTCTTCCTCGAAGCGCTCGATTCCAAGGATATCTTCCAGATCTTCCACGCTGACGACTGGGTTGTACTCATCTGGACGCTGAGAGTCACCAGCATCGGCATACTGAACTGCCTTGTGACGGCAGATAGAGCCAAGCTCACGCTCCAAGTTCCGAACACCAGACTCGCGAGTGTACGAGGTAATAGTCTTGTCAATCACCTCGTCAGATAGGTGAACCTGTCCCTCAGATAGACCATTGGATCGAATCTGCTTTGGTATCAGATGACGCTTGGCGATGTGCCTCTTCTCAACGGTCGTGTATCCTGACAGCGAAATGGTCTCCATGCGGTCCAGTAAAGGTGCCGGGATTGTATCCAGCGAGTTGGCAGTCGCAATAAAGAGAATCTTGCTAAGATCAATGGGGATGTTGATATAATGATCCGTGAAAGTGTGGTTCTGCTCCGGGTCCAAGACCTCCAGCATGGCCGCAGATGGGTCTCCCTGGAAATTTGCTCCGCCAACCTTGTCGATCTCATCGAGAAGGAATACCGGATTGGCCACGCCGACCTTCTTCAAACCATTCACGACCAGGCCGGGCATGGCCGCAACGTAGGTGCGTCGGTGGCCACGGATTTCGGCCTCGTCCCGCACACCACCGAGAGAAATTCGATGGAACTTGCGACCAAGGGAGGCAGCTACTGACCGGGCTAGGCTGGTCTTACCAGTTCCGGGAGGTCCCACGAGGAGCAAGATCGGGGATTTATCAGTCATGCGCTTCGACTTGAGATTCTCAAGCCGAGCTTCAATAGCCACGCGATCGCTTTCCGACAGCAACGGAACATCCTTCTCGAGGTCTCCAGATGAAGCGGCATCGAGATCCTTGGTCATGCCGACAATCTCCCGTTCCATCTCCTGATTGGTCGACTGCTTCAATCGAAGGACAGCCAGATACTCCAACAATCTCTTCTTGATCCGCTCCAATCCGTAGTGATCCTCATCCAACTGTTTTCGGGCTAACTTTAGGGTCTCTGCACCGAGCTGATCCTCAGTCACCTTTGTCCATGGGATCTCTGACAGATTCTCCAGGTAGGTTCGGCAAACACCATATTCCGCGTTCGCGGGGTTCATCTTGCGCAGGCGCTTCAGCTCCTTATCGGCGATCTTTCGGGCCTCGGGGCTAAGCTGCGCATCCTTGAGCTTCTGTTGTAGCTCGTCAACCTCATTTGGCTCCTTCTCTTCTTGGTCGTTGCCACCGCGAGCACCGGCAGGCCCTGGTGGTGTGAGGCCTGACAGACCTGCCATGGCACGACGTGCCAGTACTTCCCGCTCACGCGGGTCAATCTGGCTAATGTCAATCCCAGAATTGGATGGGAAAGAGGAAGTAGTGATGGACGTGACTTTCACACTGCTCTTGATATGCTGTGCTTGGCGAGTCAAGATATCGACGACTCTCTGGAGTCGAACCTTCACATCGAATGATGCTAGGATTCGAAGCTTCTCCTCAAAGCTAGCATCGGATACATCGGCCATGAAATCCGCGAGTTTCCCTGCCTGACCTAACTCGGTCTTCGCGATATACAGTTCAAACTTCCGTGCCACGAGTGGCGACAATCGGGTTGAGGCGGCCGATAGTAGGGATGATAAGCGTAATAATGTGAGAAGTTCACGGGAAAGCTGTCTCAATTGTTGGAACAATTCGGCGGCTTCCGAGTCGCCGTGGATAGAGGTGGCTAGCCAAGAGTTTGGTTAGTCGGGACTGTCTTCCCGCCCGTAATATTCGAACACACTTACTACTCTCATCATGGAGGGCTATCTCGGCTTCAAAATATGGCCGGTCACGCAAAAATTTCCTCACGGTGAATCTCTGCGTTCCCTGGACGAGCAAAAACGGTTCCGAGTAGGCGCGGCGCTGAACACCGATGACCTTGGCCACAGTACCGTGCGAGAAGATATCCTCCTTACGCGCCTGTCCTACATCGATTGCGTCGTATTCCTCCTTTTGTGCCTCATCTGAATCATCCCCCTCGATGAGCTGCAGTCCATCGCGGCTCAGGAATGGCGAGTTGAATGGAATGCATCCGAAAGTAATCTGGGTATCACGTTTGGAGGGCTTGTCTACTAAAGACGATAACAGGTTGGTCAAGTCGGGGCGGTTCGACACGGGGATGCGCAGCTGCACACCGGGCAGCAAAACGGTGCCTTTGGCCAGTGGCACGAGTGGAAGCTTGATGGTTCTACCGCTGGAACCCATGCTGAATTGCCGCGGAGAATCAGGTTTTTGGGGAGGGAAAGGCGCAGGATAGTAGGAGAATCGGGATATAAAGATCAGGTACAACAAATGGTCGAGAAGTCAATGCGTTTGGTGATGTGCGAGGGAGTAGGGGGGCAAAAAGAGGAGAAGTGGAGGCCGGGGTTACCGAGGTCCGTCATAGGTAGATAAGAGAACCGGGGGAAAGTCATCAACATACCCCGGTCGCACAGACCAACATCACGCCACGAGTCACATGACGTTTCTTTTATCTTCTGATCTATGGGCGATCACTAATAAATTAGATGCAGTCGATTGTACTTAAGTCAAGCCTAGTCAGGGCTAGGGACACTAGCCCTTTTCGAGTGCGAAACACAGGCAATATGAGAGAGGAAATGCGTATTATCTTCTTGTTTCTCCTCACTTGAGCTCAGCAACTAATTGATCAACACTCTTCATCTCACGAGCATTGTTTTCACCCACGTCGAGAGCGACCAAAACTCGGCTCACACAATTATACCCAGCAATGCCAGTCGTAAGCTCCACAATCTCCCGATCATTGTATCCAACAGTCTTCAGCTGTGCAAAAACCTCATCCTGCACCTTGACAGTCACAGTCATCTGGTCGGTATACCGTAAAACAGCCTGTTGCTGCGGTGTAAGCGGGCTGCTCTCGAGTTGAGATAGATCACCCTCAATAGTCGATGGGATGGTGCGGCAAGCATGCAGCTCCTCGGGTTTAATACCACCCTTGAGCGCCAGTGGGGCATGAGCGTTCCATTCGTAAATTGCGTCGGTTAAGACGGCGACACGGCACACGGCGAATTCGAGGGTTCCCTGGTCGACGATGGTACGGGTCCGGATTGCACCAATGAAGCTATTCCAGCCATCGGCGACGGGTGGGCTGTGCAGCAGGGATAGATCGAGAGGAATCAGTGGGCGGGGGTTGCGACGCTCAGCGATGCGGGCGTAGATATCGGCTGTATCAGCCGGGGCATCGCTTGGTGGGGTGTTGGGGGCGTAGGGAAGCCGCATTGTGCGTTTAGTGTAGCCGAGGGAAGGAAGTCTTGAAAGTGTGATTCTGCGCGGGAATGATAGGTACATCGACTTTTTTTTTTTGGTGATGGAGAGGTCTATGACATTAGAGAACCGACATCGGTAATTCCAGTGTCGTCACTTGAGCAATTACCGAAGGTGAATCCCGCGTGGGCGGATAAGCTCTTTCCCTATACCATTTCCTGTAAATCCGGGGTAATTTATCCCATCTATGCATCCTTGAAAACAATATTATTGCAAAGTATGATCCATTATAAGATTACGAAAGAAAAAAGGCCATGCCGCCGAGCGAGGTCATTAATACCCCCAACCACCACCATCGGTCCGGACTCAAGAGCTCTTCCTTGATGATCATGTTGAACCCATTGTGTAGCCCAGATCCGGAGAAGTCCCGCTTTTTGTGAGAGTTGGGACTTGGATTCAAGGTGTTGGTAGGAAGCATTTTTGGGGGTCGATAGACGAGGTACATGGGGTGCATGATTTTCCCATCGGCCTGTGTCAGATCAAGTCGCCCGACACCATGGTATCGATCGATTGAAGTCGCAAATCCCTGCGGGCGTTAGACAAGCTACCTTCATAAAACACCACATTCGCTTACCTTGAAGTGTTCGCTGTTGTTGTAGCGGGTATACTGCCCGGTATCCTGTTTGCATGGTTCGGAGAGTAATTGACGACCATCAATCGCAATGGGTGTCAAAGTCAAACTTCCATCAACGTGTACGACATAGGATCCGTGTTGCCATTGCATGATTCCGGCAGGGCAGGATGGGTCGGTCGCTATAATCGATCAGTATATGTTTTATCACCATATAGTTTCGGGTCTTACGATTGGCTATCGCGCGATAAAAAGCCTCTTCATAGTGTCCATCCGCGTCGAATGAGTAGGAGATGCCGGTGAGATTCGGTTCGAGGAATTTGTCGTTCAGCGGGTCGTAAAATCCCTATTTTTCTGTCAATAATCACGCTAGGTATCGAATTAGTCCAAATGGAAGCCATACTGGACCCGTCAACACCTCGCGGGACTTGGTAGTCCAAGTCCCAACCAAATCATCCACACTGGCGGCCGCGACCGACGCGAAGAGGCCCCAAATCCAAATCATGATGGCTTGACAAAAGGAAAAAGGTGTTCAAATCAGAATTGCAGGCAATTGATCCCTTCATTCTGGTGGGGACAAACACCTAGCATACCGCGATCCACTCTTATCCTTATCGAGGAATGGAAACCTCCTTACGCTTTCCTTTCCCGCAACCCTTGAACGCCATGGCCTTTCAAACCGCAAAGCGCGACCTGCGCAAGCGGATGCGTGAGACGCTCCAACAAATGCCTACTTCTTTAATCAGTCAACAATGTTAGCTTTGTGTTTAAGCGTGATTCCCTCAACCCAGACACTAACAATCGCAGCCGGAGTCGCGACCGGTAAATTCCTGTCGCTGCCCGAATACCAGAATGCGAACAGTATCGCCGTCTACTTGTCGATGTCGACCGGAGAGCTTTCCACTAGCAGCATCGTTAAAGATGCATTTGCGCGAGGGAAGAACGTGTATATCCCGTACATCCATACCGTGGAAAAGACCTCGGTCATGGATATGCTCGCCCTTGAATCAATGACGGAATATGAGTCACTGCAGCCGGACAAATGGGGAATCCCCTCTTTGCAGCCTGTGCAAGTCACTGGTCGTCGTAGTGGTTTGGCAGAGAATGGATTGGATCTCATTGTGATGCCAGGAATGGCATTTGACCTGGGCTTCCGGCGACTTGGTCATGGTAAAGGATATTATGACCACTTCCTCACTCGCTATTCTCAGATCAGCAAGAAGATGCCATTCCTTGGTAAATTTTCCACCCCGATCGTTTTTGTTTCCAAATCACTGACTGTTTACTAGTCGCCTTGTCGCTCCAGGAGCAGATGGTTGAGGAAATCCCGGTGATGGCGCATGACTGGCGGGTCGATGCACTCGTGATCGGTGATGGACAGTATCTAGACCGCCAGAACGAACTAGAAAAAATTTAGACTGAATCATCAAGCATAATTGATTACTCTACTGACTAAATTCCATGATTTCGACCATTGAATGACATAATGTAGCATCCATGGTTACCTGGATGCCAATACATCGTAAACACGCCTTATGATCATGGAATCAGCACCCCATTCCTTGGAGCTTTGCTGTTCTAGTAGCCTAAGTGCCTGATGCAAGCCTCCCCATCTCTAATACATATATATATTCGTATTCATTTTTAGGTAAGTCAACCACCCCAAACAGTGAGCGCTAGGTGATCATACCTAGTCGTATAAATATAGTTGTTTGTTTCTTTCTACATATATTCGTTTTGCATCAGTCAAAAGAATTCGGGATCGCGGGATTTTTCTCTAGGATGGAATAGAACTATTCGCTCCTTCAATTAAGGACCAGACTTTGTCAATAGGTTCGTCTTTCGCTCAACGTCTTTATGGCTTCTATTGGTTCAACTATAGGAAGAACCGCCGGGCGACCATTTCCGACAAGCAGCGCACTAGCGATATTAGATCTTTATGTAGAGTGGTCTTAATTAGGATAGGAAACAACTTAGCACTGGTTCCTCAAGCGATAAGATCATCCGCGCGAGAATGCAATTGCCATAAGCCTCTCTTTGTAGAATAACAAGTGAATAGGTCCTTCGTGCGCCATTCTTTCGCGTCAGAAATGTCTGCGTAAGGGTACGTCGGCCTTGGAACTTTGATCCTGATGCAATACCATCTCATAAAGACTAGAGCCTTCCCGACCTCCTATATATCACACTCTTCGGCAGGAATAAGTACAAGATACTACCAATCCCTATATCGGGGAATAAACATCCCATTCGGACAAACACAGAACTCGAAGCTATAGCGCCCCCGCAGGCCAGGATATCAGGAAACAATTTCTATTCGTCAAAGACTTATTGAAGAGACAGCATCTCATCCCGCTTTGCACTATCACCAATGCTGTCCCTTTTTGGTCCCCGACATAGGCTCCAGCCCCGCTTCATACCTGCGTATTGAGACCCCGGTGCAACATTCACTACCCCAATTTATTTCATTCTGACTACATCACAGCCAGGACGACGGACCTGTGATAGAGCGATTACAATTCTATATCCCCGGAACCACCTAGATTGTCGCACCGCGATACACCCTAAGCAGGTGTAAGTAATCATGGACATCAAAACCAAATAGAAAGCATGCTGACCAAGTTATATTAATGGGGAGTAGTCATGAGACGTCGAATGAACGGATTTAAGAGCGATGGAGCACTAGCCTGAAATGGTCAAAAACTCTCAATCGTTTCTTCCGTTTTCTCAAGGTATATGGATATAGCTCTTACGATTTACGATTTTTCTGCTTCTTGTCAGGTTTCAAAGCTGATTGTCAAAAGGTCGCTACACATGTCTTGGCAAAGAAATCGCCATGTTAGAGATGGCTACGGTTATTGCGGTTTTGATTTCGAAATATCGGGTCAGCTTTCCTCCTGGCAATGGAGGTGATCTACAAGGAGTCGAAAGATCGATGAGAGATCAATTCACAGCCACACCAGGAAATATGGACATTGTGTTTACGGAACGGGAAACGTTGTGATTGTGGGTTTAGTTAGCATTTCATGAAATTGAGTTGAAATTAGAAGCACAGCTACGTATTCTTCCTCGGTCCCAAGCTTAAGTCATGCGTCTACCTGCGAGCCTCTATCGATAACGTAGACATTTGATCAGATTAATGTGCAAGCATTCGCTAAATGTTAAGGAGAATCATATATTTGGTCTATTCATGTACAGTATCGCCTTGTGGTGAAGACGCTGGTGTATTACATCATTGATTCATGCGAGCAGCTCTGAACTTGCTCATTCGCTTTGGTGGTTCCTCAGTCTCGAGAGGAACCATTTCAGGCTCTTCGTTGTGCACGAAGCCCCCCTTCTGTTGAATCATATGGTTTCGCATCTTATAAAACTCAGTGGCGATTTCACGGCGATGAATCTCTTCATCCAGATCGTCGAGTTCGGGAGCCAGAGTGGTTCCTGGGGCAATCTCTCGCTCAACCAATGTGTCTGCCAAAGTCTTCCCTTGCGGCGGCTGAGGAACAGAAGAATTGCCGGGTGTTTCTTGGATCGGAGTGGAGAATGGCTTGGGTGTTTGAGGTGTAGCAGGGAAAAGAGCAGGTAGGCTTGCTGATGGGATAGCATTGGCCTGCTTTTGAGTGGAATGGGAGTCTGCGAATTGCGCTCCATTCGTAGGTACAGGCTTAGGTGTAGTTCCAATGGCGGGGGCACCTGAGCGGGCACTCTTGAAACGAGAGGCTTTCTTAGGAGGACCTGCAGTCGCAACAGCTGGCTGGGTATGCTGGTCACGATCTGTACGTTCAACGATAGCGTCTGACAGTATAGCCACATCGGATTTTGGTGGGAGAGTTCTCCTTTCAAGAGTTGGAATCTGCTCGATATGGGGAGCCTGAGGTGCCGGAGCGATGTCAAGGTCATCGGCGAATGCAACTCGCTTCTTCGGTTTCTTTGCCTTTGAGGAGCTCTCAACGGAATCGTCTGGCTGGATAGCCTCTGCGGCTGCTGCCGCTTCAACTTCTTCTCGCACTTCACTCGGGAAGGTCTGCGAATCCTTGCCCATATTCCACATACCGCGAGCATTGAGCTTTTCCTCTAGCTCTCGCATTTGTTTGTGATACTCATCACTCAAGTCAGTGCGTGATCGACCGAACTCATCCTCCTCCTCGCCATCCTCATCTGTAGCCCATGCGTAGTCTTCATCGAAGGACACGTCGCTTCCGTCTTCGTCCAGTTCCAGCTCTGCGACGATCGCCCCCACTTCGTCAATGCCATATTGAAACATTTCCTGGCGTAATTGGGCATCTTCCAGGGACTCGTCAATATTGGTAACAGGTGGCTGTTTGCGATCCTCGTCCGTCACAATAGACACCGGCTCTGAGAGATCCATTCCTTCAACCTGATCTACCTGAGGGGGATCGTTGACTTCCGGCCCGGGGGCTGGATTATTCGAAGATCTATTCGGCGGAGGCTCGGTAGCGCTCATGTTGGCTTTATCGCCCGTCTTCAAAGGCGTAGTTGAGGCACCCTCACTGGAATCCTCGTCCTTCCCAGCCTTATTTGGAACATTCTCCACGCCGACCTTCTTCAGGACCTCCAAAAGCTGTGGAGCTTGATCTCCGGGCGTATTTACCGAGCCAGAGATAACCCCGCCATCCTCATCCAGCTCCTCCATAATTTCTCTCATGGGGAAGTCTGCGCCATCCGCAACCGGCGCGCTTTCGCTCGTATCCAATGCAACTAACTCGTCCTCCGCAGTACGTAGCCTCTTCTCCATGGTCGTAATATTTTGCTTCACGTAGTCGATGCGCCGTCCTAGAAGGCTAACGATTTGTTCGCTCGATCGCACCGCGCCTTGGGTCCCGATAATAGTCTGCACTTCCTCCTCTGTCACCAATGCACCACCAAAGTCGCGTCCTAAGGTCACAAAATCGTCGGTAGTGGCGTCATCGGGGAGGGTTTTGATTTCGTCGCGGAGTCCGTCATATTCTGCTTCCCAAGTACGCCAGTGGTAGAGTGATTTTTGGAGTTGGAGGATGTTTTCTTTGAGGGCGAGGCGGCGCTGCTCGAGAGCGTCGAGATTATGGCTAGGGAGACCCATGATGAGATGAAAGGGCTTTTGAGAAACAATAGAACATCGTCTATTCACAAGAACGATTATTGAGGAACAGATTTGATCCGAGAAATCGGATTAACTCCAGACTAGCGAATCGGAGTAACTGCGAGTGCCCCACCTTGATCTATACGCTTGGTAACTAATGGAAAATGCAAATTCTTAAGTGACGGAAATTGAGTTCATGACTACATTAATGCGAAAAGGTAAAATAAGATGGGAATAAAAATATGCCCGCATACCCGCGCTTTCGCCTCTACTCAGCATCCAAGGGGCAGTAGGGTGGCTGATCATTGACCTGGATACCACCCCGCTTCTTCTCAAGCGAGTCATGGAAAGGAAGCTTCCAGCCACCCTCAGACTCAGGCGCAGAGAGCCAAAGTCTCATCAAGTGACGCGCGCGGATAGGACGCCCGCTCTCGTCCACAGCACCGGGAGCGTGGTCTTCGTAGGCAGTACGCGCATGGAAGACATGAGAGTTGCTAACAAACTGGATATCACCGGGTGAAAGCACCATGTGAAGCGCCAGCTCGGCACAGGTTTCTTCCCAAATCTTCAGAGCGTACTTTTGCTTCTCAGACAAAGGGGGAATTTTGGCGTCCGGGCCGGAGTTGTACCGAGACAATGAGGTAAGGTTGTTCGGATCAAACTTGGCATAAACACGAGGGTTGGCGCCAGCACGCTCGTTCTCCAGGTACAAGATAGATCCGCGGATCCATTCCTCCTCACCTTCAGAGACCTCGCCTTTACGGTCGAAGTACCAATTAGGGGTGGCCATGGTTTCGATCACGTCCGGATGTCTCTCCTGAAGAACATTAAACACATGGTGTGTCGACGCGATGTCGGATTCGCCACCAATTTTAGATTTGGCAATGCATAGAAGCCCGACGATGTCGGCTCCATCAGTGTGAAAATACTGACTGAAAAGGACATCAGCTCTGTTCTGTCAGGGTAAGATATATTGAAGGGTGACATACCGAGCGTTGGTGCGGTAGATACGGACTCTTTCGGTTTTAGTCGGGTCCTCGCCGAGATCCTTGACATGACCAAGGACATGGCCACGACCATTCTGGCTCGTGAAATATCCAAGGTAGGTTCCAAGACCCATGTATGCCGTGGCACACTTCTGGAGGTCCCATTCATCCACAGGGATGCCTCTGAATAGCCAGAAACCGGTCCCGTCGATCAGAACCCTCCGGAGCTCCTCCAGACGATTTGAAAGCTTAGGGAGGGGAAAGTTACTCTAAAATTGGATCAGGAACAACTTGCATGACTTGATTTTGGTGATTTGAAGGGAAAACTGACCTTTGAAATACCCTCGAGAGGTGTCCTGTCTTGAATGAATTTATCTGACGCATCGCTAATTTCTTGTATCTCTTCTTCGGTGAACCGATGAGTCCACTTCTCCGGGGCTTGAGAGTAGTTCTCAGCCTGCCATACGGTAGATCCCTGGATCTGCTTTGGGAAGTCCAAATAAGGGCGGACTTGAGAGTAGACAGGCGGATGTTGACCTGACGTCTTAAAGCCATCTGGAAATTTGGTCAGGTCCACTGCTCTGGTGGAGACCGTTGCTGGTATAGTCTCTGTGATGGTCGTCATAATGAGAAAGGAAACTGAGAATTATAAAGCGAATCAAGATTAAAAGGTTTCCTAGAGCCTGCCTAGGTGTCCGAGGTTGAGAAGTTCGAAGACAAAGTCACGCTGTCAAGCCCGAGAGATCGCGTGGTTATATAGTTCACTACAGATAGATCGGCGACATGGCTAAAGGACTCCGCATCGGCTTGTCGAATCGATCAGCCGCGGACCATCGGTTATATCAACATTTGCGGTATAGAGATGGCGCAAGATTGCCAAAATCGACCTGGGGAAATGCGGAGATGTCGGCTCGTCGGCTAAATTCGTTGACATACGCGATTGGGGCAATCACACCATCTTGCGTGATAAATAACAAGCATTGCTAAATCGCGTCATCTCTTCAAGCTGTCTATTTTGTGTGGATTATGGAAAACCTTCAGGTTTATCGAGTAAGTCCCTACTCAGACTCGACAAGCTATGCTCGAACTTCACGTGGTTACGTGGTGAGCGTGTTTGATCAGATGTTCATCAGATCAACACTAAGCGCTTATACACCAAAAGGCCCCGGTGGCTTCTATATACCGTTGTGACCCTGGAAATAAATAAAAATACCGGCTAGTAATCACTGGAGGAAGAATATTATATCGAGAGGGGCCTGGCTCAAGGGTCAGTTCAGCGATTGAAATCGGGAAATTCAGGCTGGTTGATATTCTTCGAGTCAATATCATATTCAACAGGAACACAGCTATGCGGTAAAGTACACCACCATGAATCCAATCCAGCTCCCTAGCACCCCAAGCGCAGAGTAGCTGCTCATGAACATCAAGGGCAAGAACTGCAAGCGCTCGAATCCAAAGATGAGTTGGTGCAGCAGAGAACAGTACACTATGAGTGGGATCGCGATGGTCAGATACAGCAAGGAGAGACGGTCAAACACAAAGATACGTGGACGCTCAGGAACCGGCGCGACACGATCAAAAACAAAGAGGAATAAGATCAGCCAGAAAACGGTGTAAACAGTCTTAAGCGGGAACTCGGCCGATGTAAACAGCAGCGGGAAAAGAGACACGTGGCCCGCAACCGCTAGAGGGCGGAACGCGCTAAAGTAACGGCGGTCCTTGAGGGCAATCAGACTGAAAGGAATGATGATCAGGAGAATGGCTTTCTCGTGGACATGCCAGCCGAAAAGGAAGGAGGCGTATCCGCAGAGGGTGATGGCGCCGACAAAGGTATCCCAATCAGGCTGGCGCCAAAGCTTCACGAGAGGGACCTAGATACGCATTAGTAGGATAGAATGAGCGCCCGGGGGGAAGCAATACGTACAAGCTGAAAGAGGAAGGTTAGCACAAAGGTTTGCTGCGAGGTAACCTCGGGAAGAATAGCAAACGATGAGTCTCCCACGAGACCCCGAGTAACGCTATTGAGCGCTTCTTGGTGTACAGTCAATCCCAGGCGTGGAGCCACTGCAGAATGTATTAGTATGATCGGAAAATAAACGTCCGTTCATGTGCATTTCAAACTCACATGGAATTAGAGCTCGATCGGTAAACGAATACAAAGCCCACACATTAGGTGCCCAGTACGCATGGCATAATCCTCGTGAGAATGGGAAGAGTCGGTCTTTCAGTTGAAGAATCTGACCCCACTGAACAAATGGACCAAATGCAATCGCAAAGATCCCAAGTATACAAACCCCAAGCTTGATGGTATTAAAGAAGCGGGGTCGGAGGAAATTCTTCGGGTCGAGACAGTAGACGCGGAGTAGATAGACGAAATAGGCGAGGGAGAGGTAAAGATAGATATGCTTAAAGCATAGCAGGGCCGCAAACACTATTCCGCTAAGAAGCTTTGATTGTCTGCGAGCTAGGACAATGGACAGGATCAAAATCCCGTACATGAACCCGTTGTATTGGAAATGGATGTGGTCGATAATGAATAGGCCCGGCGAGAGAAGGATAGAGAGACTGGCTATATGGGCGGCGGACTTGTTCGCTAAGGGGGTAGACTTGATGAATCTATTCCGTCAATCATTAGCCTCTGTAAAATCTACGACACAACATCGGACTCACAGGCTTAACGCATAGACTAGGACCAGCTCCGTCAGGATGACCGTCGCTCTCTGAAAATATACTGTCTCCCACGAGTCATAGCCCAGGTTCTTCACCACCAGCATTGCCGGATCAATATATGCAGCCGCCTGGGACATGAGCCACTCAAACGCCGCGAAGAAGGGGGGATAGTCGAGGGTCCATTCTGAGGTTTTCTGGTGTCGCATTAGCACCAAACCATGTTGTACACATTTCATTTTTAACGTACTTCATAGTACCACTCATTCACTGGCAGCGAATTGGTGATAGCGAGCCAATTGCGATGGACCTCAAAGTCGGTAGATTTGCTGCGGGTGCGGGACACGGTCAGAATATTGAAAACACCTCGACACCTCACGAGGGGATAGTGAACCTACTATGCGGGGAAAAGCAGCACTTTGAGGGCACCCGCAACGATGGCGCACTGCGCCAATGAAGGGTATAAATCAGCCATTGGAGGATGGGCGCATGCTTTGGGTTGGGGAGATTACAAATTGGAGTAGCTCATTGAAGGCGGTAACTGCTCCAAACAACCGTCACTCTTATCGCTATCGACTTGATTCCATGACTTCAGGCTTCTGGACGCCATGCGACATCGCCCGGGATGCCCTCTTACTTTTACCATCTCAGTCTGGAAATCTTCTGTCCCGATACTTCCCCAGCAGCTTCTTCGCTAGCTCTCGAAACCACTTACGAAGCTCTTGAACCATTCCAAAACCGGTCCCGCCCCGCAAGCTCAAGCCCCTCAAAGACAGCGAGCCATCCACACGGTGCTAAGAGATACGATAAAACCGCACAAACCATCTCTTACCGACCCCGGTCCAGCTTGCTTGACGGTGCTTCAGACCATCAAACACCAAATTCAGACAACTTCTCCACCGCTACTCTCACCGACACCGCACAGCACATATCACTCCTCGAAACAGACCTTCGCACTGGCCCGATTTCAATAGAGTGCATTGACATGGTTGCGCCCGAGAATAAACGAGCGCATAAGAGGCCTCCATCGGAACAGGCTAGTCTTGTCACAGCAGGCATCGGGACTGAGATTCTCGGCGGCCTTCGCACCAAGGGCCGATATATTCCCCTTGACCAGAAGGTTGAAGACAGCGTCTGCGGAATTGTTCATTTGTATCGCGACTCGCAGGAAACAACTTACCTGGCCAGTAATAACGATGATTACCCAACCTACTTGAAGGGGTCTTCAGCGACTGCGAGACAATCTGTGGACCAGCAACAATCTTCAGCTATTGAGCCTAACATTAAACATGGTCAGGGGAGGAGTAAGAGGTCAGCAGATCTGAAAGCGTTTCCGTTCCCTGCGACGGCTTCTTGTTCATCGGCCCAGAACACGGATACGGTGGACGATTGTAGGACGCTGTGTATTTTGGCTGTGCCCTCTTATCTTTCGCCGTCAGACTTCTTGGGCTTTGTAGGTGAGAAGATGCTGGACGATGTGAGTCATTTTCGAATGATCAGGACGCCGCGTGCGAACCGGTATATGGTTTTAATGAAATTTCGAGACGGGAGGAAGGCCATTGAGTGGCAAAAGGAGTGGAATGGGAAGGTCTTTAACAGTATGGAACCTGAAACCTGTCATGTCGTCTTTGTCAAGTCAGTCGAGATCCAGGTCGTGGAATCTGAACCGCAGTCGAGTTTTCCTCCTACCGAGACTGGCCCCCTCTCACCTTCTGGACAAGCCACTCTCTCCACCAAACCTCTTGCTCCACCGACACCGGCGTTGGTGGAACTACCTACTTGTCCTGTTTGCCTGGAGCGAATGGATGAAACGGCAGGTCTCTTGACTATCATTTGCCAGCACGTCTTTCATTGCACATGCCTTCAGAAATGGAAAGGCAGCGGGTGCCCCGTGTGCAGGTACACACAAGATGGCTTCCATAGAGGGATCAATGGCAGTGAATCTAATGAAGACCCGGCCAAGTGTTCTGTGTGCCACTCCGAGGAGAATCTCTGGGCATGTCTGATTTGTGGGAAGGTCGGCTGTGGACGCTATGACGGTGCCCACGCATTCGACCATTGGAAAGAATCAGCCCATGAATTCGCCATAGACCTGAACTCTCAGCGAGTCTGGCACTATCTCGGTGACGCCTATGTGCATCGTATCATTCAAAGCAAAACGGACGGCAAGCTCGTGGAACTCCCCGCCGCAGACGACAGTGCCCTCGATCCACCTGACTGGGCCGATGCCGTCCCCCGCGAGAAACTCGAGAACATGAGTCTGGAATACACACACCTTCTGACTAGTCAACTCGAAAGCCAACGTGCCTACTTTGAGGAAATTGTTGAGCGCGCCGCTGATAAAGCCTCTCAAGCTACAGCGGCAGCCGTGGCAGCAGAGCAGGCGGCCAACACAGCCATCAAACGCCTCGAAGAACTACAATTTAAATACGACACTCTCCACAATGAAACCATTCCAAATCTTGAGAAAGACCGCACCCGCCTCGAGAAACGAGCGGCCAATTTCGAGTCTCTAGCTCGGCGAATGGAGAAAGATTACCGCGAAGAAAAAACCATGAACCAGTCTCTTCTGGAGCGCATTGACATTTTCACGAAAGAAAATGTATCTTTAAAAGCCGAGAAACTGGATTTAGAGGAACAGAATCGCGATTTGACCTTCTTTATCAGTGGATCACAGCGACTGCAGGGCCAGAGTGAGGATATCACGGAAGGGACTGTTAGCGTCCCTGAACCAGAAAGCAAGAAGAAGAAGAATAAAGGGAAGGGAAAGAAGTAGTTTGAGATCAGGAGGCATGAAGGCTTGCTGTGTACGAGTAGATACGCGTTGATCATGATTTAATGACACTGCATGATGATGAATATACCCTTTCTTCTCGAAACTGTTATCGTATTCTCTATTGATGAAACAATCAGGTTCGTAGGTGGATATCATTATTAATCAACTAACGATCGAAAGAACTGCAAATAAACTTTATGAGTTGCTGGTGGTATCACCAATTTGATCTATCTCCTTGAGACCAGTCTCATCGTCCATAGCAAATCCCACAATCTTTCCAGTCCCGGGTTGTGAGCGAGCCTCTTCAAGAACATCTCCGCTCCAAGGCTGACATTTCTTGACGACCTCACCACATCGCAGACAGGTCCATCCCTGGCCCTCTTCTCCTTCGAGCTTCTGAACAATGCAGACAAAACAGTAGATACAGCCACAAGGAAGTGTTTCATATGGGTTGGTGATATCCGTCTGTGCGGATCCCGCAATGCCAACAGAGGCTGAGGCCGCGAGCACATCGCTTTCGGTGGTGGAAGTAGGATTTTGGTTTCGGTAGCAAACAGCACATGTACGTTCTGGAAGATGGGCAAGCTCTCCTTGTTTACCAGTGGATTCTTCCTCTTCCACGCTTGATTTGAGCGCATTGACGGTCTTCCGCCACGCACGAGACACCCATCGCCGCCAGCGACTGATTCCAACGAGAGGTAGCAAGAATAGTAGAAATTCGGTAAAGGCATGCCAGACTAGTTGTCGGTTTAGGTATTCGAAGGAAACTTCCCGACTGGCCTGGGCAGATGGTGGTGTAAGGCGGATTCGTAGAATTCTGTCGACTAATGTGCGGTAGCGGCCGTTGACCAAGAATATGAGGAAAGATGCGAAGGCGGCGACCGAGTGAGCCGATGAGGCTAAGTCTGTTAACCGAGACCACATGCGAACCTCCTGAGATGGCTGTTGAAGATTGGTTAGCATGGCGTCGCATGAATAGGAGACTGAGTAATGACTGACTTCTTCATAGCCGCCTTCCTGTCCGATCAGCCAGCTCCCCCACTTATCCCATGCATACCGCCCACCAACCGTGAGAAGGCCGTACATAGTCTTTTGTGTTTTTGTTGGAGGTGAATGAACGGGGCCTTCGCTGCGACTGTCGGTATAGCGAAGACCCTGAAGAGCGGCACCATACGACGCGTTGTGGTCCCATATCGATAATTTGAAGAGGATTGCCCGTAGCGCGAACAGAATTTCATGCGACCAATCCTCGCGCATCTGAGGCTGTTCACGGCATTAGTGTGTGCACTCAGTGCGTAACATCGACACATACCCCGAAATATTTGAGCGCATCCCCAACCTGGCCCTTCATCAGGCCTAGTAGCTCCTCATCCAGCAGCTCGGCATCGACCTGACCGACGCGAAAGGCTGGTCGCGTTCCATCTCTTCCTTTCACCGAGTTCCACAGTGTCCAGCCTGCTCCTGGTAATTTGTTTAGCGGATACGGTAAACGCTGAACGGCGGCCGAATTGATTGGGGAGGCTCGATGCTGTTCCGCCCGTCGCGCACGGGCTTCAGCCTCGCGGAGGCGACGGCGGTCCAGCACTCGTTCCTGTGCAGCAGCGAAATTTGTTGAGCTCATCGTATTATCATTGTGTAATCATCATGCGAAGAAGAGATCGCGGAGAACGGCGTTGGGGGGAACCGTGCGTGGGTCTCGGCCTCTAGCTTCAGTGCCGAGGTACGTGACACGTGACTACCCCAGATCGAGTGTGGAGTGACATGTCAAATCTCTTTCTCCACACTGTGCCTGGATAAGCTAAGAATGTTATCTCGGTCTTCGACTATTAGGTACTGTCATTATCATGACAGCCTCTACATACAGGGCATTTCTACACATCCAAACCAGGAAAAAAAAAGCTCATTCGACCATGACAGTGACCTTGTTTCAATCAATATTCCGGCCACTCAGGGTCGATTTGCTCTCGCCATGCGCGGAATCCTCCACGGATGTCACCAATAAACCTCTGGCCATTCCGATCCAATCCTAGATCTTTCATTTTCTTCACGGCAAGCTGGGAGTCATTGCCGAGCCGGCAAACCACATAGATGGGATCGTTAGAATCTGAAGCAAGATCTGATGGGAGCCACGAGGGGAGTTGCGATTCGGAATAGTCGCCTTGTAATCTTTGGTTCGTCGGAATAGGCATGGAAGCCAGAATTTTCGAAATTGGAATGTTGACGCTGTTAGTTAAGTTGCAAATGCCAAATTGAGCTTGATCTCGAACATCAATGATCGTGTGTGGTCTCGAGGGGGCTTGTTCGAGCTCTCCATGGACCACCTGTGGATGTCGTTCCCGGTACTCCTGCGGCGAAAGACGTTCCTCTGGCCCCAGCAGTGATGGGAGGCTCGCTGACCCACAGAAGAATATATAGTCAGTAGATCCTGACTTGATAGTGTCTAGTGAGACAGTTGCACTGGCAGAGCATACTGCACAGTTAATCCTCCGAGAGCGAAGGCGGATGGTGCGGAACAGAGGATTTGAGTAAGCCGAGAAGATATGCAGAGCTGGAGGATCCTGGTGCGGAGTTTGATTCAAGGCGTCCACGTCCGGTGCGGTGATCACTTTAATTGCCTCCAACGCCTGCAAAACACCCATAGTCCCGACAACCGGGCCCATGATACCTCCATCTGCACAGCTCACAACACTATCAGCTGGTGGCGGCTTCGGGAAGACACATCGATAACACGGTCCGCCGTCTTTGTCCCCTGGCGGGCGAGGAGGGTAGTTTAGCACCATAAGCTGGCCCTCGGTACGTAATGCAGAGGCAGATACTAGAGGTTTGCCCAAGAGCACTGCAGTATCCGAGATTAAATAGCGGGTTGCCGGATTGTCGGTGCAGTCGAGAATGATGTCGTATTCATTGAATATAGAAGGTGCTGCGTCTGGTGTGAGATGTGTTCGATGGGGAATATATGTGACGAGTGGATTAAGTCTGAAAGAATAAATAAGATTAGCAGCTTGAAGTAGTGTTCTTAATTAAACACTCACTCTCGAAGAGATTCAATAGCACTGTCCACCTTGTATTTCCCCACGTTGTGGCTTCGGTGTAAGACTTGACGATGTAAATTCGAGATCTCGACCGTGTCCCCATCAATCAGACCAAGGGTGCCTACTCCAGCTCCAGCGAGGTACTGAGCTGCAGGGCATCCCAATCCACCAGCTCCAACGAGTAAGACTTTAGCATAGCGCAGCTTAAGTTGGCCTACGGAAGCATCGCCAACGTTAGTGGCAGTGTGTTTTCCCCGGGGTTCCGTCAACGGGAAAGTGGACTTACCTGGAAGACCAACTTGTGAGACAATCATTTGTCGGCCATACCGTCCATATTCCTCCGGAAGTAAGGGCCATCGAGACTCTATTCCATTTTGGCCTTTGTCACGGTTTGCCGCGGGGCTTATGCTCTCCGAATTCGCCACGGCTTGTTCCTCAGCGCTCACGAGATCACGTTTCAACCTCGCAAGTTGTGCTTCAGTAGCAGCAATCTCAGCCCGCAGAGTGGCGCAAGTATTCCCATCCTTCCCCATCGAGCTTGAGTAAGATCAGAAGTGCGCAGAGAGCAACAAGAAGAAAGGCAGCCGGCAATATGTGGGGCTGCATACATTTAGCGCGTCACCGCCCTATAAATCTTTCGATAACGATCCCACGATAACGTCAATTTGGTCTTTTTTCCTTCATTCAACTACTCGCTGGCGGACCACTATGGTGAGTCCGTTATGCTCCGTGCTCTCCGATCTTCTTTCTTTGGTCGAAGAGAAGCCATGGATCCTCTAATAGCAGTTGTTGGCGCCACTGGCACGGGAAAATCCAAGGTAGTAATGGGCATGCCCCGCAATTGACGCAAAAAGCTAATGACTACAGGTAGCTCGCCGTGGACTTGGCATGTAGATTCAATGGCGAAATCATTAATGGCGATGCGATGCAAATGTACCGCGGCCTTCCGATCATTACGAACCAAATTCCAATTGACGAACGATGCGGCATTCCACATCACCTGCTGAGCTGTGTTGACCTGGAGGCGGAGCCTTGGCGCATCGCACATTTCAAAAGAGAAGCCTTGCGCCTCATTGACGATATCCGGTCACGCGGAAAAACCCCTGTCCTGGTCGGAGGTACCCATTACTATACACAGGCGGTGCTATTTAAGGACCAGCTGGTCGGCGAGGGGAAGGACGAGGGGGAATCAGATGGCGAAGAGACGCCGAAGCCCTTGGAAGAAGTGATCTCGACATCAGAAAAATGGCCAATCCTTGATGCATCCCCTGAAGTTCTCATGGAAAAACTGCGCGAGGTGGATCCCGTTATGGCAGCGAAGTGGCACCCGAGGGATGGACGCAAGATCCGGCGGTCCCTTGAGATCTACCTCCAGACGGGGCGACCTGCATCAGAAATTTACGCGGAACAAAAAGAACTGAAGGCTCAGGCCATGGCAAAGGGTGCAGGCACTCTACGCTCCAGCAACACCATGATTTTCTGGGTTCATGCGGAAAAGGAAGTCCTTGATGGGCGCCTTGATTCGCGTGTCGATACCATGGTAGAGCAGGGATTGATGACTGAGGCTCAAACCATGTGGGAGTATCTCAAGAGCAAAGAATCACAGGGGATCGAGGTCGACCAGACGCGCGGTGTGTGGGTGTCTATCGGATTCAAAGAACTGGCATCGTACTTTGCTGCCATTGAACAAGCCGAGTCCAGTGAAGCGGAGCTCGAGAAGCTCAAACATAGCTGTCTTGAATTGATCAGGATCGCCACCCGTCAGTATGGAACGTCTCAGGTGAAGTGGATTCGCAACAAGTTATGGCGGGCCCTCTCTGACGTGGGCATGGCAGGCCGCCTGTACCTTCTCGACAGTAGCGATGTCAGCAAATGGAAAGAAAACATCACAGGCCCATCGGAAGAGCTCTTTGCGGCTATGCTTCGCGGGGAGCCGACTCCTGATCCCAAATCGCTGTCTCAACTAGCGAATCAAGTGTTCGGTGCCAAGGAGACAAAAGCGCTTACGGTGTCAACAGACATGACATGCTATACCTGTGACCAGTGCCAAAAGACCATGGCAGGGGAGGAGCAATGGAATATCCACCTCAAGAGCAAAGCCCACAAGCGAGCCTTGAAAAAAGGGAACGGCCGTGAGGAGTATCTTCGGAAACGACAAATGGAATCCCAGCAAGCATTATCAAAGGATGATATCGCCTCTTCATCTCTCTCTTGACCGGGCTATACCTTATTTTGGGACCTTTTGTCCACTTTTCCAACCTCTTGCTATTGCTCAGGGGTTATAAGATCTCAAAGACCATGGACCTTCATCAGTAGACAATATCGTGTACATACGTACACAAAAAAAAGTTCATTGTTCCATTCAGTACCTTTTACACTTAGCTATAGCTACATATTTTCCTTCTTGCATCCAAGATAAAGAGTCAATCATGATATTACTATTAGCTGCAAAGGGTTAAAAACAGTGAAAAATTCATGACCGTGCTTGCCCTCTAAGACAGACTTTGGACACACCCCAGTGACTGCATCTGGCAAGCATCTCCCCGATCTCTCGCGGTAAAGGGTATTTGTTGATAAAGAAGTAGTAGAATTACGCACAACCTGCGGTGTTCGAATGCCACGACATTAGGATCCCTCGGATGTTTCGAACTTTTCCTTCTCTGCTTTCTTCTGCAACACGCGGCGGTAGATAAACAGGGAGACGATCCCAAGTCCGACCAGGAAGACGATACAAAACACCAGCACAACTCCTGGGTTCTTGCTTGCCCAGTTGCTCCGTTTGGCGATACGGTGGAGATTTAATGCTTGCGACCGGGGGATCTGATAGATAGCTGCCATTGTGGAAGTAGGGTGTTGAAGAATTTGGACTGTGAGGCAAGTTAGCCAGTTAGGATCCAGTAACGTGTAAGGGCACTCACCAGGTATAATCCTTAGTTTACTAAGTCCCGACAAGTTGCTCAAACAATCCTTTCACCTATGCAGCGAGGTGTTAATAACACAATGGGATGATTTCCGTGGAGTTGCGGTGAGAGATTGATGGTTGGTGAAAAGACAGGAATGGCGTGAAAGAAGTGGATGATGTACACAATGCAAAGTAGTCGTTCACTTACTGTCACACCAAACAACCACCAGGAAGGAACGAGATATACACAGGGATGGAAGAAGAATACAATTTCGCCAACTTTCATCTATCTGATTCAAATTGTCTCAAACTTTCGGCAAGAGACGGACCATCCGCATCGTTGATGATGCCCACTTTGGTTCCATTGGCGACCTTGATCATACTAGACCTTATTCAGTCAGCCAATAAAGGATTCCTATTGGTGTCCATGTATGTGAATCCCATGGTTAGTAGGGATTCACAAAGGCTTAGTAGTAGTCAAGGACGTCAAGAAGGATAATCCTGCTTAGCTCTGCTATCAAAAACTCGGACAATAGAGTCCGGCTGGCATGCGACCTCGGGACTCACGTCGAGACTGTGTAAATCTATAATGTTTCCCTCTATCATTGTTTTCTTTACACTGGAACATGTCGGTTTTTGTAGGGCGAATTAGAACGAAAAGGTAAAGACCTATTCTGGGCGCCGTTCCTGTCCTGGCACCGCTGCGTCACCGAACCAGTGATTGGCTGAACATTATCACTTCCCGTGTAGCTAGAGGAAACCATACGGGGCTTATTGTTTCTTTATATGATGCAGGGATTCTATGAGGCTAATAGAGCATAGCGATCTTCATGTAATACCAATATGATACAAATGTATGAGTCCAATCTGCTACTAAAGGTTACGATATCAGGTAATACTGTGTATGCGATGGGTATGGTAACCTCGGAAAATCTTTATAACCCGCTCCGACGTGTCGTTGTGGAGACCATGTCCTTGGCACGGGTAATCTTCTGTTTGTTATCCACCGACATCATGGCGTTTGGGGATTTCAATTCGATATGTGAGAAAACGCCGGTGCCCTTATGCCTTTTGGTGGGCCCGGCGTCTTCAATATCAGGGGCCACTGGTATCGTGTCCAATTGTTACGCAAGGAACATCGAAGTCGCCAACACTATGATCTTTCAGGGCGCCGCTTCTTTCATGCACATCATCGCACTCGGGATGACGGTGATTATGATCTTACATATTCGATCCAAATTCACTGCTGTTGGTTCGTTCTGCTCCTCTCGTAGACTAGGGTGATCGGTGTTGCTAAGTCTTGTCAATAGGGCGGAAGGAAATCATTACCTTCTTCTATCTCTATATGGCTCTAACGATTTTCTCCTTGATTGTTGATGCCGGTGTGGTTCCACCACGGAGTGGTCCATTCCCTTACTTTGTGGCAATCCAGAATGGCTTGATTTCGGCCCTGTGCTCTTGTCTGCTGGTCAATGGTTTCGTGGGATTTCAACTATACGAAGATGGCACAGCGTTGTCCGTTTGGCTGATCCGAGTGCCCTCGGCCATCATGTTTGCCATGACCTTCGTCATATCCCTTCTCACCTTCAAGTCTTGGGGTGGCTTAGGACCTGAAAACACTGTTGGCATGTTCGTCGTGCTCTATCTCTTCAACGCCATCTGTATTGCCATTTACATTGCTATGTCGCTGCTGCTGGTAGCTAATACGCTCAATGAGCGTTGGCCTCTCGGTCATATTTGCTTTGGTGTGGCGGTCTTCATCATCGGTCAGGTACTCTTGTATGCCTTCAGTGATCTGATCTGCAACAATGTCCAGCATTATATGGATGGCCTATTTTTTGCGACCTTCTGTAACTTGCTATCCGTGATGATGGTATACAAGGTGAGAGTATTTCCCCAATAAATCCATACGAGTATGCATCTAATAGATTACAGTTTTGGGATTCGATCACCACAGAAGATCTGGAGTTTTCTGTCGGCGTCAAACCGAACACCTGGGAGGTCAAAGACCTATCGGAAGCAGACCGGCGTCGGTCCGTTTACTAGACCATCTGACTTTGAACGCACATGACTTGCACCACTGAATTTCGACTTACGGCCATCATGAATACTGGCCTTTGTCTTTCTTTGACGTAGAGTCATGGCCATGTGACGAAGCATAATAGTTTCTTGGGTTTTCTGTTAAATTTTATAATATTCATTGATTGATTCATTCGTTCATTGATGCATAGTCATCTATCTAGTAGGATCCCAAAGGCGCAAAGTTTCAAAGAAAAGGAGAAAGAATACGCTCACGCGGATCTTGGGGGACTCCATGTGCCATCACTGCGCCAGACTCCAGTGGGCCCGTAACGACCAGCTTCGGCGCCTCGCAAGAAGGCAAACCTGAAGAATAGATCCTCTGGTTCGTCGGAGGTATGGCCATCAGTAAGAAGTAGAGCCTGGGGGTCGGATTGAGATGAGTCAAAACTGCGGCGTTCGAGGATAGGTGGTTGTTGTAGCTCTAGACCATCATGGCCATGGCGGTGCCAGGTGAACTCGCCTCGTTTATCTTCATCCACGTAAGCTCGCCAACGCTCCACGTCGTTAAGAAGAACGGAAATGCCATCTACAGCGAGTTCAGTCATTCGCTCAGGTTCCCATAAATCAAATGTGATGTTGCCATTGCCACGATAGATCTCGCGGGATCCTACCCCAGGCAAGGATACCCGAACCGAGGCATCGGTGATATTGGGATACATAGAACCCCACCAGCCATGGCCTCCGGTACGGCCTGGGGCCAATTCTCCCAGGGCTGCAGGTGTCTCAATGATGGAAGCAAACCCCCAACGGGCAATTCCGTTGATAAACAAACCAAGAAGCAATCCCTGGTAAATTAGCGAGGGGCGTGTCGGGAAAGCCGTGCCTGGCATGAGCAAAATAGCCAATATATAGTGATGGATCCGGAGTCGGAGGCCAGGGAGCGGCAAGAGGATTAGAATGATAAGACCAATACTGCAGTAGATCTTAAGATACCGAGGCAATAATCCTCCCTGACGAATCTGCCACGCTTGGCTGAGCACAATCGCAAACACAGTGGGGATGACCAATGCCAACGCCAATTTTGCCCCAGGCTGCTGCTGAATATCCATTGGGGTAAGACGCTGGAGGGGAATCAACCGAGCAAAGGTATAATTGTTCAAGGCGCCGATGAAAAGCGGTGGAAGGAATAAGAGTAGCTTTTCAACTTGATATATAGGGGACGCAATTGGCTGCAGGAGGGGAGCGGCACAGAACTTGTATAGGACATAAACGACAAAAGATGCCGGCAGCAGGCGGGATAGTAGAGTAGAAACCAGGTCGGCCAGGAGAGGATAGGATGGCGGATCGGCGACTAGTCCAGTATGGGAAAAAACCATGAAAAATGTGCTGAAGAAAAGTACCGGTGGAGAAGTACAAAAAAGCCAGAGCACACCGATGGCAGCAGCCGTCACTCCAAGGAGAGACCATCGAGGATCCGCTGGGCAGTTGGCCCGCGATGAAGGCAGCTGAAGAAAGCTGAATGCTTTGGGGAAGGTTGATGGGAACGAGTTCGACTGGATGCCGTTTTGTTTCACAGCCGGAAAAGAGTGAGCCGCGCCTTCGAGTTTCACAACACCGCAACCACCGTCGTTTGTGATGGCGCCTGAGTGAATGGCCGCTTGACATACAAAGCTGTCAGCTCGATAGATGGCCGAGTCAGAGGCATGCGACAGAGGACCTCCAATCACAAGACCCTGATAGTTGAAAGTCTGGTTGCCTACGACATGAGGCTCCAGCAGTTTGGTATCGCGGCAGTTGGCGGGACATCGAAAGGCGATTGCCGACGAGGAGAATGGCCGGCAGTCGTTTCCATTGAGACCGCACCCGTTATCAAATTGCCTATTCCGGTGATTAGCGATGATTCCAAGTTTGGCCGCGTTGTAGTGACGTACCAGAAATTGGTTGTACATGAAAGGGTCTCAAGCTGGCCATATCCTTCAATGAAACCGGAGGAACGGGAATGCAGAAGAACCAGAAACCACGGCAAGAACCAAGACGCATAGAGAAGCAAAAGTAAGGATAATTTCTGTTTGCGCTTAGGGAAGAAGCGTTCGAGGTACTGGACGGGTAGTTCTTGGAGGCGCGGAAACAGTGGTTTCAATAACAGCATATGCGGTGGATCGGGCCCTTTGACCCATTTTGCGGTCGCGCGACCGACCTTTCTCACAGGCAAGGGAACCCAAGCCCAGTGAAAGGACTTAGATGATTCTTGCAGCCAGACAGGAAGAGAGCTGCCTGATTCGACATCAGGTGGCGGGAAATCCTCGGAATGATCAGGATTGAGTAGTCGTTCGTCGTCATCTAGGAGTGGAGCGACATAGAGCCTACCGGCCTCATCGCGACCTTCTCCGATCATACTTCTGTGGCCAGGTGGTTATTTGAAGACACCGTTGACGTAGCAAAATGAAGGTGAAGGGTATGATGTCGGCGGTGCCGGAGTGGTCGGCACGCTAGTCGAGTCTGGGGGGGATCGTCTCCAAAAAAAAGTGGGTATGTGGTGGTGGAAGATCTCCAGGGACAAGGGGAACACAGCAACGAAAGATCGGGCTAAGGAAGGAGATATATATGGCGTGATAATCAGCTCACATTAGGGAGTGAGATGTTGGGAATGAGGAGAGAAATCAGCAATAGGAACAAAAAAAGCAAAGAAAAGCTAGAGAATGGACCATAAAACGGAAATCTGCGGGGGCAAAGACATTGAAGGGCGGGTGTCCATTTCAGGCAGCGAGGCAGCGATCCGGGAGGGTGGCGACAGCGCCAAAGTTGGTCGACTCGTGTTTCCATCCACCATTACTATTTATGGGTGATCCAGCATATCCATTTGGTGGCACTTGTATAGTCGTTTGGCTAGAGGCACGGGTCAGGAACCAGTGGACGAAACGCCCCACGCGGTGTCACGCAGGGGAACCGTTTCTCCGCTGCACTATGCAAGCACATGGACATGTAAGACCGAGTGGAGGGACAGAGAGATGATGAGATTTCAACATTCTCGTTCACAAGAATTATATCTAATTGCCTTCCAAGGTTAATGTTGTTGAATTATCTGATACTAAGGGTGATTGATGCAACTGCTGATTCCTGGATATGTCTACTTGCAACCCTGTCTACAATTGGTCAATTTTCTGCCGCTCATTAGGGCTTGGCGGTGTGCTGGTTTTGATGTTTGCTTAATTTGCATACTTGGTACCTTGTCGCATTTGTTCTGTTTGGCATTCAAAACCGGTCTAACCTGGCAGTTTCACCACGCGGGGAATTTCAGAGAAATTGAGTTGCTCGTACGACTGCACGGAGAACGGAGGGTGGAGACAACCTTCAAGCCGAAATTTCCGGATATATCCTCCCTAGGAAAGTTCAACAGACGATCCACGCCAGTCAGCCATGTAGTCCGAGACAATGCCTTGGCGATATTCTATCACTCTCTTGTCAAGGTGTGGTTGTCCTACAAATGACTCCAGGGCTACTGATGATACCATCAAAGCCTTCCCGTAATCACAGGTGCGCCTAATTGACTCCGCATCATGCCTAATGGCACTGGCGTCACAAATTTCCTGGCTGTGACGAAGAGTGGAGCCTTGGGTTCTCTAATAAATACCATACATACACGGATCCACTCCGATCTCCTATCTGATTGATTGACTGACCGATACTCCGTACACTCGGATCTGATACGCAAAAAAATCTAAATCAAAAAAAAAAAAAGATTTATTGTTATTACCGCGGTATTCGCCGGGACCTATAAGCCCACTGTGCGCGCCGGGTCATTCTCACTCTTCCTTCTTCCTAATCGTCTTCCACATTCCACCGTCGACATGGCTACCCCCAGGAGTGTTCAACGTCTACAGCAGACGCTGTCGCATGTCCAGCCGAACTCGGCCCCGGCGCCCGTCCAATTATCAATTGTCGCGGGGCCTACCCAGCCTGCGCTCTTGGATATTACGCTCGGCGAGTTGCTGACGATTCAAGCTCTGCAGTATGCCAATTACGAGTGTCTTGTGTTTCCCTGGACTGGGGCGCGCTGGACATATGCCAACTTGAAGGATGAGGCCGATCGCCTGGCGCGGGGCATGTTGGCCATGGGTGTGCAGAAAGGTGATCGCGTAGGTATTATGGCAGGTAATTGTGAACAGTACATTTCTGTCTTTTTCGCTGCTGCCCGCGTTGGCGCTATCTTGGTGGTGTTGAATAATACATACACCCCGTCGGAGCTATATTACGCTCTCAATCACTCTGGTAATTCCAATATTCGTTATCATTCCTCGCGCTATTAATGCTAATCTGCGCAATCTCATTCTATAGGTTGCAAAGTTTTATTCATGACACCGCGTATTGGGCGCCATAATCTTGAAGAAGTCCTAGCCGAGCTAGGACCCAAACCGAAGGAAAGTGGAACCTCGAAATCCCTGGAGGAGATCGTGATGCTGCGCGAAGAATATCAAAATTTCCCCACCTACAACGACATCATCGTGCGGGGTGTTTCGCAACCGGCGCATTTGCTTCAGGATCGTGAAGCCGAATTGCGACCAGATGACGTGTGCAATCTTCAGTTCACAAGCGGCTCAACGGGCAACCCCAAGGCTGCGATGTTAACTCATTAGTATGTTCTTTCAATCACACTGAAGAAGGTTCCTCTAACGGCGCTGTAGTAACCTAGTGAACAACTCGCGATTTATTGGAGATCGCATGAAGCTTACTTCCTTCGACATCCTCTGCTGCCCCCCACCACTATTCCATTGCTTCGGTCTGGTACTGGGCATGTTGGCGGTAGTGACTCACGGATCTAAAATTGTCTTCCCCAGCGAGACATTCGACCCGAAGGCCGTCCTACATGCCATCTCAGACGAAAAGTGCACTGCCCTGCATGGCGTGCCCACTATGTTTGAGGCCATTCTCAGCATCCCCAAGCCCAACAACTTGGATACCTCTAATCTGCGCACCGGTATCATTGCGGGTGCCCCCGTTCCGCGTCCATTAATGAAGTCTCTATTGGAAGACCTCAACATGAAAGAATATACCAGCAGCTACGGACTTACTGAGGCATCGCCCACCTGCTTCAATGCTTTCACGACTGACAGCATCCACACCCGACTGACGACCGTGGGTAAGGTTCTACCGCATGCTCGGGCTAAAATTGTTGACGCCAAGGGCAACATTGTCCCTGTGGGACAGCGTGGCGAGCTGTGCATGGCCGGATACCAACTTACGAAGGGTTATTGGAATAACCCTGAGAAGACAGCCGAGACACTGGTCACCGATGCCGAGGGTACCGTCTGGTTGAAGACTGGTGACGAGGCGTCTTTTAACGAGGAGGGCTACTGCACCATCACCGGACGCTTCAAAGACATCATCATCCGCGGTACGAGTCCCCAATCCAGTTTGGTTCACTTATAGCTGATCAAATTTTTTCTAATGAAGGTGGCGAAAACATCTACCCCCTTGAGATCGAAGAGCGATTGACCGCCCACTCTGCCATCGAGCTCGCTTCCGTTGTCGGTATCCCAGACCAGAAATACGGCGAGGTTGTCGGAGCTTTCATTCAGCTCTCTGCAGGTCAGACCCGCCCCTCCGATGAAGATCTTCGTGTCTGGACTCGCGAGACCCTCGGGCGTCATAAGGCGCCGCAGTATATCTTCGTGTTTGGAGAGGAGGGCGTACCTAGCACGGTGCCGGTGACGGGCAGCGGAAAAGTCCGGAAGGTGGAGCTACGGCAGATGGCGACGGAAGCGTTGAGTCGTGCAACGGCCTAAGACAATAGATCTTTTTGTACTGTGCGGATGAAAATTTGGAATAACTCGGCGAAATGTTTATAATGAATATTACAGTTTTAATGGCTCAATTCCCTCGAAACCTTCTGTCGATGTAAGTGTTTCCTGCTCCCTTACCCGTGGACCGAGGTCTGCATAGAAGTAAAAAATTGATTCAAGTGGGGGTAATCTTATCAGATACGAGAAATTTGATTCATACCTAGTATTTACTGGTATACTAGGCCGGCTGACGAAAATTAAATTGCGACATCTTGTTTAGCGACCTTGGCGTCGGGCCCGACCGCATGTACGACGAGTGTATTCCTTCAATCAGATTAGATGGGGATCTTGTCTGATCGAGTGCGACCCTCTGGTTGGCCTGTTCCTTGTATTTATCAATACACAAATACAACCCCACTTTACGCCCGTCCCGGGTGAAACAAGGAAGATACATCCGCCCAGGCCTGTAGCGGTTGGGTTTTGTGAAAATGCCGCTTGAGCCTTGTGAATATTATCAATCTGGAATAATTCATTCATAAAGAAAGTCCGAAATATGCCATGTGGGCTTGTGGGCATGTGGGTTCTGTGACATATTCGGATCCACACAACCTTCAGTGGGCTGGAACACAAGCTTGAACCCATCCATCGCACTCGTCTAAACTCGCAGCTATGTCATCTCCACCCAATGGGTATAGCGGGACTTGTTTTGTGGATTTGTGCACTCCACGAGATCTTGTGCCTGACTCGAGAGAAAACGGTACTAGGACATGACGACCATGAAGACCGTGCGAAGGGTAGCATTGTGGTTTTCGCTGGTAGACATGAACACTTTATTCATGGTGAAGCAGCTTATCCAGAACGTTATCAAACACTTCATACTCGGCCCTGTTTCTTGGCTTCAAAATTAAAAATTCTAAGGTGAGATGCGATGTTTGTCTTGTTTTGCTTTGTTTGCATAGGTAAATGGACCAATGCTATGCAAGCACGCCTGCATGACAATAAGCCAATGTGGCAACATCTCCCCTCGTCCACGTCCTCTCCGTAACGGTTCCCTTGCCACATTCGGGCGATAAGTTCAACATGGGTTCTGAGATAGACTGGTCCCAACGTCCCATTTACTCACCAGAGCAACTGGACCAGTATTTCGTCCGAATCAACCTTCCTCAGAAGTATCGGCAGTCATCCGTCGCGCAATCGGACACCCGCATTCACAATGAAACTTCCTTGGACTTCCTAAAGATATTGCAGCGCTATCAGGTGGCCGCAGTGCCATTTGAAAATCTCAATCTACACTATTCGGTCCAACGCCATATTTCTATAGACGCGGAGAAACTCTTTGATAAGATTGTGACTACGAAGTCTGAGCGGGGAGGGTACTGTATGGAAAACAATACCCTGTTCGGTACAGTGTTGCGAAGCCTGGGATATAATGTGATGTCAGTTGGAGGTCGCGTCAATGAAGCGGCTCAGCCAATTTCGGCCTCGAAGAATTGGAAAGGCCCCAAATACGACGGTTGGTAAGAGAGGATCGTTATTCTTATTTCTGCAGCATTTCAGGGGGAGTAGAAGTCATATATCTGGTTATAGACTATTCTATTATGCGATCAATTTCTAGGTCCAAGTTATCTGCCCTTGGCACGTTGATCGCTGACTACCTCATAGGAACCACATGGTCAACCTAATTATCATTGGGCAACAAAAATATCTGATAGACGTGGGGTTTGGCTCTAACGGCCCACATCAGCCTTTACCATTGATTCCGGATGTCGAGTTTCACAACGTGGGTCAGCAGTCTGGACGGCTACGCTATGCACCAATCTCCCAACACACAACCAAGGGCCAATTTCTCTGGCACTATGAGATTAAGAATGGGGACGGAGAATGGTCTCCCGCGTATTGCTTCACTGAGACCGAATTTCTTCCCGAGGACTTTACTATCATCAACTACTATATGAGCACTAGTCGAGAGAGCATGTTCACCTTCCATGTGTTGTGTGTGCGCATGCTCTTGGATCAAGAGGGCGACAATGTTGTAGGTGATCTGACGCTCTTCAATAACACCTTGAAGCGTCGCCTAGGAGCCACATCGGAGATAGTGCAAACGTTTGCCTCCGATGAGGAGCGTGTGGCAGCACTCGAGGAATTTTTCAATATTCACATCCTCAAGGCTGATAGAGAGAGTATTCGCCATACAATTTCGGAGATTCTTTAGATGAAGTGTTGAGGTCCGGAACCAAAACGATTCCAAGGTTCCAGGGATGAGATGTTGAAACCTAGAATTTCGGGGCACTACGCAACATATAAAATGGTCACATCCATGGAATTAGATCAGTCTTCCAATTGATATTTCTCTTGTTGATACGTACCTACAGGCCTATCTATTAAATCCTCTCAAATTTTCAAGGTCACTTCCTTACGCTCCGGGTCCGACTGGGACCAAACGCTGGATATATATTTCGGCGATCCGAGTGCTGTTATGTACGAAATTTTCTGGGTTCCAACATTTCTTCTCATTTGGAAATATACCGAAATATTTTAGATAGGTATGACACGTTTGGAGACATGAGATTTAAGTATAACCTTTCAGATCTACCTTGAGCTTTGTCCATATCGGCAGGTGTGTGCCCATGGACCTGCCCACGTAGACAAGTATTTGGTTCCGTTCAGAGGTTCAACCTTCGAGATGAAGGTATCAAAGTAGCGAACCTTGATAATTGCAACTTTGACGAAAAGAGGTTAAGGTTCTCATTCATATCTGACCTATAATACATTCATACCAAGAATAGATCCACAACCTCAGAAATCGGCCCGCGAGGAACTATGTCTCAATGCCAAATCAAGGGCAAAACGCCGGTACCATGCCTCTCACAAATAACAGAGACTTTCCCAAAGAAACAATACATCAAGAAATGAAGTGGAAGTCGATTTATAGACGGCGCTCCATGCGGTTCAGCCGGACAGGAGTTTTGATCTAGTACAGTCCTGTTAGTTTGGGCACTCCTAGTAAGGGAAATGGCTCCCCCAAGTTCCGCTTTGGTCACCACAGACATGCTTGGGCCGTGGAGCTTCCATTCGGAGACCAAAATGAAGATTCTAAACCGAGAACCGTAGAGACTGGAATGGATAAACCCACCTGTGTACGCGTTCGTTGTCCTCGCACGGGCAGACCCAGGGCATGGCGACGACCACGGTAGGTACCCGTCTCCTTTAAGCGCTTTATATCGTTCAAAACCTCCCGACGCAAATCATTCTCAATCTTCATATCGGATAGCACGGCGGTCAAGTCGAGGACCTGCTTGTTGGCTAGCTCGCCGACGCGGCAAGTTGGGTGGATGTTGAAACGGGCGAGGAGACGGGAGGATGTATTGTTTCCAATTCCGAAGAAGGACTCAAGGGATTTCTGGTGGTTAATGGTGTTAGGTCTTGGGTCGTGCGTCAATTGGGTGAGGCGGGTGGCCAAGGTGTATCGCGGATTAGGGAATTGCTTGCCTTCAACAGGTTTCGCTCCGGAAAATTGACGCCGAGGAGGAAGACCTGGTGGAAATTGTAAGTTAGCTTATATTGTCTCAAAGCATTGAGGGAGCTTTACCATCTTGAGAGATCTGAGTGACTAAGAATCAAGGTATCGTTGCTCTGCTGCTCCGGTCGGAAGACTGAATGCGCGAGAGAAATCTTTGGCAACAATGTTTCTCCGAGCAGAAGTTTGCAAAACATTCTGGTTATCAATACAGTAAAATTCCGTAATCTTGGTAATTAATCCATTTCCCACACCATACCGGCCATGCAAGATTTGAAATTATACCCAAAGGGCCCCATATTCTCTCCGCACGCCATCTTAAATTGCAAGCTGGCCTCCCCTCGCCGTTCCTTTCCTCTCCAACATCCCACTGTATCCATCCAGTACAGCGGTAATCCACAATGCAGTTTAGCAACTTTTTCCTGTCCATCTTCTTGGTCTTCGCAGTCGGCTTCGCGCTGGTCCAGGCGGAGGATGCCAAGCGGGAAACCCGTGGCCCCAAGATCACCAGCAAGGTAAACCGATCATCGCTCAGAAGCGCCCGATGACCAATGTTAATAGTTGTTGTTAGGTCTACTTCGATATCCAGCATGGCGATGAGCCCCTTGGTCGCATTGTGATGGGCCTATACGGCAAGACCGTTCCTGAGGTGAGTGACGGACCCCTAGGATCAACCTGGTACAACAAGTTGACCCTTCTCCTTAATTTAGACTGCAGAGAACTTCCGGTATGATCAGCATGATAATTGACCCAGACTCTAATTGATTCCATACTCACGATCTGTTCAGTGCTTTGGCCACTGGCGAGAAGGGCTTCGGCTACGAGAATTCCGCTTTCCACCGTGTCATCAAGGACTTCATGATTCAGGGTGGTGACTTCACAAAGGGTGACGGCACCGGTGGCAAGTCTATCTACGGCAACAAGTTCAAGGATGAGAACTTCAAGCTGCGCCACACCCGTCCCGGCCTCTTGAGTATGTATATGATCCGACCATCACTCATGAAACGGATTTAACAGGTTTCTCAGGCATGGCCAACGCTGGCAAGGATACCAATGGCTCCCAGTTTTTCATTACCACCGTTATCACCGGATGGCTCGATGGCAAGCACGTCGTCTTCGGTGAAGTTCTCGAGGGCATGGATATTGTCTACAAGATCCAGGATGTCCCCGTCGGTGGTGGCTCCAAACCCCAGAAGCCCGTCAAGATCGTGAAGAGCGGAGAGCTCGAGATGGAGTCGGAACCCGAAGACAAAGGTAGCCGTGACGAGCTGTGAATGCAGCACGCTCCTGTTATACTCTTGTTTTTTTGCTGCTCGGCGACGGTGAGCTGATGCGTGCTTTCTCTTAAGAATACGACGACTATCCGACCGATGAAGCGCCAGTGGACTCCTACTCTTTTTCGATGCGGCCCATGCTGATCTTCCTGGTGCTGGTGGCGATCGTCGGATTCTACTTCTACCGTCGTCGCAACCAGCAGGGAAATGGCGATGACGACTACAAGGAATACTTGTAGATCCTCCCAAGTGTTTCATGAGCTTCTTGATTTCCACAGGTAGAAAAAAACAAGACGTTTTCTCCGTTATAACAGCAGGCAAACATGAATGTAGCCGGTGTAGTAGAGCAATTCTTAACTTGCTGTTAGCCCAATCGCATGGTTATATTTGGCGTTGCAATTTGCATTGAGATTCTATTGACACAATACAATGCTACTTCAGTAATTGTATGATGGTGATGCTGGCGCGATGTGCATTCCCAACGAATGCACGGCCTTATATACGTGTCCCTCCCTCAAAAGTGAAGGGGCAGTGCCAAGCCGAGGACATGGCTCACGGTCAAACGGGAGAAAGAGAGGTATCCCCAAAGTCGATATCCTACAATAGGATATGATGAGGACCGAGATTTGTTATTCACAGACCTCATTAGTGGCGCCTTCGGGTCATCTTCACTCGGTGGCGATCACTGCTGCTTGAGGTTCCTTTCTCTCAGGATTGCATCCATCTCATTTGCGAAGAAACAATAAAACGAGGGATAGACGGGGCTACTTCTTGCTAATGACCAAGTTCAGATCAGCCGTATGTCTGAAATAGCCGGGAGACTAATTCATGGACCGAAGGTACCCCCAAAAATCCTTTCATCACATCATGTCGGGATCCCACCAGAAGATACAATGAGGGTAGCTCGTTGAGTATGCCCTCGTGCTGTCTCGACATATCAAAATCCTTTGTGACGCCCAGGAGTTGTTTCAGCATACGGAGCGAGTACAGTACAGCATGGATCTGCGCCAGAAGGTGAAGATCAGCCCACTCAGTGCATTTACCAGCGAAGCCATGGGCGAGGAAGTGTTCCAACTTGCTGGCACTTGGGATTGTTGTATTACTAGAGCTGTTCCGGTAAATCTCCGATAGGGCGAACATCACCCAGAAGCTGGGCTGTGCCTCACTCCCAAAAACAGAGCGCGCCAAATGAAGACGTCCACTGAGCAAGTCTAAGTCTAAAGCGATGGCTTTGGCTTGACTGAGAGTGACCTGCTCTGGGACAATCCGGCGGCCTCTGCGTACAAACTCGTGGATGACAGGGAATTGACGCGCTGCAGGTTGAGCCAGATTGAGAAGGGAATACCCAAGAGCTCGATATATTATTCCCTGTTCCCATGCGCATTGTCTGGCATGGTCCTCGGGCAAGATTCCTAGGTAGATGTGCGGTCGAATATCTTCTCCCCAACAATAGCTCTCTGGAAGCTTGTATTGCCAAAACAGTTCGGAAACCCGGGGATCCAATGCAAGAGCGCTTGGAATGCCTTGCAATGACATATGTTGATCGGAGTCGTCAAGGTATTCTTGAAGAAATTCATCGAAGCCAATAACGGACCCCGTCCCAAGGTCTTCCTTCGACCGGCGTACTAGATCTGAAAAACCACGGTGCGGATCTTGCGTCAACTCATAGGCGAATCGTTGCAAACTTCTTAACCCCAACCGGACACAAATCTCATGAGGATGTATTCTTAGTCCTCGAATCTCCGATGAGGTTAGATCGGGCGTATCGTCAAGAAATTCCAAAGAGTTGAGCAAGACAAGTGATCCATGTTGCCCTAGGTCATGGACCGCCAGATCTGAGTCATTTGTGAGCACGGCCGAACCTGTTAACTTTGTAATGCGAGCGCAGTCGAGATCCGCTTCTCCGGGGACCATGATTGTGATTTTGGCCCAAGGGTAATCTCCCTCCAGCTGAGCCGCACATGGATGAATGGTCGTTGTCATCAGCTTCTTGCTCCACCGATTAGTAAGATCCTCATATACCGCAGAGACCATGAATGGGTTCTCGGGTAAATTCTTCCACCGCGAAGGAAGGTGCCGGCGATGCCAAATCTGCGCTGGTTGTATGGCATCCGCCTTGCGGTGTCTGTTGGCGGTCGGTGGAATTGGCCTCTGCCGACAGGACTCTAGCTTTTGTCGAGATTTTTCAATTCGAGCCAAGCGAGTCGCTCGTTTCGAGATGGGCAGAGCGCCATCAAAGCATATTTGATGGATTTCAACTCCCCGATCTTTCAATTGCAATAGGAAACTCACAACCCCCCGGCTAACCTCGTCGCAAGTGGGTTGAATGTCCAGCGCATCGTATGCGATATCTGCCCAGGCCAATAATCGGTAGTAGACATGGTACACCAGACTTGGCCCGTCAATGACCACAGATCGGATGTGAGGGGGGCCACCTGGAGTGACTGGATCCCCACTCAACACCACAGTTTCAGTGTATTGAGAGAGGTGTTTAGTTAGGGAAGGAATTCCCATGGCCAAAGGGTCAAGATGGTGCTGAAGTAGTAATGATTTTTGTGTCATTCGCTTGCATTGGCAGAAATGTAGGGCGGCTTGAAAGGGCAGTACAGGAAAGGCGGTCACAACTGGCATGGGAAAGGGCGAGATTGACCCAGGCCTACTGATATCTTCTCATCGTAAATCCTCCCCACCATGACGTGGACTCAATTCTTACTAACAAAGCTGACCATATCAGGTTTCACTTTCGGTAATGTCATGCACGTTTACGATACATTTCAATTGGGCTCCACCAATGGTACTGAAGGTCATGATCAGTACAACCTAGGGAGAAGCATGCTACCATACCTCTGGCCCCAACGCGATTCTAGGTTTCCATCATGGAGATGTGATGAGACAGGTGCTTGTCATAACACAACTTCATATTCGCTGGTAAAGCTTGCAGTTCCATGGTACTTACTCTGTTTCAATGTTCCGAAAGTCACTTGAAAGAAGCTGACTCCCACGCATAAAAGTGTTGTTTCCATTTTGAGTGATAGTCTAGTTACCTCGCAAAGAGAACAAGATAAGTCTAGTAATCGTCAATACCTGAATTCATTGAAAAAATGAAAAGCTTGTCAGATCTATGTCAGAGAGAGACCTCAGGAGAGGTCTATGGTACAGGAGATGGATGAACATTAATGAAATGATACCAATCCGAACTACTTGGAATCTCACTCGCTATCCACAGGTCGCCTGATATGCATAAAATCGCCAGTCTGATAGATCAACGATGGTGTAATGCGCGCAATCTTCCATTTCCCATCGACTTTCACAAATTTATGTTCCATGTAGGTGCGTCCATCGCTAGTCTCAGTGATTGAGCCCGATGTATCTCGATGTTCATTGTCACGGCGACCGTGACTAGCCAGCTGTTGCCATTCCACGACGATCTCGCCTTCTCCTACATACTTAAAGTATGGCTGAGCGAGGAGGTGCTGTGTTGCCAGTGGCTTCAAGCCCAGGTGTTCGGCGGACAGCCATTTAGAGGCGAAGTCATGCGCAGTGTATTCTTCTCTTCCCCACCCAGACACAATCAATGTGTAGTCGACCGTGACTTTTGGAGCCAGCGCGGCAAGTAGTCGGGGAAAGCTCTATGTCGGGTAAAATTTAATGTCAACCAAAATTTTGTACATTGCTCGGAGGGGAATCAGACTTTCCGATCATAACCATCCGCCCAGATCCGAGCCGTCTGAACAATAGCAATGTAATCTTGAAATCGAAGATTGTCTGGTATGTAGATGTCGAAGAGGTCAGACATGGCAAGGGACTCGTTTAGAGATAATGAGATAATAAGATAGCGAGTACTGTCGACATCTCCTGGTGTTTAAATACCCCGCACGTCGCGAAGCTCTACCATGACGGAGAGGGAAGTGCCAAGTAGAGGATGTTCGGCATTTCCGACAGCTCATATATTGATATGCGGGGAAATCGGGGGAGAAGGGCGGTTGGTGTCGAGTGGCGCGGCAAGGTGAAAGCTGGCAATTGCCGACCATTCCCTGTTCTCTCTTATTCACTGGCTTCTTACTCCATGCTCCATACTCTCTCGCTCTTCTTCAACCTCCTTTCTGTGAATCAGCCCGAACAATGATGCAATCCTCTTTTTCTCTCAGAACAGATGTCTATCCGCCCATCGATCCCGGAATCCTCGTGGGGTCTTTGAAAGGCAAAAATGCTCTGATTACCGGTTCTGGGAGAGGAATTGGGCGTGAGATGGCGCTGGCATTGGCAAAGGCCGGTGCCAATGTGGCCATCACTGGACGGACAGCAAGCGAAGTCAATTCAACCAAGGAGGAGATCCTGCGACTGGGATCAGTCAAGGCCATTTCTGTCATGGCAGACGTGCTATCCCGCGATGATCAAAATAGGTTGATCCAGCGTGTGGAGGCTGAACTCGGAGCAATCGACATTTTCATAGCTAATGCCGGTTCGAACATCTTCCAGCCTTTTCACCTAACTGATCCTGAGAGTTGGTGGGATGTTATGGAGTTGAATGTTCGGGCGCCTGTAGAATTGACCAGGCTTGTTCTTCCATCTATGCGGGTACGCAACACAGGCACGATCATATATACGTCCTCCCGCGCGGCGACAGCGGATTTGCCATGGACAACAAGCTACAATTGTGCCAAGACTGCTATTACTCGGTTTGCTGGAACACTTCAAGCAGAGCTAGAGCAGGTCCAGCGGATTGAATCCGGTGTTCCCAACGGGATTTGCGTGTTCAGTATCCACCCCGGGGAGGTCGATACTAACCTCCATGTCACGGCCTTTCCCGAAAAGACAAAACGAGAGGCCCCTTATGTCATCGAACATATGGAGAAGATAGGATCAAAGAGGCCTCACTTCTCCGGGAATCTTCCAGCTTGGACATGCGTCTGGCTCTGCACGGGAAAGGGTTTAGCACTGAAAGGGAGATATGTTGACTGTACACGAGATGTGGAGGAACAGGTCGCTGCGGTCAACGTCAAGGATTGAGAATGTATATGAAGATATATTATATAGCGAAAATTCCTGCCAAATGCCTAGGTAGGCATCTTTTGATTTGTTCCAATATTTTCCAAGAATTTCACCAATACTTTAGGTATAGATGTCTGATTCACTTCCTGACACTTTGACATAGACGTATAATCAACTTTTTTCCAATCACATGGTTTCTATGGTCGCATATCCACAGCAAACGGGACTTGAAATATTGGAAATCGTATTGAGATAGATGTGACAGTATTGAATTGAACCATTGAATGCACGGAATATAGATCATGTCATTGACCTATATCAAAATCTGATGGATAATCCAAGGTTGCATTCTGTGACTACTTGTTGCACAATAATAACAAGACAAGCATATTTATGCCAATGGATACCCCACTTGGTGGGGTCGATTCTGGATCGACTGAAGATGAAAACTTCCGAGGGTTACTTGGCCATACCAAATTGACCCTGTCGAAGCTCGGAATCCTCCAGGGCCGATTCAATATGTCTGTTCATATTGTGTGCCACTGACTGTAGGGAGCAAGACACGATAGCATTGACAGCCACGACCACGGAGATCGCAATCCAGACATACTTCCAGGAATATGCCACAGCTATCGCTTGCGCCGCACGGATCCCGGGCATCCATTCCTTGCGTAGTCCAGTCACCATATCCAGTGCATCGGGGTTGGAGCTGAGTAGAGCAGCCACCACATCCGCAGTGAGGCTTGCTTCTCCTACTTTAGATAAGGCCTGTCCAACCTCGCGGCCGAGTGCGGAACCAATTTTGTTGTTGTAAATCGCGGTAAAGATCGTGATACCAACAGCTCCACCCAAGGCACGGCATGCGACACTAATGGTTCCTGCCGTGCCAAGGAGGAAGGAGGGGACCGAAAGTGCTAGTGCAGTTACTAGAAGGCGTGTCAGCTTGGTTATACTAGGTTTGTGAATCATATGAGAATCCCTACCCGGAATGACGGTTGTCACGGCGGTACCAATTCCGAACAGAGCGGAAAAGGCATAAGCCCAGCTTAATCGACTAGAAGTAATAATGGCCATGAGTCCTGTTGTATTCCATGTTAGAGCCCTGGACTGATTGCATTGCTCCGTGATATCAATTCTTACCAGTAAAAAGACTGCACCAGAGAAGAGCACAAACTAGCATGGTACGGTATGATTTGGTGCGAGCCATGATCCAACCGGCTGGCAGGCAACCAAACGCCGATGTTGCGAGGTAAGGTGTAAGAACCGTGGCAATTTCGATGGGGTCTGTGGTAAACATGTCTGCAACCTGTTGTGCAAAAAGAACGTTGACACCTAGGAGAAGCATTCCGTCGACTATGCAGACAAATAGGAGTAAGGGAAAATTACGAGATTGAAACAACCGGTGATCAAAGATACCCTGCGAGGTCGAGAAGCGTTCATAAAGGCCGAATGCCACCAAGCCGATACAGCCTGCAATTAAGGTTCCGATGATGCGACCAGATGACCAAGGATAAGTCGTACCACCCCATGTCAAAGCGATAATTAGGGAGGCAATTGAACCTGTGAACATAATGATTCCAAGGTAGTCCACCTGATACAGCAGGTCTCGAATACGGCTTTGCTGACGACGAAGACTGGGTGGGGGTGGATGGTAGAAACAGCTGACCAGCGCGGCCGACATACCGTACACGAAGGCATTCAGATAGTATGACCATCTCCATGTGTCATATTTCACAAATGCACCGGCCGCTAAAGTTCCGGTGATCACTGCGCAACTAGCTAAGGCTTGAGAAAAGCCTGTGGCCCATGGTCGAAGTTTGTTCGGTGTCACTTCTTGTGCGGCTGGAATACCCATTATCTGGGTAAGAGCGATATAGTCAGATGAATGGATCAAGACACATAAACAAGAGGGAAAGAGAGAGCGTGAAAAAACTTACACAACCGGCATTCGCCATGCCGGTAAGAATGTTGCCAACGATCACAACAGGCGTGCGTTGCGCTGACCCTGAAACTATTGAGCCTACCACTCCGAGCACACTCGCCATGACGATGAACCATTTTTTGCCAAATCTGTCACTAAGAGAGCCCTGCATGTGTGTAAGACTCTTCCTCCAAAGTAAGTGAATGAGCTTACCAAGACCGGTCCAAAAGCTAAGGTGACCAGAAGGTTCGCATTTGCGATCCATGAAGCAAGGGCAGAATCCCCCAAACTTTCTACCTGGAAACGGATGATCGTATTGGTCTAGTGAGTAATGAGTTTCCGAGTGTAGTTCTCAAAATAGGAAGTGCCTGGGGGTTGCGGGTATGACCTTGGATAACATACTGTATTAGAAATGGCAGCGCAAGTATTAGAAACACTTAACGCGAGGATTGCCAAGAGCGTCCGCCATGTAACATTGTAAACTGTTGGCTCTTCCTCTAGAGCATCATCAAGGACGACTTCATGGTGTGACTCGCTCGCCTGGTCGGTTTTCATATTGCAATATGGCAACGCTTAAAGAGGGCACTATTCACAACAGAACAGGTCCAGCTGGCCCTTTTATTCTCAACACAGAGGCTGCTATGTGATCAACATCCAAGGGTTCCCCGGATTTCGCAACTCGGCGAATCCACAAAATTGTGGATAACCCGAGCTTTTTAGATCGGGATCCGCAGACCAATCAACGCAGACTGGATTATCCGAGCGTGAAGGTCAGCGCGGGGAATAGTAATTCGTATTAATAGCCGAGGGCGCTCTGGCTCAGTGTATTGTCAATGTAATTGCCGGAGTTGAGCGTTCGGAACCTATCTGATTTGCGTTGACCTCACCTCAATGACACGGACCCATCGAGTTCGGAGGCCTGACCATCCGTTCAGATATAGAACATGGAACATCCGAAGGGAAATTGTTAATTTGACAAAGTTTGATACCTGGAGCCCCCCGCTAATGGCGTTGAACTTGGCAAATCCATTGGCCTGGATAACCCGATTCGGTTGTGATATCATAAAGCTATCTGAGCTTGGCGCACGGAAGGAGCAGGATTTGGACAAGCGGGTTGGCCTCTCTGCTACGTGCTAGACGCCATCCTGATTCCTGCAGGTGCTCTCCACTTTCCAACGCGACCCAGTTCTGCATCTTTTCTGACACTTGGCGACCTCAATGATCCATCATCCGGATCAACCAAACTCCGCGCATCCAAGCATACTTCAATTGAACCTGGCCTAATGTTTTACTGCGAACTCCAAACCCATCGTGCACAATTGGGCCCTTGGTCACGTTTCTGTTGAAACAATGAAGTTGAATCAAATGGCCGAATTGGGCAGATATTATTATGATGGCTATATTACAGGGCGTCATTTGGGTCGCATTGAGCATTAAGAGCGGCGTCAGCAGGTGTATGTCAACCGTTGGCCACCGTTTCAGAGTTCCATGCAGGTTGGACACCACATCCAAAACTTTTGGTCTATCGACCTGATAACTGGCTGTTCCACTGACTTGGGGGTGTAGTTGAATGGCTAACACTAGACTCCCCATCCCAGCTCAATGGCTCACTCTGTACGACAGTTTCCGAAACAACAGTGATATTCTTCGAGGAAGAATCACGCTCAATGAGAACGTTCTCGTCACTGCCCCATGCAGACGTTTGCATATGTGATGGCCCTGCGGCATTCATCTTACCCTTTTTAATTTTCCCTTCATCGACATTTGTCAGGGTTTGCAAACCTCGACTGGAAAGTGGATATGACTGTCCTGAAGGTTTGGCAGCGGAACTGAACAACTGGGAAAGACCGATCCTGCTGAAACCCTTACGAATAAGGGGCTGAACAATGGGCAGATTCGAGACAACAATAGAGACAAATGTCTCGCGACAGGCCCATTTAGAGCCCGTCGACGCACCATCGGCCCCTGACTAGATTGGTACGTCAGTCAGAATGCACATACAATCGTTTGTTCATAAGGAGTAAGTCCGTTCTGGCAGAAAACTGTGGAACTCACGCTGATAATGGAAACAGCTCGGATGATAGCCGCCGCAATGACGAATGCTGCTCCAGAAAAGAGGGCCATGAGGGGAATCTTTCGCTTTAGGTTGATCTTTACAGCCCAAAGAAGAGGAAGTGGAATCGACAAAAGATATATATCCGTGACAATGTCAAGAATCACGACGACCATAACATAAACCGGTGAATTTGTTGGCTGACAGAACTCTATGCAAAGCTCGTTAGAAAGGAGAACTGCACGTTATACAAAATCGCCACACTCACTGCCCGGATTAGGATAAATTTGCCAAAATGCATGAAAGGGTTGGCATGATAGCAAAAGTGACAACTGCGTTGCGAGGTATGTCACGCCCAAAATGACATATGCCAGTCTGACCCTGGCTGGGAGATTTTGAAGACCAGTTCTGTAATACCTTTAGCATTTCTGTTCATGAAACTCGTTTCATGAAGAGTTGTTCAACATACGTCAATCGAGAATAGAAGATTGCCAGACTGCACTTGACCAACCAGAGACTTGCCACAAAAAGCGACCATCCAGTAACCTGAATCTTTGATCCAGCAACACGATTTAACCACTCAGTAGAATTATACTGAAGCGTTGCTCGTTGTTCAGTCGTCATGTAGCTATTTGTCAAGCCCTCATAGTTAGCGACAACGAGGTAAGCTGCCACCGTCTCCGCGGCGAAGAAAAACTGTCCCAATCAGCATGTCAGACAGAACTGGTCGGGGTGAATAGGGATAACTAACGCCCGCTAATGGCATAAAATAATCATCAAGCTGGAAGTTGGCCGGTCCTACCAGTGTCCATCGTACAAATATGCGAACAAGGATTATGGCCAAAGCCAAGGATAGTAAGACCCAAGCCTCAACATTGCTCGCCATTGCTACAAGTCTCGAGTAGCGCACGAGGTAGATGGCCAGGTAGTATGTGATGAAGACAGGGGCTGCAAGCTTGAAAGGAGTTAAGAATATTGAATTTCATCTTCACTTCTCACGGAATCATTCAGCCACAATCCATTGTGCCCGGTTTATTAAACGACGATCGGCGTCTTAGTACATAGACTTTACCATTTTAATCGCAGCGTCGAGGATCATAACCGAACTGGTAGAATTCGTAAGCTCGGTGATAGGGTGGCGGCCCGACGGCTGAAGCCTTCCCGAGCACGTTGCTCCACTTAACTCCACGCTTGACAGGGGCAGTGGATTCTGGTGGCGGTCTCGCCAAGAACCGGCCATCTTAGCCTCGTCTAAATGCAGTAACTGGTTGCAGATTACGGAGTCGTTGCACGCTTGACCGACACTCTTAACCTCAGGGGCGTTTCAGGGGTTACCCCGCTGCAGTGTTCAACGTTGAACGTGTTTCCGTCGGTCCGGTGGAAGAAAAAGCATATATTCTCGTGCATATCCTCCGCAAAGGAACACTGCAAGTTGAATCTCCTTCAGTTTTTTCTCTTCGTGCCTTTCGTAACGGGGGGTCTTTGGTCGCAATGTCTCCCTTTGAGTTCGTGATCGTTGGCAGTAAGTGCCCTTTGAAGAGTTGACCCAATTCGCAATGACAGGAGATCTTCCAATGATCGACGCCATCCGAAGAGTCACCTGACTGATGATTACACAGGTGGCCCAGCTGGCAGCGCCCTCGCTGCTCGACTGGCCAAATCGCCTGCTCAACCCCGTGTCCTTCTCCTGGAGGCAGGCGAGAGCAAAGAGGATCGTAATCTCCGCGTAGACGGGCAGCGCTTCACCACATTTCAGGACCAGTCTATGAACTGGGGCTATAAGACTTCCCCGCAAAAAGATTGCAATGATCGTGAGATTGACTACAGTCGCGGTCGGTGCATGGGCGGATCCAGTGCCATCAACTTCGGCGTTTACAGTGTCGGCGCACGTGACGACTACCAAGAGTGGGCGCGTATCGTTGGCGATGAGGATTTTGCGTGGGAAAATATCCAGAGGAGGTTCAAGGAGCTGGAAACTTTTCATGGAAAGATTCCGGAAGGGTTGAGTAACAAGTATGCGGATCCAAAGTCGGAGAATCATGGGAGTGAAGGCCCGTTGCACGTAGGCTTTGCCCGCGAGTGGGAGAGAGATTTCACGGAACTCTTGGATGTTTTTGAGGAAGCTGGATTTCCCCTCAACCCAGATCACAACTCGGGAAATCCAATTGGAATGTCAGTGTTGATCAATTCGGCGTCAAACGGACTGCGCTCCACGGCGGAGGATCTTGTGATTGGGTATGAGAAAGACAACTTGACCATCATTACTGGGGCACCGGTGCAACGTGTTCTCCTGGAAGGAAAGAAGGCCGTGGGTGTTGAATCAAATGGCAAGAAATGTGAGGCCCTTAAACCGCCGTTGAGGTTACTACGACGAGATCTGTGAAGACCGTATACTGACAGATCGGTGCCCACAGACTACGCCACCAGGGAAGTTATCTTGTCCGCCGGCTCGCTGAATGACCCTCGCATTCTGATGCATTCCGGCATTGGCCCCGCCGCTCAACTAAAGGCCCATAACATTGATGTTGTCCTGGACGTTCCTGCCATCGGCCAGGGGCTTCGTGATCATTGCTTTGTGCCCATGGTGAACACTCGTACCGACAGCAGCACGGATCGAAAATCTTTCTATGGTTCGCAGGCAGCTATGGATGCGGCGCAAAAGCAATGGCAAGAGAACGGGACAGGGCCATGGGCAAAATTTGCCTGTGAGCTGGGTATTGGATGGTTCAAGCTCACCGAGCAGCTTACCTCCTGGCCAGAATTCCACGCCCTCTCGAAAGGCGAACAGGCTTATCTTCTCCAGGAAACTGTCCCACACTACGAAATTATCACACATTTCCCCATCCATTGGTTTATTCCGGATTTTCCTTCCGAGGCGCTAAATTACTCTTGTTTACTTGTCTTCTTGTTCAACGCGCAGACTCGTGGAGAAGTTACACTGCAGTCAACAGATCCCGATGCTCCGCTCCGGTTCAACCCTAAGTTCCTTGCGCATCCATTCGATCGTCGGCTCGCGGTAGAGGCCCTTCGGGACTCCTTCCGGATCGCTAAGCATGAGTCATACACGAAGGATAATTTGGCCGAGCTGGCGATGCCCAAGAGCGAATCAGACGAGGACCTTCTGGAGTATTGGCGCCAGAACATTTCTTCCAGTTGGCATATGACGGGGACTGTGAAAATGGGCAAGAAGGGTGACTTGGATGCCGTCGTTGACCCTGAGTTCAAGGTGATAGGCATTGAAAATCTAAGGGTCGCTGATATGGCCGTTGTACCAGTGTTAGTCAATGCCCATGTTCAGGCTGCGGCATACATCACTGGTGTAACTTGCGCAGAGAAATTGGTTAAGGAGTACAACCTTGCTTAAAGACTAGTGTTAGACATAGTGCAAAAACCAATTGCACCTCTAGAATCATCCATATATTTGTCGGTTGTAGCCAATTTGCGGCTCATTAGGTAGAAAGAATCCTTAGCTGATACGATCAGTGGCGAACTATTGGTCTTTCTATACCTTTATCATTCCTTAATCACGGCTTCTTTCAAACCGTGATATACGACGGCTCGGCTGTCAGATTCTTTTGTCGAGTCACTAAATCTCCTTGTCTATTATAAATGATAAGTATTGGGTAATATCACAAGTCTTCTTTCGGTGAATAAAGAGTAGCGGAGTAGAATGAAGGGAAGCTGGCGATGGCCAGGATATCGTCCAAAGGAAACCGCTTGTCATGTCTAGGTTTGATCACGTATGCTATGGAGAACTAATCTGGGAGTGACGGGTTATTGGGGTGGAAGGAAGAGAGAGCGAAATTGTGTGTGCGCTGCGATTGATCTCTACGAGGCCCAGCCACCGGGGCTTTCGGTTGTCCAAGGCAGTTTTAAATAAGGCTTCAAGGGGCATTTAAAAGTTGAGATTCTTCTTACGCAATTGCTTCAGGTGAAGTGGTTCCCCTCGTACCACCGTGGCTTCTGACGGCCAAAAGTCTACACGCTTAATCAGCGGTCTTTGGCCCGACCTTTGAGGCAGCAAGCAATGCAAGAATTACTGAGAAACAAACCAAATCAAGCTTCTCAAGCGAAGGATCCTGGACGGTCATGATAGGGCAGCAGCTTTAATTTTCTTTTGAAGAAGAAGAAGAAGAAGAAGAAGAAGAAGAGGAGGAGGAGGAGGAGGAGTGCTGATCTACCTAAAGAGGGAGATTCATTTGACTGAGAGCAACGATCATGTACAAAATGGCCAATGGCCGCCTCAAGCCTGGTATCCGGCCTGACTATGGCCTTAATCTGAAAAGCATCCTAGCCGCCTTGATCAAAGGCTATGATACCGCATGCTGCACATTGATTTGGTTCACTGAAGTGAAATACGGGCGTCTGATGTCCGATCTTAAACAACCTTCCACCTTCAACATCATCAGGCTGAGCGACTTATAGACCCAAGAACTCATCAATCAGATCGGATGGCACGTCGAAGTAGTCGAACATGACAATTCCAACCCTCTTACCCTTCTGCTCCTTCAAAAAAGGGACAAGGCGCTGGTTAACGCCTCCTTGAGGAGTCAAAGTGCCGTTTCCAACAGCCATGATCTTTGGCCACACCGGAGGTACGTTATCAGTGTTTTCGCTGGATGCCCAAGTCCAAAAAAGACTGTCCGGGTGCTCAATGGTAGCCTTGACAATGTGCCTAGAGGTAGCATTGTACTTCCACTGGATGTTTTCGGTCGCGGTAGATCCCGCATGGGGTGTGGGCTCGTAATAGTCTTCAATATAGGCGGTCAGATTTTTCTCCTCATTGTAAATGAGAACAATATTTGGATCATTGTCAGTCCACAGGCTTGGCGAGAAGTGAAGGCCTGGCATCGCGGCCGTGTAGGAGTCCGCCAATTGGTCAAGGTCAAAGCGACGCATCAAGGTGATCTTTCCGCGCGCTTCGCCTAGCGTTCCAAGTTCGTTCTTCTTCTGAACGAAATACTTCTGCGCGACCGGGGAGGTCAGCGTGTTGAAGAGCTTGAGCTGGAGCAACGCGTCGTTGGACGCGTATTTGGCTGTCGAGCCCTCGTACTGGAGAGATAGGAATAGGGTCTCGGACGGATGGTCATCAAGCCACTTATAGAAACCAAAGAGTACATCATCCAGGGTTGCGATCTCGGAAAGCAGAGCTTCCGAGTGGTAGAAGATTATTGTCGTGTTAGTGGGATCAAACGCGTAACGCAAGTCAAATGCGCGGATACCCCTATTAAGCATGTCAATCCAAGACAGTTCTTGACAACGGAAGGTCTCCGGCACCGGAACTGCCACCTGGTTGAGGTCGGTGATGCCTAAAAGAGAGGTTCGAGTGGCCTGGCTATAGTTCCATGTCGCGCTGTCGTGGGTGCCAGGGATGTTCATGTGGATCAGTTGAGTGTCATCCTTGTAATTTTTCATCCACTCCGCTTTGCTTCCAGTTTCTTTCACATAGTCGCCAAAGATAGGGGTTGCGTCAGCGAGCACCTTCTCCAGAGCAAAATATTCCAAAGAAGATGAAAAAACTGGTGAAGCCCACGTGGCCACCATGGCCAGGGACAGCAGAGAGGCGAGCATGGCTTGACAATAGTTGGGATAAAGAGAATCGGGGCAAAAATAAAACTCAGTTGGTCATATAGGAGTTATAAATGAAGCTCCCCAGCCAGCATTACGAAACCCGTGAAGAAACGTGCTAGAGGGAGGAATGTTGTACAGTTCACCACCGACAGCCGACATGCCACGTCCCCACTATCATTTTGGTCAACATCCTGACTTTGACGCCACATTGCTTTTCGGCTAATTTAGCGCTGAACGTGCCTCAGGGTGGCCCCATTCCTCTGCACCAGCGAGTCCCTGACAGATTCCATCCCCCACGTGTGGTGAAGCCGATGTGCCGACTGGTCGCATAGAAAGTGGGGATCCCGGGCTTTAGCCGACCTCCAATTCCCGACCTCTTTATATTCAACGTCACGCGCAGCTATGTTTCAATTAGCAGGCTTGTGGTATCTTTTCTCTTTCTCATATCCGGACATCATGCGTGGTGCTCGTACTGCCGTCGTTCTTGGGGCTATCGGCCCCGCCCTTGCTCTGAGCCCCTTGGACACTTTTTACCCGCCGACTCTTAATGATACCTCCTACATTTCGAATACTTCCATTGGCACTTATGGCGGGATATACAAGGCTGCTACCAATGGTCCCACCGAGGGCACTCCCTATGGTACCTATGACTACTGCTCGATGCCCCACCCTCGTACCAATGAGTATGAGCTTCCCGAGCTGATCGCCAAAGGCTCCGTCAAGGGAAAGCTTATTTACCTTGAGTACCTGCAGCGTCACCAGCGTCGCTCCCCGTACAATATTCTACCTGGCGGCGAGGTAAGTTGATCCGATCCAAATGATTAAACCAACTAACTAAGTTGAATATTTGGCAGAACCAAGCTTACGAGTGCGATAATGTCCGCCCGTACCTTTATGCCGGACCCAGCTCCAATAGTGGCATCCAGCCTATTCCCATGTACGCTCAAACGTACGAGGATTCTACCAACCCCTTCACCCCTGGTGTAAATGGAACTTGTCAGTACCCGCAGATTACTATTGGCGGGGTCCAAGACGGCTTCCAGCATGGCAAAGATCTTTGGGCTGTCTACGGTAAGAAGCTTGGCCTTATCCCTGATGCGCCTAACAGCCGTGTCTGGTTTCGATCTAGCGACTCTGCTCTTACCCAGGGCTCCGCCGGTGCTGTTCTACGAGGCGTCTGGCCTAAATACGATGGTGCTCTTCCTTTGCACCAGATGGTATCCTCAGTTGACACTGTTAACGAGGGGTACTCTTGTGGTGCCATCGACACTACACTTGCTGAACTTGAGGCAACCAGCGAATGGAAAGCGCACTTGACCGTTACCGCTGATCTACGCTCTAAGCTTGGCTCTATGCTCGGCGCTACCTCCAGCTCGTGGCAGGACACCTTTGACCACTTCTCGGATAACTTCCAGGCTCGCCTCTGCAATGGCTATGATCTGCCTTGCAGCACCTCTAACTCCTCTGCCTGTGTCACTATGGAAATGGCCGAGGAGGTCTTCCGTGCTGGTGACTGGGAGTGGAACTACTACTGGCGCACCAACGCGTACGTTAAGAAGTACATCCAGGTCGTTGAGGGTCTTTTCATCTCCGAGATCGTTACTCGTTTACAGACCGTTTTGGATGGTAACTCCAGCTTTGATTACTCTCATACATTCATTCACGACGGTGATATTGGTCCTATTTTGGGTGCTCTGGGAATCAACGTTCTCCGCTGGCCCGCCATGGCTTCTAATATTGCTTTCGAGATTTGGTAAGCTGCTCTTGACGGGAAACATTTCTTTGGTCATTTAAGTAATCTTTTTTCAGGGAAACTGAGGGTAAGAAGGATCTCTACGCTCGTGTCCTGTATAGCGGACAGCCCATTCAGACTATCCACGGAAGCCTCGAGTGGCTGTCTCTCTCCAGCCTCATCGACATCCTGACCCCCTATGTGCCTGAAGACATCACTAGCCTTTGCGGCTAAGCTAAGGCACAGCTATGGCCTCCAAGCAGGGAATGTCTCTATGGAACATGTGACAATTGATCTAGATCAAGACCAGTGCTGAAGCCAAGTTGGCATTACTGTGTTTCTATATCATCATATGTAGGTTACAGTATTATCAATTTACCAGTACACTAGAACCAGAATGTTTTTAGGTAAAGCTGACAAGCTCAGTCGCTGTACACCAGGACTAGGACTAGAGTTGGTTAGTCTTATGGAACTTATGGAGGTCTTGGCCCTACCCATTAGGCCCATTCACAGATAGGCCTACTTATAGTCTGCTCAACCATACAAACCCCTATCAGATAGGAAATTAGTGATTATATAATAGAAAAGAAAATAATAATCTGAAATAAGGAGGAATAGACGGAAACCTGACTCATCGATAAGTGGCAACTAGAGTTCTCCAATCTCTAATAATATTACTTCTTTTTTGAGCCTATATTTTAGTTTCATCGAGTTTTACTCAAAGATAAACAATATAAGAAAGAATAACTGATTATACTATTTCGTAAGCCTTTGAATTCAACATAAAATAAAACTTTCGTAATATCTGTAGTAGCCAGAAAGGGCTATCAAGAAATAATTCAACATCACGAATGACCGCAATCAGCCCTAAAGCTTTTCACATAAGAAGGAAGCGCTTTTTCCCAAAAGGTCCCGCTTTTTGAGGTATTCCATCTCTTTTCGACAAATATCCTCGCTAAACAGCGGAGCGACATCTCGGGCATGGCTTATAATCACAGTAAAGATTTGGCCTTTAGCACAAGCGGCATACTTTGGGAATGCTTTGGTGTTCTATCAAGAATTTACGTTCTTTGTCATTTGACCACACTGGCTTTCAACCGACTTCATCGCTTCATCTGTGATCCGGAGAAACATCTTTCTGCGGTTTGGTTGAAGACCCACATTGCGGCTATTTTATCAATCGCCGGCTTCAAAATTTCGTCGCTGAGTAGACTGGTGTATTCGCCCACCACAACTGGTTGGCAACCCTGGCTGCAGAGGCTTCTGTAGTAGTGATCATAGGCAGCGTCTAGCTTGGGACCAATTTCACCGGGAATTTTCTGGCAGGTAGGTCCGATAATATCGGCAGCGCAGGTTGTAATCAAGGGGGTAGCTAAAACAACGAGGGTCTTCGATACCTTGAGTCTCATCTGGCTTTTAAAATTGGTATGATGGGGGTACGATTTCCAGTCCGAAGAAGTAAAGTTTGACTTTATGAGTGTGTGATTCTAAATGAATACCATCTATTTGGTTTCTAGCTCGCTATATATGTGAGATACTGTGACAGTTTCATTCATGATATTCAACCATTTTTGTTTTCTGGATTATTTTGATGCTCATTTAGCAATTAAAACACTCCCGGATGGTGACAGTATTGCCAAGACAATCGCCAAGAACTCCGTAATTTATAAATGGCTTGGCCTCCCGGGCTCGTATCGCGAACCGGTCATCTAGTTCGTACATTGCCATGGAGTGGTAAGATCGTTCATGGGACATGCGACCGTGGAAATATATATTTTTATTTGCAATATGGCATCTTTTCCGACCTAGGCCCAGTCAATTACAACGCTTGTTGAAATCATTTACAGATATCGCAGTTGAGTTGCCGGAGAACGGGGACAACTCAACAGGTGTCTTTTCAAACCTCAAAGTGAGCTCAAGTCATAGAGGAGATGAAGCCAGATGAAGGCGATTGCCCGGAGGAGCTTCTTTCGAACCAGATAGCGCATTAGAAGCTAATTAATATTCGAAAATCGAGAGACTCAGGTGAGAACCTAAGCACCCAGCCACATAAAAAACACACGGGAAGATAGATAAAATGATTTCAGTCTCAGAACACGAAGGTCTGTTTAGCAGCAGCTCGGAATATTCAAGCTTAAATTCTTGGAACAAAGTGCTACGCCTTGCACCAAAAAAGGGTTCCAGGCCGTGGAAAGGTTCGATTCATTTCGTGCTGCGGGCTTTATTTTGGAAAGCTGCAAAAGTGTCACGCGACATTTTGCGACCAGTGGACAGATGCAAGAGCCCGTAAAACTCAAATCTTCACCTTAATCTGGAAATCATTCCATACCAAGAGTGCTATCTCACTCACATATAGCCTTGACTTCTAGCATTAGAGGAGTGAAACATCTTTTTCGTATCACACGAGACTGAGGGGCTGTTATCTTTCGTACTCACTGAGGATAGTCGCGGATGTCGATGGTGGAAACGAGAAAATCTAGGCTCGCCGTTTGCGGGCATCGCTTGGCATGCCTTGGCACGGCTTGGCACGGCTTGCGCTAATTTAGCCCTATAGTAGCAAGAGTTGAAATGAGGCTATGAATACCTACTCCTCGAAGTGTTCCCTCGTATGCACGGCTGTTCAGAAGCTTTCTCAGAAATATTGGATAGTGAGCACGCGCGAAACTTTTTATTTTTATTTTTAAATTAATTGATTTGAGCAAACAAAAATACAACTTAATAGTACCTCTCGAGAACGAGAAGATAGAAGGTACTTCGGCAACACAAGTATGAGAGGGTAAATCTCTATGAAACAGCTGAGGATTTCAAGACGCCTTTGGAGCGTCTAGACACCTCGTTGTCCTGCAAGGGCAAGTTTCCGCAAGTGTATACCCAGATGATATGAGTTATAGTGCAATAGATTGGGCAAATGCGGAATACAGTCCAATGTACCTAGCCAAAAGTAGGCGATGGGCACTGCTGATGCTCCCAATTGCCATCTTTCAGTTTTTATTAGATAGGGTTTGGCGTAATGTAGATGGGGAGAACATACGACAGTTGCTCGGTTTGTCGAAGTCATGAACCCATCCCTTCTTGGTCTTGTACCAGTTCCTTTGATACCAATCAGCTTGTTCCAAATGTGAAGATTTAAATTGAAAATTTGGACCTACTTGTACCGGCAAATTGCATTCCACTGGCCACCTGTATTTTCACGACTACCAAACTTGTCGCTCGAGTCGCATGGGTACTTCCAGTACCAGTATGGATGTTGGATCCTACAGGCATTAGACTTATCCCCAACTTTACCTCCTCCGCCGCGATCTCTCTCCTCAAGGATATCGGAGTCTTCGAAATTCGCGGTCGGGGAAGCGACCACGATCTCGGTTGCTAGAGGAAGCAGGATCGTCAAAAGGTAAAGAGGAGACTTCATTCTCACAACCAAGTGATGGTTTTTGGATTTGATTTGTTGTTCTGCAGCAGAGTTTTGTAGAAGATGTTTCGGACTTGATCGATTCGAATATGTATTCAAAGGATTGTTGGGCATTTAAATAGACAATGGCGGCATGTTAATTAACTCTTCTAAGCATCGGATTCTTCACAAAGAATTCTAGATTTGGTCAGAGCGTCATAAATGGCCTCTGATGACAACAGATCCCTCAATAATGACATGGATGGCGCTGGATAGCTCTATCCAAGTGTTAATTGTCGAGTCGCCCTTCACCCAGATAGAAAAAGCTGTTCTTTGTTCCCGAATCTAGAGCGACATCCATCTGTCAAAAATACGAACACGAAGCCGCTTTTTCCTTGTTCTCTGAAAAGCTAGACTGTAAATGTTTAGGCCTATGGCTGGCATGTATTTGAGACAATTGCCCCAAACTCTCTGCATGCGAGCTCAGCTCATCAACTATGCGTCTGGTCGCTGATCCATGTTAAAAAAAGAATCGAGCCTCTGATGTGAAGCTTGAAGTTTGAAACCAAATAAACGCCGAAGCTCCTTTTTTGGCTTGGCCAATGGAATATGCGGAACAAACCTGGATCAGCTACAAGGTTTCAATTATCTCAGTGACTATGAACCGGTTTGATTCGACATGTTGGCCCATGAGACTAGTCTAGACTTGAATTCTTTACGCTCTGGGGTATTTGAACAGTATGGGTCGAAAGGTCCTTAATGCCTAGAAATACTGGATCCTCTGACAATTTGGGCTGAACCCGAGAGTTCATTCGGTCCGGGAAAGTAAGAGCTACTCAGTTCACGGGCTCTGCAGCCGCTGTATTCGCCTCGAATTTCGACCTATTATATGCATAGCATAATGAAATGAAACGCTCCACCTATAAGCCTCTGGATCCAGATTGGTCACTCAGGTCAGAAATGTATCTTTGAGAATTTTAGCTTCACTTGAAGCTAGAACTTAGAATTTTGAAGCCGAAAATAACGGTACAATACCCAGTATGTTTCATGGAACAAAAACAAACCACAATATACCTAAGCGGGACCCGTGGACTAGTCTTGACGTAGGTTTGGAGGCGATAGATACGTTGATCAGGGGAATGATTTGCGGCTCGGGTAGAGCCAGATAACCAGTATCACATTGAAACAGTGGATTCCAGATTTTGGAGATTTTGGCTCGCTATTCTTGTCTCGATAGCACTTACCGGTGAAAACATGGTACGATTCGGTGTGGCGGTGAAGCCACGAACCTGTCTAATTAGAGCCAGAAATGCCTCTTGCTCTTGAAACAATTTGCCTCTGACGTTGCAAATTGCCACCCTTTGTTTGTCCTGTCGTGACATCGTGTGGATACTTTAAGTCCAATTTGAATTACACTTTTTGTGGACATTTTTGGACGTGGGGATATTGTGGGGTAGATCTTGGGAACAGTTCGTTCCAAGGAACGAGCTTTTGGTGTCTCGGTCATGTGCGCTCAGCTCGGCCTCGAGAGTGGGGACCGCTTGGTTCTGGAACGCCGGAGAGTTTCGGCTATCTTCATCTTACGACATCATTTTCTTAGAATCAGCAGTTTGAGTATCCGACAATTTCCTTGCGATCATTACTGAGACGAATTCATTACGTCGCCTCGGGTCATGGGGTTGCTGTGACGTCAAATAAAAATGAGCAATTGAATATAAATTAAGGATTGAATCCATAGCAGGTGCAGCACCACTTCTGGACATTTTGAAGTAATTCAGCAGGCAAAGAAAGTGGCCACGAGGATACAATGGAACGCAAAATAGGCGCTTTTTGCCACACGGCTACTATCGTTTCTTTGGTTTCATTTTTCGCTGCCCATTGTGCTGCACAAGCTGCAACATGGATATCTTTCCAATCTGTTAGTGTCTTCTGAAGCTTTAATTGTTGCTGAACTTTCTTTAACTCTTCACAAACCGCAGCAAACTGATTTGCATGTGCCATTGATTGATGTAAGCGTCAAAAATGAGCAGGATATGTTCCCAGGGTTTATCTTCTGGGCGCCCTATCTAACGGACCTCCCTGGGCCGTTAATTCATGACATGAATGGAGTGAGATGACATTTCCCCTAGAGGCATGTGGGATATTCACTGACGGGGGCCAGGAGCTCGTATGGAGTGGTTCAAATGGTTCGACTACCGATCTATTTCATGACCTTCATATCTGTTCATATGCCAACACCGATCACCTCTGTTACTTCAAGGGAACGCAGATTGGAGGATATGCTCGAGGCACTAATTTATTCTTGAATGGCTCCTATCAGCCTGCAGCAACTGTGCAGAGTGGGAACAATTTGGAGATAAGTGACATGCATGAACTCAATGTTGTGGATGAAGAAAGTGTCCTTATTACAGTTTACCAGCCAAGAGCATATGATTTGACATCATACGGAATCCCGGCTGGTGATGGATGGGTTATGGACGGTGTTTTCCAAGAAATCGACATCACCAGTGGAGAGGTGCTATTTCAATGGGCATCATTGGACCATGTACCTCTATCAGAGACTTACGTTCCTCTTCGGCTCAATCCAATTGTGGGTGACGGGTTGAGCAATTCCACTCCTTGGGACTATTTTCATATCAATTCAGTGGATAAGTCCGATGCGGGGGATTACTTGATCTCCTCCAGACATACCAGCACCATCTACAAGATTTCGGGCCATGACGGATCTTTGACCTGGCAACTAGGTGGTAAAAAGTCTTCCTTCGCATTGGTGGACTACAACTTTTCGTCGCAACATGATGCGCGCTTCCTTGAAATGAACGAAACTCACACCATCTTATCATTCTTTGATAATGGAAGTGACGACTATCGGAACACTTCATCTACATCAGCCGGGATGATCGTATCTATTGACCATCGAAAAAATACGTCAAATGCCCTGGGGCGCTTTGAGGCTCCGGGTGAGGGCTTACTCTCAACTAGCCAGGGCAACATGCAGGTTCTTCCTAATGGAAACATATTCATCGGTTGGGGGAGCAATGCCTATGTTTCTGAGCATACCCCAAATGGGGCAGTCGTCTATTTCGCAGGTCTGAAAGACAAGAATGCGATGAACTACCGTGCATTCAAGTGGAACTGGAAGTCCACTCCATTCACACCTCCAAGCCTCTTTGCTCAAGCGTCCTCACCGAACGGTCAGGTCACGTTTTGGGCAAGTTGGAATGGAGCCACTGATTATAACAGCTGGAAGTTCTATGGAAGGAAATCTGAATCTGATCCAATGGAACTTGTGGCCTCTGTTCCACGGCAAGGTTTCCAGACCACTTTCACCAGTCCTCAATTCTATTCTTATGCACTCGCAGAGGCAATATCAGGGGATGGTTCCAGCTTAAGGAATACTACAATTGCTACTGTGGTACTATCTTGAGCTCCAAAAAAGGATTTCCTAATGCAATCATTTTGTGTCAGATTGATCAAATAAATCAGATCGCCTCTAGTATAAACTAAATAAGCTATTTATCTCAAATGCAACTGATTTAAGATGTAAGCATGCCTCACATTGCAAATCCAAGATCTTCATTAATTTGAAGTCTCTCTCTAGTCACCATAAGTCACAGAGTAGATACTGAAGCCTTGAAAAGGTGCGGAAGTAGTAGTAGCTACAAGGGCGTCCTCTCTAATAGCAATATATTCAGACCCTGGCTTGTACCTCATTGTATACCCGGCTCCATTCCCGAGGAAGGTAATTGCAACTTCAGCGGCTTGTACGTTGAACGGAATTAACGAATTGTCGACCCCAAGATAGCGCTTTCACTCCCCTCGTCATCGTTATAGAAAATGATCCACCGTCGGTAGATCGAATAATGAGCCGGAGTACTACCAGGGAGGGAAACAGTAGAAGAGCTCCCATCATTGGTAAGAGCGTATCCACCCTTCTCGAATGTCAGATACCGACATTCAGTCAGGTAACCGATAACTTCCTTATATTTATTTCCCAATTAGACGGCGGAAGCTTCGGTTTGGTTGCCGTAAGAGACAACGCTGCACTTGGCATGTAGACTCGCAGGTGGCCGTACCGGTGTAGCTCCCACTAGAGTCGGTGACAGGGTTATCCATACTTAGAATGTCCGAGATTGTGAAGTTGGGCTGGTAATCAATATTAGCGATGACTGATCTTATAATTGTCAAGGGGATCCGGTACGTTAGAAAATTCAAACGCGTTAACAAGATTTGACATATGTTCCCGATGCCAAGGCTCCATGTCGTCTGTCGTGACATTGTCATAGCCTAGTGCTTCCAGCCAAGCCTCCAAGAAAAGAATCTGAGAGTTATGATCAGATCGATCAGTGAAGCCACGGCCTCCACGAGTCCAGGGAGAGACTATATAGAATGGCACACGGAATCCCTTTGGCGCAATAAGAAATCAAAATGTATCAGATCTCACATAAGTCAGCTCGATACATACCTGGACCAGTGTAAGTATACCCAAAGAGATCATATGCATCCTCGATCCATTTTCCGGTAGTACCATTGTCAGATTGGAAAGGTGTAACATGATCGCTCAATCCACCAGTTTCTATGATGATTAGAGTCTGAAGACTTTAACAGATCCCACAACAGGTCTAATGGCTAAAATTTCAGCGTCGTAGCTGATAAATAAGGCCGTAGTAATCGTATTTGAGCCATTCACAACAGCTTCCACAATCTGCTTCTGCAGCCACGCACCCTCACTAGGCATATAAGGTGGATGCTCTGAAATCTCGGTGGAGCCGACAATGAAAGATATCATGGGAAGGGTCCTGTTGCTTGCTGGCTTATAGAAGGCATCTAGTCCTAGATATGAGAGGGCAAGAGCTGCCATCTCTGATGTTGACGATGCTTCCTGGAACTCTTAAACCATGCCAGAGGATTATCGTCGAAGTTTTCTGTATCTCGGTATAATCGCCAAGTAACTCCAGCGTCCTGATCGGCGTTTAGCTGGCCTGGACCGAAGAGCCAGACGAATTCCGAGGATGATAATTACTCCTTCTATGGTATCAATGTTCTTAAATTTGAGAAACATCAAGGATGACAGGTAAGCGATAGAAGAGGAAAATGATATGTCGTATATTGTGAGGCTGATAATGGTAAACAATTGAATGATAAATTATACAATGAAGTAGAAGAAGGAAAGTATAGAGGACTACCGACGGATAACTTTTCCGTTGGTCAATACCAACTCCACATCACTGTTGGAGTCACCGTGCTGAGATCTATCTCCATAGTTCACGGTGTAGGTGACAGACTTATTAATCTTGCTGTCCTGGCGTGCATATCCGTCTGTGTTGAAATATTCCGGCCCAGAGGCATATGTTCGCCGAGAGGAGCCACCCATGAATGCAGGGAACCAGCGGCCAAGAAGGGCCCTGGATGCAGGCAGGCAAGCACACAAAACGGAGATCTGGCATTCGATGACGGACCAGTAGATTAGTGGATAGAGACCTTTGGTCTGATTGTAGCCCCAGCGATTATTCCAGAAGACGACGACTCGGATAATGGCAATGATGGTAAGGCTTGAAGTTTCGGTCAGTATTTGGTAGACTTATGGAGGGGAAGGAACGCAGCGACTGAATGCATACACTGAACCGACGACAAACATCAACGCCACGGTGAGCTTCTTCCGCAGAGGCATCTGCAGCTTGCTCACTTCATAGACAGGCATCAAGATAAGCACCTGTAAGGATGGTTAGTCGAATATCTTGGTAGGGCTCTTGTAGATTGTACATACGGAGTCGACGAAGATATTCACAAGGCAGTTCACGAGGATTGAGTCGATGAAATTTATGCACTTCCCACTTTCCTCTCCCGTCCACCCGTCCCATGTTAAGTGAGTAGGAAGACAACGGAAAGAATCAACACATGCCCAGGTGATTCCAATCGCGGCGTTAGTGGCGATCAGAGCGTATGAAAGATTGCGAAATTTGGGTGTCTGAAAAATGCGCAATAAGAACAGGATAACGCTGATCTTTGCCAGCGAAATTTGTATCTTATACATCACGGCGAGTCCTTGGAACATCTATTTCCGTTAACAGAAGAAATTAGGTTCGGGTGATAGAGATGGCACCTTGTAAATAAGAGTTATGTCACTTTGCGGTGTGATATCCCAGATGTTGGCGCCAAAGCCAAAACGAATCACTGTCCTATTAGCTTTGGATGAGAGCAAGTCCTTGAGAATTACTCACTTTGCATGCCGAGGAAATAGATTGCGGTGCCCATGACCTGACGCATGTTAATACCGCGACACGGAAGATAGGTTAAAGCAGGGGCGCTTACATATGCAATGATAATAGCATAATCGTCCAATCCCCATCCTCCTCCAAGCCCATTGCTCTTGGCAAAAATTCTGGCAGCAAAGAAAACCGTCGCAAGAATGAAAGGGATCAACGTCGAGGGGTTGACTACCTGAGGCCTCTGGAGCGGAGTAATGTCACATGTTTTTTGATAGAGCCTTTTTGTAGCTGAAACAGTTAGCCCAAACTAGGTGAGTGCCGATCAAACATGAAACTCACTAAAGAATTCTTTCACTGTGCAGTTGGTTTCAACCGCGTCAAGTAAGGTAGTAACGCGTGCGTCGGTAGCACAGAAGCAAGTCGTATTCGTGCTCAGTGAGCACGTAGAGAATAGATTCTCATCGCAACTTATCTACGGAAAGTCAGCAGTGTCCTAAGCTTCTTCTTTGAAATCCGCACGCACGGCACAGGATGGAAAAGCAGTTAAATCTGCAGCGTGCAACCCCATCACCAGCAGGGCTAGGACACTAAGCAAGCATAGACGAAATCTCATGATGGCGAACGATAGATTTGAAATGGCCGTCAGAGATCCTTGAAATGGATAACATGTCGCATGGGGATCGCTTGGTTTTCAATCTAAGGCAGGATAAATATTCTAGATGGGTAGAGTGGAGCCTCATGTCGCGCCAAAAGGCCCAAAACACGTGGAACTGAGGGTTAAGGTTATCTATTTCACACGATGGCGTTTCTCTGAAAAACCAGAACCAGTGCATTGGAGCCTGCTTTTTGGGTCGCCTGAGACCTGTCCTGATTACGCGAGGCAAGAGCTCCCGGTGTGATCTGCTGGATCGGGTTAATCATCCGTATTCTGTCTAGATCGGGGCCAGCGGGGGCGCTGTTTGTATCCACTCCGACCATTTGTGTCTCGCACCATCTGCCTCGGATGTTCTGCATGACAAGATTTCTTGATTTCAATTAATGGAACGATCGAAGACTTCCACTATTGAACGCTAATTTTTCCTTCAGATTCACTGAGTAACCGAACTCCAATGCATCGAATACATGCTTTCAGGGAGATCGCTTCAACTCCCACCTGCCGTTTTGGGCTACCCCGGTCGCGTGGTCTAATAATTGAATGTAAGGACCCCCCTTTCATTTGAAGCTGGCATTGATAGGGCTAGTAACACCCCACTTTGAGCATGAGGGTCTGAGGGTGCTATGTTGCCCCGTTTTTTGTTATTTGTTTTTCCAAGAAGCAATGGCCATGCAGATGGACCTATTGTTTCATAGAATATCGCAATGTTCTGTACATTCCACAATTGTTGACCTATAATGGATCTTATCCTGTCCCTTCTACCGAGGACTTGTTGAATCTTGATTGTGGATAAGATCCGATCTCTAACCGTCGATAAAGTTCCGGAAAACTCCGTTGCAATCAAACCTGGGTACCTGGGTCGCCAAGACCGCCGTGAATTCTCAAATTCATGGAACCAATCTGACTTGTGGATATGAGTGTGAAATTTTCAGAATATCTAACCCATAAATGAGGACAAGAGAAAAACAAGTAACCTCCCGGGCGCACCCCGAGATCCGTCCTACCTGTTTGAAAAGTTGAATTCATGGGCATGGTGATTTCGCCTTGAGCTCATTGCCTGCCTTGGGCAGCATGACCTGAATGTCCTCATTGCAATCTTTGTAGTAAAGTCGGTTCCCTGGAGAGGGTTCCATCTGCGTAGACGTCACTCGATATCATCAAGATACCCGAGCGCGATATCATTAAATGGAATATTTCGCCTATTGTCTTGAATTTAACAAATGTATCGAAACGAACCCCACTTTAACATTAGAAAACCTTTCTACCTTCTACAATTGGATTGTTCCGTTCACCCTGGCGCCCTTGGCTCCCGTGCGCTTAGAACGAAGAAGGCAAGTCAGAACGAACTGGACACGCTATATTGACGAACTTCTATAAAAGCACGACGAAATATGCAGCGTTTTAACTGAACTGTGTCAAGCCATCTTGAAAAGCTTGTTTTCGCGAGCAAGAAATGCTGACTAGATGATCAAAATTTCTAAGCTGTATTTAGGGTGTGAAAAACAACAACATTTCACAAGGCATAGTGAATGTGTTCATTATGCATTCTATACCTAAATTTGCCCATGTGTCTTATCAATAAATAGGAAGGTGAATGGTAATTGATTAGAGCACAGACCCACTACTCTTGCAAATCGCCATTCAATATTCTTAGAAGCGTGTTTGGTCTTCGGTCAAGACCAAAAAGAGGTTCTGGATCTTTTGCAGGTGTCAACGAAGCCAGTTTCTAATAGGTCCGTTGAAGCTTAGTTCGGTGGATGCTGTAAAAGTATGAACTCGATTTTTGGGAAACGCTATTTATCAAGGTCGGATATTTACTTTCACTGCGACTCTTTCATTGAAATTAACGCCTTCATGTATCTTGGCGAAGATTTTAAGTGAAATCTAGACCTGTAGCGGGGTCAAAAACTGCACCCGATAGCCAACAATTCCAAATAGAAGTTCCAGTATCGCTCAATGACTGACAGCAATTATCCGCCATGTCAAATGCACAATACCGTTCGTGTTCTTCCAAGTAAGTAGAGTATAGCCTTATTATTCGGACAGGTTTCAGCCATTCTTCCGTTGCAATGGTGCGACCTAGAGCTGGATCTACAGGATTGACTTGTCCATCAAACATAGCTAGCTATGAACCTCGTGGGGTTAGAAGTATCTCAAAAACTTTTATCGTTTAGCTTTTTGTTGAAGAAAAGCCATGTTGTAGTGTCAAGCTAGTCTAATTTATGATCTCCAGCTCACTTTAATTTTTCAAGTTTGATTCTTGATACTGCTGAGCATGCCTCGACCAAATTCCATTTAGAAAATCATCCCTATCTTTTTATTATGGCAGCTGTCAAATCGCACAGTTCACAAAAGGCCATCATACTTGAAAAAGACAACCTTCTTCCCCTTCACACGCCACTTTCATCACTCATACCTCGGCTGGATATGGATTACCAGTAGTGCCCTCAAAGTTGAGTCTGGTTGCACCATTCATCACTTTCGGCCCAGACCATACACCGGAAATTGGACAGAGTCCCATGGTTACCAGATATCATAAGGCAAGATTAGGCAGCCCGTCTTTGAGCGCGCAATTTTATCGGGATCGACGCGTATACTGTCTCATACTTAAGCTGACGTGGAAAGCAACATATATGATTTTTCCGAGCTAAAGAATGCGGCCGAATTCCAGAGCCCGCATCGATTGTAATTATGATCTGGTTCGCCATGAACTGAAACTCTGTATTGGAGATGTTATGGAAAGATTTGTTTAAGACCCAATATTACTGACCCTTGACTCTATATGCCCCACACCAAAAGCCACTCTCTGAGTTAACCTCTAGTAAAGTCATCGAGCGGTCACTCGGATCAGTCGTGGTATTCAAAATTGCCCTGGCTAATAGAATTATGCTAGCTTGAATAGCCATGGGCTCTTAGCGGTCTCGAAAAGCTCTTTATGCGCAATGGAAATTTAAAGTATACCAGGCTTGAATAAGGCGGTAATCTTAAAAGGTAAATAAACGTGTTCCCGCCATTGAATAGGCCACGGAAGATCTCACTATTTCGCGTTGCTAGCTGGTCCGAGTGAGGATGGCTTATGGAAGCTTTTATACATACGCTGATGCTCGTCCCTTTGGGTCTCAACCTTAGCATTCATAGTGTCTAAATGGCCTTAAGCCACACTCCGGTCTACAGAGTAGACTCTTGTTGGGCTGCGCTAGGTAGTGCGCTAAGCTTAGCTATACCTGACGTCTGATTTACGCGACTAAAAATTAGAAAAATATTTCTCTTTCTATGATTTCCGCCTTCCAACGTCTTCCAAGGTTGTACAAATCGAGTAATGAAGTGCTAGTTGAACTGTAAGATCTAAAGAGTAATTTACAATTAAACGCGAAAAACTAAACATATATACAGTAATGACTGTCCTTTTATGCCCAGGTCTTCCTATTGGGGTGATAGAGGCCGTACCCTATTATCAGGATAAGATTTATATCATGCTCTTGACTATCATTTCCTTAATTCTAGTTCTAAAATCCATGGAGGAGCCCTGCCAAGATCTATACTAGCCAAGACTTTCGAACAGCATGACTAGCGGGCTGACGATGCAGAGCCAGAATTGACATTCTTTGTCTCTCAATGTTTCAAGCCCTAGAGGTTTTCAGCTAAGTCCTTCAACACAAACGAATAAGGCATAGCAGTCCCCAGGTGCCAAGGTGGCGCGCCAGCCAGCCCGAGGATCTCGGTAATACATTCAAAAGAGCAAAATATTCCCCCGTATTCTATTGTTTTCACCATGTATCATTTCACCATATTGATCGAAATCACGGTACAAAGCGCAGACCAGGACTACATTATGATTGGCGCTTCCAATTCCGGGATGAGTCAGGAGCTTTAGTGATGAGTCAGGAGCTTTAGTTTTGCACACAAAAGGTCTAAAAAATGAACCCTTTTACCAGATTCCCATTCAGTTATTAAGGCTTCAGGCATATCTTGCTGGCTACATCTAGCTCTAGAGCAATGGATCAAGAGGAGCCAATAAGCGACGCTAAAGATGATCAGTAAGATTATTCCGATGCGTAGCTACTCACAGGCTAAGTCTCCTGAGAAATTGGGTCAACTGGAAGTGATCATCAGCCAACTTCGAAGTCGTCTAGAGTCTTGGGCTTTTCAGAGATGTTCCCAATAACGAAAATCGGTTAAAAATATCTAGATTTTTACCATCAAATAGGCATCGTGAAGCGAACTTCCAGCATAAGCACTTTTGATGAGGATGCAAGGTAGGGCACCAAGTATCCACTCTGACTAAAATAAAACTTACTTCGATTTATTGAGAACCAATTGAGAATTCAACTATCTACTTGTGATCGATAGTGTGCCACAAAAAAGCAAAGACCCTGTAAGCGACTATCGGCTATGTAGGTCTATAAATACACAGGTGATGAAGTAAATGTGGCTCCGATCTAGTGAATTCTAAGTCAGCGGTGAGATCGCTCAAGCATGTGAGAAGAGACGCAATCAACGGATCGTACCAATGACTCAAGTCCAGTTGTCGGCCGCCATTTATTTCGACACTGGCATTTTGCGTGTAAACTGTGGCCCATGGTAGTGTTTACATGATGCTCATCACTACACTGCCAACTGCGAGAAATACGGAGGCTGTTGATAGAGGGTCAACGAGGTTGAACTCTGTGCCATCGGGTGTGGCTGCTACGGGAATTTTGGCCAGCTTAGGTTGAAAATAGAGTTAGATATGCTCTTTAAACGAAACTTCTTGATGGTTGGACGCTCAAGTGGGAAACAGAATAACAAAAATAGAAAGGAGAAAGAGATATCTGAAGAGCCAAGGCTCAAGGCAAATATGAAGAAAGACAGAATTAAAAAGGGAGCGAATCCGACACGAGTTACTACATATAATGAGGTACATCACAAGGATGATCTTACGGCTGGGAACTTATCCTTCAAGTCACTATAGCCGGACTTCAGAGTCGGCCCAAACATTTGAACAGTCACTAGCCATGGAATTATGACTAGGAAAGAGGAATACAATACCCGCACATATAGGAGTGTGTGGTATAGTAACCTGGTTAATATGTATTACAATAGCGTTATGCGCCTGCATGAGGTTACTTTAGCGCGGTCACTAATGCTCTCTTTACGTAAGTGGTCTAGAAGGCAAAACAGACCCTTATCAGATCGGCCACATATTTACCATAAGTGGATCATATAAGTTAACGAGGGCGCTATATCTTTTCAAGGTGACATCATCGTGTGGGTACTCTGCTTAACAAATAGTGATGCTTCAGGGCTGAAGTGGATCTAAAACCAGTGTATCTCATGGACGTTCCAATACAGCCCCCAACATTGACAGGGTTCCCCTCATCTCCTTAGCCGCTTTTGCTTTTATCCCAATTATTCTCGACCTGTTAGCGATATCCACTCTAATGGGGTATAGTGCGTAATTATAGTTGGGGGCCATTATTCCCTACTGTAAAGGCGTGGTAACCTTATTAGCTAAAGTTAGTATATACCACGAGTATGTTCCTTATCCAATCTGGTAGATTCCATATGCGTATTTCCAGTGTTTCTATACGATATAGCGGAAGATTCAGTGTACATCCTAGTATGATCTCCATTGGGCCGCATTTGGCCCCCACCCATGTGCGCATTAAAGTCTAGCTCGGGCAAAACCCGTGATACCTTACTACGTACTCTAAACCTGGGCGTAAACTTAGCCCAAAGAAAAGTTGTTGTCTATCACTCGACCCTTGTAAGGTATTATTGATTATGTGTCATCAGGAGTGATATGATTATTTTTTATGTGTGCTGCTATGGTCAACCGACGAATATATATCGCATTTTTGTCTTTCCCTCAAAATTTCTACTCCTCGAGAACGGCACCCGGATCTGTTCCGCCCTGTGAGCGGCGATTCTTCTAGGGAGAAAAAGCAAACAGTTCCTCTGGAATGCCTGTGCTTGGGATCCATCGGACGGGCACCGCGTGTAAGCAACCCTGCCAGAACACTTATTAAAGCCATCAACACTCATCTATCTACAAAAGCGATGTGCCAGGCTCTTGAGGTACTCGGTGTAGCAAGCTGGCATTCTATTCAATTTAAAGGCCCCAGATTTGGCGACATCGAGATGTGACAGGAGGGGATTGACCGCAAGTTCTTTTGTGCTCCCAGCCCATGATTTGGGCGCGCCGAATTGGATCAGCTGCTACATGACTACGGCGCAGTCTCTTCGGACACGCCGGTCGTTGCTTGTTCAGATGACTTGATTGAAGCAAATCCAGAGGCGAAGGTTGTTCTCACCGAGCGTGATTCGACGAGTGGTATGAGAGCTGGATGAACAGCGTGATCAAGAATACATTCGATACTTTCGTGACGATTGTCCACATTATCGAGCGATGGTTTACCCATCCGCTCGGGAAAATTCACAAGTCCTCCTTTCATGGTTGGCTGGGGATTGCGAATGTTGGGACGCGAAGCGCCTAAGTAAGCAGAGATACCGTGAGCACTACGCGCTTGTGCGGCGCCTTACACCACCTGACCGTCTACTCGAGTTCAAAATCGCTGATGGCTGGGAGCCTCTTTGCCAATCTCTAGGGAAGACTATGCCTAACGTGCCTTTCCCTTTTGAGAACGCGAAGAAGTGGTCAGATGAGAAGGTTCGGATTGTGTTGCAACGGGGATTCAAGCGGTTGGCGTGGAAGATGTCGGTATTATCTGTCGTTCCGCTTGTTACTGCGGGGTTGATTTATAAGACGTCGAGATGTGCTTGATGATACAAAAAGGGAGCAATCGTTATCTGAGTGACAAGATAATGCCGCTCCTCCTTTTGAGAGGAGGGAAGGCCAGTTGATGGACTTGCTATCGAGCAAGAGAAAACGTTTTCTCTCTTGGAATGACACATAACGTCAGCTTATAAAGATATATTCCAGACAGCCATACTGACGGCCTATCGTTCATAAAGATACATTTGAATTCTATTCATCGACATCTTAAAATTCCAACCCTCGACGATAAAGATAAAGAAGTGAGCATTGGGTCTTCTCTTGGACTCAGTAGTGTTGCTCATTTCGAATAGAACAATACATAGTAGGTCTCCAGACTACAGGCTATGCGACGACACATGGGATTGGTTAGAGTAGAGCGCCATCAGATACACGACACAACATAATTCCAGAAACTGGGGCCTGAAAACATCAATCTTCTCTGTGCCGACTCAAGTAAAAGCCGCATTGCTAAAAGAGAAAAGACTTTGATCGACGATCAACTGGAAGTTAGAGATGGGGAGGTCAGCTATACGTATAAGGTATTCTCACTGCATGGTATCATATCAAAATTTGTCAATCACGACCAAAATGGCCAATCTAAGGCATGCTCTACAGATGCTTTTCCAGTATCGTATATTTATATGGCATCAGCCGAGAGCTTACCCTTGGACGCACACTTAGAGGCTTTCGATATGCTATAGCTTGACTAACTCAAAAGTACACCTACAAATAGTATTACCATCTAGCTTCAGAAAGATTCTTTTCCATTCTCATTGGCCACAACCTATCCTCTACCAGCACATTAAAGTCCTCATCTTTGCTTTCTACATATCCTAGCGTAAATCCTGCGTTTCTTGGCGATTCAAGGTCCTACAAGTATCTGTAAAACACCGTCTCATCCAGTCGTGGACGTAAACCAGTGGGCCGGATCTAGGCAAACTGAGATATATTTGACCGTTTTGTCCGAATTTCTGCAAAAGAAGAAAGGAACGTTGATCATGTCTTGGTCACTGCTGTTAGTCGTACGATAACAATTTGAAAGCTACCTATTATTAGTCCACCTTATTACTGTATTACCCAAATTGGTTATACTGTCCGCGGATCGGAGGAATGGATGAAGAGGCCGGGAAGAGACAACATTACAGAAGTAGGGGAGGAAGTGGGAAATAGACAAGGGGTCCTGACCAGGCATACCGAGCAAAATAAGGAGTGAAATCCTTTTAATTGGCAGCGTAACATACATTCTCCTCGAGTCACAAACTTGTCAATAAAGCCCTGTAGTTATTTCAAATCATAGGTTTATCGGATCATGACCTGCACCCCCTTGGTGTCCGCTCTTGGCTGAGGTATAGTCCAATCCCTCTGGATAGCCACATCCTCGATCGTGGTTTCATATAATTCTAAATCCATTCTCGTCGCCAGAGCAGCAGTTAGTAAATACAGCTCTGAAAAGGCAAGGTTGTATCCTAGACAATTCCTGGTTCCGTGCCCAAACGCGACCAGGTGTTGCTTCAAACTATGATTCACCCTCACCAGTCCCGTATCATCTTCAAGTAACCATCGTTCAGGAACAAAAGAACCAGGGTCTGGGAATAATGACTCATTATAGTGTTGAAAAACTGAAATGGAGCTCATGGGGGTCATTGCTGGGATAGTGTACTCTTTGTACTGAAGGGGAGTTAGTGCCAGACGCTGCGAGCGCCCAGATACGCCACTCTGGATTCGAAGTCCTTCCAAGATACAAGCAGTGAGATATGGAAGATCTTCAAGAATCGACACAGAAGGCAGCGATGAGGCCGGATCACTGTAAACCTTCGCGATTTCAGCTCGTAATTTGCTCGACTTATCCGAATTCGCAAGCAGATGATACCACAGCACCGCATTGACTTTAGCCGGGGTTTCACTGCCAGCGATGAGCAGAATGGAACACTCTTCAGATAGCCGTTGTGCCGTTCTTTCCTTTAATGGTAGTTTCTCACTATCCCGCAGTTGCTCAATTACAGTTTTCTTTTCACGGTCGACCGTAGCATAGATACCCTTATAGGCTAATACTGCCTCAACCTGATGACCAATTTGCTGTTCCTCGTAAGTTCTACCGCAAGTAAGAATTATGAGAAGGAATCTACTTACCGACTTCCAGCTATTCAAAATTGAAAGATCTGGTAGTATCGCAGCCGAAAGATAGTCAGGGAGGACTTCGACCAGTCGAGCCATAAGCGGGAAATTTCGGATGATCGGCAGTGCTCTCATAACATGAATAATTGTATCCCGCCATTTTTTTGCTATTGGCTCGTTATTCAGCAAACCAAAAGGCTCACCAAAGCAATAGGAGGTAAGAATATCCATGGTTGTGGCCAGAGATCCAACCGTCAAATTGAAAGGAGTCTGGGACTCTTTGTACTTTTGCATATTGCCGCACAGCGTATCGACGCAAGCCTTCATATTTTCTTCCAGCATGACAGTATTGCGTTTGCTGAAGAACGGAGCCAAGGCCTCGCGCCGAAGTCGGTGATGAGCATGCTCAACGGTGAACCCTGTGGCATTATTACAATCCGGAGACTTGGTGAATTTCTCATATTTGTCACGTCGCGCCGGAGACGAGGCGTAAATTGTATTGTAGAACTCAGGATCATTGCAGTGTATCTCGTACGGACTGACTCGTACAATGGGCCCTGAATATCGTATCAGGAGTCAGATGTATCGTCAAACGGAGCTTAGGAAGCCTTGGACGCGCCAAGGACACTGGGCAGGGTACATGTTTTCCTACCGTATTTCCTGTGCATTTTTTCGATTTCCCAGATATACATCCCACCCTTGATAACATCATGGTAAAATTCTACCCAATATGTCAGGGCAACGCTCTTGGGACCGGGGAATTTGGCCAGTGGACTCCAGTAGAGTCGCCAGATAACACCATAGAGGGTCCATCCAACCGCTAAAACAGCTATCATAGAAGCAGAGGATAAATCGGGGGCCATCGTATCAGCTAAAAGTAGCTATATTGAGCCTTATTGATGCTCTTGTTGGCAATATCTGGTTTCGAAATAATCTCGGGGGTCCGAAGGTGCACTTGGCAATCTTGAAGCTACCACGCCTCGTACTTATCTGAGCTGATACGCGTACATTATGAATGACCGGCATGCCTCAGCTGTATCTATTAATAAACTATCTTGAATAACACGCTTAAACCGAAAAAGTCGTGGCTGGACATGCACTTCCAAATGTATTGCAGACGGACACGGTATTATATGTCTCGTATTACATGTTTCGTAGGTATTACGCCCCAGAAATCAACTACTGTACCCGCCCGTATTGAGTATTGTAATGCTTCGGTAATATCACTAGTCGATCAATTGCAAGAAGATGGAAATTTGCAGTACATGTCCCCATCTGGCCCGTGTCTAAGTCGGTGATGTTGGCCCCCTCTTTTGTGCGTCATGCAATATGATGAGATCGACAGAGACGGGAATTTTTTCGGGCTTGACTCTGGTGGGGGCGAAAATCAATGTGAGACGTTCCGTGAACAGCAGTAGTGGAGATGACATCCTTGCAGAGTACAGTCTAGTCCTAATCAGCAGTAGTGGAGAGCATTCCATTCTATACGGTCTTGCTGTCTTACTGGGTATTGGAAAGCAACCGGCTCCTACCTAACCCAAACCACATAGTTTACGTACCATGCGTGGATGTCTGAAAGCCCAACCCTGTTTATAAGTAGGCCAGCTTGCCCACTTTGAATAAGATCGAAATAATAGAAATTACAATCGTCGTCCTTCCAATCTGTTCAAATTCGGCTGCACCAAAATGTTCATCAAAGCCTTCCAAGGTCATGAGAGTTCGAGGGAAGAATTGAACCGTGCAGAACGGCCCATCCATACCGAGCGTGACGTTCGGATCGTGTGTATTGGAGCTGGGCTAGCAGGTCTATGCCTGGCATACAAGCTCCAACGATCATTCCAAAACTTTGAGCTTTTGATCCTTGAGAAAAATGACTCTCTTGGCGGCGTGTGGTTTGAAAATCAATACCCAGGGTCTGTACACGTAGGGTGGTTAATGGGCTTCCCAGAACACAAAAGGTAGATTCCTATTTGATCACTTATTGACTGTTTATGTTACAGAGTTGCCTGTGATATCCCTGGTCATAACTATGCCTACTCGTTTGAGCCCGCCGTGGATCACACCGCAGAGTACGCATCTGGCTCCGAGGTACGACAATATATACAGAATTTCGCGAATAAGTATGGCTTGATAGACTATTGTCTCTTCAACACTAAGGTCAGAAGTGCGTCATGGGATGACCATGCCGGCTATTGGAAGATTTTGATGGAAGACTCGAAGAGTAATGAGCCTCGAAAAGAGACGGCAGATATCATAATCAACGCCAGCGGCCCGTTGAATCAGTGGAAGCTACCTGATATTCCAGGACTGCAAGACTACAAAGGCCACCTCATGCATACCGCCAACTGGGAAAAGAGTGTGGAGCTGGATGAGAAAAGGGTTGCAGTCATCGGGAACGGGTAAGTTTGTCTCGGTTATTTACAACGCCACAACTAACGCGTCACAGCTCCAGCGGGCAACAAGTCCTGGTCGCGGTCCAACCTAGAGTCAAGAATTTGATTCATTTCGTCCGGCAAGCGAATTGGATCACTGGACCGTTTGGAGAAGCTCCTCGGAGATATTCGCCAGATGAGATAGCCGAGTTTCACGATTGTCCTGAGAAATTATTACTCAAGCGGAAGAAAGTGGAAGGGACAATCAACAGCACATTCTCTTCTTTCCTGTCCGATAGTCCCCTCCAAGCAGGTATGCGGATGGCTTTGACTCTGGCCATGGAAACCAAAATCAAGAAAGGCGGTTTGAATCATAGTCTTATTCCCAACTTCGCCCCTGGGTGTCGTCGCCCAACACCTGGAATCGGATACCTCGAATCACTATGCCAACCCAATACCGAGATCATCATGGGTGACATCAAGAGGATAACTGGGCACGGAGTGGTGGATCACAAGGCAGTTGAGCACCAGGTGGACGTGATTATTTGCGCCACGGGGTTTGACACTTCTTTCTTGCCCTCATTCACACTGACTGGACTGCATGGACAAACTCTCCATGAAATGTGGGCCGAAGATGTGACGGATTCTTACTTTGCAACAACTGTCCCATCTATGCCAAATTATGCGGTCTTTGCTGGACCCTTCAACTCCACTGTCAGTGGCAGTTACGTACGAAATATCGGTCCGTCTTTTTAGAGTCCTACTTCTCATGAACTCTTTCCAGCTAATATGTTTACTCGCAGAGATTCAAGCCGACTACATACTCCAACTTATCGACCGATACCAGACCGAGAACATACACTCTTTTGCCCCACGCCTGTCAGCCAGCCGAGCCTTTACCTCACATTGCCGCAATTATCTCGAACGCACGGTCTGGACGGAAGGCTGCCGATCACACTTCAAAGCTGACAAATCCAACACCAGATTGACCATGTGGCCGGGTAGTAGTCTCCATTTCTCAGATGCCCTTCGCGAATTGCGCGCAGAGGACTATGAATGGGTATATTCTGGAGACGACCAGTTTGCATGGCTTGGGAATGGGCTCTCGGCGACCGGCAATGATCCTTTGAGTGATATTAGTTGGTATGTCACACAGCGGGATGAAGGGCCGTGGATGAGTCGGAGAGCTCGTCGTGAGCAGTTCACACGGATCGGGGCCCAAGAGGGACGGAACGACGTTTTGAAAGCCCAAGGCCGAAGTGCAGACTGATCAATGGTAAATATGCATCATTTGGTATCCAAGGTTCGCTCAGGTGACGCCATGTGAATACATATAGATATGAAAGAAGCATTAGCCTTTCCAAAAACCCAAGAATGGGTATTGTAAGTGTATTCGGTCTAGAGATCTCTCAAGGGCCAATGATTTAAATCTTTCATGTCCCCCTTATCATTTGTTCTTCCTTTGTAGCCGGAAAACATGTTAAAGAGCTTGCAAATGAAGGATTCAAAGCTTGAAATTAAGAGATCAGCACTGCATTCTTAATGTCCCGATTCATTGATCCCAAGGTTATTTTAGGATGAATCTCAAGCCTAGCGCTCTTTAGCTAGTCCGCAGCAAGTACAGGCCAACCCGTTAAGGTTAATGTGTGGTGATCGGGCGTTGTCATTGGTGCACCGGGTGTAGTGGGGAACGCTCGAGGCAAGTGGTGCATCTGCGAAATAGGGATCACGTCCAGGATTGTCCACTAAGGGCAGCGGGAGACAAGAAAAGAGAACTAGGGGTGGTTTAGAGAAGGAAAGATGGTCCAAGTTGCTTGTCTCTGCGTGTGGATACTTATATATATCAAATCTACTTGATCACCATACACCGTATGCATCATAATGAAGATTTGGGAACACCATACCTAGCAGCGGTGCCCCAATTGGCCTACTTAGGAACGATAGAAACCAAATAATAGCATAAAAGGAGAGACTGTGTGTATCGTCCAATAGGCCTAATTTATCAATACGAGCAGGATACCAAGTCCCGGTGCTTCTATAAACAGGTAATCACCACGAAACGGAATGCTGGATGGACTCAATTCGAGCCTCGCTTTATCGGCGAGGCTAGCCGTTCAACTCTCTGTTACGTGGAGGTAGGAGAGCACGTCTTGGTCGCGGGTATCTGTACCTAGGACTGTGGCGGACGCATGCACCCCATTGCAGTATGTATATATTCGTAGCTATGGCCTTAAAAGAATCGGGTAAGGGATTATTTGAAACTGTCGACTGCTCAGTTCGCACCCAGGGACTCCAAAACGACCTCCTTCCACTCGTTTAGAAATCTAGAAACAAATTCATCCTCATAGAAAGCCGCGTTCCAGTTAGCAGAGAGAACCATTTCATCATTCCAGGTCCAGACGTTCGTGAGGAGTAATCTATTAATACACTCAATAGCAATCCACCAATCCTCTACCTCAACTGTAGTTGCAGGACCCTCATGCTTCGCCAAAACATGGTCATTAATAATGCCAATTGAGCTGAGCTCTGGATGGGCCGCGGCACGTAAAGGATCCTCAGGCTGGGCGCCAAGCGCGATAAGAACCTTGCCCACATATTCAGACATAAATCGGAATAGATTGCGTGGCTCGTCCTTGTTTAACTTCCTCTTGTAATCCTTAGACATCGAGGCCGAGATCGCATCGAAACCTTTGCAGAGGTCGAGATTGACGCTGATAGGGAGTCCGGTATGGTAAATGCTAGCTGCTGCCGCCGGGCCGTTATAAGGTGGAGAAAGATATTTACGCAGATCGATAGCATTGAAACCCGTATACTTCCCACCGCCTTGGCCACGAGTAGCAGGGTCAAAGCCATGCTCTGCGAATGGGAGTGTAGCAACGACTAATGCAGCGTGGATCGCAGTAGTGACGGAGAAATTGCGAGCTTTGCATGCACTGATGACACGCTTTGTGGCGTCGGCAGAAAATTTTACCTCAAGACGTCGCGGGGTAGTAGGGATGACATTGGGCAGAGTAGGAATGTTAATGGACGGTTGGTTGTCCGTAAAATAAGCCAGTTCCTCGTCTGCAGCCTTAGAGGTAGCCTCGGTCATAGTAGTAGGCACACCAGCGGCCTCGTCCAAAGAGAGATGAAGGTTCTTAGCTTCGGAGCCATCGAAGTGGATAGTCTCTGGGACGCCATTGGCGAGAATCTGAAGAAAGATGTTCTGCAGGTCCATAAGACCAATACCGTCGATACGCCAATGGGGCATGCGAAAAAGCAGCTCGCGCTTTTCAGGCAGAACAAAGAGCAAGAATTTGGATGAGGGTGGCTCGTTTTCATATTTCTCATTCGCCGAGCTTCCGTTGTCAACGATAAAAGATTCTGTCTCCCATGCTTCTAATTCTTCCAGCGTAGGGACCTTGTAGCAGAATCGACTGCCATCTTCTTTGACTGTGGCCGCGATCTGGGGGTATCGCTGTCGGAGCACTTTCCATGCGTTTTGGAGTGTCTGCACTCCGGGTAGAGACTTGAATTTGAGGGCAGACGAAATAAGATAGTGCTGTTTGTTCAGAGGAGTACCGGCGTCGGCAATGACACGGTAGAAAATCTCGAGCGAGTCAAAGGGACGCTCGTAGTAACCGGCCGAAACTTCTTCCCAGGCCATGGTGACTGCAAATACAAGTAATTATGATGAGAGCTAAAGACGAAAGATGGTTTAGGGATGGAATAGAATTGGGATGCCCTCTTTATATCCGTGGGGCTCGTCAGCTATGTAGGAATAGATACTACGGTCATTTCCTGTCATTTCATGACACGGTCAACGTAAAAGACCCCGCTCAGTTTGGGGTCCAAACCGGCCCTCTGAGTGTCAAGTTTCAAGCAACATGCAAAGGTCTGGATTGGGATCAAGCCACACCCGCTAAACCCCACTGTAAGGCTATGGTACGGGAGGTCACGAAAGGTTACGGGAGGGTACGGCGGTACAGGGGGCTGCGGGGGCTGCGGGGCCAAAGCTTGGATGCCTGAATCAGGTGGAGCCATGCAGCGTCGGACAGGTACTACTACTATATTCATTAGGCATATAGCTTTCCATGAAATTAAGTAGAAAGAAAAAGCCAATTATTATGTCCTATCATACAGAACAAAGGCAAACAACGGAAACGCTAAAATGAACACATTTGGTCACATGCACATCATTCACAATCACTCATATATATTCATGTTCAACCGGCCTCAAATGGCTGTGGTTCAACGGAAAAATGAAAAAAAAGCACAAGAATGTGAGGGTTTACTCAATCGTCACCGAGTAGTCCCGCAAGACGTAAACTTCGCCTGAACAGCACCGCTCCCCAGTGTGGTGGCTGAGAGGCTGCTGGGTACTATCAAGGGACTTCTCATATGTGTGAAGTCCATACGTCTTAGTACCCCCAGTTTGACTGGAAAAGACTCTAGAGCCGCTAAAAGTGGTCCAAATGTGTGAGACGGCGGGGCGAAGAATTGGGACACAAGAGGAGATGATTCCTATGCAGAGCTCCAGAGTGGTGGCATAGAGAGCGCCAGCCAGGTCCCATGATGAATCAGTGGATGTAAGGGCAGAAGCTTTGACCGTTCGCGCAATGGACACGACACATGCGCTGAGGATGAAGTTTGTGTCAGTCACTCGTAAATAAACTGAAGATGAAGTGGAAAACCTACGCCATGCCCCATGAGAAGACGATTATAAGCCCCCGTCTCTTGCTCTTCGAAACCTGGAGATTCCTTATGAGAGGAATGGGCATGCCGAGAATAATGAAATCGGTCACCACATTGAGAACACCACTGTACACTACCACAGCGAAATAATTAATACAGTATGCTGGCTTCGTCGGATCCCACTGATGCGCCACCGGCATGCACTGCATAATAGTAGCGAAGAAGCAGGACAGGTTGTATGCGATAACGATTGCAAACATCACCCAAATGAGTTTGTGGAACCACTTCTGTGGGAACACGCGGCGGTAAAACATCAGAATGGAACATTTGATTGCCATGATGGTGAGAACATAAAAGCCTTCAGCGGCCGTGGTAGACTAAAGAAGGTGATAGGTTAGCGAAAGCTGGGTGGTTGACATGAGTCGTCCAATCCTCACGATTGTCAGCAACTTGGCGCTGCTAATAAAGTAGATGTGTTTGCCCATGCCATACCGCGTTGTGAGAAAGAGAAAAGTCGAAAACGCGATCATCAATGTCTGTTCACGAAGTCAGTATTGGCCGGAGCTCAATTTGTTCAATAATATATCCGAATGATGCCTTACTATTGCGATCAGAATTATAAAGTCATCCAATTCTAGAGTCGCTCTAACAATCCGCCGTGAAACGAGTCGTATAACAACCATCATGATTGAGACTGCGAGACAAATTGTGCCACATGCAATGATTCCCGGGGCACGATCGTCATTCTTGTGTGCTTCCAGCCAGGCAGGTGAAGGGTTTCCAGACATGATGTTGAAAACTTGCTGATAGATGTTAGTCAAGAAAGTACAATGTTTACACAAATGCTTTAATGTCAAATTTTCCCTTGCAAATGGGAATAAGAAAGATAACCAAGCACCTAGCGAGATTGAGTTCGGATCAATCCTCCTGCGGGCTTGCAATGTTAAGTCCCATATCAATCCCGTGGTGGGTAATTAATTCAACTCGCGCGCACTCCGGTGAACGCGCCAAAGCTCATCTAATTATCACGCTAAAAAGGGGCCAAAAACTTGCGATCTCAAGGCTACGTTCCAGGTTTTGGAGCGCATATTGTATTATAGATTTTTCGCTGTATTTTTGAACCCATGTGAGAAATAGCCGGAGACCCGCATTGACTTCGGTTAGAAAACATAAATTGGAAGGAGAAACTGATCGTCATTGACTTGTGTCATTCCGCCTCGCGGGACCCCTGTACATAGCATTACTTCGATCTACAGTGGCGTACGTTGAGTTTGAGACCCCCCTTCGACCGCCTTCTTGTACCGCCCACTTAACATAGCTGACCGCTCCTAAACAAGCTCCTACATCATGGAGCATGTCATAAGAATTCTGCTGTATTACAGAACTTAAAGATTGCTCTGAAAGCTGAGTTTTCATAGGCTACTTCTAGGATTATCAGCCATTATAGCATGATTTATGGATTTTTGGCTGGCAGAAAAGAGCGGCAGAAACTTTTGTAATCACCCGGGGGTCTCAAACTCATCGAACGCCACCGAGTACATATTCACTTATACCATTTTAACTGAGGACCATGTGATAGTGCAAAATCTTTCAAGGTTGCTAATACCACCTCATTTTATGATCCTCTATCAAGTGGAGACCAAGAATCACACATCCATTCACGGGTCAGTTACTCACTCTTGTACCATTACTGGCCCCCATCTCTGCGTTGTTGCATTGACCCACCACCGACGATCCTCCGAGATGGTCTTCAAAGAGTTGATACTATTTCGGGTAGGCGTAAATTTCACAATGCAGAACACGTAGCACAGCGGGTCCTACCTATATCCCACTTTTGGGAGACAAATGGTCTTGCTCTCTGCGGCATATGTCATACTGAGGGGACCTGAACAGTTGTAGCGAAAGAGTCATTTAGAAACATTCATATTCGTTGTTTTGAGCGTCATTTACATTGATGGAATCTCTAAACCTTTTAGCGTGGCTCCTTCAGGAGCGAATATATGGTGGGGTTCAAAAGGTGCCATGGAGTTACTACAGCTTGGTATAGATGGAAGCTTTAATGAGTTATTGACCAGTTACTTTACATAAGCCCGGACATTCGTTCAATTTTCAGTATGATCAACGTAACGAAAAGAAACGAAACCAATTTTCAAGAACGAAGGGAGTAGTGGCAACTTCCTTCGCAAGGATAGAGTCGCCGATATCTTCCCTCCCTGTACAAATCCAGATCCACGCCTGTTTCAAGGCCGTCGGACTTTTGTACAAAGGTAGCAAGTAGATTGAAACCAACCAAACACACCATATCTTGTATGTCAACTCGTCAGAATCCACAGACTGGTATTTGAGGGTTCGGTAAGCGATACAAATCCCGGGAACCAGTAGTATGAGGTATCCAATATAGTCGAGACACCATGTGTGCGGGCAGATAATGGACCAAAATAGTACACCCAGCGCAACTGATATCCGGGCTGCTTTGTGGCCGTAGATAATGGGGAAGGTTTGACGACCGCGAATGGCATCACCTTCCATGTCCGGAATATCCTGGACTTGAATTGTGCTAAAGACGATCATGCCGATTATTCCCAGCCAGAGATAGGCGTTTGCGTTCGGTTCCCATTCGCCGTATCCAGCGGCAATTATCGTTGAGCCTGATCCGTGACAGATGAAGCCGGCTGCATTGATGATATTTCTCAAGATGAAATCCTCGTCTGCGCCGCCGAGGTCATTGTACATCCAGGTCAATATGATCATCGCTATTGTCTCTCGATAGCCGCCAATTGCACAAGATAGTCCAATTCCAACTGGGACTAAAAAAAGAAGAAGTCGTCTCGCTTCATCAGGTGTCATTCGTTTTGACACAATTGGGCGCCATGGCTTATTCATCGAATCCTCAAGGACCGAACCCGGCAGTCTTTGATTTGCGAGGTTAAAAGTCAAGAGGTTAAGCCAGTTCCAGAATGCAACGAGTGGTAAGCGTGACAGGATCGTAAACAAGTCAGGCGTTGGGTTGGTTGATAGAAGGGGACCTGCCAAGGCCTGGAAGATACCAACCGCAGTCTGTGGATACAGGATAACCTTGAAATCATTCTTGGTAAAGAGGTATAGGCTGTAGGAGTGAAACCACCAGTCTCGATGCTAGGACACGGGAGAGTCAGGAAAATCTGACGCGAATTGGTGACCAAACACTGAATACGTTACCTTGTATGGCTCAGAGTCCTTCTTGATACTTTTCATGGTAACTAGAAACCCTGCTTGAAGTGAACTTGAGTTGATGTTTCACGGGTGAATGTAAAAATAATGAACGGAAAAGCATAAAAAGGGGCATACAAGGCAGTCTTATCATCTTATAACAAAGCCCTGTCGAGTCCTTTCCGGTATCAAGCACAAATTCATTTGACTTGATAAAAAGCATAAATCTGCTCTATAAATTGCTTAGCATGACGGGGGGATCCCTACTCCGGTACTGCCTTTCTCTTGTTATGCTTATGCTAGATACTTTGCCTATCCGTTTCCAAATACATCTACGATAGGTCATGATGTTGAAGTGCGCGCTTACTAGCACTGAAGGCACTTGATTTTGCTGGTCAGTAAACACGAAACCAGAATGATCATAACAATGCATGTGATAGTAATGCAGCCCAAAGCAAGAAAGCACCAAAATTAAGTAGGCGCTCCTGTAAAAATACCCAAGTCTGATGACTTCACGGACCAATGTGAGTGGGGGTCCTTGTATCTAGGGTTAGGGTGGACTGTTTTGATTCAAAGTTTCTCTTCGCATGTTACTTATTTTAGCGATTACAAACGCAAATCCATACTACTACACAATTTGTCCGTCCACCTATCCGTCCACCTAAGGATGCAAGCATCAACCGGTGGGCTGGGGTTGCGGTAGTTGTTGCGGTTTGCAAGATAATGAAGCGCTAGAGATCCCCCCTTCCTTGATATTCCATTATAATGCTAAGCGTAACAATTCATCATTGATCCTCAAAGCTTCCAAATTTGTATTACGGAGAAATTGGATCAAAAATATTGAGGGATTGCACTTGCATGACTTCTATGCTCCCCTTCTCAACCGCTCTATATCCACATTATTATCTATTGACTAGAGCATGGAGTTTGCGCGTTATGACCATCTTACCTTGTAAGTGGAGAAAAGTGGAGAAAAGTGGAGGGATTAGAGGAAAGTCTTGCGAATGTTCAAAGGTCCAATGAGCAGTATCCAGCAGATATTGCTATTTTTGTCCGTTCCAGACTAGGAAATGATGAGTGTCGGCATGGGTACGATGCAGGGGCTATCTCTGGGTGAGTCTCCCTAGATAACTATGCGCCGATGAAACGCCATTCATACGGAAAGTCGTTTTAAGGCTGCCGATCCAATGGTTTCGCCCCCCCATTCTCTTGGCCCCCAAAACTAGCGTGATCCTTCGACCGTGCATTTTTAGCGTCATCTTCATGCACACATACGTATGACTAGACTGATGGATCTCCGTAAGATTCATTGAGAGCTGATTCGTTCTGGAGGCAGAGCAGGACCCGCCGGTCCCGACCTTGGTAAGCGATGCAGGATGATCCTAATATCACAAGTCTTGATAGTGGGCCGCTATGACCTCGGGATAGTCTCGTGCATTAACCTCAAGGCTTAGCCTCGCTTGTGCGATAACGATCACATAATAAGGCAATGATGTTCACGACTCCTCCAGGGCTGGAGATGGGCCTGGATTGACCGAATTTTGTCCATGGGCCCAATCTGCCAGCCCACTTGGACTGAACATACCGGCCGACTCAGGTCTAGTCGTGTGGCAAAAATAATTCGCTTGAATTGTACAGCTGAATGCTTCTGCTGAGGGGTTATAGTCCATTCTGCCTCTTTAGGGTGTACTTCTGCCGATCTGTAGGTTTTCCTCGGGCAGCTGCTTTTCGTCCCAACCTTGGTGTCTTTTATCATTACGCAAGCATGCAAGCGCATTCAACGCTGTGAATCAATTACACAGGGGAGATACGTTATGATACTAGTGGCATTGTAAATACTTGAATCATGACTTTCGATACGGTCCAATTGTAATCAATACAGACGATCGACAAATATCAATGGGGGCTAAGAAACACTGTATCTTGGTGTTTCGAGCGCGGTCCCTGTTTTGATAAGGACTCTGGTATACCCTAATGAGCGGAAAGGTCTCTGGGTATTATGTCATGATGATCTAGATGATAGCCTGTAAATGAATACGAAGCTTGGGATTCATAGAGATTATAGCATATTAATGTTCAAGACCATGAAACATAGTAATAGAGCATATAAGGCCGTACTAAAACAGGCAAAACATTTTGAGTGCATCAAAAATGTTGTAATTCACCAATCATTTGCTCTGAAAAAGCGGGGAATGGTGTGACTCTGCTTATAAGACGGAGGGAAAGTTCTTTGTTGACCTACGCTCTCTGACACCCACATTCCTCTTAATTTTCAAACCTTCATAAAATATTCAATCTGACTATGACTGGACAATTGATCTGGCTCGTTACAGGCTGCTCCTCTGGTTTCGGAGAGGCGTTTGTCCGAGCAATTCTGGCCAAGGTTATTGGAGCCCAGCACCACATAGTCAAAGCCAATGCTCATGATCTGAATAGGGTGATCGCGTTATTGCGACAACACGCGCAAATGACGGTGTATCTGGTCTAGACCGCCTCGCTCATCTCAAAGACCTTGGCGCAGCTACCTTGGAGCTTGACGTAACAGCTCCAGAAAAAGAGTTGAACAACAAGGCTGAAGAGGCGTGGAAAATCTACGGTCAAGTGGATGTACTGGTCAACAATGCAGGCTATGTAGAGGCGGGGATTTTCGAAGAACTTGAGTAAGTTATCTTGTATAAGTTTTATGCTTTCAATTCTCATAAAACTATTCTAACTGACTGCTACATACAGCGAGAAGACTATTACAGAGTCTCTACGGACGAATGTTCTTGGCCCAATGAACCTTACAAGAGCATTCATCCCTTTGATGCGAGCCGCCAAATCTGGTACTATTATTTTTGTTGGCTCAGTTGGTATCTATTACGGAGCTCCTGGTGCAAACTGCTATACCGGGGCCAAGGGTCTTATCGAGGGTATGGTTCCTAACCTCGCTACGGAGATTGCTTTATTCGGTATTCGTACTTCAATCTTGGTTACCGGACATTTCCGTACCAAGCTTATGGACCCAGCGAATATGAGATTCCGAGCGCCCAACCCTCAGTCGGAATACAATGAAATCAACAAGCTCATTAACGCTGGCCTTGCTGCTCAGAATGGGACCCAGCCAGGCGACCCCAGGAAGGCTTGTGAGCTTGTTGTTGAAGCTGTCAGGGGCGAAGGTCGATGCGCAGGTAAAGAGCTCCCTCTGAGGCTGCCCCTCGGCTCTGATGCATTCAAGTATATCAGGGAGAATTGCGCTGAGCGGTTACAGCTGTGTGATACATGGGATGGCATCATGTCCCAGACTGACTATTGAAGAAATTCAAATGTTTTTCAACATGGGGTTTATGTAGCAGCATACATAGCACTTCAGAACCTGTGAAATGAAAAGAATTCAAGCTCGAGAATACGAAAATACGTTGTTATTGATACTATAGAAACTACCTCCGCCGAAACTGCAAACTCGGCCCATCGTGAGTACTGGTAAAGACATCCCGCATCTGAAACTCTCCTTTGCGTTGTCGGCCCCACGAAGGCTCCCAGAAGGGTACTTCCTTGCTTTGGGCTGCACTACTATCAGGCGCAAGTCGTATATCAAACAGCCAGAGCAACCGTGCCACAATAATTCCAATCTCCTGGTACGCGAGATACTTCCCAACACATGCAGTGCGACCAGCCCCGAAAGGTATGAAGGCTGCCTTTTGCTCCGCAGAAGAACCATTCAACCAGCGTTCGGGTTGGAACTCATGAGGGTTAGGCCAATATTCCTGCGTATGGTGAAGTGCATACGTCGGAACGCCAACATCCATGCCCGCGGGAACGTGGTATCGGCCTCCATCAACGTCCAAGCCTCCAGCTAACACTTCACGAGGCAACAGGCCACCTACTGGTGGGGAAAGTCGCATGGCTTCATTGATGCAAGAATAAAGGAAAAGACAGCTGCTCAGCTTGCGGCCGATGCGAATGGCCTCGACATCCGAATTTTGATCACGCATGAATGCACTGTCTACTTCGGCGCGAACCCGTGTGTACGCATCCTCACTGTGCAGAAGATAGAATATGGTCGCCGTTGTGGCGGTGGCTGTCGTGTCAGCCCCAGCGATGATAAGAATTCCTGCTTCTGCAATGAGATCTTGCTGGGAGTACCCCTTTTCCGTCTCCGGATCGCGGGCATCGAGCAGGGCGGCAAATAAATCCCTGTTCGGTAACAAGGCAGAGTCCTGTGCGACGCGCCACATAGACTGGGCCTCTGATAGTTGAAAGAATTCCTGGACGCCCTTGGTCAGATTGGGGAAGCAAATTTGATCAAGCTTCAATGTGAGAATCGTTGGTATATGGCCCGCAAGGTGGATTCCACTTGTGCCAAGAGACATCAAATCCAGAATATGCCGATTATCTGGGCTAGCTTGAATGGACCAATTTTTGGAAAAAGTGACATCTCCCATAATATCGGAGAGAAGAAACTGGACCTCCTTTGACATATTGTGAGACGCACTCCATTCACCTTCGACAGTCCTTGCTGCGCTCTCCGATAAAGACATGCAGAGCACTCGCACATTTTTAAGAATCGGCTCTTCAAGGCTTTTGACAGCGGCTGTAGTCAGCGCGCTGCTTGTAACACGACGCTTAAAACCATGGGTTTTGCGATCAATGGTTGTCAGGCTCGCTGGAACAGAGAAGAAATGTGAAAACGCCCTGTAGACTTGAGATTTTTGCGTATTGGCACGTATGCCATATATATCCTGAACGGCTTGATCTGTGCAGAAGGAGACTCTGTTGGGTCCGAATCGAACTGCTGGGCCATATACCTGATGAAGACGCAAGAAGTCTAGGTGGCGATCTCCAAGCAAACAATGGTATACAGAGTACCAATCGGTGACTGCTGCGAGCCATGGCCCTGGGTACTGGGCAAGCGGATGGAATATCAAGCGATATATGCTCACACCTAGTAACTGATACCAGTCAGTGAAGAATATTATGAATGATGTCTCAACCTCGAAAATGTCTTACTAGTTCAGCTGTAATGCCCAAGAGCTTGGTAATACCAGTTGTGCTTATAGTCTTCCCTCCTATCAAAATGACCAGGCACATCAAGATGGATGCTGCCATCTGATTTTCCGGAATAACCAATTTGGCCATTTTCACACTATTTGGAAGAAAAAGAAATAGAGAGGGGGGATACTATGAAAGATTTAATCGTCAGGCTGATTAAATATGCCAGTGTTAGTGACACGTGGCTGTGTAACCCTTAAGTCTGTACCGAAACTAATCTTGTAAAAACTAATTACCGTTTTTTTTGAAAATGTAAGATGGGGCAGTATTGTAAGAGGCGGTATCCTGGTGGACGTGAATAGGCTATGGAATATTTTCAACATCAGATTCGTTTTCAAATTTGGTGGCATTAGGTGGGTGCCTACCCCACTTCTTTATCTTATTTGTGACCGCCTGCGCTCACCACCTTTATATACAATATAATGACAGAAGTTGATATCATCTCCACCCCCTAGCTCCACCCTACTATTTTCCTACCTACATTTGTGCTATAATAGATCCGAGCAATTTTCACTAGTGTACTGAAACACGGGTTTCAATATATAGGTCGGAAAAATCTCTTCCGGTCTATCCTATAATAACAAGTAATAGGGGGTTCTCCACTACACTACCTAAAGAATGTCGAGGAGCTTACCGCGGACCTTGTAAAGAAACCTTGTAAGGAAGCTCTAGGGGGCGGATTAGCGTGCAGAATTTTTTCAACCACAATAGGAGACACCAGTGTAAGGGCTCTTACATTTCGTCTTCAGTGGAGTTTGTCATATTGGCTAAAGGTAGAAATGAGAGAATCTAGGCTCGCCGTTTCCGAGTATCGCGTGGCTTGGCGTGGCGTGGCTTGGCGTGGCGAGGCTTGGCACACTGTATGCGGTCAAATTGGCCTTAGCAGACTATGGTGAGAAAGTAAAACTCCACGAGTAGTCTCGTTGAGTTCTGGCCATATTTGGTTTTGAACGATCAATCTCCTAGCTTAAGTCGGGTCTTCCATGATGGTACCAATATCCATTAGACAGCCTAATGTGAGGTGACTGGCCATGGCAAGGTAAAATCATAGCTCATAAACCCAGCATTAGGAGAGGTTTCGGATGATCTAATAAAGCGGATTAGAACCATTTATGGCAGCTGGACAATAAAACAACGCTGGGTGTAGTATAAATATGGATGCTGGAATTTGTGTAGTGGAGAGACTACGAACGACCAAAGAACTTGTCTAGGCCTGAATGTCAAAGGGTCCACTTTAATAACAGATTACTCTCCACGTTCTTACTAGTAATGCTGGCATCAACCTAGAGAAATAGCAGTGTTTTGCTATCCCTCATACAGAGATAGTTATTCGATGAATTCTTATGCGGATAATACGAATACGAACTAGGCTTGGCGTAACGAAAGTGGCATGCCAAGTCTCCCGCGGAGTTGGCCCACACGAATATATATTAATAGAAGGGGGCATGAACTAACACAAGAGGTATCCCATGGGTGGTTCAACACGGGAGGCTTGGCATGCCTTCTATGGGGCTCATAGCAATCTGTGGAACACAGAACTTTATCAAGGGTTTGCCAAGCGTCACTACGATCTCAAGAACCTTGGGTGGAATAAAGCCCATGTATGTATAGCTAGGCCCAAACTTCAGGCCCGCCACCCCACTTTCTCCGCATAAAGAGCTTGGCGAAAGTTCGATCATACCCACTCAGTGATCTAGAATCTTGATTGACATTCACCTAAAACCTAGGTTCTCAGTCAAGACGTCTGATGGTCGACCCCTAATCCGTTTTCCTCAAAGTTTTGTCATCATGAAGTGGGCTTTTTACACGCTAGCCTAATCTTATCAAGAATGTTCCAAAAGAATGAATAAAATGCTGAAACATCACCTAGAAAAACTGCCATTTACATCTGTTATACTCATAGCGGGCATCTATACTGAATGAACTATCATTGACAATACCACTTACACGGCGAGAATTTCCATTTAGCCTATACCATGGTAGAGCTCTAATGGTGGTTAGCCCTGTTTCAGTGATGTCTAGATCGAACTATAGATGATACATCTGTCTACAACGTGGTACTCAAATACGATCTCGTAAGCCATTACCAGACTAAGATGAGTTAGAGACACCTGTTAGGATATTTTACCCCACATCAAGACTACAACGAGGATTTTGGGACCGCGGGGCTATCGTAAACTTCCACCAGAGCTCCTATAGGCCAACTTTATCCCGACTTATGGGTTTAATATTCATTGAACTAAGATGTTTGCTGTCATATATACCATGTATCATTAATATCCTAGGTTAGAAAAGCAAGATTACGTTCGTAACCCCTAAGTGGCAGGTCCTATACCGCAGAAACAAAACCATGGCTACGCGTGCAGGTACAATCATTTTGTCCCTAGCCCAGACGGTGGCTTGACGTAGTGTTCACCAAAGACATTGGCCTTGCAATGGCCACGGTAGTGCCAAGGCCGCGGCGATAATGGTGACGTGATTAGGCAAGATAGTAGGCGTATTATGCGCCCTATCGGTTAAATTCTATGGGCAACTGTCCTAATGCTGTATGTTTGTTGATTAGAATTACGTGAGATCAATTTAAAAGTTGAGACTTCATCATCATATCATTTTCAGCCGCGTTTCGTATGCTGGCAGAGATGGTTATACTTCTGAAACATCCATATGTATAATTTTGAACCTTTTTCTCATTTATTGGTTATTTATAAATGAAGAGTAACCAATGAAGATGAGAAGCTGCGAGGAACTTATAAGCACAATGCTACGGACTCGGATAATCGATATAAGTCATGTGGTGTACCTAATTTTAGCGAAATCCACTCCCCCCTTGGGACTCAAGTAGATTGAAACCTTCGACGCATTAAGGCATGATGGGTTAAGATCTTTGATCTAGACCCAACCCATTCATGGATCTTAGTACGCCCTATACATAAAACCACTAACCGTGGTAAGAGTATTAGCTAGTTCAGCCGTGAAATACTAATCTTCATTACGGTACTAAGGTTTTCTGGATATCCCAGATGTTGGGATCCAAATATGGTTCAAGCCTGCTTTACAAAACCCAGTTAAGCAGCATGATAGAGCTGATACTCATAGCGAACAATTGCGTAGGCCAGACGACTAGCTTTCCTTTCATCACCTATTGAGCATTTCAAAATCGACTGCGTGATCCGCCAATGACTTGGAGGTACTTACGGCTTCTTGAAAGCCGGAAATTCAAATTACTTTGGATATATCTTTCATCATACTGTGATCTCTATTATTAACTCTTGTGATGTGGCTTGGACCGTATAATGATTTCAACGGGTCTCCCATGTATCCGATCAAGGTTCGTTCATGGAAACGTCAAGCCTCGCGTACAAACTAGAAGAACCCTTTCTAAGTTACCTGGACTGATTTAGGTCAAAGGAATACTGGAGCATGCAAAGCGTTCGCTTTTGGGACTATCATTGATTCTAGACTCGTTAGAAAGAGATCTACTGATCAGAATGACATATTCAGAGCTACAATATTGGGCCGCTTGCAAATATAAAAAGCCAAGGCAGCGCAGATAATCTTCCTGCATCGACTCAAACAGCTCGGAACAAGATAAGCACTGAATCATCTGCACTTTTCAATCTTCAACATGAAGCCCGCGCTTTATATCTTTACTATATTCCTACACATTGCTGCGCAGTTAGCAGTAGCAGTGCCGGTTGCAGCCCCGGACTTTGACTCTTTTTCAGTAGAAGAGAGAGCGAACCCCGCTCCTACTGTTAAGCCTCCTAGCAACCCTGCTGCCAGTGCTCAGCCTCCTAGCAACCCCGCTGCCAATGGTCAGCCTCCTAGCAACCCCGCTGCCAATGGTCAGCCTCCTAGCAACCCCGCTGCCAATGGTCAGCCTCCTAGCAACCCCGCTACCACTGGTAAGCCTCCTAGCAACCCCGCTACCACTGGTAAGCCTCCTAGCAATTCTGGCCAGGCTGGTTCTGCTGCTGCTGCTGCAGCCGCCGCAGCCGCCAAGGGGGTGGTGGTGAGGCTGTCGCCGCCGCTGCTGCTGCCGCCGCTAAGAAGGGCGGTGGTGAAGGATCACAAGCTGCAGCTGCCGCCGCTGCTGCCGCCGCCTCTGGCGGTGGTAGTGGAGGGGATACCGCCGCTGTAGCTGCTGCCGCCGCTGCCGCTGCCTCTGGCGGTAGTGGAGCTGCTGCTGCTGCCGCCGCCGCCTCCGCTAGCGGTGGAGGTGCTGCTGCCGCCGCTGCCGCCTCCGTCGCCTCCGCGGGTGGTAGTGGAGGAGAAGTTGTATCTGTAGCTGTTGCTGTTGCCGTCGCTACCTCTGGTGGTAGTGGAAAAGATGTCGCCGCTGCCGCCGCCGCCGCCGCCTCCGCTAGTGGTTCGGGTGGGAATGCTGCCGCCGCTGCTGCTGCCGCTGCTGCTGCCTCTGGTAGTAGTGGCGAAGCTGTTGCCGCCGCGGCGGCTTCCGCTGCCGCTGGTGGCTCTGGATCTACTGGTGGTTCTGGATCTACTGGAAAAGGCGGCCATGACTGTGAAATCCATAAGCCATTTGCGTTCTACAGGCGCCCAAGTCGATTCAGCAGGCGTATCGGCAAAGCTCAGCCTGGCTCGACCTTCCAATCTTCCTGCAAAAAAGGGTAAGTTCTAAACGATATGATTTTAATAATATAAATGTTCGCTGACTCCATACAAAGCCACTGGTTCAAAACTCCACGTGGATGGGTCATGGAGAAGAATAAGCCCAAAGGCTGCCGTAAGTTATTTTACTTCTGCCTAATCCCCTTTCTCAATTCCTATTACTCACAATTCTCTAGGTGGATCAACCAAGGTATGCTAATGGAGCCAACCATTTTTATGATGACTGCCACCAAAGAACATCATATAATGCTCTTTGGCAGTGGCTTCGATGCATTGAAACAAGTTCTAGTTTAGTTACTGTTTGATCTTACTGTTTGATCTGGTCTATTGTAGTACTTCGTTGATTTGTGCTTCATTTGTTTGCTTACCTGGAGTCAATAATATGTTCAAAAGGGGATTTCTTTGTGGAAAGTGACACCGTTGAGTACTCAATTACGTCTACGTTTTGAATTGAAATTGGATATTTTTACAAATGATGAACTAGTGCTTTAGTACTATAAGGGTAATAGTAAAAGTTTGCTTTATGATCATATTCTAATAGAGGATTTTATGTGCCTAAGGTTTGAAGATTCATATAACTTTAGGGTAGTCAGACCCGCATTATCCTCGTAAAGTTGCCTTATACATGTATGTTCTTTATGCTGACAAAACTTATTCCTGCGATTTAATTGATTTTCGCAGTTTTTTACTGACATATAATAATAATAAAATTATATCTAATACAAAAGTGGTTTAGAGTGGCCAGGCTGACTGGGCGGCCGGTTCGCTAGAGGATTACGTTCGTTAAGTTAGTTAGCTAATTCGTTACGTTGTGGAGCCTATCTAATTAAACCCTTGGGAGCCTGTATAACCTTTTTCCTAATCTATGCACCGCTAAGACATTGATTCTATACAAATCATGATTTGCTAGGGCCTAAACAAGTACCTAGTCTAGGCCCTAGGTCAGGTCTAGGTCCTGCCGAAGCTTAGGCTCAGATGATCAACGTGCGTCATGTGGCGTAGCCGAGATTCTAGGACGTCAAACCTTAAATTAACATGAGCGCAAAAAAGGTGAGTACTGTATCCCTTCAACTTAATACGATAGTATTGATCCTAGATCACGGGTAGAAGAAGCAGCCTGTCAAATAGCTATACGAGTAGGTAATAGCCTTAACTATAATGTGGGATCTTTCCTTACATAGTTCTGTTTGATAACACACTTATACCTTAATTCAGTGTTTCATCTGCCTCAACAATATGCAGAATACTTCAACTATATATTGAAAAGTGATTTAGGACCTCGTCAGGGCATCCTGTGGCCTAATTCCGTCATCTTTTGTCAGGCTACCCTTATGGTGTGCTACTTCAGAATTCCTTGACGTATCCACGAAATTCCATGTAGCTTCCACGGCTTTAGCCTGCGGAGCCTGTGGTGTTACTGGCGGATGGATTGATTAAAAGATTCCACTTATCAGCTAGCATGTACCAATTCCTGTAATAACCTGGAGCCTCGCCAAGGCCTGCCGTGGCGATGTATTATAATATCCAATTAAACTTCCTATACGAGAGGGATTCAGTGCAATTGATTGAGCTACAGCAGATGATCAACTTGTAATGATTGGTTTTGAAACCCTTTATTCTATTGATCCACCAATGGTAGCCTGATAACTTGATGTCACATCTGTGTGAAGTACTGCTTCTCATAGCTTGTATTTCGTAAACTGCATGGTTTTGCTCAAGTGTCCATAGAGTCTAGGCAAAGCTAGACAGGGCTTTTTGAGAAGGTCATCAATCTCAGATATTCGCGCTTCCCGGCTTTCTGTACAACCAGAGAGATAAATAGGACTGAATTCCTCGCTGGAAATGATTCATTACGCAGATCCCGCGATTTTGTTGCATGCCTTTTTCTATTCACATACTACACTACACCGACAATATGCTTTTGGTTACTATTTGTAGCCTTGCAGGCATGGCTGCCGCTCTAAGCTGCTCCTTCAGTACCAGTGGTGGAACTGTCGCGAAAGCTAATTGTTTCTCTTGCCCTGCCGAACAATGTAAAATCGTGACGTCATTCCCAATTGCTACCGTCCCCAAGGGAGAGATTAGCTGTAGATGGCGTGAGGGGCAGGATAAGAGAGGGGAAAAGTAAGTAGATCATTGGAATGGTTTCACTTTTACATCGCTGACCTTAATGGGGGTTTAAGGAGATGGTACTATAACCCCAGCCACAAGTGTTTCATATGGCATAATAGATTGAGGAAGAGTCAATGTAGTGGCCTCCGTGAGTTATAAAGATATCAAATTATGAGAATGAAACTAAGCACGTATAGTGAATCTCGATGATTGTGAACTGACTGCTACGGGATGTAATGCTGCAGCTGCAGCTACTGCTGTAGCTGCACCTGCTCAAGCCCCGGGAAAGCAGCCTCCGGGAGAATAGCCTACCTAGAGCTCAAGAGGTTGGCTTCCTCTTAGGTTCACTTTGAGATTGTAGATAAATCTGAATAAAGGGGTGTGTTTGGTGCTGGAAACAGTGTGGAAATTGATATAAAAGACGTTAATTTAATTCTTTGACGCTTCTTTGCTTCCCCTCCTATATATGTATATCGTTCTGATATATTAATCATTTGATTCTCTAATAAAGGCCTTTATCAAAAGTGGTAATCTTAAAAATTATAAGCTTAGTATTACGCGGTGCTAACTAGTCATAGTAAGTATCGCTCATAGTGGTTATATATATACGTTAATAGCTCATCCTTAAGTCTTAATCATAATCGTACTATTGCTAGTTAGCCTTATATAGACTCTTATTAGGTAGTGCTAGATAGTGCGCCTAGTTAAGCTATACTTAGGGTCTATATTAAGTAATAAGAGACTAAGTGTTGTCCTAGTAGGATCGTGGGCGCACGATCCTGGACCTATGGGCTGATTATATATAATCAGGATCTATATGGGCCCGGTTCTGGTCTATACGCGCCCATAGAGGACCTCTAATATATATATCGCTAGAATCTAGACTCTTCAACCGAAGAGTCTGGCTTATACCTTTTGGTCTAATGGAATAACCACGTGACTAGCGACACGCGTTATCTCATAAGTATATCTCTTCTAGTAGGTTAGTTAACTTAAGTATAAAATAAGGTAATAAAGCTAGAACTATAGGTTCTAGGTAATAATATATAATTAAATATAAATAGTAAGCGTTCTTATATATCCTAGTCCTCCTCTAGTCCTATCCTATTACTAGGATAGGTCTATTCCTACTATTAGGTCTATTCTATCTAAATAGATAGGATATTAACTAATTACTAAGGGTTAGGCCTTATATAACCTTATTCTTATAATACCTTATTATTAAGGTAGAGTATTTCCTATTATACTAAGGTGGCTAGTTTTAGCCTCTTACTAACCGTCCTATAGTATAATTAAGTATTCTATATATTAGTAAGCTTAGGGCCATAAATAGCGCGGGCGATAAGCGCTATTGAATAGCTCCTAGGAACTATTAGTCCTCTATGGTCTAGAGTAGTATGTCCTAAGTAGGTCTATAATACTTAGGTTAAGCTTTCTCTAGATAGTTCTATTATATAGAGGAAGTATAGTATAGAAATATTCTAAGTCCTAATATTTACCTAAATTAGCTCTTCTACGGGCCTTCCTAAAGAAATACTATAAAAATATCTATAAAAAGCGGAAATTCATAATGCTACTAGAGGATTATCACTAGCCTTATAAGTAGCTTTCCCCTACTCTACTATAGTATAAGTTATAGAGCAAAACGGTCGTAGTAACTAGAAGTAGTTATAGGATTAGCCGTTCTATTGCTTAATTGTTTATAGAAGCAGGAGTTACTCGAATTATCCTGGTCGGGCGAACCGAAGCTAAGTTATAGGTTACTATAGATGAGCTATCCTAGTCTTTTAAAAAACTATAAGTAATACTTTTAGTGGCTAAAATCACCTCTAAAGACGATGTTAAACGCGTGTTCGACTCTTTGACCATTTACTCCCCCAAAATACCAGTTAATAACGTAGGCTTCCTCTTAAGTCCTACTAATTTTATAGATATAGATTTCGTTGAATAATAAACCTCCTTTACGATTAATATCTATAGAACCATACTCTTCACCTAATCCTTCCTTCACTATTATAGGGCTTATATCGAAGCTGTCTCTACTTCTAGTGTAGGTGATCCCGCGGTAGAGATCAACGTTAACAGCATCGGCGCGTTTACGACCATCCCAAATTTCTCCTCCTATAGCGCTAATAAGGCTGCTCTAGCTCGCTAGTTGGAGATAATATTAGTTAATATCCTAGAAGATTTTGCTAGCTTTATCTCCGTTCACCTAGGTAGTGTGGAATCTAATATAGGCATTAAGTCCGGTATACTAGACAAAGTGCCATTAACGAACCCGTAGCTTACTAGGGACCCTATTATTTAGTTAGCCAGCACAAAGCCGAGGTTCTGAGTAGGGCGTTTTGTGAGCGTTAATATAGACGTTAATACACCACTTTGGAGAAAAGAGAAATTCATTAACAAAGGACTATATTGGATATGTTTATTAGAATAGAAGATTTCTATGTTTATAGACGATTAGTATATATAGTAGTAGTTAGTCTGTCACACCTAATAGGAAATATAAAGTAGCATGCAGGCTTGAGTGATAACTACGAGCTATGAAATTGTATGCCTTGGGAGGGCAAATTCTTATAAGTCGGAACTCACAGAAATTTATTCTAAATGATATTCCTCTCCTGCTTCTTCTGGTTTCCTGAGGCTAGCATTTGATGGGATAATAATTCAATTTGTTCTTGCTTATCAGCCCACTATGTTAGTCAAATAGCAGTCCATGTTACATACAATTTCTCCACATAAACTAGCCCAAATCAATGTTGAATGATTTCCAAAAGCAAAAGCGAAAAAAGCGACAAAAAAAGTTGAATAACTTTTCATCTTATTGTTTCCTCCAGCTATCTTATGGCTAATTAGTCTGACTCAATAAGAATCAAATCATTGAGCCAATTTTGCACCTGAACAAACCAATTAGATAAAGGAAGTGCAATTTCCGGAACCGGGGATCTTACAAAAAGACTTTGCAATATTGATGATTGTTTTGTTGGCAATTAGGATCTCCACATTTGCAGCAATGTCCGTCGTAGTGACCTTTTTGGATTTCCACCCTCTTGGTTTTTCCTCGCGGGGGCACTACTCGCGGGAGCACTCGCGGGAGCACTACTCGCGGGGGCACTTGCGGGAGCACTTGCGGGAGCACTCGCGGCAGGACTACTCACGCTAGTGCTACTCGCGGGGGCACTTGCGGGAGCACTACTCGCGGAAGCACTCGCGGCAGGACTACTCGCGCTAGTGCTACTCGCGGGGGCACTCGCGGAAGCACTCGCGGAAGCACTCGCGGAAGCACTCGCGGAAGCACTCGCGGAAGCACTCGCGGAAGCACTCGCGTCAGTACTCACGGTAGTACTAATCGCGGTAGTACTATTTGCGGTAGTTCCACTTCCAGTAGCTAGGTCACTGCACGTGCAATTTGCGGAGTCCCAGCTAATGCAATCAGAGGTTTTCTCCTTGCACGGCGAACACGTGCAAGTTTGATTGTCCCACACCTCGCAATCAGGAGGTTTTTTCCCGCAATCAACACATTTGCAAATTTTCTCGTCCCACTCCTCACAATCAGCAGGCCTCGGCTCCTCGCACGGCGAACACTTGCAAATCTGATCATCCCACACCTTGCAATCAGAAGGCTTCGACTTGCCGCAATCCCTACACTCGCATTTTGCATCGTCCCAATCATTGCAATCAGCGGGTTTCTCTTCGCACTCTGCACAATCGCAGTGCTGATCGTCCCATATCTTGCAATGAGGGTAATTTTTCTTTGAACAACCTCCCCAGGGCGTGTCTTTGCATTTGCATTCAACCCCGTCCCAGTACTTGCAGCTAGGTGGTCTTGGTTCATTACACTGACAAACAGGGCATTTTGATTTGCATTCGCAGAGGTCCCAGTCCCAATCGTCGCATTGAGGCTTGCGGTTCTCGCACCACGGACCCTGACACCTGCAATTCGCAGAGTCCCAGCCATATCTGCAGCAATATCTCTGCTGACATTCAGGTTTGCCTTGCGGCAGACATGGAGTTCCCTTCCCTGGTTGACTACACGTGCAGTACTTCCAGTTCCAGACCTCACACGTATGATCAAAATTCTCGCACCAAGAGCCCTGGCACTGGCAAGTATCAGGGTCCCAGCCTTTTTTGCAGCAATGTTTTTTCTGACATTTGTCGACTTCCGGTGCTGTTGTTGTTGTTTCTCCCGGTGTTGTTGTTCCTGTTATGGTTGTTGTATCTCCGGGTGTTGTTGTATCTCCGGGTGTTGTTGTGTCGCTCGGTGTTGTTGTGTCGCTCGGTGTTGTTGTGTCGCTCGGTGTTGTTGTGTCGCTCGGTGTTGTGGCATCACTCTGTGAGCCTTGATCATTGGCTTGGCGGTTGACTTTAAAACCATATTTGCTGTCGCTGCATGTGCAGCTGATGGAATCCCAAGTTTTGCAACCAGGGTCTATCCGGTCACACTTCTTATTCTTGGAGACTAGGAAATTGTTATAGTAAGGTCACTTAAGATGTCCAGTTATGATACCTTGCTCATTGTGAGTTCCTTTATATCTCGCCGCAGGTGAAGCAGAGACTAGACAGAGCAAAAGCGCAGCCAAGATGGCATAATTGGCTTTCATACTGAGATTAGATATATCGATTCGTCGTAGATTCAAAATCAAAGAAAGAGGTAATGAATAATAAAGGTAACATATACGCAAAGTGGGTTTGGCTAAGGCGAAGCGCATGAAACAAGGCAGGCTAAATGCTGTTATATATACATACTTCACTGTCACTATATGGAGACTAAATTCTAGGGCTGTGTCATGATGATCCGAGGAGATTGACTTGTAGATCTAGACAAAGCCGTTTTTAGTAAATTAGGCGCTAAAAGATAACCCTGTGGTCCAGGCTGTCTAAGACATAACTTCAATTGGTTCTTCATAAACTCGAAAATATGGTTCTAGGCAAAATAGGAGGTTGTAGACTTTAAAACCGTGGCAAATTTTGGAATCGCCTGCAGTCCTTACTACCACCCGTGTCATAGTTCCAAGATCGTATATCTGATAATATGAATACTAGGCTGGTGAATACATGGATACATGTTACTTGTTATATTGTAAATGAGCTATGTCCGTGGTAATACTTTAAGCCATGTGTTGGGTTCGCCATGGTTGAGCATTCTCAACAAATTCCTTTGATTAAATCTACTTCTTCGTAGATTGGCCTGGCCATTATAATAGTGACTATCCATTTAACGAGTTCCCAAACTACCGTAGAGGTGCTATGATCTTATTTAAGCATCGAAACTCACTTTCACCCTATTATTCTGTTTCCTTATGGAGGACTTGGCATTATTTGAACAAGGGACTGGCTCGTGTCGTGAGTGGTACTATATGACAAGATCGTCCATGAGGGGCTTACGGGTTTATAGTAAAACGAAGGCAACATGGCTCTAAGTGGCTGTTAGCAGATTTAAGTTCATAAAGACGAGAAAATCTCCGCAAATACTCAGCATCGTCCACTAGAGCCGGTCGATGAGATAATCATCAATTATCGACTCTTGGAACATGCCAAGCAACGTATATTTTGGTAGAACTCGATTGTAAGTCAACACTTCGCTTTCTCTACTGGTTGACCCAAAGAATGTCTACAATCAATCCATGTTAGTAAGATCAGGTCAACACGTCCATATTACGACTTTCGTGTCTAGAATTTCATGAACATCAGTATTCTTGCTTATTGGTTGTTGGCAATGGGCAAAGTTAAGGTTATATCTAACAATCAAGCTGGTTACCACATAACAAGGAGCTGATGAGGCAGAATGGACGCCAATAATCAAGTATATGCTTCTAGTGATAGGACTATTGTCCTAAATATGAGAATATGAAGTAAAAAGGGAAACGCTCGTTGGTAGCATACTCGGAGATGTGCCGATTGACTCAACAGCATAAGGCAATAACACAAGCACACGCAGGTTGTACGAGCTATCTAGGGTATACACCCATAGAGTCCAAATGCATACTCATATACTGCTCGTTTTATCACTCCGATCTAATATAATCCCAGGCTACCTGTCCAAACATAAAATCAACTTTTTGTATAGTCTCTGAAAAATACACATCAATTTGGGCCCACCAAAATGGGCATGAATGGGGGCCCATTTTCGGGCCGGGCCCAGCCCAACCCATTAGGCCCAACCCATTTGCCGAAGCCTAGTCGAAGGTATTGACCCAAAACCCAACCCAGCCCGGGTTGGGTCCGGGTTGGGTCCGGATTAAGCTAGGTTCTGCGGAAGTCTAGACATAAATAATACGAAACACGAGGTGGATTTATTCTGCTTGCTAAAAAAACTTCTGGGCGCCAAGATGCGGGCTCATGGGTGATGCTAATTTGACCGGGGTTGATCTAACATAGGTCGCATGCCAAGCCCCTCGCGGAGTGGTATAACACGGGATGTATGCCAAGCATCCCCCGGAGAAACTGGGCTGGACTCCAAGACCTGGAAAGGACCGCTCACTAGCTCCTAAATCCTTAGCATGTGTAATTATTTTGATAGCCTGTTTTTGTGCTGACTGTGTGGGTCGCTTGAAAATCATACATATAGACGGAATTACGAACCTATAAAATATCTGCTGTAGTTCTCAGAGACCAAGCCGCGTTGTGTGGAGGCTATTATTGAGAGCCAGGGATGGTATACACTATCTTAACAAAACTCATGACGTTCTGAGTTCGGCAGAATTCTATGAGACAGGTGGTGTGGGCCTTAGGTGTTGCTAAACCTTATAATTAGGCTTCCGCAAACCCAACCTAACCTGGGCTGGGTTGGGCTGAGTTTTGGGTCGAGACCTTCGACCCAACTTAGGTTGTGCGGAAGTATACTTATGGTATCTCACTTTAGATCAGTCTATGATAACCTTCTCTCAACGTATTAGATATTCGCATGGCTAGTAAACAAGCCTGGAAACTTGTAGATTTGCCAAAAATCCGGTAGCTCCAAATTGCACCGCACGAGTCTGGTTTCTGGTTTTATTTTCTGATTAGCTAGTTGTATGAGTGGCTCGTATCCTAAGCCGCTGATCTAGTTCGCACAGCCCTTACGTTCAAAGATCTAATTTCACAGAGAATGTTACTATGGGTAGACTTCCCCAGAACCCAACCTAACCTGGATCCAGCCCGGACCCAACTTGGGTTATGGAGAAGTCTAATTGTGCGCCTGGATGTATAGGAATAGACTTGTTTTGAATGTCAAAACAACTTCAATCTTTTGGTTCTGTACTCATTAAATTATAGCATCATCTCTGATATGACTGGAAATAATTCGTATTCGCGATTTAAGAAATGAGTCTTCGTATATTCCTACTGGTTCTTTTCTCTTTGAAGCCCATTTCGTATCCAGATAGGTAATCTAGATTCTAATAACAGGTTTGTTCAGAAATACACTCTTATTCTCCCAGTAGATAGGGTTATCATCTAGCGAGGCCGATTGGGAAGGTCCAAGGTCTACCTTCATAGCCCTAAACCTTTTATAATTATTATCTATTAACTGAAAGCCTGGTGAGCAATTGTGACATGAGAATGATAATTTGTGCTCTTCTACTGGCTAGAGTATCGAAATCTTACCACTAACCAGAAAGTTTTCATTAAGTCTAAGCAGGCCGGTGATAGGGTAATATTATGTTGCCCATGGGTTGCCCATGCGAAAGGTTTTCGTAAACAACTGTTTAGATCATAATGATGAAAGATATGCATGAGCCGACAGGAAATAGCATCTAGACCCGAATAGACTCGTAATGAGTTGAGAGTGATGATGATGATAAATATGTATTCCACTTTGGCTTTCGTGAATTTCTACCCTATATAAAGACTGCATGTAGCAACAAAAAGCTAGTACTATACCATTATCAGCCTGTTTCCATTAACATATATCGCACTTTAATCACAAAGTCCCCACGCCCTTCTGCCTATTTGAAAATGAAGTCTGTATTGGTCGTCCTCGCTACCATTCCCGCACTGGCAATGACAGCTGCCACACCCACAGAGCCATACGGTGATTTGGCTAACGAGCCAGGGTTCCACCTAAACAAAAAGCAGGAACTTACAACTGGTCTCAGATGCGATCTTAACACAGAGAGAAAACTTAGGAACGTTCCCTGTGACGCTGTTCCAACCTCAGGTACAAGAGCCAGTGGGCAACACCTCATGCTTGTTTGCACAGTTAATATTGATGGCACGTGAGTGAACCCTATCTGTGTTGCAATACTTTGTAATAAACCAAGCTTGTAACTGGAAAGACTCGAAACTAATGCTTTGTTAACATGGCTCCAGGAACTGGTATAAGACTGCAAACAATGAATGGGTCCGCAGACTGGAAGTCCTCCCCATCAAGTGCAAACGTAAGTTCTTATTATACTATCTGCATATAGAATCTCGAGTTTCGAGTTTTACAGCAATGATACGCAATTCCTCTCATCTAACTCATTGAATCATAGAATCTATTCCAGCTCTGCCACCCTGCGATATCTAAACCTTGCGTGTATCCAACAACGGGCCTAAAAAGCCTAAGTCATATCGAAATATAACCAATATGGCCTATATATTTCTATGGAACGAGATTAGTGGTTGGATCAGTTTTCTTTACCTTTTTACCACAAAAGTGATATTGGATAATCATGTGACTTCACTTCCTGCTCTCAATAATTTGATATATTTGCACTTATCTAGTGGTCTATCTTAGGTATAAAGTAATATGTTTTTAAGCTAGTGGGCTCTAGGTTATTATGGTATATCTATAGAAAGCTATATAAGGGATAGAGAGGTATATATTATAGACTAGGCTTTAGTAAATAGGTTAGGCCTAATAGGCTAGGTTAGATAGGGCCTTCTATAGGTATAATTCACTAAAGTAACTACTACTAACTAGGTCTTTAAATATACTAAAACTAGTACTAGTGAAAAGCCTCTACTTTTAGGATACTAAAATATGGTTTATTATTTAAATTAGATAATATTAGTAGCTATAAGGATTATTAGAAGTTAATATTATTAGTGCTATATTATTAGGATTACTATCCTAGGGTTAAATTAGATAAGAGTAATAATATAAGTAGTATATAAGTATACTATAGGGATTAATATTAATAATAATATAATTACTAGAGAACTCTAGGGGTGTTCTCTATAATTCTACTTTTAATATATAGCTTATCTAATTAGATTACCTAAGATCCTAGGTTAACCTTTCTCTAGCTAGTTCTATTATATAGAGGAACTATAGTATATAGAAGTATTCTTAGGTCCTTATATATCTATTCTTTAACCCTTCTATAGGCCTTCTTATAGATATACTATAATACTATCTCCTTTCTTTATAGGCTAGGACTCTTTAGACTATTTAATATAGGTTCTATTAGGTTTAAATTATCTTTATTATATTAATATATAGATATTTCCTTTATATAGTTTAAGTCTTTATTATTATTTTATATAATATATATTTATTCTTTAATTATACTATAGTATAATATATAGATTCTTTCCTTATAAGGTTATTCTTCTTTTCTTATTCTCTTATCTTCTACTATAGCTAATCTTATAGCTTTAACTTTTAGAGTTCCTATATATATTAATCTTACTAACCTAGCTATTACTTAATATATATAGTATATTTATAATCTTAGTAGTATTAGTAGTTATTTAATCTATTATATTCCTAATACTATAGATAATTACTATATATATTATATTAGGTTAAATTAGATCTACTTATAAGTATATTATTCTCTTATTCTACTCTTCTATATAGCCTTCTTACTAACTAGATATAGATAGATACTTATCTTAATCTATATATAGATACTATTATTTTAGCTTCTTCTAGGACTACTACTAAGCGGGCTTATTATAAGGCTCTCTATTCTATATTTAAAGGTATTTAGGTATATCTTCCTAGGGCTATCTTATTTAGTATTATAGATCTAGAGCCTATCTATCCTATATATATTCTATTTTTATCTCCTTCTTTAGCTCCTCTTTATTCTTAAGTACTTACTTCTATTACTTCTATCTCTAGGGCTAGAGTTTATTTAAGTCTTACTCTTATAAGGGCTATAGATAATAGATATTATAGGGCTATAAGGGTAGTATTAGCGCTTTTACTTATTTATCCTATACTTATTCTTCTATTTTCTCTTATATATATTATAGGAGAGGCTTATACTATTATTATCTATTAAGATCTTATCTATAATAATTATAATATAGGTTTCTTAGAGGTAGATTAGCTACTTTTAGTATATCTCTATTTACTTTTACCTATTTAGTCTCTTATCTAGGGGTTCTTTAAGAATAGTATTTAAGCGTTTCTTAATTCTCTATATTTCCTTTATACCTTAGCTTACTTACCTCCTTACTTTATAAGAGTAGCTACTCTTATATATCTACTTATATTATAGCTTAGAGTATCTCTAGGGCTTCTTCCTAAGCCTCCTACTTCTATTTCTATATAGTTCTATTTCTATAAGGGGAATTATAAATATCTACTTACTATAATATAGGCTTAATATTATATAAAATTAATACTAAAGAAATCTCCTATCTTTGGCTATTTAAAAAATATATTTATATTTAATATTAAAGGATTATAGCCCTTATAATCTATATTTAAAGTTAGTACTTATTAGTGGTCTTATAGAGTGGGCGAAACTATACTAGTCCTAATATAGTAATAAAATTCTTATGCTTATGATCTTTAATATCTTACCTAAAAATATATTATAGAAGCTAGAAATTTGACGGGATCTAGGATTTATATATTAGTATTAGTCTATATTATTCTAAACCTACTACCTTCTCTTATATATAGGTAGTGGGCTATTTAATAAGGCCTATAAAATCGTGTATAATATAGATATAAAAGTGACTATAATTATACTAGTAAGTAACTTAATTACTCTAGTCGCTCTTAAATAGTTTATCCTATTCTATATAACTACCCTATACTATAGTAGTTAAATATACTTAACCCTAATATATTTCTTAATATCCTAATTAGTCTATTTTATATATATCTATTACCTATAGTATATATCTATTAGCCTATAAACCTTATTTAAATCCTTTAGCTCTTAGTAGTTATAAGTTTATTATTCTTAATATATTTAGACTAGAAATATATTAAAAAATAATATAAAGAGGGCGGGGATAATAAGACTTTACTAAAAGCTAAATATATTATTTAGAGATTAGAAATATATATAGGAGTAAATACTTCTATAGTATAATCTATTACTATCCTTATATCTAGAATATCTATAGATATAGATATACTATAGATACTAACTTATTAATAATTTTTATACTATTTATAGTATTTATTAGACGCTATATTAAGGAAGAAATAGGTAGCTCTTATATTCACGCCTATATATTATAACGCGAACTTACCTAGGTAGCTATATTTTTAGAGGCTTCTTTTAATTATATTAATAAGCTAACCCCTATCTTCTAAAATATCCCTAAATTAATAATCTAGACTCTAGTCCTCTACTATATAGTACTTCTTAGTATTTCTTCTTCTATTAATTTCTTACTATTTCCTTCTTAAGTACTACTACTATAAATTTAATTAAAGAACTCTTTATATTTAATACTAATTATAGATTCTAGATCTATAAGACCTATTAATATCTAGTAGAAGCTTAAAGTATTATATACTATTTAGCTATAAAGTATAGATAATATCCTTCCTCTTCTATTAGGGTATAATAGATAGCGATTTATACTAAAGCTATTAAGACTAAAATATAGAATCTAAATACTAAGCCTTTTATCCTACCTACCCTAAGCTCCTAACTAATCCCTAGGCTATAAGTCTATTATAGCTACTACTATATAGTTAAAGACTATTAATATATAGTATATATAGTTAGTACTATAAGGAATTATCGCGAAGAGGCTTATCCTACTCCTAAACTTAGTAGTTCTATCACTTATTAAGGAAGGCCTAGAGCTAATTAATAGAAAGACCTATTAACTACTTTATATCTAGTATACTACTAGTAATTAACTCTATATAGGACCTATAGTTCCTTCTTTATTATTACGCTAGATCTAGGGGTATTACTAAATATATAAATTCTAATACCTAAAACTAACGAAGCTATATTTATCTAAGCTTAGATTAACTCTATACTCTTTTACTCTAATAAGATCGCTAATATAGAGGATAGGGTTACGCTAATAAAAAAAGATAAGATAGAGGTTTCTCTATAGCTTAAGCTTATCTAATAGCCTAAGTATATCTAAGGGTATAAATTCCTTAATATCGCTAAGCTCGCTTCCCTATCTAACCCTATAATAGAGCTAATCCTTATTATTATAGAGTATAATATAGAAAGACTTATTAATTAAGTATTTAAATCGATCTTATCCTACTATATTAATAAGTTTAACTAGGTATATATTAATAGCTTTATTTAAAATCCTAGAATCTAGGAGCGCCTAATCTAGATTAAGCTACGCCCTAAAACCTATTATACCTACCGCTAGATCTAGGTCTAGCTTTTAAGTTTTATATATTATATAAGTTAGCCTAACTAGCTAATCTAGCTTCGCTATTAGTTTATAATATCCTAGTTAAGTGCTATTAATAATATTTAATCCTTCTACTAGAGACTTCTCTAGGATAGAGAAATTACTTTAAAGCTAAATACTATAATTAACTCTATTACGCCCTAAGTCTATAGTAAGACTTAAATATTAGTTAGTTAGGTAATAGAAGACCTTAACTAAGCCTATCTTAATCTTTTAATTATACTTCTTAATTATAAACTCTATAGTGATCTTTTTAAAAGTCCACTAGTTAGCTTTATAGTGGCTTTAGGGATTAATAGTAAGAACTAAATATATTATAAGCCTACTAGCTATATAACCTATCTATCTACCTTAGTTAAAATCTTATAGATACTAGTTATATAACGCGTGGTTAATCTTACTAATAGTTATTAGGTAAAATATCCTAGTAATACGCTTAAAGAAATATAAGCCTATTTCTTAATATATAGGGTTTAATACCTATTTAGCTAGATTACCTAACTCTAGACCTATAGTAAAAGAATCTAAAATATATCTACTAGTCTTAGGTTTCTAGTTTAGAGTAATAATTACTAGATACTATATTACTAGGACCTTTAACTTACTATAGATTCTCTTATAAAGTTTATTTATACCTAGATCGAGCTTACGTAATATAAGCTAGAGTAGCTATTTCTATTAGATAAAGATAAATCGCGTATTAATAAGGTACCTTAGCTCCTACTATACTAGCTAACTAATAATCTAGTTAATAACTAATATAGCTAGAATTTTCTTAGAGACTAGAAAAACCGCTAGCTACTACCTACCTCTAGTAAATATTAGATACTAGACTATATCTTAATAATAGAGTCCCTTTAGAAGGATTTTATTAAGGTCTCACTAGTGATCTAGTATAAGCGTAATCCCTATATTAAGTAGAATATAGCGCTA